ATATATATATATATATATATATATATATATATACATATACCGCATGAAGAAACTAGCATTGACTATGAGAACGATCATACGCTTTATCTACCGTTCAGAATACATTTTTGAATCAAGGCTTCAATACCCTTCCGTGCTAAAGATTTTAGAGCATTTGTTGTTCATCATGTAGATATCAACGCAGTGGTCAAACACCACATCATAAAGAATCCCGCCAGCGATCTGGAAAGTCCCTCGAACACCAGGCCTGGCAAGCCCTTTTCGTAATACTTCGGTATCAGCTTCAAATTGCCACTTAAAATCACCACAAAAAAGGCCAAAGTAACAATGATGTTTGTCACCAGAAAATATATCAGTCCATGGTACGATTCCAGCTGGAGAATACCCGAGGACGACCCAAGCACTAACGACGTCAAGTCGTGGATATGATGAAATGTCTGTGTGAGGTCAGTATGTGTGATCCTAAAGCACGTCTGATTTCGTGAACTCACGTTTATATTCGCCACAATGTTGGCTTTATATGTGACAGAAAAGTCTTTTCTAATGGCGCTCATTGTTTGTAATCGAAGGATCAGGATACCCAGAGCCTTGACTTCTTTCCCACACCTTATCCATTCTCTTTAAATCCCATCCGGCTGCGCCAAAAACTTTGGTAATACACACCGCTCCAGACACGACCTCGATTCTTCACCAAGTGCCAGGCGGCAATACAATAGTTTCTAACAACGCTTCTTCCATTCATCTTTGTATACTAGGGAATATCCAGAAATGTCCGCACAGCCTGCCAATCCCACGAGTGTCACCTCATCCAGACAACACTCAGACTTTGTTCTGAAGACGTGCACTCCGGAGGATGTGGAACAGACTAGATACCACATTCTGAAGTTCCACTCGAAGAACAAAGTGGACCCTCTGGACTCCGACGCATTCACCCGTCCAATCAGGTTGCATCGTAAGGATCCCAAGAACCTTCAGTTCCAGTTGTCGCTCAAAGAGGTGGAAGAGAAGAAGAAAGAGAAAAAAGCCGCAGACCTGGAGAAGCAGATCAAGAAGGAGGAACAGCAACAACTACAACAAGAGAACGGTTCCAATGATGTCAGTATGATGGATATCGATGAAATCCCTGGAACAGTAGCGCCTGATTTTGAAACGGAGGAGGAGAAGAAAATGCGACTGGCAAACGAGAAGAGACTTAAACTCCTCGCCAAAAGGGAAGCTGAACAGGCAGTAGTTGCCCCCGATGGAGGGGCCCGCAAAAAGAAGAATGTCTTCAAGAGAAAGACAAGACAAATACACATGGTCGACGAGGAAAAAAGGCGGCTGAGATATGAAGAGTATTATCCTTGGGTGCTGGAAGACTACGAGGGTAAGAATAATTGGGTCGGCAGTTACGAGGCAGGCAATTCTGACACCTATGCTTTGTTTGTGTTTGATAAAGATGGATTCAAGCTTGTTCCCGCAGAAAAAGTTTACAAATTCACTCCTAGAAACAAGTATGCCACGTTGACCTTGGAAGAGGCTGAGGCCAAGATGAAGGATGGAGCCCAAACCCCGCGGTGGCTGATGCGCAAAATGGAACAGGAGGCTCGGAGTGGAGATAGCGTTGATGCGAGATTTAAGAGACCAAGTAGACTTCGGACGGTTGCCGGCTCCGAGAATGCGGATAAAGATAGTGACCACGACGAGCTGGATTTCGACGAAGAGTTTGCCGACGACGAGGAGGCACCAATCATGGACGGGAACGACGAGGAGAATAAGGAGAGTGAAAAGAGAATGAAGCGTGAGATGCTACGCGCTGCCAACATGGTGAAGACCGAGGAAGACGATGACGACGATTTGGATGATCTTTTTGAAACCAAAAAAATCGATAAGGAAGGTCAGAAATTGCGTAAAGCATTGGCAAAGAATGCTTTGAACGAGGTATACGAGTCTGATGATGAAGAAGAGAACCCTTATATTTCTGAAAGCGAGGCTGAGAGTGAGACAGAGGTGAAACGTGAACCTGGCCTGGAATCGCCCTCGCAGCCTGGATCTCAATCCCATTCCCCGGAAGTTAAAGAAGAATACAGTGAAAGACAGAGCTCGAGATCTCCTGATCTATCAGCCCCAAGGATTTCTGTCAAATCTTACAGCAATGGGTTTCTGGTGCTCAGAGCAGTCAAAACGCTGCTTGCAGAGTTCCCCGCAGGGGAATGGAACCCATCTGTTAGGAAGAGATCCGTGGAGTCTGAAGCCGAGCCGTCTAACAAAAAGATCAAGCTTGAGGCAGTTGTGGAGGATCTCACCGCTGAAGAAGTGGCTTCTATTGTGGGCGATGGTCCAATTGAGCTCAATGCTTTACTCCGGGCCATTGGGCCTAAGGTTCACGATCCTGCGAACAAGGACCGCTTGAGGGTGATTCTCAAGGCCAATTATAAATTGAAGAACAAATTTGTCTACAAGAGGGCGTGAAGACCATCTCAAAGTTAAGATATACAGAGTTTTCTTTGAAGAACAAGATCCGATCTAGCTAGAAGCTTCAATTCGTGGTCGTATGGGGAGCCAAATCATCCCCAGCTACAGTTGAAGATTGTCGTTTAGATGGTGTACATACATCAGCCGTTGCTGAGGTCTCAAGATGTTCTTTGCCTACAAAATCTCCGTAATCTTGTCATCATCGTCGTCATCATCACTCTCAGCATCACTATGCATTGCCTTTACCTCCTCATTTGATGGAGGTTCATCACGCATCAGCATTTGAACCAAACGATCACATAACTCGGCAATCAACTCATCCTCGTATGCCTTGTGCAACTCTCTGATCAACGGGTAGACAGACTTCTTCCTAAGATATTCCCTACCGAATCTGGTGACACACAGCAACAGCAAGCTTTCCAAGTGAACAGTAATAATTTCATTCACAGGATCTCTCTTCTTATCTTCGCCCAGTAGTTGAAGTTCATCCGGCAAGTTGAACATGTCATCCTCGTCTAGCTCATCAGTCTGACCGGTGATAGGCAACAGAATATAGGGCAGCAGGTTAATTTCAGAAGTCAGCAGCATCTCGTGTTGCTCAGTTTCAAATAAAGAGTTCTTGATAGTGGAAGCAACACCTTCTCTTCTGTTCTTGGAGTCGTATTTCTCGGTGAACACCAATAGTTTGGAAAGGGGAACGACATCATCGTATGACTGTTTCGTCACGAAATACATTCTCCCAAGTGGGAACCTGGAGACATCAGCAAAGAAGTAAGACAAGTAGTCAAAATCAGCAAAAGGGTTGTGTTTTCTCTCTGATCCCTTGACGAAACAATCCATCATGCAATCCATGGCTTTTGCAGATTTGTAGAGCTGCTTCTCGGGCACATTCAGAGTGAATTCAAATATCTTGGTGATTGCGTCCGTCTTGGCCAAGTTGGCAAGCAAAATACTCATGAGGTCCGCGTTTTTGTTCTGCGTGAAGGTGATTTGCTCTAACAAGTGTCTGACAAATTGTTCGTTCTCCAGAATCAGCTCACGCACATGGGAATCGTCACACAGATTGGCCAAGATGGTAAGAGCCTGTTGCACCACCTGCACCTTCTTGTCCAGAATAAGAATTTCCAAATCCTTGACGGCCCTGTAGTTGTCATACTGAAATATCTTTTGGTTGGGACCACTGGGTGAGAATCCGACCAAGTTCTCAAGAGCAATCTCTCTCACGTTCCTGTGCTCCGCATGGAGGAAAGACACCAACTGTGTATGTTAGTATGCCAGTTCATCCCTCACCGTACAAACTGTTGACTCACCTCTTCCAACTCAGTAGGCATTGTGTATAGTTTGAAGTCCTAAGAAACAAATGCCCGGGATATCTACTGATGTCTTTACCCAGCAGCTCTCTTGAGCATTGGTGAGGCTCTGAAAAATATTGCAGTCGAGGTCGTGTCCCACCAGATATGTTAAACCAATGAACTTCGAGAAAAGTCAAAGAGCTCATCTGACTTCTGGAGTACGACTCCTGGTTTCGAGAGAGCGTTTGGTGTATTCTCATATCTATCCAATATACAAATATGGTGAGTTTAATCTAGTGTTGATGAACATGGATGGTTCAATTTGTGGTGCTGTTGTGTCAGCATGCTCAGCGAGGACGTGATGGCTGGCACCATGCTAGGAGAATAACCGGAAGACTAACCCAATCAGTACTCAACCATTTACAACCTGGTGTTCAAGAGAAACTCCGTCTTTGTGGGTAGTGTTTTTGCCACTGCATTTGCATTCCAGGGCTTCTTTGACTACGGTGTCACTTCCTGGTACGAGGCTCACAACAAGGGCAAGCTATGGAAGGATGTCAAGCTGAAGCTTGGTGATGCCGGTGAGGATGAAGATGACGACGAATAAATCGTCCAGAAATGAAACAGAGCGAGATAGTTCTGAAGAAACAAAGCAAAACACTTACGAGCACGTATAGTATGATATAAAGTATTAGTTTTGAACGATTGTTATCACAAGATTCATACGTGAGGAATACTGTAAACGTTCGAAATCGGCTGTACAATGAGCACAAGGTTGCAGATGTGATTCGGATGGTCGCTAGAGTGAGTAATTCATAAAATGTCCTTATATTCAACAGACTATGTACAATTGTTTTCCAGCTACTCGCTAATCGTACCGCTCATCTGAGCCGTCTGAGTCCGAGTCCTCATTCAGTTGATGAAAATCTTCAGGCTCCTCGCCAAATAGCAGCCCCAAATTGTTACCATTGACGAGAGGCACTAGGGTCATTCCCAAACCCGGGATTTGAATCGGGTTGTGATCAAAATACCTTGTCTCATACACCGTTTGGTACTGGTGCAGCGTCATGTTAAGGTACTTGTCATTGAGATTCTGCCACTTGAGGGGATCCAGAAGGGCAAGATCTTGAGATCTCATCAGCCCCGGCGCAGGCTCACCATGAGATGTGACGTAAGGAGTCTTATACGTGGAAACTCTAAGCCGGTCATGACCAGCCAAGAACAGTAGACTGTTCGTACTGGGATTGAACGCAATACACTGCCCCTTCTGAGCACAATCATGTAACTCCTCGCACTTGCCAATTTTCAACGAGTTCAACCGGATATCCGATCCGCATATCAGACAAACAATGTACTCTTCAGTGGAGCCACCCGAAAAGCTCCTGGATCTCTTCTTTCCCATTGGCCCATATAGTAAGTCAATGTAGTCCTTAAGTTTGTGCTTCAAAGGATGAAGTCCAACAACCCCAAGATACTCTTTGGGGTTGCCAGCATCATCGTCCTCTGGAGCTGTGCCACACAACGAAACAAAATGCTGGAACCTCGGCAATCCGGTTTTCTGGGCAATTAAGTTGATTTTGTCCACATAGGTTCCTCGTTTTGCTTCCGCAGATTCCAGTGCAAAGCTCGGGAAAATTGCCATAAGCAAAAGAACAATTTCTCTATACTTCTGTAGAACAACAAAAGCTAGATTCCAATAAATCTTCAAAACAACCTGCGAGTCAGTTGCCCTTGATCCATAAGAATCAAAGACCAGGCGTTCCTGGTCCTCAGTCAAAGGCTGATAGTCAATAGCATTCATTCCGGAGTATCTCTCAAAGTCATGGCCAGCTACAACTGAGCGGTATTCCAAAACACCAAGCTCTGCCCACTTCTGAAACTTGTCCTCGACGATTCCCAGCCCGGTAAACAGCATAAGCAGAGGCGAAACCGCATCACCCGACCCGACCGTTTTTGTGTAATACTCAGGTGAGCTCAAAAACGATTGGAACGCGGACCGAACGAGGGTCAACTGCCTTTCCGAGTATGCATCTTCTCCACAGCTTGCCTTTGATCGAGACGCAATCTCCACCATTTTAATAGTGTCAACCAGAGCTTCGCAAAGCTCATCGAAATGGCTGCCAGTTTGCGCTGACATGTTATCGGCATCCGACGAGCGAACTATGGGTTCATTTTTCACAGGGAAAAATGCAGCTTCGATATCCCTCAATGTGATTCTTTCAACTGCTGTTAGAGCTGGAAACTCACAGTCAACAGGATGGCTAACCAGATATTCGTTAGAAGAAAACCCACAGAAAGGACATTTCTTTTTTTCTCCAGGCAAGACATTAAGGCCGTCAAAACAACCAAGGTGTATGAAGTGGCCACATGTATTCCAGACATTGCGAAATTTTTTAGATTCGGGTCCAAGCCCTATCATCCTAAAAACAGAAGAAACGTTCTGCTCCCAAAAGATCACCAAAGGATCGTTCTCTCGAGCTCCGAGTTTGCAGGATATACACACTCTTTGTTCATCTTGTGCTAATTCATTGTCGGAAGATGGGTTGTTCTCTTTGAACTGCTGCTGCTGCTTGGCCATTTTGCCCATCAGCTTTTTCAACCTTTTGTTGGCCAACTTTTTCGAAAGGTTTTTCTTCACGGCCGGGGCTTTCAACTCCACAGCATCGATTACAGTATCTTCACCAAACATTCGGAAAAGTTGCGCTTGGACAGCCATCTCGGCGTCTCGCTGCAAAACTTCTCTCAGAATGAGCATTGCCTTATAACGCACACCACCAGCTGCCCACTGACCCCGGCTTATCTTGAATAGGGACGAAGCTATGGCAGAATCTGCTAATGGTGTAACTGACGAAACATCAAGCACAATTCGATGCACCAAGTGCAATAAATTCAGTAAATAAGAATCTGATTCATTTTTAGTGTGATGACTCAATAGCTTATCCACAAATTTCAACAACAGCGGATGCGAAACAAACTCGGATATCAAGCTTAGTTCGCGCGCCCTGTTCGCAGGAAGCTGGACAGGCTTTGGAACAAACACAACGTCGTCTTCAGTGCAATTGTCCAGTTTCGCGATAACTTTTCGAATATGATACTGAAGTTCATCTGGTGATGCCGAACTGAATGGAAGCCTCATGGGATCAATATTTTTCAAGACATCCTCCTTTAAAGAATACCTCCCCGAACCAGAGACACCAGAAGGTGGTTTGTAAGTACAAAATTGCTTTAGGAAAGTTTCAATCTTGTCATCCGTGGTCCTGACATCACTTTTCAAGTCAGAGAACGTGGCAGATTCCTCAATCAATAAGGTAACCAATTGGTCGCCCAAGGCCTGCGATGACTTATCATACGATGGACCCAACCAATCCCAACAGCTAGATACCTGGTAAAAAAAGACTACCAAGGCATCGAAGAGGCTTGTACTCCTCTCCAAATACTCAGTCTCATACTCAGCATCCGGAGAAACCAGCCATTGATCAAACTTAAATTTGGAGATGACATTCTCAATGAGAGATGAGACAGGAGCGCCTGCGAGCAAAGTCGATTGGAATAGAAATAGATCCGTGCACCCAGATATCTCCTTGCAAAGATCTGCTTCGTGGCCTATCATGGTCCCATTTCTTGCCCAGTGACCTGAGTCTATCTGTGCCATCAGAACCGTACGGCATAGGCTTCGGTCTCCAAGATGTATAAGAAGGGTTCGGAAATCAGCGGCAGAAGAGGCCGAGTATATTCTTTCAAACCACCTGAAGTCGAATCCATGATAATTGTATACCAGCGTTGAGCAAAACGCTTGTAGTGGGTTGAGAAGATAGTCTGTTTCCCCACTGCCTACGCTCGTCTGTGGCATCGAAAACGAACTTGCGGATATCGATCTGTTGATGAAAAGTACCACAGCCTCCAGGGCATCAACGATTTCCTCAGAAGCACTATTATCAGTGAGCTCGCTCGTCATTTTTGCAAAGTGCTCAATGATGTCATACAATAGTGACAAAAACCTAAGATTCTGATATCCCAGAGTAGTGTCAATTAGCACATGATCACCTGTTTTCCTCTGAATTCCTGTCAGATTGCCAAAGTCACTCAGAAGTTCGCATAGTTCATCAACGAAGCTCTTTCTGAAAAACCCCAGGTGCTTTTCATTATACTCGACGCACTCGACGAGATTCTCTAGGATACGAATCGCGGCGGCGCGGCATTTGAAAATCCTGAAACTCTCAGCATTAGGCTTCGTGAATGCTGGAGGTGGACTGATTATAAGTTCATTCATACAAACCTGTCTGGTTGTGTAGGCGATAATTTCGATTCGTTGGGGAGCAGCTATGATCGCCTCAGTCGTAACAGGACATGCAAACAGTTGGAAAAACACTTCTCCAAGGCTATGATGCATATACTCGCGATCACAGCAAGCCATGCAGCACATCAGCTGCTGATATATTTCAGTTAACAACCTAGCAAACTCGACTCTTGTATCCAAAGACGAGATTAGGATAGGGGCAAAGGTCGAATGCAGGATAGAGCGAATGCCTTTTGGGAATCTCGGTTCAAAAAAGAAAAAGTATTGGATCCTGGAACCGGTAACGTCCAGTTGGCCTTTTGGAATTCGACCATCGTTGTCAAGCAAGGCTGAATAATTTGACAGAAACGAAGAATTCGAGTCAGGCGTCCCCATCAGAGGTGGGAATCGGGGAACATTATCGTACTTCTCCAAGCATCTCTCTGCTATACTCGTTCTTACCGAAGATTGGACCTCGTGCAGATGATGGTCGCTCGCATCCCTCAACCATTCGATGATAATTCCACTGATCAGGAACCTTGCAAAGTGAAGCTTAGGAATGATTTCATATCTATATCCAAGATCCCTTAATTCCTGTGCATCACGATGAACCGAGGTGATATCACCAGTTTTCAGATAGCTGAACCCATTCTTGTCAATTTCAACCACACATTTGTCTACTATGTTCTTGGTCCAACCGGTGACATTCTTCACGGCTTCAAATGCTTCGGGCATACTGTGGTACTCATCATTCCAAAGCAACAGACAGAACTGCTTAGACTCAGCATAATCGGGGGCAGGATCAAGCATCTGAAAATGCCTGATCATCTCTGTCGGCGAAAGCTGTGGTCTAAAAGCAAGGTCAAACGAGGTATAAACCCCAAGAACATAATCTAGCGCTGCTGCCACAGTCTCCGTAGCAGAACCTCGCAGGTCATGTACGAATTGAGGAATGTCATCGCGTTCAGCCCTCTCGATCTCACACATACAGTTAAGATCCCTGACCCAGGAAGTGACGTCTCCACAGTCACATATCCCTTCGTTCTCTGAAGTCGCGATTCTCATTCCGACATCATGATCCTCATGGTCATCCCTGTTAAAACAGTAAGAACATAAAACCGTGGTGGGATCGATACCACAATCATTGCAGGCGTAAATTGGCTCGCCATGCTCGAACTTCCTGGCACATGATCTTCCAGTATGTGAATAGGTGTCCGCTGCATCTCCCTCGGGTACATGAAATCCTTTGTAGGTTTCATGCATAAGATCCTCAGCTGTATGCGGTAACTCAAGCTCTTGGTTGAAAAATCCAGGGAACATGTCGTTTAGAATGGCAGGCTCGTTAGAGGCCAATGAGTAGTACAACAAGGCATACACCTTATGCTTGACCTCTTTTAGACTGGTCCTCACAGTGCGAGGACTGAGACCCGCACACTGTCCACCGACAATCCTCTCCAATCCTTGAGTAACCTTCGAAATTTCTGTCCTCATTTCGCGTAGCACTCAGAGATTGTGCAAAAGTTAATTCAGGGCCCCAATCTACAACATTGCGTTAAGTGATATCCTTGATGAGCATCGATTCGTGCCCAGAAGAATTGAGTGGGGAACGCAAAAACTCCAAACGCCACTGCCACTTTCAGCGGGACGTTTGGAGCTTAGATAGTAATCAGCTGAACTTCGATAGCGAATTGTGTATTGGTGAACAATATTTGAAAGAGGTTTTTGGAGGGAAGAATAGAGAGCACTGTATCCATTATCTATTTGCATAAAATTCCTCTCTCACCAATTGCTCGATTATGCAACCTCTGGAACATCCCCAACTGCGGAGCTTCCTGGTAGAGCTTCCAGTACTCAGCGATTACAAGGTCGCCACCGGTACTCGAAAATTACTCGCTGGTTTATTTTATGCTGCTTCTTGTGATGGTAAGTACCTGCCGTTGTTGTTTCCGGAGCGGAAGGTGGAGGATTTTGCGGGTTTTTCGTGGGAAAACCGCGCGTTCTCCACACCTGAGAATGATCTAAAGATGCTTTCAAGCGACGAAGACGAACACAGTGAACACAGTCATCCCAAGAGACCTTGTGCACGGAGATTCAGGAAGGGGGACCCCTGTTATAGGTGTTTAACATGTGGCTTCGATGATACGTGTGCCCTGTGCTCGTTTTGTTTTGAGGCCCAGGATCACGAAGATCACCAGGTCCTAGTAAGACTTTGTCAGAAGGATAATGGCGGAGTTTGTGACTGTGGAGATCCTGAAGCTTGGACCACTCAGATGAGTTGTCCCCTGATCACGGAGAAGGATGAGGAGCCACTTCCCGAAGAGTTATACATCGCCTTGGAGACTACATTGGCTGTGGCATTGGACCATGTTCTAGATGTAATGGCTCATTCTACTGAGGTCGTGATGCCGTCGGACTCGGCAGATAAAATACGCTATTATTCCAGGCGATCGGCGTTAAATCCAGCTGCCTACCTTTCTGAAGATACACCATCAGAAAAATACATGCTTGTTCTGTACAACGATCAGGTAAGACAGTTCCGCGACGCTGTGCAAAGAGTCAGATTCACTACAGGAAAGGTTTCCAGGTTTGCCGAAATGGTTGTTCAAAGAGTGGACTCCTACGGCCGAGGGAACGTGATGGGAGGAAACGATCTGGAAGTACTTTTGCAGAAGCAGAGAATACTTTGTTCGACTGGACTGACATCTGCCATCAGAAGTTACAGAGATGTTTTTAGAGAAGAGCTTTGTGACTCCGTGATTTCTTGGATTGAAAATATTGTGTACTCCAAGTTATTTCAAAATAAACAGAGGTTTAGAGACCTAGTGTGTCGGACCTTTTTGAGACCTTGGAGACAAGGATGCTATGCCTCCGTCTTGAGAAGTCCGGGGTCGGACAATCGGGAGCTGATGTGTGTTGGAAGTCTCACAGTTGATAATATGATTCCAAGAGTGCCTTCTGTCAACCACGATTCAACGCCAATGCGCTGGGACCTGAGCCAGGATCTTTGCAACGAGTGTTTCTTCACCAACGTGGGAAGTCTGGCTTACCGAACTCAATCCGAGATTCAAGGTTCGAGGTTCCAGATGTTGCTATACTTTGATGTACGGTTCTGGAAGTCTATCAGATCAACTCTCCACAACATCTACATCTTTTCTCTCATTTCTAATCTGAGGTACAAACTCATGGTGACGGCTCAGTATGTGGACATATACCCTCAAATTTCGGAGCTGTTTCTTTCATTAGATCGTGAGCCCGAGTCCTCATTGATGTCCTCCCTCTCTGCACAGTTATTCACATGTCCTTCAAACTCTACGAACACAATTAGACACGGCGATCTGTCTCGAATGCTAACCACCGCTCATCTGTATCTAACCACGGGCACAATCTCATATCCACCGGCGGGATATGATATTTCAAAGGCTGATTTATCTTTTAAATCACTAAAAAACAGAAAATGGGGTCACATGTTCTTTGACATGACGTATATACTGGGAAGGAACCAGGACAACAAGGCTTTGTTTTCATCTGATTTGATAGACCAGGTCTTTTCGTTGCTAAAGCTGTTTCAAGGAAGACCAACCATGTCGAGAGAAGCAACCGCTCATGTGGAGTACGAATCAAACGACTATGGAATTTTTTTCAACTCAACCTCAGTTGTTGCACATTTTGCGGAAAGCATTTCGAAGTCTGCAAACGCTCTATTACCTATGGAATCAGGCGTGGTAAATGCTTCAATTACGAAGCTACTCAAGAGATTTGAGGCAACAGTTCTACAATTATGCACCATGAGCGAATCTACAACGCGGGTTATGGATTGCGATGTTACTTCAAAGCCCTTCTCTTTCATGAGATACTCGGCACTCTCCAATGAGGCTGAGATTCTGAAGTTTGACGTCCACCAGGAAAAAGTCAGTTTCTTGCATCCTGTTCATTCTCTAATATCTTCACTTTTGGAGATGGACAATGCAATCCAAACACCAGAACAACTGACTGCATGCATTCAATCGATTGGATCTAACAAACTCGTTTTAATATTCTTTGACTTTGCAATTAGAAAGATGGTTCTTCTTTCGCAGATTAAAGTCGGACAGTGGGTCAGAAACGGGTTTTCAGTTAGAAATCAGATGAACATATATAGGAACACAGGGATCCGGGAGTTTGGTTTTGTCAGAGACTTGTTTCTGGCTCAATGCTTCTTAGCCACTCAAGAACCTTCTGTATCTGTTCCAACAGTCATTGAGAGATGGAAACTGATCCCATGGATATTGGGTGATTTTGAAAATAATCTTACATATGGAAAGGGTAATACCTCTAGCATTGTGGAGGAATGCCTTTTGTTTTTCATCAATATCCTGAATGATACCACTCACCTGATGAAGATGAATGACCATGATGTACTGACACGTCTGATAGAGAAGGAGATCATACAAACTCTGTGTTTCCGGTCCCTTCCTTATAGCAAGCTATGCTCGGAAATCGAGCACTTGTCCAGCGAAAAGAGATTTCTGTTCATTCTGAGGAAGATTGCAACATTGGTAGAACCCAGAGATGACCAAGAGCATGCGGTGTACAAGTTAAAGGCTGAGTATTTCAACAACGTGGATCCATACTTCATCCATTACACTTCCAATAAGAGGGAAGAGGCCTTGCGACTGCTTAGAGACAGGTTTGTGGAGAAAACGAAGAGACCTTCTCAGGATTTTGTTTTCAATCCCCCAAAGTACAATTGGGACTCTTTTGGCCCTTATGCCCACTTGCCCCAATTTATTCTTAGCCTGGAGTTCTCTTTCCTGTTGAAGAATTCCCTTGCATACTGCATTAGAGAGGGCCCATCAATGACGGATGCAATTATGGAATTCAGTCTTCATTTATTGCATATTTGTATGCAGACGAATTTTTCATCAAAGTTCATCAGAGAGTTTGTGCTTGCAGATTTGAATGTTGTTGTGGAGCGCAACTGTATTATGAAGAACCTCGACTTCAATTCTCAGATTGGGCTCAATACCCAATCAGATAAAAAGACTGGTTCATTGGCCTCTGTGTTGTACACAATATTAACTGACGATTCCTTTGCTTCACATCACAGCAAAATCAAGACTTTGTTCCATCTTATTTATGCCGAACTTGACAACAATCTCGTTATGCTCCAATCTGCCATACCTGACTGTGACGTCGATATCCTGAACTCCAAGTTTGATGTTGAAAAGGGAGAAGAGACACAGTTCGAGAGAAAGAAAAAGCTTGCCAAGAAAAAGAGATTCAAGATCATGGCTCAGTTCAAGAAACAACAGGATCGGTTTGTCAGAAACCATCAGCTGGACGTTGGAGCCGATCCTGAGGCAGAAATGGACACTCGGATGGACGAGGAAGGTTGGTTGTTTGAAAAGGAACATTGTATTCTCTGCCAGATGACAGCTTCGGATGACGAGCCATTTGGATTCCCGAGCTATGTTTTTGATTCTGCAGAATTTAGGTACATTCCTCCTGCAAATGACAAATTGTATGATGACTATTGGTTTTTGAAGGCATTTTCTCATTCTCCAAACTTGGACGCACGTCATCCTGACATGGACATCGATCGACCAATAGACGAGTATCTTCATCGTGTTGAAAGTCGCAATGTCATTGGACCTGGATATGTGTCCTCGGAGGGATCATGCTCCGAGTCCCACTCAGTCACAACCAGTTGCTGCCACGGAATGCATTTTAGTTGTTATCTGGAGTATGTCCAGACCTCTTCCAAGACGAGAAGGTCAAGTCAAGTTACGAGAACGATTCCTGAAGACTTCTCGAAAAGCGAGTTTCTTTGTCCGTTGTGCAAATCTTTGAACAATGTGTTTGTACCAGTGCTGTATCCAGGAATACGCAAGCCTTACATTAAGGCGCCTATCAACTTGAGCGAGTCAGAAACAGTCTGGGGATATTGTAATGATCTAGTGTCGGTTTCAATAGAGGAGGCTAGTCAAGTTTTGTCGGATTCTGCCATCTCGACTGCAAGAAGCGAGATGAAGGCTAAGTATGGATCTGTACTTTTCTCGAGTCAAGTTTTTGGGAACAAAGTTGCAACTTCATTGCTCAGCACTTCGAGACTTCTCTCGTACTTCTCCAAACCCCACCCGGATAATGTGGTCTCTTCTATTTTAGCGCATTCGATTGAGTCTATTGAAATCTCGTTGCGTGGAACTCGCGAAGAAAATAGCTGCTATGTTTTCTCCCAAGTGCCATCCCAGACTTTCACAATGCTTAGGGCTTGGTGTCAACTCAAGAATGCTTTATTCGCATATGAAGCCTACAATCAAAGCTCGGAGGCACCTAACCTCCAAGGATCGTTGAAGAAGACAGAACAGGTTATTGGTCTCATGAACTGCTTGTCGGTACTAAAGCCATCTGAATGTCAAAAGGTGGACCTTTTTGAAACTCTGGTGTCAATGCAGCCCACTGATAGCTTTGGTATCTCATTCAACAAATTGGTGTGCGTCTGCTTCGTCAAGCAAACTATGAAGATGATACAGAGCGTGATTGGTATCATCTCAGAGTATGGATTGGAAAGATGTATCTTACTTCCATTGTTGAGCAACGTTGATCCAAATATTCTGAATGACTGCTCCAAAATTTATGGCTTTCTGGCATTGCACAGAGAGCGCGCCGATTTGGGACCCCTGGTATATACTCTGTTGGTTAAGCTTGTGACTCCGTTCTTGAGAAGGGCTGCTATTTGGACCTTTGTCAAGTATGCCTCGCTTTCCGAACTACCAGATCCCAGCAATTTTGATCTTGAATGTGATAAGTTATGTGCGTTTTTGGGAATACCCTCTTTAGCGGAAATCATCAGAGGATTCGTGAGTGACTTTGAAAGAGACCCTACCTATGCCCTGGAATTCAAGTCCGATCTGAGTAACTTTGAGGGCAAAATTGAATATCCGGGAATTGTCAGTCTGATCAATTTGCCATACAGATTGAGTGAGTTCTTTACAGAGGTGTATCACAAGAAACATCTACACTCGAAAGACCCTGCAATATGTCTATTCTGCGCGGCGGTCCTAGACCTCCAAGGTGTTTCGCTGGAAAGCCGCCTGGGTGAATGTAATATCCATATTAAGTGGAAGTGCATGCGCGAGTGTGGTTTATTTTTGTTACCGAGATCTAGTGGCATCTTGATGCTCTATAAGGGTAAGGGTTCGTTCTTTGATGCTCCGTATGTGGATTTGCACGGCGAGCTGGACGAGGATTCTAAAAGATCGGAGCCTTTGTTTTTGAGCCAACCGAAGTACGAGAAACTCGTTCGCAACATCTGGTTGGGTCACAATATTCCAAACGAGATTGCAAGAAAGCTAGAGAGCTTGGTAGATATAGGAGGATGGGAAACTATGTAAACGAATCTTATTGCTTGGAAGGTCAAAATCCACATTGTAGACTAAGCACCTGAACCTCTCAGAACAACCAGTTGAATGCCATTTATTCAAATTAGCTGTAATTATCACCCCTTCGAATGCTTTAACATCCAATATTTTAGTAGTGGCACCAAAAAAGTTGAAAGTTTGAAGTATCGTGTTTGGACAAAAATATTTCTGGCCGACAAGGTGAGATGGTGCCAAAAACCAATCTCTATGAATATGATGCGGTGGCTCAATGGTAGAGCTTTCGACTCCAGTTGGAATAACAGTGCAATCGAAGGGTTGCAGGTTCAATTCCTGTCCGTGTCATAATTCTTTATTTTTTTGTTTTCATGGTCAAAAGACTACTGCATGAGCCTAATAAGGCCTTGAATATATTTTTATGCATTCTGATGCCCTGTCTTGCAAGTGTCCAACAGGATAGATCGCACCGAACAATCGAACAATCGAACCGGAGTTAGAATGAAAACGCCCTCTAATCTTTGATGCGGCGTATACTTAATAAACAGACGACACAATGCTCTCAGTTTTTGAAAGTTTCAACATCCGAGAGGAAGCCAGCTACCATCTACTCACTGGCAACTGTGCATCGAATAAAGAAATGGACAACAACCAAATCAAAAAACAGCTCCAGGACACAATAGTTCGTGAAATTGCAACGGCAAATGTCAACGAGCTGGTCAACAGACTGACGGAAAACTGTTTCGAGCTATGTTTCACTAACCCATCTTCCTCAATGGGTTCCAAGGATAAGAAGTGCATTGAGCAGTGTATGCAGAAGTACATGAAGTCGTGGAACATATTATCTCAATCCTACGTGAAGAGAATCCAGGAGGCCAAGGCAGCTGGTGACATCTAAGAAGTAAATCATGTTCAATGGATAGTTTCATAATGTACATACAGCGGAGCTGAAAAGTTAACTATCATGGGTATGTTCGAGATCGTATTTGGGGAAATAGAGCGCTCATATTATTGTGAATACTCCCCTAGCATGTAAGTGTCTCTTAACTTGTCAATGGTTTCTTGCAACGAGATGATGACTTTGGCAAGCTTGGCCATCAAAGTTTCATCCTGAAGACCATGTTCAAACTGAACCTCCAACCATTCTCTTATGGTTGCTAACTCGGCAAAAACTGTACTCAAAGTCGCGGAATCGGTACCATCAAGAATGACCGAAAGGCCCACAACAACGGACTCGAGCGTAGGCATATCACCATCGTAGGATTTCATCACACTTATGTAAATATCCACCAATGTCCTCACCATATCGGGTATTTCAATGCAACTAGGGTATGCACATTCCAAAATAATGACTAAAGTCTTAAGAAAGTGCGATGTAAGGATGGCGGAGTAGGATCCTATTTGGAATCCAGCCCCTCCAATCGCATACCAAATATTGGTGAGTGGAAAGAAAGCTTTGGGTCCAATGGAGCGATAAAAACTGGATATTTTTGGCTTGGCCACGGTAGATATACCACTATTATCCTTTGATAGCAGCTTTGAAGACATCCTTGTAACAATTCCGTCCGTGAGGACTTCAATAGGGGCCGGAGCACTCAGTTCCCTTCTTCTATCAATTTGTCCATAGTTCTGAAAATGACCGTGAGTTTTTTGAGGGAGCATTTTGGAGGGAAATTCTGTCTTGGTATAACTGATAATGTCATCCTCGTAACCCCTTAGCTCACGAATAGAAATAGACAGACTTGACAGAATCATCATTCGCTGCTGTAAAGAGTAATCTCCGCTCATCAATAGCTTAAGAAGGAAGATGCTGGAGTCATTTGCAAAATCACTAACGACAACAGCAACAATAGCGTTCATTACCATGTTGGTGAAGTTTTCAATTGAGAAGTTATTTCGCAATCCCACCAACGCAGTCAACAAAGACTCAGAGTAATGCGATACCTCAGATCCCAGCTTGGACTTCTGTCTAATCAAAGTTGGAGCCAGCCTCAATGAAATATCCAGCTTATCGTAGTTGTCAGATTCTAGGTAGCTGAGCAACTCTCTCAGATATATTGGAGTAGATGGTAGCTCCTTTCTGGAGACCGTTGGATCCTCATCATCTGAATCCTCTGGATCGAACAATTCCTGTTCGGTGGGAACTGTCATAATAGTGAGTTCTCTTGGCTGCGAAGATGTCACCAAAGATAGATTCTGTCCACCGACCTTCATTACCAAACGATCTTCAATCTGAGACCATTCTAACGGCTGTTTCTTGAAATCGTCCTCGGTGAGGTATGGCTGCATTGCTTTCACGAAGTCATCCCGCGCTGTGGAATACCCATCCATGTTGAATATGGCTGATCCTTTTGTGGACCTTGAGTATACCACGTCTGGAAGAACCATACCAATGAATCGTATCTTCTCACTGGGAGATTCCATATGGTTGGTGACCCCACCAAGCAGTGAGGCATCAGACGACATTTCAGAAATTTGTTCCTGTGGTATGTAGCTTAGTAGTGTCAGCAAACCTTGAGTGAGAGCGATTTGAGTAGACAAAGTGGTAGAAGTGATGAAGTATGTGTCCGCCCATTTTCCAAGTAAGGTAGCGAACAGCTCGCCTTGTTTCCCCTCTAAAGCCACCAAAAGACCGATAACCTTGATCATATCCAAGCTTTGCGGATAAGTCTTGATAATGTACTCAAAGGTATGTTCCCAGTCTCGTATTTTGGCCCTCAGCAGCAAATTGACAACGGTATAGAGCGAAGCCGGTTCCTTTGAACTGTATTCCAAACCAAATCTTCGAATAATGTAGCCCAAAAAGCATCTATTGAACAAGTGTCTATCCCTGGGCGTCAGTTTCGGTATCATTACCAGCATAGCTTCGTTATAGCGGACTTCTGACCGAAGTAGTTCATCCATGAGACGGTCTATGCCTGATTGATTGCCAGATGTGAAGTGCAAAAGGTCCACAAACAGCTCCATCAAGTCTGAGTCTGGCTCCTGAGATAATATCCTAGCTGAAATAAGACCGACGTAGGTGGCTTGTACCGAAATGGCCTCTAATCTGCTGAATTTCAAAGAGTCCTCCTTGTCCAGAGTCTTGGTTCTCAGTGCAACATAAACCTCGGACAGCGCCGAGAACAACTTCGAGCCAGTAATCATCGCTTTTATAGCGTTTAACTCGAGCTTAGACCTCTTCTGTCCCACCACTTTGGAAATCGAATTCTCTTGTTCTAAAATCTCGGTTATGATCTCGGTACAGTTCAAGAGCATTGAGTCCGATTGATTGGAAATCCGCAACCTGGATATCAGTACCGATAATCCAGATCGCGAGGTCAAGAGCTCAGTGAGCTGATTTCTGGTGGTCGTATTCAGCAAACTGGCAATTCCATTATCCACAATGTTGACCACCACCACGTTAGACATGTTCAACCTCTGGGCATCAGAGAGTTCGCCATTTGAAATCTCAGCCAGTTTAGCTAACACCCCCGATAACACATCAATAGAGGGTTGGTCCGATAAAGTCGTTAGCTGATCTTTGAGGAGATCCATCGGAAGCTAGCCCAATGTATGAAAGAAAGATAAACCGATAGGCGTGGAGTGAAGTATTCATCGAAGCGGCTCAAAACACCAAAACGTGCATCGATTAGTCCTGCGCCGCACTGGTATGACCAAAATGTGTAACACACTAAGAATGGGTAGAATCTTAACACGTGACTAAACACAGGGCTTGAACCCCTACACTTCCCAGATTTTTGTCTGAGGGTTGTCTTCAACTTTTCAAGAGCTTCACACAATCTTCCCATTCGTACAGACCATCTATCTTTATATCACCAAAATGGCCAAGATCAGCAAAGGTAAATATCATTGAACAAAGGGTTTATCATAGAGGGATATCTGCTAGTTTTAAGCGTGAAATTTGCACTTGTTGAAGTGATACCAGCGGTTCGTTATAGGCTTTAAGGCCACCATGGAGTGAGAAGGTATGGCTTGATGAAACTCAACAACACGACAGATAGTATTTGACGTGTGAATGTGATATACCGTTTAGGCTATTTCATGGGTCGAAATGTGTTGTTTCTATCGTTTTGACTGGCCCGAAAAGGTATATTAGCATTGAAAGTTCTTAACCGTGGTGCTCCTATACTACCGTGACTACTCCATGGTCATGCCCGTCTATTACCACAACAGACACCTGCGAAAATACCACAAAACTGTTGAGATCCCAAAACTATGAATGCCGCAATTTCAGCCAGCATTTTTACTAACTCACATATTCAGACGTTTCTTCTTCCAGAAGCAAGAGTAGAAAGGCCTACTTCACCGCTCCATCTTCCGAGCGCCGTGCCATCCTCTCTGCTCCATTGTCCAAGGAGCTGAGAGAGCAATTCAAGATCAAGAGCTTGCCTGTCAGAAAGGAAGACAGCGTCTTGGTTGTCAGAGGCTCCAAGAAGGGTCAAGAAGGCAAGATCTCCTCCGTTTACAGATTGAAGTACTCCATCCAATTGGAGAAGCTGACCAAGGAGAAGTCCAACGGAGCCTCCGTTCCAATCAACATCCACCCATCCAAGGTTGTCATCACCAAGTTGTACCTGGACAAGGACCGCAAGGCTTTGATTGCCAGAAAGGGTGGTAATGCCGAGTAAGAAGGGGGTTATGTTTAATAGCAAAAACAAAAGATCGTAATAAAATATGAAATTTTACAACATCGTAACGACTCAGAATAAAGTCTTGAAGCTGGTGCCAATTGGTCTGCCATCGATCCTCGGGTCTAAGCTGGTGCCAGCGGCTCTTTGAGTAACCAGCACACGACCTCCCCACATTGTTTTTCCAAGGCTTTGGACCCCGGTCGGATCCCTAAGCGACGTAACAAGGAGAGGAAGACTTAAACAAGACTAGTCCCTCTTTGTGGTTTGTTTCCAAAACTGTTCCCATTCTTCACAATGTCATCAGAAGAGATACAACCCCCTACAATACCGGGAAATTATTCCGCAAGAAAGCAGAATCGTTGGAAATCCGAAGACGAGGACTCGGTGGTCTCCCCGTCGTCTTCACCACCTCAACACCGTAAGATCGCGGAGCTATCCAAGGATATCGATGGTATTCATACCTCGATTACAAAGTTTCACGTGTCACCTGCTCAGCTATATTCCACTGATTCGGGAAGGCTGTTCCACGCGGGTTCTATTTGCATCTGTATATGTGGAGAACCGGCTAGGGGCAAAACCAACCTGTCGATTTCGCTGTGTCGTTATCTGCGGTGGTTGGGCGTCAAATCGGACTTGTTCCACATTGGAGATTATCGCAGGGCCAAGCTCGGCGATATTACGGAAGATTTCTTTAGTCCCGTGCCGGAGACCATAGAGGCTGCCAATCTGAGAAGAGAGATCACCGACGAATGCATCAAGGACATGATCGGCTTCTTCAAGGATGGGGGTCAAGTTGCAATTTACGACGCTGTGAATGCGTTGAGTAAGGAGCGCCTGGAGCTCGCAAGTACATTGAACTCGAACGATATCAAGGTGCTTTTTATTGAATCTCTGGTCACCAATCCAAAGTTGTTGGCGCGCAATATCCTCGACGCAGCCAAATCGCCAGATTACGCGAACTGGGGAGCCAAAGAGGCTGTTGAGGACTACAAGAAGCGTGTGGAGTTAGTGAAGCCTTGGTACGAAGAGATGAATGAACCGTTACTCACATATATCAAGTTCATCAATTTTGGCGAGAGACTGATAATCCGCAATTCCCGAAACGAGTTTTTGACCAGTAAGATCCTGTTCTTTCTGATGAATTCTAAAATAAAGAGTGGATCTATATACTTTGCGAGATGTTCCAACAACAAGCTGAAGTTCAAGGCGGACCCCCCTCTGGATGCCAAAGGAAAAGACTACGCCACGAAGATGGGTAAGACTTTGCTGGACCACATTGCAAAAACCAAGGGAGAGCAATGGTATCGCAACACCCAACCCCAGGAAATAGGTTCAGACCTCAGACAGCCCGCTTACGGTGTGGATGGTTCCCATGAGAATTCGTTGATCGTTTGGACATCAACAAGACAGAGAACCACGCAGGCCGCGCAGATGCTGAAGGACCTTGGCATCGTGGTGAGACATCGTTCTGAGCTGACTCAATTGAACCCTGGAGATGCTGAGGGATTATCTGAATCAGAGCTTGCTGCCAAGTTTCCAGACGAATACGAACAACACCAGAGAGACCCTTACCATCACAGATATCCAAGGGCAGAGTCGTATCACGACCTGGCCGTCAAGTTTGAGCCTCTTTTGTATGAGATTGAGAGAATGTCGGGAGATATTTTGATTATTGCTGATGAAACGGTGATACGGGTTTTCTACGGGTATCTGATGGCGAGTTCGTGTGACGATATCCCATCGCTGGAGTTTCCCCAGGATGAAATCGTCAAGATCACTTATAATGCATACGCTAACAAAGCTCAGAGGATAAAGATTGACGGGGTCAATCCCAATTAGAAATGAACTTTGGTTGCATGGGTTAACTCCAGTCTGAGGTGGACTCTGATCGGTTGGATTCACCTCTTTTTGTTTGGTTCCGCCTCATTCTATGGTGTGGGTATGTTCTTGTTCCCTTTCTCATATTCTCTTCCTCTCCTGCATCTCGCATCTTTCATTACTCTCCTGCTCCCATCTCTCTCTAGTTTGCTTCAATGAGAGACCTCCTTCAACCCAAGAGTCACGAACCTGTAGTAACTGACAAAATCGCCACGATGTGATCCACCGAATAAATCCAACTGTTCTGGCGATGCTTATCACGCAAAAATATCCACACCCCAAAAGGCCTCCGAACAGATATCCCACTATGACCTGGTTGACTGAATGGTACTCCAGGTACAGTCTCGACATTACCACAACTGCAGCCGAGAACAGCAGTGCTAACGTTCCACAAACTTTGTAGGTTCTGTTGTATCGTATATTTTCCCATTGGAGCCAAACTTTGAGAATGAAGTAGAAACTCAGGAACCCCATGAACTGAGAGTGCGCACTTGGCATGCCGTAGCCAAACCCGTGACCAGATCCAAACTTGGTGTGAATGGAGCCGGGACGAGAATGCTTGAGAAAATTCTTTGCAATAACATTGAAGAGATCATTAACAACATGCCCTCCAGCAATGATGACCGCTTCAATCTCTCTTGTGGTGACGAACCACGAGAAGTAGAACACGAGCACTCCAATTGGATACAAGGAACATAACGCGAAAACCAGCGATAATGGATCTCTAGGGTCGTAGAGGATATACGTATGGTCAAATGGGACCAGTATCGGGTCCGACATGGTCTTTTTGGGTATTAAATACCTCACAGAAACGCTTTGAAAGCTGGTGTATTGTTGTATCTCTATGAAGCTTGAGGCTCAAAGCTCATCGAAAATCAGTCGCCTGCAGCCTAATAATATTGGGTCTGCCAGTAGAAATCTGGGATCTGGGCTGAAAGCGATTATTAGGAGTTTGTCTGGAATTTTTGGGCGCAAAAATCAAATGAGGATAGTGGCAAAGAAACACAAGATGTGATAAATATTGTATGGGGATTATTTTGTGAACATATTGTAGATACTTTATAGAGATCATAGTATGGAGATCACGTATGAGAGTGACAGCTTTGATGCGGCTCAAATACATGGTATACATGGTATACTGTAATAACAGCATTACGGATCCGGAAACCACCAATTTGAATGTGTATCTCTATTCCACCAAATATTACTGTCCTAAATTAAGTAAATCCTCCCGAAAAACAAAACACCTTCTAGTCTATTTCACAACCTTCCTAGCAAAACAGTACATGGTCTTCCAGGCGATCTCTATCTCCGTATCCAGTCTCCATCCCACCTTTGTCTGCAACTCTTTTGCAAACACATCCAAAATGTCAGGTTTCACACCAGGATTTGCTTCGGTCCATTTGTGGTGAGAACTCCACGTGGAGGCATAGCCCAGGTAATTCTCCAGGGTGACGGTCTTTCTTAAAGAGAGTGCCGTTTGGCTAGTGCTATGCATAGGGTCGAACTCCACAACTTGCACATCGCAAAATCCTTTTTTCTTTGAAATTGCCTCATTCACATCTCTGTAAAGCCCGCGTATTTTGCTCCGACCCGGTTGCTCCCAAAATGGCCCGAGGAACTTATCTCCATACGTGAAATTTTCATACACCTTATTGGCTTCGGGTGCCCCTAGGAAGTATGGGTCGACATAACACCAGTACGCTAGTGTTCCACCAGGCTTTAAAACCCTCAAGACCTCATCAAACCACGTGTCAGTATCAAACCAATGGACGCACTGGGCTGCCGTCATCAGGTCCACGGATTCATTTTCCACTCCAACTGAGGCCAGGTCTGAGGCACCACACCTTGCAAAAGAAATACTGTCAATCTCCTCTGGTTTTCTGGTCCTAGTTGCCTTTTCTACCATCACCTGAGACAGATCAGTGCCAATTACTTTGTTGAACTTCAACTGTCTCAACAAAGGAAAACTGGCCTCTCCTGGCCCACACCCAGAGTCAATTGCCAGTTTATGGTCTCCTTTATGGTAATCTTGAAGCGCGGTGAACAACTGTGGGGGGTAGTGCGGCCTGAAAAAACCATACACGTCAGTTTTGAACGTTTTTGAGGAGAATGCTGACATATTAGACCAATTGGCTTCTCTTCTGCCTCAGAACAGAAAATTTTGAGCAGAAACAGCGGAACAATCCGCATTCAAGCATGGCTTCCCCACCTTCCCTTATGTCGGAGCCGGGAGTCGTGTATGCACTACTCATCACATTAACCCATGCACGACCTTGTTTACACTAGATCTGAGCAGATCTGAGCGTGTTCTTTACATCTCAATCAACCAACATTCACAATAATGGCGGATTCAGATTGGAAACAATATCTTGATATAACGAATAGCTTTGCAGATGATTCGCACGTGCCAGCGTCCAAAGAGGGGTTGCGCCAACCACTTGCTGAGAACCTGACGCGGCTAACTGCAACTCCACAACAAAAGCTCAAAAGACCAGCTCAATGGACAAATACTCCTAGCTCTATACAACAGAACGTCCTACGAAGACGTATGGATGAACTGGACACTTTCCAGGACTTTCGGGACGAGGGTGTCTTTGCAGGCCATGGCGATCTTGAGAACGAGAATGGTCAAAACCTAGACAAGACACATATTGGAGGAACTACCCCTACGAGGCCGAATTCGCATCATTCCGCGCAGGTTGTGCGACTGGGGTTCGATTCGAGACCGGATTCAAGCACTCCGGACACAATTGTATCTCTACGGAATGGGATTGGAATGGCAGCACGCAAGATTGAGGAGGAGAAGCGGAGATCAGACAACCCCAGAATGGCACAAGTGGTTCCGAGCAGTGACATAGACGATTCACTAGACGACGTCCATCCCAAATTTGAGTATGTTGGTCCAAAACAGCATGTGGTTTCTTTGGAGAAGCTGGTGCACTTGAAGAACGAGCTGGTGATGAAGTTCAAAATCAGGGAACTGAAGGAGACCGTCGATTTCTTGGAGTTAGAACGGACATTTGAAAGGGGTAGCATCTTGAATTGAAAATCCAGTGCATTCAGTCTAATAAAAAATATGTACAGTATCATCAGCCTTCAGCATCAAACGTCTTTGGAGCCCGCGAATGTAAAGAATTTTTCGAAAAATCCAATCTCCTCTTTCTTCAACGAATCGCCCTTATTTTTCGCGACAATACACCATGTCGTTCCAAAGTGGTGTCTTTTTTCTGCGGTGATCTCTAGTCCAGACATGTCCACCAATTCACCGATGTCAAGGTTCCAGCGACATCCCCACTTTTTGCTGTGGTTCTCGGCCCTTCTGTCCAAAGTATTGTTGATGAAGTCATATTGACCTCTTCCGTGTTCTAGTAGAACAATTCTTCCACCTGGCTTAAGCAATTTGCCAAAGTTCTGTAGAGCCTTTACTGGATCTTCGTGAGAACAGAGACCAAATGTCTCGATGATGGTATCATATTTCACGCCCTGGTCCGAGGTTATTTCAACGAGATCTTCGGCTCTTCCAACAACAAAGCCAGCCTTCTTGAAATCTGGAAATTTCTTTCTGAACTTTTCGTGGGTTATTTCCATCATCTTCTCGGAAGAGTCCAGATAGGTCACGGAGTTGATGTGTTCCGGGTCAAGATACTTAATGTTTCTTCCAGTTCCACATGCAACCTCCAAAACATCTCCACTAACATGTTTCATCACCCATTTGCGTCTCCCACCAATGAAGGATAATGTTTCTTCCATCCCGATCTCCTTGTCGTACTTTGGTGCCAGTTCGTTATAGAAGGGTGTGAGATCTTTGGCAGGTAGGATCGATTCCAGAGGTGACTTGTTCATGATATCTTCGATATCTTTGGGGGACGGATCGAATACTGCAGACTCTTTCTCTGAATCGCTCAGATTTTTCTGACTTTGCTCGAACTTCTCCTTCAATTGGTGATATGCCTGAAGTTTCAGAACGTCAGTGGTTCTGAGCTTCTCTCCTGCAAGCTCTTTCAACCTAAGTGACTCCCATTCACTTAAAACCCCGCCATTTCCTCTTTTATCCAGAAGATCCTTCTTCTCCACGTCTTTGGCATATAATTTCCTGAAATGGTTCGCACCAAACATCATAAAGACTCCGTAGCCCAGAATGTACCACTTGATCATGCTTTTCTGGAAAGCCTGTGAGCCAGCAACAGCACCCCATCTTCTTATCCTCGAGCCCGAATTGATGTGCTCGAGGTATTTCTGGTGTTCCTCTTCCTCTTTGAGCTCTTCTGGCGACTTCTGTCTGCCTCTGTACTTGAATTTGGGGGACTGGTTCTGAGTGCCCTTGAATCTGATTCCAGCCGGTAGCTGTGCACTCACAGGCGCAAGACGGGTCCTGAGAAGCATCTGCCCTCGTAGACTCATGGGAATCGTTGCTATAATTTAGCCTATTCGAGTCTCCTGAAAATCCTCCCGGAATAATCGAATAATTAAAACTAGCAAAAGCGCTATGGAAAAACTGCCGGCTCCTGCAGTGAAATCTGCAGTGTACGATAAGTCGTGCAAACTGACAATAATGGACTCGACTTCTAACGTGTTGAGGACCTCGCGGGTGCCGTGATACTTAACAAACCAAACTATCACACACTTTAGCTCAAGCCCAACAAAATAGGAGCTTCATTGCCATAATCAGCCTCTGAGGACTTGTGTTTGATTTCTAGACTACGATTCGTGCAAGATCGCAACCCCTCAGCTTGGTTGTACTTGGAGTTTACACTTTGGTAGCTGGAAGTTTACATAGTTGCAAGCTAGGTAGCTGGTTGAAAGTCAACACCTTCCAAGGATGGATGCCAACGGGGTCAATCAGATAGTCAGTGCCCTTGGGGTCATTTATTCCAGTCAATCGACGAACGATGATAGACGTCAGGCTCAGGATGTAAGTACCGGTATCTGCGCGGGGCCAACTATATTCAATTGATACTAACTATAATTGTTTCCCACAGTTCTTAGAGACTGTTAAGGAAGTGGAAGAGTCGCCTTTTTGGGGATATCAGCTTTCGCGTCCAGACAACAAGTTCGACAACATAGTTAGGCACTTTGGCTTGAATTTGCTGCGATCAGCAATCGCAAGAGACTTTGATAGCTATGACCTCGAAAAACAAATCGCCGTGAGAAATTGGGTCGTTGAGCTAGCCACAAAGGTTTCGTCTTCGGATCCTCATTATCTAAAGGAAAAGGTGGCATTTTTGTGGGTAGCTATTGCCAAGAGGTGTTGGGGTAACTGCCTGGGAAAGGAAGGCCAAGATAGTTTGGCTGTCCAATTCACAGACGAACAAAAACTGGGGGCCTGGACTGATATGGACTCGAATTTATTGGAATTGTGGAACTACAATGCATCGACTAGAGAGCTGTCCCTGATCATATTCAGAACGCTGTTTGAGGATGTGTATCTCCTGGATGATCCAATCGTCTCCTCCAGAAACAACGTGCTTTCATCGCTTTGTCCGGAGGTTACCACCTCTGAAAGAATACTGTCGTTGAAATACGAGCCAAATGATTATTTACGCATGTTTTGTGCTTCCCAAGAGGGTTGGTTTGTGCGCTGGGCTGGCTTTCTGGACGAGTGTCTCCAACAACTGGCCGCCAACATCGACAACGAAGATTACAAAAACTATACCCTTAGAATCTTACAAACACTCAAGACTTGTCTCCATTGGATTTTGCCTATTGCCTTTCGTGAAGTTGAAATTTTAGCCAAACTCAGCCGAGCTCTCATGCTTCCAGATCCAAAGATCAAGACTTTGGCCACAGACTGCATGCACGTTCTGGCTACAAGGTCCTTTTCAGAGGAAACTGATTTTGATGATGTGGTTGGTGCAATCTTCCATAGAGACGGTATTCTCATGCTTGCTGAGGTGTATCGCTCCATCAAGATCGATTCTGATGATATAGACGAGCAGGAATACTCTTTGCTCAAGAAACTTGTTGAGATGATCGTTGGTCTGAGCGGGTATCTTCTCGTTGGAGAAAACACAAAGTTCAAGCTGCCCGCTTCTGCGGATATTCCAGGTTACCTCGAGCTGGTTCTGGAAACCACGAACCACGAATCGCTGATCATCTCCGGTCTTTCGCTGAATTTCTGGTGTGCCCTGCTGAGACGTGATGAATTGAGCTCTGACTCGATCTACGAAGCAATTTTGCCAACGCTCTTGGATCATGCTGCGAACCGACTTTTGAACTACGAAGACTTCGATGATGAAAACATTGCCAGGAAGTATCTTAGTCTGGACTTTGACTCGCAGCCAGACTCTCACTTGTTTCTTTCAAACTACAAAAAGTACATGGATGATATTGTTAGAATAATCGTTTGCAAGATCCCTAACGATGGTTTGAACTGGCTAGAATCCAGACTTGAGCAGTTCTTTTCGTCACCTCTTGGTCAAAGTGCTATGGCCTCAAAGAAACTTGTTTATTCTGGTGCTGGTGCTGAGCCATACATCTATGGGTTTCTTCAATTTGTGCTTGTCGAGGCAAGTGTTAGGGGTGTTTCTAGATGGCAGATGTGGTACGAAGGAGATGATAAAGATAACAAAAATGAGTATCTGACGAAACTGGTGGAAAGTCTCTGTGAACGGTTGCTTATGCTCCAGATCAATGATCCTATTCTGCTCAGAAAACAGATCCAGACTCTGGTCCAGTTCACACCTCTGCTGAAGGGAGTGTCTTCTCTTATGTTCAAGGTGCTGGAGAGAGTCATGAACTCGTGCACTTTTGACTACCCCGAGAACGCAGATGACGACGAGAGGGAATTGATCAGGGACTTGAGGACTAGTGGGGGAACTGAGCTGAACCGTTTGGCATATCTCATGCCCGATTCATTGACTACAATTTTGGATGACTTGGAAGTCGCGATAGCGGACATAATACGGTCAGGAAAATTATCCGATCATGAATCTGTTGCGTTCAAGTCATTTTTGCTGGTTGTATCGCAAAGATCTTCTATCAGCAACAAGCAGGATCGATTCTCTAGTATTGTTGATCCCGAGCTTGCAGCTTGGTCGGATCCCGCAACTGAAAAAGGCCTTCTGGAGCTCCATTGGTTCATGGAAAGACTGGGTATTGTCAAGATCTCAGAGTACTTCCAATCCCGTGGAATCACTGCGGAGACAAATTTGCTGACCGCTGATATGGACGACACTGGAAGGGCTCTGAAAACCGAACTAAAAAACCATTGGTCGTCGGTTTTTCCTATCAGAGCCACAAGAATCTTCATTCAATACAGCATTGAGAAGCTTGACCATTCGTCTCAGATGTACCAGGACTTACTAGCGTTGTGGAAGCCAAGGATTCAACCCATTCTGCCACATATCTTGCAACTAATCTCTCAAATCCAAGCATACCATGATCCTGCCAATTGGAGAGACTTGCCTGAAGAAGTCCAAGCCTTCGTGAAGGACAGTTGTACAGAAAGATTTTGGCAACAGGGTGTTTCTATTCAGTCCAAGGACTCTTTCATGGAGGAGAGCGTCAAGGCTATGCACTCTCTGAGAGATTTTGCCGACAGTGTTGGTCATATTGTCAGATACACCAGAGAGTATGCCTACCTCACTATAAGCTCTATCTCAGAGCTTGAAGAGACCCTCTATGACATACCAAATATTGCGTCTTTGCTATGGAGGGCTTTGGCTGGTGATAGTGTGGGAATTTCCCTTCATTCGTGGAGACACATGATCAACTTGGTGCTGAGAAATGTCATTAAGAACTGCCCTACCAAGTTCACTGCAGGATTTCTGGGGGAGCTTTTACCTCAAGTTTTACCACAAGTTGATGCTTTACTCACGGAAAAATGGACTCAGGTGTACCAGAGAGGTCTCCAGCTTGACGGAAACGAAGGTGATGAGTCCCTTTCTGAGGAAATGATGGAGGAACATATGTTGCGTCAACTCACGGCTGTTGTGGATCGCATGCTGATCGACTTGGTGGGTCAATTGGGTAACACTCCTTTGCTCCCACGCCAATTGGAGTCGCGTCAAGTTATCTTCAGGAATAAGGCTGTGTTGGCTCCCTTCTTGCAACTTCTGTGCCATATAATCATGTTCAAAGACACAAGATGTTCGTTCAACGCTATCCTCATCATAAGGAACATGCTTTCCGACATTCTGGGATGGGATGATGAAGTTGACAAATATCTGTGTGAAAACTTGATGAAGGCTCTGCTTGAGGTTCTCACCGACAACTTCTTCGTTGATGCACATCCAGAGGCAGGATATGCTCTCACGAATCTGTATGTGTCCCTGCGTGCAAACTCTCCATACCCTGCGCATGTTCTACAGAAGCTGCTACCAACCCTCACCACTAAGGAGTTGACCAACTTCGAGCAAGTGTTGATCTCCGCAAAGACCCTGAGACAGAGGAGAAACGCTTTCATGCAGCTCATCTCCAAAGTGAAAGGAGACGACGATAAAACCATTGAAAAGGACAGAAAGAAACAGTTAGAGAGTGCTTCCAAGAGAAAGAAGAAGAGTGACGGAACAGACGTCATGGACGATCCTCTGGTAGAGAATGGATCCTTGAATACGTTATTTGGAGATAACTAGGATCGAACGGTTCAATGTGTATAAAGTCCCTCATGAAAACTGATCTTTGAATGTCTTACCTGGAGTTCCCCAAGAATCTGCAGTTCATTATGTATAAAGTCCTTCTACAAACAAAGCGAAACACTTAACTCAAACCACTGTATCTGGTGAAGGAGCCGTTTCCTTAAAAACTTGGAGGAACGTGAACTCGGCCGCTTTCACATTATCCTCGTCCCAGGACTCACCGTATATTCCTTCGATGAACCTCATCATTTCGGCTTTACCAAACTCTGCAACCGCTCTTCTTCCTAAGGAATACTCCACAAAATCTCCGGTTTGATTTCGAGCATTTGCAGATTTGGTCACGGATTGCACGATGTACTCCTGCCTATCCATCAGAGACATGAACTCGTCCATGTTACATCTGCTCAGGAAGTCGTAAACGGTTGTCTGGTGGGTTGAGATTTTGAACTGTTCCTCCAGAATTTGAAAAAGCTCATTTTTGGTTATATGGTTTTCATGGAGTGCAATGATACATATTATCAGTGCTTTGAATCCAGACTCAACAGTATCGGTAACCGGACTAGGAACAACAATTTTGCCAACACTGTCAGCCACCTCTAAGTCGGCCACACTCTTGGATTCTTGAATTCCAGCCTCAAAAATTTTGCTGATGATGTCCTTCATCTCTTCGGGAATAATGTTGACCAAAATATAGCTCACCTGAGAGCTCGAGGTTTCTGCCTGTGCCTGTCCATTTGTCCTCTTTTGTTTCTTGTTGGTGGTTGTGGTGGTGGTATTTTTCTTGGGCAATGCCACGAGTTCTAATCCAAAAGTATCGTGTAGAATAGCTTGAAGAAACGGAAGGATTGTTTGCCATTTCATCAAAGGCCGCGTTCCTTTCTCCGCCTCGAATACTTTCTGTATAACACCACTCCTGGTGATTACCTGGTGTCTATTCTCAACCCCAATAAGAACACGTGCAAATTTGAAACTCCAGCCCAAAACTCCCTCTACTTGTTCTGCTTTCATTCGTTTGTCAACCACCAAAGCAGCCACTTGCTCCCCGTACTTCTTGGTCAGCTCTTCTCTTCGAACATCAACATCTGAAGGTCCTTCTCTGGAAGATTGATAATGCTCGTCTCCAGAACTACCTGCGTCTTCCTCTTCGGACTCGGACTGGGCTCTTCTCCTGGTCGCAGTCGGGCGTCTCATTATTTGTGTTGATCCTGACACAGATCTGGGTAACCAAGTTGGAATCGCGGTCGCGTCTCGAATGTGAGCGGCGTATCTAAAAGGTCGTGTGTATTCCGATCTGTTCTGCGAGTTTTAAATCTTGACTGTGGGGACGCCGCACGAGACCTTAGCTGGGTTCGAGACTGAGGAAAGAGACTATGGATTAACACCATGAATGGGAAGTCAGCATGGAAAGCAGAATATTCAGTATCAACTGGTAACAGCATAAAGAATGTGGACAGTTATATGGAAACTGGTCAAGAGTAACCGTGGTCTACAGGTAATAGCTAGCCAGTCAATACTTTCCCTTTTACCGTTGGTATACACTTTGATCTTGTACCTCTCGAGTGAAGGCCTATACTGGTGATCTCAAAATCAATGGCATGTTTGATCATTATATCATTACTCGTTGGCTTTTCTCTTCTTGCTTCCTTGGGCCTTGCTTGCCAACTTTTCACTAGCCCGTTTGAGCCTCTTACCCATAGCCAACTCTTTTCTCCTTTGAAGATATTCTGTAGGGAAAAACTCTCCAAGAGTCGATTGCAATCCATCCTGCTTCTGCTTGTTCATATTCCTGATCACTGGTACCAAGATTTCGTCAACCCTCTCCTGATTCCAGCCCACCGATACCATAAGGTATGTGCGCAGTCTGTCTAAGTCAGCTGTGCCCCATTGAAACTCTGTTTTATCGTGGTCAACATCAGGATGAATGTATCCTTCCCTAACTAAAGGATCTGGGAACTGCTCGTTCAAGAACAATTTAGTCTTGAACTTCTTTCTGAGCTGTTTCCTTAGAGTCGACTCGTTTGGGTCTATTTTACCATTCTGGTAATCCATCCACCAGTCCCGGAAGGCGGTCAATGCATCAGACTCTGTGGTCTCAAACTCGGCTAGAATCTCCATGGCTGTGACAATTCCAACACCTTTGATACCCTCTGTGTAATCGCTTCCAAGGAGAAGAGCGAGTTGTATAAGCTTCTCCCTGGTCAGCCCAAGATCTCTTTCGATATCACTCAGATAGTAGCACTCCACGTAGTTTTTCTCGTTGAACATGTTCCTATACACCTTTCCACCACCAAACAGAAAGCAATCACTATCATCCGTGATAATACCATCCACCAGACCAAGATTGTAGAGCTCGGCACATTGAGCTTCCGCCTCCATAGGAGCAGTGATATATGGAATTCCAAACCTCCTCAGCAATTCTTTGACGTCATCTATCATAGTAGTTGTGACTTCGTCTGAGTCCCTATTCTGTTTGCGATGGCGCTCTTGAAACTCAGCAACATCTTTATCCAAAACCCACTGAGGGGTAACGTTTGACTTTCTTGTTTCCCCTCTCATATCATTCACAAAGTCCGCAAAATTAGCCTCTTCGTCCTGAAGCTTGTCCTCCAGCTGCTCTTCTTCTGAATCTAGAAACATGAAGTCATCCATGACGGCATCTTTATCTCTTCCTGACAGAGTCTCTGACAACTTAAGGACCTTGCCAACATGATTTTGTGAATCATGTTTTTCGGCCTCATTTGCAAACTCGCCGGTTTCTTGTAGCATGTCCTCTGCGGAACCTTCCTGAACCGTTTGGGGAGTCGCAACATCAAGTTGTCCATTTTTGGGGTGAGAAAACGTGGATGATAGCTCACTTGCGGAGTCATTTACTACTTCAGACTCTTTTGTAATGTCCACAGAGTTATTATGAGTCGCCTCTTCGTTGCCTTTGTCAGACTTCTTGGCAAACTCAGAAGCACTCACTTCCTGAATATCATCTTCGTTGTCGCTTTCGATTTCAACAAACTCGGCATTATCTTCGCTATCAGTCTCGCTTTCAGCAGCCTGTGCAAAATCGTTCATATCGGGGAAGGCTATTAGTCCAGCTAGCTCATCTTGGGTTTGTTCCTGCAACCTCGAGATCCCCATATGAGTGTTGGAGGGCAAATTGCTATTACCAAACCAAGAGGGCATGGGTTTTGCCTTAGGCTTGGATGCAGGCTTGTCGCTCCGCTCTCTAGAAGATTCGACAATCTGCCCTGAATTTGTGACTTTCTGGTTTGACTTGCTTGGCCTTAGTGGAGTTTGAGTTGAAGCATCGAGCCCAGTCTTCTGGCTCATCGACAAAATCGAGTTTTTGAAATTCAGTCCTGAGAAGATCAATGGCTGGCCTTTAGCTTCCTCTAGCGGCACATCTGCTCCTTTTGAAATTTCCTTTTCCTTGAAGAGCAAGTCCATGTACTCCTTTTTAGATTGCTCAATAGCAAGTTTCATTTGGTCATCCTCATACTGAGAATCAACATTTGCTGGTTCCGTGATTTCAGATAGATCAATAGGTTCCACAGCCTTCTGTCCACCTCTTTCTTGCTTTCTCTTGGAAGCCATATCGTACAACGACTCAATCATTGCAAGTTTGGTTTCTTCGTCTTCAGATTCAGAGTCCACGAATTCAAAGTTCGCGTCATCCTCAGACTCGGTTTCTTTCTTCCCTATCGAAGGGTCCATAAAAGCCCTCGTAGACCCAAATTCTGGGTTATTTGGATTCACAGGAATGGCATTCCAACTCACCTTCGGCTCTGTTTTCAAAGGCACGTCTTCCCAGTCATCACCATCATCATTATCGCTTTGGCTAGCCTCCTTGATCTCTCCGTACTCATCAAACTCAATGGGACGAGCCTTTGTACCCACACTCTTGAGAGCGAGAGTCCAACCATCGTCGTTTTTCTGTAGGGTGTATGCCCTATCCTTTTCACCTGCTATCCTGCCAGTGGTGGTGACAGCAGCATTGTCATTCATACCTGTTGAATTCATGAGCTTTTGGGTGAAAAAGTTTCTCTTCTGCACCATCTGAATCTGGAACTTACTGAAATCCATCGAGTTCGGAAATAAAGACTCCAGCTGCTCTTTGGTGTATCCCATTCTCAGTCTAGATCTAAGTCTTAGGTGCGAGATAATAACGTATTGTGTCTCAAGAGGAAGCTCCTCAAATTCCGGGGACGTTGGATCAACACTGTCAAGGTCTATGCCATCTAAGTCATCCCAGATGTCACCGGTGAGTCGTTTATACTCGTAATCGGTGATCACTCGTTTGTCGTTCTTGGAAACTCCAAACGATTTTATTTCGGGAAGGTGATATTCGTCTTGTCTTCTGAATGCCTTTTGAGAAATAGACTCTTTGGGTTTGGTTTGCTCTGTGGCATTCGACTGAGAAGCTGGAGCTTGCCCAAGATAATCGTTATCCTCAAAGTACTCCACAAACTCGCCATCGGGGTCCTTGTTTGGGTTCGCATCTGTTGGTTTGGGCTTGGATATCGTCTCACTCTGGGACTTAGTCTTCTCCTGATTCGCCTGATAATTTGAATCTGCCAGTCGTTGAAGCTGCATAGCCAAAATCCTTCTTGCAGCCTGCTCCGTCGATTCCTTCGCTCCCTCACGCCTCTCACGACGTTGTGCGATTGTCTTGCGCTTTAGAGCGGGAACCCCTCCGTCAAACACAAACACAGGGAAAATGCCAAAATAAAGCAATTTGCATATTCTTCTGAACACACCCACGATGTGTGCACTCTGTAGAGAGTTGCCATCCTTGTCTCTCACCGCCTTCAAGAACTGATAGACCCAGATCGAAGCATCGACCGCCAGCCTTTTTCTACTAAGCGATTCCAGTCGAACAGGCCTTGAGACAGGACTCAATGCATCCCACAGAGAATTAACACCCATGATCCGGGTTTTAGAGTTTGCTTGAGTAAATAAGTATTGTGAGGCTTGAGATGGCAACTTTAAGTTTGACTGGACTGCCGGATGCGGCGCTATCGTGCGAGAACGAATTTCTCAAATCGAGGACTGAGATATTCGGCAGAAACAATCCAAACACAAGACAAACAGACCAGGAATAGTCTACAAGCTTCATTCTTTGGAGCTAATAGGTGAGTATTAAGTACGAGTGGCATTTTCGTGTTGATCCCATTTTTTGATCTCATTCTTTTGTAGCGGGCTTGATCATATATTTACAGTTTCCACCATGTCCCGATTTTCGCAGTACATGATACATCCAAACGACCCGCAGTGGCAGACACAGCAAAAGAAAATCATTCCCAGCCATCTGACCAAGAGGAAGCCAGAAATCAAGTTCACAGAAAACGACGATTTTTCTTCGTCGCCGTCATCGCCCTTCACCTCGCAAAGATCGTTTGGAGTCAACTTTGGAAACACCAAGCAGGGCTCTGAGGTCCCCATCGTCAACGGAGCCGACGACCTACCGCCGCAAAAGTCGCTGTTTGATGTTTATGAGAATGAGGATAACTCCAGCTCGTTTCCCAAAGACACGGATTTGATCAAGGAAGACCCTACGAGGTTTAGGAACATCTTCAGCAAGAATACAGAGAAGAAGGAGGAGATCAGTCCCGTCAAGAACGGCGACTCTGCGGTGTTAGTTTTTGGATTTGTCGAGTTGGACGAGGTACTGGTCCATTTTGAAAAGTTTGGTTCTATTTTGGAGGATTTCCGCAACTCAGGCTTCAAGAAGAAGTACCCCATCTTTATCGGAAAGCAATGGGTCAAGATCACATACGACAACCCAGCCAGTGCCGTGAGAGCTTTGAGAGAAAATGGCACCATTCTGGATGGTGCCGTAGTGGGCGTGATACCTTATACGAAGCAATCGCTAGAACAGCTGCTGAACTCCAAAATTTCAGAGGAAGAGGACATCGGTGATACTTTCCACTCAGATCTTGGGATCGGGAACCTCAACTTGGACACCAAGCAAGAAACTGGGTACAAAATCAGAGACGGCAAGGATCTCTTCAAAAACAAGCCTTCAAAACCCCAGGTCGGGTTCTTCGCACAGATGCAGAACTATCTCTTTGGAGCAAGCGATATATAGTCAGTCGGACCCTCACAGGTCCTTCAGAGAGTGGGTCTTGAAGACACTGTGTAAACTGCTTGGTTTGACCAGAACCTTTCTGGAGCTGGTATCTGAACAAACATCTCTGTAAACCTTGGAAGTATTGGGGTAGACGAACTTGGTGTTGTATTCATGTAGCATCTCTCTGTTGATGAGCTCTCTATCGTGCAACTTCGTCTCGTATTTGGATGACATCATGTATAGCGTCCCACTTATGAGCAAGGGAAAAATTAGATCGATAGCGTTTGTTCTGGTCATGAACTTCATGTATATCACATTTAACGGAGAAAACAGGCAAAACAGCCGCAAGTTGCTCTCGTTGCTATTCCACACTCGCAGCTCCCACACCGTATCGGACTCTGAATTGTAGTCCAGACGTTTTCGCCTCGCACTCGTGCTAGAGGGTGCCTTGGAGCTGTGAATCAAAACGTAACCTCTGTATTTCTCGAAACATAGGACAGCATTCAGAAAACTGACCAGTCCCAAGCCATAGTGTATTGCAACAATCACACTGAAGACTGGACGCAGATTGGAATCCCGGTGTTCCACCTCGGTAAACTTACCCAACTGCTCCAATTTGATTCTTTCAATGTCTGCAAAGTCAGGCCTAAATAGGCCATTCGAATTTTCAAACTGCGCAAAGCGCGAGCTCAAGATCAGGCAAGTGATGTAGAACACCAGATTCAACATCAACGCCACACTGACAGGCAATTGGAAGTCATTGAGGAATGCGGACTCATTCAGTTGGAAAAATAGGTCTATGGGTTTATTCTTAACCCTTTCCCATAGAGGAATTTTTCTGACTATCCTGGCCATGGAAACGGACTACACCCATATATATGAAAGGGTGAGCTTTGATCCATCTGTGTTTGAAATATCTTTTTTCGCGATGAGCTCGGGCTTTGGGCCGAGGCCGTCTCTCCACTCCATTTCGGCTTACATCATGTTTGATCTTACAAGTACCGTGTAAATTTTCATTGAAAGGAGTTTTGTTTACAATATTTGCAGCTCGAATGGATGATCTGAGCCAACTTCAACAGTTGCAGCACAAAGCTGAGAGGAAATCAGCGGGAAATCGATAAGATAATGTCCTTCCAGATGGAGCTCGAACTCGGAGCCATGGAAAGCATCCTGCAGATGGAACTCTCCGTTGTTTGGCAGGTGGCTCGAGGCTGTAGTTTCAGTATCATTTCTGTTCCTGAATTGAGTTATTGTCATAGTGTTAGTATTTGTTTCGCTGAGCCTGGCTCGGATTCTCATGCTTGACCTTCTTGAGGTGGTAAGCGCAAATCTGGGGAAATTGTCTCCTCTCTCTGTTTTGACGAACAACCCCAGTCTGGTGCTCAATTCGCGAAGCTTGATCCCGGAATCGTGTCTGATCGCCATAGAAAACCCTCCGGTCTGGCCTGGATCATAAGTTGACGGAACCAAAATGAATCTTGTTCCCAACAACAGGACGTCCTCGTGATATACGTTCCTCGAATAAGTGGGCGAATACACCATATTTTTGTCAGATATCTCCTCCTTGAACACTGTCACCTCTGCTTCGTGGCAGCTTTCTAGAGCAATGTCAACCCTCGAGTTATCAGGGACTATCAGCTCGTAGGTCGGGTTCTCGCAGAACGTTGGGTGCAAATAGCTACCACCAGAGTTGGAGAGCGACCACGAGGACCTGATCACTTCGGTAGATTTTTCGTCTTTGGCTTTGCATAATGAGATTTTTGAGGTCGAGTATAATGTCAACGATACTATGGATCTGATATCTGAGTCCACACACAGGGTCGAATGGCCCTTCTGCGCTGCGAACTTAGAGAGGTGGAATCTCGAGTTGTTGGCTGTTCCTCTTGCGCAATTGGACAAGGAGTAGATTCGATCTTTACCGTGTTTCCAATGAACATTGATAGAGCCTTCCTTTGGTGTTGAAGCGTTTTTTCCAGTCAAAAACCTTTCCATCAAGCACCAGATTGTAGTGGCTTCATCGCATTGCACGGTGAACTGCGGCTTGGACCATACTTCCCTGGTATTCGTGTTCATTAAGATTTGTTGAGTGATAAAAGAGAATCTCAAAGGATTGTGGCATACATATAGCACTTCGTAATCGTTCAAGCTTTTCAACTTAAATTTCCCGTTGTACGACTCTCTGGGATCTACCACTGTGAATACGACATCTGAGGCATCAGGTTCAATCTCAATATTCACTATGGCAAAGTCATGGCTCTCATCAAAGGTTCCCAGACCAATTCGCACCTCATTCTTCTTGAACATCTCGTAAATCTCCAGTCTCCTTTCCCTCGTGAGATACCGTATGGGGACATACTCTGGTATCCAGCCCGAGAGCAAGTACATATCGTTGGCAAAGTTTGAACCCTCGAATAGTTTTGTATATGCCTTTTCAACAATGGCTGGCCAGAGAAGCTTTTTGTTCCTAGATTTCACACTCAATTCAGGAATAAAAGAGTCCACTACGACATACCTAGTGCATCCGTTCAAGTGGAAGGTCACTCCGAACCGGTGCTTCCCTTTGGTAATTAGATCTGAGATATCAAAGCCTGAGCTCATCATTGATATCAGGCTAGAAACAAATGAACAGTCTGATCCATTTTGTCTCAAAGTCTCGAACCCTTCTAGTGACCAGTCGATATCAGGAGTATTGTCCTCTGTCTTATCAAGTCTCAATCCGTTAATGCTTTCCAGTGCTTGCTGATGCTCTTGTTCCTGGTGGACTTGCCCACGCAAATCGCCCTCCTTTTTGGTATCTGGAACATCCTCATGAAAAACCAGATCCCTCTGGTTCGACGTATCGCATCCCAACTCCGGGGAATCCACGAAATAGAACCTATCTGACGGAAACCAAAACCCTCCTCTGCCTCCTATCTTGGACCCGAGCCATATCAGTTTTTCCTGCATTGTCAATTGAGTCTCTTTCAACTCTAACACTTTTTTGGTCAGCTGAATCAAGTCATTTTTGAACTCCGGACTGCTCTCTTTCGGAGAGCTTTCTCGCCTGTCTAGCTCCTCCTTCAGATGCCTGTAGCATCTCTTGAAAAGTATATCGAACTCATCGTGATTGCCCAGGGAACGATTGAAATTGGCAAATTCATACAAATTATGTATTATTTCCAGCTCCATTGGTCCAACCGAGTGGTGCTTTGGTGGTGTGATTGCCAGCTTATGCTCCTCTATCTCCGCAACAAAGTTGAGTTGTACGTTTGAGCTCATCTCAAGACTTCCTAAAAGGGATGCCACCATAGAACTTGATTTTCCAACGACTCACCCAGATCCACTAAAAGGCCCAAGACATATGCACAGGATACGGTCTGATCCCTTGTAATTACTTTTATATATGGCATTATATATATATTCACCACATATTCCTGCAAAATGGATTGGAAACTGAACAGATTCGATACCTTGGTGGAAATGGTGTCTTTTCCAGCCCCTACAGACTCCACCGCAACCACGAGGCTGCAGTTGGAGACGGAAACACCTATACGAGAATATTACGAAACAATTCTTGAAGATGGTTCGCAGAGCATGCCCGAACTGACAATTGGTGAACACGTGAATTTCTTGAAGTATTTTCTGCTGAACGAACTTCCAGCCCCATACAAGGCATACGACGCATCTCATCCATGGCTGATGTATTGGTTGACCAATGGACTAGAATTGCTGAAAGTGGACTTGAGTGAGTACTACAAACAGATCTCGAATACCGTTATCTCGTATGGTAGCGCTGGAATGGGTGGTGGCATGGGCCAAATCCCTCACGTGGCCTCCACTTATGCTGGTCTCATGACCTTGGCCATTACCGGAGAAAACTGGAAAGACATTGACAGAAGAGGAACGTATGACTGGCTCATGAGTCTCAAAAACGCAGATGGCTCGTTCAAAATGCACTCGGATGGTGAGACAGATGCAAGGGCTGTTTACTGCGCTTTATGTGTGGCACGGGTGCTTGATATCATGACTTCTGAGCTCACAGAGAACACCGTTGAATGGCTGTCCCGGTGTCAGACCTATGAGGGTGGGTTTGGTGGAACCCCGGATGATGAGGCTCATAGTGGATACACTTTCTGTGCTGTGGCAGCTTTATGTATATTGGACTCGCCGAAAAATCTGAAATCGAAGTGCGATTTGGACCGGCTGGTGGACTGGATAAGTGCCAGGCAATTGCCCGTGGAAGGTGGGTTCCAAGGGAGGACTAATAAACTGGTGGACGGCTGTTACTCACACTGGACGGGTGGATTGGTTCCATTGATAGAGATGTGTCAGCCTGAATATTTTGACAAAATTATCTCCAGAGAAGCTCTCGAAAACTACATCCTATGCTGCTGTCAGGCCCAAAACGGTGGTTTAAGAGATAAGCCCGGCAAGAGCCCAGACTTCTACCATTCCAACTACGTTCTGTGTGGATTGTCAATGTGCGAGAACAAGTACGAATTGAGACCAGATAATTTGTTTTCGTATAATGTTACGCCTTTGAAAGAGCCGACAGTGGTGGCTATCGATCCTATTTTTGGTGTTCCAAATGGCAAAGTTGAAAAATTCAGGTCTTTTTGTGCGGCTCAGAAGTGGTAACCACACGTGTCTTCTCTTTCTTCCCCCTCTCCCTTAGGTAATATGTATGAAGTACGAAAGAAGCCTCGCCAGTAGACATTCCTACTCTTCAAGGTGTACCCAATTGGACTAGACCATATCATCTAAATTCGATATGTCTCGACCATCTCGGATACACGCGTATATCTCCTCGGCGTGGAGATACACGTTGCTGGCACTGCAGTCCGGAATCACATTCCCCATTCTTGTGTTGTACAAGATCGTTGGTGTCTTTCTATACCTGATCCTGAACAGATTTGGGACAAAATTGAACAAGTATCATCACGATGGTTATACTACATTGAAAAAGACCACTCCCCAAGACAAGGCCCGCCAGTTCATAAACAAGTTCGACTCTGATGAACTCACGCTCCTAGAGTGCGGATACTCTCAGGCCCTATACAAATCCAAGCGCGAAATGAAATGGCTTTTGTGCTATATCCAAAGTGAAGAACACGAAGATCATTTGAGGTTCAAACAAAATGTATTGCTTTCGCCGCAATTTGTGGATTTTGTTAATTCCCACGATTTCCTAGTTTGGGGAGGCGACATCAGCCAGAGCGAGGCGTTCCAGGTAGCAAACGGGTTCAAAGTGACAAAATTTCCGTTTCTGGGCCTACTGACTCTGACGGTCAATTCTACCCCAACAGCTAATGGCGTGACGACCTCGGCACCGGTATTATCGCTGGTGTCCAAAGTGCAGGGATACCAGGATGTGTACAAAGTGATAACTAAATTCAGCAAGGCATACGACAAGTACAACCCTACGCTGATCACGTTGCGTCATGATCACGAGCAGATTGAGCAGGACCGCCAGGTCAGGCGAGCACAGGACGAGGCTTTCGAGAGGAGTTTGAATGTGGACCGTGAAAGAACGAGGCAGCATCAGTTGAGACAGCAACGTGAGAGAGACAGAGAATTGTATTTGAAATGGAGAACTCTGAGTATGAAACCTGAGCCTGATACCTCGGCCAAAGGGACATATGCTCGGGTTGCCATCAGACTGCCAGATGGCTCCAGAACGTCGAGGAGGTTTAATAAAGACATCAGTGTGGAGGAGATCTATGCCTTTGCGGAAGCCTCCAGCACTGGGATCATTTCGCTTGAAATACCACCAGATGTGGAGAAACCTGAAGGTTATGAGCATGAGTACAGTTTCAGGCTGATCCAGGTAATGCCCAGGATGGAAGTTTCGTGTGATGATACCAGGATCGAGGACTCGGTAGTTTGGCCCAACGGAAACTTGATAATGGAAGAGAAGGAGTGAAATCCCTCAATCCGAGCTACTATCTAATGAAGAAATGTCAGAGAATAACTTGAAATACCTATTCTACCGTTAAAACCATATATAGTCATGTATAGCCAAGCTTCTTGACATCGCACCATCACTAACATCATCACCACCTTCTGTTTTCATTTCAAGCCTTCTTTGCCTTCTTCTTCTTCTTTTTGGTTTTCTTAAGGCCTGTGAAGCCATTTTTCAATGCCCCAGAGTATTTTATCCAAAAGGCATCCAGATCTTCGGCATTCACCACAGTGCGTATTTTCTTCCTGTCAGTCTTGACTTTGAACAATATCTGATGGGCACTTTCGTCTGTCTTATAATCCACCACTAGGGCTTGGCCTGTGATATTCGCTGACAAATCGTCAATGGTTGGTTCGACCTTTGGCTCGGTTAGTCTTTTCTGTGTGATGTATATGGACTTTGACGGATCCACTAGTATGGTTTGCAGGGATGAGAGAAACTGGAAAGAACGGTTAGTAGGCTCTTTTGCTACATTTGAATATTATCACATACCTCATCATTTGGTAGAAAACTCATGTTTGGTTTCCAGATATACTGTTCCAGAGAGACAACTGAATAGACATATAGATCATTCAAGTTCTTGAATTACTTGACCAAACCGACGATATGATAAAGGAGTGTACTTTCAAAAAATGTTGGGGCCAGCACGAGAAGCCAGCAAAGCGACTAAAACCAATTTTAAGACTTTTATTGTATCACAAGGTTATGCGTATGATATTATCATGAGTACTTTTTGAACCAAAATTTCGATTTCTTGAGTTGAGCCAGCTGTCAGACAAGACTCGATTCTGACGCGTTTTTCATTGACTCACAAACGGTTCATCTACAAAGGTGCGGCTGATGAAGCCCCAAGTTACGCAAGGTACACAACTCACAATACTGAGAACAAAGCACAAGTTGGGTTACACTCCGATTAATATTATCTCAAATTTATCACAAAGATAGATTTAACCCTGGTAAGTAACAGGATCCCATGCCTTGTGACTAACATAGTACTCATCAGCAAAGAAGTCCAAGTCCTCCTTGGACAACTCCCAGTCCTGGACCTCAAAGTTCTCCAATTGTCTGGCTTCGCTGTTGGATTTGACCAGAACGATGTTTCCCTGTTGCAAGGACCACTTGATCAAAATCTGGGCTGGAGACTTGTTGTACTTCTTAGCAATCTTGGCTAGCTCTGGATCCTTAAGTCTGTATCCTCTGGTGAGCGGAGAGTAAGCCTCGATTTGAATACCCAAATTCAAGTCGTACTTGGTGATATCCTCACGTCTCAACCATGGATTGATTTCAATCTGGTTCACAGCTGGCAAATACTTGAGGCCGTCCCACTCCTCCAACTCCTTGATGTGGTGGTTACCGTAGTTGGAAACACCAATGGATCTGATCAGGCCCTTATCCTTGAGGTCTTGCAACGCCTTCCAGCTGGCAATTCTCTTCTCCTTGTCAGTCAATGGGGAATGAATCAATACCAAGTCCAAGTACTCCAAGCCCTTGGTTTTCTCCAGAGATTCGTTGACCACCTGCACGACGTGGTCGTAGCCCTCTGGGCTGCCAACCTTGGTGGTGAAAAACACCTCGGATCTCTTTCCAAGGCCTTCGTTAATCCATTTCAAGAGACCTTGAGCTGATTCGTGTTCGTTCTTGTACACCTGGGCCGTGTCGATGTGTCTGTAGCCAATCTTCAAAGCGTTGTACACTACTGTAGCCGCATCTTCCTGGGGTACCAGGTACACTCCCAATCCGAGAGCTGGGATATCGTATCCAGAGTTCAATTTGACCATAGTTGAATTGATTGATAATTGATTTGTACAATTGGCTTGAATGGAATAAATAATACCAAAGACAGGAACAGGAACAAAATATGAGAAGAAAAACAAGAAGAAAAACGAAACTGATATAGTGTTCTTCGAGGGGCGTAATCAGGATAGTGCGGCATCCAAAAAAGTGTGGAGACACCACGCGAAGTGATGGTGACCCATTACTAATTCCACTGTGGCTCCAAATAAAACCGATATTTCGCCTGCAGAGGTCCGGATTCTGTGATCTTCACTTTCACTTTTTTACTTTGACCAGGAACCAGATCAAACCCGTTGTCGTCATATGAGACGTTTTTGGGGTCTCCACAATGTAGCTCCAGACACTTGACTGGATGTGTGGTGCTCACTGAGACCTCGTCACCGTTGACTGCGAGACTAATCGCGGGGGTGGTGGAATATTGCACGTATTTGAGTGGTTGTGGCCAATCTATAGCTGATGTGACGATCTTGCCGTTGGAAGTCACCTCAAAATATACCACTTTGCTTTTTTGGTGGTCTATTTTGACGTTCTGCAGCTTGATGATGTCATTGGCAGGAGCCTTGATTGGAGTGGATGCACTTTCAAATACAGCCTTGCCTGTAGCTATCTCGTAGACCCTATAACGATACAGCAGATCAGTTTCAGTGGTCTCGCTAGTGCTCGAAACCCAAATCTCGATATCGGCCGTATCCTGGGAGTCTGGTGCAAACCTCTCCCAGCCCTGCTTGCCGTTGCGCTTGGTGATGAGCTTTTGCTTCTCAAAAGCACGTTTCACAGCATAGTAGGATAGTTTGGGACGTCTCAAGTGATCAACTATCGACCAGCTTATAACAGGCCAGCAATCGTCAAGTTGCCAGACTATGGACCCTCCATTCTGGTAGTTGGTTCCACCACTCTTGCTTTCCACCTTTTTCCAACGTAACCTCCACAGATTCAAGGCAAAGGTGAGACATTCGCTTTGCATTATCTGATTGGAGAAGATAAAACCCTCCAGGTCACTCTCAACCTTCACGTTGTTGTACATGTATTTCGTCAAACTGGGCAAAGAATCTTTTGCCTTGTTGTGAAACTCCACAATCTGACTCTGTGGGTAGAGACTTGGTTCTTCGATGTACTCCTTCAAAGTCTCATAACTGGGAAAACTCTCCATTCCAAATTCACTGATGAATCGAGCTCCGAGTAGGTCTGCTTTCTGGTACTCTTCTTTGCGACCATGCCAGATCTGCCACATATGGGTATCACCAGCAGCTGGATCGTGAGTATACGATCCACCATACGGAGATCCGAAATGGTAGGCAACTTCACAGTTGGCCTTTTTCAGCTCATCTGGGATTACCACCTCGTAAATTCCCCTACCAGGAAAGGTTGTGTGGAAGTAATTGCCCGACTTATCGTTTTTGTCCCATTGTAGATGGTGAGACTCGGCGTATTGGTAGTCTTCATTGTTTCCACAGAAAAGAGCTAACGAAGGATGTTTGCTCAACCGTTCAATCTGATACGCTACTTCCTTCCTCACGTTCTCAATAAAGTTGGCTTCGCCCGGATACTGGCCACATGCAAACATGAAATCCTGCCAGACCATGATACCTAGTCTGTCACACTCCTCGTAGAAAATCTCGGGCTCGTAAATACCTCCTCCCCAGATCCTCACAATATTCTGGTTACTAGCATGAGCTAGCTCAAGCCATGCCGAGTAGTCCTCATCTTTGAGCTGAGTGAGAAACGAATGGGCCGGGATCCAATTGGTACCATTAGCAAATGTGGGGACACCATTGACCTTGAAGTAGAAGCTGGAGCCCGACTCTGACTTGTATTCGTCTTCAACCAGCTCGATCTTGCGGAAAGCAAATTTGTGTATCTTTTTGTCCAAGACCTCATAGGAATTATTAACGAGCACAAGTTCGAGGGAATACAAGTTCTGCTCGCCCATTTGATTGGGATACCACAGCACAAAGGGGAAGTCACTGGAGGTGAACTCACGCGAGTATATTCCTTCGGAAAAAGGCTCAAGCTCAAAAAAGGCAAGATTGTCTGTTTCAAGACCTTTTCCCTTCCAGTAGTGACTGATTTTGGCCAACAATTTTCCATTCCCCTTTGCATTCACATTTACCCTCAGGCCACCCTCCAATGAAGTCTCAACAGCCGACGTCAGCTTTTCGTTGTAGGAGTACAAAGTTATAGGCAAATAAACGCCACATGACATCAACATGGGGCCCCAGTCCCAGCCGTAGTGGTATTGAGCCTTGCGGACCCAACATCTGCTCCCCTCTCCATTAGAGCAACCGGTCCTCCCCAGATGCTCCCACATGTCCCGTCCTTTCAGCAAAGCACTGTGAAAATACAATCGAAGCTCGTTTCTGGTGTCTGCCTTAACGTGGGGCGTGATATTGACCTCGTATTTCAAAAACATGTTCTGGGTCTCCAAGATCTTCACTCCATTCAAGTAGACGTCACAGAATGTGTCAAGCCCTTCAAATACTAGCTCGTGTTCGCCATACTGAGCTGCCTCAAAGAAGCACCTGTACTCCCAATCGCTCTCTCCAACCCACTGCACTTCCAACTCGTTCATATTTTCGAACGGGTTTGGGATGGCACCAATTGCCAGAAGATCCGGGAAGATCTCGCAGGTGGCTTTGGTCATATCTGAGGAATCGTTCCATTCGGTGGATTTCGGGGCTTTGAAGGACCATCCTGATAATTTAGTAGCAGGCATAGTCAATAGGGAATTCTCAAGGAATAATTAGCAATATTTGAGCTAACCCTTTTTGTTACAACAACGTTATGTGGTAATGTTGTAGTTTGCCTCACAAGTATGGGGTATACCAGGTAGTGCTCCAGCAGGACAACCTTATCTTGCTTTCTTCCCACTATCGCCCCCGTCTCCATTCAAGGAGGAACCAGCTGGACAAAGTGAAGTTATCCAAGTGGTTCAAGAAGTACAGGGCCCCCTATAGAGCGTTTAGAGGGCTCAAGGATAGAAGAGCAGCGCGCGTGTTGCTCAAAATGGACAACCTGGTGGACCCCAGCAGAAGGCAGAGACTGATGGACGTGGTGAAGAACACCAAGACAACGTACCTGCCTTCTTTGGTCAAGACAATTGGAAATTTCACGGCCTATCCGACCTCTTCTGCATGTGAGCCTTTACCGGAGGATACCCAAATTTGTATTTATAATGCGTTCTCTGTTCCAAGTGGCGATGGGTATTTGACGGAAGTGACGGCATGGGTGTATGCTCCTGGAACAATGACCCGCAAGAACAGGGTGTTACTATCTCTCATGAATAAGTTTACGAAATCAGATGTGGGGCCTGCTACCGAGGCTATGCTTGAGAATCAGATATTGGAGGAGGCTGATGCGCCGTCTTTGAGGCGTACTGGCACCAGCTCTTCTCAATCAACGGCTTCCACTACGGCATCAACAGCGTCCTTGGGGTCTGAGATCCTAAAAGCTAGGCTGAGTGCCACTTTTGCGAGACAAATCTCGTCTACACAGGTCAGGATAGTGCTTGGATCAGAAAGTGCCATCAAAGAGGATCTCGTGGAAGAAGTGCTTATATCAGACGCAAAGGGCATGATCGAAACAAAAGTGAAAACCCCCTACAAGCCCTCCGTGGTGCAATTGTGCTGTGTTGAACTGGACACTACGGCTGCTTTTAAGGATATCATGCACATTTCCAAGAAAGGAATCTCTGTTATAACCGACATCGACGATACGGTGAGGATTACTGGTGTGGTTGGGCCCAAAGCGGAGATGTTGAGGAACGTCTTTGTGAAGGACTACGTTGATTGTGCGATCCCTGGTGTAGCTCAATGGTTCACCAAGTTGGCGGATTTGGGATGTGGAATTCATTATGTATCCAACAGTCCGTGGCAGGTGTACAATGTGGTATGTGACTTCATGGCCGCGGTTGGATTGCCTCATGGTACCATTCATTTGAGGCAGTATAATGGGAACATGATCTCCAGCTTGCTTCAACCCCCTCACGAAAGAAAAAGAGTGAGGCTGGAGAAGATAGTCAATGACTTTCCGGATCGCAGGTTCATCCTGGTGGGAGATTCCGGTGAATCCGATCTGGAGGCCTACCATGGATTGGCTTTGCTCTACCCTGAGAAGATAAAGGCGATATATATCAGAGTTATCCATGGGTCATTTTCCTCATATGATGAGCTGAAGGTGTTAGAGGATCTGCACAACATGATTGACGAAAGAGAGCACAGGCTCTCTCCCGAACCGGTGATGATAGATGACCTGATTGACCTCGACAAAAAGGTGGCGCCTCCGCCTCCTTCAAAACCACAGTTTCTACGAGGCACACCCGTGCTTCAAAAACCTGAACTGCCCAGGCGAATGCCCAGTCCGACAATGGCTCCGTCTGTGCCTGCATTACCACCCAGAAGAAACTTCCAACAAACGGAGTACGAAAACATGATGTCAGAGGAAGAGTTGAATGATAAGAAAGGTGAGGAGTGGAGGGAAAGGGTCAGATATCTGGTGGACACTCTGCCTGCTCATATCCACTTCAAGCTGTGGACCGATGTGAGTGATGTCTTGGAAGACTCTCTACAAATAGTGGAGTGATAATAAACTCCTTTGACCGTCTACAGTCAACAGCAAATTAGTAAACTTTTTGTTGCAGCTCATCTAACCTAAACACCCTGTTCCTTTGCAAAAGCAGCAGAACCATCGCCGTAGTCCTTAATGTTCTCATCAATTTCCTCAATCTCCTTTTTGAACTCCGACAGATCCCATTCATCTCCCTTCTCCTGGTCATCTTCCTCATTGTAGAACTTGTCCTCGAACTTCTTGAGCACAATTTCGCGTCCGGTAAGTGCCCTCTTCTCCTTATTCCTTTCGTCGAGTTTTTGCTGTGCGTGTGAGGCTTTCCATTTGGTGAAGCTCTCTAGTGTGATTGGAGTAAGACCGGTCTTCGGCAGCTTGTCCCTCTCCGTCTCGATGAAATCTTCCAGAGTGATCTTTGGCTGGCTCTCCAAAGCCTGTTTCTCTAGTCTCTTTTGCTCCTTTGTCTTCAGCACAAACCCTTGTGGAAGCGAATGCCTATATTTACACTGATCTCCTCCATCAGGGCACACCCAGAACCAACCGTACTTACCGTTCTCGACGGCTTCGATGAAGTACTTACACACGATATCGGTAGTAGTCTTCAAATTTCCGTGCTTGGAAAGAACGACTGAGCGCAGCTTTGCTTCGTCCCACTTATCCATGGTATCCTGGTTCTTCTCTTCGTCCTTTTCATCTGTGTATAAATCTCTCTTCGCAGTCTTACGCCCAGCCTCCAGATCGTGCGCAAACTTACACTTCTTGCCCTTTGTACACTGTCCAAGTTTGAAGAAGTTACAAACTATGGACTTTGGATCCACACCGAATGGAACCTTCTGCTGTTGGATGGATGGTTTGAAGAGTGCCAGAGCTTCTGCTCTAGCGGCATCTGCTGCCTTTTTCTCTGCCAAAAGCCTCTTGGCTTCCGCATCTTGCTTCGCCTGTAAACCAGCAGACACCTGTACCTGATTGACGTATTGTTGAACCTTTTTGGATTTGTTTTTCTGTACTAGGAGTTAGTATGTTGTCCTAAAGAGTCTAGAAGACCAGGTACTTCGACACTTACGTTTTTTAACCCGAAAGTTTTGTCCTCGGCACTTTTCTTGGCCTTTGCAGCCTTTGCCTTGGCTCCTGGATCAACAATCTTCTTCTTTGGTGGCATTATTTATAATTTTGGCTTGTTTGTCCCGTGGTTTGTTAAGGTTGATTTGATGGTTCAAGCACAAGATATGAAAAATTGTCGTCTTGCGTCCGGGTAACCAATGCCCCGCAGACGCACATATTGAAGGGAATAAATTGGAGGCATAGACGAGACATATAGCAAGTATTTTGAAGACATGTTGGAGCCGCAATGGCTTTAATTTACAGGTTAGGCCTCGGAATAATGTAGCCATATTCGCAGTTGGTTTTGTTTCATCAAATCTTCATTTTTGAGTCTTTTTTCCGGGCCCCTCGTCTCACAGAATGTACCGCTCCTTTAAACAATCAACTAGCCAGTCCATGCTCGCGGAAAGATTCTGCCCTGTGATTCCGCTCACGCCTGAAATTTTCCATTCGCTTCGCAGAGCCTTTAAATTTAGATTGGTCGCTATCTGGTCGCGCAGCTGGTCGATCTGTAGGCCTTCAGCAAGATCCATCTTGTTCACCAATATCAATAAGTTGACCCCAACCAGTCTTTCCTCTCCTAGAATATCCGCAAGCTCTTTGAAACTCTCGCTTAGTCTCTCCAGAGAACTGGCATCGATAACCCAGATCAAACAGTCCGTTCTCTCAAAGTAGTTGAACCAGAACGGCCTCAGCGTAGACTGGCCACCGATATCCCATACTTGCAAGGTATATCCCTTCCAAGGCAACGTTTCTATGCTGAATCCCATCGTTGGAGATATCGAATCTAGATCTTGCGACAACAGATTTTTCACAATGGTGGTTTTGCCAGCGTTATCCAATCCAAGCATCAACACGCGAATCTCTTTGTCTTTCAACTTCTGCTTTCGTATCACCGATAAAAGTCCCATAATTATTATATTCCCTCTTTATCCAATATACTGCTCGGCCAAAAACTTTCCTGTCGATTTCCCGAGTAAACTGCACCAAGTGTACCCGTCCTCTGAGGATGCGTGCTGGTAAGTGTAATCTCTAAGATTGAAAATCCCTAGCATTTTACGCGTGTGGCTCAGAGGCAAATCCACTCTCTCTTTTCCTCCCTGCCATGGATCCGCCACCAGTTTATATCTCCTCTTCTGGTGAGGAAGACGACAACAATATAAAATGTCCTATTTGCTGCCTTGATATCTCTTTTCTTACTCTGGAAGAGAGATCAGATCACGTTCTTGAGTGTGTTGAAAGCCCCAAGAAGTTCGTTTACAAGTCTTTAAAAAAGACAAGAGCAGCCGCACCCAAAGTGAAAAATGCCCCCAGACCTAAGAAGGAAAAGCCCGAAATACCGGCAGTTAAGATTTTGAAATTCTCAGGCTTGGATATTGCAGTTGATGCTTTTTGCTATAGGTTTAATCCTGAAATTTCTCATTATTTTTTAAGCCACTTTCATTCAGACCACTATGGCGGATTGTGCAAGAGCTGGAACCATGGCACAATATACTGTTCCAAACTGACCAAAATATTGGCAGTCACAAAACTAAAGGTGAATCCTGATATTATCGTTGCTTTGGATTACGAAATGGAATATTCTATTGCCAATGGTCTGAAGGTTATCTGTGTGGATGCCAATCATTGTCCTGGGTCTCAGATCTTTCTCTTCAAAACAGCCATAAAAGAAGAGACCACCTTGCATTGTGGAGACTTTAGAGTTAACCTGAATATGCTGAGCCATCCTTTGTTGCAGTGCAAGGTGTACCGATGTTATTTGGACACAACGTACCTGGATCCAGTGTATTCGTTTCCAGACCAAACTCAGGTTATACAGACCACGGCACGCTATATCAAGTCTCTTCATGATCCAGAGACTCATAAGGCTGTCAAGATTCAAAGAAGGATTACGGACTTCTTTTTGCCGCCGCGAAATATCCATTATCCGTTTCTCATAGTGGTGGGCACATACACCATTGGCAAGGAAAGACTGGCCGTTGAGATAGCGAGGTCTCTGGGGACAAAAATGTATGCTTCAGCCGAGAAGCTTCAGATATTGAAGCATATGCATGAATCAGAAACATCGTGGGAGTTTTTGAAGGATTTGCTGAGCAGTAATCCGTTTGAGTGCCAAGTGCACTTGGTGTCTCTGAACAAGTTTGCGGATCTGGTGTCTTACTTTGACCAGTTCAGCTCGAAATTCGAAAAGATAATAGGAATAAAGCCCACTGGATGGACATATAGATCCACAAAGTCGTCCAAATGGATACGTGATGCTAAAGACGATAATGAGATACTAAAGACTATTGTTGGCACCAAGGAAGAGATTACCGTGAAGAACTTGGAGGCCCAGTTCAAGACCAGCAATTTGGCCCAGGTATATTCGGTTCCTTACTCTGAGCATTCCAGCTTCAGGGAATTGGCATATTTCATGGGCTGTCTTGACATAGAGAAGGTGATTCCCACGGTGAACTTACACAATATGGCATATCTGGAGAGGTGGATAGGATGTATCCAGAGTTTTGAAAAGATGGATATTGCCAAATTTTAATATAATGGCTTGTGACGAGGAAATGAAAAAAAAAAATCTTGGAACGGTGGAAAATAGCAATTGTTAAGGCAAATTTCACTCTCTACATAGCGAAGAAGTAATTGGCATTCACGGTTAATTGTCTCTTCGGACAATTTAAAAGGGTTTAACGTACAAAATAATACACAAGGCCCTTTGACCTCAATTCTCACCCTGATGGTATTGGTTCTGCGATTGCAAATGAGATTGCTGTGTTGATTGAGGCGGAGGCAGCTGTTGAACAGGGTTCTGCTGCAGCGGCTGGAACGAGAAGGGTTGGTAACCTCCAGAATAGGGTGGTTGGGTCTGTTTTTGGTAGAGAGGAGGAACAAAGCCAGGTCCTGACGATTGACTCTGTTGAGGCGGATACTGGCTGGGCAGAGGTTGGTACTGGTAAGAGTAGTATGGAGCTCCTGCTGTTGCTGCTGGTTGAGGCTGCTGTGGAGAAGCTCTGTATGGCTGCAGCAGTGGGGGCTTGTAATTTTGAGAAGATGGAGCTAAACTTGGATGGGCATGTTGTTGTTGTTGCTGTTGACTTGTATAACTCCACGATCCCGAATAGGGTTGTGCATTCTGACCACCGTCTTGAGATTGCATCAGTTGCTGTTGTCTGCGCTGGTCTGCTAAGGCGGCAGCTTTGGCTCCAGGGTTCTGTCTTTCATCCAACTTGCTATAGTAGCGGTCATAATAGGACTTTATGTCGTGAATGAATAAGGGCTCCAGCTCATCGAAAATTCCCTCGGCCCTGGCCAGCTCCACTGCTCTTTCGAACGGGATCCATACTCCCTTCAGATTCATGGCTCCAATCTTCACCACATACCGGACTTGCTCTCCTTTCAAAATTCCATCGCGCCGTCCGCGCGTCATCTGCGATACATTTAGCAATTTTGTGCCATTGATAAAATTTGTGTCTTGTCTGCGCGAAACTGGAATTCCGCGAGCATCCACTTGGTAACACAGGGTGTTCTCGTCCTCCCAAAAGGTTATAGAAATTCGCGGCTTGGATCCGTCTGGCGGAGGTGGAAGATCCTGACCCACAACTGGGAATGGCTGTCGTGGTTGGGGTATCTCTTGCGAATAATAGGAAGCACCACCAGATGTGTTTGGGTAAAAAGCTTGGTTGTTTTGCGACATTCTATACGACTAGTTACATTAAACGGACTGTAGCCAATGTGCTTATGCCCCGGCTTTGTTGACCCTTATCGACGCGGAGACCAAAAAAAGAGAGAAAATAAAAAAATAACCGACTTTGGGCAAAACAAAAATTATTCAATCTCTTCTTCGAATGGGGATTTTCTGCCAGGCACAGAGGCGCTTGACATCGTGAGAGAGCAACTTACACTAACATCCAAATCAGGGAATAAGTCCTCATGACGTCACCGCAGTCAGCTGCTTGAGCATTGCACGCACGTTGATTGCCCTGGTGATAATTTTGTTATCGCTTGACAGGACGCCCATCTCGAGAATTAGTTCAATGACCGTTTCGGAGCATGGTGCGGCCTGAGATGAGGCCAATTGCATCAGAGTGGGCCATTTGTCGATTTCTTTCTCTTCTTGCTGAACGAGTCCTAGCGAGACCTTCAACGTCTCACTTTCGCTGGAGTTGGCAGCTGCTTCCGGCTCCACGCTATCTTCATCGTCTTTGCTCGAGCCAGAGGTGAAGGTTGTAATACTAGACCTAATACTTCCTCTGCTTCTCCTTCTGTCTGGTCTTTTCTCCTTGGAGGCCCTCTTCATGAGCTCAAGATCAAGCCGGCCGTCATCAACGCGTGACAGAAACCCGCTGAATTTGTCAATCTTGGAGAGATCTGGCACAATCACATCTGGATTTTTCAACTGCTCTTCGGCTATTTTCTGTTTCAGTTCCTTGGCTTTGGATACCAGCTGGAGCTCTTTCTTGGTGATAATTACATACACAATCTCCAATATGAGATCCTGCAGAAGGGGCAATTCGTAAAACTTTGCCACTAACACTAGGTCAAAGACAACAGGTACCAGAGTCCAGTTTGAATTGACCTCTCCGGTGTAAAGATACTCTGCCAAGGCTCTCACTGTTGCTGAGGAAAAAGGTAAGTATAACTTTCTTGGAATGTACATTGCCTCAAATGCCACATCCTGGGAGCTGACTGAGGAGCGCAGCGAGAGTTTGGGGTCTTGGGATGGCCTCAGGTTTTCTTCTTCTTCAATATTCACTTCTGGAGTGGCCCTGGATGATGTTGAGCCTGAGTTGGCTATATTTGCCAGAGGCGACTTTGCTGGAAGACCTGAAGCACCGCTGAAAGACCCACGGGGAGACAAACCTGCTGGTCCCATTGTCGTATTCGGGCCCTTTAGCATTGTCAACGGACTCATCAGCATTGATGACCTCGGAGAGCTTATCCCCGAAGCAGAAGATTGCATCCCAGAGACCGCCAAACTAGATCTCCTGGGAACAGGCTCCATAGGTAGTGGAGGTTGTGGGGGGACGTTGTTCAAACTGGGTATCGCAGATCTGGAACTATTGATTGAAGCTGTTTCCTTATCCTGTGACAAAGATGAACTCTGAGAAGCAACCGAGTCATGACGAATTGATGGGTCAACACTCGCAGCTCTCTTTGGTGGCTCTGATGAGCTGTTTTGGAATGGCAGTCTGAATTGAGGCGCTCCCTCTTTATCGTGTCTTCCTCTTGATGACTGGGAGGTGCTGCTTAGAGTCTTGGAGATAGGATTATCCTCTTCAGAATGAGGAGTCATTCCCGTGCTCTGAGCTTTAGATGAATTGCCAGAACCTGCAAACGCAAATTGAGAACTGGTTGATGATTTCTGCGCGGCTGGTTGAGATTTTTTGGCATCGTAAGCGCGACTGTAGCCTTTAGCCAGAATCATGTCAAATGTTCTCCCCCATCTCTTTCGACAAACGTTCAAAGCAACGGGTATCCTGTCACCGTCAGCAGTAATAAACTCAAAATCATACAGAGAGCTCTTTCGTGAGTACGCACTCTTACCTAGCGTGACTGCATACGGTGGGAAAATTGACCTGATGGAGGTGAGTTTCGTCTGAGGTGCAGCATAGTGCGAATATGCAGCGAAACTAGACTGTGATCTCTGTGAATGTATCGAGTTCTTCTTTGTGAATTTTGTATTGATCTGGGGAAGGGCAGCATCGGTATGGATCGGTTTCATCGCATCGCTCACGTAGGTGTCTCCACTAAAGATGGACACGAACGGCAACGACAGGCATATCATGTGGTTGTAGAACTGAACCGTTGGTGAAGTTTCTGATGTGTCTCTATTACCCATCAGAAGGATCTTGTGGTGGGAAGACCACACAAAACCTTTGCAAAATCTGTGTTCCCATGTTGGATGCTGGCAAAACACATTGATTCTGAGCCAACGGTGAGACATTCGTTCGTAAATGAACACAGATATGGGAAATTCGCCAGGCAAGAACCCACATATAATGATGTTATCACCGAACAGGCCCATATTAGGATATCTCAGGTTGAACGGAATCGTTTTGGAACCAGTTTTGGAACTGCCCAGATCCTCGCTGTTCGGCAAAGTCGCCCCTGTAGAGTTTCCCAGCAGTGGGAAGGACGTCAATGGGTTCTCCGCTAATTCTTTTCTTGAGGGGCCTATCGTGATCAAAGTGGGGGTAGTCTCGCCTTCAGTTCGAGAAGGAACCACCAAGACCGTGCTCTGATCGCTAGTGACCGAGAGGTTTGTAGGTGCATCAGAAGCAGAGTCCGATATCTTCAAGTTTTCAACACCACTAGACAACGTCAGATTATCACGACTAATGGACCGGTGCAGATTTGTGCATACCTTCCAGGAGTTCTCATCAAGATCGAAAACCTCCATAGTAGACAGCTTTCGGCCCGTGGAATCAATGCCCCCAATAAACATCAGTCCATTGTGGCTGGGATTCCCCGTAATGTACAAACTCGAGATATATGCACTATGGTGAGCATATCTCCTGATTGGTCCTGACATAGAGGCGGAAGGCGAAGATGGAAGCTTGGTCCAGGTCATGTTCAGCATGTGAAACATCCAAAAGTCGTTCGTAGGCTCGAACTTGCGCGTATTTTTATTGAAAACCAAGCCACCTTGGATATAGCAATGATTGTTATAGACCAACATAGAGTGGAAAATCCTGGGCTGAGGCGTTGGTTGCGACGCATCGGCCACATTTTTGTAGATCCATTTCCTCTCTATGAGACTCAAGCTGAACACCTCGTTGGAGATGTAATCCTCAATGTCTTCCTCATCGTAACTGGAACCTTTTTTGGCAAATTCTCGCCTCAATTCAGACTCAATGGTCTCAATCTCCAAATTTTGTAGCTCCAACGGAATAACTAGTCCCCCATACACCACCAGTCTGGACATCACCAGCGATGAAGTCGAGCCGGTCCGCACATCCAGTCGCAGCCGGGGGTCCGACGAATCGACATTGGGCATTCGTAAGCTGTAGCACTTGCTAGCATTTGAATCTGAAGGAGCCATGATAGACAAAACTAAATGACTCCCACAACTTGTCTGTTCCACCGGTTGTTCGTGTGAATAGCTTGACTTCTGTCATGTTGTACAAGCTAAAACCCCCTCTCACCAGCCGCGTCTTCACCAGCCATCACATCGGCGGTGCACGCACCTGCAATACCCAGTACAAACTGCATTGTGTGGTATGTTTTTCTCTTAAAGGGTTTTTTTTTCAACAATTCTTTTTGATTATTTGTTTTTGTTTATTGTCATTGAGAATGCTAGTGGTTACTGTAAGACCGCGCGCATTTTTTTTGACGAAGCGACTGCTGAAACAGGCTTGTGTACTGAGCAAGGGTTCTACTCCTTCCCCCGGGTTGAAACACCAGTTTGTTGTGTTGTCCAACAAGCAAACTTCGCACTATTCCACCGCATCGAGACCTCAATATCAATCTCGTGCCATGAAGAACCTGAAATTTGTTAGTGGTGTGGGTGTTGTGGTCATTGCTGGCGTCTACATGTCGGTCACCAACAACTACTTCAGTTCTGACACCATTCCAGGAGCGGGGATAGGTACTACCGCTTTCTCCACCAGCAGCTCTCAATCCTCACCGCAGCCACAGGGAAAAAATGGACTGTATGTATATTCAGGGGATGCCATTACCCGCAGATTGAGAGAAGGTGAGGAGTCATACTTTGTTGACCGTGGAAACGGCGTTTTGAGGTATGACGTGTGTCAATTTGCCAGTAACAACCCAATTGAAGATGACCGCAGCGAGAAAATCGTTCAAGTTCCATTGCTGGACCAGGGCGCTGAAGTGAACACTGATTGGATGTTTTGGGGTGTTTTTGATGGCCATGGAGGTTGGGCAACTTCGAAGAAGTTGAAGGAATCCCTGTTGGGTTGTCTTATCTCTGAACTGAGTGATATCTACACTCCAAGTGAAGGTAACAAGGATGTCCGGATTATACCTAGCCCCCATGCCATTGAACAGGCTTTGAAGAGTGGCTTTCTCAAGATGGATAATGAGATTGTGAACGAGTCAGTCGCAAAGCTAATGAAAGGATCAACCGGTAAGGCTGGTGCTGCTGAGTTGCTGATGCCAGCCCTATCAGGATCGTGTGGTCTGGTTTCTTTCTATGATACACACTCCCAAATGCTGAATGTTGCTGTTACCGGTGACTCCAGGGCGTTGTTGGGGTCTCTCAACGAGAAGGGCGAATGGACTGTTAAAGCACTCAGTGTTGATCAAACAGGTTCCAATCCTGATGAGGTCAACAGAATACGCCAATTGCATCCAAATGAGCCAAATGTTATTAGATCCGGAAGAGTGTTGGGATCGTTAGAGCCAAGTAGAGCGTTTGGAGATGCCAGATACAAGTGGGATAAAGAAACACAGGCAAGAATATCGTCCCAGTTTTTTGGAAGAAACATTCCGAACAACTTGATCTCTCCTCCATATGTGACTGCCGAGCCGGTAGTGTCTACTTCTAAGGTGAATCCTCGTGGAAACGACTTTATGGTGATGGCCAGTGATGGTTTGTATGAGATGTTGTCCAATGAAGAGATAGTTGGTCTCGTGGTGAAGTGGATGGAGAGTTCCAACATGATAAAACAGCAGAAACCCTCGATTTTCAGTATGTTTGGCTCTTCCGATAACAGTACTGGTCTACCTATAGTCCACGATGTTACCGACGGCAGAAGCGCAAAGCAGCAGAAACAACCTTTTCGCAAGCATGGCAATTCAAAGGGGTATTTCCTGGAAGACGAGAACGTTTCCACACATCTAATTCGTAATGCTTTGGGCAATGGTGGTTCTAAAGAGGATTTGGCGATGTTGGTCAGCATCCCGTCCCCGTTGTCGAGAAGATACAGAGATGATCTGACTGTGACGGTGGTATTCTTCGGTGAACCTCAAGGAACAGTCTCTGGAAAAATGGAGATCAATGGAAATGCCACCAAGGGAGGTTTGCAGAATGCCCAAGCAAAGCTGTGAGCATGAGAATTTTCAAGTCAAGCTAGATGAGTTTTCGGCATGAATGAGCGACCCACTTGTTTGTTCAACCAACACATGAAACTCAGTTCACTGAGAGGTCTAACCACCACACAATATCACTATGTCACATAAATCTTTCATTTCTCTGGAATCCCAACGATTTCTATAACATATCATCATATTACTGATCCATACCACTACACCGCATTAACCTCACATAACCACGATAGTTTAATACATTCTCTTCATTTGATCATGGGAATGCACTATTCACAAAAACAAAACACCCAATCGTATAAAAGTATAAAAGATATGATAGAAAAAGAGTAGCCAGCATATAAAACCGAATCTAACAGGCACAGGCATTGGAATCTTCACTGGAAACAGGAGCAGATAAGTCGATTCTTCCGTTTGCTTGAGACTCACCCCTTGAAGGGTTGGCACCACCATTTTGCGAGGCTTCGGGTATTTTTTTGCCTATGGCTAGAAATACTTCGTTCACATTGTAGGCAGTCTTTGCCGAAGTCTCAAAGAACATGAGTCCCTCCTCTTCCGCCAGAGTCTGTCCTTCATTAACAGACACCTTTCTCTTAGAAGTTTCGCTTACCTCTCCAGAATCTTCTTCCGCCTCATCATTCACTGTCAAATCGTACTTGTTACCACACAAAGCAATGACTATTCCCTTGGTCGCCTGTTCGCGCAACTCTTTCACCCAATGTCTGGCCTTGATGAAGGAAGCAGGCTTGGTTATATCGTACACTACCAACGCAGCTTGAGCATTCCGGTAGTACATTGGAGCCAAAGAGGCAAACCTCTCTTGTCCAGCGGTATCCCATATTTCAAACTTTATCGTACGTTCACCGATGGTACACTTCTGAGTTAAAAATGCAGCCCCAATAGTTGGTTCTATGGTGGATAGTTAGTATACCTTATGTTGCCGGGAAGAATGATCTTTGATGGCATGCATGCCTCTATACCTCACACTCACCTTTGTTCTCTTCAAAATCGTTATTGACAAATCTTAGAACCAGAGAGGATTTTCCCACAGCAGCTTCTCCCAAAAGCACCAGCTTGACAGCCGTGGTTGTCCTTCCTTGAGATGCACTCATAATCGGATACGTCTAAATCTGGTCTGGTATGGTCTGATCTGGGTTCAAGATCAAACGATACTAGATGGATGTTGTCTTCTCAAACGAGTCGCAAGGTGTCTGAGGTCTCCGGAACGATCGCTAACGGCTTTCAGCAGGGACAAAGGGGGGAGTGCTTTTCTGTCATTCGATTACGGTTGATGTTTAATTGATTGATACACTCCAATATTACAACAATCTAGTGTTGTGTATTCGTGAATATATTGCATATTTGTTGAATAAGTTGTTTCCCTCTTCATTTTTGGCTCTTTCTACACACCCAGAATTCGCATTTGTAGCGGAATTCACCAAGGCTCCTTCGATCTGATCCGTAGGTAGCCTCTAGCCCACTTTCGTGCTTCTCAAACACAAATCCTATATCATTGCACAGTTGGATCAAGTCGTCTCGTGACAATTCCAAGCCCTTGGTGGGCACATATTCATCCTTTTGAGATCCATCCCTATTTTGAGATGTCAGCTTTATTGTGGTGTTATCATCTTCCCAGTGCCATAATAATGGCCCAAAGTTGAGCCATATGCCGTTAGGCTTGAGGCAGTGATGAATGGCCTTCAAGTAATCAATAATGTTGATTGCAGTGTCCAAAAAGAAACATGTGGCAATCACATCAAGGGACGATTTGTTCTGACTTCTGAATTCTGCAGTCTCTATGTTTGCCGTGTACTCATTGGAGAAGCTTAATCCCGGTGGTCCGTACAAGTCCAAAAAGGAGCCTGTCACCATTGACATCAGGTCGCTGAACTCGATCTGTGGATTTTGTTCCATGAACTTGGTACGCTCATGTGGAGATGAGTCAGGAAATGTAACTGATTTGAGCTGATTCTCTCTTGAAGAAACATTTTTGGATTTTCCCAAGAATGGATGCAGTGTATATTGGTTCGGCCTTTGCACGTTGTTCAAGATGAAAAACGACATAGTGATCATGTGGTAGGTATACTCGTTTCCTATTGATAGGAACCCAAGCCTTACCATTTCCAGTAGCATTCTTCCCAGTCCCGTCCCGGGCAACAGACACTTCAACTGGGGTCTTTCCTCCACATTGGGAAACCTCTCTTGCAATTCCCCCAAGATTTTACCAAAACACACGTCTCTTTCCGCTTTACCATCTTCAGTCCATTCTCTCAATATCTGTGAGACGACATTGTCAACTTTCGCAAAATCACTCTCCAAAGCATGATGCCATGCTATTGGATCTATTGGTACCCCAAAGTTCTCGGCAGAAGAAACAGCAATTTCTTGGAACAATTTCTCGTTTGCGTCTATTGCTTTGGCAAACCTCTGCAAATATTCGGGAAACCACGCCAACAATTTCTGATCTTCTGCACTTAGGCTATCGTACCTGATTGTCTTGGGTGTAAGATGTGTTGAACGCAACCAGTCTCCGTAACCATAGAATGCAGACCTGAAAAAAAGAGTTAGACACAAAGCCCAAATTCATCACAATCGCATCAGATTCACTTACAGAACACTTGTTAGAACATTGCTCTCTTCAATATCTGATTGCGCATCCATGGTGTTGAGGTTACAACTGTTCATCTGGAGCCACGAAATTCAAAACGAGTGCAGGTTTCCACATAGAGATTACCCCATTTTTGCGTGTTCTTACCGTATTACGCCGCACTTGAGAAATCTTTTGATCTGTCGATAACGAAGATTGGCGGCATTTCCGCTGATATCATGCGGTATATTGGTCGATATATTGTTCTTGTTATGAATTTTAATGGCCTGCAAGGTCAATTGACCTTTTTCTGATTGGTTTGGTTTGGTTTGTTCCCGCATTTCCTAAAATTGTCAAGAATGTAGGAAATTACGAAAATCTCTCCAAAACAGATAGCCAAAATTGGGCTAATGACAGAACAAACCCACTATAATTTCCCGGGTTTGACCAGATTCTACAATGAGAAAACCTTACCAATATTGTGGGATATTTGTCTTCAGTCTCTATTGACTAAGGTGGCAAACCCAAAACCTTCGGACTTTGCACGTGACCTTTCATCATTGCGATAAGCTCTCCCGGGGATAACTGAAATATCAGCAAAAACTGCCCGGTTCTCAGACTCTCATTATCGCAGCTTTCTTCTTGTAGTTCAGTCGAAAGATGTCAGAATCCCAGATTGATCATAGTATCTCTAGAAAACTCAAGGATGTGGTAAGTGTAATTTGGTTACAGCCGTATGAGAGCTACAGTGGCTAACCAAGAGAGGACCTCAGGCTGCCGGATTTGCAGGTGGTGCTGTTCAAGTGTTGATCGGGCAACCGTTCGATCTCGTCAAAGTGAGAATGCAAACAGGCCAATATTTGTCTCCGATAACAGCAATCCGGGATACTTTGAAAAATGAAGGAATTTTGGCTTTCTACAGAGGGACCTTAGCTCCACTGTTTGGGGTGGGTGTGTGCGTGAGTGTCCAATTCTACGGTTTTCACGAAGCAAAAAGACAATTGCTGAAATTCAACCCGAAGCAGAGCGAGCTGACATTGGGCCAGTTCTATTTGGCCGGTGCGTTTGCGGGAATTGTCAACACGCCTATCACCTCTCCGGTGGAGCAGATTAGGATCTTGCTGCAGACCCAGAGAGGAAATGAGACCACCCTTTACAAGGGACCCAGGGATGCGGTTTCCCAGATATACCAAACCTATGGTGCCAGAGGTTTAGGTAGAGGATCATTGATCACAGTCTTACGTGAGTTCCAGGCTTACGGGGTCTGGTTTCTCACCTACGAGTTTCTCATGCAAAATGCATGCAGGACGAGGAAGATAGCGAGAGAGTCCATCAGTACACCTGAACTTATGCTCTATGGAGCAATCGCTGGTGACACTCTGTGGTTAAGTTCTTATCCGTTGGATGTGATAAAGTCTAGACTGCAGAGTGACAAATTTGGCGCTGAGTCGAGATATGGAGGAAAGATATCTAATGTGGTGAGAGAGATAGTGAAGGCTGAAGGATTGAGAGGGTTCTGGAGAGGAATAGGTCCTGCTCTGGTGAGAGCCATACCTTGCAGTGCGGCCACATTCACAACTGTTGAATTTGCCTTGAGGTTGATGGAGTGAAAAGATACGTAATTAAAAAGCTAAAATGGTTACTAAATCGCAAAAGCATCACCCGGCTAGATCGAAGGGCTTTTTTGGCGTATTTCCCCGGGGTCGTGTTTGGAGGTCATCGCTCAGATTGATGTCATGCAATTCTCAATGCGGACTCTAGATTTGCTATCTGCTCGGACAATACTCTGTTCACCAATTGAACGAATACTTTGCTAATTCCCAGGAATCTTCTAGCTATTTGCTCAGTGAAACCAATCAATACCCATCTTTGCCCAAGTTTTCTGTTCCCAGAGCCATCGACTAGCATAAACATTCGAACATCACACTTAGGATGAACCCCTCCTCATCGAAGGACGAGAACGATCCATCGGGGAGTTTGACCACACCAAAGCCCTCAAGACCGTCGAATTTTGGACAGTATATTAATGATGACCGGTCCATTAGTCCCATGCAAAAAGTGATACCAAAAAACGTGAGTTTCACCGATTCTTCACCAAAGGTATATCATGCAGCTGTGTTTCACGAGTCTTCTGATGATGTGGCCATAGTGAGCGACGAAGAAGAGGATGGCAAAGAAGATGACAGAAGAAATTCAATTCGGTCCGATAATGGTGAGCTGTTGTTCAAATTGCCGAGGTATGTGGTTACTGAGGATAAGACTGTGCCCGAGCCTCAAGAGATATCTGAGCAGCAGGAGGAACAAGAAGATGATGATGCAAAGGATTCAGAATCGCTTAAAAGCAAAGAAGACTTGCCCGAGTTTAAGAAGAGACCTTTGAGTGACACACCTGTGATGTCAGCTTCGAATTCTCCAACACTCAATGCATTCTCACCTCTGGATCTAAGCTCAGACGAAGAAGACAACCACTTGTCCAAACAGAAAAAGGAAAATAAATCTGCAGGTGTTGATCAGATCACCAAGCAAAATACCATACGGAACAGAAAAATGTCATTGAGCCAGGTAAATGAAGCATTGAACAACATTATTGACACTCAGGAGGTGACAGGACACATAAAGACTACACTAGACATACCAGGGCAGACGAGATCAAAATCCAATCCAGACGGAACGACCCTTACACCTGAGAGGGTGGTTGTGGTGATGATTGGGCTTCCTGCTAGGGGTAAGTCTTATCTTTCTAACAAGCTCACGAGGTATCTGAACTGGCTACAGATCAACTGCAGACTGTTCAATGTTGGAAGCACGAGGAGGCAACAGGCCTCACATTTGGGGCCAGAAAGCTCCCCTTTGCCTGATATTCCTGATAGTCCTCATGGTACCACTTCACCTGGTGATACTACTCACAGAGCGAGCTTCTTTTCTCCCGACAATCAACAATCGAACATGCTGCGAGAGAAATGGGCCAAGGACACGCTAAATGCGTTGTTGGATTATCTCTTAGAAGGAGACGGCTGTGTCGGTATTTTCGATGCTACAAATTCTACAAAGGCTCGCAGAAAGATGATTCTGGAAACTATTCATAAGAGAAGCGATGGCCAGTTGAAGGTGCTGTTCTTGGAGAGCATCTGTTCCGATCCAGACATCATCGATGCTAACGTCCGGCTGAAACTGGCTGGTCCGGACTACAAGAACATGGACCCAGATGTTGCCTTGATGGACTTTGTTGCCAGATTGCACAACTACGAGAGGGCATATGAGACTATTGACGAGGAAGAGGAAGGAATAAAAAATTTCCAGTACATCAAGATGATTGACGTCGGAAGAAAGGTGATTGCTTTTGGGATCAAAGGGTATTTGGCATCCCAAATCGTGTATTATCTTCTGAATTTCAACCTTTCTGAGAGACAAATTTGGATTGCCCGGCACGGTGAAAGTATTGACAATGTGAGTGGAAGAATTGGCGGAGATGCTCCGTTGACCGAGAGAGGAATCAAGTTCTCGAATGCTCTGGCAAGATTTATGAAGTTCAAGAAAGAGGAGTTCAGAAACAAACAGATTGAGGACTTTAAGAAAAGAATCGAATTGAAGACGTCGGAGAAGGGATCAGAACAGGCAATCAGCGAAAGCAAGCCAGCCGAAAATCCAGTTTTCTCAGTATGGACGTCAATGATGCAAAGGAGCATTGAGACTGTTCAGTACTTTCCTGAGTCCGAATTTGACATCAAGGAGATGAGAATGTTGAACGAACTCGGTGCCGGAAAATGTGAAGGAATGACATACGCAGAGATTCAAAAGAGGTACCCTCAGGAATTCAGTTCGAGAATTGAGGACAAACTCACTTATCGATATCCCGGAGTTGGGGGTGAATCTTATTTGGACGTGATCAACAGATTGCGTCCTGTGATTACTGAGATTGAGAGGACTACCAATCATCTTCTTCTGGTGACCCATAGAGTGGTTGCCAGAGTCTTGCTTGCTTACTTTTTGAATCTTTCCAAGGAAGCTATTGGAGATTTGGATATTCCGTTGCACACGTTATATCTGCTGGAGCCCAAGCCGTTCGGAGTTGATTGGCACATGTACGAATACAACGAGTCCAAGGACTGGTTTTACAAGATTGATCCTGGGTCACTGGACAATGCCAGAAAGGTTAAGCAGGTTGGAATTTCATTCAGAGAGAGGAAGTACTCGGTGGTTCCAACAGCTCCTCGGCGTACCACGTTTTCAAACGCTCCAGGCTCCCGACCCCTAGGCTCTGTACTTTCTGGTGGAACGAGGTCCTATTCAAACAACGTTGCCAACCAAAGGAGTGGGTTCATGAAGCCGGAACTGGGAATTCCAAGTGCCGCACCTACAGGACGGTTCCCAAGGCACGAGAAGGACAGATGAGGGTTAGAAAAAGGTTTTATGCATAATGAAGAAATACGGGCCCCGATCACATAAATAAAAAACTCAATTCTATGTGTTTTTTATAAATAAACAGGAGAGATCACTTAGTGACATCTCTCCAATATTCAGCTTTTTTTTGGGCATTAGAAAAGAACCAGGCCATTAGATGGCAACACCCTCAAAAACCTTGGCAAAAGATTGTTCGAAGTCAGCAATAATGTCGTCAATGAACTCGGTACCGACAGAGACTCTCAGCAAGTCCTTGGTGACACCGGAAATGATCTTCTCGTCGTCTGACAATTGCTCGTGGGTGGTGTACCATGGAGCAATGACCAGGGACTTGGAGTCACCAACATTGGCCAAGTTGGAAAACAACTTGAGGTTGTCAACAACACGTGGGCCAGACTCCTTGAATGGGTCGGCAGCGGCAGTTGGCAAAGGCTTGACACCAAAGGACAAGACACAACCAAATCCGTTGTGCAAGTACTTCTTAGCGTTCTCGTGGTACTCGTGAGACTCGAGACCTGGGTAGGAGACCCATGAGACGTACTTGGACTTCTCCAACCATCTGGCCAAAGCCAAAGAGTTGGAAGCCTGTCTCTCAACTCTCAGAGACAAAGTCTCCAAACCTTGCAAAGTAAGGAAGGAACCGAATGGGTTGGCAGCTGGACCCAAGTCACGCAAGAGCTCAACTCTGACGTGACCGGCAAAGGCGACATTGCCAAAGATGTCGTTCAAGATGGCACCGTGGTAACCCTCGGAAGGCTTGGAGAATTGTGGGAACTTCTCTGGATAGTCCTTCCATGGGAACTTACCGGAGTCAATGACGACACCACCGATGGTGTTACCGTGACCGTTGATCCACTTGGTGGTGGAGTGAACCACGATATCGGCACCGTGGTCAATTGGTCTAACGAGGTAACCACCGGCACCGAAAGTGTTGTCAACAACAACTGGAATACCCTTACCGTGAGCAAAGGCAACGATCTTGTCAAAATCAGGAACGTTGTACTTTGGGTTTCCGATACTCTCCAAGTAGATGGCCTTGGTCTTGTCGTCAACGAGTTCAGCGAATTCCTCAACGTTGTCGGACTTGGCGAACCTGGTCTCTATTCCGAGTCTCTTGAAGGCAACCTTGAACTGGTTGTAGGTACCACCGTAGAGGAACGAGGTGGAAACCACGTTGTCTCCGTTATGGGCGAGACCAGTGATGGCCAGAAGCTGGGCAGCTTGACCGGAGGAAGTAGCAACGGCAGCGGCACCGTTCTCCAAAGCGGCGAGTCTCTTCTCCAAGACATCAGTGGTTGGGTTCATGAGTCTGGAGTAAATGTAGCCTGGCTCCTTCAAAGAGAACAGGTTAGAACCGTGCTCGGAGTCTCTGAAGACATATGAGGAGGTGGCGTAAATTGGTACAGCTCTGGCATTGATAGGGCCTTCTGGCTCTTGACCGGCGTGAACTTGGAGTGTGTCGAAGTGGGAAGGCATTGTGACGATACTTTCTTCTCTGGTAAAAGAGAAAAAACGGAAGGGTTCAAAGGACGAAGCTCATTTATTAAAGCTTTTTTTAACCGGCCAACTTTTCACGTTGTCGGAGTCTACTGAAGGTAAATATGGAGTGGAAATTGTGAAAAAACACGTGACATCCCAAAGTGAAAACTTCATTTACCCAGAGGGTTTTCCCACGCAGACGAGTCCGGAAAAATATTACATAATGAAAATGCGTAGTTTTCATCAGAGACCCTCAATTTTCGCGATTTGGGAGTAGAAAATTTAGTGGTTCAGTGGTGGTTTCCTTGAGCCACCACCACTACCAACTGCCTCGGTTCACGGAGATGCCTTATCTGGTACAATGTGGGGATGAGATTTCTCCGCTTCACTACCATCTTTTAAGTATCAACGGGGTCATCTGCAAAAATAGTCTATTCGTATCTAGATTACAGCCTCGATTTCTTTTCTGCTTAGTCTTGCCCCACTATTCCCCACCATATAGTTAGTCACTAGCACCGTTCTAGGGCCTGCGATCTCAACTACCCGATTCTCGCTGGATCTTCCCAATGGGGTAAGCCTCAGTAGTGCTCCTCCCAAATACCGCCACACTTTCTTAACCGCACCAAAGTTGATCTGAGCTAGCCAGGGTATCGATACCGATAAAGGTGGGATCTTTAGTTTGGAGTTCAATGGAGATAATATCCTCGTTGATGTGAATGATTTCAATTGTTCCCAGCCAGCTCTTGTCTTCGTCAAAAGATCAATTGAGCCAACACCGAGACTTGGAATCGTTAACTCGGAGAAAACGGGCTCCGTTCCAGCCTCAGAAATAGAGTATGCTACTACGCTAGATGGAGCTAGCTGGATTGTTTCTTCAGATTCCAGCTTCAACTGTAGCACTTGGCCCATCGTCGATATGGCAATCGCACCGTCTTGGCCCTTGACGTGAATTCCTCGACTGGATCCCAGAATTGAGTTCTCGAGACTCAATGGCTCAATATCGACGTGGTTGCCGGTCCAACCAATCAAGCTGGAGGAATCAACAAGTCCCCAACTCGTCGTGTCGTTAGACTCCAACACTAGAAAATTGCCATTGCCCGATTTACTAGATAATAAGATTGACAATGGGTTTGAGGGGTTGAAACACCTCTGATATATCAATTTGTTCGAGTTGCTCAACTTCCCCAACTCTACCACTAGGGAAGAAACATCACCCGTGATGGCGAGAGTCTTATGCTGATTTGTATCCAACCGTAGGTTCAAAATGGAGCTTGTGGGCAATTTGATGTTCAGCAAGTTGGCTGGTGTGCCAATTGGTTCGAATTTGGGTTTTTCGGAAAAAGGTCCCAGGCCAGTCACTTTGGGCAGACTCGTCACCGGCTTCGATATATTGGAACTCGTGGATGATCCTCCAAATAGCCCTTTCAAAGATTGAAAGGAAATCTGGCGGGTAGAACCTCTGTTGAATATCCGAGTCATATTCTTTCAATAAACGGCGTTCTAACTACCCGTGTTTTCATTGATAGCAGACCTTGTTCTTTAGGTGTTTATTCTATCCTATTAGCTTGCGTACCCTTTGAGAAACCGTGCGTGGCACAAAATATTGATCATTACACTACTACTCTCGAGTTCGTGCCATTGGGGCTTTCAAAGTATTCAGATCGCTTGGCATTTGGCAGTCCGATTGGATCGAAAAGCTGCAGCTGTCCCATGGACTCGTTAGAAATCATAAAAAACACAAAAAATCAAAAAATCAACTTAACAATATTACAAGGCACCATATAATTGGATTTTTGACTCAAAATTTGTGTCTTGAATTGTTTTTGGCGCGCTATTCTCGGTTTTTAGAACCGGCAGGGTACGTGCATCCCGAAGGGCTGAAATTTCCAAATGCATGCGGCTAATTTCAGTTTGGCGTTTTTCTGATCCCTTCCCTTCTTCCTGTTTTTTTCAACGGTTCGCCGCCAATTACTGTCTTAAAACTTGGAAACACTCACCCAATGTCTAGTGGAACTGACGTGGAAAACGAGGAGTTTCTTCCTTTCTATGACGATGAAGAAAGCTTCATTCCCCCATCTCCAAGACAGGTGCTTCGTATAGCAATCAACCTGAAACATCTCATTGACTCTATTATTCCTATCACCTTCGACAAGGACTTGATTTGTGGCCCTACATCCCGAATTTTAAATGGTGAGGTAATCAAGTCTGTCTATCGTGCTGCAGGCGGTGTTGGAGATGGTAAACCAGGCTCATCTTCAAAGAGGTACCAGTCCGTGTTGGTGTTTACCCTTTTGAAAGTGTGTCAATGGTACTGGTCTCTTTCTGAGCGTGAAATGTCAGATAACGAGCTGTATGCTTGCCGGGCCTTGGCTGCCCAACAGATCGCTGCTATTATCATTGAGAACGAGAAGGATGAAAAGTACCTCTTTATCTTCCTGCTGTGCCACAGATACAGCATCAACCTCTCAGATCAGGACGAAGCTCCCGAAAGTGCTCTGGAACTAGCTGTCGATATGCATTCCACGATTGTGATTGGTTCCAGTGGATACCAGCGCTGTATTCGTTGGTTGTGGCGGGGTTGGATTGTGCAATCGGCTAAGAGGCCTACCTGCTATGTCCTCTACAAAGGAACAGGAAACACCTCTTTCAAGAACCACTTCGATCCAGACAGAATCAAAACTCCGCTGTACCAGAACATTCTGGAGATCTTGTTTAGTTTCTTCTATCTGGCAGTGTACACGGTTTTGGTCAACCAAGACACCAGAGACTCGCTGAGTTTCTTGGAGACCGTTTTCTATTTATCGACATTTGGATTTTTGCTAGATGAACTTGTCAAATGGTATCATATTGGCAATTCATACTTTAGATTCTGGAATTGTTTCAATGATGCCATGTATGGTTTGGTGCTTGCATCGATGGTGATCCGGTTCACGTCATTGGCATATGCAGTAGACAGCGACCTCAGGATCCATTACGATGTAATTTCTTACAGAGTCTTGTCTTGTGCTGCTCCTTTGATGTGGACCAGACTGTTGCTATTCCTGGACGTGATGAAGTTTGTGGGTACGATGATTGTCGTGATCACCAAGATGATGAAAGAGTCGGCCGTCTTCTTCTTCCTGCTGTTGGTAATACTGGTGGGCTTCTTGCAATCATTTCTTGGACTGGACTCGGCTGATGGTAAGCGTGATGTCACCGAACTTGTTTTTTCGGTTCTGATCAAGACAGTTATTTCCGGGCCGGATTTCGACAGCTTCGAACGCTTCGCATACCCATATGCTACTATACTGTACTACCTCTTTACTTTCATGGTCACGGTGATTTTGCTGAACATCTTGATTGCTCTCTACAGTAATGCATACCAGAACATTGCTGACAACTCAACCGAGGAATATTTGGCATTAGTCGCACAGAAAACGCTCAGGTACATTAGAGCACCGGATGAAGCTGTGTTTGTTCCACCCTTCAACATCATTGAACTTGTCTTTTTAACGATTCCATTCCAATGGTGGCTATCCGAAAAATCATATCTTCGCCTCAGCAGAAGAGTGATGTCATTTATTTACTCGCCAGTATTGGTATTCACGTCTCTGTACGAGGCCAAAGCTGCCAGAAGAGTGTCGTACAACCGCTTTAAGCACAAGGCAGATGATGAGAACGAATACGACACAGAATGGGATCTGACAGACGGTTATGACGATCTTTTGGGCGATAACGATGAAGATGTGGTTCAGAACATGGAGCACAGAATCCGCGAGGGCTTGAGAGAACAGAGATTGGCAGAAGCTCAAGATCCAGAGTTCACCAAGGAAATGAAAACATGGAAAAATGATGTGGCCAAGCTGGTTCCACCAATAGCAGAATCTAATCGCCAAGGTATTGACTGGGAAACTTTTGAGCTATTCCAGAAAATTGAGGATTTGACAGTTCTTGTCCGCACGCTGGCTGATCAAAATAAGGAGTTGATCAGCAGGTTGAAACAAGAATGAATGAGTATGAACTTTAGGCTAGATTTCTCCTGATTGAATACTTAAAAAATCTTTTTCAAATTTATGTTCCGTGGTAAACATTCAACTATATCTGCGCACATCCGCGTCGTGAGATAGAATTGTCAAAGGCCCCAAAACTAAAATATCTGGTAGTGTGTGGGAGAATTTGACATACACTACTAAACGGGTAATTGGTAAACAAGACTAGGCACATTCATACTTTATCGTTTCTGGTTTCAAGTGGTGTCTCTCTGTTGTTTTCTTGACACATATCAACTTCCTTTGATTTTTGGAGGTTATACCAGTATTAGGGATGTCATTCTTTCAAAGTTTGTATGTATGAACTTCAAATATCCGTTAACATCTGTGACATTCACTAACGTTCTTCATTAGACACTTGAATAACAACGGCAACGGGGCCGCGCACACTATTAAATCTACCCGAGGATTTAGACCAAGAGACACAACAAGCTCAGATGCCTCCCAATACCAGAATCCACACAAGGAAATACGCGAATACGCTGAATCGACGCTGGGCTCAGACTCGGCTCTTGCTCAGGCGGTCAAGCTCCCCAAAGACGAAGATTTAAACGAATGGCTGGCAGTCCACATTGTTGACTTCTATAATCAGATCAACATGCTGTACGGAACCATAACCGAGTTTTGCTCCCCAACCACGTGTCCGCGGATGACTGCTACTGCTCAGTACGAATACCTATGGCAAGACCCCACTATGAGGAATTCCTCTGGAGGCGCCAACAAACAGCCGATTTCCATGAGCGCACCAGGCTACGTTGATGCTCTCATGGTTTGGATCCAAGGTTTTTTTGACGATGATATGATTTTCCCTACGAAGATGGGTGTTCCGTTCCCTCCTCAGTTCCAGACTTTGGTCAAGACAATAGTCAAGAGACTGTTCCGTGTATATGCCCATGTCTACTGCCATCATTTCGACGAAGTTACTGAATTAGGCCTCCAGGTGCATCTGAACACCTCTTTGAAGCATTTTGTGCTCTTTGCGAAAGAGTTCAATCTGATCAACAAACAGGATTTCGGGCCTTTGGATGAGTTGGTGACGACGATGCTGGCCGAGAAGAAGTGAGCAAGAGCAGCTGGAGATGAGAAGAAATGGAGATTTGAGAACTATTTGACTCTTCCGAAGAACCGCAGAGAAGTTGCGATTCTTTCAGTTTTTAGGTATATCTAAGCTTATCGAAAATTGATACTAGATTGAGCGCAAACATTGACTTACTCTAAATTTAAGCAGAAGGTAGAGTGAGCCAATGACGTTTTTTGGTGCAGATGCATTGATTTTATTTACATAGTAAACTTATAGAGTACAGCGGGATACCTCTTTGTATAAGTATAGATATTCAAATAACCGCTACTGGGAAGAACAAATTATATTCCGAAAATGGCCAATTCCAGACTCATCTTATCAGCCCCTATTTGAGGCGTTGTGGAGTCAAAATCGATAGACATCAGGTTATGGGGAAGATTTAGCTCTTGCACTACTCTCACTAATTGTTACTGAAACAGGAGGTCTTTCTTCGCCCGCCGTGTGTGACCCTCCAGCAGAACAGATACAGTTGCCAAGGACCCCCCTTTCATACAACAAGGATTCTTCGAGAAAAGATTCAACACTCCAACGTCTGATCTTTGCGTTTGCCTTGTTTTTATCCTAGATTCGTTATAATGTCGAAGAATGGAACCATGACATCCAACATCACCAACCCTGCGCTGTCTCTGTTGTCCCAGCAACAGATTGCTCAAAACCAGCTGCAACTGAGACAGCTTTCACAGCAGCAGCAGAAACAGTTTCAGCAACAACAGCAGACAAAATCTTTCACTTCCCAGAGATCGCAAGAAATTTTAAACAACCTCAGAATCGCTTCAACTTCTGAGAGTAACCCAAAATCGAAAGAGCACAAAGACCCAAGGGACCCGCTGTCAATACTCATACCAGTGAACGCCGATCCTACAGATGTGCTCGCTGCTAGATTCTCCTCTTGGAGGGCAATTATCAGGTCGTTATTGGTATACTTCAGAGAAATTGTCTCAGTGCATGATGAAATAGTCAGACAACAGATAAGACTACAGCATGCCATCACATTCCCATTCCCTGCCAAAGACCTGGATGGCGAACTCTATCAGCCATTACCGGTCTCCTCTCAAAATGGAGCTGCCGGAAAAGCCAATGAGGAATTCCAAATGGCCCAGAAGTTCTTCTTGCCCTTGGGAAATGGATCCGTCCAGGATTTACCGTCAGTGCTGTTGCAGTTCCACGGCTCCAGTGCGCTGAATGCTCAATCAACCTCCAAGGAGTTATCACAGAATATCATCCCAAGACTAGAAGACTTAAGGAGAGATTTGTTAGTCAAGATCAAAGAAATTAAGAGCCTGCAGTCTGACTTCAAGACAACGGTGGGCAGAGAGCAACAGTTGACAAAACAGGATCTCAGCCTGTTCTATTCGTCTGTTGGATTGGCCAAGTCAAATCCTTCTGAGTTGTTACCCAAGAATGACCCTTATTTACTGAAACAGCAACTAGATAGACAGATCAAGAAGCAACTCACGGAGGAGAATTTCTTGCACGATGCATTCAATAATTTGCAGGGTTCAGGGAAGGAGCTGGAAAAGGTTGTATTCATGGAAGTGCAATCGGCCCTCACTGTTTATGCTAGACTGTTGGGCCAAGAAGCCCAGGCTGTGTTTGAAAACCTGGTCACAAAACTGGACAGTGGGATCCTAACCAAGGAACCTCAGTTCGAGTGGGAAGCCTTCGTGTCTAAAGACCCCAACTTTGTTGATCCAAACCTGCCTATGAGAAAGCATACTGATATTGTTTACAAAAACCAGTTTGACTCCTTGACATTGGAAGTGCGTTCTGGATATCTGGAGCGTAAATCCAAGTATCTCAAGTCATACTCAAAAGGGTTCTATGTCTTGACCCCAACGTTTCTTCACGAGTTCAAGTCCCCAGATTTGAAAAAGGATCCCGTTCCAGTTATGTCGCTCAGTCTTAACGATTGCTCTATTGGGGAACATTCCAGGAAAGACACAAAAAACCCAAACACATGGCACAAGTTCGTGCTCCAAGCGCAACAGAACGGTATCATGCATAGGGCACACAACTGGGTTTTTAGAGCTGAATCTTACGACCTGATGATGGCCTGGTATTCAGATCTGAAGAAACTGACTGCTTTGCCAACGCCACAGGCTCGGGCAAATATCGCAGCGGAGAGAAAGAAGCAGCAGTCTTTGCTAAGCTCTTCGGATAAGAGGAAGACCCAACTATCGGTGATTACCGGTGAAGACATCACTTCAGGTGCCGCTTCTATGAGATCTAGAAACTCCATGACCGCAGATACCCTGCTGTCTATTCCAAAAGATAACCCCGATGTTCCTTATTTATCTGATGCTCCTCGTGAAGTGGTGGATGATGCTGCTGATTCCGTCAATGCATCTACTACAAACGTTCCATCTGCGGAGACATCTCAGTTGTGAGGTGCTCGATATAGGTTTCTTGCCCTCTCTCGTTTTCTCGGGCCCTACGAAAACTACAGAAAACAAGACCTTTGTATAGATATGACTTGGCTGGAATACTTTCAGATCACTGTTTGAGTAAGAGAGGCTAAGAAAAGCCAATTTTGCAGCAAGTGCAAGCGTAGAATCCCCCTTCATCAAGATTGGTGGACATTCCGCTAAAGAAAAGCTTATGACTCCCGGAATAAAAATCATGGGGGCATCCTTAGTGAAACGATATAGTGGTTCCATCATCGAATATTTCATACAGCACAAGCCATCACCAGCTTGGCATCTGCTTTGGCAATATTGTTAGTAGAAAGGTTAAGCCGCACTTCTGAAGGGGTTAGGAAGTTAATATCATGTTAACATCAAGAGACTTCATTAGGATCCTGAATAATACAACAGAGCCCCAACTTTATCACTGGTCTGTCTTATTGAAGCTGATTAAGTAATATGACTTAATTTAGAATTTGAGCCGATTTTGCCGTTTTCTCAGGAAATTCAGTAAATCCAATAAATCCGAGGGTAATTTTTGGTTAACTCGTGTAAGATTCTGATCTGCACATCTAAAGTCAACGCTAAGTCTCCTGTAGCTAGAACTGGTTATCAAAAACGAAAACAAAAACTAGTATCACAAAATTCTTCGAGCATATCCCGGGTATTTTTTTACTGCCTCCTCAGGTTCGCCAAGAGTGTTTTCGGTTCGACTCGGTCAGCCTCGCCTTGTGAAGCTGTCAGCATTTGATTGATAACGACACGAAATAGTGGGGCTTCTATTGTCCGACATACGGAAACAAGTCTTTGAGTGATTCCTTGGCCACGCCTTTCCGGTGCTTCAATTGACACATAGATCAGCGAAATATCGAGAAATATATTAATACTTCTCTGTATATTTTGGTGTTGCTCGAACTGTTCTTTTGAAGTGTGTTGGACTCTAACGGCGTTTCCGGTGCAGACTATCTCCTCCAACATCCTTCTTTTGAGGTTCAAAAGACGAGGGCAGATCGGAATTAGCTTCAACAAAAGCGCATAGATCACTCGTTATGTCCAAACATAGAGCAGACGAAAGTGTGAGTGCTTTGGAGTATCAAACTGCACATCCCGAGTTGGGTTCAGAGGTCATGCCTACTTTACTCCCTTCTGAACACACTCAGAAGCCCTTGCTCATGGCACCAGGAGGTATAGTGGCGCCTACTGGGGTGGTGATACAGAAGAAGAAGCGGGCTATAAGGGCTTGTGATAAGTGTAAGTCTGACTTTTTTTCGTTGGTTTACGACGAATACTAACTCAACCAACTAGGCCGTAAGAAAAAGGTGAAGTGTGATGGAAAACAACCATGTATCCATTGTACTGTCTACTCGTATGAATGCACATATGATCAACCCCCAACTAGGAAGAAGGCAATGATATCTCATGGCCCACAAAAAGCTCCAGCTCAACATCACAACAGCCAATACAACTCCAATAACAACTCCGGTAATGGCGGGCAAGCCATGGGCGTTTCCCAGACATGGAGTGGTACGGTGAATCCATCTGAAGATGCCGATATTATTCAAAGGCTACTAAATCGCTTGCGTGTTTATGACGAAGCCCTGGGAAAGCTTTTGCCTGACGCCAAAACACCGGATTCAAAGCTGAACATCAACGCCTTGAAGCTTTTGAGCGTCTTGGAGAAAGTTGACGTTAAGAAAGAGGATCTGACTTTGAAGCAAGTCGCACAGATGTACAATGCCTCTCTCGATTCATCTCCTGGATCCTTTGTTCCGAAGAACAACTCAAACAGCTCAAGTCCACAAGATTCGTACTCCACAGGTATTGATGGCTCATACGAGTCCAACGTGGGAAGGGAGATAAAGATCATCTTGCCTCCAAAGGAGATTGCTCTCAAGTTGATATACACCACATGGGAGAATGCATGTGTTCTTTTCCGGTTTTATCACAGACCCGCCTTCATCAACGACCTTAATGAACTGTACGAGACTGATCCAACCAACTACACCAACAAACAACAAAGATTTTTGCCTCTGGTCTACTCGGTCATGGCTTGTGGAGCTCTTTTCCTAAAAAGTGATCAGGATACATTGAACAACACGGATAAGAATGTCCTAGTATCAGATGCGCAGTTGTCTGTAGTGGAGGATGAGGGTTACAAGTACTTCATTGCTGCCAGAAAACTGATTGACATTACAGACACCAGGGATACATATGGAATCCAGACAATTGTGATGTTAATAATTTTTCTGCAATGCTCGGCACGTCTATCTACTTGCTATGCATACATTGGTATTGCGCTCAGAGCGGCTTTGAGAGAAGGCCTGCATCGTCAGCTCGACTACCCATTTAACCCGATCGACTTGGAAATCAGGAGAAGACTCTTCTGGACTATCTACAAGATGGACATCTATGTGAATACAATGTTGGGCCTGCCGAGATCGATCAGTGAAGAGGATTTTGACCAAGACATGCCAATGGAGTTAGACGACGAAAACATCACTCTGGAAGGCTACCGATTTGATCTTCAAAATGGAAAACTTTCAAGTTCTGGAATAGCAAATGCTCATACAACAGTCATTGTCATCATGAAAAAGATTGTGGAAAAACTCTACCCAGTTAAGTCAACAAAGATTGATAGAAGCTCCACCGACTTGTTGGCCCATGATATAGTTTACAATCTTGAGCTCGACTTGCAGGATTGGGTCAATGCTTTGCCATTTGAGCTCAAGCCAGGCGTTGAACCAAGCATGCGCTATTTGAAGGCCAACAGACTCCTGCATCTGTCATATCTTCACGTCAAAATCATTCTATACCGTCCTTTCATTCATTACATATCAGCAGACTATCTGAATAGGGGAGAAGGGAAAACCAACAACGATCTGAGGTCAATAGAAAAGGCCAAAAATTGCATCAACGTCGCTCGTGTTGTTGTCAAATTAGCCGAAGACATGATCGCTAAAAGAATGCTCAGTGGCTCTTACTGGTTTTCAATCTATACAATATTCTTTTCAGTCGCATGTCTTGTTTACTATGTTCATTTTGCACCAACAGTCAACAGACACGGACAATACGACAAAGAGTATGCTGAAATAAAGAAAGACGCTGATGCAGGCAAAAAGGTGTTGGATGTTTTGAAAGACAGCAGCATGGCAGCAAGGAGAACTTACAATATTTTGAATGCTCTTTTCGACCAACTGAACAGAAGAACGGCCAAAGCAAACTCCTCTGCAGGGAATGTGCAACCTCCCCCCCCTCAATTTCAGACTCCTCAGCAAGGACGTAACAAATTTGAAAGAGAGAAGATGCAAAACAATCAGGAAGCGGAGAGAAAGAAGGAAATGAATAAGGGATTATTGAACGATGAGGTCGACCTTAATGTTTTCAAAGCCCCTGCTCCTCCCCTAAAGAATAATGAGGAGGCTATTCAGTACGGCAATGGCGTCAATTTCATTGATGGTGTGAGCACAGGTATCAATCTAAGCACCTCCATCAGCGAAAACAATAACAGCACTTCTGATAATGCCAACGGAGATGATGATATGAATGCTTCAACGTTTGACGGGACTGAGCAAACGAAGTATGTTCCGGGTATGATGGACCAGCTGGATATGAAGATTTTCGGTAGGTTTCTACCACCATATATGCTAAATTCAACAAGCACTGCTGCCAGTACCAACTGGGCATCTCCCGAGGGCGAATCAGCTCAAGAACAGGCGTTGGATGAGAACAGAGACGATCAATTCGAATCTGACCCTGCCTTTTATTCTGTGAAAGCGGAACCTGGATCAAGTAATATGGATGCTTCTATCAACCAACAATTCCGTGCGAATGAGGTCGCTTCGATGAATAACAATCTGGGTTCGCTTTTCAAGGATCTGAACCCAGTGCCCTCTGGTTTATCTACTACTACTACCGCGCTGCAGGGTGCTGAGGACGTTGATTTCTTCAACACCATACCTGACCTTTCAGGCACTAAACGCGCAAGCGCATCAACTGAGGCTGGTGTGGGTATCAATGAAAAAGAGCTGCAAGGTTTGGACGAGGCTCTATTTCGTGATTGGCAGGCATCTGCCGGTTTCCAGTGATGTTATCTTTAATTTTGTTCAATGACACTAACCGACCAGTAAACAAAAGTCATTAGTAGGGGTGAGCTACGAAAGCGTGGTGTCATGCCCATAAAGAAAAGATTATTGAGCTCATTCCAGAAGAGGGATTGCTTAAACCCCCATGGCTACTCTCAACAGAATGAGAATGTCGCAAACCAAGCAATTAGTCATGAGCAAATCGTGAAGTTGATCAGCCCAGAACAACGATCATACAAACACAGTTAATATAAGCACGAGCGATCCCTTGAAAAGGAACTAGCCGCCCTTTCACTTGAAACACTCCACATAGAAATGTACAAATTGATCAACAAAAACTTAAATGCAAACACATATAAAAAAAAATCCCGCGGATCAAACTACCGAAAGGCCACTAAACTTTGACAGGCCGTGGAAGACAAAGAGTGACTATGAGAATGCAGATAAATGACAACCTGATTTTCAGTAATACTCTGACGAGGCAGACAGGCAAATACAAGGAGATAAACAGAATCATGCTAGTGTATGTATGAAATAGTAGGTAACTGTTTACGCTTAATCGCAAAGACCAACACCGTTTGCAGAGTAATATTGAGTACGAAAATATAACTTCTCGACCTCCGGTATGCCATTAAACTATACACCGATAAATCAACACAACAGCGAAATCACACGTTATTGACACCACCAGTGCTAGGCAATCTTACGCCGGAAAGTTTATAAAATATAAAGATACTTTTAGGCCATAAAGGAATGACGACGAATAGTTGAACCAAGCTGAAAAATGACAAGCTCTCTTCTACTCAAAAATCATAGACATTGTAAAATTGATTTCAGACTCCATCCTCTGTCCGAATTGGGCAAAATAAGCCACAATCGCCAACCATTAAGCCTTTAAAAATCTAAAGAGTTCAAAGTACGAGAGTGCATAGACTACGGCGAGCCCCCTTGAAACATGGGTAGGCCGGAAAAATGCTCTTTCATCCTGTTTGGTCCTGTGGAATATTCACAAGCTTCTCGCAAGACAGATCTGCTTAGAAGACCTAACGGAGTGCGGCTTCTGCTCAAATTGATTAATGACAGGATCTCAGAATGATGCACGGCTCTTACTGTTTTCAACATAAACAAACCTATTAACCAAGTTAATAAATAAACTTTAGATCAGGGGCTCTATAGAGACTTTGAACTCTCTTTATATCTCTTCCTGGATCACATAGAAACCTAACACAAACGAACAGGTTGCCTTCATAATGTTGAATGTTGCGTTTGTCTCTAAGGAGAATTAACTGCTCAACCTCTCTCAGAACTGCCAAACTCTCCTCCAAACTCTCCAAACTCTCCAAACTCTCCAAACTCTCGAAACACCCAACAGTACTCATTTTGCATGCAGTTTTTGGATCAAGTTAATTCCTGGCGATTAGACCTTGCAGGTTGGCTCAGAATCTTTTCCCCACCCTTGTCCTGAAACTCGTTTTACATCATCGTGTCTATTAATAAGGAAACTTCTCGCCTGCCCGCTACTGACTTCGCGAAAGCCAATTTGTATACACGGTGAGGTGCTCCCATCCAGTACCTGATTTGAGTGTTGCAGCTGAGAGCTGAAGCTTTCAAAGTCGAGAAAATGCTGCGCTCTTGAGAAATAGCTAGTGTTTCTAAAATTGTAGCTTTGAATAAGACATATGCCCTTGATAGACACTTTTATTTGACGCTGCCGAGTGTCTTGATTCCATGAGGTATTCGTCTTAAAATGGCTATCAAAAATGCTGCAATAAACGATGATGGCCTCGGCTCCAATTGTTCATAGCTGCGGAAGGTGTCTGAGAAACGCTACTTTATGTGAAACCGAATATGTGTATCAAGAATCGACCTGACCGCAGCGGGGGAGTCTGAACGTTAATTAGACTGAGATAAATTTCATCCGATCTTGGGAACTAAAGCTTGTTCAGAATAAGATGTGCTTTATTTTTGGATATTGACAGTGGTGCTCTACTTCAGAAACCAGCCATTACCAGGCAATTAACATGGCCATTGCTGTTTTAAACTGAGTATTTTGAAATCTTCAAAGTTGAGTAAACCAACTTGAAATTTCTTTTACTTCAAGATCTGGAATACGGTAAGCGGAAACGAAAATATGCACCGAGCAGTAATGGGCAGTTAGACTTCTCAATTAAGTTGTTGGAAGAACAGCAAAGCCTTGAAATTTATATGGCTGATTACTGGTGTGCTGTGATCGTTTGGCAATCTCACAGCGCTCCTATTTTTACTCACGATTGGTGAATGAAAGAAATTACTTGAAAGATTACTGCCTGAAAGCATTTGGCTGCGTAGAAGCACCAAGAAACGCAGCGTATATTTGATTTCTGCATTCAATACATTGTCTGTAGTCGTCTTTCTTGTAACAATCTCAGCGAATTCTTCTATGTCAAGATGTGTCTTGAGAGGTTGAAATTGATTAACGTGGGTTCCACAATCAGGCAAATCAGACCATCTTTCCTAGAAGAATTCTGTCTTTGATTCTAGATGTCGTCAATGCTAGAGAATAAGTATGTAATTCAAGATACTAAAATTACTATGAATCGAAGGGTACGTACAGACTTTGGTCTCTCCCTATTTACGATTTGATCACACAGAAGCCTAGTTAACAGAACATGTTTTCTTTATGATGTTGAACGTTCTGTTCGTAACTAGACAGATTAAACTGCTGATAATATTCTCAACACTCAACAGTCTCAAAATGATATGCGTTAAAATGTAAATTACTTTGCTAAGGAATCTTTCATAGGAAGCATCTCTGTTTTCTCACTAGCTGTGTCTGTTTGAAAAAGTGATCAGAAATGACTAATTCATCTCCTAAACTTGAACTATACGGAAGTGACATGAGGTTGAAGAGCCTTGATTTACGGATTTTTCGTCCTAATATGACCTTTTCATTGATAGCCGCCGATAAAGAATCAGAAACGCATCTACTTAGTTAGTTTAAACGTCAATTGCCGACGACCAGAATAGCCATTGTGAGTGAATTGGGAAATCGAGATAAGTTTGAAAGGAGAAGACTGTGGGAGTTCTGGACCTCATCAGGCGACATTGTCCGGCGACTTCTGCGGTTTTGTTCTTGATTTTAACAATTTGCGTTTGTTGTCGTAATTTAATCGCCGGGTTTCCTTACATTTTAAACTCTTTTTGAGTAGAAGAGAGGCTTGGTACTGATCGAATTATTTTTCTGTGGTTGTCTCCGGATAATGATTTGGGAGCTCTTAGCTTCTAGTTACACCAGATTATAACAGTCTATGGCAATTGGTTGATTAATAGATGTGCGCCGATAGGCTTTTGATGATTGAATGACTGTGATTTCGAAGACCATCTAAGAAATATTGTTTTGAGGTTATCTCTTCTGTGACTTGCCCTCCTATCAGTTATTCTCCAAATAGTTGATCCTGTTATGGTTTTGCGGAAGAGGATTTTAATCATAAAAACTGATGAATGGTGCTGAGTGTGCTAGTCTACTCGAACGTAAATCACTCGATTCTTATTATATTATAGGTATACATGTAGAGCCCTTAATTTAAGAGACTGTATAACTCTGATCACTAAAAATTGCCTTGTTGTTCTAATATTTTTGTAATGTGTTGTCAATTTCATGATAACTTGCTGGCGATTTTCTATTTTATGCGTTTTTTTTGTTTTTTTTTTATATTTCTTCTGTCTTCCTTTTTTGAACAGCCGGGTGTTCTCTTGCTTTCACTTAATATTGAGCGCAGCAGCCGCTTGTGGATGAATATTAATCTTGTCAAGAAGTTCGTTTATGTCTACACTCTCACTCTCAGGTTTATGTATTTTTCTGATGTTGATTGAGGTTGGATTCTTGGTATAAACGATTCTTTTGTTTAGTGTATTGGGCGCAACTCTATTACCATAAGGTGTTTTTTTTTCAACACAAGGCGATCGAAACGCTTTGATATTATCTTAACCCCACGTTCTTTGACCCACCGGGTTGTACGTTCTTCTGTCACTGTTTGATGAGCTGAGAGTAAGTTCTGATTCCCCCCGTCGGATTGCTAGTAACAGCAAGGAGGATTCACACTGACTCTTGCTTTTTGGTTGCTGTTTGGTTGTTGTTTTTTTCTAATTTACACTGTACACTTATCATTTCAATCTGGCTTTTTACAAATAGCTCTTGCACCATTACCAAAATAAATTAGTTCATCCACTAGATTAGTGGAGTGGTGTGCTTACATGATATGATTAGGGGGATCACGTGCAGATTATTAATCCGTAGCTGAGGAATTTGTCAATGCTGACAATGCACATCGTGATTTGATAAGCCACATATTTACCCGGAACCGATCTATAAAGTCTCAGGTTTTCCTACAGGTATGCTTGTCTTTTCATTATTATCATCAATTCAATTGATTGAAAGCAAGCAATTAACATAGGTAATAAAAGATGTCTTATAAGCCTGTCGTCGCCGTTCTAGGAACCAACGGGTTCTTGGGGAAGCCTATCTTGGAGGCATTGCAGTCGCCAACTTTTTCGGCTAAATACACTCTCCCGATTAGAGCGCTCACTAGGGACAAGTCCAAGTACGAAGACACCGACCTCGTGAAGTATTACGAGATTGTTCCAAATGATGCAAACTCAATTGCGGAGGCTCTCAAAGGAGTGGACGTTTTTGTCAATGTTGGAGGTGGAGCCACTGACCACGGTCTGGTTTTAGAAGGAGTTCTTAAAGCTGGGGGAGTAAAGCTTTACATTCCTTCGCAATTCGGAACTGCTTTGTCTGATGCTTCATATTTGCCAATTCTTCAAGGAAAGGTTGATCACAGTGCAAAGGCCCGTGCTGAAGGACTGAAGACTGTAGATATCTACACCTCGTTGTTTGCAGCTCCAGGTTCGTTCCTCTATGAAGTCATCGCAGCAATCGGCTTCGACAAAGACAGCAACACCGCAACCTTCAGGGGTGATCCGGCTGCCAAATTCGATATCTCTTTCTTACCCGATATCGGAAAGAGTGTTGCTAGCCTGAGTGCTCTAGAGCCTTCCACTCTTCCGGATGAGATCAGGATTTCTTCGGACCAGGTTACGCAAGAGGAGGTCTTGGCGCGCTACGAAAAGACTCATTCCGTAAAGGTTGAACGCAAGTCTATTTCGAAGGAAGATGCATTGAAGTATGCCAAAGAATTGCTTTCAACCAAGGGCTTTGATTTTGCTGATTTTTTCCTGTACCTGCAAACCTTTATCTCACAAGGTGATGACAAGGGACTTGCTTTCACTAAGAATGACGACGAGCTTGTAAACCCTGGCGAGAGTCTTTGGAAATGGACCAAGTTTGAGTAGGAAATGAGATTTTAGTTAGGCAATTTAGGTTTTTCTAGTTTAAAAGTGATTTCTCTGCTCAATTGAGCTTCTGTAAATATTCTGAACTCCGTGATATTAGGTTTTGGCTCTTTGCACACTATCTATCGGTCATGGGCCCTGGGACCTTTTTGTTGACATTTCAAAATTTTGCGAAATCAAAACACATTGAGAGAAACCTTTGAATTCATCTAGAACTGGTCGATTTGAAAATATAACTTGTTGATTTTGTTTACTCTATCGCAAGATACTACTTCATTGAATTTTGATCATTAGTTGTGATATGACCAGTCCCAGGAAGAGACCAGCTGACAAAGATGTCGCTGAGGTATGTCTCCTTTCATTGTTCGATTCAACAGCAAGGGAGATCTGAGATTTGAATTCATTGATTTCCAAAATCGAGAATTTTAGTCTGGAAATGAATGGTATTTCTGGACAAAAATCATTAAATCTGGCCGCCAGCCTTTGATGTCGACCGCACCTGACTGTCATTAGTCCCCCTTGCTTTTCAAGAACGTCTACTAACGAAGTCATCCTCTAGGTTCCGTACTACGATGATCCCAACGACTTAGTCAATCAGTTTATATCGACATTGACGACTCCTCCGGATAATGTGCCCACAAATGTATCAAAATTTTACAGCAATTCCAAAAACATGCAGAATGAGATTCAGGCCTACGCTAAGATTGCTGGCAAAGACTGGACATATTATGTGAAATCCCTATCTATAGCGGTTGGCAGGAATGCGGAAAGCTCTTCATCGGAAAGTACTGAGGAGAAGGTTGACATAGATTTGGGCCCTTCAAAGGTGGTTTCGAGAAGGCATGCAGTCATCAACTACAACCTTACCTCGAGAAGGTGGGAGTTGAAAGTATTGGGCCGCAACGGGCTGAAAGTAGATACGGCAAAGGTAAACATGTCTACAGGAAGCCTTGATGTGATTGCTCTGAGATCAGGTAATATCATCGATATTGGAGGCACGCAGATGATGTTCATACTGCCCGACTCAAGTCCGGTTATCGCTGATGTTTTCCAGCACAACCTCAGATCAAAACGATTGAAAGAGTCTGGAAGACCCAATGGATATACTGCATTTCCTTCGACAACCTCAAACATGAAAGGATTCCAAATGTTCAACAAGTCCGAAATGCGTGGTGCTGAGGTCAATCTACCATCTCCGTCACACACTCCAGAGCAAGATTTGTCCAAAGACGAAGCCAAAGATATCAAGCCTCCATACTCATATGCTACGATGATTACGCAAGCGATATTGTCCAACCCTGATGGTATATTATCCTTATCGCAGATCTACGATTGGATATCTACTCGTTATGCATACTATAGACACAGCAACCAAGGATGGCAGAATTCTATCAGACACAATCTATCGCTGAACAAGGCATTTGAAAAGGTTCCCAGAAGGCCAACGGAACCAGGAAAGGGTATGAAATGGCAGATCAGCGAGTCTTATAAGCAAGAGTTTCTGAAAAAGTACGAGGAGGGCTCGTTGAATAAGGTGAGAAGAGGAAGCAGTGTCTCAAGACAGCTACATTTGCATTTGCTGAGGTATAAAGCCTTACCCGATAGCAAGGCGCCCATGGCAGTGAAACGAGAACTTGAAAATAAAGCAGAACCTCTAGCTCAACAGCCGCAACCGTCGAATCCAGATGAGTTTTACTCAAATATCTACACCAAATATGCCAACTTCAGGTATCCTCCTGGAGTTAATCCCCCCGCAGCGCAAACTGCGCCGCTGCCCACTAACAAGCAGAGCGATGCCCTCAGCTTCATAGCTGCCGCTGCAAACATGAGCAATCATGCGGATACGCCCACTGATACAAAGAAAGGACTGGCTCCAGAAGTCTTCCCTCTGAAGCCTCCGTACTCCGCCGAGTTTCGCACAAACCAGCTACCGCAAGTTCAGGCAAGAAATGATCCTATTGCACTGAGATCTACGTCAACTCAGGCTCAGCAATCACAACCTGTGTTGTCTCATTCACGCACCACTAGTCGCGAGTTCCTATCACCCAGTCCCGCAAAGAAATATCAAGTGAGTGCACTGGAAGCGTACACGCCTGAAAGAGGCCGTCCCAAGGACGACGCTCCAAATGGTAGTGCTCAACGGCACGACCACATCCAGTCTTCACCTGCCCTTTGGAATTTTGTCCAGTTCTCAACTCCTCTAGGTCCAAACGATGGAAAAAGTAGTGGGGCGAGGGATGAGGATAATGACAACCCCGCGATCCTGGGTAGTCCGTTACGTCCTGAACAGAGACAGAAACTGAAAAGCGAAGCTGATGACTCGGCGCGTTTAGTCAGCTCCGAAAGTCTTGGAGACCTCAAGGATGTCGATCTGGCCAAAGGGTTCAAGAATTGATCCACGAAAAGAAGCATCTTGCTTCGCGTCATGTTTTTGCATATTTTCTCGTATGTTCTAGTCTTGATCATCTCTCCCAGGCTACAATATCATGCTCTGATAAGAATTAATGTCACAAACTAAGTATAAAAAGTAGCAGATGTTTTTGGCTTTTATTTGGCTGCAATCTCCAAGTAATTTGGATCATCCTTGTGTTCCTCATACTCGTTATCCGAAACAGTCTCGTAGGTCACCACCTCTTCGTACTCGGACTCGACATCCTTAGAAGGAACAATCTCATTCTCGTCTGCTTTTGGAGATTCGTCAACGACCTCAGTAAAAACAGGCTCCGAAATTATTGGCTTCTCTTCGACAGAAGTAGCTACAGAAATGACAGACTCAGCTTTGGACCCCGTCAAGATCGTAGACACACCAGCTCCAGCAGTGCCAGCAACTGCTGCTTGAGCGACAGGAGCCGAGATCTTCTTCAAGCTGTTGGATCTGGATGACGGCTTAGGAGTTGAACGACTGATAGAGTTCGACCTGGACTTTGGCTTGGAAGCTGCCGTCAAGGAGTTGTTTCTCGAAGCACTTCTCCTCTTAAGCTCAGAAACCGGAGTGTTCATTCTTTCAATATCATCTGGAGTGAAAAACTTCATTGCATCATCAACCATAGAAGGTCTTCTTTTCAAGGACGTAGCAGGTGGAAGCTCCGAGGCCTTTGGTGCATCCGGTTCATCCACCTCGGGAATGTCAGCAAAAGACTTCTCACGGCTAGGAGAGCTGACCTCTGGTGAGACCGAAGACTCGGAAGGAAGAGCGACAGAGGAGGTGATATCCTTAGCAGTAGTGGCAACACCGCTAGTAGCAGTAGTGGCAGCATTTGCGGCAGTTGTGGCAGTTGCTCCAGCCACCCCAACAGCTCCACCCAGAACGGCACCAACACCAACAGCAGAAAGCTCCTTTTCAAGCTTAGCCTTCTCAGCCTTCAACTTGTTCAGTTTCTCGAGCTCAGCAATTTCCTCCTCCAGCCTCTTCTTCTCTTCTTCCTGTGCCTTTTTCTTTTCCTCGGCAAGCCTTGCCTTTTCTTCTTTCTCTTTGGCAAGTCTCTCTTCCTCGGCGATCTTCTCCAGTCTAAGCCTCTCTTCTTCGGCCTCCTTCTCAGCAAGAAGTCTTGCCTCTTCGGCCTCTTTTTCTGCCTTCAGTCTGGCCTCTTCAGCCTCTTTCTCGAGTCTCAATCTCTCTTCTTCTTCTTCCTTGGCGATTCTGAGTCTTTCTTCTTCTTCGGCCTTCTCACGCTCAATCCTTTCTCTTTCGAGCTCTGCCTCGATCCTCTTCTTCTCGGCCTCTTTGACGGCCTCAATTCTGATTCTCTCAACTTCCTCATCCCATTCCTTAGAGGTCTGGTGAGCTTCTGCAAGCTTCGTGGCCCTGGCCTCGGTAGCAGTCGTGGTCAGGAACAAAAGTTTGGCATTGCGAGATTCAAGCTTGGACTTCAACAGCTCGAGATGGGCAGTTGACTTGTCTAGATTCTTCTTGGCAAATTCATGCTTCTTAGTGATCGCCTTAACCTTTACTTCGCTCTCTTTCTTCTCAGCCAAAGCGGTTGCAATTAGATCTTCATGTTCAGCCTTCTCTGCAAGCAGGGCATTGAGAACATCAATGCGCTGTTGTAATTCCAGCTCTTTCTCAGAAAGTTTAGTCTCGATTTCATCTGCCTCGACCTTGCTTGCTTCACCAGCAGCCTCAAACTCCTCGATCTTGGTTGGTTCAATCTCTTGTTGGGCCTTGGCCTCTTCCAGAGCTTTAAGCTTGGACTCTTTCAGCTCAGCAGCATTCTTGTGGAGGTTTTCCTTGTCGGTTTCATGGGTTTCAGCATCTTTCACCTCTTTCTCATCAGCATCCGTTTGGTCCTTCTCCATCTTGGTGTCCACATCACTCAAGAACTTGGAGTGTGCAGCTGCATTGGCTGCCATAGTATTGGCAACTATCTTCACTTTTCCATCGAAATCAGCAACAATGCGGTCATTTTCCTTGCTGACTTTGGCCTTAAACTTGTTCAGCTCTCTGCTAATCTTGCCCTCTTCAGACTTAGTGTAGGCGTCATCAGCAGCCTTCTGACGGGCAATGTCGTTCTTGATATTTGTGCTGACCTGTTTGTCCACCTTTGCTAGGATTGGCTGGACTCTTGACCTGGCGATCTCATAAATCTGAGCTTCGGTGAGTCTTAAACCGGCACCTAAATCTAGAATCTTATCGGGGTTACCAACAGCTCCTTTAGACATAGCCTCGGTAGCCAAGAGCTTATTCTCCTGGTACCTGTACAACATCTTTGGCTTGGATCTCAACTCCTTTTCAAGATCGTCAGCCTCCGGAGGCGACAGGTCAATTGGGGCTGGCTTCTCCTCTTCAACTGGTTTTTCGGCAGTTTCTCCGGCAGTTTCTTCGGCAGTTTCTTCGGTAGTTTCTTCGGCGGTTTCTTCAGCTGGCTCTTTGACCTCTTCTGCAGTTTCAGTGCTCTCTGGTTCGGCAGTTTCGGTCTCTTTGGGGGCAACTTCAGTACTTACTGACTCAGCTGGTTCAGTCTCTTCTGCTTCTGTAGTCTCTTCGGTGGCCTCAATGGCCTCGGTCGCCTCGGTCTCTTCTGGAGCGGTTTCCTCAGTTGCAACCGCATCTCCGGACTCGAGAGGCTCCTCGTCTTCAACAGGCTCTGCATCCACCTCTTTCTCTCCATCAATTGGCTCTTCTGACTCTGCTGTGGCCACGGTTTCGTCGGCTTCGGTGGTCTCTGTTTCAGTTGCTTCAGCTGGCTCAGCAGCAATTGGCTCGGTTGCTGCCACAGGTTTGACAGGAGCAGCAGATGGTTTCTTCACAACTTTGAGTGAAGTTTTTCTGAATGGTGAAATCCAAACCTCGGACTTCTTGTTGCTCTTTGCAACCCTTTTCAATTGCGTCACGAGAGGCTTGGCCTTGGGTGTTTCACCCGTTTGAGCCTCGGAGAGCAAAGTAGCAATTTCGGAAGAAGACATTAGGCCTTATGTTCAACCAGCAAAATGCGATTGGGTTCCTTAATTAGCAAAAATTCTCGGGGTTGAGTATGCGAGGTGTATACCTGGGCGAAGCAGAGGGGCTTCCCCAATTTTAAGGGGGATGTGATAAGTGAAATTTGGGTGCCGCAGGTGTATTTCCCAAAGCGGTAAGTAAGCCATCCGCTTTCGGGAAATTAAATTACGTGCAATAATAAAGAGGTTCAGGGCTCCTAAGGTTTGCGATGCGGATTAAATGTCCTGTTTAACCCCATAGCTGGAGGGTTAGAGCTGTTAGTAGGGTTTGCCAATTTTGCAAAACTCGCTGATATTTGGCCAGTCGGATGTCATTAGGCTACTCACCACTTCCAGAAAGCGATTACAGTCATCGTCCCACAATGCAGCGTTTATCCCACGCTGAGCTCAACTGTGTCACCGAGCCAACCCGGTTATCTATTAATGAAGACGGTCACTTGATCCAGGATCGATCCGGTCGCACGATAACGCTTAAAGGGATCAATTTAGATCCTTCCATGAAGCTCCCGGCTGTTCCGGTGGTTCATTCATATGATTCTGCACGAGATGGACTATTCTGGGATAGCGGTGATCGAGTCTCGTTTGTGGGTAGGCCGTTTCCCTTGGAGGAAGCCAGTACGCATTTCAAAAGGATCAAATCATGGGGTTATAACACTATCAGATATGTTTTTACATGGGAAGCTATTGAACATGAAGGTCCGGATATTTACGATGACGATTTCATCGATTACACTGTGAAGATACTGAAGGTTATAGAGGAGGTGGGTGGATTGTATGTCATCATTGATCCGCACCAAGATGTTTGGTCCAGGTTCACCGGAGGCTCTGGAGCCCCTCTGTGGACTCTTTACGCTGCCGGATTTGAGCCCAGAAACTTTTCAAAGAACGAGGCTGCTTTTTTGCAGAACACTTATCCAGACCCCCACAACTACCCTAAGATGGTGTGGCCCTCCAATTACACTAGACTTGCAACTCAAACTATGATGACTATGTTCTTCAGTGGAAGGATGTTCTTGCCCAAGGCTATAATTGGAGGAGTTAATATCCAGGATTATCTGCAAGGGCATTTCATAGAGGCCTTCAAATACCTGGTGGGCTCGATAAAGTGTCTCGTTCCGGAGCTCTTCAACACCGTCATTCTTGCTGTCGAAAGTCTTAATGAGCCAAATTGGGGCATTTATGGCAATTCCAATATTGGGGAGTTACCCAAGGATCAGCAGTTGAGGATCGATACTACTCCAACTGCATTTCAGGGTATGAAGTTGGGAATGGGGTATGCGGAACCAGTAGATACCTACTACATCTCTGTGTTTGGACCCCGTAAAAGCGGAACAAAACTGGTAGATCCAGATGGTGTAAAAGCGTGGATCGACGACGATTCTATGGATAAGCATTATGGATTTCAAAGAGATCCCGGATGGAAGTTGGGCACTTGTATCTTCGCGCAACACGGAGTGTGGGATGCCGACTCCCGTGAGCTGTTGATTCCAGATTACTTCGCAACAGATCCAAGAACAGGAGATTCTTTGACTACAGAGTCGTTCATCAACATCAACTTTGTTCAATTCTACCAGGGGTACAGGAATGCCATGAGGCAAGTTGATGATTCGATTATGTTGATCATGCAAGCACCGGTGTTTGAGATTCCTCCCCACGTGAAAGGTACTGCTCTGATCGATAGTCGCACTCTTGTAGCTCAACACTACTACGATGGAATGTCACTGATGTTCAAGACGTGGAATAGGAAATACAATGTGGATACATTGGGAATCATGAGAGGAAGATACTCGAACCCGGTGTTCGGGGTTGTTCTGGGTGAAAGCAATATCAGGAGGTCCATTAGAGATCAGATGAGAGAGCTTGCAAGAGAAACTGTTGAAAATGTAGGTAAGGTGCCGTTGATCATTACAGAAACAGGCATGCCTTTCGATATGGATGACAAGATTGCTTTCAAAAATGGCGACTATTCGTCTCAGATGAGTGCGTTGGATGCCATTGGCTATGCTTTAGAAGGTGCTCAATTGTCACACACCTATTGGTGTTATTCGCATATTAATTGCCATGAATGGGGTGACCGTTGGAATAACGAGGATTTCTCGTTTTGGTCCGAGGATGAGATCCAAAAGACTGCTTTGGCGGACTACAGTCAAGTAAGCTCCAGTGACTCTGAAACGCTCGATAACGTGGACCTTGACTCTAACGTGTTTCCGGGGACTCGCGTTGCCGATGCTATCATTCGTCCATATGCAGCTCTCGTCAATGGTGTGATCACCGAATGCGAATTTGATCTGAAGTCGGGAAAATTCACGCTTTCTATCGCTCCTAGTGATCTCAAAGAGCCAACCGTGGTTTTCCTTCCCCAGAGGCATTTTAGACCTGGCTATTTCGAGGTCACAGTCTCAAATGGATACACCGAACTAAAGACGAGCAACACAATTCAGATTCTTGAATGGTATTACGACAATTCTAGCTCTGAAGTTCAACTTGAGGTCGTTAAAGAGGTTGACAACGAGCTCTACGAGTCTTCCATCATTCAGTCGTTAAACCTGGCAGCCTGTGGGTGTTTTTGAGCACCAGCACCCTCAGGCTAGCATCATTGGTGTTCCTCATTGGAATGGTACGGTGGATTTATATGTTTTGGGAATTTTCATGATTTATGTGGTAAAATCGATAATAAATTAAGGTACGCGAAAAACTATTTTTTTTCCAATTAAAAGTCTAGATTTTCTTTATTCTCCGTCTTTCTCTTCGCCAGTTCCTCTTTATTCAAACCCTGCACAAACCTGTCGAATATCTCGACATAGGGCTTCAAACAGGACTCACGACCCTCGCTTCTCTCCTCAAAAAGCTTCTGCAAAGTTGGACCACTCAGAGGATCAAAGTCTCCGTCTTTAGGATCAAAAGGAACACACACGTTGCCTGTTTTGGGATGGATACAGAATGGTGATTTCAGCAAATGGTTGAGTTGTCTGGAAACTTCGATATCCAACTTTGGATACAGACAGCTTAAAATGATCTCTCTTTTCCAATCTTGGTTCAAACCGGCAATGGTTCTTGAGCTCACGTACTGGCCCTTTTCAATCAACTCATCCACATCCTTCCATTTCTGCAAACTGGACCGGCCAGGTTGTGCCTTCCATTTCGAGGTCAGCGCATCTTTGAGCTTGGAATCTGGGAAAGTCTTGGCAAGATGCGTGATTGCCTTTTCGTCATCCCTCCATGGATCTTGGTCTTCCATGATGATTTCCTGAAAAGACTTCGTACACATCTTCAAGGCTCTTTCAACCAAGGGATGGTATGGTTTCCTCAAAGAGAGTTTATCAGATCCGTTCTTGCCACTTTTAAGCATCACATACTCGATAATGGACCGTCTTTTGCTCTCATCAAGTACTCTTGCTCTAGGGTCGCTCACCCAACAATGCACACCTCTTCTTCCCGAAAACACCCATATCAGGTTCTCAAACCCAAAATCCTCTCTTAGCGTAACATCCATGATGTTCACGGCCAAATTTATGAATTTCCAGCATTTCAAACAGATATCTGTTTTAGCACAACACGTTCTGATGTCGTCGTAGTCTGTCAGATCGATATCGAAGTTCAACTCCTTCTCCACTGGCTTCAAATTTGCAGATTTCTGGCCCTTGATCTTGTTCTTGAGATTTTCGTTATAGATAGCACCAACCTCGAATCTCGAGGGGGAAGCCTTGACAATGGCATCCTTGAACTCGTTAGAAGAGGTGAAACAGCAATAACGTTGGTACTGGGTGTTGAAATGCTCCATGGCAAATTCACGATGTCCAAATTTTAAATTGGGTAATGGTGAGTGATTTAGCCAGGCATAGATCGATTTGAACGGAAGAAAGTGTTTGTAGTATTCTTCAAAATCTGCCTGTGTTATCCTTGAAGAGGCTGGCTGGTCAGAGACATTTGCGACGCTAGTCACAGTTTCTTGGGGCTTGCCAGCCAATTTTCCAGCTTCCTGTTCAATGTTTGTAACATCCTCAAGAGTCATGTTTATTGCAGAAGAAGAAAACGCAAAGAAGACAAAGCTCAAGCAGAGCCTCTACAAGTTGAACTTCTGAAAACGCGTCTCGATCGCGCGTTCTCTATCGTGGCATGATCCTGAACTGGTGCACGACCCTGAGTAAAAAACGTCGTGTACCCCAGTAAAAAACTTCACTACGAAAAAAAAACGTCGAAGCTTGTGCGAGTAAGGAAACAAGACATTGCCTCTTTAACGCTGTTTTCTAATCTGTTTATTCTTTGTTGAGTAGAAGATTGAATCGGTAAGTTTTCATTTGTTGGTGTTTAATGTTTGTGCCCAGAGGATTGACCACAAACGCCCCGCTTGGATAACCGCCTTAACTAACCCCATTCTCAGAAATGAGTGAAGAACTAGTTCAAAACGCTCAAGGACTTTCCTTGGACGAGAACAACGGTGACAAGACTGTTTTGGACTCAGTTGATGAGTTCAATGTCAAGCACCCTTTGAACTCCAAATGGACCTTGTGGTACACCAAGCCTAAGGTCAGTGACAGCGAGGAATGGTCCGACCTCTTGAGACCCGTCATCAAGTTCGGTACTGTCGAGGAGTTCTGGGGTATCTACAACTCTGTCCCAAAGGCATCTGATCTGCCCATCAAGGCTGATTACCATTTGTTCAGAGATGACATTAGACCAGAGTGGGAAGATGAACGCAACAGTAAAGGTGGAAGATGGTCCTACCAGTTCAGAAGAAAGAGAGACGTTGACATCAACGAGCTCTGGATTAGAACTCTGTTGAGCGCCGTGGGTGAGACCATCGAGGATGAGGAGAATGAGGTTAATGGAATCGTCTTGAACGTGAGAAAGTCCAACTACAGGGTTGGTGTCTGGACCAAGAGCACAAACGCCGACTCCTTGAAATCCATTGGCCAGAAGTTGAAGCTTATTTTGAAGTTGGACGAGAACGACCATGTCGAGTTCATTTCTCACGCTGATTCCTCTGCCCCAGCCTTCATTGTTTGAACGGATGATGCTAAGAAAGAGGAGAATGCTACGTAAGAGGAATGCTGTGTAAAAGGAGTGCTACGTTATACTTTTTAGGCTTTCTAACAAAGGTTTTACGATACGACTAGATCAGGTGGAGTGTAGAGCATAAATGTCAAACTTGATTTCACTTTTGGAAACTAACTAATGTACAACTGCACCAGAAAACCTTGTGTGTGGCGCTAAATATCCTAATAACAGGCCTAACCTTCCAACAAAACCCCAGAAAATATCCTTTGTGGAAAAATTCCTCGATATGATTCATTTCGTTTACTTGACCCCCGCGTCTCCTATTTCTTACAACATTGCAGCTAGCATAAGCAACCCTCCAGCGATACCCCCATACACAAAGTCTGGTTTTGCTGCTCCATTTGTGGTAATCGTCTTCATCTGGTACTCTCTAACGGTACCCACCTTTCCTGAAATGGTTCCTAGTCCAATCGAGCCCCTGGAAGGAGTCTCCACAGTAGAATACATAGAAACAAAGTGCTGAGTCCACAAAGAAGGCAACGTCAACAAGCCTCCGTTAGTTGTGATTGTCACGTACACAACCGTAGACTCAGATGTGGAGGAGGAGGTCAAAGCCTCAGAGTTGGTGGATGAGACTACTCTCGTCAGGCTCGTGGAGTCTTCATCTGAAATGGTGGATTCCGAGACAGTGGTCTTTGCGGCTGCAACTCCAGCTGCTGTTGTTGATGTGGATGGTATAGTCGTCAACGCCTTTGTTGACGATGTTGTCGCTGCTATTGGTGTAGTGACTCCCGTTGAAGAGCTTGAAACAGTTGTTACAGCGTTTGCTTTGGTGGTTGCGGCCGCGGTCGACTGGGTAGTTGCGCTTGTCAAGGGAGTAGTCGCAGTAGTCAATGGCGTAGTGGCAACCGTAGTAGTATCAGCAACTGCTGGTGTTGTAGTAGTAGGAGTGGTGGCTGCCAATGCAGCAGCTGGCGTTGTGGTAGTAGGCGTTGTGGCCGCAGCTGCTGCGACAGTCGGCGCAGTTGTTGTGGTACCAGCTGACATTGCCTGGCCAACCAACAACAGCACTACACCAATGGAAATAGATAGCCTCATAGCAATATGTGATGTTTTCGAATGTACAAGGTGACTCCAGCACGATTTGTGATCAAATAACAAGCTTTGGTCAGTGTTGCACAAGCATTTGCTAGTGCTGAAGAGTAAAGGGAGTTTTGTCTCGTTTCTTAAATTTCTAATTTTGGCTGCACGGGCGAAAATGGCAGTTCCCTAGTGTCGGCACGGAATCCCGGGAAAAAGCGTGTCTTTGGGTGGAAATTTTACATAATAAAGGAATATTTGAGGTTTTGGACACTGAAATAATTCATTCCTCCAATTTGACACGGTTTTGACCGATGAAAGACATCTCTCGGCCAATCTTTGTTCCCGTTTCAACCTTCCCTCGTTCTGGAATGAGGCCCCGGTAACCCTCCAACATTGCAACTAGTCCCTCTTTTCAAGGGCTGACTCGTGCCTATTATCAGATACAGTTTGTGTACCCCAATGGAGTCTGACAATTCACTACGCCTTACGCCTCCATCCCCATTCAATGTCTCAAAGAGATATTTCTGATCCCGTTGCCGGCTCTTCTGCAGCAGCAGCTGGAGCTCACAGGAATATGAGTCGACCCTCTCAGCCAGCGTTGCGGCCAAAACGCGCAGCTGTGAACGCGAACTCACCCTTTCATGGACCAACCAATCCTGTTGGTCACCACAAACAGTATGTTCTTCTGGCGAACAAAACTCCCTCGACATTAATGCTGGATGACACTTCTTTGGACAAAAAAGCCAGACCGGCATTGAAGCATTCGGCCTCTTCGAAGTACATCTTCAGTGTTGATGACAATGAGGATGAGGTCGAGGCGGATATCAACAGAGAGTATCTGGAAGGGTATCAAGATGGTCTCAGACAGAGGCTGAGGAAACCGAAGAACCAGGCCTTTTCCGATAATAACTCTGAGACTTCTTCGTTGCGAAAGAGGGCAAGCATATCCGACCCCAAACAGAGAGTTGCGGAGCTGGAGATGGACATTGCCTCAAAACTGGCCACCACCAGTAGAGAGATTTCTTTGCTGCGAGAACTGGAGGGAGATTCAATTCACAAGCAGACATCGTTTCAGGAAGATGGTGAAGCATATGCTGGTGATTTGACGTCGCAAACGGCAGATGGTGCGGAGGAGTACGCTGGCTCTGATGGTGATAACGAGTCCATTTCGTCCGTGGAGAGTTTTACTCTCAGGGAAAGGCAAGATGCCATCAACAGTACCCATCCCTTTGGTATAAGGATCTGGAAGCCTGCTATCTACAAAAAGGTGAGATCTGTTGAACGCGAAGCCGATCTGGACATCCATTCTGATGCGAAAGAGGCCCGCAAGGTGCACGTTTGGGTATCCCTTTGCAATTATTTGTGGTCGCTAACGTTTGGATTGTTTTTATTTCTTATTTGTTTGGTGGCTGGCTTAATAACGGTGGTGATCTCTTTGGCGTTGGGCAACGACAAGGACTCTTTGAAATACGGCAAGCTATATATAGATATGGCTCTGTACTTGCTGTATCCTTTTGGGAAGCTCTTGTTGCTACACCGTGATCAGCGGTATTTCAACGAAGATGCTGGTGAAGGAAGTTCCTTGGTGGAATACAGAAGATGGAGAACTCAGGAAGAAGGAAGGCTGTTCTATGCTCCCCAGCCCAAGCGAGGACCTTTCTCAGAAACCTCTCCTTTGGTGCAGACGCTCAATGGAGCTCGGTTGCCTTCTGAGGATGAAGAAGATGAAGACGATGTTCGGTTTTACAAGAAGAGATGGCTGGGAAGAGGCAGATGGTGTGCGGGTCGTGTTGTTTTCTACCTGGTGTTTTACCTCTTCATCGAACCGGTCTTCCTGGCGATCTCTTTGGTTGCCTGGCTGGGGGTTTTCACCATCCCAATGGCCAAGATAATCACCATTTTCTCATCTCATATCCGCCGCCATCCTCTTGGACTCATTATGGTAAACGAAACCAAATATCACCAGGCAAATCTGGAGTCTACTCATACTAACGACAGCATCCTCATCTGCACCTATAGGTCTTTCGGGCTCCATTACTACAAATACACTGTTGATGGAACAAACATTTTTTTTATCAACCTAATCTTCCTTGTGGGTTTTGTCATATTTGACTTTTATTTTATCAAGGAGTATTTGGAATTGGACGTTTTTGTTGCGAACGAATCGCTCATCTTTGCACTGTGCCTTATCAGCGTGATACCATTGGCATATTTCATTGGCCAGGCCGTGGCCTCCATTTCGGCTCAGACCTCCATGGGATTGGGTGCTGTGATCAACGCGTTTTTCTCGACTGTTGTCGAAGTATTTCTGTACTGTGTTGCACTTAATCAGGGAAAAGGCAAACTGGTGGAGGGCTCCATGATAGGCTCAATCCTGGGTGCTGTTTTGCTCCTTCCGGGAATGTCCATGTGCGGTGGTGCGATCAAAAGGAAGACTCAGAGATACAACCCGAATTCTGCCGGTGTCTCATCGACAATGCTGCTGTTTGCGACCCTGACCATGTTATCGCCCACTGTGTTATATCAGATCTACGGTCGATACCAGCTCCAATGCAGTGCCTGCGAGTTCGGCGAAATATCGAATTTTGCCAACAACGGATCTGAAAAATGCCAAAGATGCCATTTTATCCAGCCTCCCCTGGCTATGGATGAACTCTATACCAAGTACTTGAAGCCATACTCCATTCTGTGTGCCATATTTCTCTTTACTGCCTATTGCATCGGTCTGTGGTTCACCTTGAGAACACACGCTGCGCTTATATGGACAACTCCGGTCTCTGCGGAGAAGCCCAAGGAAGAGACCAATCCTGTTGGAGGTGCGGGCCCTTTGGTTTCACCATCCCCTAATCTCCGCTATACTGAGCCGCTTCGTTCGCCCAGTGCATCCCTCAAGGCGGATGCCAAATCCAAGAATGCGACCCAGCCAGCGGTGGAGGCTTCTGGAGGCCATGACGCTCCAAACTGGTCAAGATCCAAGTCCACAGCAATTCTCCTCGGTGCAACCTTGGCATATGCCATCATTGCAGAGATCCTCGTTGACTGTGTGGATGTGGTCTTGAGTGAGTTCCCCATCAACCCCAAATTCCTGGGACTCACGGTTTTTGCCCTAGTGCCCAACACCACCGAGTTTGTGAATGCTATTTCCTTTGCTATGAACGGAAATGTGGCTCTTTCTATGGAAATCGGTTCGGCCTACGTTTTGCAGGTATGCCTGCTTCAAATTCCGGCTCTGGTCATCTACTCCATAGTCCAGGCCCAACGCTTTTCCGTCTCCAACATCAATAACATGTTCACGCTGATATTTCCGCAATATGACTTCATCTCGTGCCTGATGGCAGTATTCCTGTTCGTCTATGTCTACGCCGAGGGAAAGTCCAATTACTTCAAGGGCTCCGTTCTAATCCTGTTATACCTGGTGCTGACATCTGGGTTCTACGCCGCCATCGAAATCGACTCTACAGCCGAAGCTGCATTCTAATATTAATATTACTTGACTTTCTATCACTTTCTATCACTCCCTCCTAGTGCTCATTTGAATGCCTCCTCTATGGCCTCCTCCAGCACCTTCAACCCTTCAATGATGACATCGTCTGCAATGTTCAGTGCTGGGACGAAACGAATCACGTTTCCACCAGCGGTGATCACAATCAGGCCCTTATCTCTGGCCAATTCCGTGATCTTAGTGGGGTCTGAGGTGAACTCAAGACCCAGCAGCAAGCCTTCACCTCTGACTTCCTTGATGTTCTCGGGGAACTTTTCGCGCAATTCGTTCAACTTCACTTTGAAAAGCTCGGATTTCTGCTCGACCTTCTCCAAGAAGTCCTTCTGCTTAACCTGCTCCAGAACATAAGCTCCGACTCTGGCCCCGAGAGGGTTACCACCGTATGTGGTGCCGTGATCTCCAACCTGGAGGGCAGCCTCAACATCCTCGGTAATCATAGTAGCAGCAATTGGATATCCATTTCCAAGGGCCTTAGCCATGGTAAGGATGTCCGGATGCGCCTCTTTTGGCAATTTTCCATGTGCCCACAGAGAACCGGTTCTACCCAGACCGCACTGGATCTCGTCGTAGATCAACAGCGCCTTGTGCTTGGTGCACAGTTCGCGAACCTTGAGCAAAAAGTCCTTGTCCATTGGTCTAACACCACCTTCTCCCTGAATTGGCTCCAGAATCACACCACAAGTTTTGTCGCTGATCAAGGCCTCCACAGACTTTATATCGTCCGGTTTGGCAACCTTGACACCAGGCACCAAGGGCGAAAAAGGGCCTTGATATTTGGGGTTTGGAGTCACAGACAAGGCTCCCATTGACCTTCCATGGAAGGCCTTTTCAAAAGTAATAAACTCGATCTTATCCGCCGAGATCTGAGTCCCATGCTTTCTGGCGAACTTGAGAGCAGCTTCGTTGGCCTCTGTTCCAGAATTGGCCAAGAACACTCTGGCAGCATTGTGCATTGCCCCCGACTCTTTGGTGGCTTCTACCAGATTCTTGGAAAGCTCACCGGTGTACAGATTGTGGAAAAGGTTCGAGGAATGCACCAGAGTCTGCGATTGGTCACAGAGGATCTTAGCGACGCCTGGGTGCGAATGACCCAACGCAGTCACGGCAATTCCAGCCGAGAAGTCGATGTAGCGATTGCCTTCAATATCCCACAAGTAACACTCCTTTCCTTTCTCGAAAACAATGTTTGGGCGAGAGTATGTCGTGACAGTGAACGGATCCCTCTCTGCAATGTAGGCCGCAGAATTCTTAGACGAGGCAACAAACCCGGTCGAGCCAAAACTGCGGACGGGCCCCTTTGGGGTTATAATACCCACAGAACGTGCTAGCGCTTTCTTAGAAGTAAATCTCAACATTTGGCGGGCTGCTGAGTGGATGGTGACGAGGGTCCGTTGTCTGCAGCGGCCTAACAATCTTTCAGATGAGTCAAATCAGGAGGTCGTGTGTTTATTATAGTTACCCGCCCTTGCTTCGGGCTTTTTTCAGGCTCCAACGATATTTGTAACTTTAAAGGTAATCTCAGACTCCAGTCATTTTGATAGAAATATTGATATTTGTTGAGAATGTCTTTGACTCCACAACAGGCTTTCAAGAAGTTGCCGCAGACACTACAAAACTTCTTCACGAGGTACCCTCCCGCGCCGTTCAAGAAGTATGCTACCGAACCCACGCTAACCAGCGCTGAGGACGCAAACCCATTTCTTTACAACAGACACCCTGTGACCCAGAAGGTCCAGGATCCAATCTACTCAATGAGGAGACAGTCGGATCTGTTCAAGTTGGCTTATAAGTTCGGCGTGGCCGATCTGCTGCCTGCGCTGAACAACGACAAGAAGTTCTTCCAGGAGAAGTATGACACAAAACCAACGCTGAGAGGTGTGACATCGCCAAAGGGTCACAAGTGGGAGAGAACTTTTACCAAGAGAAAGACCAGAATTGCGGACGCGTTGGACAAGGTGGACGACATACTGATCGAGGCCAGAGGTACCAAGTACAAGAAGAGACTGGAGAGAAGGGAGAAGGAGAAGAGAACCTGGTATTGATTGGGGCTTGTATATATGCATACCGATATGAACTGTTGAATAGAAATATATTTCCGCACAAGCAGGTGTAGCACACGAGCAGAGGAAGTGACACTCTCACTGGAGAGGCTAAGATGACGTGCCGGAGAGATTAGGAATGAGGAACTCAATTGTATTTGTTCAAAGCGCGAAAACTAGAGTCTATTACGACGAATTCGGCAATCTTCTGAAATCAGTCAAAACTGGCAATGAACCTACACATCCATGAAGTCCAAAGAGTCTCTAACTTATTTCTATATCAGAGATCCAGATGTCTAGTTGGATGTTTTCATTAAAGAGATGAAAATGTCAGATTCTCTCAACGCTTTTTACCCAAATTGGAAGATTTACTGGAAAACTGAATTTTTGCGGATTTCTTACCAAAATAATTAGAATTAAGTTCAAGATTATCTCATGGATAAGAATATAATGCGGCGTGAAATTGGGCGATCCACACCTATTTCTAACTTAGAACCACTCCACTACAGCCAACTGAACACGTTAAAACCACCAAATTCAATCAAAAACAAATAAACACAAGTATAAACATAGTAAACTTCTACTTTGAATTTTGTTAAAAACTCCTGATCCCTAGATTCCTTCCAAAACGCGTGGTATTTTCAAGTAGGCGCACGACTCCATCAGTATCGAATTCTGGCCCCACCCACATTCATGCATTTGAGAAATAGCCGAAAGGGATTGAGCCAACCCCTTGACAAACCACCAAAAAAACTTCAAGTATTTCCAGATTTTGCGAATTCACCAACTAATGGTGCTGGAAAGACTTTACGGCTATAACGTGCTGTTCAAAGCTCTCTCCACATTGTTTGCTCTTGGATTTGGCGTGGCAGGCCTCTGCCTGTTTGGGGTCTACAAGTACCAGAACAAGCTGGTCTACCCTGCGTATTTGAATGATGGTCATGGAAAGGTTGATACCCCGGATCAATATGGGATGAATTCGTACAAGTTGGCCAGAATCACTACCAAAGATGGTGAAACTCTTTATGGGTACTTGGTGACGCATGATCCTAACAGCGTAAGCTACACCAACAAGACAGTGGTGGTATTCTGTCCAAATGCTGGAAACATTGGTCATTTCCTGCCAGTGGTGCAGATTTTGCACCTGACAATGGGATATAACGTTTTTATCTATTCATACCGGGGATACGGCAACTCAACTGGGGTGCCATCGGAGGCCGGCCTTAAGATAGATGCGGAACGCATTTTGGAGTATCTCTGTGAAAACGAACAAATAGCGAAGAGCTCGTTGATATTCTACGGAAGATCTCTTGGAGGTGCCGTTGCGATTTATCTGGCCTCACAACACCCCGACAAGGTTGCTGCTTTGGTTTTGGAGAACACCTTCTTGAGCATCAGAGAGGTGATACCCCACGTTTTCCCCTTGCTTGCTCCGGTGAAAGGTCTGTGTCACGAGGTGTGGGACTCGGAGTCTGCGATTCAAAAAATCCCTGCGGATATTCCGATCTGTTTTTTCAGCGGTGAAGATGACGAAATTGTGCCTCCTTCTCACATGGCCAGACTGTGTGAGTTATCGAAGAGCCGGGAGAAAGAGATGCACATATTCCCAGGGGCCAAGCACAATGATACTATTATACAAAAGGACTATTGGGTTTATTTCCAGCAGTTCCTGGTTTCTCGGGTGAATCCAAGGGGGAGGTGAAAGGCGAAAATGAACTTTTACTGTCATCAGCACCAAGAGGACTCCACGTTATCAACTACTGACAGGCGGGAGACGACTTTACAGACTTGATTAGAATATGGCAATTGTAATTTACTGCTGCCAACTAACCATTCATAAATATAAATACACTCTGATTTCTGGCCTATAATGCCAACTTGTCTATGTTGGTCAGTTTGCATTGACCTGCGTTGACCTGCGTTGACCTGCATTAACTTGCCTGTACTGGTATCTAGTTAATTTTCATCCCTTCCTGCTATCTAAGAGCAACAAATCCACACCCAGCAGGGCAATCTGTTTCACCTTCCTCGAAAAACCACCTCTTGAGGCATCCAAAATGGCCCCTATGGCCACACTCAAGCAGACACACCGCCATGCCCTTCACTGCCTCATGGCAGTAGATACACCCTCCCAACGACTTGTTGCACCGATCGCAATACCAGAAGCCAAACTCAATCTCAGGATCGGTCTGGAGTCTGTTTTTGGTATTCTCATTCAAAATCAGGGACCCACAGTTTCCGCAGAATGTCCTCAGTGAGACATCTGTCTGGCCCTTTTGTTTCAATGAATCAAACAGATCACTGGCCACCTTCATGACATTGGCTGCCACCCCAAAGAGCGTTCTTCTGCACAGAATCTCGTGATAGGAATACACCCAGTCCTCGGCAGTTCTGTATCGAATTCCTCCATACTTCTTTGCAAACAACAGGGCCAATGTCGCGCTCATAATTATGTCTCCCTGCTGTGCACTGTAATCAGACGCCTGTTGGATCATGCGATTGGGCGACCAGGGAACATTTAAGTGGAACTCGCCCAAATCCTTTTCTGTCTGTTCACTCTTAACACTTTTGAGCATTTCAGTCAACTCGCTCCGACCACTAATCCTCGAAGCAGCTCGCGATGTCTTGAGCAGAGGCTGAACCAACAGACTGGTATTGCCCTGAAGCTTCGTGTCCACCTTTCTCATCGAAGAAGAGAGACTTGACCTCAACGAATACGGCGATTTGCTTGAAAAATTGGGACTGGGGGGCTTCTCATTGTCGAAGTCTGGTGCCACTTCCCCTCTGAACGTGTAACGGTTGCCAGAACCGTTTCCAGACTTGACGCTTTTGTTAGGAGACTTTCCTATCGGAATTGCCTTGGTCTCGGGATCATGGTCTCGTTCCACATTCTCCATGCTTGGCGGAATTTGAACGGGTTGCTTCTGCTCACTTTCATTCGGCTCTTCACCATCTGAGATTGCATTCTCGTTATCCAAGTCAGCAGCATTCTCTACTTTGCTGGCTTTACTCGCCTCAGTCATCCTCAGTTTCTCGAACCTTTCAGTCAAATTGCTTCTACTCTCGGGGGAACTTTGCATACTGAGACCTGAATAAGTTCTTGCCTTGGCCATCTCCAAGTTGGCGAGTCCGGCCTTGAACGACTTGGCAAACACATTTCCAGGAGATGAGCCTATACCAAAATGGTCGGATGGGGCCGATCCCAGCGCGGTATCAAAACTGGATCGCGAATCAACGGTCATCATGGAACCACGTGGAATCGGCATTCTCTTCTGTTCATTCACATGTTCCTCGTAGAACGCTGGATCATGCGTATTCTCCATCACCGTGTTGCCATTTTCCTCTTCGGACATCTGCCAGAGAATACTGGCTTTGATTGTTCTCCACGTCTGGCAGTCTCTGAACTTTCTGGCACTTGCTGCAATACTGGCGTTGTATTCGCAGAGAGAGACTATGTCCATTCCATCTGGAACGCTGATCAGGTAATGAGAAGCAAGAAACTCAAAGACTTCGGGACTACTATCACGAAGCGGTAGGTTCACTGGACACATGTACGGCGATTGGGTCTGGATCTCGGTATCTGAAGATGCGGGTGGAATTTGAGACGGCGTCCTATTCAGCTGGGGTCTGTAGCTCTGAGATCTCGCCATCACAGGCGTAAATTTCATATCTGCAATGTTGGTGGAGCTCATACTCCAAGGCGACGTTGAGGCTGAGGTCTGGGTGCTCTGGGCATGAAGGCTTCCAGTCGGTGATAATTGCGCATGATTGGAATTCGTGGGGGAAGCTACCAGTTGCTGAGATTGTTGATACCTTCCTATGGTCTCAGAAGAACTCACCACTGAGTTTGCAGCCGGTCTTGCGGCCGGAACAGCCAACGTCTTTTCGAACTGATACTTGTTCTGTTGCACAAAACAGAGTTCAGTGCCTGAGCTGCTGTTCCAACCCACAACAGCAGGCGGAACATTATCCAAAGGCCTTGGAAAAGTCTTGAGGTCATCCAGAACTAGCATTCTGTCTCGTGAACAACTCCAAATGCTGTCGGCGGAGGCCCATACGAGTCCTGTGACCTGGTTAGAATGCGACTCCACAGTCTGTTTCGGTATATACTTCCTTGACAAATTCCACACTTGAACACATGGATCGTCATTCAGAAATGAAATTGCAATGTCCGTACTGAGCAGCGAAGAGGTCTCGTAAGGACACCAACTGGCTTTGGAAATGGCACCGGAAGTGCTGATCACATAGTTGGGCTCTCTGGAATCGGTAGCTGCCATATTCCATACCTGGAGTTGTTTGTCTCTTCCACCACTCAGAATATAGTCATACTCAGGATGCCAGTCGAGACTGAGCCCCGGACCGGTATGAGCGGTCATTCGTTTCTCGTACTGATTGGGGTTTCTCATGTCCCACATCTTGATGACTCCAGAGTCAAATATACCGGCTACTTTTCGGGCATTGTGGGGCGAAAACTGCACACATCTTACGGCATCCGATATTCCATATATTGTCACAGCAGCACGGTTTCCCTTAGAACGCAAATCCCAGATTTTCATAGTTCCGTCCTGCGAACCAGACACCAAATTGCAAGGGTTCTGGACGTTGAAGTCGATGGAATTGACTGCGCGTGAATGCTCGTTCAAAAGCCCCTGGGCCTTGAAACCTCTCTGAACATTATAGGTGTATATTGAGCCGGAAATTGTGGCCGCTGCAAACACCTTGTTGAATTGTGCATGACCAAACTTGACGTCTGAAGCAGACCCGAACTTGGTGTTCCTGGAGGAGCTAAAAATGTCGCTTTCAACCACAACTTCGTTGCCCACCACCTTCAGCAATTGCAGCATCTTCTGTCCACCTACCGCCAAGATATTGGAGGAATCGTGGCTTTTTCCTACACAAAGGATCTCTGCTGGCGCGTAAAACTGAACCGCATTGACTGAGAGTCGGTGATGATGGTGGAAAGACGGGGAGATCGAGGAAGCCGTTCCCGAATTTCCTGTACCAACTCCACTGGACCCGCCATAAATGCTGAAAGCTAATCGGGCGAAATTTCCGCTCGATCGCCTGGATCCAGCAGAGTTGCCGATGTAATCTTTCATCGTGGAGCCCGAAGACGGGGATCCCGACAAATTAGTATTCCCCGGGCCGGAACTGGCACCTGTCGATCCATGCGGTATCTTTCGACCATCATGATACGACATAATCGACCAGTTGGAAGAATCGCTGCAGTGGAGTCAAAGATGTTCTGGCTCTGAAGCTCCAGAAACGAACTGACTGGTGTATGGAGAGACTCAGATGGTTGCACCGCCTTGGTGCGCCTCATGTGGCTGAGGCTGGGGAAATGAAGGGTGGATTCAGGGAAGAATAAACGGGAGAAATTAAAGGAAATTAGAGAGGATGGTTCCAGAAGGAAGTTTGGAGAAATCAGTATACTATTAATGTCTTTTTTATATGTGGTAGTAGAAGCATTGAGGGTGTTATCGGTGCAAATGCTTGGTATGGACAGAGACATTACTCAATCATAGTTAAGATTCTCAGAATTTGCAGAAAAGTAGCCAAATCAGTGGGCCCAATTTTTTTTTCTATAAACAAAAGGTACTTTAGTGGAATGCTTCAAACATAATCTAGTAGATTACTGGACGGACACAGAAACACAAGTAACCGAATGAATGTCTCTCTATACGTAGAAAGTCCTTCAACACCCAGACGCACTAAGAGGCCTTGCCTAGTAGTCAATGTAGACCAGCCGCAAAGCCGGTATTTTGATTACTAGAACGTCTTAACATACGATAATGTGTATGGGTGGTGATAATATCCAGTCCTTTTCCGACAAAGTACAAGGTTTCAACAAATTCCTGCTTCCATCTCTCATCTGTTGCCTTTTCCTATTTCCGGGCTTTTTTTGCGACGCCGCGCATGAAAAATATGCGGCGCAAACATGGTAATCACACATACAAAAAATTTCAGACTTTCAAGTCGCAAGCTGCCAACAGACATGAACCCTGAAAAATATTAAAACCAGAAACATGGTTTTTCTGCAAGGTATATTTGTGGGTGCCAATAAGGAGTTGAACTCCACCAGCTATAGTACCGAAACGGGACTGCTGGTATATGGTGCAGGGAGAACGCTGGCAGTATGGAACCCAACTGATGCAAGCAATAGGATACTTGGAACTTTGAAGGGTCACACGGCCGAAGTTACCTGTGTGAGATGGTTGAACTCAAAGACACTTCTTTCAGGATCTGAAGATCATACCGTTAAGGTGTGGAGCTACAACCCAGACGAGGAAGCTGACGATATAATCCAGCGATTCAAGCTGACGAAAGAACTCAACCAGCATACAGGCTCATTAATCACCCTTGAGACTTTGCCAGGTATCTTTGCAACCGGAGCTGCTGACGGTCAGATCTGTTTGTTCAGTGGTCTGGAATTGGCTGGAAAGTTCACAGTTAACGCAAACTTCTATCCTCTGGCGTTGAGTCTGCTCAAACTCAATGATGGCTACATCTTGTTCGTTGGAGGAACTAACAAAAAGCTCTATGTCTACTCGTTTGGATTGGAAAACGATGAAATAATCAATCTAGAACAAAAATATGCTCTTGAAGGTCATGAGGACTGGATCAAGACGATTACGGTCAAACAGGAATCTGAAGGAGAGTATCTCATAGCAACAGGTTCCCAGGACCGTCACATACGACTCTGGAAATTGAACTTGGATGACAAGATTGACGATTCCGACAAGGACACCACCAAACTCAGACTTCTATCTAACAAGCAGTACAAGTTCGAGGTTGGCTCAACAAGATGTTCCATTTCGTTTGATACCATTCTAATGGGCCATGAAGATTGGATATCAACGTTGGTGTGGCATCCCACTCAGCTGACTCTTCTGTCGTCTTCTGCAGACACCTCGGTTATAATATGGGAGCCTGATACCATAAGTGGAGTGTGGGTGGCTCGTACAAGACTTGGAGAGCTGAGTATCAAAGGTGCTTCTACCGCCACAGGTGCCTCAGGAGGCTTTTGGTCTGCACAATGGATCTTTGGAGCCGGATCGCAGTTCATTCTCACACATGGAAAGACAGGATCGTGGAGACTCTGGAAGAGCAGCGAATCGACCGATTCTTTCGAACAATTGGCTGCTGTTACTGGCGCTACTCGCGCCGTCACAGACCTGAGTTGGTCGCAAAATGGAGAGTATCTCCTCACAACTTCCTTGGACCAGACAACTCGTCTCTTTGCCCAGTCAACCACGGGAAAACAGTGGCACGAGTTTGCAAGACCGCAGATTCACGGATACGATATGGTCAGTGTTGCATCTATGCACGGTGCCAAATTCGTTTCTGCTGGAGACGAGAAAATTATCAGAGTTTTTGAGGAGCCCAAGTCGGTGGCCCTGATGCTAGAGAGACTCTGTGATGTTCACGAGTCCAATGTGGAGGTGATGCCACAAAGTGCATCTTTGCCTGTGCTTGGACTTTCAAATAAGGCTGAAACAGACGAGAGCCAAATGGAGACAAATGGCGACGACGACGAAGAAAACGGTCCAGCAGATGAAAATGGTCAATCCTTCGATATTCTGAACGAAGTTACGGCTGTTCCCTTGGAGGACCATTTGCAAAGACATACTCTCTGGCCTGAGGTGGAAAAGCTTTATGGTCATGGATACGAGATCACAACTTTGGCTGTTTCTCCAGACCAAAAACTGGTCGCCAGTGCTTGTAGGTCCAATTCGGTTGCACATTCCGTGATTAGAATTTTTCAGACTTCAAATTGGCAACCTTTGGCTCCTCTCAATGCGGGTCACGAGCTCACGATAACTCGATTGAAGTTTTCGCCAGACAGCAAATATTTGCTTTCTGTTTCGAGAGATAGACAACTCTCTGTATGGGTAAGAGAAGAGGGTCTGGAGTTCAGATTGCTCAAACTTCAAAAGAAAGCCCATACGAGGATTTTGTGGGATTGTGCTTGGCTCCCACAAACGGTAACCAAGACCAAGTTCTTCACGGCTAGCAGGGACAAAACCGTCAAATTGTGGAAAATAATAGACTCTGATCTCGAAATAGTTTCCTCGGTGAAACTGGCCGATTCAGTCACCGCAATTGCTGTTTTGGACAGAGACGATGATGGTAAGGTGATTCTGGCAGCTGGTCTTGATAATGGGTCAATCTCCATTTTCAGAGTAGACCCCGAAACTGGAGACTTTTCTTTACAAGAAGAGCTCATTAACAGTATCACTCCGGCTCTACGGGTTTCGCGTTTGTCATTCCGTCCATCTATTAACGGAACATTAATTGAACTGGCTGCTGCCTCGGATGACACCACCACGCGAATCTACTCTGTGGAGACTAATTAACCATTCCGCAAAATATTAAAATTCCATTCTTAATTCATCCGAAGTATCGTCTCATAACTAATGCACTCACACTCTTTCTTGATGCGTGGTATACCGTTCACCATCTCCTTACCAATTGTAGCGTCACCCCAACCAAGAGGAGCTGGGCCCCACGTAGGAATGAAACACATTTCGTTCCAAGCACAAGTTTTCTTGCACTGATAGAACGAAGACCAGTTTAGTTGTTCCAATAAAAATGTTATTTTCTCGTAAAGAGCAGTTATCTGTTGATCCGAAGGAACCTCAACATCCGCACTCACGTACAGATTATCTAGGATCTGTCTTCCCACCTCAAAACACGAAAAGACCACTTCGATGATTGATTCTTGAACGTGAGTAATTGCGTCCCATATCAAGAAATCCGAGCGACTGATTATTTTCTGTCTTGGGTGAGCCCAGTCCCAAACTGCCATTTTCTTAGCATCCTTCCACTGGTATGCCAGATCATGACTGTAAGAACCATCCGTGTATCTCCTCACAAAATTATATGTGTATGTTGTGAGGTTGCGACCAAGACTGTCAATTGTGTAGGCATCACCAGCAGGGTCCTGGGTCAACGAATAATTGTACAGACTCAGCGACTGACTCATCAGCATCAGAATGGGACCGAATTTGTTTTCGATGTCTAAGGTGACCAGTCTCCAGTTAGTGCCTTTGTAGGGATCATTTGCAGTACTCAACATTGAAGCAATATCAGACTGGATTTCTGTTCTCTCTTCTGACGAAATATTGTGGATTCTTCTGAGATACGGGTCAGGATTCACGTACGTTCTGTTCAGGACGGTGACAAACTTGGTGAAGTCAATCAGAATCCGGTTTTCGTCATCGTAATGTCTGGAGCCCGCCTTGTAGTGTTCGTAGCCACTCATAGCCTCATAGACATCGACAATAGCGGACCTTTCCTTGGGTAATCCTTCTAGTGCTCTTTTCGACTTTGAGTTTGGCTCGTCCTTATTGCTCTCAGGTTCGGCTTCAGCGTGTTCTTTGCCCTCTTTTTCTTCCTCTTTTTCTTCCTCTGGTTCCTCCTCTGGTTCCTCCTCGGGGAAATTTATGATATCAGTGACATTAGTCAACCTCAAGTTTTGGACCAGTTCCAATTTATCACTTTGAAAGTCGCACAGAATGATCTCAAATCCGATCTCCAGTCTGATAACTCCGTCGAGTCCACCATTTTTCTTGCCCCAGTCACAAATAAGCTGGGCTCCTATTCTTTCATCGTAATCATCATAAGATTCCAAGTTCGTCATCAGAAATTGCGTGTCCATTTCGCCGGTGCGGGTTTTGGCTGCGGATGCTCCTCCCAGATAGATCAGTTTATCTAGCGGTGCAACCGTCTGAAATGTCAGCAAAGACGAAACAAAGTTGCCAGATCCAGGACCCATACCAGGGCCCTTTCCGGGGCCTTTTCCAGGACCATGCTTTTTTCCACCCGGCCCACCAGGCCATTTGCCTTTAGGAGGATGTCCCGGGGGCCCGTGGTGACGACCACCCTTTCTGAACATATGAGCGAAATTGTAAGAGAACTCATAATCCATGGCCATCCACTCAAAACTGGTGGGAACTTTCCCGTCTCCGTTGGAGTGATAGAGCATAGTGCCCTCAGGGATATAGGCCGGGAAGTAACTCACTCCAATCGGGTTAATATCGGCATTCTTCTGCTTCAACGCGTTGTTGACCTCATTGAAAATGGCAGAGGCATTGTTGAAATCCATATCAGTTAGAAACTGTTCGAAATTGTTGCGATTAATCTCACCGTGCAGAGTGATGGGAATGACATCTCGATGTGTGAGCGAACTGTCAACAAATGGCCATGAAATATAAGCAGCCAAAAAAACGTTGATCAGCACAGAACCAATGATCATTCGGTTGAGCTGAGTCCAGCTAAGCATCTCGAGGATCTTCATGATGGTCTAGGAAGAACCGATGGGAGTGAAGCAAGAGGGGATATCGCTTTTTTTGCATTAAGGAGTGGCTTATCATTTCGGCATCTCAATTGGCTTCAAATACCGAGACGGCGATCAACCGGATTAGGAAATTTGGGTGGTACACAAGAAACTGTCAAGAGGCCGACAGATACTGGTGTAAGCTACAGAATCCAATTATGCCTACGCAGTGCAGTGAAGATTGTGGAAATCGGTTTCAATTTCATTTAGAATATGGTGGGCTATGTGTTTTCAATGTGTTTTCAAACGCTGGGAATGCCCGCCATTATTGTCCCCCCCACTTACAGCAGATATGGGAACATCGCTTTTCTGTTCTTGGGATACCTTTCGCCAAAATCTTTCCTGTAACGGTTGTGCTTCTTGACAGCCCAAATATACATCTGGCCCGTACCGACGATCCAGAACAGCCAGGAGCTCCAGTTGTTGTTGAGCATTGCAAAACTCAGCCATCCCATGGACTCGTAGAAGTAGTTGGGGAAAGACACCATGTCAAATCCGAAACCAAAGGGAATCTTGCGCTCTTTCGAGCCGTCGCTTCTCAGTTCCGACAGAATCACGTGTGTTCTGTAGTTTGACTGCTGGGCGATGACCCAGAAAGCAACGAGGCTGAATAGAGACAAGTCTGATGGCTCTGCAACGTGAAAAAACCACTTTTTCCAGCCGGAGGTGTAATTATTCTGAGAGAAAATTGCAAAACTGATGTTGAGAGCACCCAGAATCCAGTAATGGGCAGAGTTTCTGAAAACGTAGGCGAAAGGCATGGTGCTCAGCGAGAACTGATGGACGAACAACGTTTCGTATTCCCTCTTGAAAAAGTGCAAAAGCAGCATCCAAAAGCAAGCAATCTGGACACGGGTCATTGAGTGAGGATCGTACACGAAGAAGTAGAAAATTGCCGGAATAAAGATTCCTCCAAAGTACTCGATCACGTAAACCAACCTCCAGCTGATCTGGGGGCCCAGGTCTTTGACCTTGACAACGAAGCTTCCATCACTGTCAAACTTGATGCCATTGGCCTCCAGACTGAGATCATAGTTCAGTTTCTTAGCCTTTGGCTTGGTAGGAATCGTCAGGTATATCCTGTTCGGATCCAGCTTCATCTTCTCGGCATACGCAGTGACGATACTTTGAACAACGGTGCCTGGAGTTGTATGCACGTTCAAAGGGCGCAATTTGCCGCCTTTCCTGACCGGCTCAATCGAAAGAATGTATTCGGACATCGTTGGAGATCACGGCTTTGTGTTGTGGAGCATGTTCGGGCCGAGAACAGCAAAGAACATTGGAAGGTGGCAAGTAGCCAGGGCTCCATAACAAAAGACACCGGCGTCGACCCCCGGCCACCAGCTGTCCCACAACAGGGTGGGGGTAATATTTGGAGAGGCCAGTGAATACTGGAGATTAAGAAGAAATTAGAGAAAAGGTACAACTTCAATCTTAGTTTTGAGTTTCAGCTTTTTTTGGCTAATCTTGCGAACGTGGTTTCTCCCATATTATCGTCCAACTGCGGCGCAAAAACGTATCACGCACTACTTTGAAAACTTGGATCTCAGATACTTTCCATATACAAAGACTTTATCAAAGACTTTACGAAAGACTTCTTCACAACGTACATCCACAAGCTATATTAAATCACAATGAAGTTGGTCAGATTTTTGATGAAATTAACAGCGGAGCAAGTCCAGGTGGAACTGAAGAACGGTACGGTGGTGCAGGGCACAGTCATTTCCGTTACACCTTCGATGAACATCAACCTCAAGAACGTCAAGATGACAGTGCGGAATAGAAATCCTCAGTTTCTGGAATACATCAATATAAGAGGGAACAATGTGAGAGTGGTGATATTGCCCGATGAGATCAACCTTGATTCTTTGATTTCGGAGGCCATGTTGAAGCCAAGGATAAGGGCGAAGACTGCTGGTAGTAAGAGCGGAAAGGACGTCAAGCGCAAGGCCCGAGCCTATTAGACTTAAAAAATGACGTAACTCTGTTTCAATTTTACTAATGACAAAAATTTCACTCCGTAGGTAATACAGGATTGCAGGGTTCTAAGTTACTTGTTTATGTCATTCTTCATGTCGTTCATTATGTCGTGGTCTTGGCCCATCTATAAGCCGTCCTCAAGCTCTTTTTCAAATTCTTCTTGAAGAACACTCTCCCTCGGATCGATCAACTCTTGCTCTTCTAGCTGAAGACGATCAACAAGACGCGGCATCATCAAATCGCAAAACTTCTCTTTTGTTAAGAGATCATCCACCAGCTCATCCATATGAATCAGCCTTTTCTTCATTCCATCGAACAAAACCAGTTTTCGATAGTCCTCCAGTAACGGTTCCAAAGTCTTGTACACTTGCACGGAACTGGAAGTCAGCCTCACGTAGAGCGCAGCTAATGCTGTAACGTATTTGAAGTGGGGTTGTCGTAGCAGATAGTTCACTATCTCTGGAGAAGGCTGGATTTGGAGCATCTTGAGAAGCAAGCACATGAATATACACGGCTTAGTTCGGTTAACATTAGAGTACGTCCCCACCATCCGTAGCGCAACTGCCTTATCCAATATCGTAAGCGCATTCAAGTGAAAACAATCCTTCTTCCAGTAAAGACTGTCTAGTATTCTCTCTCTTATGATTTTCTCCACAAGAAAAACGGGGTTAACCCCATGGACTCTTGCCGCACCATGAGATATTCCACGGTCTATTATTATTGTATCTGACATGGTTGGGGAGATATTTACCGGTAAAGGTTCCTTGCACGTTTTGGCCTCTACTAGAGCTTAATCAAAAATGGTAGTGCGATATTAAATAGACGTGCATCGACAAACAATGCGCCGCATTCAAACCTTTCCATCTACATCTTCTGCAGGCGCAGAATCTGAGTCTGGCTCTGATTTCTCCCCTGGGACTGGAAAAACAAACTGTGAACCTAAAAACACAAGGCCGATCATCATAGCAAGACCACTCAGCCCAATTCCCATGTAAAAGCATCCACGCATCGCCTTCATCTCGCTAGCACCGTTTTTCTGCAAATAGTACTGGACTGTTCCAGCAAATCCAAGTCCGATTGAGATGGAATAATTCACCGTCGTAGCCACAACAGAAGCTGAGATACCCTGTTGGTGTTTTGGAAGCCTATTACTCATAATCATGACCCCTGCGGGAAACGAGATGTCCATTCCACCCGTCATGATAATACACGAAACAAACATCTGGGCCCAATATATCTGTCCCACCGGTCTGGTTGCCATCAAACAGCTACCCACCAAAAAACATGCCATTGCAATGACCATGACAGCACTAGTGGGAAGTTTGCGGATGAGCACGCCTCCAGTCAGCAATGAGCAGCACATACCTGCGATCATACACGGAATGAATTGAATTGAAACACGGGTCGGAGATTCACCAAGAATCAGGGTTCCCCATTGGAATGTGTAGAAGTTCCAAATACCAAATGAGGACCAACCTGTTGCAATACAACCGAGCATGAACAAGATATCACGGTTGATGACCGAAGGAGGTATCAGAGGATTCTTAGCCTTTTTCTCCGCATAAACAAACAGAACCCCAGACAGAATTCCCACTATAAGCAGTACGTAGACATACGGCTTGTCCCAGCCCACCACAGGGCCTTGGTTCCACGCAAAATTGAAGAGAACTAGACAGGTGACGCCTGTAAAGGCACCGAGATAGTCGAAAACACCCTCGTCAGGAGACCCTATTCTTTTAGGTATAATAAGCCATCCAAGACCCACCATAGCACATGCCACGAATGCCCCAGAGTAGAAGATCCATGGCCATGTAGTGGTTTCCAGGAACATGGAAGAGAACAATGCACCGATTACAAAGCCCCCAGGCGCGATTCCACCGAACAGGGCCATTCCCAAGTTCCGACGGGGACCCGGTGGATAAAAATGGCCTAATAATGCTATCGAATTTGGCGTTGCAAATGCATAAGCAAGGCCCTGACAGAACCGTGTTACATCGAAGAAGATCACGTTTCCAGAATAGTGAGAAATCCCACACAGCATATACCATAACGCGAGCCACACGTAGCTGATGAGGAATATGTTCTTGTAGCCATACAGATCACCTAAACGACCAGCAATTAAGATGAACGTTCCAACCCCCAATGAGAATGCGGCTGTGAACCATGAAATTTCACCAGCATCGCCAGCAACACCCATGGTCCTGGAGATAAACTGGCCTGGCACCACTGTCTGAGCGAGCCCCGCTTGGGTGAGCAGCTGGGTCATCACCATGAGTGCAATAAATGCAGCCTCGCGCGGCTTACTGATCGTCTCTGGAGAGGGTATAGGTGTGAAGTCTTGTCTAGACATGCTTTACCGAAGACCAGGGACAAAATGCGGAGATAAAAACAACAACAAAATATGCTTTCAAGATATAAAGTATTAGTACCAAAATAAGTTCATTTTCCACCCATGAAACTGGTGAATAAGAGGATGCACTTTAAACAACCGGCCGTTTCTCTATTAATAAGGATATGAATGCTATATGACAAAGCAATTATTAATTGAGAACAAGAACGGCTGTAACTCAGACGGCTTGGCGGGCACAGTCTCACTTTTCTCCCAAACACGACTTTCACGAGCTCCTCTCTTCATTGCAATGTTCATGTTCTTGTTTAACGTTGTGAAGTCTTTCCTACCACACACACTATATTCTGGCCATACAAATGGCTCCGCCCACAACGAATTCTAAGAGAGTCAAAGTAAGTGGCTTTATCTGTTTTGATTCACAAAAACGGTGGACTAACCAAAATTTCAGGGGATCTCGATATCGAGACCAATACTGTATGGTAACGTTGCCAGTCCGTTCTCTGAAAAGGTGGAGAAACCTGCCGGATCTCCTGTAGATCACACACATCTATGGACTGTGTTTGTGCGGGACCCTAACGGAAAGGATCTGAGCTATTTCATCAAAAAAGTGGTATTCAAGCTACATGATACGTATGATTCGCCGACACGGTCAATTGAATCTCCTCCGTTTGAGGTCACCGAGACAGGCTGGGGAGAGTTTGAGATTGGAATCAAGATCTATTTTGTGAGTGAATCCTCGGAGAAAAACTTGTCACTGTTTCACCACCTCAAACTTCACCCATTCAACCGCGAAGGTGAGCCACCAGCAGTGGTGGAAAGCGTGCTTTATGAGGAAGTTGTATTCAACGAGCCCACAGAAAAGATGTTTGGGATTTTGACCTCGACTCCTGGATCGCTTTTGCCGTTTAAAAATGATGCGGAACACAAGTTTTCGAAGGAGATGGAGATGCAAGAGCTAGACAGGCTCAAACATGCGCTTTCGGAGGTAATGAAGCAGGTCAACGAGCAGCGGGATAGGCTGGTTGAATTGGAGAAGGAGAAGAAAGAGTTGACGAGTTGAAGAAGGAAAATGTCTGCCATGAAAGAGAAAGAGCTTGTTGGATAAGCAGAAATTTGATATTTTACGGGTAGTCCGCGCGGATACCCGTAGACGAAAGTCTACAGTAAGCTTTGGGCTTTCGATTCAACGGAGTTTTAATTGGAACAAAAGACTGACAATATGCGAGCTACTGGAACGAGAACATATCTAGCTCTTTGTTGCTCATTTTGACTCTACCCGTGCACCATATTGCCGAGACTCTCGCGTTTGAACGACGATTAGATACGACCATTGCAGTGGTTCTGACTAGTTACCGCGAAGTATATACAGCAAATGCGATATATGAGCAGCCTGTCTAGACGAATTGTGATTTGTTCAATCGGATTTGCTCAATGCCTAATACACTCCCATCTAACAGCTACCTACTTCTTTCATTCACGGCCCTATCTCACTCCATCTTCACCATTTACAAAACGCAACCAAAAACAATTTAGAAAAGCAATATTTCATAGATATCATTATATCAGCAACCCAATGCACTCTTACTTCATCACTTTCATTACCTCGTTTAAAATTTCATCGTTGGTCTTGAACCGCAAAGCCGGATCAAATCGTAAACTCATTACATCTTTGTGATCACCCCTCTGTACAATTATGGTGCTCAAAGGATAGACACCACCTCCAAGTGGATCTAACAACCGATACCGCCTGGCGATCTGACCATTATCCTTGATAAGCCTAACCCGGTCACGTGAAACACAGGTAGGAATGTACCCAGAAACAGCAGTCAGTGTCCAATCAGACGCGTGGAGACGGTCAACGAGCTTCGCCAGAAGCTTCTCGTCTGGTGGGTTGAAGAAAAAAACCACCGACTTTGTTTCTGGAGTCACAGCCGTCTCGATGCGGATCTTTTTGACTGGTGAAGACGGAATTGACGTACATGATGACGTAGATGCATCTCCAGTTCTTTTCAAAGGGACCGTTTTCACAGATATCATCGCCAATTATTCACAGGGCCATCACTAGCCCTAAATTCCCGGTCCAACGCTTCACTGAAACCCCAGCAAAGACGCTATATATATTAACACCACTAGAAATACGCCAATTGCAAATATTGTTGCTCTAAAAATATACACCCGCCGTGGAGTCACGATCACACGCCTACACCTCCAATCCCCACCTTCAATAGCCGTGGGAATACCGACCAATCACAGGGCACATCTGCCATCTCCCCCGGGCACCTTCGAACCCCTGGTTACCCGGGTTACCCCCTTGGGCTCCGCTTTGTTCTACCACATCTCTTCATGTTGTGCGATTAGCTGGCGAACAAGACCGACTCTGTTTTCCATTGCTCGTTTGTTGCATCCTTAGTGATACAACTGCTCTGATCGCCCGCTAGACGCTATCGTTGCCTTTTGCCCGCATTTCATCGCAGTTTGTCCAGGTACTGTTGCCGTTTTAGATCGACTCTGTGTTCATGATATCCCCAAACAAGGAGACAAACAGGAAACTGTCGCTTTTCACGTTCGACAACAAGAACAGCGGCCCGGAACGGGCCCCAGAGGATGAGGCTCCGACCGCGCCTCTTTCTGCTGCCCAACAGCTGAATTCGCCACTATCGTTGGACGATCAAATGTCTCCAACTGACGGGGATCCGGGGGCTTTTGGCTCCCTCAACGGCACTGTTGACGGGGTTGGCAGAAGTTTGTCCAATCCGTCTGACTCTTCCTTAATCTTTGAAAGATCCGTTCAGGACCCCCTAATCACAACACAGCCAGTATCGCACTGTCCGCGCTGTCTGAAGCCCAAGTCTCAGTGCCACCACAACTCCATCCTCAACCTTCCACAGCACATAAACTCCGAGAACTTCATTCCACCTGCGCTGGATTCCACAGCCTCTCTATTGAATTCTACGAAGAATCTGGATGATGTGGACATGGTGTATTCACCAAGAAGACCTTCCACTATCAACTTGTCTTATGCTCTTGGCGAAAGACAGAGCGAAAGACCTTCACTTTCTAAGCGCAGTTCTGCGGTTCTTCAGTCGCCTTCTTCGACAAATCTACGCACCGAGGGCTCAAAATCTACACTCTCTTTCTTTTCCTATGCTGATATGATCAACAACGAGGACTCGGAGGCAAACTATCAGAGACGGCCTTCCATCTCACAGACTCTGTCGCAGTCATTTTTAGGCAATCCAAGATTGTCACGCACCAATTCGGCTGCATCAAAACTGAGGTCCGTGCCTCAGGTGCCGACTCTGAATACGGCACCTTCGAGCGCAGTCTCTGGTTCTTTGGTGTCGCCCGCTTCCTTGTCTCCAGCTCTGAACAGGCCTGGAAACCCCCATTACAACTTCAGGAAGTTTGCGTTAGACTCACCCAGCGAGTCCGACGACGACGAAAAGCCATTGACGAACGGCTCGTTCTCCTCTGCCCACTCGAAAACGCGCGATGCCAGGCTCTCGGTGTCACATTCTATGTCGTCTGCGAACTCGAAGCTTGGCAGTGTGGACGATGTGTTGGATGAAGACGAGGCATTTGTGACCAGGAATGTTGGTGACACATTGCGCAGATACACGGGTGAGCTGAGAGGATAGAGTCACTCGTAGTGTTGTATCAGATCTTTTAGCGGAAAAACAATGGCGGATTTTGGGTTTTTTCCTCGTTAGTTATATCTCATGTACTTGGACGTTATTTAAGCTTTTTCCTTCGATTGCGGGATTCTATGTCGGTAAAAAGGACAACCATTTTGTAAAGAACTCATTGAAGCTTGATTCTTGTTTCCATTAGAAACTCCTCTAGAGGAACACTTACTGACCAGTCAGCGGTGAATAACCTTTAACAGCACACCAAGATTTTATCTAATCTCACAGAGGGTTAGCATTTGAGAAAATTCCAAAAACGTCTACAGTTCTTTAGGAGTTCATAAGTTTACTGATGTTTCATACAGATCATAGAGTTTATACTCATAGATAGTTCTTCCTGTTACCAGTCCGCACAAACCGCCTCAACATCCACTCGACATCGGCATCCTGGTCATCTAAAGTACCAAGCTTGATCTCAAACAGTCGCATCTCGAACCGAGGTCCAACCTCACTCAATTCAACGCCTTCTCTCGTCTTCACGTACACATGCTGTCTGACACTGATGTAATCGTCTTGATTCACAAAACTCACCACACGCGAAGAATCGCGCTTCACTCCAGGGGGAAACAAGTGCTTCAAACCCTGAACCACCCGTTTTCCTAGATCTGTGGTAAAATTTTCAAATACTAGATGTGGATATGCCTCCGATTGGTTACCGACATTGGGGATATCGTGTCTTAGCACCACATTGTGAAGCGTAAAGGTAAACGTTGGCCCGTGGGGCAGATGACCGATAGTAAGCGAAGTAGGGACACCTCTGTGCTCGTGAACAACTATAACATCCGAACAGGCAGAAGCCTTGCAACTGGCAACCAGATTCGCCATGATGTAATTTCCTCTATTGATCCTCATAGAGTTGGGCAGCAAGAGTCTTAGCTCTTTGGCAAACTGCGCCAATCGACTCGAACTGTCACGCGAGGTCGTGATTACAATCTTGGGCTCTACCAGTCCCGACAGATTGGAGTATTCGTCATCAACAGATTGCTGGATACTCTCGTCAAACTTGTGGTCTGCCTGGAGCTGCTCGTCGTCTGCTATCTCTCGCGGCAGCGCCTTTCCGCTGGCTAAACTCTGCTTCAACTGCTGCTTCTTGGCATTTAAAGCCACTTCCTGGAGCTCTACTGCCTTGCGATACAAGTATTCTCTTCTTTCTCTGGCTTGTTTTCTGAGCATATTGTGGTGGAGAAGGAATGCAAACACGGGTTGGTACATTTCTGCGGCTGAAATTTTTTGCAAATCGGTATTCATCGTGCTACAACTAAAAGAGAAATGGTTATTGCACAAAAGTGATAATAGTGCAATAACCAATAAATATCTCCTACACACCACCAAAACCTGGGGCTTCACCAGGATACCAGACCTCAATATTTTTGCACACTCCCTTCTTGTTCGAAAGCCAAGAAACACACCAACCCATAATGGAAAGAATGGTCAAGTCATCGCCGCCCAGGGGTCTTGGTGAAATAGTGGAGCACATGACTGCCAGAGCTGACAGGCACAAACATCCAATGAGCTCGCCAATACGACACCGTGTGGAGTCAACAGCAAGCCCGAGCCGAACAAGTGTTTTGACCAAGGATGTGGCAAAAGGGATTATAAGTGGAGCCTCAGGCTCTCCAGGTAGCGGAATTGGACCGCCGGCTCACTTACATGGTCCCTTATTGACGAGGTCCAGTACACGACGCGCAAAGTTCGTTCCTATAAAGCAGCAGCAGCAAAGGCGAAACCTGAGACGTGATGAGCTCAGAGTTTTGCGACGTGGTGGGTGGGATTTCATGGGTGATACTGTGTTGAGAGGAGAGGCTGCCGATGAAGAACGCGCACTACTAGAGCAGGCTCAGTTGGCTTATGATAATGCCTACGATGCCGATTATGATAATGATGATGAGGATCCGGATTATGAGCAGATGCGACTGGCTGAAATGGTGGAGATGGAGGAGCTAGAGATCATGGAGCTGGTGAAGGACTTGGACGAGCTGGATGTGTCTTCGCCCAAACCAAATTAGCTGTTGGATGTGTGGTATCTTGAGGTTTTCCAGACAGAGTACTGGATATTCGTTCTTTGAGGCAAATCCGATGCCTCTTGGCTCATTTGGAGTTAGAAAACTCACCACATGGGGTAAAAAGAGACCCTTCTCGGAACTAATGAATGTAGCATTTTGCGGAAAGCTTTAGCCTTGTGAACATGGAAGAAGTAATGAATATCCCGTAGTACGAGGCTTATGCGTGTAGAATCCAGTGGTTGCAACCTAAAGTGTATATTTTGGAGGTTTGCCGTCGTGTACGGGAAGGACTAATGCACACCGTGGACAGAAGACGAGACAGCACTTTAATGGCGATTGCGACCAAGTGGGAAACTGACTTTATACTTTAGTCGCTATAGTCTAAGCTAAGCCTTAATCGAGAAAATGAAACTGATATGTTCCCTAACGGCAGATAGTTGACAGGTAGGGTTGCGAAATCAGACCCAGTAGTGTAGGCACTAACCATAAAACCTCTCGATTCGAAGCCGTAATCACGACTCAGAACTGCTTGTAACTCGCTCAGAACCAATTGTTTCTTTTTATGCCTCGGACCAGAAAATGTGCTTACTTCCTGCAAAAATATCCCTCGTGGAAGCCCGTGGAGCAAAATTTGACGCTCACGTGTCTGCTAAGCACACTCAAAAACACTACATATACTGCGCACCTCCAAAACGTGTGCCTGGAGCAGCTTGGAATAATTTGAGCGAGCGGGCAAGAGAAATTTTCATTATACAATGGAGCCTCTCAATGGAACCTCCCAATGCAGCTCTCAATGCACTATTGAGTAGTAACAAAGACTGTAGTCTTCAACAGAATAGTGCAATTCATTCACGGCACCAGAACAAAAAGGCTGTCACGGCAGAATGAAAGTCTTACCCCGTCGTATGCCATCGGCCAAAATGCCTGGAAAGACTCATGCATACCAAGATGCTACTCTGCTATTCAATATCACTCTGTAAGCACGATAACACGTTTTTGGGTCCTGGAGCCCGGAGTCGAGCAGAAGATGATGAGCACGTGTCGCACTGCCACATGCAACGAAAGAGACTAGTAGAACGCGAGAATATGAGAACAAGTAAATAATAAGAAGTTAATAAAACCTATAAGTTGTGATTCACCATATAACTGCCTATCTATCAACGATCCGCTTACAGTCAACCCCGTTTCAAATCGCCGTTCTACTTCTCCCATTCGTTATCATCGTCAAGTCACCAGCCACACCAGCCGCGCCAATCGTGCGCCGCATCATGCGGCCGGCTGCATGGGTGTCTTGGGCCGCGTTGGATAGAGAGAAAAAGATAAAACTGGGGGTGAGAAAAAGGCTTCATTGGTCTAATTGCAGCGACACATGGGTGGGGTTGCAGGCACGTCCTAGGAAGTAAATTCCACCATTAGGGGTTTTTATGCGTGGCAGCGAATGATTATAAAAAGGCACGGGGTCCTCTAGTGAGTGGGGAAGTTGAAGAAACTGAAAATATTGGTGACCATCAGACGACAATAATAATCGTCTTAGGCTGTGTTGATTCCTGTTATAGTACTCTTTTAGGAGTATTCTGAGATCTTCGCTTCGAGACTTCGAAGGCTTATAGCAAAGACCCTGCTTTTCACCTCCTGGATAGCAGGTTCAATACAACCTTATTCAACTTTCTTGTTTCATCTTCGGCTATTTTTTGGCTGACTGTGACCTTCATTGAGACTTTCCGAATTTCTCAGGTCTAACCAAGGCCTAGCTGACTAAACTATTCACAGCTTTTGATAATCCCAATTCCGATAATGAGCACCGATCTTTCAGGCAAAGATCAGGCATATTTAGAGGTCGCTGAATCGTCTTCTTCAATCGAATACAACAAGGAAGACCGTGCTGCACGTTTCACAAAGAAGAAGTCATGGTCAGACATCTTCACCATCATCTGTGCTGGTGCTGCGCTGATCAGTGATGGCTACCAGAACAACGTTATGTCCATGATGAACTTAGTCTTTGCCAAAGAATATCCTGACCTCTACGACGCCACTCTCAAGACGAGAGTCTCGAACGCGTTGCTCGTAGGAGCCGTTCTGGGCCAAGTCGTGGTCGGTCTCACGTGTGACTACATGGGTCGTAAGTGGGCTATTCTCAGCACCACCTTGCTGATTGTGGTGGGATCGATTTTGTGTACCGCTGCACATGGCGTAACCACTCTGGGAATGTTCTGGATGATTATTGTGGCTAGAGGTATCACCGGGTTCGGTGTTGGTGGTGAATACCCAGCTTCCTCTACTAGTGCTTCGGAGTCTGCTAATGAGACCAGCAAGCGTCGTGGTGGAGTCTTCGTGCTTGTGACCAACCTGCCGTTGTCACTCGGAGGTCCTTTTGCTCTGATAGTGTTCTTGATTGTTTATTCTGCCACTGGTACAGGAGCCCATCTTTCCACTACTTGGAGAGTATGCTTTGGTATCGGTGTCATCTGGCCTCTGTCGGTGTTTTACTTCCGTTGGAAGATGGCCACATCGGTTCTCTACAAAAAGGCTGCTATCAAGCACAACGTGCCGTACTTCCTCGTGTTCAAGTACTACTGGAGACGTTTACTGGGAACATGTGGATGTTGGTTCATATATGACTTTGTGACCTTCCCCAACGGAGTGTTCTCCTCCACCATCATCTCCTCTGTCATCGATGACTCTTCGGATTTGATAAAGGTTGGAGAATGGAACCTTCTGCTGGGAATAATTGCCATTCCAGGTGTTTTGGTGGGAGCCTATCTTGTTGACAAAATCGGACGTAAATATACCATGATCGTTGGGTTTGCCGGCTATCTGGTAATCGGACTCGTGATAGGATGCTCATACTTCCACATCAAGAATATCGTACCTCTTTTCATTGTTTTCTATGGATTGTTCAATTCTTTTGGAAATCTCGGTCCTGGTGACACCATGGGGTTGACTTCTGCCGAGTGCTATGCTACCCCAGTTAGAGGAACTCTCTATGGTCTTTCAGCTGCTCTCGGTAAGACCGGTGCTGCTGTTGGCACCCAATGCTTCACACCAATTCAAACTCATTTGGGTAAGGAATGGACCTTTATCATTGCTGCTATTCTTGGTTTCATCGGGGTAGTGATTGCGTGGTTCTGTATTCCTCATTTGACAGATGACGATCTCATGATGGAGGATGTCAAGTTCGAGAAATACTTAAAGTCGAAGGGCTGGACAGGGTCTTTTGGACTGGACGACGAGAAAACAGTGTTGAACAATGGAGATGTTGAATTGGAAGATGCTGTAAAAGCTTAGAAATCATATCTTCGATTCAATGCTTGATCCAATCAAGTACATTATCTGCTATTTGCTTAATATGATCTGCTAATATTCCTGTAATAAGTCAAATGTCCGATGTGATCTGGTCTGTGAACTGTAAATGCTGACAGTACTCCCACTGTTTAAGGGACCTTTTCACCAAATATATAAGACCTCTTTTTGATGGAGCTTCACTTTCTCCTCTTGCTTCACCTTTCGCTTCTCTTGCCTTCGACTCCGTCTAAGGCTTCTCTGCCAAAGGCTTCTCTGCCTCGCCTCGGCTTTCAGACTCAATTTCGCCCTCTGTGTCAGATATTGCCTCTTGATTGTCCAACTCCTTCTTCTGCCTCAACTTCAACAGGCACCTCTTCAAAACTGCAAGTGTCGCTGGCTTCTCAATAACATCATCGAACACCCCCGCTCCAGAAGCCTCCGACGAAAATGCTGTTATCGCCACAATTGGCGTGTTCGAGTTGATGCTAGAGGTGTGCTTGATCAGCTTCACTACATCAACACAGTCGAGCCGTGGCAGCTTCAGAGCAGTGAAAATCACGTCGAATTTCACACCTCCAGTTGCAGACCTAATCATATCGTCTGGATTCGAAGTTGGAACAACCTCGCAACCGAGCCGTCTGAGATTTTCTTCGATAGAGTATCTGACGATCGGAATTGGCTCGCAAATCAGCACATCCATCGCAATCAGCATAGAGTCAAAATCCGTACTTGTGGAAGACGAAGTCCGCACTTTGCGCGAATTGCGCCGCAGGTTTACCCTCATCAGGGCAGAACTTCGCGAATCTTCCGTATCAGACCCAGAAGGGGAGAAATCGCTTAGGGTCCGATTCAACCCTCGGCTGAAGAACTTGCCAAGATGGCCGTCAGACTGTTTGGACTTCGGCTTTGCTATAGGAGATCCGTAATCAGCCCGGGTCAGAGCGAGAGGCGAAGAGCGCCCAGAATCGTCTTCAACAGCGTGGAAACGTACCGAGGGCGAAGTTGCCAGGAATTTGGCGCTGGCGCTGGAACTGGCGGTTCTTTGTCGAAAGAATTGACTGCCCCCTGAACCAGGCGTCGAATCAGAAGACGAAACACTAGAGAACGAGCTACGATGCTCTAGATGTTCAGTACGCAACCTCGTGATGACATCTTTGTTGGCCCGTTCGAGTGCAGAAACGTTTTTGTAGTTGAAAGAGCCAAATTCGGAGTTGGAATCGTTCAACCTTGAACCGCGACGTTCCTTTTGAACAGCCGAGGTCTTCGGCGTAGAACCTGCTGTTGCAGAAGAACTCGAATTAGACCGAGCAACTACACTTCCAGACCTCATACGTTCAGCCGAACCAGAGTTCGAGTTTGAGCCAGAGCTTCGCTTGCGCTCTTCATGCTCGTCATCAGCCTCGCCGGCATAATCCTCAGCAGTGATGGTTTCATCTTCTTCCTGGGCGAAAATCTTCATATCGGCACCACGAGGATCAAAGTAGTTGGTAGACTCAGGATCTTCCTGGTTGGGCACAAAGGAGGCCTCTTCTATGAATAGGGTGGACCAGTCAAGCCCGTGAAAATAGGCATGATCCATGATTTCAGCAGAACCAGATGCTCCCAACCGTTTTGATGGGTCCTTCTCTAACAACCTTGTAATCAAGTCGCGTGCCAGATCAGAGCAGTATTCCCGGAACTCAAGTTCTGGCAAGCTCGGCCATTGGATCGGTCCATGCAGGATGTTTTCGAATACCATTTCTGGCGTATGCCCCGAAAATGGCGGATACCCGAACAGAAATTCAAACATTATACATCCGATGGACCACCAATCAGAGACTTCATCCTGAGAAACACCCTGGACGGTTTCTGGAGCAAGATAGTCTGGAGTTCCAACAAATTTGCGGCTCTGGGTTGAGATTCGCGGGTCAAAAAGGGCGTAGCCATCGGCAGATTCGTCAACTAACGGTCTAAGTAACGGGGAACCGTTAGAGCTTGCGTTTGAGTTTGAACGCCTAAATGACGGTTCTGGCGAGTGCCCAAGTGAATCTTCGAGTCGAGGATGGACGCTGTCAAAAGTCGGAGACAATGAGAATGGTGTCACATTGCTGGAGCTTCTTCTGTGCAGGAATGGATCCAGAATAGCAGGATCGCTGTGCACACTCACAGATTTGCGGGCTTGACGACCAACCAAACCCATCCGCGAAAGCCCAAAATCAGTGAGTTTAAGATGTCCGTTTGAATCAATCAGCAAGTTATCGGGCTTCAAATCACGATGAACAATGCCTTTTTGGTGGAGATCGTCAATTCCGACTATAACTTCTGCAATGTAGCGCTTGGCCCACATTTCAGGCAAGGATCCCATGTTTTTCACTAAAGTAGCACAATCCCCACCATTGAGATACTCCATCACCAGATAAAGATAATCACGCGTCTGGAAAGATGAGTAAAGTTTTGCTACATACGGAGACTCCGCCTGCGACATCATGATTTCTCGCTCGGCTCGGACATTGGTAACCTGATTCTTGGCTATCATATCTGACTTCTTGAGCACTTTCATCGCAAAATACTCACCCGTTATCTTGCGACGCACCAGGAAAACGGAGCCAAAGGCGCCTTTGCTGATGGGCTTTATCACCTCGTAATCACGCTGTGATGGAAAACTAGGTTTTGAAGTAGATACCAGCAATGGCGATAATGGCGCGGTTTTCGAAGATGAAATCGACCCGGAACCGTGCCCTGCAGATAGAAGAGACAGATGCGTGTAATCTGAAGGTGTATGATGACAGTCCGAGCTCAGAAGTAACGGAGATGCGATTGGGGTATTTGAGCCGGAGATGCTTCTGGCCTTGGTGTTCCTTTGAATAGACGTCATCGGACTTTGTTGAAAGTAATTGGGGGAAAGCTGGCGTCTGGGTGAAGGCTGGTGCACACCAGTACCCCCACCTGAACTCCTTGAACCACGACCTCTGGATATGGGCTCCTCACCTTCTACAATAGTGGGAGTCTTCAGACGAGACCCAGAGTCGTTTTTTGGCGTGACAGAGCCAGATCGACTGGCCTTACGAAAGTCTGGAGTCTCGAAAAGACCTTGTCGAGTCGGCTGAGGCGAATGGAGCCTCAAATGTACTTCTGGAGTGGGTGTAGAGGCCCGCGAATACTCATCGTCTGTGATAGCAGAGTAGTCATTTGTGCGATCACGAATTTTGCGAACTGTGCTTTCAACAGTCTTCAAAACCATCTCATTAGTTTCCTTATTGATCTTGTCAGAATACTGAAGAACTGACCCAAATCTGTAGATGGCATCCAGTTTGTCTTGGGCAAGTCGTTCGGCATCTTCTGTCAACAGCTTGACAGCCATGTCATTTGACTCAGGTAATTTCATTTCCATGAAACGCTTTATTGATTCATTTGTTTGCGGAGAATACGCAATTTGATTAGTACCTTCGAGCTCTACGAGCTCACCTGGATTCACGCCCAAGGCATCATCACAGTACTCCAGCAACTTGTCGAAGTTCTTGAATGGAAACCGCTTGTTGAACACGTGTATTCGTCGTATCTGTGCTGAATTGGCCTCCGGCAAAGTTGGAAGAGGATAACCGCGATATTCCGTCAAAGTGGGGCTTTTTGTTGCCACGGCTTCCATGATTTGTACCACCAGCTTGCGGTGGTCTTGAAGCTGATCGTGTTTCAATTGGACCATTTCCTCTGCCCTATGTTCGAGAACACATAGTTCTGAGTGCTTTTCGAGCCACCAAGACGGCACAAGCTGCTCACAGATGCGGCAGAGCTCCGTTGTGGGACTCGGAACAGCATCTGGGTCAATGATACCCTCCTCCATCAGCTGCAGCAAGTAGGACTCTAGTATATTCACTCCAAAGCCTAGATTTTGCACCAACTCGTGTGGAAGCTCCAAAACAAGTTCCTTTATTGGTACAAAAGGTTTTAGAATCCACATGGAATGCGTTGGAAGGTTCGTGGCGGTGTCGTGAATCAAGATACCCTGACCTTCCAGTTCGATGGAACCTCCGTCGTTGGACAGTTCTGATTCAGCGCTACTAGCATCAAATTCGTCCGTACTGTTCGAAACAATGGGTTTCAATGTGTTGGTTAAAGTCTGGAATCGCACACGATAACTGGAATCGTCAATCATCATCGAATCCACCGCCCGGTTGAAGACTTTTGCGTCAAGATCATCTCCTAGAACCACAGAACCGGCGGGGGTTCCCACAATTTTGTGGCGATTTGTTCCCACAACATACTCCCAATTGCGGGAGAGATACCTCACGTTGCAGTCCATGTCTAACTCCATCACTATGCTCGGGTTCTTCGAAGATGCGGTGATCAAATCGTTCTGATGGTCTTGCTCTGGTTCTTCATCCTCAACTATTTGCGAATGATCTGCGGAAATTTCACTCAAAACATCTCCGGAAACCTCAAGCGGCGACATTGAGCGCGTATCGGCCCGATGCGGTTCCCTGGAAGCATCTTGTGCTAAGAAAAATGGGTTTCGAGAAGCGACTGGGGCCTTTAGCGGATGTTCTAAAGATGGTTCTGATGGCTGTATCAATCTGACAGGCACACCAGACTCACCAGAAGAGCCACATGACGTGGCTTCGGGGTCGTCCATGCGAGAAACGGGGAGCTCGCAGAATATGTATGGAGATTGAAGTACAACAAGTGATGTTTAGAGGGGAAGAACAAAGGAGAAGGAGGGCGCGATGGGGCGTGTTAGAGGTCGTGTGTAGAATAATCTGGAGGACGGACAAGGAAATCGGGAGAGAAAAGTTCGGTTATTTGAGAATAAAAAGTTCAATTACTTCGGAACTACGAACGACACTATAAATTGAGCTTTTGGCTGAAAGAAAGCAACCGTTTACGGGGGAGATGGGCTATCTATGCCAAACCGTTGGTCAGCTGTCAAAACGGGTAGTGCGACAACGGCCAAATAGGTCCAAAAGGTTATGTGCCCTTATGTGTCTTATTATAAAGAGAAAGAGAGAGAGGATTGCGGATTCATTATTTCGGTGCGAATTCATGAGAATTTGATGTTTTCTTGAATCAACAATTACTACATTCCTTTCACTTACTCTTGGTGACTCATTTGGTAATGGGAAACTCACTACTGTAAACTAGACCTACAGGGCTGTTCAGGAGCAAGCCAGCCAGCTTTGCTCTGCATGATCAAAACTCCATTTATCTCATGAGCAAATGCATCGCTTCTTCAATTGTGGTAATCAATTCTGCCAATTGGACCATGTTTGGTCTTTTCTCACTCCACTACACCTGTGTCCGTACTAACATCTAATCAAGAGGCTATTCTAAGCTTTGGTCACGTGCAAGTTTCTATCTTACATCAGAGATCCCAATCCGGACGTATCTGGCGCCGTGTCATAGTAGGCAGGTAGGTGCTTTGATGGAAGACTGGATAATACTTGCAGAAAATCCTGAATTTTCATGGAAAACAGACCCCTGAGAAACAAGCGACTGATATAGATCAACGTCCATCATGGCTATACAGCTTTTACTCTTTGCCAGAAGTAACCTGAGTGAATGCTCAAGACCTTCGGCATCCAAAGGGTCCAGCCACGCCCGCCGCAAATCCCGTTTATGCCTCTCGATTTCTCTCAGAGAAAAGCTCCAAAAAACGCTAAAACGCGGCAAAAAGCACAGGATTGCACCAGCACGTTGCCATTTGTAGTTTCCGTATATACCAGTTAGTCTCTCACCTAACACTCCCTGTTTTCTACAATTACCCCCTTGCTCCACCTAAAAACTCTCTCCCTCGGTTCCAACAATAGATCGCTTCGCCTAGCCCTGTTTCCTAATTGGGACATCTAATATTACCCTTTCAGGATATTTGCCAACACACGAAATGCACCATCGCACATTTTTGAAATGCGCACGTCAGCAACGATGGGCTCGAGGAGGTCTCCCTTCCCCCCTGAAATTCGTCCTTCCTCTCTTTCTTTCTTAATTCTTAACAGATATCCCCTGTACCAAAGCCCAGAAGCCCAATTCACCGCTTGCAATGCACAGAACATACTCTCTGAGAAGCCAACGCGCCCCAACCGCCTCGCAGATTGCGTCGCCCCCACCTCCGGTCTCCACCACCAAGAGCAAGTTCTTTGGTTCGGCCTCAATCGGTAAGTTGTGCTAAATCCCCCTTTTTTTGAAGTCAATTAGACGGATTGCATCCATAGTCTTGTACTAACAAACTCTGAAGCCTCTTCTATCAGAAAGTCGACTGCTGGTTCTTTCGGACCAGAGCTCTCGCGCAAGCTTTCGCAGCTCATCAAGATCGAGAAGAACCTCGAACGTTCCATCGAGCTCGTGGCACGCGAGCGCAGACTTGTGGCCAAGCAATTGTCTTTGTGGGGTGAAGAAAACGATGATGATGTTTCCGATGTCACTGACAAGCTCGGAGTGCTCATTTACGAGATTGGAGAGCTCGAGGACCAGTTCATTGACAAGTACGACCTGTACCGTGTTACCCTCAAATCCATTCGTAACATCGAGGCCTCGGTCCAACCTTCGCGTGACCGCAAGCAAAAGATCACTGATGAGATTGCCCACCTGAAGTACAAGGACCCACAATCTCCTAAGATTCCAGTCTTGGAGCAAGAGCTTGTCAGAGCCGAGGCTGAGTCCCTTGTTGCTGAGGCGCAACTCTCTAACATCACCAGAGAGAAGCTCAAGGCTTCGTTTTTGTACCAATTCGACGCTCTCAGAGAGCTCTCCGAGAAGTTTGCTTTGATTGCCGGTTACGGTAAGGCCTTGCTCGAGCTTTTGGATGACTCTCCAGTCACTCCAGGTGAGACCAGACCAGCCTACGACGGTTACGAGGCCTCCAAGCAGATCATCATTGATGCTGAGAACGCTCTGGCTGCCTGGACTCTGGACTCAGCTGCCGTCAAGCCAGCTCTCTCTCTCCACCAAACCGTCGACGACGTGTACGAGGAGACTGAGGAGACCGAATGGGCCGGTGAAGCCTCTTCTTAAGCACATGGCCATCTCTAAAAGGGCCTTAGTTTTTCCTCTTTAGCTCAGTGTATTCTTTATCGCCTTGCCCTTTGAACGAATAGTAGTGAATATCCGAATTCATTTGGAAATCTCGGAATATTTTTATAAAATTGTGACTGCCGATACAAGGCGATAAAAATACCTGAATTACGGCTTCAATTGGCCTCAATTGCGTAATTAACCGGTTTTTCGCCAGCTGTTAACGGCTTATCTGATATCGCAAATGTCAGGTGAAATTTCGATTTTGAGCCCTTGAATCGTGCAAGACACTACTGATAACGTAGGCTTTCGGCCTGTAGGTTTACATCAATCAATTAGTATTTAATAGAAAAGATTCCGCTGATGAAAGTTTTACGAACATCTCACACAGTTTCTAGTTGCTGTTGATTCCTCTACACTGGCAGCCAGCGGACTGAAAAGCCCAGATTGTATGCTCTATACAGTGCTTGGTTGATGCACGCGACGAAACAAAAACTTTAAGCAGCGCCAAAGGGGTCAAAATAACAGTTATTAAAGATTTAATTACATCATTTGAAGGTGAATAACAAGATGAAGTGCAGAATTACTGTCTAGTCTCACAATTGTGTCGGTTAGGCGGGCAATTGATTTTTGAGTCGTTAGGTCGTGCAGCCCTGGTTTCCACCCATGATCTCAGCGGCAAAGCCCATTGTTATATCGCCCGCTATTGTATGCTTTCTTCAACACCTGGATAACCTCTCAACATGACGAAACAGCCCAAGGTCCAACTGTTGAAGGTGAGTTCGGTTTAGCTCATATCTTAAAGCTTCAAAAAGCCTTTGCTAACTTCCAACAGAATCCCCAGTTTTACTGGTTTCTCGGTAGGTTTTCGATTTCTCTCGGCGTCTCCTTGATTCGACACTAACCGACCACTTAGGCCATGCCACAGCCCTCGTTTTGATGGTGATAACCACAGTGTTATCATTCTTCACGGCACCAACCTCAGCCACTTACATGCGGTTCTACGGGTACTCGCTTAACGCTACTATATTCACCTACCTGGTCGTTCTCAGGCAAACCTACAAGGCCAAACCAGTTTCGCTAGTTCTTTCCCAATACAGTTCTCTCATCCGTGATGATAACGTTCAGTACATCGGATTGGCAATCCTGCTGAGGCTGAGTGCAAGTGTCCCAGGGCCTGTCATTGGCGGGCTATATCCCTTTTCCATCTACGCTCTTTTCCATGTTTTGCGGTACATTGCGGACTTGGTGCCTGCGGTAAGACCTCGTGTGGCCTCAGTGTTGGCTTTGAATGACCGTGCAGTGTACATTGCGGCAAACGCTGAACTTCTACTCTGCACATCATTTGCGCTTCCACTTGTGAAGATGTTTCTGCTTCTAGGGATTTTGCGGAATCCAGTGTACTCCATCCGCCAATTAGTGCTCATTGCCGGGATCACTGTGTTCTTGAGATTTCGTTATTTTCAGAGCAAATATACCCGGACCGTTGTGGATGGCTATGACATGCGGATCGCTCAATTGGTGTGCTCTCCGTATGCTCCAAACAATGCACCATACATTTACGCCGCAATTAAGGGAGTGTTTACGAGGGCTCTGGAGCCAGTACGCCCGGCGTTGAAGAAGCAGTAAATGAGACAGGAATGGAGAACCAACCCTAATATTGACCATTTTCGATCCATACTCTTACTCCGCGATTGAAATTGGGTCAACTCTGATTCTGAGCCATCTGATGTATTTAAGAGAAAATAGTCAATATAAAATTTAATGTTTGCGAATCCCGTAGCGTAAGTGCGATTTTCCATTTTCGTCAGCGCTCGCGTGCCCCACAGTCCAGCTGGCCGAGCGGCTTACGTTTGCATCACACACGGTGGTGGCACATTGACAAACCACAACGACACGCGTGATCGATTATTTCCAACTGTTCATCAACAAAATCCACCCCATTCGGACTCTTCGTTACTTGTAATTCGCCATTTCGTGAATAGCCCAGAATCAACCAGAATCACTACGCTTCTCCAATCTTAGTGCACTAACCAAGTAGTGCAAAACTCACCGAACCTTCCAGAAGTATGGAACCCTCTGGAACTTTTCAACTCGACGTTGGGGCGGGTTATATAAGACGGATGCCCGCGCTCGTTCCAAGCTGGACACTCCTTTCTCTCTTCTTCTTAACAAGACAACTTCTTTTGTTTGTATAACCCACACACATCACAAATCATGTCTAAAGCTATCGGAATCGATTTGGGTACGACCTACTCCTGTGTCGCCCATTTCTCCAACGACAGAGTGGAAATCATCGCCAACGACCAGGGTAACAGAACTACGCCATCTTTCGTGGCGTTCACTGACTCTGAGCGTCTCATCGGTGATGCCGCTAAGAACCAGGCTGCTATGAACCCTTCGAACACTGTTTTCGATGCCAAGCGTCTTATTGGCCGTAAGTTCTCGGACCCAGAAGTCCAGGGTGATATGAAGCACTTCCCATTCAAGGTTATTGACAAGGGCTCCAAGCCAGTTGTCGAAGTCGAATTCAAGGGTGAGACCAAGGTGTTCTCCCCAGAAGAGATTTCATCTATGATCTTGACCAAGATGAAGGAAACCGCCGAGTCTTACCTCGGAACCAAGGTCAATGATGCCGTTATCACAGTGCCAGCCTACTTCAACGACTCGCAGCGTCAAGCCACCAAGGATGCTGGTTTGATTGCCGGTTTGAACGTCTTGCGTATCATTAACGAGCCAACTGCTGCCGCCATCGCTTACGGTTTGGACAAGAAGGACACCGGAGCTGGTGAACACAACATTCTCATCTTTGACTTGGGTGGAGGAACTTTCGATGTTTCTTTGTTGTCCATTGATGAGGGTGTCTTTGAGGTCAAGGCCACTGCCGGTGACACCCACTTGGGTGGTGAGGATTTCGACAACAAGCTGGTGAACCACTTTGTTCAAGAATTCAAGAGAAAGCACAAGAAGGACCTGACCTCCAACCAGAGATCGCTCAGAAGACTGAGAACCGCCGCTGAGCGTGCCAAGAGAACTTTGTCCTCTTCCACGCAGACTTCGCTCGAGATCGACTCTCTTTTCGAGGGTATCGACTTCTACACCTCCATCACCAGAGCCAGATTCGAGGAGCTCTGTTCCGACCTGTTCAGATCCACCTTGGAGCCAGTTGAGAAGGTGTTGAAGGACGCCAAGCTTGACAAGTCTCAGATCCACGAGATTGTTCTCGTTGGTGGTTCCACCAGAATTCCAAAGGTCCAGAAGTTGGTTTCCGACTTTTTCAACGGAAAGGAGCCAAACAGATCTATCAACCCAGATGAGGCTGTTGCCTACGGTGCCGCTGTCCAGGCCGCTATCTTGACCGGTGACCAGTCCTCCAAGACTCAGGATCTGTTGTTGTTGGATGTTGCTCCTCTTTCTCTCGGAATTGAGACCGCTGGTGGTGTTATGACCAAGTTGATCCCAAGAAACTCCACCATCCCAGCCAGAAAGTCTGAGACCTTCTCCACCTACGCTGACAACCAGCCAGGTGTGCTGATCCAGGTTTTCGAGGGTGAGCGTGCCAGAACAAAGGACAACAACCTGCTCGGTAAGTTCGAGCTTTCCGGAATCCCACCAGCCCCAAGAGGTGTTCCTCAAATTGAGGTCACCTTCGACATTGACGCCAACGGAATCTTGAACGTTTCCGCCGTTGAGAAGGGTACTGGTAAGACTCAAAAGATCACAATCACCAACGACAAGGGCAGACTCTCGAAGGAAGACATCGAGAGAATGGTCAACGAGGCCGAGAAGTTCAAGGAGGAGGATGAGAAGGAAGCCTCTAGAATTGCTGCTAAGAACAAGCTTGAGTCTTACGCTTACTCTTTGAAGAACAGCACTTCTGAGGAAGGTTTCAAGGACAAGGTTTCTGAGGAAGAGCTCACTACCTTGAACAAGGCCGTTGAGGATGCCATCAACTGGTTGGATGAGTCCCAGGCTGCCTCCACCGAAGAGTACGAGGAGAAAGAGAAGGAGCTCCAGGGTGTTGCCAACCCAATCATGATGAAGTTCTACGGTGCTGGTGGTGCTCCAGGTGGTGCTGCCCCAGGTGGCTTCCCAGGCGCCGACGGTGCTCCAGGTCCAGGCGGTGATGGCCCAACCGTCGAGGAAGTCGATTAGATATCATGACCCGTTTATAGCTAATATCTTAAATTAAAGGACTTGTGTTTGAAACGAAAAAGCGTAGAGCTGCATAAAATTGAGGTAGCAGTAATGCGAAACGAAGGTGAGCTTATTTAAAGTGTATCAACCAATCACATCAATCGTGCCAGTCCTAATCCACGAATTCTCAAGCTTCGTGTGGCTTTCAACCCGGTTACTCAGCACAACCACTCTCAACAATCTTCGACTATCACAATGGAAAAGAGAAAATTGTTGTCTGAGCTCTTAGATGCTGATGAGACTCTGCTGGATAGAGCAGATGCCGATAATGGTGTGGAAGTTGGGCCCGAGGACGAATTAGACACAGACGCACCAGAAGGTTACTGCACTGATTGCAAAGACATGCCTACCCAGATCCGCTGCGAGACTTGTTCTGAGGACTTCTGCGGGATTTGCTTTGCTTTGGTTCACAAGGGCAAAAGGAAAGAACACGTGAGTCACAAGGTGGAAAGCGGACTGGTGGAGCCAGGAAACGGCGGGGCTAGAGTGGATGCCCAAGAGGAAGATACAGACTTGGGAATTGATGCTGCAAATCCTGTCCAATCAGACCATGAAATCGATGAGCGGATTCTGCGAGGAATGCGCAGAAACATCCAGTACATTCCGATGAGACTATCGGCGGAAGAGAGACAGCTGTTGCGTCTACTTGAGTCTGCTCTACACGTCTCTGAGTACACCGACCGTGTGGATGTTTTGTCGTACAAGTCAAAAACAAGAAGACAAGTGGAGCAGCTGAGAGAAATTTGTTCGATCTTGGCAGGTTTGGTCGTTGCGTCGAATTTGAAGGTTGGTCAGAGGCTAATTGAGGATAAGAACTTCGAAGACAACGCCGAATGGTATCAAAACGTGTTTGAAATTGGAAGAAGATATAAGATCATGAACCCAGAAAGAATGCGTGATAGTTTTGGCAAGTTATGCTACATGGTGATGGACTCACGACTTCCAGAGGTCCAAGAACACATGGAATTCGACCTCTACAAACCCATAAAAACCATCCATTCGTTCCTATCTTCGCGTGATGACGGTGGAAAAGGTCTCAAGATATTTGAAGACCCGCTGGTTCTTTCTGCAACGGCAGAGATCCGGGCTGAGGGCAAACCACGCCTTCAAATCCGCAGAGAGATCGGTGCTAAGGAGGCAGCCATAGAGAAGATCGCCAATAAATACTCGTGTGCTGCGGGATTTACCAAAGAAGAAATCCGCCAAGTTCTCTACTCAGTTGGCGATTTTAATGCATACACTAATGCCAATATGTTACCTGTGATCCGGATGTCCAAATTGCTGGAGCTATTTGAAGGTGAGACCGGAAAGCACTCGTTGGGAATCCGGTTTGGTCGCGGTGGTGCAAGGCTGTCACATGAGCATGACCGCCAGATTCAATACGTGAGACAATCGTTGAGTTTGTGGACACTCATAATGAAGGAGATGATCCATCTCTGGTCTCTGGCAGATGATGACATGTTCAGCAGTGGAAGATACCAGTTGATGTCCACTGGCCAGGGATTGAACCGGGTAAAACCGTGTCCATCTGTTTTGAGAACCATGCACACGATCTTGTCTGAATGTCAGAAAAAGTGCAACGGCTGGGTCGGGTCCAGCGCCATTCATCTTGGTGATCACACGGTGCCCAATGCTCTTTTTTTTCTGGACAAGTACTTTCAGGTCCCTCGTATTCTGATTCCAGTGGATCAAGCTTTACGTGCAATTGATGAGGTAACCAAAAATGACCACTTTGTTGCAGATTATGTGAATGCTCAGTTTGGTTCTTCCCAAGACCTCAAGAAAGAGATCCTGGCTGATTTCTTTCGCCATGCCTTTGACGGTTCAGGTGGAGACAACTTCTATGATGCCGGATCATGTATCGATGGACGACTCACTAGTGCGTGGAATTGGGCTAATAAGATTGGCCAGAAGGAATACTATAAGGTGTTTCTTCTGTCTGGGTTCATTGGTTTCAACGGGCTAGAAGGTTTTTAATCTATAGAGTATGCAGCTGTCTTCCCAAAGTACTCTAATAAAATTTTCAATAGATAAAAAGAAGGAAAGGAAGAACGTAATCTTTCACATTCTGCATGTCACTCTGTAGTCGAAGCAAAAAAAAATCACGACCTCGGTGAGGATCGAACTCACGATCTTGCGATTAACAGTCGCATGCCTTAACCAGCTTGGCCACGAAGTCTTTTGTAATGACCAAAATTTCTTGTGTAGACTGGCCCTGATTATCACGGTTATCACACTACTAAAGAACATATGAGAGAGAAATACGAATGTGCAAATAACATGCAAAATATCGATTGAAAAATTTCATTAAGTTTGGACCATAGACATATAATGTCAGAGTACTAGGCTAACTGACCAGGAAAATAAAATGGGATCGAATATATAGGTTTTCCTGATTAGTGCCCTGATGGCAGACCCGATGGCACGTTCAGATCTGCTACTATGTATCCACACATCTGCTACCTGAATAAGTGACCTATATAACCTGAAAATGTGAAATCCAGTGTCACTCAAAGGCGCAAAAGCCTGATTTTTTTCCAAGTTGAGCTCGCTGCTGCGGCGCCTCCCCCATATGGGGTCGCGATCACGTGAGACTTGCCTCGGACGCGTCCTCCACACGCTGCTGTTGCTTATCAACTCTTCATCAAATGCCAGTTCTCTCCTTGCTATATACCCTGAAATCTGCCATGAGACTGCAAGAATGTTTTCTGAACCTGGCCTGAAACATGTGGTGTGGAAAAACAAAGACGTAAAAATGGTATGAAAGCTTCACCATTGAGTCCTCTTAAGTCCCTTATTGGACCTTCTTTTCAATGCTAACACACTTCTCCAGAACATGGCAGGAAACCTGATTGAAACTCTCGATGTCAACAACGAAAATCAGGCGCTTTATATCTGCACTACTAGTGACTTTCCGGTTGAACAAATCGAGGATTACGTTCCAGTAGGAGATCATAATGCTCTCGAACGACTTCAATTGGTGCGGTGTTTCTATTTGTCGGAAATAATAGAGTGTTTCGATCTGTTTGAGGAAGCAAAATATGTGGTGATCCAAGATCTTGAGGCTGTTTATAAATTGGGATTGGCCAGGAATTATTCCGAAGGTATGTTAGTTTAGGCCGTGGTACATGGTGGGCCATGGCGATCCCAAACCCGCCAATCCTATAGTCAACCAGACGAACAACTAACCTGTGCAGCGCAATCCCAAATGGTGGATATTTTGAGGAGACTCCGAAAACTTGCCCAGAAAGGGACGATCGCACTGGTGAGTGGGAGCTTTCATTATCACATCGAATGCGATGTTTAGCACAAATACTAATTAACAGGTCTACGATACGGAGATTGCGACCGAACAAACAAATAGGCCCAGGGAGTTTGTGAATAGTCTCTATGATGAAGAAATAGAGGTGTATAGAGATATCGACCTGGCTATATAGAATACGGACGCATTGGAGTATATGAGTATGGGTGACCAGGCGTATAGAATTGTGGGGGTATAATATGATAACAATAATGAATGAATGAAATTGATTTACATGAGGATACAGATATAATGATCTTTGAACTTGAAAATCTTGAGTTCAGAGTTCTGATATCGTAACTATATCTCACAACTAGATTAAATGCAATAGTGTCTTCTTATCACCACGTGATAAACACGTGATAATAAACAGGGCTAATACAACCTTAGTAACTATGAAGTGCATCAATCAACTATTCCACAAAGCAAGTCACCCAGCGATGGACATGAGCCCGCGACAAAAAGACCATCGGCCCTCAGAGTTTGTCGTTTTTGAAGTTTACAAAGACTCACTAGATACTCTTTTTTCTGTGTACACCATAGCTATCAAAGATGAGCACTTTTGAACCAGTTGTCGTTATTGACGGTAAGTTAATGTAACAGTTACAATGAGTCTAGCTGGTTTTTCTGAGGGCGCTCTGTTTGTTGAATCATCGGGGAGAAAAAAGGGTTTATGAGAACCGGTATTCTTTCATGTATTCCTATGCTATCCCAACATGAGAGAACGTATCAAAGGACGCTAAACAGGTTGCGTTCACAAAACAATTATCTCTCACCTCTCTCTTGAACCAGTGACTACGATTTGCAACTTTTTCACTTCACTTTTCACCGAATGTTCACTAACACTCAACAGGAAAGGGACACTTATTGGGTCGTTTGGCATCCATCGTTGCCAAGCAACTCTTGAACGGTCAACACGTTGTTGTCGTCCGTGCCGAGGCTTTGAACATCTCGGGTGAGTTCTTCAGAAACAAGTTGAAGTACCATGACTACCTGAGAAAGGGAACCAGATTCAACAAGGACCACGGTCCATTCCATTTCAGAGCCCCATCCCGTATCTTCTACAAGGCCCTCCGTGGTATGGTTTCCCACAAGACCGCCAGAGGTAAGGCTGCTTTGGAGAGACTTAAGGTGTTTGAGGGTATCCCACCACCATACGACAAGAAGAAGAGAGTCGTTGTCCCACAGGCCCTCAGAGTCCTGAGATTAAAACCAGGCAGAAAATACACCACTGTCGGTCAACTGTCGTCTGCTGTTGGCTGGAAGTACGAGAGTGTCGTTGACACCTTGGAGGAGAAGCGTAAGGTCAGATCTGCTGAATACTACGCCAAGAAGAAGGCCCTCACCAAGAAGCTGAACGCTGCTAAGGCATCTGTTGCCGAGAGCGAGGCCTCCGCTGCCTTGGCTGCTCTGGGTTACTAAGTTTATACAAACGAATCAAGAAAACGGCTTAAGAATTAATTTTTAACTAACCAAACAGTAGTGAGTGCAACTTTACGTAGATTAATCTCGTCCACGTCTTGCGGAGTTTACTTGTCACTCCATACTGTTAGTTAATGTGCACAGGGAAATAAAATCCGAGAATTAAGCGTCTTGGGATATTTGGAAAAAGTTCACGTTTTGAAAAATCCTTGTAGTAGGTATTGTTAAACTTAAGCGAGGGATAATTTATGTGTGCAGCTCGATTTGAGGTTGGAAAGAAAATATTTCAGATTAACGGAAATGTGGAAACAACCGGAAACGATGAAGTGAAAAGTTGGTAGACGGGGTGCAGGAGCTGAACTGAAACAATTGAGCTAGAATTGATGTCTGGACTTCTATGAAGTTTAGCAGAGACATTTATTTGATATACCTCATACACTATTTTTAAACTAAGACCAAAGGTGCAGCTCTCATCCACATTGCAATACTCTTGGCCTGACACTTGACTCCGATCGGCTCTGACGTCTTCTCAGCTACGTGCGTGAACCAAGACCATACGAGAATTTCCCTTCCGAGGTGGCCCAATGATTATCCGAGCCGAGATCCACGCAGTTGGCGGAGTGACAGTGATCGCAAAACGATTGTGCTTTCCCGCAAAAAGCAAAAAAAAAGTATATTCATAGATATTTCTACTTTATGAAAAGGCTGGTTGTATTTTAAATCCATAATCCTCGAATTTGTCTTGTCTTTTTTCTTTCTCAAAATCGGACCGGTACACGCGTCCATGTTCGGACCCGTTGGATGTTTCCGGCCTGCAACGAAAATATTGGGAGATTTTTATGAATCGAGGGATTGTACAAAACAAGTTAGAATAAAGCCAGCAAAAGGCTGGGGAAAAGCTAAGAACAATGTGACAGTATTTAAATATCGCTTAGACCTTTTATTTGCTTATAAATACTGAAGGAGACCACCCGGGTTTCTTGAACCAGTGGTTCTGATCTCCCATTTTATTCCCTACACGACCGATATCTTCCAGCCCCTTGACCAATCACACCGTTTCCGTCGCATCTCGACGGGCAACCAATGCTGATATAAATCATCGATGGGATCCCCCTGTTTTTTTCACTCTTTTCTTCTCTTTCAACTATCGTTCAATCCACCAATTGATCCATTAGATATTTAACCCCATAATATTCCAACAATGGCTACCGATCAGAAGTCTTCCTTTTTCATCGATTTCATGATGGGCGGTGTTTCCGCCGCCGTGTCCAAGACTGCCGCTGCTCCTATCGAGCGTGTCAAGCTCCTGATCCAGAACCAGGACGAGATGCTCAAGCAAGGCCGTCTTGCCAAGCGTTACGACGGTATTGTTGAGTGTTTCAAGAGAACCGCTGCCGAGGAAGGTGTTGTTTCTTTCTGGAGAGGAAACACTGCCAACGTTATCCGTTACTTCCCAACCCAGGCTCTTAACTTTGCCTTCAAGGACAAGATTAAGGCCATGTTCGGTTTCAAGAAGGATGAGGGATACTGGAAGTGGTTTGCCGGTAACTTGGCCTCCGGTGGTTTGGCTGGTGCCACCTCTTTGTTCTTCGTTTACTCTTTGGATTACGCCAGAACCAGATTGGCCTCTGACGCCAAGGCTTCTAAGGGTTCCGGAGAGCGTGAGTTCAACGGTTTGTTCGATGTTTACAAGAAGACCTTGGCTTCCGATGGTATTGCCGGTTTGTACCGTGGTTTCCTTCCATCCGTTGTCGGAATCATTGTGTACCGTGGTCTCTACTTCGGTCTCTACGACTCCTTGAAGCCAGTTGTCCTTGTTGGTCCTCTTGAGGGTTCTTTCTTGGCCTCTTTCTTGTTGGGTTGGACTGTTACCACCGGTGCTTCCACTGCCTCTTACCCATTGGACACCGTTAGAAGAAGAATGATGATGACCTCCGGTCAAGCCGTCAAGTACAAGGGTGCCTTTGACGCCTTCACCAAGATCGTTGCTGCCGAGGGTGTCAAGTCCTTGTTCAAGGGTTGCGGTGCTAACATCCTTAGAGGTGTTGCCGGTGCCGGTGTCATCTCCATGTACGACCAGTTGCAAGTCATCCTTTTCGGAAAGAAGTTTAAATAAGCGTTTCGATCACGGCTGCTTTTGGAGGCTAAAGCCGGTTTCGATACACTTGCCACTGTTATATACTGTAGTCTTCAATTGTGCAAACAAAACAAAAATTCGTGTAGATACTGGCATTTGAAGTTCGTCCATATTGGGCGTACGTATTATTCAACATGCCTAAGTTCGAAAACAACACACCAGAACAGTCTCTTCACTTTTATATCCCTCCTGGTTAGCTCTATAGCATAGACTTTGCGTGGTTTACTCCGCTTGGTAGAGCTCAATCTTCCTATCTAACTCTATGCGGAACACTCGGTAAGTATCAAGGTTCGCACAGCCAACTCTAGAGCTGCAAAGGATTGATCCGAGTATTTGACCCATAATTATTAGTACCACATAAAAGACCTCATAGACAACTTGATTCCGCACAAATAATTGTTTTTTGGTGGACTCTTCCCATTCACTTTCCTTTGCTTACTCTCTATACTTAAACCTACACATGTAACCTGATCTTTCTGTTGATTACCACACTACTTCCCACATTCCCGAGAGGGGCTCGCCTCGAGACATCGAATCGGGACCCTTGGATCGCGGGGGAAACCACAAACTAAAGACCATTCCAGCAGTCTTACTTGGACCCACAACAGTGCCTGGACTTGCCCACCAATAGCTCTGTCACGTTTGCGGGAATCTGAATTTCCAATTCTGACGTGTCGCTATCGGATCATCACCATTCCAGATCGGGCTAGGTCAGGGCTTTAAGTTTACAGTTCAAGCTTTCTCGGACCCCTCTTTGAATCTTGTTTGTCTTGTTTTTTTTCCCCAATTGCTCTTGCGCATTGCAATTTGATCTCATGAATGAACGCTACGAGGCTGCCAGCCTGCTTCCCAACAACGCCTTTGAGGTCAACATCCAGAACGTCCATCCATTGGACCAGCCTATTCTACGAACCAGATCAGCACCCAACACGCGACAAAAACCCCTGAAAGATGCCCAATTGAATGCGCCAGAGTCCACAGTTACTGCAGAGACAATATCCAAGGGATTCAGCGATTTGGTGGGGTTTCTGCAGATGATTGCCAAGCTGGTGCGATTTGTAGCCATGAGAGTATGGCGATTTGTGGTGTGGCTGGACCTATTAAATTGGCAGGAAACGGGCATGGTGCATCTTCCAAGCTTTGCTATGGGACTGGTATTTGTGTATTTACTGGTTTCATTGTTTGGAGGCAGATTTTCAGGCTCGGGACTGGTAACTCTATTGGTGTGTGGGGCAGTGGTTGCTTTGATGTTTACAGCCGAAAACAGTTCCGAATCTCCCGAGAACCAGGAGCCCATTTCAAGAGTCACAGAAGAAAGAACAGCCACGATACCAAGAAGAACGAACGTGGTGCGGCGAAATAGCGATAGACCTAGACTGGTGAATTTGGCTATGGAACCGCCGAGTACACCCAGAAGGAACTCTGCGGTTTCGCGAAATTCAGAGGAATCCCCGAAGAAGTCGGCCAGGTATCATTTTGTCAAGAATGCAAACAAGTGAAAAATGAAAATTTTAATGAGGAGTTGAAGCTTAGTTTCAAACGAAGACGATTGGAGATGAATATCAGCACTCCAAAAACTGCATAACCTTCTTATGTTAAAGGAGATACACTAGCAGATGTTTGCTAGGAGTGAAATAAATGTCCAAGATTCATCGTATGGGAGGCAGTGTCTTGTGCGAGTTACACGTTATCTGTCCGTCTTTCTAGAAGGGGAGATATGCGATATTTGACTAGTCCCATGTCCTGGAGGACATACTTAATAGGAGGCACAAGCTTATCAGCTAGACCACACGAACTACGTGTTTGACCATTCTGGATCAATGCAGATACAGCAGTCCCTCATTATATGACATATCATCAAAATAATAATATGATAAAGACAAGTTTTTGGTTGTTTCGCATAAATACACAATTGAAGAGAGGTGTACCATGGTGTACTGAGAGATACTGAATACACATGTGAAACTATTTTCTAAATAAGGCCTGTCTGATCGTGCTGAAAAACAATAGGCGATAAGTTGAACTGACCTTTGAAACCTCAAAAATAGTCAAAATGAATCACCATTTGCGGAGTAAATCCGATTTTTCAGTCCAATCTAATCGTTTCCCTATTCGCACTCTACACTCTCACTACACTCTTGTCGTATGATTATTATATTTTCACTTCGTAGCCTCTTCTATACACTTACAAAGTCTCACCTGGAATCTCAAAGACAACCTGCTTACCGGTCAACTTGGAGTAGATGGACTGGAAAGAGTCCAACTTGTAGTCGATGTTGGAAGAGTCCTTGGAGTCCAAAAGAACCTTGGCGATCTTGTTACCGCCAACAAGGTATCTGACACGCTTTCCGATGATCTCGGTTGGGAAGACAAGGTCCTCCAAGATCTTGTCGTGGACGTGGGACAGAGTTCTGGATCTTGGTCTCTTCTGGTTCTGTCTGTTGCTTCTACCTGGCTTTGGCAAGATTCTTCTCTCGGCCAAGAAGACAACGTGGTGGTCTGGGAATTTCTTCTCAAGTTCTCTGGTCAATCTGATCTGAACCTTGTGGAAGGAAGTTAATAGAGGGACTGGGACAAAGATCACGATGGCTCTTTTGTTACCCGAAACTTCAATCTCCTTGATAGACTTGAATTGCAACAGTCTAAGGTCGGCCTTCAAGTCTGGAGAGTTGGTTTCTAAGTCGACGAAGGATTGAGCGACTTGGAGCTCGAGCTCAGATGGGTCGGAGGACAAAATCTTGGCAGTGGCAGACATGGTTGGTGCGTTGATGATTCTTGTGCAAACTCTTGGAGGAGAGAGTCTCGTCAAAGTTTGATGAATTTTCCAGGAGGGCCTGGGAAGGGCAGACTAGGGTGCACACGCCCATCGCATACACGTGATAATAATGAGGGCTTCAACCCCTGATAGTGCACCGGCAAATTTTGGGAAGTGCACTGCTCAGCTATCCCGAAGCGGAAATCCTTGCCGTCCTTGCCGCATCGGCCGCATATGTTGTCACACTACCTATACCTTCGCCTGCTGTGGAGGAGCCTACTTCTCCGTGTAGCCGATCTTTTAAAAGACTCTCATGCTCAGACTCCTCTCGAAACCCCAGTTTAAGAGAACGATTGCGACAATGGTGGACCTGGTAGAGCAGTCCAAGAAACTTGCAGCCTACAAGGCTGTAGATGAGAACTTGAAGCCATCTGATAAGTACATAGGAATCGGTTCGGGTTCAACGGTGGTATACGTTGCCGAGCGGATTGGCCAGCTTAAGAGACCCGAACTTGTGTGTGTTCCCACAGGATTCCAGTCCAAAGACCTGATAATTTCTAACGGTCTTACCCTTGGGTCAATTGACCAATATTGCGACCTCGACGTGGCATTTGACGGAGCTGATGAGATCGACTCGCAGCTCAACTTGATCAAAGGAGGTGGTGCGTGTTTGTTCCAAGAGAAATTAGTAGCGTCGTGCTCTAAGAAGTTTGTTGTTGTGGCAGATTATCGGAAGAAAAGCCCCGAGAAACTCGGTTACGGGTGGAAGAAAGGTGTTCCAATCGAGGTGGTCCCTTCTGCATACCCAAAGTTGCTGCGGGAGTTTGTTTCCTTGAAAGGAAAACCAACGCTTAGATCAGGACTTCCAGGGAAGGCAGGACCAATTGTTACAGATAATGGAAACTTTATTCTGGATGTCGACTTTGGTGAGATTCCCGTGGAGAAGGTGGAGAGTTTGAATTCTACTATCAAGGCTCTGTGCGGCGTCGTCGAGACAGGGTTCTTTGTGAACATGACTTCGAAGGTCTACATTGGTGAGGAAAATGGAGAGGTATTGAAGATAGATAGTTGCTCGAAACTATGAGTGTTGGTAAGAAACCTAGTGGTATAGTCTTTAGTTCCATGAGTCGCAATGTACCTTTATTCAATAACCAAATGAGCAAGATCCATTTATCGGATGCCTATATGAGAATATTGGCAATTTGTAGTTTGAAATATCTCAGATCGACGGTCATCAATATGAAGTCACCAAGTATCACCGACTTTGATTCCAAAGCCGATATCAACACCTACCATGATCCTGTTCAATAGATACGCAAAAGTTCATTAGTAAGACAGACAAAAAACGGAAAGGCAGAAATATAACTAATCAAGAGACAAAAAAAGCGGTGAAAGTGACATGAGATAATAGCAAGTAGGAGGGGTTGGTCATAAAGGAAGGCTTCGGGAAACAGACCGCAGCTGTAGTTAAACCGACCAACTGCGCTAGACTGTGACAGCCAAAGCCAACCCTATTCAATCATGACTAGACTCAACTGAGACAACTTGTAGGCAAACCAGAATCACACCCTCATCATATCGAACAAAAAACCAACCACACCAGACACCTACCGCGAATGCGACCAAAAAGACCAGAGAAAACCGAATGTACAGCGAAATAGGCGATGATCATAATCGCAAGGTAAAATAGCAAATATGACACAATTGCAACAAAAGGCGAGCGTACAAGAAGATACAGAATCGAACAGAAGTGTCAATGGCAATCCCAAAATCGGAAACTTGCCGGTTATTGTTGGAGCAAACCACTAGTCATCAGTTCCACCCGCTAGAAAACCCGACACTTTCCTCCTTCTTGAATTCTTCTGAACTGGACCTCTTTCCACGACCGCGGATGCCCCGATTGAGGTTCTTGTACAACCCGGAAAAGTACTGAAGCAACTCCTTCTCTTCCTGGGGCAAATGCTCGAAAGCAACCTGCAAATCCGTCTCGCTCATTACATTAAGATGAGCCAGCTTTGCAGTTAGGTTGTTCAGCGTCTCGAGGTGAAACCTGTTCTGATGAGCTTTGAGGTTGCCCAGTTGAGTGAAAGACTTGTTACAGTTGTCCAATTTGCACAAGAAAGGCCTCACATTCTTGTGGGTAAGCTGATGAGCCTGTAGATTTCCTTTGCGCGAAAACATCCGCGAACAGTCGTCACACTTGTATGGTCGTTCGCCAGTGTGGAGTCTCATGTGTGTTCTCAAATTTCCGCCCTGTGTAAAACGTTTGTGACAATGTTTGCACTCGTATGGTTTGAGACCAATATGAGACCGAATGTGAACTTCCAGATGGGTCGCCTGGGTGAACTTCTTGGAACAATACTGACACTGGTGCTGTTTCAATCGCCTTGTAGTTGGCTTGTCAATTCCACCAACCAGCTCGGAGGCTGCGGGTAAAACAGTAGATCCATTTGCATCGGTATCTTCCAAAATAGACCCGTCTTCGGCTTGTGGAATTGACTTCATCATGCCCTTGTTACGCGCTTGGATCACTAGCATCAGCTGATCTACTTTTGTCGCACCAACAAGAGGTCTACCATCTTCAGAGTGCAGCACTTCAGATGCAGGAACAAGATGTGGCTGGCCCTGCGGCTGGCGTTGTTGCTGGGCCATGTGTTGGAGCTGTTGTTGCTGCTGCTGTTGTTGTTGTTGTTGTTGTTGGAGCTGTTGTTGTTGAAGTTGCTGTTGAAGTTGCTGCTGTTGGAGCTGGGGCTGCTGAGGCTGTTGCAACAACCGCGTCTGCTGCTTTTTCGTGAATTGACCAGCAGAAGCGTTTAAATCCTTCTTCGTGCCCTTGCCATCACCGGACGGGAAGGTGTAATCATTCAACGTGTTCAATGCAGAATTTCCTTCAGAATTGGCCCTTTTGCCTGGAACCTTTGCTTGAATTTTTGGCATTGGCATTGGCAAAACAGGCGGCGGCGGGATTGAATTCACCATTGCAGTTGGCTGTTGCATTTGGAGCTGCGACTGTTGCTGTGACTGCTGCTGTGACTGCTGCTGTTGAAGTTGTTGCTGCTGAATCTGCTGTTGCTGCATCTGACTGTGGCTGTAGCTCGATCCGGACCTCGAATGGCCACCTTCCTGCAATGGCAGGTTATCCAAGAGATCACCAGATTCGCCAAACACATTTCTGAAGCTGTCTCGTTTCAGGAAATTGTCGAAATCGCTCTGGGACTCCGGAATCGAGTTGCTCGGCAGGATAGAACCCTGCCTAGGCCGAGCGAAGTAGCTGTTTTGACGTGAGCGTGGGTAGTTTGAGGGGAAAAAAGGCTCAAGCTGCTCACTGGGCCTACGCCCAAGATTCAGGTCTTGCCCCACCTGGTTTCCGACCCCCGGAGGATGGAACAGGAAAGAGTAACCGCGCTGGTACTCGCCATTATTTCCCGGAGGAGGGTAGAAGTTATCCTGAGGTGGACCGGATGTTGAGTAGATGGGTTGACCATTGGTATCAAACGATAAACGAGGGAAATATATGGAGTCATTGCGACCATAGTTGGTAGCAACATCATCTTTGAGATCATCGTCTTTCACCAACAGCGAATCGCGTCTTCCAGGCAAGGCAAATGAGTTATCATCGGCCATCCGAGAATAAGGTTCCGTGGATGCCGGTGGGGCACCTGATTGTTGGTTGGAAGCCGATTGCTGTGGGATATCTGAGCTTGCTGACGAGCCTATCATGTCGTAAAAAGTGGTAAAATGGCTTAATAGGGAGGTATGGTTTCCATGAGGCTAGACTGATGAGTCAACACGAACAGATGAAAAGGCAACACAGACAAAGAGGAATGCAACAGAACGATGGTTGTACTAATCAGTTGCGAGCTATTGCAGCCAAGTTCGTAGTGGGGAGAGTTTATGTTTGCAAGGACAATTCTCGTGAACAAGCCTCACAAGCCGGATAGGATAAAGAAATAACAAATACAGCCAGACCAGGAATACAACACAACCACAGTTGTAGTATTCGATTTGACCAATCGATTGCGAATAGTTTGAACTGTTCGATAGTCAGGCGTATGTTGACTGACAGTTCCTTGAGCAAGCCAGTTAAGTCCAAAGAGACTACCAACTCAATTCAATCCAAACGGAACAAAATAACAATCGCAAAATTCAAATAGTCCCACCAATCGTGCGTATTCGAATGAGCTATCAGATTGTGAGTGGTTTGTTCGCAAACAAGACAAATCACTAAGGAGCCTCCCGTGCGCCAAACAACTACCCACAGGAAAAACTGGGGGCGTACACACTGCTAGCAAGCCGGAATTGCCCTTATTGGTCACGAAAAGAGCCAATTGGCTGCAAACTTCAGTTTCAATGGGAATTTATCAGGACGAATCAACAAGATGTGTGACTGTGAAGAGTCAGTTCGAATCTTGTTTGTTGTTCCAAAGAAGCAAAGAGAAGCATGGCAAAGAAATTTTTGACAGCGTTCTGTTTTTTTTTTCTTTTTTGTATTCCTCCCTCACCAGCCACAGCGTGATGGACCTTTGACTGGGATGCGAATTCGTTCGAGGTCGGACTTAACGTGTGGCGGTACAAAAGTAGTGTACGACAGAAATATCTGAGAAAAATTTTGGGCTCCAATATCTCTTAAGGGCCTGGCATTTCGTACAAAATCGTCGTACTGCTCCTACCAAAGCATTATTCTTCTTGGTTTTTTTACACATTTGAACCATGTCAGAGGTTGAGCGCGAAGAGTCCATGGATATCGATGAGGAACAAGATCTCACCAAGATCAAACTGCTGCCTGGATCTACCAAAGACGGTTCAGCTGCGTCATTCCAGATCTCAGACGAAGACCACACGCTGGGCAATGCCCTCAGATATATCATTATGAAGAACCCCGACGTGGAATTTTGTGGATACTCGATACCACATCCCTCGGAGGCTAAGCTGAATCTGCGTATCCAGACATATGGCGAGTCTACTGCTATAGAGGCACTCCATAAAGGTTTGGCTGATTTGTCTGATTTGTGCACGCATGTCGAGGAGACTTTTGCTGGTGCCGTTTCAGAGGGAAACTACTCGAATGAAGCTTGAAGCTGGTATCTGAAAGAAGAAGGTCAAATTTTAGAGCAATAAGCTGGTGACTGCTAATGATTTTCAGCCAGAAGTGAGGTTGTCCCAATCTCGCTTTCGCCTCTCGTTTCATCTTACCTACCTGTACATTAGAAGTTATATAGACTTGAACAATTGCCCATTTTCGCAACAGAACCCGTATCAAATCAGAATTCCGCATTTCATTTTGGACCTTCACATGATCCTGTAATGTATGGTTTTTCAGCCAGATATTGATTTCGCATAGCCCGATTAGGAAGCCATCGTGTTGCGCACGCCCGAAGAATTTTTTTTTTCCTTGTTTAAAAATTCTCTTGTTGCCCCCTTCCTTTCTTCCTCTGTTTCTTTCTTCTTTAATCAGACACATTTTTCATAGAGATGTCTTATATCAACAACAACAGAGGTCCTACCAACCACTACGATGGTGGTAGCAGAGGTGGCTACAGAGACAGATCCAACGGCGGTTACCAGGGTGGTAGACAAGCCGGCGGTGGTGACAACTACAACAGAGGCGGATACGACTCGCATTCCGAGCTTGGAGCTAACTTGAAGGTCCAAGACTGGAACCCAGACACTTTGCCTGCTTTTGAGAAGAATTTCTACACTGAAAACCCAGCTGTGACCGCTAGGTCTGAGCAGGAGGTTGAGGAATTCAGAAAAAGCCACGAGATGTCGTGTTACGGAAAGGGTATTCCAAGACCTATCACCACTTTCGAGGAGGCTGGATTTCCAGACTACGTCCTCGAGGAAGTGAAGGCTCAGGGTTTCCCTTCCCCAACCGGTATCCAGTGTCAGGGTTGGCCAATGGCCTTGTCTGGTAGAGACATGGTGGGAATTGCGTCCACCGGATCCGGAAAGACTCTGTCGTACTGTTTGCCATCAATTGTGCACATCAATGCCCAACCGTTGCTCCAACCGGGTGATGGTCCAGTCGTTTTGGTGCTCGCTCCTACCAGAGAGTTGGCCGTCCAGATCCAGAAGGAGTGCTCCAAGTTTGGTCAATCATCCAGAATCAGAAACACCTGTGTTTACGGAGGTGTTCCTCGTGGTCAGCAAATCAGAGACCTGGCCCGTGGTGTCGAGATCTGTATTGCTACCCCTGGTAGATTGATCGATATGCTTGAGTTGGGTAAGACCAACCTGAGAAGAGTGACCTACTTGGTCTTGGACGAGGCTGACCGTATGTTGGATATGGGTTTCGAACCACAAATCAGAAAGATTGTCGATCAGATTAGACCTGACAGACAAACCCTGATGTGGTCCGCGACTTGGCCCAAGTCAGTCCAGGCCTTGGCCAAGGACTACCTCCACGACTACATCCAGGTTAATGTTGGATCCCTGGAACTGGCTGCCTCCCACAACATTGCGCAGGTCATCGAGGTTGTCACCGAATACGAAAAGAGAGATCGCCTAATCAAGCACTTGGAGGTTGCTATGCAAGACAAGGAGTCTAAGCTTCTTGTCTTCTCCTCCACAAAGAGAACCTGTGACGAAGTCACCTCGTACCTGAGATCCGATGGATGGCCAGCGTTGTCCATTCACGGTGACAAGGAGCAGAGAGAGAGAGACTGGGTTTTGCAAGAGTTCAGATCGGGAAAATCTCCTATCATGGTGGCCACCGATGTTGCCGCAAGAGGTATCGGTATGTATCATTACTAACTTTTCATGTTTTTCCGTTCAATTTCGCATTGAAGAACAGAGACTGAGCGGGCCGGCCTTTGCCAGCTCTCTGTTTGTCCGTCATATACCCCAAACTGCATGCGATCCAAACACCTATAGAGTTTGGATCCCCGTCGACTTTTCCCCTCCTGAGGGCATTTTTGAAGACGTTAAAGGAAAAAAATTGAAGGATTGAATCATTATTATGATAAGGCGTCTATGGACTACACAAGTTTGAGAGAGATAAAGGAAAAGAGAGAAATATAGAGAAACCTAGAGTATGGGGCTTTCGAGGCTCAATACGTTGACACAGACCCATTTTTCTTCCTTCCTTTACTCAGTTTGAGAATCAAAGCGAGTTACCTCAACTGGCTTAAGTTTTGAACCTTCTTAAACTCCATAGAGATCTTATTTAGATAACAGAGCAACCACAATCCTCTCTTTTCACCAAGTGCAGTAGATAAAGATGGGCTTCACGAAAGTTTTTCTTCGTGGAGTTGAAACCGAAAAACAGACTCTCCTTGCTGGAGATGTCTCGAGTCCCTACTAACACAACTACAGACGTCAAGGGTGTCAATTATGTGATCAACTATGACATGCCAGGCAACATCGAGGACTACGTCCACAGAATTGGAAGAACTGGAAGAGCTGGTGCCAAGGGAACTGCCATTTCATTTTTCACTGATGCTAACGCGAAGCAAGCCGACGACCTAGTTGGAATTCTCACTGAGGCCAAACAGGAGATTCCTCCAGCCCTGCAGGGTTTCTGCCGTCGTCGTGGCTACGGTGGTGGTAGAGGTGGTGGAAGAGGTGGCCGTGGTGGCAGAGGCCGTGGTGGCTACGGCGGTGGCCGTGGTTACGGTGGTGGTGGATACGGCAACGGTGGTAACAGTGGTTACAGACAGTCCGGATCTAACTCTGCTCCTCTCAACAACAGAAGATTTTAGACGGTAAGGACCCCCCAAGAGATTGTAATTTTCGCTAAGGTTATAGACTTTATTAGTTATATGCGTTTTAATTTGAGAGCCTGTAGGCCCGTATGGGCGATGCCATTTGGACATCACCACCCGTCATTCCACCCGTCTTCGTCAATCTCTAGATCCAACTTCAACTTATTGGTAGGCTTTAGTTGTAGACCAGGAGCTTTTGGAATTCTTTTCGCAGGTACAGACCTGGTAGTTTGAAGGGGTTTGGAAGGTCTCAATGCAGTCTTTGGTGCTGGCTTGGTTGCAGGCTTCTGCTCTTCCTCGTCAATGTCAAATCCCCAACCATTATCTTCTTCTTCAAAATCATCGTCGATCTTCAGATTCGACACCTTCGGCAGCTGCTGAATTCCAGTTTCGCTCGTAGCTGGTTTCAACAGATCTGGAGTGGAATCCCTGGTGCTGTCTGGCGGATCAACAATCTTACCTCCTATCTTATCTGAGATCTTGCTTAAAGCACCCCAACCCAGGGTGAACGCTCCCATATTGTCCTGTATATGCTGCTGTTCCTGCGATTGTGATTCTATGGTGTCTGGTTTGTCTTCAGGAAGATCTGCAGCAGCTTCTCTGATCTTGTTGACGTACGAGTCGAAAGCGGCTTGGGCCTCCATTCTCACCTTGCTGCTCTGATCCAGCAACGCTGGCGCAACGGCTGATAGCACTCTGGAACAACAAACTTCTGGTGAGAAATAATCAATACATGAAGCGAGCGACATCACAGCACTGATTCTGGCTGGAACAAATGGGTCCTTCAGCGATTTGGTGAATGCTGTCACCAGAACACCTGGTCGGGAGTTGTGGTTAAGCAATCCGGCAATCTTGCCGAGACATATGACCGTATTCGTCCTGATCTCTGGCTTTTCATCATTCTGAGATTTAGCTAGGTGCCTCAGAAGATCGTTGTTCAATTGTCTATCAGTCAACTTGTCGGCAATCGGCAAGATAGCCTTGACGGTTTCCTCTCTAATGGCGGGGCTTGTATCATTGAATCCCGTGATCAAATGGTTGAAAATCTTATCAGAAACCTCATAATTGGTGAAAGATTCCACATAGCGAGGAAGCGATGTCAACAGCATCATCCGTACAGCTCTGTCTGCCAACGTGAAAGATTTTATGATCACAGGCTTGACAAGTCTGGAATACGCTTCCGTCTTGAGACTTGGTGAAAACTTCAAAATATGATACAACAGAGCCGACTGACTAGTGCCATCACTGGCGGTGTTTTCAAGCCCAAACTGTTTGATCAGTTCTGGAAGCAGTTTGCTCTCCACAAACCCTGGAGGGCAATCGTTCTCAATACCCTCCAGAGTATCTAGAAACGAGAGCTTTTCATCATCTGCTCTGAAAGATATCTCACTTAGCTCCTTGTAGCATTTTATAAGCGGGGTTTCAAAGAAGCTTGTTTCTCCAGTCTTCAAAAACTGCTCGGCACTGTATCTCACATTCACGGATTGGTTAAGCAGTTTCTTCACATGCGCACCCATGTTTCTCGGAATCTTGGTCATGTTGGTAGTTTGGGAAATATCGGTTACTGACTTTCCTTCATTGAACAATTCATATATTAGAACTCCCAGCTTGAAGGAGTCAAGCTTGACGGCATGTCTCCCCAGAGTAGGAAGCACACTTGCACCTTGGTTTATGAACTCTGGGGGAGCAAGACTCGAATTAAAACTGGGCAATTGGTACGCCATGTTGAAAATCCCGAAATCGTCGGTTTTGATGTTGGTTGCCAGTTCGAATCCGCCCAGTCTCCATTCTCCGCTCTCTGTTATGTATATAGAAGACGAACTCACATTTCCGTGGAGACTCCCGCCCTCCAAATTGATAAACTTCAAGGCTGTAGTGATCTGGTAGATACCAAAGATAAACGCCTGCTGGCTCAACGGCTCGTTATTTGCCAGAACTGTCTCCAACGGCTGAACCCTCTCCGTCACGATATAAATAACCGAGTCCGTCTCGAACGTGTCCAACGTGTTCAACACACTGGGCAATTTCATAGACCTCTGCTTCTTCAGTGCATTCCTTGCGAGTTGCACATATTTGGAAGTCGACGGGTTAGTGAGCTCAAATTCGAAGATCGTACACGCCATGTTGTTCTCTTTCTTTGTTCCTAGATACACGTTCCATATCGAGTTTGACGAGTAATCGCTTCCAACACCGGTTACTATTCGATCACCGATATTGTACGGAATGCTGGATCCGGTCAGGGACCCCAGCGCGTTGGCGAGAAAATTCATGGTTAGCTGCAGAACTGATGTTGTAGATGGTGTTGTTGCTCTGATCTCCGTCGTGGTTTGTGATATTGATCTTTGCAATTGCAGTGCGATAACCAAGTAGTGCATGCACGATTTGCGTGCGGCGCGAGAGTTGGCACATACAATTCTGTTAAAGTCACCAGAAGAGTGTTTGCAACATTTGAAATATTCATATATAGGTAGACAGATAAAAGTGAAGATATGTGAAAATTTAGTTGCTTGATCATAACTATTCCCAAGGACTGCCTCAAAGCAGTTTTCAAAAACACACCTTCTCTAACAGTTCCCGATCCAATAATACATCACATCCCATGGGCTTCTTCTTGCCAGTTCCCCAAGCTTTGGCATATAAATCCAACATCTGATAAGCATATCTTGTATGTAACTGATCACCGATAGCAAGAGTTCTTCTCTGGAAAAATGCCTGGTCTGTTGGGTGAATGGCTGCTGATGCTGCAACAGTGACTGGCCACGGCATAATGCACGATATATTATGGTATTCGGGGATTAATTTCAAACATTCAATCACAATTCTCACATCACGCTGAATCACTTCATCATCAGAGTTGATTGAACGGTTCAGAGTTTTGCGTAAAAGAATATGGCATGATCTCATTACGATTTCTCCAACCATGAGGCTCGAACGGAGATGCGTACAGGTAGCTTTTGACTCCGAATCGTAAATGAAAGACGGGAGATTGCTGCAAAGAGACGAGCTTGCCTGCTTGTATAGTTCTTGAGCTTTTTCCAGCATTATACCCTCGAGACGTGTGAACCTCGAGACATATGATGCTTTTGCAGCCAGCTCATAAGCATCTCTGGCAGCACCTAAAATGGGGTTGTTCATCCAGTCCAATGGCAGTGGAAATAGAGCCACACTCATGGCCTCCCTGAAGTCATCAAAGAAGTCAAACGGAGAAGGAAGTTTTGCCAATGCGTCGTCTTTGCAAACCAACAATTCTGCAGCGTAGTTGTACGCAAAACTGTCGATCATGTATCTTTCGTTGGGGGTCACCTTTATCTGGGTCTTTGGCGAAGACGAAAACAAATCCGAAAGCTCTCTGTTGAAAATAACGAAATTGTTGGCATCAAGATCATCAGAATCAGGATTGATGAAGTTCTCGAATTTGATTTTATCAAACTTAGGCTGCGATTTCTGGATGTTCAACCATTTCCACTGCCTCTGCCTCAGCAGCTGGTAAGCAGCAGTAAGGTGCATGGTGCATTTGGTGTTGGAAGCACCATAATACTTTTCTCTTAAAGACAGATTCAAAATTCCAAACAGCAGCCAGTCTTCAGAGCCATCAACATTCTGCGAGTTGATCTCCTGGAAAAGTATTCTCAAGCACCTCAGATATCTTCTGTCCGCAACGGACACCATGGATGGATTCTTCCAGATGAGATATGATGCCCCACACGTGAAACACACCTCTCTGAAAGCAGAAGATACCATAAGCATAGGGATTGCAAGACCTGCGGGCAATAGTTCAGCAACCGTATATTGCGAGGAAATACTGGGCAAGAACCCCTCCATAAAAGCCTGGAACAAGAAAGCTGATTCGTGATCGAGATCCACACCTGGTATCCAGTTGAAACCTCGCGTGTTTCGTTCAATTGCTGTTTCCAAATGGCTACAAGTAGTGTCCCGGTGGGTCTCAGTTGTTTTGTTGCCTTTGGTCACGGTAACAACGAAAACAAAGTTTTTTTTTCCACTTCGTTTGGTCTGGAAAAACTCGTCACCGGGCAGTGTTTCACCCTGCCTGCTTGGCCAAACACACTCAAACGAACTTTTCAGACAATTCATACAACTGGGAAACTTTTCGTCGCACTTCTTCTTTCGTTTGCGGCCTTTTGGGAACGTTAGTGAACATTCGGGTTGTTCGTGGCGTTATTGCTTATCGCCAGGCCTTGTTCTATGGATAAGAAAACTTACAGGTGAAGCACCCATTCTTGGACCGTGTAATTTTTGCTCTTTCGCTCATAACAGTTACCGCCATATGAAATACCCATGCTCGCTTACTGGGGATCCAGTTTGACCTAAATATTACATTAACCCAACTTTCCATCCTTTCAATCGGTCCATGCGGTTCCTCTTTCCACAGATAGTTGCCTCTTTGGGCTAAACGCATCGGACCCAACCTGCATATCAATCCGAGGGCTCGGTTTATCTGGTGAGCCGGAACATGCAATTGGACCATCTGACATTGGCATTATCTTATCTAGCCCATCTTCGGAGTCAAAAAACAGTGGCATTGAGATGGCGTGGAAACGTATTGGGCAACCTGCCGACGTCGCTCCGCAGATTGAGCTGCTTTGGGAAGCATTTGCCGGAATATTGTGAATGTTGATACTGTCAATGGGTTGATCGATTCTTGAACCGCTTGATATATTCAGTACTAATATTGATGACTCGGTTTAATTTTGAAAATGTAGCACCAATGATGCTGCCATGAACAAACTTTCTTGTTATAACTTGTCATTAACGTTTGCCATGAAAAGAGCCAAAATATTTGTCACCCAGTGGGTGGTACCTGCTCTGCTATTGAGTGCAAGCTTTATGGATACAGGAAATTACGTCTCAGCAGTATCGGCAGGCACTATTTCTAAATATCAACAATTGATACCTTTGGTGGTGGCTCATATTATGGCCGGAGTTCTCCAATATTTGTCTATTATACTGGGAGTCAAAACGAAGTTAAATCTTGGTGAGAACTTCCGAAAGCGATTGCCGCACTGTGCTTGTGTGGTTCTGGGTGTTGCTAGCGTTTCAGCAATAGTTCTGACGGATATATGCCAAGTTATTGGTAGTGCTGTTGCTCTTGAGGTCCTGTTTGACATTTCAACATTACCAGCCGTTCTTCTGAGTGTCTTCGATGTCTCAATGCTGTGGCGGTTTCACAGAACGAGTACTTGGTTGAGACAGGCCACGGAGATGGCGGTTGCCTTCTTTAGCTTAATCATATTCTCATTGATATTTGTGGATTTGGTAAACATACGAGAAAAGCTGAACTTCAAAACAATACTTGTTGGGGCAGGACCTTCCGCTGATATGTTACGCTATGATAACTACATTTTGAGCCTTTCTCTACTGGGGTCCACTGCCATGCCTCATAGCTTGTTTCTGGTGTCTGAAATGGCTAAAATGATGTTTCTGGATCAGCAGGGACTGATTTATGCATTATCAAGAAAGAAAACACAAGAGTTCATCAAGGATCTGACAATCAGACTGGTGTTTATGGGGGTGTTTGGGGCATTAATTCTGAACGTTTCTTTAGTCGTTCTTTCCGCAGCTTTGAGTAATGATAGCAACAACAGAAAGAACTTCTCTGGTCTCAGAGATGTTTACAGTTTGTTCAGCGAAAGCTTATCACAAAATGCTGGGACTTGCTTTCTCTATATGCTGTTGTTATCAGGTCAAAGTTTTGGTTTCATTGGTAACTGGGTGCTTGATATTGTTCTGAAAGGCATGTTTGACTCAGGAGAAAATAAAGAATCATTTATGATGAAAATTAATGTCAGATACATTTCTGTTTGTGTATGTTTCATATGCGCATGGATTGGAGGCGACAAGATGTTGACTTTCATGATAAACGCAACCCAGGTCGTTCTGGCAGCGGTGCTTGCATTGGTATCGGCTCCATTGGTTGTATTAGTATGTCAGAGTTCCTTTATGAGTTCAACAATAGAGTGAGATTTATACAAAGGTTAAAGATACAGATATAGACAAGCCTGCGTAGGAGAAAACAAAAAATATTTCCAGAGAACCTGCATACCCCGCGGGGTTTCTGTGCATGATGGCTAGTGAGACGTTGATATTTACAAAAGTCTTTCAGCCACAGAATATCAAAACCCTTAGAGGTGTATATAAATTCACTCACAATATATAAAAATACGATTTCTCAGCGAGAAATTCCAGCAGCCTTTCTGTCTTGTATAATCTTCCAGTATCTTCCCTTGGTCTTCTCTCTCCAAGTTGGGCCCCAGATCTCCATGATAAGGAAGGTGCTGATGCACCCAAAGCAGATGAACCCAGCACTCAAAAAGCAGTACTTGTATCCCAAATCATTGACCCAAGGTGTGATTGCATAACCCATCCCGAAGTTCATACAATTACGAATCAGAATGACCACAATCATTGCCTCAGAACCCATCTCGCGATAAGTATCGATTGTGTAGTTGCAAGCAGACGTACACCCCAGCAAGACGGAGCCTCCAGTAATCCCCGCACCAATAACAACAGCAAACCAATGAATTTGGTAATAAGCTCCAATACCAAACAGGAAAAGTGCAGCAGGTCCGATGAACATGTAAAGTCCAAGCAGCCATAACCGATCTTCTGCGTTAGACTTTCCCCCACGTCTGGTTGCCAACTTGATCTTGAGCCAATCTGCGGTCCAGCCAGCATAGAAGTTGAAGATGGCAGCAAAAATGAGAAGGGAAACATAGACAAGTCCACACATGGCCGACGAAAAATTATATGGCGCGCCTCCGAAGACCGTAGTCAGAGTTCCATTCATGACGGAGTACCAAAACAGAGAGGCACCGTACAGAAAACCAGAATAAATGACCACAGGGAATTGGAGCATCAAAAACGGGCCTGTGAGATAATATATAAACCACTTCTTATCGCCATACGTCCAAAGAGCAAATCTTTCTTTTTTGGACTTCAATGGGATTGAACTGTCGATCTGGATGTTACCCTTCAACACTTCTACACCCATAGAACGGATACTATCGCGAGGTTGAATATGGGTAACATTAGCCTCTTTAGCATTACTCGAAATGACCTCAATTTGTGATTCATCTGAGTCAATATCAAGTGGCCGGGTGTAGTTTGATTCTTCCATAAAGAAGAACAGAAATAGGAAAGCAACGGCAGTCCAGATTGAGCTCCAGTAGATCACCCACTGCCAGCCCTGACCGTCAGCAATGAACCCAGCAACAATTGGAGCAGCATAGTTTGATCCAAACAATGCTAGTGCATATACACTCATCCAGGTACCACGCTCGTGCTCGAAAAACATGTCAGAAATACTGACTTCGCAGAGAGTTTCAATGGGTGACCCCAGGAAGCCCTGCACAATCTTGGAACCCGTGAAGGAACCTTGGGTTTTGGCGTAAGCCTCCCATAATGTGACCAAACTAACGCTGAATAGACTAAAGAGGTAGACTGGCCTTTTTCCAAACTGGGAAGCAAGGGGCATACAGAAGTATGTACCAATTCCATAGAAAAGAAACATGTAACCAGTCGAAGTGTTCAGGGCACCCAAAGAGATGTGTCTCACCTCCACGATCTGAGGGAGCACAGAGAATAAGCACGAACATGGAACTCCAATTCCAAACACATAAACGACCATACAAAACATGTTGAGCCACTTTCTGCGAAGACTCCAGTTCAGTGGGTCATTTGGATCAGTTGTTGGAGTTGGGATCAACACCACGTCTTTTTCCTTGGGCTCTACCTCGAGCTCGTTAAGCTTGACTTGGTCAAACTCGACCAAGTGAGAAGTTCCTGGAATTGCATCAAAGTCAATCATAATCGCAGACAGTATATCGAATCTGATTTTGGTGTCCTGTTGGTCCCACAGTCTGGGGTGCTTCATGAGGTTCATCTACTTTCGTTTTATAAAGTGCAAAATTGTGCCCCTTTGACTTCTCCGATAAACCTGACAGGACATAATTTTAAAATCTCCGACATAATTGTCCCTAATGGGTCAAATTTTCAGGTTGCCGCTTGCCCTTATCAGAGTCGATAAGATCTGAAAAAGGAGACTACCCCGGAATTCGACCGGTGCTAAACCGAAAAGATAGTCTCCAATTGGAAACACCGGAAGGAAAAGTCTGAAAGTTCCATATTCGGAAACCTAAACGATCAATTAGGTAAATTATAATAAAATAAGGCATTCAATATTCCCTTTTGAGGTGTGGCTGGCGTCTATGCTCCTGCATTGGTAATCGTGCAGGGAGCCGCATGCAAGTGATTAGAGGTGATGGAGTGATAACGATGAATGTGATAGCCTTTGCGGCAAGATAAAAAAGCCACATAGTGAAATTGGCACGAATATGGCATCAAATACCACCCAAATGAGTCATTAAATTAATTCAGAAGAGACGCTGTGAGAAGAGAGGTTCAACTTTCTCAATCGGGCTATAAGATAGCATAGGGTGCTTCCAAAAACTGCAGGCTTTTATTTCCGAAAGGAATTTCCCAATTCGTACAACAAAGGAGGGAAAATATGGTGTTCGCTGCTTAGTTTTCAATTTAGACGACCGATCGGAGCGTAAAGGGGAAATGATGGGCGGACCAGGACATCATCGTGAACCCAAGCTTCTCCACATCTTTTGGTCGGAGCGAGCACTGCTACTGGATTGGGAATTTTGATATGGAATTATTTTCTAGGTTTTGTCAAAGATGATGAGAATTGATCGATGCTTGCTTGGATATAAATAATGATTATTAACGTTGATAATGGGGTTCTGGGATCTTCTGGTGCTACATCTACGTGTTGTACTGCGTACCCTTCACAGCCTGCAAGTAAACTTCTGTGACTCTCTTGAAAATGCTCAGCTCTCTCAAAATTAAGCCTGGAAGGCTCATGAAGACCATCCATGAAACTGCCGACATGTTTGGCGCCGCTTTTCCCTGGGGAAAAGATCCCACGGAGACTGGCTTGCTTCGATTGGCCCTCACTGATATGGATAAAGGTGCCAGAGATTGGTTTGCCAAAGAAGTAAAGTCTCTGGGATGCGAGTACAAGGTTGATGAGCTTGGAAACCAATTTGCCATTTATCCAGGTAAGGATATGAGTGCTATCCCAACTGGTGTGGGCTCGCATCTCGACTCTCAACCAACTGCAGGTCGTTACGATGGTCCATTGGGAGTCCTATCTGGTCTTGAAATTCTCAGAACTTTGAAGGAAAGCAACTACGTTCCAAACTATCCAATTGCCTTGATCAACTGGACTAATGAAGAAGGTGCTCGATTCCCTTATCCGCTCTTGGGATCCTCCGTTTATGCAGGCATCAAGCCCAAGGAAGACATGTACTCCATCAAGGCTATCGATGGTTCTCATCCAACCGTTCTAGAGGAATTGGAAAGAATTGGCTATAAAGGAGACACTGAATGTGCATTCGAAGCGAACCCAGTTGCTTGTCATTTTGAGATCCATATTGAGCAGGCTCCGTATTTGGAGCGTGGAAACAAAAAGATCGGAGTCGTTACTGGAGTCCAATCTTACTGCTGGGAGGAAATCACCGTTACTGGTAAATCTTCTCACACAGAAACTACTCCCCTGGATGACAGAGCCGATCCAATGCTAGCTGCTGCTAAGATGATCGCAAAATCCAGAGAAATTGCACTCAAATACGACGGTTTGGTCAGCACTGGACTCATTGAAGCCAGCCCAAGATCCTTTAACGTTCTTCCCGAGACAGTAAAATTCTCGTTGGATACGAGAAATTACGACGATGCTAAACTAGATGCCATGTTGGTTGAACTTAAAGAAGAATTCGCCAAAATTGCCGAGGAGTGTATTGGGAAAGATAGTAAGATCCCCATCACCATTGATTACAACCATCTCATGACCTCCAGAAGAGCTTACTTCCACGAGGACTGCAAAGATTGTATCAGAGACGCTTCCCATGAGGTTGTTGGCGAGGAATATACCATGGATCTTGTTGCACGTGCTTGCCATGATTCCAAGGCCATGAGTACCATAGTCCCCACTGCCATGGTCTTCATCCCATGCAGAGACGGTCTCAGTCACAACCCAAGAGAGTTCAGCACTCCAGAGCAATGTGAGGACGGATTCAAGGTGCTGATGGGTGCTGTTTTGAGATACGATCAACTTCGTGCCAGCAGAGCATGATACTCGGATTACCAGATTTTTCTCAAGTGTTTTTTTTAGACTTTCCGTCTTCGCCTATTTACCTTTGGTTAGGACATAGAACTTGAAGATTGTTTTTACATCAAACTGGATTCAACAAAATATTGTTTCGAACAAACTTAATCTGATAATAAATGAAGCCTGCGGTCTCCACTTGCAATAGTCCACATCATTACTCCTTCAATCTATAACTTCAATTTCCACTTCAAATACTCCATCGAGTGGCCCAACCTCTCACCACCGAACCCACCACCAATGGCATCATAACTTTCCACTTCGACATCATCCTCAGAAGGCAGAAGTTTCCTTCTCTTGACTCTGTTCAGTTGCTCGTTACTCTCAACAACTAGTCTATTGGCAACAACGGTAGGCGGGCCTCTAAGCCAGATGAGGGGAGCGTGTTTTTCAGCCAAGGAAAAATCAACCTCAATGTTTGGATCAATGGATTTCAGCTTTCTGATGTGATTTGCAGTGTCCATTCTGGTCAATCCGCTCTTTGCAAAAGTTACCAGTTCCCTCTCTACATCCGAGGATATGGTTAGAGAAGAACTGCTGGAACTAAGATAGTTGTTGACAGGATAGTTCACCTGGTTGTAAGGGGAGTTGATCAGTCGGGAGGGAGTGTACTGGGTGCTCGTAGACACCCCGTAGTTATAAGGCGAAGGACTTGCTGCAACAGGGTTGTACTGCGAAATCGGCTGCGGGGTTGATGCTGGAGGAGGGTTTATCAGCCCAGGTGCAGGTGACGCTGAGTGTCTCGCATGAGGCTTCATTGCCGGATTTACCGTGTGCAAATATACACCTGGTTCATCATCCTTGTAAGCTGGTCTCAGGTAGACACCACCAATAAGAGGAGGAGCGTTCAAATTTGCAACTGTTGGTTCAGGCACTGGATCGGTTTCTCTGGCATTTGGCAGAAGCATATGTCTCAGAGGCGACTCCACCCTCTGTAAATTTCTTGGCCCAGCAATAGGCGTATAATTTTCCTCCTTATTCCTCACCACGTCAGGTATACACCCCTTCCACGTCTTTATTTTGTTAAAATTGCGGTCCATGTCGTTGTATCTGTACTCGCAGATGAAGAATGGACCGTCTATTCTAAATGCAGGATCTCCTCTTTGGTACTTTGAGAAATAGGCCACATAACAGGGTCCAACGATGTCTTCCACAAGATGATCTCTGTATTGCGCAGACTTGAACACCTCGTTCTCATAGAACAACCGGTCCACGCGATGAACTGTTTGTTCAGGTCTGTAATACCAGCACACATTGACCCATCTGTTGTTTCCATCCTGTGGTGTTGACCAGATCCTGAATATCTGGCCGATGATAGGTTTGGTGTCATCGTTGGGGTTTCTCAGCAAGACCCAGTCTCCAACAACATAGTTTCTTCCCTGAACTTTAACAGCGTCCAGGGGAACTCTCAAAACATTTCCGCTATCATGAAGATATGCTGAATCTGGTTTTGCCATTTCCTCGCTCACCAATTGACTGGTTCCTTCCTGAAGCAATTGGAGCTCTTTAGAGATCGTAGGGTCCTCAGAGTAGTATTGCTTGTATGTGCCAATAACATGGCTAACATCGGCTAAGAACGCTTCCACGGTCTCGTAAAGTCTCTGCTTGATTTTTGCTTTCACCTCGTTGAACGAAAGAGGATTCTTTACCACTCTGTAGAAATCAGGCTCCACACTGGGGTTGGGCAACCTGTCATAGCGCAGGTATAGAAAATGGTCTCCGTTCAAAGACTTCAACTTCTTCAAGCCTTTCATGATGGTCTTGATTCTTTGCTCGTGGGGCTTGTCGATTATTGGTGGTCTTCCACGTTTAATCCAGTTCTCCCAATGGTCCCTTCTTTCCCTTTCACCTGCAGCTTGCGGTGTGGAGGCCCTGGGAATTATGAGCTGATCGTCCTCGTCTTCGTCATCATCATCACCCTCATCAAAAGGAGTCATTCCCCGTTTTGAGCCTGAAGGACCGGAAGGCGAGTCAACAACAGAAGTGATCGCTTCTGTATCTTCTTCTGGTAATGCTCCCAGATCCGGATACCCCACCTTTTCGAACCCAAAAACCCGATTGTCATTCCGGATATTGGGCACCATTACATTGCGGACGTAGTTCTCAAGCAAAACAGCATGCTCGTATATAGGGCTTCCCTTCATATTGAAAAATCTCGCGTTCCAGGAAACCTGGGCAAGGTCATATACAAACTGTTCAGCACTAGAATATCTCTGCTGGTTCAGAGAGATCTTCACCTTCTGAAGAGACATGGGCCTCCTTATCACCTTGTAGTACTCAGAGAGTGACCTTGGTGGCAAGATCTGGAAAACATCCGCAACAGGTACTTGGCTAAAGATGGGTCAGTTAGCTTTACAAACGTTATACTAGAAAAGTAAAACAACTCACTTTGCATCCTTCAAGTCGTAGATCTTATTGAAGTATGGAAACAGTCGCTTCGAGAGCTGCTCATTCCGAGCTCTGTTTGACCCAGACATGATCGATGGTGTGGGAATTTGCGTATGTCAAGAAGAAGACGATGATGTGTGTACAGTAGAGCTTTCGAACGTGTCGCTGGAAAACTATGTCATTTTATTACGTGTCACTAAAACGACTGCCATTATTTACTGTGTCACCTTATCTGCTTTAAGAACTCCATCATGGAACAAACCACCGGATCAACCCGCATCTAAAAAGCAAACTACTCCCAATAATGAACAAAATATAACTGACACATGTCTCTTACTGAATTCATCGCCGATAGGTCTCGTTGCAAGACTATATTGGCGTTGGTGGGGGCAGGACTATCAGCAGGGTCTGGTCTGGACACTTTCAGAGGAGCCGGTGGTTTGTGGAACAACTACAACGCCATGGATTTGGCCACTCCCGATGCTTTCGAACGGGATCCTTGTCTTGTTTGGCAGTTCTACGCATATAGACGGCATTGTGCCCTGAAGGCCAAGCCTAATTCTGGTCATAAGGCATTGTCCCAGCTATCACGATTGAGCCTGGATCCAGAGTCGCGATTGAGTTTTCTGACTTTGACCCAGAATGTCGATGGTTTGAGTGCGAGAGCAGGCCATGACAAACGTGCATTGCTGGAGTTACACGGAAGTTTGTTCAGTGTGAAGTGTACAAGTTTCGAGTGTGCCTACAAGAACGATTTTAACATGGACGATCCATTGGTCCCTGCTCTTAGTGTGCCAGATTCTGGAGACTACCTTCCAGACCCTTCTCTGTCACCGGAGGACCTTCCTCACTGTCCTAGGTGCAAAACGGGACTTTTGCGTCCAGGCGTGGTCTGGTTTGGAGAGCCTTTACCATTCCGGGTAATTGATATGGCTGATGAGTTCATTATGTTCAAGAAGGTGGATTTGATGCTGGTGATAGGCACCAGCTTGACGGTGTGGCCAGCAGCTGGATATGTGGATATGGTAAAGAGTCGAGGGGGCAGAATCGCAATATTCAATACTGAGACGTCATCTGAGTGTGAATGGAGTGTTGAGGGAAATGCAGCGGAAACTCTCCCTAAGGCATTAGAGCCTTTATTGGGGATGGAGTATTTGAAAGATGATAATGACTAACAATGACCACAAACGACCGCGACGGACGATTACTGACCGAAAGCATCAAATTTGAGTACCATCCATGCCTACTAACCATGAATATCAATCGCACAGCTAAACCTTGCTGGGACCGGGGTTGAATTGTCATAGTGAGTATGCTCACAGATTCCTTGATTCTTTCCCATAATGATCAGCCAGATCATGAAAAGGTTTCCGGGTACCATTAATACTGTTTCATTCTGCGCCAGACTGTTTCGTTGTCGGGTTACTGAACACTCATACATAGGTTTCAATACCACAATGTCATGAAAAAACTGGGTTCTTTTCAGAACTCAAGCATTTACTGAAAATCTGGGATGACGGCCACTATATCGCCGAACTTGAAGATCTCACGGGAGCATCATGGTCTGGCAAATCCGGTTTCCGCTACAACTACAATAATCATCACAGCTTCATCACTAATTCTCTCTTCAGTGGCACGCACAAATAATTCAAAGTCTCAATTTAAGAAGAAATGGGCCCGTTTCAAGTTCAAATGGTGATCTTATCATCTATTCCCGATACACTTCCGTTCAACCTGGATTGCTCCGCAAGAAACACAACCTTGTGGGACACCAATACGTCTTCCGGTGTGCACTTGATATGCTCAATCTGAGCAGCATCAACTGTCTTACCATGTACAACATGGTCGACCAGGGCATTGGCAAAAGCAGTGGCGAGACCGAGATCTCCTCCTCCATGGCCAGACTCCTCCACCTCCTCGGGCTTGTGGAAGGTACTCTTTTTGGTCACGAAATCGAAGACCTCAATGGTCTTGGAGTCAGAATAAATCTCACCGGTGGTTCCATAGAAACACATCTTACGGTTGCACACCTCTTTGGATTGTGCAATCATCGTCATGGTGGCCGTGGCCTTGCCGAAGTCCAGGTTCACAACCTGATTGTCACAGACATCGTTGTCGCAATCATACACACAGCGGCCATAATCGGAGGTTTCAAGAGCTTTCAGCAGAGCGTCTCTATTGTCTTCATCACATATCTTGATAGTCCATTCCTTATCACCCTTATCAAAACTGTCCATATACAGCTTTTTGGCGGAGTAAGCGCAATTCTCCTCCATTGGACAGGTGGTACAGTTGGAGGCACCTTTGGCAGCTGCTGGTTTGTTTTCAGCTCTGAAATACGACAGGGAACCAAAAGAAGACACCCGCTTGCAGTTTTCTCTGCCCATGATCCACATTAAAACGTCGATGTCATGGCAGCACTTGGCCATAAGACTGAATGTGCTCACGTCCTTACGCCTCCAGTTTCCTCTCACGTACGAGTGGGCATAATGATACCAGCCCACCGGCTCGGTGTGGTTCATGTTGATAATTTCACCAATAACACCATCGTCAAGTAGCTTTTTCAAGTAGACGTTATGGGGCGAGTATCTAAGGACATGGCCCATGGCAAAGATCACCTTGTTTTCAATCACTGCATTGAAAATCTCCTGACAATCACTCCAGGTAGTTGCCATTGGCTTCTCACATAACATGTGCTTCCCGAGATTGGCGAAGATCACCGCGATCTCTCTGTGCATCTGGTCCATGGTACAGATGATCACTCCGTCGTATGAATCAGCATCAGCAATAGTTTCCTTCCAGTCCTCGTATAGCTTTATCTCCGCATCGGGCCGGAACTCTTTGTACATTTTCGCGAGAGCATTTCTTCTGATCTTGTTGGGGTCAGAAATGCCGGTGATGATAACTTGTTCGTTGTTTCTCAGGGCTCTGGTATATGCTCTTCCTCGGTTACCGGCACCGATAACGAGCAATCGCAATGAATCTTGGGACGGCATTGGATTGATAAACAACTGAAACCGTAGCTATGATCTAAAAATTTAGGTGTGCCGTAATAACAACAATATTCTATATCAAATCTCCCTTCAACGCGTGATATATAAACCCCGGGATCTGTTGTGAGAGATAAAGGGGTTCCTAAAAAGGAATTTTGGTAGAAATGCAACATGTAACCTGGATCGGAAACTCATTGCTGGCCAATAAGCGGATGTGTAACCGTGGGATTGCTAATCCAGCACATACGGAAATTCCGCTATCAGCTGCAAAATCTGGGGGGACTTTCCGTTGTGTGTGGAAACCCCGATAACGGTTATGCAGCCGGTATCAACACGGGGGTTGCAAGCCTGATAATCGACCTATTTCATATCGAGATGGCAATTGCAACACCTACAGTGAGATCTTTTATTATTACGACCATGAGCGGTTTTCTGGGAGTATCTGACGGTTGGTCGATTCATGCCAGCTAAAAGACTAGGCGGTGTCCGCGAGGTATGCCAGCACCTTGTAAGCTCTTGCTGTAACATATGCAACAATGTTCGAGAAAGGCATGTGGATAATTTTCAAAAAACATGCCCTTATTTGACAGGTACTCGGACATACTGGGGTTTAAAGCTAAATTTGGGCCTGGTTGTCAGTATTTGGTCGGAGTGAAACGGCACAGGTCGGAGTGGGCAACAGCAATCGGATAAGCAAAAAATTAGATCTATCTTCCATACTTTCCAGGCTGTATCTTCTCCTGTTTTTTTTTGTATAAGAACAAACTGATATTTCCCACTGTAGCAGATCATTTGAGCTCCAGTACACCTTATTCTCTCACCACTATGTCGACAAGCCAATAAGTTGATTCCTTTCCAGAGTCGTGAAAACCTCAATTCGAGCCCTCAAGGTTTACCAAAATCATCGTTTAGTCTTTCAGCATGGTGATTTTTAACGCAGCTAGGTCAGTGTCTAGTTTCTTGAGGGAAAATGAGTGGTATTAACCCAAAATCCACGTTGAAACATTCACCTAACCTTACAAACGGACATTTTGTGCTGACTAGACCGCGAGCGGTCCCGGAATGTCAGATGGACCCCAGATCTTATATGTTAGTAGCTAGCCTCAATGCGCCCTGGTATCTTATCTCTTGTTCTAACACCAAAGCTAATCACTATAATCAGATTTAAGGATCTTCAATTGTCAACAATAGGGATTTGCATATTTATCAATCAGTCCACGTCCCTTTAATCTGATTCTTGGGCACTCTCGGAGTTTTTAGGCAAAAAGTACTTGGAGTGTGAATCCCAAGTCTTGGCCCATCCTATTCTAAATTGCCGGTCGGATTTTTTGACCGAGAGAGACTTTGAGAACCAGATGACGAAGAAGTCAAGAGTATATTGATTCGTGTTGACTCGCTTGGCACCTTATCAATATTTTTTGATATTACGGCTTGGATTGCCGATGTGGGATCTTTGTTTTTGAGAGATCGGAGGGAACACCGGATGCCATTGCAGCTGTGGACCATAGAGGACCTACCGAACATATGATAACCCTCAATGCGGTGCGGAGAAAATGTAAAATAGTGGAATAGTTTTGGTAAATTCCCCGTAATCTCAAAATCAATGTGATCGCAGTCTCTATGTGATTCCACTTTCAATATTAGACCTCGCGGGGCCTTGAAAATTACACGTGAGTGGACTATAACACTTAGCACATATCATGCACATCGATCTAGCCCCCCGCTTCTAAAACTTGAAGTCCCAAACGGAATAGCTACTGAAAACATATCGCCTGATTATCTTTTACCGGAGGATCAAACATCCTGTTACCTCACACGTATCTCTGAGCTATCTCAAAGTTTCTCGGGCCGGTCCAAGCTCGAATAAGTTTCGTATTATATCGTTATCTCACGGGTGGTCCCCAATCCAATCGCGGCTCTAATCACACTGCACGGTCTCAACCAAGACCGAGATCTAAGTTGAAATCATGAATCTGCATGCCCCATATGAACGCTTAATTCTCTTCTTCTGAATAAAAATATAATGGAAATTTGCTACAAAGCTCGAACCGCCATATTATCCCGATGCGGCAGAAGTGCATCTTTGCATTGGTCCGGATAAATCCAGAGTGGGCTAGCCACAACGCCAGCACCGTAGCCGTCTCAAAAAAAAGGGCAAATTAAATCGTGAATATTGGGAAACACCATCCTAAAAGAGTTCAAAAGCGTATATCGAACTCTTGCTGAGATAATAATTACACCGAAAAAAACCGCGACCTCTGCAATTTCCCGGAGAATCTCCTCCTTTTTCTTCTTCCCCATAATCACGTGACCGGCCAAAAATTCCGCCCGATAATATGCCGTGTGGTATCTTTCCAATCCAAGCCCTGGAGAACGACTATCAGAGCAGATTGCTTGCATGCTATCGCCGCGCTAAGGTTTAAATACCTCCAATATCCCCCACTCCTTAATTTTTGCTTAAAGGCATTTTGGTATTGCATCATGGGTAAGAGGGCCACAGCCGAAGAGAACGCAGCTAGGGCCGAAGAAAACTCCAGACGGAAGGACACCCTTCCCAGAAAGCTGTTGAGGTTTTTCTGGACCGACATTTACGATGACAAAGATGAACAGAAGCTGATCTTCAAGGTGGATACCTTTATCATGTCCTACTGTTGTGTTTCCTACTTCATGAATTACCTGGACCGTACCGCTTTTTCAAATGCCTATGCGACTGGTATGAAAGAAGAGCTCGGGCTTGTCGGCAACCAGTACACCGTGATCAACACCTGTTTGACTGTTGGATACATTATTGCCCAGATTCCTCACGCTCTGTTGCTTCAGATAATTCCTCCCCGTTATTACTTCCCTGCCAACCAAGTTCTTTGGGGAATCTGCACCATGTGCACTGCTGCCTGTAAGACATACCCCCAAGTGTGCGCCGCGCGTTTCTTTCTTGGTATTTTTGAATCTTCCACTTTTAGTGGGTCCATGTACGTCTTGGGTTCTTGGTTGAAGGAGAACGAACTTGGAAAGAGAACCGGAGTGTTTGCTGCTTCCGGTGTGGCAGGGTCCATGGTTTCCGGTTACATTCAAACCGCTATTTACAAAAGATTCAACGGTACCGGTTCTCTGGCCTCTTGGAAGATCATGTTTCTCATAGATGGTGCTGTTGTCTTTCCTGTTGCCATTTATGGCCTTTTTTTCTTTCCAAGCACGCCTAAGACTTCCAACAACTTCTACTTCACCGAGAGAGAGTTGGAGATTGCCAGAACGAGATTACCTCCTCCAAAGCCAAAGACCAAGTTTGACTGGACCTTAATTAAGCGCGCTCTCATTGATTGGAAGCTGTGGGTATTGAGTTTTCTGTGGGTCTGGGGTGGTGCCTTGGAGGCCATTTGTAACCAGAGCACCTTCCTTTTGGGTATGAAAGCCCAGGGAACATATACTGTTTCCCAAATCAACGAATGGCCAACTGGTGTCCAAGCCGTTGGTATTCTTTCCATCCTGGTGGCTGCACTTTGGAACGACGCCTGGCCAAAGAGAAAGGCTGAGTTCATCTACATTTTGTGCGCATGTCAACTTGTTTCTGCGTCTATTCTGTTGAAATGGGATGTTGCGCTCGGCGGAAGACTGTTTGCCTTCTTCCTTGCCGGAACCTCGTATGGTGGTCAAACCATCTACTTCTCATGGGCCAACGATATTTGTCAGGGTGATGATCCACTCAGAGCCGTTGTTCTCTTCTGCATGAACATGTCCTCGTCCATTTTATTCTGCTTCTGGGGTATACTTCTGTATCCCTCCTCGGACGCTCCAAGGTTCCACAATGGGTTTATAACCTCCATTGTGGTGTCTATAGTGTGTGCTCTGTGGGCTGCTATGACCTACATTTGTGCCAAATACGAGAAGAGAAAAGTTGAAAGATTGACAGCTGCTGCCGAGCTGGAGGAAGATTCTTCTGACGCGCCAGAGTTTGTCTCAACAGAAGATATCTCTAAAGATAAAGAGAAGGCTTTTGTTGCCTAGAGTATAGTTATTGCATTTAAGTTAAGATCTTCTGACGCCTGAATCTAGGTGATACTGTATTACTGTAAGTGGATAGTTGGAGTATAATAAAGTCTCAATCTGAGATTATTTTTGGAATAAGTTTAGGAAGAAAGAATGGTTTCGAGAAGAGTCTTGCAGTAGGTTATAAAGCATGCAAGTGGGTTGGTGCTTGAGCATGCGTTAACTTCAGCATTTATGAGAGAACAATCACTAGGTTCAGAAATATGAATATATCAATATGCTCTCATTAAACTTCAATTTTCCTTACTGTTCTCCAAAAATATCTAGACTTAAGCCTGAACTAAAATTCGACATATAGCATGCCATATAGGCATGAGCCCATGCACCCGGGTCAAGCCTAAGATGAAGCCTCGAACCAAGTCAGATGGCACCCCACACAATCCCCATATAAATCCGCAACCTCTATCTATCACGGATTTTAATTCCTAGTACTCGCAAATATATGCCGGTATTAGGTCTCCAACTCAGGCTGCCGCCTTCAAGGCATTTTAATCAGACTCTCCATCCACGCCGGCAAAAAATTCCGACGCACCTTAAATAATACGGGACGCACACGATAACGGCTTCCCCAAACATCTAAACTATAACCTTTGAAAAATCTATAATCTTGAACTATTCATTCCTCAGATCAGCTCAAGGTTTATTCACAGCAATGGTCTATCCCCTAACAGTTTTGGGTATCAACTGTGGTACCAGCGTTGATGGTGTGGATATAGTTGTCTCGCAGATAGAGACCACCAAGATAGAAGACGACCAGGTGGACCTTTCGGTGAAGGTGGTTTCCTACGAAGAGGCACCCATTGGAGACGTTCTGAAAAACAGGATCCTTCGTTGTTGCATTGCGGGTAATACCACAACATCTGCTGAGTTGTGTGATCTGAATTTCGCGATTGGAGAGGAGATTGGAAACGACATCAGGAAGGCTGATGTTGACCTGTCCAAGATCGACCTAGTGGCCTCCCATGCCCAGCCCATTTGGCACGAGCCCAGAGGAAAAGACAGAAATTCGACTTTGGAGTTTGGTGAACCTGCGTCAATTTCCTATTTGTCAGGAAAGACCGTGGTGAGTGGATTCAGGTCGATGGAGGTGGCTGTTGGTAGACAGGGTGCTCCTTTGTGTGGGTTTTTGGAATACGCCATTCTGAGGAGCGACAAAGTCATCATCACCCAAAATATTGGTGGGATCGGAAATGCTTCTGTTATAGATCCTTTGCATAAATTCTACCAGTTTGATACCGGTCCAGGTAACGTGCTGGTGGATGCTGCCGTTCGCATCATCACCAACGGCAAGCGCGAATACGATGCCGGAGGAGAAATGGGACTGAGAGGCGAAAAGGACATAGATCAGGAAACTGTTGACGAGGTTTTGTCCAATTACTATTTTGCTCTTAGCCCGCCAAAGACTACTGGAAGGGAACTTTTCAGTGACAAGATGTCTGAGCAGCTGGTTAGAAAGCTCCAGGCCAAGGGTCTAAGTGATGATGCAGTTATTGCTACCATTACGCGTATCACAGCCGAGTCCATTGCTAAGTCATATGATGACTTTGTAGTTCCACAGGTTCAGAATAACAAGATTGACGAAATCTATATTTCTGGTGGTGGTGCTCACAATGAAGCCATTTTACAGCATTTGAGGAACCGCTTCCCAGAAGCCAAAGTAGGTCTTTCGGGCTCTTTGCTCAACATCACTGCCGATTCCAAGGAGGCAGTTGCATTTTCCGTTCTAGGATATTGTACTATTAACGGTATAATGCCACCGGTTCCCAGATTTGTCGAGACGGACAAAGAGGTATTGCTGGGGAACATCACTCCTGGTGACAATATCGTGGAGTTGTTTGGAAAGGTTCGTCCAACACGCTCTCATCTTAGATTGAGACGTATTGAAATAATTTCGTGAAAAGAAAATTAAATAGTTAGTGGAAAGAGCAATTTGCTTGAGCTAGGATTTTAAATTTTATTGTATAGTCCCACAGTTATAAATCATAGTCGTCCAGGTTCTTGCTCCAGAGACTCTGGTAGTTGAAAGTATCGAATGCGGAAGGCGATCTTCTGTCGAAGGCTTCAGAAAAAGTCAACAATTCTTTTGGAAGAGCTTTATTGGAACCACGATGATCTTCATAACCAAATTGGCTCTTGAAGGCCGTATGGGCTTGGTCGACACTGGTATTTGCTGGAGGGTTCGGTGGGCTATTCTCAACCTGTTTCTTCAGCTTTTCCACACACAATCCCAGTCTGTGAACCGAAATGCTTCCAGCAAAGTTTGTATATGGAATAAGCTCAAGCATAATCTGGTGGCACTCAACTATTGTCGTCATCAGCCTATTGACGTCACACTGATAATTAAGTTGTGAAGCGAACAAAACCGTCTTGGCAAGAACGGCTATGGCAGTGAGAAAGATCGTCGCGAAAAACCCAGGTCCAAAGCAAATAAGCCGTTTTATGTCCGAATCATACTTGATCATCTCAAGAGTATCCAATGCTATGCTTTCACTCTTTGAAAGAAAATGCTGAGACTCTATACCCGGTATTGCGTGAGACATTGAAACGAAAGCAGCATGGCTATTCAGATGAAGTTTCACAAATTGAAAAGCCGCAATCAGTGGCTTCAACGAGGTAGAAGTCAGGCTACATGCCAGCTTGCAAATCCAGTCTGAAAGCCACATATCCAGTTCATGAGAATATTCCAGGAATTGGTTGGGAGTTTTGGTATTTTCGATCTTCTTCTGCAGATCCATAATCACCGCACATAGCTCGACATTGGCGTCTGCCTTTAATGCCCCACGCGAAATCCTGGTGTCCCTTCTGTTGGAATGAATTGACTGAAGGTACTGAGAAACATATAGGTCTCTTTGGTGGATCATCTCGGTGTTTGGTGCAAAGTCCTGCACTTTGTAATGCGTTATTCTGTAACGCTGCTCCATGATGAATGTCATCACACTGAAAAAATAAACAATATTTTTCTGATCAGATGATATTTTCAGGGACTTCAGAACATTTGGGGTCAATCTACCAACGAGATCACTGGCTATCAAACTCATTTTGTAGCCCAGGTCTCCACACAGCCAGGCAGCCCCCACGGAGCACGCTAATATCTCATTTATGAGGCTCAAAAAATCAATTGGAACTCCTGAAGGCAAAAACAGACTGTCAGGAACAATATTTTCAAGATATTGTTTTACCGCTTCTCTTAGCGAGTAATGAAAGTGTTGATAGGATTGGTGGTTCATTGACGACACGGCCAAGATAGTGTAGTATAAGAACGGCGATTCCTCCTTCATTTCCTCTGTGATTCGTGGAACGTAATTGAATATCAAAACTGGAAGATATCTGGCCAGATGGAGACGAAAGAATGTGAGTAATTTTGCAGAGCTGGCTTCATCCAAATCACTAACAGACCATCTCAAGTCCTCTGCTTGCCTTTCCTCAAACTGTTGATCCAAGGCAGCAGTATTTATCTGGAGATGGCTCAAAAGCTGCGAAATGGCCCCAGGCAGCGTGTCTAATGGATCTATCGTTCTTTCCGTCCAAAGAAGGCTTTTAAGGTAATCCTGTCTGTTATGGCTGATCACACTGTTCTGCTCTTCTAGCACTTTGGGCGATGATCCAGTTTTTGACCCCTCCAGTTCAATAGGCGCTGAGCTTGCAAACTGAGTAACAGAATCTTCCAGTGCTTCCACTTTCAACAAAATCTGCTCCAAAATTTCGGATTCCAACGTTGATCTCATGAAGTTGCACTCTTGGCCAGTGGCCAAACATCTCTCACATTCCACAGGTGACTTGGAGTTGTCATATATACACCTCATCTTCAAAGCATGACACTTGGAGCATGCCTTCTTCCTCCTTTGTTTTGGGGTTGCAGTGGCTTCATTTTGTTGTGACATCTGGGCGTATCAGGCGTATTTTGACCTTGATAGCGGCAATAGTGAAGAGTGAAATTTCAAACACTTCACAAATCCAATGGGTTCAAGACTTTGCAGCGTCTTTTGAGAGTTCCAAAGGGTCCAGAATAATGTTCTATCGGTGACTAATTACCCATATAACCTAACTATGCCAAAATCCCTGCCAGAAAGCACCCGGGGATCTTTACGATATCAGCTCGATTACCAGCATCGACACTACTTGATTGATATCGGAGTTTTTTTCCGTCTACGGTCCAGCGCAAGACAGGGCAATTTTACAACAATTATTGGGCAAAAATTCAATTGCAGCTATCTATGCAGTTAATATGGTCCCAGGTATACTATCTATCGATATCGGTTCATATCATGAGTAGATTTCGGTGAAAACCGGCAAGTGAGAGCTCCTGCGTGCGGCTTATCTCACTAGAAAAGGGACTTCGCGATAACAGATTAATGGCTCGGGAATCTCAATTACCTTTTACAGCTTTCCGCTTTTGGAAATGCAGAAACTTGCAGACTTAACAGTTTACTGACGTGCATTGTGAGTTTTCACACGGTCCATTTCAGAAAAAAACACAATGGCTCAAGTAACACAAACTTGGTTTCGGTAGAACTGTATTTTGGGAGTTAATTTGATCCGGCTGCAAAGCCGCGCTGATAGCATCTTTATGCACTGCTCTTTCCTGGTCTGCGCACGAAAATCCAGACCCTGGTTTTTTTTATCATCCAGACCTTGACTGGTACAAAATAATCAAAAATAAATAACATAAATCACAAAATGAGCTTCACCCGGTCAGTCTTGCTTCCTGAAATTTCCAAAAAGAGAGGATCGGAAAGCCCAAGGCGGGACTCGAACCCGCAATCTTTGCCTCCGGAGAGCAACGCGCTAACCATTACGCTACTCGGGCATATTAATACGGAAAAAGTGAATTGGTCATACGTAGTCTGCTGGTTCCTGGTTTGAGGGGTTTAGAATTTGTTTTTAAATTGATAACGCATCGTTCACTGAAATTAGAAACCCAGTACTTCATAGGAAAGTTACAAGTCCACAATTTCTCTACCTGTTGACCATACCTCAGAATTCCCTTCATTTTATCGCCAAGATTCTGCTTCTTGATTCACGGGTTTTGTCCTGATTTGAAAATAAGCTGGCAAACCGGGATGCTGTCGTGTTGTTACCAAACCACCCAGGCTTTTCCTCGATTCTATTCTTCAACGCTCGAACAAGACAATTGATGAGAACAATCCCCACACAGTTATACCAGTTCAATCTACCCAAACACCTCAAGTATGTTGAGTCCAGCTAGGAAACAAATAATCAAACATATACCCAGCTTCTCGAAGTCTATGGTAGGGCTCCAGACCGGAAGCGTTCCCCGCATGAGTCTCATGACTCGTTCTCTGTCAACCACGAGAATAAACTTCCAGACAAAGGCTCAAGACAAGGCCAAAAAGCCCAAAATCAACTATTATGAAAAGGTGAAGAAAGGAACGACGTTCCTGATAGCGTCGGGCCTGGTTGTGGGTGCTCTTGGATTGGCTTCTATGACGATCTATCTATTGGTTGCAGAACTGGCGTTTCCCTCAGGCGACACTCAAACTTTCAACAGAGTGGTCAAGATGATTGAGAAAGATGAGAAGTCATGTGAACTGTTGGGAAATCCCTTGGGTCACACACTTAAGGCGTATGGCTCCGACCAGTTCAATGACAAGTGGACCAGGAACAGGCCTATAACGTCCTCGCGCAAGCTTGGAAAGGACGGAAAGGAGCATCTGTTCATGAGATTGACCGTGGAAGCTGATTCCGGTAAATGGGGTCATGTTGTGATGGAAGCAATTGACGAGTCGATTTACAAGCAGAATTACTTGTACGTGTATCTGGATGTTCCTGGTGAGAAAAGACACTATCTGGTGGCCCCAAAGACTTTTGGCGGCGCCAGCACTGGAGGTTCATTCAAGTTTCTGGGCATTGAGTGGGGTTCTCCAAGGAGATGACCAAATTGATATTGGTGGAACTTTCGGGCAGAATCTTGGTCGCGGAGACGGGACCAATGCTAATTATCCACCCTAATCTACACAGCATTCATACCAACCATAATGTACATATTTGTCCATGCTGAAACAGGCAAGACGACAAAGATCCTCAATATGCGAGATTTTCCTGGTACACATCAACTCCGTTCTTGAGATCCTGGTAATGTACGAGGCCAGGACGTGACTTGACCAGCAAGGCACCGCTTCCAACCAATAGTATATATATAAATAACACAGCACTCTCTATAATCGTGCTTTCAGCAATGTTTCTGACTTTTTTTCTGCCATTGGTTGTTGGCTATCATTTGTAGGGCCTTGGAGAAGGGCACTTCTGAAAAGAGCACTTCTGACAAGAACATGAGTCCAAGAAGAGCACAACTGATGTATGTCAAATAAATTGTGGAGCTGTCTAATAAGTCCGAATTGACCAATCAAAAACATTTATTGTCTCTGAACTTTTGACCAATTTCTAATGGCATTTTTCACCAATTCGACATCCTTCTCACACTTTGAGCCGCACCATGCAAGAGGGCCGGTTGGTCATAACTCTATGCAGAATTACGACCAATTTTTTTTTTAGCAAACTATAAATCAGAAATTCAAACGTTGTAATTCGGAGAGTCTCTTTTCTCTTTCTGGCTCTTCTGCTCCTCTCAAATCCACCCACGACGCTGCAATTTGACAAGTATAGGTCTTGCGTTATAACCCCAGCCAATCAAAGTGATAACTCCCCAGAGGACACTCGAAAGAGCAAAGTTCCGCAAAAGTCTCACAAGAGTGACTGGAGGTTTATGCTCTCCACTCAGAAACTGAGAGACTGCCTTCGGGTCATCACTGACGAAACCCTCACAGATACTGGGGTCCAAGGTGTCTGTCAAAGCAGACATGTCCAAAGGGCTGTTGACAGTCCAGAAGTACAACTTGAGGTTGTATTTCTTTACCAGAGCAAGCATCTGGCTTTTCAAAAACGGTTGGTAACACACGAGGTACATCATGGACAGGGCCTGGATGCTACCTCCTTTTTCGTCAACATCCTTCAAGAACTTGGATGCTCTGGCTGGACTAAAGGTGATATTGATCACCTCAAAGCCATCCAGAACGTCCTTGTGGTAAAAACTGGAGTCCCATAGCCCAAATATTATTCTATCTTGCCAGAACGAAATATCCGGATTGACAGCCTTACATTCGGAGATAATAATTTTTCCAATTGACTGCGCATCATTGTCTCCCTTGATATCCAACATCAACTTGATGAGGGTGGGAGTCGTATTCAACCACTCAAGCGTCTCCTTGAGAGTGGGCATATGCTCATCCGGGTCACTTTTGCATTTTAAAGCCTGTAGAGTTGGAAAGTACTCAACTTCCTTGATATTGTAGTCCTTATCGAAGGTGCGGCCGGTTTGCAAATCGTGGCAAATCACAACCACTCCATCCTTAGACACATGGACGTCTTGAAACGGGAATTAGACACTTTTAGTTCAACTTCAAGATGAAAAACCTCGTCACTTACCAGTTTCGATAACTGTAGAACCTGCAATCACTGCCTGTTGAAAGGCGGTAATCGTGTTCTCCGGAAAGAGCTTTCTGTACCTGAAACGAGTTAACACTCCGCCATGTGATGGGAACTAATCAAGTATAAATCCAGATCAAAAAATACATACCCTCTATGAGCGGCATTCAACATCATGACAATACTTTGTTTGAAAGAAATCCGAGCAAAAGAGTGAAAGAAGAAAGAAGAAGGTTACAATAATGCCTCAAGCATATGTGCAGAAAAACGTGGGGTCCACGGTCCTTCCGGCCATACTCCGGCCATATTCCGACTACGATGAGTAGATGTTCAAGATGTAAAAATGCAGTAGACTGACTGTAGATTATATATAAAAATGGAATGAATTCCGGAAACCGGGGCTTTCATATGTTTTCAATCAGACTTGTTTTTCCTCCAGCGCAACCGGCAACGGATATCCGTACTCATTGTGAAGATAGTCAATCCTCCGGGTAGTCCAGACGTCGTCATATAGACATGGTAGTTCGTCCTTTGCACTCAGCACTAGCTGGCCCTCGGTGAAACCTTCGAGCTGCTTGAACAGGGTAGCTGCCCTGGTGCGATTGTATTCGCTCCAGATGTCCGCGTCGTGGCAGGCTCCTATGTAACTCGAGCCTCCCCTGTTGAACAGCTCGATATCCTCCTGTGGAACGTACTTGCACTTGTTCAAAGGAACCCACAATCTCAAATGCTGGATGTAATGGTGGTTGTTGAACTCGTCGGCGTTCATAATATCTGGATACGTCTTGTGGAGAAGCGAGAATGCCCTTTGAGGAACGTTGGCCATGAGACCTTCGAACAGAGTCTTCCGTAAAGGCGTGACCTGCGATAGATGATAGAAGTTTCCCATTCCAGAATTCACAAACCGGCCTCCCTCCGCGATCGAGTCTCCGTCTTTAATGTCTTTGGCGATTTCAGGCTCGTCCTGGTAAGCGGACACGAAATGGCCAGGCAATCTGGCCTGAGACCTCACCAAACCGGAGATCTCAATGTACACTCCAGTCCTGATATCAATGAACCGAACGTCCGTAGACTCTGGTGATGCATTTCCGTCGTTGAACCGAGCCCTCTCCATGTAATGAGGACTAACATCCAAAAAGTACGTGCCCGTTCCATCGTTGGGATCGTTAATGACTATGGAACCGTTGAAAGTGGAAGCCACCTTCGACAGGTCTTTGGCAGGCATTTCGAAATGCAGCACTGTTTCCCAGGGGAAAAACAAACCGTTTCTGCCCCATCCAAGTAACGTTTCCTGTGACAACCACGTTGTGAGCGCAAGGTTGAAAGTCATTTGCAGCCATGCACGAACCAATTGGTGCAACACGGCTCTTCTTTCCTGCTGGGTCAACATCACGTTGAAGAATCTCCAGTCGTACTCCTTCCTAATTCTCTCGCCGTCATGGAAAATCATAGTGTCCTTGAAATAGGCTTGAGATGCAACACGGGCATCGTTGGCTCTTTTGCTCTTCTTTTTGTCTTCTGGGAAGTCGAATGCGTCCTCGGCCACATCGATAAGCGTGAACTCACCGCCATTGAGGTCCACCACGGGCCGGCCGAGGCTCTTGGAGATATCGTCAATGCACCAAACGGGGTTGACAGGAGATTTTAGCACTTCGAGTCGGGAAATAGACTCGGAAACACGCGAATCGATGAACTTTTCAACCATTCCGCTTTCAACGATGTCCTTCTTCTTGGCCACCTTGACCACAAATGCCAGATCACCAGCCAGGAGGACCACCTTGCTTGGGTTGGGTGCCACTGAGTACAGATAGCTCTTCGCTCTTAAAGAAAGTCTGAAAGGGCTTTCGAATTCCGTGGCCGGTCCGTTGAATATGAAGTTGAGATCCCGAGGATCATCCGACTTCTTATCTATGCAGCCCGGCCAGGTTGTGCGTATGTTCGAACCAAGCACCCCAATAACGAAACAAGTGAGCTTCTCCTTGATCAGGGGATTAAGGTCTTTCATTTCGATCCAATCGCCCCAGTGGAAATCGAATTCTGGTACAGGCGTCTTGGGATTCACCTTGGACTTCTCTAGAAACTCTCTGATGGCATCGTAGTAAACAGCTTGCGTCGCCCGCAGATCACTCGTTTCCTTTGCATGATTGTATGGTGCAATTGGCAGTACTGAAACGTCTGCCGAGTATGGAAAGTACACCAGGTTGTTGCTGTCAGTCTCCAATTGAACCTCCTGCGCCGTTTTGGCCCGGGGACCGAAGAACCTTGACATCCAGCCCATTTTGCGTGGTCTGTCCAGATAGAGATCCAGATCGTCGTCGTGGTGTCTTGAAGATAGGTAGAAAATGAATATTATGATGGAGAGCAAGTAGAGCAGCGGGATCAGGAACTTGGCAAGTCTGGATGATCGCCATTTGTGCACCAATGATAGCATCTTGTGGTGGGTCAGCCGTATCTTCAAAGGAATTAGTCTGTCATCAGGATCGTCTGAGCCAATAGAATCTTCCTCATCGTCCTCTCCCAGAGACCCTGTCAGAGATACCGACCTCACTCGGTGCGGCAGCGAGGGCTTTCTGGAGTTGTATGCCGTGAAAACATCATCATAGCCACCATCCTCGGGATTCAGCGTGGCAAAACTGAGATCTCGCCGGAAAGGATACCGGTGATTTCTCTGCATCAATCAAAACAGAGAATGGAGAAATCGCGAAGTTTAAGGAGTTGATCCTAATGAGGTTGCAGCGCTCGATCCAGCGCAATTTGCAGGTGTTGCGAAAGGCAACTAGCGTGGGCAGCAGCGAGGAAAAAAAATGCAGAAAATGTTCGCCAGGACTGAAAATGCTTCGATCCCAAAAATTTGGCGTCTTTTGAGGAGGGGAAAGAGACAGAACACAGTGGCTATCAAATACCTCTTGAACAAGAGACGGCGATGAAATTCGGGATTAGCAAATGGGGCAGCAGCTTCGTGTGCAAAAATCAGTTTGATGTCACCAGTTTGAACAGCCAGTAGCCAAAAATTTCGAAAGAAAGGTCTAGTCGCTTGCAGCACCCTTCTAGCCTCAGAATAGTCCACTCTTAAAAAGGGTCTGACTTTGGAACTGAGAGAATAGGGCCGATCTGCCATTTTCGAAGTGTGTGTCAACGCGGCGTCGATCTTTGTGTGGTGCACTACCTATAGATGCGTTCTCTGAGCTTCCACGCGAGTCGCTAAAGTGACAGGACAGGGGCTGGAGGTGGTGATAAGGGGCTGGATTTTCTATGAATTGAGGGTTTACTTGGTGGTGTTTACGGCCTCTTTGGCATTGGCAATATACTGGGATCACCGGTCTTTTGCAGAGCCCGTCTCCACCGAAATGGAGAAATCATCACTCGATTCATCGATGTTTGAGACGCGTATGATCCACCCCAGGGATCCACATCGCCGGGCCAAACACCTTTGAAAACACAAATTGAAAATTCCGTAAAAAAATAAAAACGTTCGATAAACTCATTTGTTTTATCTCGGAACTGAAAACTGAAAAGGAAGGGCGTTTTTGTGACCGTGTAGGCTGAGCGCAGATGTGGATAACGCGATTTACGTGTGCTTAGTGAAAAGTTGAAGCGTATGGCCCGGGGTCTAGAACTTGTTCTTATGTGATAGTACCATCAAAAGTACCCCATTCATCTTTCCTGGGAAATCATGAGGTCCTCTGCGATACTCCCCTAGCCAGATCACAATGGCTTTTGGATTTAAATTAATAACATCCTCGCGCCGTAGTTACATCTGAAAGGTTGATCTCTGGGGTTCGTTTACCATCGTCACCTGGATGCGCGAATCCGGAGATTTGCCCATTACAATGACCACGGAGATATTTCCCCAGTGTGTATCCATCAGGGCCAATGGTGAGGAGCGCGAGCCTCGCCCTCTACGCCATCTGGACGCTGAATGTGCACATCACTACGTTGGTAGTTGATATAGTAGAAGAAAAAGATTAGGGCGGTTTTTTTTTCACCATGGCCTTGGCTCATCGGCCGGGTAAGAAAATTTGATCTGGTTTGTGTTTGTGCACTACATCCCCAATTGGGGCCGCACCTTCAATTGTAAAAACCCATGAACGGTTCTGACAAAACTTGCAGACCAATAGTAGTACTTTACAAGATGATCCTGGTTTTGTAACAGTCTACGAACATTTTCTGCGCTCTGGTTTGTCATTATTCATTACATATCTCTCAGTTCAAACAGATGAACTTCCCCACGAACTCCTCCACACAGAAAGATGTTTTCGTTAGAAAACCACATAACCTTATTCAATCCGTGTTCTACCCTAATCGTCTCCAGTGGTTCCAGTGAGTCCTTTAGATTCCACAGCATGACATTTCCATCGAGATCAACCGTCACAAAGTTCTGTCGTTTGCCCTTGGCCTGGAACTTCAGATCCATCACCACCGTTTTCTGGTTAATTGTCTGTGCTGATTTCGAAATGAGATCAATCTGGTGGATAGTCTTATCTAGACCTGCTGTGATCACCGTGGCAGACTCAGGGTCAACATCCAGACCGGTAACCAGACCCTTGATATGCGAAGTTAGCTTTTCGAGTTTTCCGGTCTCAAGCTTGACCCTATAAACGTCACCGTTCTCACACCCAACTATTGAGTCTCCTTCGTAGTTCGTTAATGCACTAATACTCAGTTCCTCGCCTTTGGTATCATCCACCAGCTGAATAGGGTTTCCCATTGGTCCACCAGTATCGATGAAAAGCGACCAAAAACAGACTACACCATCAATCCCACAGGTATAGCTCTTTCCCGAGTCTTGAACCATTCCCACAATTGGGAAACTATGGCAATTTCTAAACTTCATGGACTCTCCCAGTGTAAACGAAGAATGCGAATTTAGGTCCCACGTCACCAATTTCCCATTCATGCCGCATCCATAGATGATATTCGATTTGGTTTTTGAAAATTGCACCACTTTAATTCTTGTCGAGGTGTTCAGCACCTTCTCTGGCAATTTGTTGTTTAAGGACCACACCACGATCTTGGAGCGATGAAAGTTGCTCACGGAGGTGTACGAAACCACAAACAGCGGGAAGAATGGACTGGCATCAATCGATTCAACAGAGAAATCTTCGTCGTCCAACTCGAACGTCCGTGTGAGTTTTAACCGTTCTGATTTCGTGACCGTGTTGTAGTTCAGCCGTGTGTCCATGCGACCGGCCAGTCGCAGCGCTGTCATGAAAAATTGTGCTGCCTCTGTTTCCATTATGGAGCTCTATTTGCAACTAATACTCAAAACAGCTGGATCTCGAGCTCGATTAGTGTGTGGTCAATTTCAACGGACAAACTCAATCGGCTCATTCAAACGCACACTGGAAGTCTCACAATAAAAACTGACGCGTACACGTCCACGCGTTATTCACCCGTTAGCCTGAAGCAGATGAAGACAAGACGTGAGAGTTTAACAAGAGTTTAGAGCAACATTATTCTCCAGTTGGGATCGTATTTTGACTTGGCGCTTGCAAGCTTGTATTTCGCATTGCGATTTGACATTATTGGCAGCGGTCCAAATCATACACCTACCAGATTCTCTTACTAGCCACACTCATTTAACTGCAACATGAACATGAACATCGACGACATCCTCAACGAATTTGAAAACTCCACTTCCACAAAGTCGTCCAGAGACTTGGATAACCAAAGTCTGATCCGTTGCTGGGTGAATGAGAGACTCACCCCCGATTTGCTCATATATGAAGCTGACCTCGTGGATAGGATGATGGAGAGGGTAAGGGCCCAGATCGAGTTTATTGAGTTGAACTCGATTGAATTGCAAAATGAGAAGGAAATCAAGCTGACTCTAGTTATTGTGGAGAGTGAGCTCAATAGGATTAATTTTCTACTGAGATCGTACCTAAGAACAAGACTTTCGAAGATAGACCGGTTCTCCATCTTCATACGGTCTGAGGCCTCGGAAGTGAAGAAACTCTCGAATGACGAGTACGTTTACATGGAGAATCATCTGAAGTTGCTGTTAGATCTTTACAACACCACGTTTTTGGGGAAGTTGCCGGAAACGCTGCAGAAGATTGACGATACCAGTGGAGGTTTGTCAATGATAACGAGGCCGGACTTGAAGACGGTTGTTTTTATCAGGGCTCTGGAGAATAACGACATCACAGTGGACGATGAGCCGGTAGAGTTGATAAAGGGGGGAATCTATGCGTTGAGATATGAAGCGATCAAAGACTTGTTTGAGAAGAAGGCGGTGGAGATCATATAGCACACCGAACCAGGAAGCAGAAGCGACACAGATGGGATTGGGCTACTGTCAATCTTTATTATTGAGTCTGGTGAGATTCTAAAGACGATTAAAACAGCAATATCTAAGCCAGGAGGCAATTATATAGCACAAGAAATCCAAAATCAGGTGAAAAGCGCTGACAGTTTTTAAAACCAAGCTTTTCATTCAATTATCTGGCACTCGAGAATATCAAGACTCGTTACCGATTCTTCACATCTTTCTCAGAAACCTCTGCTGACTAAAACTCATCCTTCACTCCAGCCTCAGCCTCACTTGCGAGTCTCTTCTTATTTAAGTCCCACCAAAATTTGAAGGTTTCAGTGTCATCATCATAAGACTCATCCACATCCCAAGGCTTAGGGCTGATAATGTAATGAACGTTTTTCACCTCAGAAATATCCCAGAGATCGCTGTGGATGGTTGCAAGTGTCTTCAGAGCATTGTACTTGTACGAAAGAGCGTACCATTTTCCCTGAAAGACATCAGACAACAGCGATTGGTCTGCGAAGTCGTAATCTGAGGTCTGCGACGGATTCTGGAGAACCTGAGTGATCTTATCATAGCTTTCTTTACTGGGCTGGACAACTTGGAGGCCTCCATTACAGATACCCAATCCGCTGAAAGACGAGGGCCCTTTGTAATCAAGCTCAAAATCATCCTGTGGAACACTGCTGTGCTTCTTAGCACTGTAGTCCGTGTACGCACAGTTTTCCTTGACCCAATCCTTGGGATAATGGGCCTTGTTGTATGGGTTACAAACACACGCGTGAGAAGCCGCGAAGACTGCATCTGGCCCAAGCTTGATGTCCATCAGCTCGTCCATGTTCTGCAAAACAACCATGTCCGAGTCCAGTTGGACGACCCTTTCGAATTGGGTCAAACTGAACGGTTGGAGCTTGGTCCAACAATCGTAGAATCTGGTGTCATTGGAGTAGTCCTTGCTGGAAATCGGCAAAAGATACTCAATTTTCAGCTTTGGGATATTTCTGCGGTCCAGCGCAGCATGTCCTTCCTCAGTGAATGTGTCCGTGTATAACGCCACAAGTGGGTACTTGGAGCCAGCTTTTTTCAATGAGTAATCAAGGACTATAAGACCAGTCAGATACTTGGTATTAGTAATGAGAGTGGTCCAAACCTTGGGGGTCTCGGGATACCAGTCGGCCTTCATGGTTGAGTAGGGTTTCTGCTTGAAGCGACTTGAAAACAATTGAGTGGCCAATTGAAGAGAAAGAAAAAAAAGCACCCAGTACAGCCTACCATGCAGTCTATGGATTATCGCAGTTCATGCAAAGCCCTATCACCCCCCTCGGGGCAGTGCTGCAGAACCTAAGCAGGTAATACCGAGTTGCCCGATTTGGCAGACCTCGGTTTGGAACCCTCGGTCTGGGTCGTGGCCCCGCAGACTTCCACAGTTTTAGCGGGCGGGGGCATGGCGTGTGTAACCAACAGTATGGTTCTGCTCCTCGATTTGTCAACTAACTCTGACTCTGACTCTTTTTGTTGACCTTGCGTTGTAACAACAGTATCAGTTTTTGGTCGAAATCCTTGATTTTTGGACTAAGCCATCAATTATTTGCACTTGAGTGGCCCCTGAAATCCTGAGTGTGGTGGTTTTTTATTCTTTTTGCTTGTTTCCTGCCCGATCTTGGATGAGCCCTTGTCGAGCAACGAACCATACACATTCGCATCTTTCTCTGTTCCATTCCACCGCGCAGATCCCCAACTTCTACAAAACACAGACCTAAATGGAAGCTTGGTCGTGATTTGGAGGTTCTGAGAAGCTGGAGTTTATCGAGTTTTATTCGTTGTATCACACATACGCCTTCATATACACAAACTGGCCCAAAATGGTGATGATAAACGGTGTCAAGTACGCCTGTGAACGGTGTGTTCGAGGACACAGAGTAACGGCGTGCACCCACACCGATCAGCCTTTGTTGGCGATCAAGCCCAAGGGAAGACCTACCACCCAATGCGAGCACTGTCGCGAGCAGAGAAAGCTGAAACACAACCACGTGAGCTGCGTTTGCGGAAAGAAGAGCAAAGTGACACATGATGCGCATGAACTGAATTGCCCTTGCCATATCGATGGTAAGTGCACTTGTCAAGTGAAGAAAAGATCGAGTCAGTCTAGCCAATCGAGCCAGTCTAGCCAAACGAGTCTGCAGTCGCATCCCCAGTTGCAACCACCTTCTAACCCGGGCTCTGGCAATGGTTCTATCAAGAAAATCGACGAATCAAGTCCGGAGGATTACGGGGAACTCAAAAATCCTGGAGAGATCACCATACCGATTGACGAGTACATTGGTCCCTTGAATACGATGACCAACAACCTCAATAATCTGTTACAAGATAGAAACAACAGCGGCCTTCTGGATCTGTTTGATCGTGAGCCCTCCGTGGGCTTCCAGCATCACCAACCGATGACTCCAGAGGGGTTGTTTCCTCTGTACCCTCTACTTGGTCCCAAAATGGCATCTCCGCCAGAGGGAAGTACCGACTCTTTGCAGCAAAACCATACGGGTTCTAGCATCAAGTCAAGACACCTGAATCACTCTTCTAGCTCCAGCTCTAGTGTTAATCTTCACCATTCGGGACATCATGCACATTCGATCCACGGTCATTTCTCGCCATATCCCACTCCGAGAAGAACCACCAGTTTCATATCGTTGTCTTCAAACTCCACCGCAAACACGTTGTCACCACCGAGACCATCATTGTTGACGATGAATTCTTCAGACTCGCTGAATGGTTTTCAATTAACCAATTCCAAGACGAACTCTACCATGGTTGAAGAGCTGTATCACACCAAGACCTTGACTGAAAACAGTCACAACGACTCCACAACGAGCATGAGTCTGAACATGAACAATCTGAACATGAACTCGCACATGGGATCTTCCAGCCATATACCTAATCTTATGGCTAGTCAAATGGCGAATACAGTCTCCAAGACATCGACAGGTGGCTCGTTTCTGGACAACATTGACTCCATCGGAAGCATACCCATAAGCTCGAGCGACTTTGTGAAGGAGTCTGATAACGACAACCTGGTGCAGAGCATGTACAAGGACTCTACCCCGTTGAATGATGAGGAATTCAACGGGATTGGGTCTTTGAGGGTCGATGATGAGTTGAGACTCGACGATCTAATAGACCTTTAAAGAAGCCAAAACTTCTCATTCCATAGTTGTCTCACACCCTCCCCTCAATCTAGAGCTAGGTTTAATCAGGGGATACTTAATTCAATAATTCTTAGTCAATAGAACAAAAGAGCGCGATAAACCAGTGACTGGTTGGAACCATCTGAATCACGTGTTGGTCATAGCATATTTGCTATGGCTCAAAATAGTCTGATGTAGGTAAGACCTATTGAATATGGTCCCTAGTATCATCATCAAGGCTGTCACCTGGTCCGAAATGATCCCATTTGGGATTATTAAGTCAAAGTTTGCCTCTTTCTGGAATTCGTAAAAGTCGGATCTATGGGAGTGGGGTACAGATGAGCCGTAATGCAGGATCGTTAGTCGTATTTTTGGCATGGCTCTCAAGCCGTCCAGATTGCGGCGTGGGATTTGAGCAAAGGCAAGTCAAGAGCAGCCACCAGCAAATGGCACTATGACTAGCCAGTGAATAAAAGTAGTTGGGAACAGTCGGCAATAGAGGTGTGCTTGAAATTTAGGCTGAAATCAGGTAAGAGATCGAGTAGTAGTTGACGTTAGGAAAGCCTATCATAAAAAATATCTGCCATTGACGTATTTCATTATTCTGTGGCAGGTCTTCGGCTCGCTAGGAGAAATCCACGATGGTAGCTGGTATCGTCGTCCCCGGCCTTGCACGCTCAGCTGCATTGATAAATCCTGATGAAATTCCCTAAGCCCGCATATAGACTCAGGCATCGGGAAGTCGCGATCGTAGAGTGAATCTGCCCCACGGGATTTCAATCAGGCATCTTCTTGTTCAGTAAAATGTTGCTTTAAAGTAGAAACTAAGTAATACAATGGACTGATCAGTATTTTGGGCGAATTCTGCTTGTAGAATATTTCTAAACAGCTTATTAAATAATCTCGTTATTGTATTCACCATGCGTGCGCGCGCCAAAAGCGGTCATGGGCGCACAAGCAGCACTCTATTCTGGGCATTTGGTACCAGTTAACCCTTTCGACTTAACTCATATCAAACTCGGGAAGTTTAAATGCAAGAATCAACATGGCAAGACAATAGAGAAAAAATAATGTGGTAAGTCCGCTTTGATTGGAATTATGATAAACACGAAAAGTTCAGCTCTAAGATTATTAACCCTGGTGATGCCAATGACCATTTCGAGGAAGATTCCATGCATGACTTGACAACCTTCTGGAATTTCTCGTATTCCAACTGTTCCCGAGCTTCCGCTAATCGCCGCATTGCATCCATTGTCTCCAATTACTGCTCATGTTACTACGTTACTACCGACACAATCTGGCTATCTGATGTTGAAAACAAATTTTAAGTAATAAACACTTACTCCCTGATACCGGACTTGTTTTGTGTGCAAGTAATTATGCCCGGTACAAAAGATAGGGTCTGGTATCAAACGCGGTCTAGCCCGCGCGACTATCTGTCACTTCGATTGATGAGTAACATTCAAACGGGTTTAGGGCTTAACCGAGTCAAAGCCATTTTTCTTGCTCGATATTTGTACCATCCCGACTATTTGCAACATGGCTGGCGCAAGATTGCACATGTTGTATTGTGCACACCTCAATCCGTCTCAATACGAGCTTATTTCGAGGTAGCAAAATTCATTTCATGCATGGCGTATATCCCCTCGTACATGCCCATGCATATGGTATCGCATTGGACAAAATTAGAGTTTTGCCGACAAAGAATAGTAGGTGGGCATTTACGGTATTAAATTGTTGCTGTCTATGTTCCTTTAACAGGAGAAAAGTTTATAAAAGACACATGGTTTAATCGTTGACAACCTTGCTCGAGCCTAGCAAATTGTTTTTCTGGACAGCATTCCTATTGAGGGAAAACCTAATTCTGCCCATTCGTCGGATTTGGCTTCTTGCACTTGGTTTCTATCTCCTTTGTTCCGCTTGCCTTTCTCGACTTATTCCGTTTGCTTTAGAAAACACCGGTTTTGACAGAACCAGTCATCGCTCACATAGCATCATGATCGAAGGATTCTACATGAACATGTTCATAACGGATACCTTTGGAAAGGACTATGAAATGGTCAAGGAACAGGATTTTGATACACCCCATTCACTCAACCAGTGGACTAGCACGGATAGCATTAATCAGAGCCAGAATGGCTTCTACTACATCAACAATGTTAACAGCGCCAGTCTCATGAACAGCATCTTCGACCAGGAAGAATGTTCTTTCATCCAAACCCAGTCACCCGCTGGGTCTACTGCTTCCTCTTCCTTTGACTGTCTACCTCCCAAGATTGCATGCGACCCAGAAAGAAGGCGCAACACAATAGTCGATTTTTCAGACGCACATAAACCTGATGATGAACCGAAGAATTGCTTGATGAATCTTCCATTATCGGATATTCCATTGGTCTACGAGTCATACTCTAGTCCACACTCAATCAGCTCTCGCAGTTCACAAACTTCCAACGCATCGCCTCGCTCGTCACATTCATTTCCTCCTCATGCTAAGCGTGAACAGGCTAACAAGTGTCACATTTGTGCGAAGTTGATCAGACGCGACATGTCGAGACATCTAAGAATCCACAATCCAATCTCGAGATTCCAATGCTATCTTCCCAGAGACCGCTGCAACCACAAAACTGGACAATTCAACAGGCCTTATGACTTCAAGAAGCACATGCTTAACAGCCACTTTCAATTTGACGACAGCAAGGTCAAGAAGATGCACAACCTGAACGATAAACTGAACAAATGGGGCAATTGTGAATGTGGCTTCCGTGCCAATGGCGAGGTTTGGCTGGAAAATCATTTCTTGACGAATGAGTGTCTGGTTTTCAACCAGTTCAAGTATGATACATACCGCAGCTAAACCCAAGGGTGGCTTCCTTGTCAGGAGACAAAAATAGTTTGCTAAGATATCACTGTGATTACTTCTGGTATTAAAATTACTATTATTGATACAATCCAGATATGTGATCATAGTCTTACAGACTTACTCAGGCTCTATAATCTCTCCGAGGGCTAACATCGTTGCTGCTATTTAAGTTGATTTCATGTTCTTCCGTTTCAATTTTCTTTATTCAAATATTTCTCACAATTGATTAGCATGCTGCCGTTTCATACTGGACATTTTTGTTATTTTAGGTATTTATTCTGTGTCGCTTTGGGTATGCTTTATTTACAGCTCTTTCATTTTTCTCTCTGCTCAAGCTGTAGGATAATCACTCTGCCCACCTTCCGCATGATCATTACCCGTTATTTAAGCCATCATACATCTATTGCGGTCCGAACTTGGCCGAGCCAAATGAAAACGGAGGAGGGGAAGCAATCGAATCATCCCACGTTTTTTCTTCAACGCAGCAGAAAAAATTAAGATGCTGGCCGTGATATTTGCAATTTCAAGGGTGATTGGTGTATCGATTGGGAATCAGTGCAAACTGCATATCCAGCTGATAACCCTTCCTGGACGGGTCCTATTTCGGTCATGGTGCTATTGTGTGTTAAAACACATTTTAGTGTAAACGTATTTAGTACATCATGCAGATCAGACGGCTTGGGCCAAAGTCATGCAGTGCGTGTAATCGCCCTTCACAAATCAGCAGGTAAATTCGATCATCAATCATTGACCCAAAAGACACCTCAAGAAAATATTTGGTTGACAATCTTTGGTGAGCTCGGCTTATTTCTAATACCGTGATATAATAACTATATCAGCACTTTTTCTGGATATTGATATTTCCATGCATCACGCATGCTTTCCTTGAACTTCAAAGAGGGACCGGCTCGATGGGATATTGGATGCCCGCAGTTTCCGTGCATAATGTGCGATCTGAAATAATTCGAGAACATCTTACAAGGTACATGACTCCCGGACTAGGATGTTCTAGATTGCTTAAAGAGTGCGGAACTCGTGCATGCAGAGTGGTTCCATGCTTTTTTCACCCAAATAGGGTCGAGGTGATGCTCATTCTGGACAAAACGAAATCTCTCACATTCTCGTCACGATCGAAATTGAACTTGTTAGATATAGCGGGTGCTTTCTCAATTGGAGGTATTTTGGACAACTCGACAATCAGCTTCTCAATACTGGTGATGGACTTCGATGTGAACTTCTCGGTGTCCGCTCCAATAATGCTTGGAGTTTTCGGAGTCTGAGGTGTCTTGGGCGAGGCCGTTTCTGCAGCAGGTCCTCGGATGTTTGGAGTGGACGGCATAGACGCAGATTGTGGCTGCTTTGCTTGGTCACTTGATAGGGAATAAGGTTTCAGCCACTCTGTAGGCTCATCTAATTCCTCGGGATTTGCCTCTTTCAAGCTCAAATTCAGATTTTCAAACATTCCCATGTCCGAAAATGGCACCACAGGATTCTCGATCTTAAAATGTTTCAGATTGAGTTTCTGGTGCGGATGCAGGGTTTTTGTCAGAGCGGCACCCGTCAGTCCTCCTAGTTTCTGAGCGCCGGTGTTCAGTCCACTGGCAGTTTTGTCGAGGAAGCTCTTGGATTGGAACGGTTTGAAGTCTTTCAAAAGTTCCATGCTCTCCAGATTTGCTCTTGTCTGCGATATATCCGACTCCCATTCGTTGATAATCTGGGTGTATGCAGAGCCAGCAAGGCCTTGTATCTGGACAAACTTGCCCATATTCGAGCACAGGAACTCATAGATGTCCACCTGTTGGTAATAAACCTTCAAACTCATCTTGTTAATGAACTCTGATAGCGTTCCCAGCACCTGGGGGATGATCAAACGAACTTTGTCGTCCAGGTCAAAGAAGACTGCTTTAGTTTCGTCTAAGGCATTTTGGTTTTGTTCCAAGTTATTCATGTCTTTCTCGTTATACGAGCTCGATCTGTACGACTTTTCCACTGCATTGTGGTATCTATCATAATCAATCTTCTTGTGGTTCCTTTTCTTCAGCAGTTTCAAGGAATTCTCCAAATGCTTCTTCATTTCTTTGCAGGTCTCGTCAAAACTTTCCTTTCCAATCTCGACTTTGTGGCAAATTTCAGAGTTGAGAACCCTTATCAGCTTCTCACACTGCCTAATCTCCTCCAACGTAATGCTGGACTTCAATTGAGTCTCGTCATATTTCAAAGTAGGTTCATCCTCTTCGTCTAATACCCCAACCGGTTGGTGGAACTTCTTAAAGGTGTCCATGACATCCAGAAAACAATCCATGATGATCACCCAAATCTTGCACCATTTGTCATTCTGAAGCATCAAAAATTCCAGACCGGACACAGAAACATGGAGATCGTGTTCCCATTGCTGGATGATTCTGTCCTCAATGGATTTGCGCCCGAGCAACTGGTGTGGGGTCCTTATAAGTGCTTTCTTGACCCCTCGAAAAGACATCGTTAAGAACTATGATTGGTGATATGGCAAGCAAAAACGATTCCTGTTGTTTGTCTAGCAATTGACGACGAATCCAGGATTTTGTCTTTGTTATGTTCTTCGGGACCAGTGTAAAGGTGCGCTAAGTTCCGGCACAAACGGGGCGATGATCTTTATCAGGATTCAGAAGGGATAGCCGACCCGGGTTGAACTATGCACTACCGAGTGCAGTTTAATGAAAAGTTGTGGGAATTTGGGGTATTTATTTCCTGAAAAACATCTGATTTTTTCTTAGATCACTTTGAGTTAGGATTCGTTTGCTGATTTTTGTTTATGTCAAATAAACAGCTGTTTTTACTCAGCCAGACGACTACCAACGACTGTGCGATACTAACCGTTAGTGTTCTTGGTGCGGACCATTGTGATTAAGTATGCAATTGTGTTTGCCGTTACTTGATAATTCAGACACTTGTTAGATAAGATAAGTTGTTTGGCTTCTTTGTGGTCGTTTGGGATGTAAAGAATTATTCGAATTGTTTCAACTTATTCAGAAAAGTGAAATTTTGCAGATTTCTTACCAAAGGAAAAACTTCGAAATTGGAATATTTCAGTACATATTACAATCTTAAATAGAATCAAATTGATATCAAATCACAATTGTAAGACTCGTAAGTTCTCTCAGAACATGTTCTTCACAGGCTCTTGAGGAAGGCCACTTCTGCGATGAAAAAATAAAGGCATTAAACATCGTACTTCTCCTCTTAGGTATCATCTCTTTCACCTCAACTTCCTGGTGCTGCTGCCAAAATTCTTCGACGAATTCTCCACAGTGAAAAAATTATGCCTTTCTAAAGCCTCAGATTCCAAAGCACTTGTCTTCGGGGCTTCTTTCGTGTAGTAACTCTCCAGCTCTTCGTCGTTCAGTCCTTCGTTCTCAAGATAATCGCCATGACTAAACCTCCTATGATCGTGAGAAATGTCATACTGGTCATCTTCATCATCACTCATACCACCAAAACCCTGATCAACCTCGTCAAACTCGTTTTTCGTCCTCGTCTCCTCATTCAGATAGGACTCATCGCTTTGAACGTAATCATCATCGTCTGGGTAGTCGTTCTTGTAAAAGTCCTCGGCATTGGAGTCCTCATCGTCGGAGATGGCATTATCACTATTCTGCTCAAATTCACCCAGCAGATCATACTCATCGTCAAACTTGATATACCCAATCTTATCCTTCTCCAACCTTTCGGCAACGGCTTTGTCTCTGAAATACACGTCGTAAACGTACTCGGAGTTCCCAGCCTCACTTTGAAAGCTTTTCTCAATATGTAATCCTGCTCTCTGGGCACTCGAGCTTCTTCTCCTCCTGGGTGCTTTGGTTGGAACATCGTTGTTTTTCAGGTAATCCTGGAGCAAGTCAGACACTTCGGGCCTGTTTGCCACTTTCGACACTTGTTCGTCCTCCAATTGCACCTCTGGTTTCGGTATTTCAAAATAGTTCTAATCCGTTGGTTAGTTCAGCTCTTGTACAAAATCGCGACAAGCGCACAGTTCACACTCACCTTCTCATCTGTGGGCTTCAAAACGGGATCCTCTTCGTTTGCATTTTCATCTGTCCTAAGCAACTTAAAGACTAATCACATAACAATGTTAGCATACACTTCTTAGAACCAAAAATTCCTTCAGATTCCCATACTCACTGTACTGATCAGACCTAGACCTCTTGAGCCTGTTGCTTTCCAAAACTGGGGCTGTGTTAGAGATTGCGGACAAATGTATGTGAACTTCTTCGAAGCTTACCTAGAGCTTGCAGCGGATCTTCAGTCCTCTTTCTCTTGACTCTGAGCACATTGGGCGGTTGTCTAAACATGTTTGATTATGTGTGAGCAATCGGTGATTAGATAGACTGGTCTTCTGAGAGAGGCATGCGACTTGAGGTGGGAAATTAATGACCCCGTCACGAGATGGCAGACGATACTGTTTACGTGCGGCTCAGCTGATAAGAGACTCTGGCTCACGGGGACAAGCGCCTTAGAACAAAGAAACAGACACAAACAGCTCTCAGATCCTACAAACGCTTCAAATCCAGACTTTTGTTCAAATCTCCCAAACCGGCCTGACATATGACTGGAAAAGACACCCTCAGATTCACGGTGTATGCCGCTGACAGAACTTACCGCACACTCAGTGATTTCTTCATCGGCACCATCTTTGATCCGTACCGCGATAAGGTCCTGGTAACAGGTGGTGGCTCAGGCTTGGGACGGGAGATTGCTATTCAGTTCAAAAACACCAGCGCTACTGTGATTGTTTTGGACGTCAGTATTCCTGATGAAGACGACGAGAACTACATCCCTGGCGTCAAGTACTATAAGTGTGATGTCAGCAAGAGAAGCGAGGTTATAAAGATAGGCCGACTGATAAAAGATGAGATTGGTGATGTAGCTGTTCTCATAAACAATGCCGCTATCACCAACGGAAAGGCCATACTCGACATCGATTTCGAAGACATCGAGAAAACAGTCCAGGTCAACTTACTCTCAAGCTTCTACACCATCAAGACGTTCCTTCCGGATATGATTAAAAACAAAAGAGGCTACGTGGTGACAATTGCTTCGGTTTTGGGTTACATGTCTCCAGCTAGACTTAGTGCCTATGGAGCATCCAAATCCGGACTCATCGCTCTTCACGAGTCTCTGACTTATGAGTTAGGACCGCCAGCATTCACTGCAAACGGGGTCAAAACGTTGTTAGTTTGTCCAGGTCAAATGAAGACAAACATGTTCAAGGGTGTAAAGACGCCATCCACTCTATTGGCGCCTGAGTTGGATCCCAAGTATGTTGCCAAGTCAGTTCTGAAAGCTGTGTTCATGGGCCGGCGTGGTGAAATCAAGCTTCCCTTCTACAGTAACTTCATCCCATTGTTCAGGGCAATGCCTTGGCCAGTGGTGGAGGTTGCTAGGTGTTTTTCTGGAATAGACCAGAGCATGAGGAAGTTTGCAGGACAGACGAAGACTGCCAGTCTTGCATCTAACTCTGAGAAGGTTGGACAATGATGCACCAAAAGAAGCCAAAAAAAAGACCAGACCAAAATGGCATCTTCCCTTAGGGATACACGGATCACAGAATATAACAGAATTAGAAAATAAACACATTGTCCAGTTATACTTTTCACTTCTTACCCTTCTTCTTCTTCCCCTTATCAGCTTTCGAATCACCAGCCCTCTTCTTTCCTGCAGGAGTATTCGTGTTGGATTGCTTCATCACGGAGAAGAACCCATCTAGTCTGCCCTGGGTACTTCCCTTCAATCCCTTTTTCAACTTTTCAGCCCCATCTCTGATTCTCTGTTCGGAAAACCCGTTCTGCTTCACCATGTAATCCACCAACCCCTCTACATCCGGCTCGCTCCATTTCAACTCAACCTTGTCTGAATCCAGAACCTCTGGATGGAGAAACAATTGACGAGCCTCAGCAAACGGCCAGTTTTCAGGAACCTTGTACTTGGACTTGGGGTTAGCCTCTATGGCTTCGATGACTTTCTCAATCGACTTGTGTTCCTTAATCAGCTTATATGCCGTGACTGGGCCAATTCCGCGGATAGTTTCACAATAGTCACAGCCCAGTAGAATACAGAGATCCACAAACATATCGATGTCTAATTCCATGTCTTCCATGACTCTCTTGTAGTCTATCTCGTTCACTGGCAGTTTTCTTGCCTCAGACGCAGTCAGATATCTCAAAAGATACGGAGGCTCATAACAGAGAGTGTCCATATCTTCCGAGGCAGCAGCGTACACTTTGCCGGCCTTGGCTAGAGCTGCACATTGGGCCTCTGCTTCACACGGAGCTTCCACATAGGGAATTCCCATCAACTTCAGCAGTTTTTTGGCGTCTTCGTTGTGTTCTCTTGTCGCTCTGACAGTTCGCCTTTCAAACTTCTGCAACTCCTCGGCTGTACCGGTCTCTTTCAGATCAGTGGCCTGCTTTTCGGCCTCCTCTCTTCTCTTCAACCTCTTCTCCAGCTCACCGCCTTTCATAACCGGAGGCTTACCGTCAAAAACATAGCACGGCTTGATTCCAGCATTCACCATTCTAATTGTTCTGTAGAAAAAACCCATCAAATGCGAAGTCGTGTCGCCTTGCTCGTTAGTGAGCTGCTGGCCGTCCTGCTGGCGCACGGCAATCAAGAACTGGTACAAGCACATGGAACTGGGGTTGAACTAGGTTAGTAAATATTTCATTATCTTAATATTCCAGATATATTACCAATCATTCACCGGTATTACGTCAAAAAAACACACTCACGCATCCTAGCCCAATAGTTAGTATATCTCGCATACCATTAACGCGTAGACCACACTTACAACTGCCACTTTTCTACCAAAAAAGGTCTTGAACTCGCCAGTCCTGATGGCCTTTGGAGCATTCTCCAGTATTAACGCATTGAGACCCTTGATACCCATTCTTGCGTTTTCCAAGTGTTTCTGAATGTTGTTGAACGTAAGCAACTTCTCTATAAAAATGTTGTACAAACCACTTTCGCGTGCTGCCAATTTTACCCCGTGTCATCAATCGCCGTTTGAGTTTTTCCCTTGTTACAAAGAATCAACAACCAAGGACTCCTCAGTTCAGTCAGTTTCTGTGCTATTCACTTTATAAAAAAACCGGAACATGTTCGGCGGATCATCCAACACAACCACTGGGTTTGCTGGGTTTGGTGCCAACAATAACGCGGCATCGTCGACTTCGCCATTTGGAACGACCAACACCACCTCGCCGTTTGGATCCAACCAGACCTCTAACAATGTTTTTGGCAACTCCAATGCCAACAACACCGGTTCTGGATTCTCGTTTGGGCAGGCAAACAACAATGCCTCGAATTCTGGTGCAATTTTTGGTTCCAACAACAATGCATTCGGTGCAACAAACACCACCAATGCGTTTGGCTCCAATACCAATACTGGGGGAGCAGGACTCTTTGGAAGCAGACCAGCTGCTGGTGGGTTCGGCTCTATCAACTCGAACGTAACACCAGGTTTTGGAGCGGCTGGAACAACCACGTCGCCGTTTGGTGCAGGTGCTTCGAGTTTTGGCAGTTCCAATGCTGCTGCCAATGGATCAACAGTTCCTTTCAAGGCCTTCAGAGAGGACGAAGCGAGTGGAACCTTGATTTTCGAGAGCATTTCCGCAATGCCTCAATATAGAAACTACTCATTCGAAGAGCTGAGGGTAATGGATTACGAGCAGAATAGACGGTACGGAAATGGCCAGACCAGTGCTCCTGCTGTGGGAGGGCTCTTTGGTGCAAGCAACACAGCTGCCTCCACGGGAACAGGCTTTGGATTTAATAAGCCTGCTACCACCAATGGTATATTCGGGAGCACGAACACTGCAGCTCCTTCTGCTTTTGGTTCTTCGAACACTGGAACCTCTAACGCATTTGGGTCCGCTTTCGGGTCTGGGCTGAACAACAATAACACTGCTTCTGGCTTTGGGGCCACCAATAACTCCTCCAGTCCGTTTGGTTCGAACAACGTCTTTGGAAATAACAACAATGCTGCTCCAGCTACTGGATTTGGACAGACCAACAATGCTTTTGGCTCTAATGCCACTACGGGAGGTAATAATCTTTTCGGAGCAGCAAGCAACAATTCCTCCTCTCCATTTGGAACCGGCAATAACGCACCTAGTGGCGCGTTGTTTGGCTCGAACAACACTAACACCACCTCTAATGCCTTTGGAAGCAATACCAGTTCCGGCTTCGGTGCCAAACCTGCTGGTGCACTGTTCGGCAGTACTACTCCAACCTCCAATGCCTTTGGAGCCCCTGCCACAAACAACACCACCGGTTCAGGATTCTCCTTTGGAGGAAATTCTTCCAACAATACAGGCAGTGCCGGGCTATTTGGTGCCAAACCTGCCACTGGGGGCCTCTTCGGATCAAGCAACACTACTAATACCTCAGGTGGGTTCGGACTGGGCAATGCCACGCCTAACAACTCAGCTAACACCGGCAGCGTGTTTGGAAATAAACCTCAAACCACAACAGGTGGATTCTTTGGTAGTAACAACGCCCCAGCTGCTACTTCCTTCGGATCTACAAACACCAACACAGGTTCTGGGAGCATCTTCGGAAATAACTCTTCTGCCACTGCTCCCAGCACTTTCGGTGCTGCCTCAAACACCAGTGGAGGACTTTTTGGTAGCAAGCCTGCTGCATCTGGTGGTCTATTCGGCAACACTGCTTCTGGTGCGCCAGCTGCAAACAATAATCTCTTCGGCAGTAAGCCAGCAACAACGGGCTTTGGAGCTACATCGGCCACGCCATCAAGCACATCAGGTAGTTTGTTCAATAATAAACCCTCTGGAACGACTGGTGGGTTTTTTGGAAACTCGAATGCTCAGACATCTGCACAACCAGGAGGGTCCCTACCTTCGGGTAACTCCTTTGGCTTTGGCCAACAAGCCCAGCAACAGAACAACTCTTTCTTCCAACCTCAACAGTCACAGCAACAGCAACAGCAACAGCAGCAGCAACCACTAAATGGTTTCGGCACAAACACGCAGTTTCAGCAGCAAGGACCTGCAATTGCATCAGACCCATACGGAACCGGTGCTTTGTTTCCTAACGTCTCGCCTGGAACGATAGCCCCGCCTATTGCCAGACCAGTCGCTAAGCCTGTTTCTAGCTTGCCCAAGAAGAAGCCAAACATTACAGCTACTTACAGGCTTGCACCCAAACCATTGTTCAATTATTCGGAAACTATCTCGTCCAAGCCTGGAAGTATCGTCGGAACGGTTGCTCCTTCTCGCACGCTGAGTCTCAGTCCAGCTCCATCCTCATCCACCAAGGGCGGCAACCTGTTCAACTCGAGCTCAGATGAAGCAATTCTTTCCAGTGGAATTTTTGCGCCTTCGAAAAACGCTACTCGTCTGATCATAGAACGCTCCAAACACGAGGACCATTTCGAGCACTTGAGACGTGACGACCATCAATCAAGTCCAACCCGCCAGGTCAGCTTCAATGTCAATTCCAGCGAAAGCAAGTTGAACTCGCCCAAGTCAAGCAGTGGCAGTGCCGAATTGCCTAACGTGGCGGTCATTGAACCCCTGTTGTCTCCTCCTGACTCCGCCAAGGCCGACGATGAATACTGGACGTCACCCTCACTGAAGGATCTTCGAGCCCTTCCAGCCTCAGAGAGAAGAGCAGTTAAGAAATTCACCGTTGGAAGAACTGGATATGGTAAAGTCGAGTTTCTGGAACCGGTTGATTTGACTTCAATAGATCTTTCGTCTATCTGTGGGAACCTCATCAGCTTTGGTCCAAAGGAGTGTGTCATTTACCCAGAGAAGACTCAACAGGCACCAGAAGGTGAAGGCTTCAATATTCCATCCAAGATCTCTTTGGAGAATTGTTTCCCGCTTGCCAAAGATACCAAGAAACCAATCACCGATGCCAAACACCCCATCATCAAAAAGCATATCAAAAAGCTTTCCCTTGTTCCCAATACTAAGTTCGAGGGCTACGATAGCACGACGGGTACCTGGACATTTACGGTTGAGCATTTGTGAGGAAACTCTGTACATTATTTAATCTTGCTAGATGTCTTCAAACTACAAGTAGCTTAGACTTGAAAGAGTTTTCAAGTTTCACTGAATGCGGCGAGAACTGATCAAGACACGTAAAGATTAAGCCCAAGCAGAGAGCTTTCGTATGCATCTCCAGACTTTACCTACCACGTAACCCATTAGAAACCCCAAAAAGAGGAGGAATGGCGGTCAAGCTGAAGTGGCCCTGGTTAGGCTTTGTGGTAGGTTAGTTATGAGGCTTGACGTTTTTTTTTATGAGCCAGAGGACTAACAGAAGTCCCAGATACCATGCTTTTTGATCTCATTCATAGGATACGGTGCCCACATATTCGTGTTTCGTCACAGATTGTCGTTGGAACAACAACTTTTGTACCAGATATGTCTTAGTATGATCTGGTTCTCATATTATCAAGCAATTTACACAAGTCCGGGCAAAGTACCCGCCAACTATGATCCGCTAAGCGAGAAGAGGAGGATATGGAGAAGATGGTGCAAGAAATGTCGGAGCTACAAGCCCGAAAGATCGCACCATTGCAAGACTTGTCGTACTTGTGTTCTCAAGATGGATCACCATTGTCCCTGGACTCTGAGCTGTGTTGGTTTTGGAAACATGCCTCAGTTCATGAGGTTCCTGTTCTGGGTCCAGGTAACCACGGGGTTTGTGCTGGTGCAATTGTTTCTTAGACTTTCGGTCTATTGGCAGGATAGAGACCTTCCGGCATACCTTATATCTGTCAGCGAGTTGATATTTGTGGTTATACTGTTTTTATTGGACTTGCTTGTGTTTTTGTCAATTCTCGTTCTTTTCCTAAGATGTCTTTACCATATACTTTTCACAGGCATGACCCAGATTGAGAGTTGGGAGAAGGAGCGGCTGGAGTCGCAGATGAGGACCCCAAGATTATGGAGAAAGATCAGGGCCAACTATCTAAAGGTCCATGGCAAAAATCTCCCCGTCCTGACCTCCTGGACCAATACCGATTATGTTGAGCTTGACGATCTGGACACCAGTCCTGAGATCTCCGAGGAAGTCCCCCCAAACTTCTCCATTGATGATGTCATTTTCCCATACGACATCGGAATGTGGGCGAATCTAATTAACACAATGGGTCCTGTATATTGTTGGTTATGGCCCTGGGGAAAGCCCTCTGGCACCGGTACATGCTTTGAGGTCAACGACGAAGTGGAAGACCAGCTAGATCTGCCTTGGCCTCCGGATGCAGAGGACCAATTGAAAGAAGAAGTTGTACAGAATCTAGTGATAGACGCAGAGAACGAGGAGTATGTCGTGCGGCCGGATTTCATGAGAAGAAGCGAACTGGGCAGGACCAGATGGATGAACGATTTTGGCGAACGTCTTGAAGACTTTGGCGTTGATATTGATGCTGAAGGAGATGACGAACAGGTTCTACGGAATAGGGTGACTTCTACAAATCCTTCTGATGAAGAAGACTAGAAGAACATTGTCAACAAACTGCTTACATACTGCCTACATACATCAAAAACATCATAAAGATACGAATTATTGCTTACATATAATATACGTGTGCCAATCATATGATCCAAAGCAACAGTTGCAATCCAACTTGTCGTCAATGCACTCCTTTCTAAGCTGCGGGAGCTACTTCATCAGCATCCCCCATGGAAACGTCTTCGAGCGAAGGCTTATCATCAGGACGAATCTCGACGTCAACCTTCTCCAAAGTGTCATCTTGAGGCATAGTTGAGTCACCATCAACAGTAATATCAGCAGGATGGTGAGAATGGACAGCAGCCTCTTCCGGTTTGGCTTCGGCCAATGAGGTTGTTTCCGCAGTCTCAGTAACGGGCTCCTCCGGCAAAACCTCCTCAGGTTTAGGTTCTGGTTCGGTTGAAAAAGCCGAGTACTCATCACCGCCTTTTGTTGCCAGCAAATCAAACTTCTCTTGGAACTTGTGCTGTTCCTCTTCCTCAAGGTCTTTCTTCCAGCCGCTTTCACCGTCCAGAGCAGCCTTTAAAGCATCGAGCCTTTGGACTTGGGATTTGAACTTACCCAATTCAGCTGCATACACACTCTTTCTAGTGAACTCATCATATCCCTTGGGCTCAAAGAAGAGCTTATAAGTGTTCAAGTCAACCTTCACCTTTAGCTTTGAATCCGAAACACCTTCATATTCTGTGGTGTCATCATCGTCTTCGTCAATAGAGTTGCGCAAGAATGGAATCGAGATCTTCGAGGTAGGAATACCCTCCGTAGGATGTGACATGGAGTACGTGGTGAGATAGTAGTTCCACTCATCCTCCAAGGACTTGTTGTTCCTCAGAGTCAAGTCAGAAACGGCAACGAAGGAAACATCAACAGTATTCTTGGTTTCATTGAAAAGTATGTTGAACATGTTTTCTTCAGGGCCCATCAGCGATCTCACCTGCATACGATACAAGATTTGTTCCTTGGCCGTGGTCGAGCGTTTGTGACGATCGTCCACCATCAGGTCTATCATTTCTGATGTTCTGTGGTCAGTGACAATCGAATGCATGTGCTTCACAATTCCAGCAACAACCTTGTCCACAGTGAACAGCTTGAAGGCTTTGTTTCTGTAGCCTTGTCTCAAAGTTTCTTCAAACCATTGATGTTCCAGCTCACCTTCTATAAGTCTTTCAGAAAACTCCAAAACTTGGGCGTAAGAATCAGAACCGGTGAAGTTGATTCCCATATCTTCGAGGTTATGGGATATCAGGTCCAAATCTTTAGCAAATTGCACCTCTTTTCTCGACTTGATCTCGTTATCAACCTCATCATTCATGAGCTTGATTTCATACAGTCTCTCGTACAGAGCCTGCAAGTATCTGAAGAAAACGTACAGCGGAGTATTAGAGAAGAAGTTAAATTCCGACCTCTTTGCTGGGGCAGCACTGAGAGCCTTTTCAGAGCCAATAGTGTTCACCCAGGTCTTGGACGCCTCTTCAACTTCAGCAGGAACATCACCATTGACGTCGCCTTCTGGGACAGGGGAACCGGGAATGGAGTCATCAGATCCATCATCAGACTTCATGGTCTTTAAGCTCTTATTCTTCCTAAGGACGTCCTTCAAAAGATCACCATAACGACTGCGTTTTTTAGATTGAGACAAAGTGACAGAAGCAGTTTGAGCGCCAGATTCCTCGGATTCTAAAGCTTCATCCTCTTCTTTAGTGATTCTCTGACTGATCTCCGATTCAATGAACTCAGGAGACAACGCAAAGAAGGAGACGTAGAAGTCTTTGAGAAATGTCTCCAATCTTTCCTTATCATTAGCAGAATAGGTCGAAGAATGACGCAAGAAAACGATCACCAACTTCAAGATGTCCATCATGACATCAAAATCTTCAAATTTGTAATTCAGTTGCTCTTTTGGCTTTGCGGTGTACGGATTGAGCCTCTTCTGAGTCTGCTCCATCTTGATAGTACTGATTTCACTGACCAATTGTTTCGAGGTCAGAAGTTTCTTATCCGTTTGCTTGAATGTGAGTCCAAGATGGTCGAGAGATTTATAAAACACCTTTTGTTCCATTTCTCTCCAGACCTTGTTCCATTCCCTGTGGGATCTCTTCCACTCTTCGTCTTTCTGCTTGAGACGTTTCAACACAATAGGAACGGCAATGGCAGGGTTGTCATGAAGAGCATCAATGACTTCAAAACCACTGGTCTTATCGTAGATCTTTCTGATCACCTTTTTGTAGATAGTCACAGAGTTATGATTCAAGCCAGGTGGTAGTTTGAAACTCATCTTCTCCTCTGGGGTCATGTTGGCAATTCTGTTGGCAATGGTCTCTAGAGTCTGGATGGTTCTCAGATTAGCCTCCATGTAGAAGTCATATTCGTGCCTTTCTTCTTCAATACGGAAAAGAATCTCCTCATATTGGTTCTTCTTGTGTGCAACAAATCCAGAGTCTTCCGAAGCCCATGTTGGATGGCCAACCCATTCATCGTTTAACACCTCCCAACACATTTCATCTCTTCCAGAACAAGGCATATATGTCTCAGCCTTTGGAAGTAACCTATAACTTGGACCACACGATTTGCAAAGAGAGAGATCCATCTGGTGCTTCTTGAAAGTGATATTTTCAATGTGCAATGGCTTGTCCTCATACCCGACAAACTGTTTGAACCATTCGAATAGGTCTCTGTACTGGCCAATGAAGCCATCAACCCTCTCGATTAACGTCTCCTTATCAATGATATCATGAGAATACAAGTTGATCATTTTCAGGAACTCGTTGTAGGTTTGTTTGTTCGAAATGGCCCTCTTGACCTTGTCGAAAAACGAAACTTCCTCAGAAAGGGACGACCCTTTTGTGGAAGGTCTTACCGGTTCAGGAACACCAGGCAACATTGATGGGCTGTCGGATACATCTCTGGAGCGTCTTTTTGGAGAACCACGAACGCTAGAAACAGGAGGCTCTGGGAACGCCTGCTGTTGCTGATCATAGCCAACGGAAATAGACTTCTTCTTCTTCTCTTTACCTTGAATAACGGCAGGTGTGGGGAAGTTTCCCACAGGAGGCAACTGAACCTTTCCATAGTGGCTCTTATCGTAATACTCCATCTGCTGAGCTGGCTGGAACTCCATCTGTTGCGCGGATGTATCGGGTAGAAACTGTTTGAAATCGTCTAACAGATCAGGGGCATTTTGAAACAGCACAATAACCTGCTGGTAGACCTCATTTATAGGCTTCAGACCCTTCTGATACATCTGCAAATTTTCCAAGAAGTTCTTATAGATGTCTGGCTCGTTTGAAAATCGCGTTTTGATCTTGTTCACATACGTTATCGCGTGGTTGAACTCAACAGGAGAGCTGTCTCCAACAGGCTGCATCTCCTCTGAAGCATGCTGTTGCAAGTTGCCGTTCACGTGGTGCATTGGAGGCTGCTGGTGTTGTTGTGCCTCGGCGTATTGGCGGTAATCCAGTTGGGAAGGGGGAGGAGCCTGTTGTTGTTGCTGCTGCTGTTGCTGTTGGGACTGAGATTGTTGAGCCAGTGATCCCCATTTCTGCTCATAACTTAGTCCATCCAAAGCTCCTGAATCGTGTCTCGTCGTGGTGCCCATGGGCGTGGTCACTCTGATTGGATTGGGATCGGAGGGATCCAGAGAACACTCGATTCTGTAGCCAGGAGGCAAAAACGTGTTGAAGCCTTGAATAAGATTGGGATGACCCCTGAAAAGAGTCGAAACTCGGTCGATAACGCCTGGAGTATCGATGCTGGTAAAACATTTGCGTTAGTATCACCCGAACATGTGATCCTAGGACTGAAAATTTTCATCCTGCAAGAAACAATTAAATTCACTCACTTTTGACACTTGAAATCCTTCATAATATCCAGGAAGTGATTATACACGTCAGTTTGATGTTGAAACTGAACCTTCACCTGATCGAGATAAGATAGCGCATCCTTCACGTTCAAAGGCCTATACTGGGGGAGTGCCCCGGCACCGGTCTGTGGCGGTGGAGGCTGCTGGGCCGCTCCAGGAACCATTTGCGGTTGAACAGATTGATTGAGCAGCTTTTGGTGGTCTTGGATCAAGCCGGCGGGGCGATTGTCCTGAGCTGGTTGTGGCTGGAGAGCAGAAGTTAGCGGAGAGTTCACCGGGAGAATGGCAGAGCACTTTATAACTTTTTTCCAGCGGTAGTCACACAGTTGTGTTCATCGCTGCTCAAGCTCCTCGCTCGGCCAAAAAAATATTAAATATTTAAAATACTCACTGGATGCACAGAGCCTGGGTTGGAGATAGGAGGAATGCTGAAGCTCCCGTTGCCGATGTTGTTACCTAGGCCTGGAAGGGAGGGTAACGAATAGAATTGTTGACCTGAAATATGTTAGTTCAAAGAGCTGATTGGGATTGGAACAAGACAATCCGTCTGGTATCACACATCTAGCATTAAATTGTAGGCATAAAGCCAGATTAATGTAGAGCTTGTGACAACAAAGTTATCGCAGTAAAACGTACCGTTTTCCAAGGTAGACGGAGGGGGGAGAACGGGATGGGAAACCTGTTGACGACTGAAAGGGGAAAATGTCAAGTTAGTATTGCGGTCCAATACATCGTTGAAAAGCGACGGAAAAATCGGAAAAAAACCATGCATCAATGAAGGCACCCTCACAGTACCATCCACTTCGACGGTTCTAATAAATAGGTCTTCCACCCGAGGTTCAAAGTTCGACTTACGCAAAGGCTTGTCCCTGATCCTTATCATGCTCACGCGAAGCATGCCATGAATCTTGAGTAGACATGATTAATTCGCGAGGTATCCCCTGAAGAGCTGAAATCGAATAATCAATATATGAAGCTTCAGCAGAGCAATTTTTGAAACCTCGTTCCTCGATGGTCAAGGCTGGAGAGGTAGAAAAGCAGAAAACCTTGGAGGAGATAATCAGCTGGGCCATACCGATGAGGAAGCCCTGTGTGGGTGATAGAAAGTCCCACAAAAGCTGGACCCGGATTGGGTAATTTGGAGGGCACACACACAAGCCGCGCACTAATTTGGTGGGAGCACGCCTCTTAGACGTCGTCTTTTTGCCGTCGTCCAGCTTTATGCTGGGAGTCCGTCTACAGGACAGAACCAAGCTCGAATATATTCCTTTGGTAGGCAAAATTTCCGGAAATGAATGCCCCAGACAGATTTGAATTGTTTATATTACCCGATGGTGTTCCGAAGTAGGTATTCCTAACGACTTGTGCAAATAGCAAGATGACGAGACAGAGTACTAACTGCTTTTTTTCCTCAGACTAAAGATCACTCCTGACTCTAGAGTGCCAAATTGTATCATAGTCAAGTTTGAGAGAGAAGACCACACTTTGGCTAACCTATTACGACAGGAACTCATCAACGACCCAAAGGTTCTGTTTGCTGCGTACAAGGTTGAACACCCTTTGTTCGCCAACTTCATTTTGAGAGTACAAACCGAAGAAGGAATCAGACCAAGAGAGGCTCTGATGAATGCTTGCAACAGATTGATCAACAAATTGGGGTCGTTGAACGACAAGTTCAAGGCGGAATGGGAGCTGAAGTCGCTGCTGGCTGGGGGAGACAACGACGATTATGCTTTGTGATGGGGGAGGAGGAGTTAGGACAAGATAAATGTCCAGACGCTGTATACTAGAAAAGGAAAGAAAACTCGGAGCCAAATTGGAGAGGTATGAGAAGCCCAAGAAAGACACGGTGAATATGGATATAACGTACTATACACCACAATCTTTCGCCAGACTTTTGTATTCGGTTGAAAAACTAGAAAAATTCGAACTAAAACAGGAACTAAACTCAATTGAATAGGAATCCCTTTGTTGCATTTTACGGTATTATCTCAGGGTATTATCTTCTGCTTCAGCGCAGACTTGATCATCTCGTACTTGATGTCAAAGTACGAATCACCGGTCTCGAGAAAGTCCCCGTTGGCCAGGACCTCGCCTAAAGAACAGAGCTCAACAACCTTTTCGGGTGTAATATGGAACAAACATAGCCCTCCCTGCGATATCACGATCTTGTGGTGATCCGTGAAGTTGAACTGGAACGTGCCGTTGCTCAGCTCGAACATGATGTAATGGTCTTCCCTGGTGAATCGCCTCAGGAAGATATCTCTCGACCTCGTGAATCTTCTGAACTCTGACACATCAGAAAGATGGAGAATCATGTAGTTGCTGAAGAATTCGAATACCTCCATGTGCTGATCCAATTCCGGGGGAATCATGCCAGAGCTGTACTGCTGCATGGTCCAACCCTTCCTCTCATCTGCCTCGATATACATGATGTCGTCGGTGGGAAGGAACTTCACGACCGTGTGACCTGTGTCCGTGAAAAGAAGGCCCATGGCATTTGTTGAGAGCTGGTACGAGAACCCGTATCTGTTGGAGTAGTCCACCCATTTGTTCACCATCACTGGCTCACGCAGAGTGGTGGTAGTCTCGAACGACGCTTCCACCTTCTGCATATTATGCAACACGGTGTAGATATCCTCGTTCATCATCTCGTTCAGCTTATTCTCAAACGTGCCATTAAGCTCCTGGGCCAGCCTATTCCTCAATGGCTTGATCGCCTTTGGCGAGATCTCCTGGTACTTGCTCTTGGTGTTACCTGGAGACAGAGACTGTGGAAGCAGCGTCTTTGGTTTTTCGCTTTCCAGATCGGTCCTGAGGATTTCCACGGGCGTCCTCTTGTTGTCGTCGAAGCCCACACTCTGTTTCGCATTAATGAAGTTGATTCTGGACTCTTCGGTGGTGAGAAACTCGAGCGACTTGGGGGTCTTCCTGAGAGATTCCATGGTGATTCTGCTGGGGAAAAGACCTTCTCTGAACCAAGGACTTTCCAAAATTTCAGCTATCGAAGGTCTCTCCATTGGTGAAGGCGAAAGCAATTTTTTAATCAGCCTCACAGCGCTGTACGAGATCTGGTGAGAGGAGGGAAACTTCAGGTCGTTCGCCTTGATCCTCTCATAAATGACCTGAACATCTTTGTTCTGGAAAGGAGGCTTGCCAAACAAAAGAGCAAAGATCATGATCCCAATGGCCCAAATGTCCACCTCGAAACTGTGACCAACCTCTTTTCCACCAAGCACTTCAGGAGCAATATAGTTGGGAGTACCGCAGATGGTGTACCTCTTTTTGGTATCAGCACCCATGGAAGAAGCCAGTCCAAAGTCTCCAATTTTGAGGTTCATGTCGGGATCAAAAAAGATATTTCCCAGCTTCAAATCTCTGTGAATGATTCTTCTGGAGTGCAAGTACTTGACGGCTCCCGCGATCTGGACCGAGAAAAACCTCGCCTCGGGCTCGGTAATACTTTTTCTCGCCTTCAAGAGGTCCATCAACGACTGGTTGGGACATATCTCAAGAAGAATATACACGTTGATGTCGTCTTCGAAACAGTCGATGAACTGGACAATGTTAGGATGGTTCATCGATTTGTGGATCTTGATTTCCGAAAGCAACTTAGTCTTGGTCTTTTCCGTCTTGATCGAGGCCTTCGCAACAGTTTTGGCAGCAAAAATCTTGCCGGTTTCATCCTTCATTTGGAAACAACGAGCAAATCCACCTTCTCCTAGAAACAACCCTCTATGGTACCCACGTCCAGTCCTGGTACGGACTACGCTGGGCGGGGTCTTGCAAAGAGCAGAAAGCTTTTCCCTCTTCTTCTTCTTTTCCACTTCTTTTCCTTCGTAGCGCTGAGTAGTTGGTCTGACGATTTTCAGAGGTGTCTGAAACGCATTCGTTCTGGCATTCAAGTCGGCCTGGTTCAAGGCCTGGAGGGCCTGGTTGTTTGAGCTTGCCATTGTGGAAAACTGGCAGTATGAGCTCTGTCGGGTTGATCTGTTGTGATGAGTCTGAGAAAGAGAAACAGAAGAAAACTGGACCACTGGTGTATTTGCTTTTAGTGTAATTTGAAATGTCAATACGACAAGTGCATTATTTACCTATTGCTCGATTGAGCGGATGTTGATGTTTGTCCCGTTCGGGAATCATTAGCGAGGACACTACTCTCAAGCTCATATATCACGTGACTGGTGTAGTGTCCGAATCAACAGTGGGTAGCACACGCAAAAACGGGCCAGGGAAAACACGACACGAATCTTTCAGTGTTTGATACCCATCGGTATTTGACACGGTTGTGGAGACCTTTGTAGAAGGTGCAAAAAATGTCGAATTTAGACGATTCAAAATCGTTGGCGGACCTTGTGTCGCAGAACAAGAAGTCCAAAGTGAGAAAAGTCATTCTTTCGGACTCTGATGACGACCTTCCGTTAGCTATGATCAACACACAAGCAAGCGAGACGTCTTTGTCCTCTGAGGACGAGAAAGCGAAGCAAGTGAAGAAAAGAACCAAGAAGGAGTCTGGTGGGTTGCCCAACAAAAAGGCGAAAACTGCGGTTAGTAAAACCGAGCCAAAGACAAAGGTGAAGAAGGAGACCACAAAGACTGCCGTCAAGGCCGTCAAGGCTATCAAAGCAACCAAAGCAACCAAAGCAACAAAACCGACTGTAAAAGCTGCGAAACACATCCAGAAAATCAAAGATGAGTCCAAAGAACAAACTGCGGAACCCAAGGACACCTCCGAAGAAAAAGAGGAGGAAGAGGAGAACAGATGGTGGGAAGACGAAGACATGAATGGAGAGATCAAATGGGACAGCTTGGTTCACAACGGAGTTATTTTCCCTCCTCCATATGAGCCTTTACCCTCCAATGTGAAGCTGATCTACGATGGGAAACCGGTTACACTGCCTATAGAGGCCGAAGAGGTGGCTGGATTCTTTGGGGCCATGTTGGAGACAGACCATGCAAAGAACCCTGTTTTTCAAAAGAACTTTTTCCATGACTTCTTGAAGGTGCTAGAGGAAGCCGGCGGCTGCAAGGATGCAGATATCAAGGACTTTGATCTGTGTGATTTCAGCGACATGTATGCATACTTCGAGAAGAAGCGCGAAGAGAAGAAGAGCATTTCGCCTGCGGAAAAGAAGCTGATAAAGAAGGAGAAGGATGAGGCCGAAGAAAAGTTCAAGACTTGCTATTTGAACGGCAGAAAGGAACCTGTAGGAAATTTCAGGATTGAACCACCGGGATTATTCAGAGGACGTGGTGCTCACCCCAAGACTGGAAAGTTGAAGAAGAGAGTGATGCCCGAGGAAATTGTTTTGAATCTCAGTGCCGATGCACCCGTTCCTCCACCACCTGAAGGAAGGAATTGGGCCGAGGTCAGGCACGATAACAAGGTTGCGTGGTTAGCCATGTGGCGAGAAAACATCAGCAACAGTGTGAAGTATGTGAGATTTGGAAACAGTTCTTCGCTGAAGGGAATTAGTGACTTCAAGAAGTTCGAGAAGGCGAGAGAGCTCAAAAACCACGTGGCAGCCATCAGAGCTGATTACAACAAAAAGCTAAAGTCGGAGCTTATGCTGGAGAGACAGATGGCTGTGGCCACCTATTTAATTGATGTTTTCGCACTCAGAGCTGGTGGTGAGAAGTCCGATGAAGAGGCGGACACTGTGGGATGTTGTTCTTTGAGATTTGAACATGTTTTTCTGAAGCCTCCAAATGTTGTTGTTTTTGACTTTTTGGGTAAAGATTCCATCAGATTCTACCAGGAGGTCGAAGTCGACAAGCAGGTGTTCAAGAACTTGAAGATCTTCAAGAAGCCCCCAAAGCAACCAGGTCATGATCTGTTCGATAGACTAGATCCAAGTATCCTGAACAAACATTTCCAGAATTACATGCCTGGTCTGACAGCGAAGGTATTTCGTACTTACAATGCCTCGAAGACCATGCAAGACCAACTGGACTTGATTCCAAACGAAGGTACCGTCAACGAAAAGGTTGTGAGGTTCAACGCTGCCAATCGTGAAGTTGCCATTCTTTGTAACCATCAACGTACCGTGAGTAAAAACCACGAGACGGGTGTTGCCAAGATGAATGACAAGATCAAGGAGATGATCTGGCAGAGGATCAGGGCTAAGAAAATGTTGTTGAAGCTTGACGCCAAGTTGAAGAAGAAGGATCCTGCGTATTTTCAGGAAATTGACGATCTCTCCAAGGAAGACGAGGGAGCTCTTCAAAAACAATTTTTGGAGCGCGAAACTGAAAGAATCACGAAGAAGTTTGCTAAGGACAACGAGAAGTTGAAGCTGGAGAACGAAGCAGTCTTGCCCGAGTCCGAACTAAAGGAAAGACTAGAAAAAGTCAAGGAGTTGCAGAAGGAATTTTCCAAGGAGTTGTCTTCAGGCAAGCCTGAGGTTAAGGCAAACATGACCGTCGAGAAGTTGCAGGCTTTGATTGAGAAGCTAAACGTTAGAATTACCAACGCTACATTGCAACTGAAAGATAAAGAGGATAATTCCTCGGTCGCCCTGGGGACATCAAAGATGAACTACATTGATCCCAGATTGACCGTGATGTTCTCCAAGAAGTACGATGTACCAATAGAGAAATTGTTCACAAAAACTTTGAGAGAGAAGTTCAAGTGGGCGATTGAGTCTGCTGATGCCAACTGGAGATTCTGAATGAGGTGACGATCAAGGCATGTCACAATAAAACATACTAGATGAAACAAATAACGAATTTTAATCAAACCCCACAACAAGATATAATTCACTTAATACACCTCAGATATATCAAGGGTAGCGGCAATTAATATTTTCCGAGTTTGTCGCGTTCCCGTTTGAAATTTCAGGACGCGTCTATTATGCATATGTGCACCCCTTCAAGGCGCGCGCGCCTGCAGGCGGTGTTTTGTTAAGCGGCTGAAAAATTAGGATCTTGGATGGAAGTTAGAACGATGATGAAGGTCATTGAATACTCTTTGTGGATGATCTTTGTGGGTGTCTAGCCATTTTTGCATAGTTAACGAGAAAATCTCGAGCAATATGAATCAACAAGCGTTGCTAGTCCTGCTGCTAGCCTCCGGTGTTAGGGCTGCGTTGCCACGATTGACCACCACAGCCGATACCACTTCCACCACCTCCAAAAGCTCGACCACCACGGGCAAAACTTCGACCAAGACTTCAAACTCCTCGGATTCCTCGGGCACAACATCGTCCCGCACAACCAGCTCCTCCAGCTCGTCGACGTCAACGTCATACACTTTCACTGCTGAGGTGCCCTCGGAGTCCTCGCCCTTCATCCAGACCGATTCTGACGCGACAGGAACCCTCTTCATAATAGTCGGAGTGATCATTTTATCCGGTTTCCTCTTGTTCATGCTGTGGAGAGCGATCGCGCATTTTCGGTCCTGGAGAGCAGCGAAACAAACCGTCAAATTTGAAAAGATGTATCAATTTGGCAATACAAGTGCATTCAGTGATAACGATAGCATGCTCGCCTACGACTCGAGCGTTTTCCACCAGAAAGGAATTTTCAACAACAGCAATATCAGCTATATGGACGGTGAAAGTACCATCGGGTTGGACCACCGTTCGGTTTATTCGTTCCAGTCCAACTTCGATGACACTACTAGCTCCCAAGGAAGAACGCTGAAGAATGCTCTGACGAATAATAGTGCACTTTTGAACCAAGTGCCCTCGCGATCGAGAATATCTTATATTTCTCCCGTCAACGAACTCATAAAGCAACAAATGATGAACTTGAATCCGCCTCCAATGAGTGCAGGCAGTGATTCTAGTTTCAATATCACCACTCCAAGCTCAGCTTCTACGCCGAGAGCGTTAGAACGGCACGATGTACTAGGAGGGCCCAATTTCAGTCTGGATTCTGAAAAGAACTGGAGCAATTCCTACCATACTCCTGAACAGGGAAGTGGTACTCCAAAGGGTAATAAGCACAAACGGCCGCCGAGCGTGGTGCTTGACGAGCTTTTGAACGACAAGTTTGATTTTGACGAGAAAAATATATAGACGAGAAGAGAAGTGAACTATTGGAAGGCTTATGGTAGCATTCAAAAGCCTTTTCAAAAATAGTTTCATCTATTATAAGGATATAAGGAATTGGTGAGATCAATGCATGCATAGTAGAACTTTGAGGCTGTGAAAAATAAACTACGTTTCAAGGAGATCTGCTCAAAATCTTTCAACGATAAATATTTAGAATTCTTCTATGTTTGTGTTCGAGAGGATTTCATTCAAAATGCCGAAGGGCTCCACTTAACGGTCCACCTCACCAAACACCAGATCCATAGTACCGATAATGGCAACTGCATCCGGCAGCAAATGGCCTCTGGAAATGTGATCGAACGCAGCCAAATGGGCAAAACCAGGAGCGCGGATCTTACATCTGTATGGTCTTTCGCTACCGTCACTCACGACGTAGACACCCATCTCACCCTTGGGGGCCTCGATAGCAGTGTAGGTCTCACCCTGGGGGACGGAGTAACCCTTGGTGAACAACAAGAAGTGGTGAATGAGGGCCTCCATATCCTCCTTCATCAGCGACTTGGCAGGAGGGGCAACCTTGAAATCTTCAACCTTGATTGGTCCAGGTGGCATGTCGTTGATACATTGCTCGATGATTCTCAGCGATTGTCTGAACTCGGCCATTCTGATAAGATATCTGTCGTAACAGTCACCGTTGGTTCCAACGGCCAGGTCAAACTCCACCTTGTCATAGGCATCGTATGGCTGTGACTTTCTGACGTCAAAAGGAATTCCAGAGCCTCTGAGCATGACACCTGAAAGACCGTAGTTGAGGGCATCCTCAGCGGTGACGACTCCAATGTCGATGGTTCTTTGCTTCCAGATTCTGTTGTCAGTCAGCAGCTCTTCTGTCTCATCGATTCTGTCACCAAACTGAGTAGCCCACATGTATATGTCGTCCAACAGACCTGCTGGGATATCCTGGGAAACACCTCCTGGTCTGACATAAGCACTGTGCAATCTGGCGCCCGACACTCTCTCGTAGAACTCCATCAACTTCTCTCTCTCCTCGAAACCCCACAGGAAAGGCGTCAACGCACCAACATCCATAGCGTGGGACAGAATAGACATCAGATGGTTCAAAATTCTGGTGATTTCGCCAAACATGGTCCTGATGTACTGAGCTCTGATTGGCACTTCCACGTTCAACAGCTTTTCCACAGCAAGTGCAAACACCTGTTCGTTGGTCATCATGGAAACATAGTCCAAACGGTCAAAGTAGGGCAACGCTTGCATGTAGGTCTTGGACTCGATCAACTTCTCGGTACCTCTGTGCAAGAGTCCAACATGGGGGTCAGACCTGATGATTTCTTCACCGTGCAACTCAAGAATCAATCTCAAGACTCCGTGGGCAGCTGGATGCTGGGGACCGAAATTCAGGGTGAAATGTCTAATCTTGGACTTTCTGGTTGGGAAGTCTGCGGAATCCGCGTTGGCCAGGTTCCAGGTCTCGTATTCGTGAGCCTCTTTAGCGAACTCCTCATACGAGCCCAAAGCAGACTCCAACTCGAGTGGAACTGGACGCAGCTCATTAGTTCCATTCTTTCTTATGGAGTAGAAGTCATTGTCCTCTTGTGTTTGCGCAGCTCTCAGAGGGTTCAAGGTGGAAAAGAACCTCGGGGTGGTCTTTGGTAGACTGCGAACAGTTTTCACCAATAACCGATTAGCCAACATTGTACACAACCTCAGCTAAACCTCAGAACAAAAAAGTAGTGAAAACGTGAGTAAACCGGTGTTCTATTGAGCTATGGTCTTGTTCTCATGCTCAATTCAACTATTGGCAAAAAAGAGGCTTCCATTGGCTGGATCGACAAAATGGGTTTCGCACTATGATTATTTCTCCACGAACTTTTTTGGGGCGGGAGGTACACGACCATGTTCCCGAGGTTTTTCCTACGGCTTCTATCTCGCCACTGATCCGAGTCAGTTACTCTTCCATTACAGACAGACTCTACGTTTATCTCAAACAAATTTATTCTTATTTTTGCAATGCCTCGTTCATCCGGCCGTCGTCCTGCTGCAAGAGCTGCCCCAAGAGCTGCTCCAGCTCAGTCTAGACCAGCCTCCACCATGGCCGCTCCAGCTCACCAAGCCCCAGCCCACCAAGCTCCAGTTCAATCCGCCCAACAGACCAGACAGCCAGGCATGTTTGCCCAGATGGCCTCTACTGCTGCTGGTGTTGCTGTTGGTTCCACCATTGGTCACACTCTTGGTGCCGGAATCACCTCGATGTTTGGAGGTTCTTCTGCTCCTGCCGAGGCTGCCCCAGTCCAATCCTATGCTCAGGAATCTGCCACCAAGGCCTGTGACGTTGATGCCAGAAACTTCACCAGATGTCTTGAGGACAACGATGGAAACTTTCAGGTTTGCGACTACTACTTGCAGCAGTTGAAGGCATGTCAGCAAGCCGCTTCCCAGTACTAGACAGGAAGAAGAAAAGTTGAAAAGTTGACTTATGCATATGGCCATAAAGCCTTTTTTGACACGCAGATGAAGATTTGAGACTCTGCGTAAAATAGAAGTTAAATATTCAAAGCTTAGATCTTGGCATGTATTGTAGCGTATATATGAAGTAGTTGTTTGGAATGCGTTTGTATGATGTGTCTTGGACAGTGGTTACAACATCATCCAATTGGTTCCTTAATTCCTGAAGATTGGGTATGGAACTGAGAACTTGGTCATTTATTCTGAATATTAATCATCGGAGCATATTTTTCGAGTTTCAAACTAATCTGTCACGTTTGTAAGAGAAGCACCTCCAGTGGCCACCAATCGCCTCCAACGGCCTTCAATGACCGCCACTCTCTAACATACATTATCTCCAGTCTCGACACCCACAAGTCGATTGAAGACTCAAGCCCCGAGGAATCATTTTGAATTAGCCACATAAGTACACTGTCATTATTTTGAGTTCAAAAAAACCAATAGAACCTTAATTTTTCACCCCAAAAAGAGCATTGACTTCAATCATTGGTCGTTTTCCAACCTGACTCTGCAGAAACGAGCCCCCATGAAAGTTTTAATTCGTATTAAAGCTTGTTATTGAAAAATGGATTTATTTCATTACTTAAACCAATACCGCATCCATATCAAAATAGCCATTCATAATTCTCAGCTACCTAAATTTCAACTATATCAATCAAGGCTCTCACATCTAGTACTCACTGACCTCTTCCACCGATGGACAGGTACACATCAGATTCATGTCTCCGAAAGTATCGTCAACTCTTGCAACTGTTGGCCAAACCTTGTTCTCCTTCAAAAATGGAAGAGGGAAAGCAGCCTGTTCTCTGGTGTAACCTCTTCCTTCCCAGTCACCACCGACCACGTCCTTCAGATCGTGTGGAGCATTCTTCAACACCTGGCCCCAAGACTCTCCATTGCCCAAGGCATCGATTTCCTTGCGAATGGAGATCATAGCGTCTACAAATCTGTTCAGCTCGTCCAGGTTCTCCGACTCGGTGGGCTCCACCATCAAGGTGCCTGGGACAGGGAAAGACATTGTAGGAGCATGGAAACCATAGTCTTGCAGTCTCTTGGCAACATCAATGGCCTCAACACCAAGTGATTTGAGAGGTCTGAGGTCAATGATAAACTCGTGTCCACAGTATTTGATAGCAGACTCCGACTTGGCACTGGAGCCCAAGAACATGATCTCATAGTAGTCCTTGAGCCTGTACATCATGTAGTTGGCATTTAGGATAGCGATGATGGAAGAGTACTGGATATTATCACCACCCATCATCTTGATATAAGAGTAACTGATAGGCAAGATAGAGGCCGATCCAAAAGGAGCAGCAGCCACAGCCTCAATACTTTGTGAGTTCGTGTGGGAAGTCTCGATCACAGGGTGGGTTGGCAGGAACGGAACCAGGTGCTCTCTCACACAAATGGGTCCCACACCAGGCCCTCCACCTCCGTGAGGAATGGCGAAGGTCTTGTGCAAATTGAGATGGCAAACATCAGCTCCCAGGTCACCGGGTGATGTCAGACCTACCTGAGCATTCATGTTGGCACCGTCCAGATACACCTGTCCGCCATGGGAGTGGATGATATCAATGGCGTCTCTGATACTTGGCTCAAAAAGCCCATATGTAGAAGGATATGTTATCATCACGGCAGCCAAATTGGCAGAGTGTTTGGCAGCTTTTTCAGCCAAATCGGCCAGGTCCAAAGACCCATTGGCCAGGCACTTCACAGCAACAACCTTCAGTCCAGCCATTGCAGCAGAAGCAGGGTTGGTACCATGAGCAGATACTGGAATCAAAACCACATTTCGAGAGGATTCTCCTTTTGATTCCAGGTATTTTCTGATTACACTCAGACCGGTGAACTCGCCCTGAGCACCTGAGTTCGGCATGAGCGTGGTGGCAGCAAAGCCAGTGATATCGGCCAAATCAGCCTCCAGCTCATTTATAAGTTGAGTGTAACCAGCAGCTTGGTCCTTAGGAACGAATGGATGAAGATTTCCAAATTCAGGCCAAGAAAGAGGAACCATCTCAACTGTAGCGTTCAACTTCATGGTGCACGAACCCAACGCGATCATGGAGCTCGCCAACGAAATATCCTTCTGCTGTAAGGCAAAAAGATATCTCAGCATGGAAGTTTCAGTGTGATAAGTGTTGAACACAGGATGGCTTAAAATTTGGTCTTTTCTGGTCCATTCAGAGCTGAAGACTGGCAATTGGGTGACATTGGCCAGGGCCCCAGAGGCTCCAGTGAAAAGCTCAATTAGCCCAGAAAGATTTTCTTTGGTGACAGTTTCATCCAAAGACAATTGAACAGTGGTATCGTTCACCTTGAACAAATTAAAACCATAATCAGAAACAGCACGGGCCAGGAATGAGTCTGCAGACTCTCCCTTCAATTGGACTGCAAAGGTGTCAAAAAAGCTTTTGGTCAAAACCACGTGCTGCGAGTTCTCTGAAATTTGAGTAGCCAGCAGTTTTGTGAGACCAAAAACTCTCGAAGAAATTTCTCTGAGACCTCCAATACCGTGGTAGACGGCATACATAGCAGCTATGTTAGCCAGCAGGGCCTGGGCAGTGCAAATGTTGGAGGTAGCCTTTTCTCTCTTTATGTGCTGTTCACGAGTCTGCAAAGCCAACCTCAAAGCTGGGTTGCCAAGACGGTCCTTGGAAACACCAATTAACCTACCAGGCATTTTTCTTTGCAGCTTTTCCTGGACTGCGAAGAACGCCGCATGTGGCCCACCGTAGCCCATTGGAACACCAAATCTCTGCGAATTACCAAGCACAATGTCGGCATTAAAAGTTGAAGGTGGGTGCAACAAGGTAAGAGCCAATAAATCCGAGGCAACGGAAAAAAGACCCTTATTTGCGTGGACTATTTCGGAGATTTCGATGTACCTCTTGATGGAACCAATGGAACCGTCGGTGGCTGGATATTGAACCAAAACACCGCATACATCTTCCTTTTTGGCTTTCAAGAGCTCCAGTCCTTCATCTGAGCCCAAGTCTGCAATCAGAATGTCAATATCTGACGTACTTGCTCTGCTCTTGATCACAGCCAGGGTCTGCTCGTGGACTTTGCCGTCCACCACATACGTCTTCTTCTTTCCTCTGAGCCCATGATAACTCAAAAGCATCGCCTCGGCTGCTGCAGTTCCCTCGTCAAGTAATGATGCATTAGCGACGGGCAATCCAGTAAGATCGGTGATCATGGTCTGGAAGTTTAAAAGACTCTGCAGCCGACCTTGCGATACCTCGGGCTGGTAAGGTGTGTAAGACGTGTACCATCCCGGGTTCTCCAGGAGGTTTCTCTGGATGACTGGGGGCATGATAGTTCCATAGTAGCCCTTTCCAATCAGCGACTTGGTGGTCTTGTTCTTGGAAGCAATCTCCTTCAGCTTGACCAGCATCTCGGACTCGGAATATCCCTTTGCCGGTTGGATTTTCAATGGTCTTCTAACCAGCACATTTTCGGGTACCACGCTCTTGATAAAGTTCTCGAGATCACCCTGTTTAACCACTGAAAGCATTTGGGAGACCTCGTCTGGAGAGGGCCCCAAGTGCCTTCTGGCAAATGTGTCCAAAGCAGCCAACTGGTCGTAACTCGAATCAAGAGTCTTGGGGTCCCAAACAGAGCCGTACTTCTTAGACGATATCTCTGCTTTTTCTCCCTGGGTGGCCATGTATCTCCGACATCCCAGTGGTTTGCAAACAGTGCTTCCTGTCTGATAAGGCACACAGACCGAGGGGGCTGAAAAATTTGCCAATACCCTCAAATTTTTGGCCGGAAAAAAAGCCGATCTGGCAACAGATCTCGTAGCATTTCTAAGCATGACAGAAATCACTATAATGCTGCAAAAAAGAGAGGTTAGTATACCGAAACACGCGTGGGATCGCTTATCTCTAGATCCGATAAGGAGTGCACCTCACAGACTGCTATAGCAACTTACGCGCCAATCAAAAGGATCCAGGGCTGACGATTGAGACGATATCCGAGAGAAAAAAGGAAGATCAGAAGAGTGAACGGGAAGAAAAACAGACAAAACCTTTGAAAATAAATTCAAGTGTTTGAACGGAGCGTTAGATTGTATTAGATCGGAGATGACTCTGTGTGACTCGTCATGACTCTGTCGACGGGGTCATAATGGCTGCAGCATTTGACTCGTCACCACCCTTCTTCATTTGAATACAGCCACGCGGAAATCAAATTAATTAGTTCATAAAATTGACTGGAATCCCTGGTACTTTCGCGTAGTGCGAATAAAGAATCTTATAAAATGCTTGAATAGTACAAGCCCCGAATCAGAAACCGTTTACTGCGTGGCTGGTCACCTCTCCATCATCCATCAATCAAATACCAAAACCGAATGCGCTTTTGAAACCCTCGTTATTCAATTTTGATTGCTTGAAACCCTTTCCCGCTCACGACACCGGCCCATTGCCCATCCACGTCCCACGTTACGTTGTTGATCTCGGAGTCTTCTGAATACGCATAGGCAGGCAGCTCGGTAAGACTATTGTCGAACAGATCTGCCGTTTTCGACCTTCTGGATGACCTATGTGTACTGGCACTGCTGGTACCTCCGGTGCTATTAGTTTCCATGCTCTTTCCATCCTGTGCAGGCGACTGGTCCGATTTCGAGCTCGATCTTGGGATATCCAGGTTGCTCAGATCGTACACGAACGCCTGGCAATCGTCTGAACCAGTAAGTAGCCAGTTTTTCGTGGGGTGCCATTCGATGCTGTTAATTGGAGCTTGGTGGTGGGATAATATCCGGATCGGAATTCCAGGATACCGTAGATCCAACACTATAACTCTGCTTCCGTGGGCTTCGACCGCTGCGATGTGGTTGGCGTTGTAATTTGAGGTTGCCAGTCTCAGTAGTGGAGTAGGTTTGAGACCAGGTGATGTTGAGCTCGATTGAGAAGGATTGTATGCAATAGGAGAGGGTGCAACTGACGAGGCTGACGACTTTATCTGGGGCTCGTAGATGATTGTGGAATGCTCCAGAGATCGCAAGTCAAAGACCCTTATCGAGCCGTCGCTGCTGCAACTGGAAAATACGTTTTTGTCTCCATACAAAAACTTCACGTCGAAAACCTCGCTATCATGTGCAATTAGCTGAGTTCTCGCCACACCTTTGGACAAGTCCCATAACGTGCATGTGGTATCGATGCTGCACGTTATAATCTGTTTGGGGTCTGCCACACACCAGTCAAATGAGGTCAAAGGCGGTAGCTGGTTGAGATTTTTTGTCTTCGAGTTCGACAACGCAACTCGTTCCACCAGTCGAAAGGGTCCATTTCCACCCTCCGGTCTGCCAGATAATTCGTATATCCTCAAACACTCCGATGCAGTGGCTAACCTCTCGGTCTGTGACGTTCCCAGGCTCATAGAGGGGTCCCATTGGAGCTTAGTCACTGGAAAATTCACGCTGATCTCTGCAATCTTGTGCATATCAAGTCCCTCAATCTTGGATCGGTCAATTGGCACGTTGGGATCACTTTCGTACGGCAAATTAGTTTCTGGAAACGAATACACCACCTGTAGCCTATTGGTTGTGTCCTCCCTGTAGCTGCTCAGAGCAATTCTGCTGGTGTGTGAGCCTCTGATACCCGTCCAGTCACACTGGTAGAGAGGATAGTGGGTTTCGTAGTACGACGACCGCATTTGGGGGCGGGAAATTGCATTTTGGTTGTTGAAGTTGTGGCTGTAACCCGTGTTACTGGTATTAATGGCGTCTGGATGGTTAGTTTCGATGACTCTGAAAGCCTTAAAAGCGATTCGAACGTAATATACACACCATAGTTGTAGTTTGAATACTGGTTATCCCCAGATATGGAGAAACGCTTGTTGCGTTGCCAGTACGTATCCATGTGGGCTCTTTGATATCCTGTTTGTGGGCTCAATCAGTACAAGGTCAAGAGTTGGCAAGAATGACGGAAAAGCAATTTCTCTAGCAACAAACAATTTGACGACAATCAAATACAAGACTAGCCCTCAAAATGGCCCGAAACCACCTTGAAGCAGTTCACAGTATCCATCAACCCACCACTCACACGAAGCTGGAGAAGGCTGGAACCGCCTTGATTCCGGGACACTGGTTAATGCACGCTTTTTCGGAGAATGAGACTGCCCGCTGCAGACGAGGCAATAATAACCGAGACAGTGCAGTACGTCAGTTTGAGGGGGATATCCGATATTTTGAGAGCAGCTGGAAGAAGGAAAATCGTGATTCAGATAATTGGTCAGAGGCCATGAGTCATAGAAAGAAAATTGAACCATGTACATGCCAAAAATACCAGCGTTGCTAGGATGATTATTTGACCGTTTGAAGTTGGCAGTCCGAATTTGACAGAAGGCCATACCTTATCAAAACATCAGTGTCTTTCCGCTACAACGAACGTGTCGCAAGACATATACGCTAACGTCACGTCATGTCAAATACTATGGAACTCTACACTTTATCATTTTTGGGGATGAAGAAATCTAAAGATTTAAGAAATGCTATACAGGGTATTTGCAAATGCGGCCAAAAAGCCATAGAAATAGATGCGACCAAATGGCCCATACGCGAGCGGAGCTCAACGCAGAAAGAGATTATTAGTTCTGTTGAACAAGCAACGAGTTCCCTGAAACCGGCAAACCTAACGCCAAAAATAAATGAGTGGGATGTTTGAAAACAGGACCCGACAAAGTGAATGTGATCGAAATGAAAGTGGGTCAGATGAAACTGTCGTTTCGTCTATAATGACAGGTTCAATTAAAAAATTGAAAATGATAATAAAACATAATGGCGAGACACAACTCGGAGTGTAAAAATTGTTGGTCAGATAGCTACCGCAACAAAGACGTGCGGAGCATCTTGATGATGATGATGGTTGATGATGATATGTGAAACTTTGAAAACGAGAAGACAACTGGGTCAGCTAGTATCTGGAGAAAAGGCAAGTTAATGCAGAGACACCGCGAAGTGAAGAATTGAGTTGTGATCGAGAATTTGAAGAATGAAACTGAGAAGTGATGAGCTTTGGAACTCCAGAAATGACGAACGGCCTTAGATCAAAAGAGCTGCAAAGAAAGCAACACCACCGAAGAGAGCACCGGAGATGGCCTGCTTGTTGGCGGAACCCTCCAAGAGAGAAACGGAAGCAGAGGTGGAAGCAGCGGCAGAACCTGAACCGGATGCAGAGCCAGAGGCAGCGGCAGCAGAAGAAGCGGCAGAGCCAGAAGCAGCAGCAGAGCCAGAAGCAGCAGCAGAGCCAGAAGCCGAAGAACCAGCAGCGGTAGTGGTGGCAGCAGCAGCAGTGGAACCGGCAGCTTCAGAAGTAGAACCGGCAGCCTCAGAAGTGGCAGTAACGGTCTCACCTCCACGGGAGTTAACGAAAGAAACACCCTCAGTAGCGGTGGAAGTCTCATACACAGTCTCGGTAGATGGGACAACGTTGTAACCGACAGAGGTGGTCAACACCTTCTCGGTGGAGAGTGGGCAGTAGGTAGTGTACACGGTCACAATGTCCTCAATGGTGGTGGTGAGCACGGTAACACCGGTGGTCAAAGTCGAGCCGGCCTCAAGAGCAGTGGTGGTAACCTCAGCGTACTCAGTGATGGTGACAGTCGATGCAATGTAAGTGTCGGCTGCTGGGGTGGTCACAGACTCATAGGTAGAGCCGGAGAGTGGGCAGTAAGTAGTGTACACAGTGGTGACACCTCCAATAGTGGTGGTAACCTCAGAAGCAACAGAAGTTGGCTCAACAGTCACAGTCACAGTGGAACCGGCAACTGGGGTGTAGGTTCCGGTGGTGGTGGCAGTCAATGGGCAGTAAGTGGTGTAAACAGTCACAATGTCCGAAAGGGTGGTGGTGACAACGGTGACACCGGTTGGGACGGCGGTCAAAGAGCACTTATCATCCTTGCACGAAGTGATGGTAGCAGTCACAGTGGACTCAGCAGTGTCAGTCACAGTCAAGACAGTGGAGGCGGCAGTGGTGGTCTCGGTACCGTTGTATGGAATGTACACAGTGTAAGAGACGTAGTAAGTGTCGACAGCACGCTTGACCTTGGAGCTGGCATCGTACACAGAGATCTCGAAGGCAGCGAAGAAGTACTCAGATCTTGGGTCCTGAACAACACCAGTGTGCTTAGATCCAAAGAGATCGAAATCAGCGGATGGGATCTTGACGGTAAGATCAATTTCGGAGGAGGAGGAGTCATCGACGATGTTCACTTTACCGATGTCCTTGCCATCCTTGAAGAAGGTGTTGTCAGATGGAGCCCAGTGAAAGTTTGGCTGTTCACCGACGGACACAATCTCGAAGTAAGACCATGGTCCAATGGAGGTAGGAACAAACACCTCCCAGACTGGGAATCCACCGGCATTCCAACCAGTACACCATGGAACGACTGGACCAGATGGAGCCGAAGGGGCAGTGGAGGAGTTGGTATAAGTAGCGGCCTTGGCAGAAGCCAACAGCGCAAAAGCTGACACGATAGCTGAGAACTTCATTATTCTTTTCTGGGAATAAGCGAACGGTGAAAAGACTTTGATCAGCTTTTGGTGAGGAAAAGAGAAGCAAAGGCTGAATTTTAGAACAAAGGGGCGGCTTGAATATGATATATACTCTGTTAGCTCGGCAAACCTCTTCGTGCATGATTTCTAGGAGTTGGATATTCGTTTTCGTAAAGGTCGTTAAGGTCGAAGAAGGGGTGCGCATTGGCAAAGATTTAGCGACTTGCATATTCATGCAGCAAAAAAAAGGAGAGGGAAAGGGGTTGCTGCATAATCCCTTCCAGATTTAGAAATCTGTTGATTCGGTCAGTATGCCTGTCAGCGCCCCCCTGGTCGGTTTGATTGTCTGGGAAAGGACGAAGTTAGCGCACTGTGGGCCGTGCCTGAAATTCTGAGCCGAAACTTCGTCAGCCGAGAACTTTATTGTTTGCCAGAAGATCCGCAAATTTAGACGTTTGGATGTTGGATTTCTTCTGCGTAAATGCTCGTGAAATCCGCACAGTTAATAATATATAGCACATGTAACGAATTTGTCTTGATGCATTATTGCTTAAACCTGATTCCACCTTATTGAGAGCGCGAACGGCTTCATGCACTGTGTGGAAAAAACGAGAGAAAGGAGTCAATTACCAAGAGATGTTTGTCACGTGATCAGGCTGAGGCAATATACTGCTTCCAGACCCAGGGTGTAGCGGGATTCTGGTCTGCGAGCTAGGGGGTCTCTCTACATAATGGCGCACATTCCGTAACCACGATGTCTCCTTTACAGGTTACCCTCGTGTCATGGTTTGATGAAACCTACTGGAGGCCATTCAGCATTCCATTTTAGAGAGCTCAGAATCCGCACGACTTGAATTTGATCCCCTTGAAGGGTACGTCAGAGGGAATATTTCGACGGACCAAACGAACTCTATTCCAAGTTTCATGATATCTCCTCCTGAAACTTTTTTAATGTGAGATTTCGGCTAACGCAATCGTTCTAAAAATGGTAGCTCAATTCAAATCTTGCAAGCAACATATAATGAGGAAACTGACATATGCTGATTTCAGCGTATCACATACGATTGCAACGATTGTCCACCCTGCGAATAAATGCTCGCATGGGGTGTGAAACAGGCTGCAGGTTGTGCAGGTTGCATACCGACGCGACGCTTTCGCGATTTCGAAAGGGGCGAAGGAGGTCTGTTTTTTTTTTCATGCTGTGCCTTAGGATGGCCAAATTCGGATTTGTTAACGAACACCCGGGACCAAACCGAAGGTGAGAATTTTGCTTGGATGTTAAGCATCTCGCAATCGGAATCCGAAAGGGAGGAAAGGAATATCCTAGTTTGGATGTGTGGAACTACTGTCTTTTTGGTCTTAATTTAGTCGTGATGAGACTACTGATATAGATCAGAATAACAAGGTATTCCTTTCGGTGGATTGTACCATTTGGGGTCAGCGTAGGGTGAAGAGGCGCGGGGTCGATGACTAAAACAGCGCACCACCACCTGAGTTTTCATAATAAGGATCCTCGTTGGTATCGCTAATCTGATAATTTTACCATATTCGGCGCCCAACAGATGCCTAGCGGCTAATGTTGCTGGAACTCAATAGATTTGGTACCCAGTACTTTGTCTGAAGACTCATAGAAACTTGATTCTCGAATATATAACCCGTTTTGCTTATGGAAGTCCATTTAGGTTTGTATTTAGGTCCGTATTTGGTTTCCATAGCAAGAAACCCTCCTTAACCATGATTTTCTCGACCGTACAGGCATGCAACTCTATTGAAGAATCTTGTTGACGCAAATCAAAGACCAGTTACCCTCTCAGGTATCACCAAATACAAGTGTTCAGATCCTAGGGGGTGAAACGGATAGCCGCGGTGTAGAGTGGAATTGGGATTAATGCCGTTCAGTTCCGAAGTCTGTTGGAATACAATAGATAACGACGGGCGTCAAAACGTTCAAGAGACGTTTTACTGCTATTTCGAGATAGTAATTATGTTCGCAAGAAGCCTCACGAAGTTTTAGAATTTCAGATCGACCAGCGATCTTTGTCTTAAGCGATCGAAGAAAAACTGACCTCGATGCAGACACACTAAGAGTTCAATTTAGACTTAATACCGAGAATGCTCGGGGTCGAATACTAAATTTAGTACTCTCTATAGCCAAACTTTGTAGGCAAATTCAATCGGCAGATTTAATGAAAACAAACCCAATTGGAGGTTGCATTACCCTACAAGTAAAGCATAATAGACTCACTAAGAGGTCTAGTCCGGAGTTAAACTTTTCAGTTAGAGTCTACGATCCCATAAAGAAAGGCACTGAGGCTCTGAAGCAAGCTAATTAAGCTTTTTACGGGGTGACCACCCCGTTGAAACCTTAATTTGCTGCCAAGAGGTAAGGGGAAAGCTGTAATGAAGAATGCAGGAGACCACAAAGTCCGATTTCTCGTATCCTGAGAATTTTTCGGAAAGTGAGCCATACAAAGTGACAAGTATTTAGCAAATTGTATTATCCAATATATGACAGAAGCGCGAATACAATGTCCTCAGCCCCATCTCTCAAGACAAAAGTGGCCTCAGCAGATCTTGGTAGATCTTAGTAGATCTTAGTAGACCTTAGCAGATCAGCCTGGTCTTCGATTCCACACCTGCATCCATCACCATAGCAAAATCATCGTGCCCTGAAAGAGGTAATCGATCCCTTCGAATGAAGCAATCAGCAGGATCACCCACACATGAGCTGCGCAGGAGAGTTACGGAACTGTCTTGCGAATAGTCGATTGATATGTACACCCTCCCCCAGATATGGAAATGGGGTATGAGGTGACATGAAAGTGCATTCCAGGGTGTCGAAGTATTGTGCGGTCTAAAATGTTCCAGGCTTTGGCCTATGTTTAATGCCTATGTTTAATGCGGAGCCTGAGACAAAAATCCTCGACGCGAATGAATTGTCGATGTCTGAGAGTCGTCTAAACATTTTACGATATGAACCAGACTTGCGGTGTCTGTCCGCTCCGAAAAACCATCGTGACCATGGTCAATGCTCTAGCAATAGGCATAATGTTTTAAAGCAGCTCAACTTTGGACCCTTTTTCCGATTCAAATAGGTTTTCATGCAGCTGTTACGTGCATTGATGTTTGAGGAAAAACCAAAATATACAATAGCCCATTGGGTTCACAATGAAGCTGCTAGCGTCTGCTCTATATTAATACACAAATGCGATAGGCATGATTTCACTGCCGCTTTACTATGGATATACTAATATACCTCTACCAAAGAGACGATATAGCTTCTCTGTATCTGCGCCGAAGTTAAACATTATGGTCCATTCTCGATGGCCTCATTTTTACGAACATGCACATCATAAAGCGCCAAGTTTTATCTACAATCTCACATGCATTCAAATGAATTCAAAGATTTATACATATATCCCTAGAGATAAACAAAACGATACCTTCCAGAACGGAGGGCAGAACACAACGAGGATTGAAAAGAATAAGCGAAAGCAAAGAAAGAGTATACTCCTCTTCTATTCCTGCTTAGTTCCTTAGAAACACTTGTGGTGGACGATAGAAGGTCCAGACTCGTCGTATTCTTGCTTTGAGATCCACATTTGTTGGAAAGTCGACAAAGATGCCAAGATGGAACCACCGATCCAGACAGAGTACTTACGCTCTGGTGGAGCAATGATCTTGACCTTCATAGAAGATGGAGCCAATGCAGTGATCTCCTTTTGCATACGTTCGGCAATACCTGGGAACATAGTAGTACCACCAGACATGACAATGTTACCGTACAAGTCCTTACGAACATCCAAGTCACACTTGGTGATGGAGTTGTAGGTGGTTTGGTCGATACCAACGGCTTCGAGACCCAAGGCACTTGGGTGGAACAAAGCCTCTGGGGCTCTGAATCTTTCGTTACCGATGGTGATAACTTGACCATCTGGCAACTCGTAAGACTTCTCAATGGCAGAAGACTGGGAAGAGGTCTGCAACTCTTGGTCAAAGTCCAAGGCAACGTAACACAGCTTCTCCTTGATGTCACGAACAATTTCACGCTCGGCAGTAGTGGAGAAAGTGTAACCACGCTCAGACAGAATCTTCATCAAGTAGTCGGTCAAATCTCTACCAGCCAAGTCAATTCTCAAAATGGCGTGTGGCAAAGAGAAACCAGCGTAGATTGGAACAACGTGGGTAACACCATCACCGGAGTCCAAGACAATACCAGTGGTTCTACCGGAAGAGTACAGGGACAAAACGGCCTGGATGGACACGTAGAAGGCTGGGCAGTTGAAAGTCTCAAACATGATTTGAGTCATCTTCTCTCTGTTTGACTTTGGGTTCATTGGGGCCTCGGTCAACAAGACTGGGTGCTCTTCTGGAGCGACACGCAACTCGTTGTAGAAAGTGTGATGCCAGATCTTCTCCATGTCATCCCAGTTAGTGACGATACCATGCTCAATTGGGTATCTCAGGGTCAAGATACCTCTCTTGGATTGAGCTTCATCTCCAACATAAGAGTCCTTCTGGCCCATACCAACCATGATACCCTGGTGTCTTGGTCTACCGACGATGGATGGGAAAACTGCACGTGGAGCGTCATCACCGGCAAAACCGGCTTTACACATACCAGATCCGTTATCGATAACGAGCTGGAAACTTTAGTTAGTATCATCATCCAATGATTTTTGGCATCACAAACTCAACATGAGCGGGACCTTATCCACAGTATTCAAAAAGTTGTGAATAATAAATTCTGGCACTTACGGCTGCGACTTCTTCTGTTGTGGGCGTTAGTTTTTTGTACTGTTTAAATTGATTGAGCAGGTGATTCGTTGATCTGATTGGCCCCAAAAAACCTTTACGTGTCCATCGCCGGAACAAATGGGACGAGACAAAATCTCACCCCTTGATTCGCGACAGGAGATATTCCAACACGAAAAAAAGGCAATTGGAGGCAACATAGAAACTTTTCTGCTCAAACAGGCCAGCTCGATGATGGATTGACGAATTTGTTGGGAGTAGGGTACAAGCCGGTGCCGATCGTCACCAGCCGTTGTAGCCCGACGAGATCTGAAGGGGCAGGCGGTAACAAGACAAAGGTGAATTCTTTGCCCTAAAATTCGAATCCAACTAGCAACCATCATCGAGAACCTAGAATTGCACAAATTGACTTACCTCCGTCCATTTTGAATAATTTCTAGATTAGTTAACTTGTAAATAATTACAGATGTTAAGTTGTAGAGAGTTGGAAAAGTGATCAGGAGGGGGGCGTGAAGATCTGAAAGGGGCTGTGGATGTGTTGGCACGTTAATTTATGGCAGTCACAAAAGTGAGCTAAGCACTTTGTGAGTGCACGCCCTTTGATAGATAGCGAAACGTCAGATCGAGTACGGAATTGTAGATCAGGTTTGATTGTGTATATACTGCACTAAATGGTAGTGTTTTGGGGGTCTTTTCACCTAGCAACAACCCTCTGTCTACGAGGATTCTTCTCGAGTTTCTGTTGTCTCTTTGACTTCACAGGTTCCTCCTTCAATTCCATGTCCTGTTTAGGCTTCGAAGCTGGTAAGAACTGTTTTCCTAGAGTCCACGCTTTGTAACCAGCGTACCCGGGGATCTGAATGAGTTAATAAAAAGATTCACAGGAATCATCAAAAAAGAAGCACGTACAGCCAGATACAAAAGCCAGACTTTGTTGGATCCAAACACCCACATCAAAATATGGCATATCAGGGTCATGTAAATGATGTCGAACATGTACTCCACAAGTCCACTTTGTTTCAAGTCCTGTCCAGCAGAAACCAAGGTCTCTCTGCCATCTTTAGTGGCAAATTTGGGCCTACCGGTTGTTTCCAAAACGTACTGACACAACCACGATGGAGAACTGAAAACCAGAGACTGCCATCTCGACTGTGGGCGATGGAAGTACCAGACCAAAACTATGGAGATTGCTTGGATTGAAAACGTCAGTAAATGTATTTCCTTCAAGATCTTGACATTTGAAACTGCTTGTTTCTTATCTGCTGCACCAGCCATGGTGATACGGAGCTAGATATCGAAATGGTGTCAAAAGGGTGATGATGGTACATTCGACATCTTCGATAGCGATATACTACTGGAGTGGAAATGGCACAGGGCTAAATGGCAGAACGGCACAGTCCAAAAAAATTTATACCAAACTAAAATGGCAATTGCTACAATCAATTTTTCCAAACATTAAACCCCCAGCAGATTATATAGAAAGATCAGAGTCAAAAAGTGTATTGATAAATAAATTTACAACCAGGGCCCTAACAACATCCAGCATTCTGGTTGGCATTGATGGCAGAACCACGGATGTTGATACCCGCCTTGCCAGCACCGCCTGTGTTGTTAGAAGAGGTGGCCATTTTCGACTTGATTTGCTGTGCCATGGTAGAAAACGCTTTCTCGACGTTGGTGGAGTCCAAAGCCGAAGTTTCCAGAAACTTCAAGTCCCTCGAGTCGGCAAATTCTTTGGCGGTGGAGTACTCAACAACCTTCTTATCAACAAGATCCGACTTGTTTCCCACCAGAAGCTTCATAACCGAAGATGTGGCGTATCTGTCAATCTCCTGGAGCCATTGGTTCACATTGTTGTAGGATTCCTGATCAGTTACATCATACACTATGATGATTCCATGAGCTCCGCGGTAGTAGGACGAAGTTATCGTTCTAAACCTCTCCTGCCCGGCGGTATCCCAAATCTGCAGTTTTATAACCTTCCCATCCAGTTCTATGGTCTTGATCTTGAAGTCGACCCCGATAGTCGATATGTAGTCTGGCGTATACGTGTCTTCTGCGAATCTCAAAAGCAGACAGGACTTGCCGACACCGGAGTCTCCAATCAGCAGCAGTTTGAAGAGGTAGTCGTATTCGTTATTCATGGAGATTAGATGTCGTGATTTGTGTGGAGATGATTCTTGAATAGACGGTGAACAGTCGGAGGTGAAGATGTCTTGTTCTGGGTGTAGTGATCGTCAACAGGGGGCAAAGGCAAACTGGAATTGAGATTGTGTTGCGCACGACTAATGTTTGGTGGTTTCTGGCCATATTTGAGGAACTAAGTACTGGTTAGTTTGCGTGGTGAGGGGAAATACGGAAAATACTGTATATGCTGTATGTATTATATATACTGTGTTTCTACCGTGGCTCAACGAGTATATAGTGGTGCTGTATCGGTTCAGATGCAGATTCAATGGGGATGATAGTGGATTTGTCGTATCGATTGCATGGTTCCTTATCTTTATACACTCGAAGAGTCTAACATGGACAGATACGACGTAAGAAAACGGTGAAATTTTTTATTTTAAACGTCAGACTGGATATTTTCTTATGTTTCATGCTAGTACTTCATTGCGGCTGGTACTAGGACCCATAGGTTCCATGCTGCTCAATTGCCAAGATCATTGACTGATTCCCATCGATCTCACCAAGGAACAGCCTTCATTGGTGTCTTGGCTGCTAGGTTTGATTTTCTGGTGATGACAACAAATTCTCTCACAACTCTACCAAATGATTAGTCCTGTATCGTCGATGCGACACGCCAGTCTTTTGCTAAGTATTTCACTGAGATCTTAAATCCCTAACAACCGTAGGCCTCTAACACTTCTCGCACGTCTCGTTTGGGTGTCTCTGCTATTAATATTTCAACTACTGTGCATCACTTTCAATAGTCAATTCTCACCGGAGAGTTCCAAAGTATATTATATCTATATGAGCATCTGATCAGCACGGCTGGGCCCCAAAATTAGAAAAGTAAAACAGTCAACAAAAGTGGGGAACAGTAAGGGATAAGGGCCTCGAGGGCTTGAGAATGCGAGGCTGGTGTTGGGATCAAGGCAGATGACCAAGTCAGATGATCAACATGGTTAACCAACGGAGTTAGCCACCCACTCAATAAAACTTGTCGACGGACCTGATAATGAAGGCCTGACAGTCAATTTTGATAATCAGAAACGAATAAACAAACATAGTGCATCGATCATACCACCAGATTCCAACCCAACAATATTATCCCCTCATCAAGCCCTAACAATCGTACCCACCACGAACATTGCAAGTTCTAAATCCACCGTATTCCCTTCATTTCTTCAAAATGAAATATGCAACAGCCGCCAAAGCAATACCAACTCCAGCTACCAACGGCAAGGAGGAACCACCAGAACTCGATCCAGAAGAAGCAGCAGCAGCCCTCTTTGGAATACCTCCGGCGACAACACCAATCTTCATGCCTTCCAGCATCTCCTTGGCATCCTCAGAATGTCCGATGTCGTCGAAGGGCTCGGTAGAATCCGTTCCACCGCACTCCATGATGACCTCCTCTCCACCTGGATGTTCGTCTAAGTATTCGGAGCAGTCGAAGACCTCGCCATTGTAGACTATCCAAAGGTCTTCACGTGTATTGTGCTGGGCGATCTCGTCGAACGTGTAGCTCTTCACGGACATTGTGTGTGATATGACGTTAATAACTGAGAGTATCGGCGATCAGAACACAATTTATATCTAAACGAAAAATGTCGTCCAATTGGCAAATTTGGATTTACAACATCGTTTGTGCTAACCCGATCTGGACATTTTTTGCGACGTCCAAATTAGGCAACTTGAATGGTGCACGACGGCAGTTGCACTGGAACGCTTCCGCTGGAGTTGCCTTAATTTTTTGACATTTTTCAATCTTTACACTCCTAAACTAGTACATACTGTCATCAATCTGTCCTTTACTTACTCTCCTTATAGTTGCTCGAGATCCAGCTCAGAGCCTCCGTCAGTCCGATCCCGTTGATCGCGACCGTGGGTATGACACACCATGTGTGGTTCTCTATTTTCTCCAGTTCCATCTTGTCAATGATGGCTTTGGGTTTGAGCGCCCCGTCAACGTCCTGTTTATTGGCAAGAACCACTAGTAAACAGTCTGCCAGCTCCTTGTCCTTGATCACCTTCCACATCTCGGCCTTGGACTGCTCCAGTCTCGTGAGATCAGAGGAATCCACCACGTAGATTAGACAATCCGTCCCCGAAAAATAGTGTCTCCACAAAGCCCTGATTCTCTCCTGTCCACCTATATCCCATGTATGCATTGTTATATTTCTAAACTTGATGGTCTCCACATTAAATCCGACAGTTGGGACCGTATTCTCGGCCTTTCCGAGCTTTAGTTTATAGAGAATGGCTGGTTTGGTTAGTTTTCATAGTTTGGTGGTGATCTCCGTGTGTAGGGTACTTACTGGTCTTTCCAGCATTGTCCAGACCGAGCATAAGAATTCTAAGCTCTTTTGACCGAAGCTGAAACAGTGTTAGTTGATGGTCTGTTGAACGATACGGGAGGATCGCTGCCTTTTGGTGAAGTTGGTTGCCCCCTGCTTCACCTGCTCCCGTTGAGACTTCATGTGCAGTCTATACTTACAAAGATCTTCGAAAACGACAATCCCATGGTGCAATATCAATGCTATCTCCGATCACCAACTGTAATTCAATCAATTGCCAATCACCTGTACCGAAAAGAAAGACGGGGAGAATAATATCCAGCTAACTTGAGTATCTCGGCCTCAAACCGAATGCACAACCATTTTGAAAAAACGCGTAATCTCTTTTCGCGGAATTTGAAATTTCGACGTGTTGAGCACATTGCCTCTTTCGGACGTTTAATTAGAATCGGGCCCCTGGGAGATGTCAAGCAGTTTACGGATGATATGCCTATAACTACGCTATTTTTTTACCGTTTCAGTTGATCATTGTATTTGTTCCCTAGTTTCATCTGACTTCGCATTTAATTCATTCAAAAATTGTGCATCCTTGCCCACCTTGTCTAGCCACCTCTTCACCAGCTTCTCATTCTCTTCAGCCAAAGATTTGTTTCTTTCGTTCAAAACATTATTTTCAATCTGTAGAGACAGAATTTCGTCATTTATAACCTCGAAATTCTTGAATTTCAGTTGGTTCTCCTCGGTCATAAGATCTAGCCGTTTGGACTTCTCTGAATTGGACACCCTCGCACGTTGTAAATCCCGTGAGAGGCTGGTGTTTTGTGATTTTAGTCTTGAATTTTCCGATTTTAATTTCTGGTTCTCCTCTGATTTTGATTTCAGATCTTGGTGGACAGATGATGTGTTGAATAGTGAGAGCTCAGACTCTTGCATCTGTATGACCTCCGTCATTCGATTGACTGAAAAGTTAGTCCAGGGGAACTTTTAAAGCGCAGCAGCAAACCAATCTCCGTTTTTTCATACTTACATGACTGAATTACGTTCGGAATGTCTTTGGCATTGAAAGCGTTAATCCGGTCATCCCTCGCCTTGAGTCCATCCAACAACTGAGATCTCCAGTCCATAATCGTGGGGAGAGATAAGCTTCGCAGATATATCAGCAAAGTGAAATGCGCCTACCAATTGCCAACTTTCACTCTCACTCTATCGAGAATATCAAAGTGAAAGAGCGCTTCCCAACTCAAACGGCTCAATGCTATCTGGGGCGGGTCAAGATGGAGGACGATAACAAGTTTGGTAAAAAATGCCCGGAAAGCCACCGGAATGAATCCGGAATGTGAGATGATCCAAGACTTGATTCTTCACGTTTTCGTCTTGAAAAGTCCTGCAAGACTTGAAGATCACGAACTAAGAGTGTTTGATGAGCTTTCTCGTTGAAGTTTTATCCACGTGAGAGTTCTCCAGCGGTCCTTCCAGCGGTCCTTCCATCTCACCTCGGCTATTTATGCCGATACTAAGCCGTGACTCGATACATACAAACCTACTAACCCGGTTCTAGTTGTATCGTTGATCGTAACAGTGTATTCATGATTGTTCGTGTATAAAGTTTAAAATAACATATAAAAGGCAAAGCTGCCGGTCGTGAGCGGCAAAGATGAACAAGAGAATAACGGAAGAAATAAGACGTGAAATGGGACTCCCCCGCGTGAAAAATGTATAACTTTGAAAAGAGAAAAATAGCGGAAGAGGAGCGTAAATTGACATGTGCAAACAGGAAACAGGCCAGCTTTGGGGACATGAGAATGAGTGAGACTAGCAGAGAAGTCATGAAATCATCAAACATAATGGACAGATAAGGAAAGAAGACCAGGATTCATCCTCGCCTTTACTTTCACTTCATCTCCATGAAATCATCAAACAACATCGAGTAAACAGCATCCTCCTCCTTCTTCACAGGAGAAAGATCGTCGTCCTCTCTCTTGACCTCGTCCTCCATGATCGAGTCAAACCCCAGTTTCTCATCCTTGTACTTCTGTAGCTTGAAGGTGGCCTCATCCATGAGGTTTGTGGTAAATGTATCCAGCATCTTCCAGTCGATATCGAGCTCCTCTTCGTGCGACGCCGTCGATAGAAGAACCGGCGAGGTGGGTACGGTGTTGATCATTGGATATGGCTGTTCGCCATGTACGTGTTGTTTCTGTCTCTTGAGCTGCTTCAGGCGCTGCGCAGGAATCGAGTTCGTGCTTTTTGACTTGAACAACTTGGAGTTGGCCATGTTGGTGGTACTGTTGGAGGCACTGCTAGAGAACAACGAGGGTGTGATTGTTCCACTTGTTGGTAACGACACGAATTTGGGACGCGCAGTGGCCCGAACGTACTTGCCGGTGAGTTTTTCGATGATCTTAATGAACTTCGTCGCGGTCGAGTTCCACCGAGAGATCGATTCCAAAACCCCCTTGACCTTTCCAATAGACTCTATCCATCCGGCCGATCTGGCCGAGTTGAGGTTCGACTCCGAGCACAATGCCGCAATAGGGATGAGCCCGGCCTGGAACACGTAATGGGTCAGGTACCACACGGCAAGAACGGATGGATGCTTTCCGATATCGTCCTGGACCGTCCTCTTCACGAACATGTCGATGGTGTCGATGGTGTCGTTGGCAGCGGCCATGCACACATTGTAGGCATCTGGAGACTCGTTTTTCCACACAAACGGCCGGAACAAAACGATCTGGAAATTCTTGACTCGCCAGTAGAGCTTCCACTCGGCCAAATTTGTAGATTTAAAGTCGATCGTGGAGAAGTCCTGGCACATCAGCGACCTGTTGAAATCCAGACAGTTCTGGACCGAAAGCTGTTTCTTCGATATCAGCCTGCTGTAGATGGGCGTGATCATCATCGACAGTTTGGTGTCCTGGTCCAAAAGTGCCAGCTTCTCGTCGTGTGTGTCCAGGCATCCGGTAGTCTTGCAGTCAACAACGCTGAGATCGGGCAAGTTAATAGGCCGGCCGAACGTGATCGAAAAGTTCAAATCGAAATTGTACAGGATCCACCAGAGCTTGCGCTTGTAGTTCCCGCTGGCCAGTGCATCCTTGTGTAGGTTTAGCGACATGGCCATTCTTACAGCAAGCCCCAGATAATTCCAGGAAGTGTTGGGCTTGTTTCTGAGTTGCGTGTAGTTACTCAGCAGGATCAGCGAGGTGAGAATTGATGAGTTGCCCGATTCAAACACGATCTGCTTGAGCGACTCCTTGGCACACTGGTAATAGTGGAGGTCGATCTTGGAATTTTCGCCGTTTAGGCACCAGCATCCGATTGCAAGCACCACGTTCAGCAGGATCTTCCAGTTGGTTTCGTTCTGAATAGTCACTTCTCCCCTGAAACATTGTAGAAAAGTGTCTTTCTTGAGAACAGGGTGGATCTCGTGATAATTTTTAAAAAACGAGAGCACAAACTGGTCCTGGATGAAGTTCGATTGCAGTTGGGTCTTCAAGTTGGGCAGCTGAAAGCTGTCGAACTCGTCGTAATCGCTGAACGAGTTGGATCTCGAGAACTTGGGTGGATGCTCCATGTCCATCGAGTCCAACGTCGAAGAATTCAGCGAGCTCGGCGAAGAATTTTGTTCTTCGTCAGAATATTCGGCAGAATGGTTGCCCAAAACAATGGGCACCACTCCGTTAGAGGTTAGGTACTGGTCGATGGACACGTCCTCCGGAATCAGTTTAACAAGTAAATTTTCTAGCTGCTGCACCCGTTTTTCAACCTGAGTGAGATGGGCTCTGGTCAATGGAGACCGCACCATTCTGGGCGAATAAACGCATTCCCAGTCGTGGTTGGAGCACTTGAGACACTTGGGCAGTTCCTTGGTGCAGCGAAGCTTTCGCTTTCGGCATGAGTCGCACGCCTGTTCTATGCTGTTATCGAGGTCCTTGAGCGACATGATAGTGAGGCGGAAGCGTAGGTTGAGCGCTTGAGCAACGGTTGAAACCAGTTAACCAGCGCAGAAAAAACGGAAACTAGTAACGGTGAAGAAAACAAGCCAACCTGGCAAAATCAAAAGGCCTCAGTGTAGATCTGATGGAATTTTCAAAATCCCCTCTCTTCCCTCTGTGAAACTTTGTATGGCAAATTTCGGCTGTGTTGTGGAGTCCGGGCGGGGTTCTTCTGGTTTGGAGGGGGTGCACGAAGAAGATGGGACCGCTCGAAATCTGGATGGGTTCAGTAACGGTGTGTTGTGTTGGTGAACAGAGCAAGTAGGGAGCAATTTTTGGCCAGCTTTAAGAAGACATTGCGGATCGCGACCACGCATGATATATCGGCGCGCCATCTTGGCGCCGAGTAGTGCATCAAATTGGCCTCAGCCCTGGTGTATCAGGTGAGCTTGGAAGATCCGATCACGTTGTCAATACATTGTCCGGTTTAGAGAGCGTATTGTTAATACAGGTATATGCCCGTCTTTCTCGGAGAGAACTGCCCCAAAACTCCCAGGAAGCACGATTTTAGCCCCTTCTTTTCAGGCCGAAGTTTTTCCGATTGGTTTTGAACCGAGGGTGTTTTTCACGCTACAACTGACGTTTTTTCGACCTTTTTATTGTTCCGGATGTTGCTGGGTTATTCGGCTAATGTAGGGACTTCTGACGGGTTTGTTCCTCGTTTTGATCAGTCTTTTGAGCACCATTAACGTGTGTTTATAGCATCTTTTCGGTAACAACGGTTTCTACGGCGAACTAAGTATGCACACTACGAATGGCTGTAGTCCCGGGCTTCGCGCGGGTTTCCCGGGATGAGCAAGACGCCCAGAACCGTCCGTTCAGAGGAGTAAACCGGTTCACTCCGAGGACTGCCGTATTATACCGGGTGAAGAAAACAGGCCTAAACAAGGTGTTGGGAAATATACACCCCCTCCCATCCCGTGCGGTGCAATTGTTGAGACATGTAGAAGAGACATCCCACTACACACCCCCTATTTATCCCCTCCGTGTACACCGACCCCTCTCTTGGATCCCCTCACAATATTTCACCCCTCCTTCTTGATTTTGTTGGTAAATAAGGTGGCTGAATCTGCTTTTGGAACTATTGTCCCTCAGCGCCCTTATTCGGGAATATTTGGCTATCTCACTTCCAAACTGGGACATAGTCACCGCTACATGACCTGAGCGTTTTTTATTTTTTTTTCGGTGAGAATTTAGTACAGCGGTTCTCACCACTGCCCTATTGATACATTGGTTTTTGCACGATCAATTCGACGCTCTCTCTTTCTCCCATTCGGGATGTATAGTCGTGTGTTTGCATATTTAGCTCTGAGGTGATAAAAGAGGCCTCACAAGGGTCGTGTATACATTTGCAATAAACTCGGGGATAGCCTTAATGGCATTGTCGAGGAGAGAGAGTCCTCAACCTTGAGTGATTTCAAAATTGGTTGCAACACCATCTAGACCCCCCATTAGCACTAAATTCTCAAACTTTAAAATTCCCAGGTTTTTCCGAGACTAATAGAACATTCGGAGTTTACTTGGGTAGTTCCGGGCTCTTGCAGTAAAGAGTATAGCGCCGTGGGTGTGTGACAGCTTGCATATGTTCACTAGTTTGATCGTAGAAGGGGTACCGGCACCCTGTCATCGGCAAATTGATATACGATCCAGGGTTGATCTGGAAATCTGGGGGGGTCGATAAAGGTTACAATTACCACTTTCATTCTTTAACTTTCAAACGCGCCGAAAACTTGGCTAACCGTTACAGTAGCTGGCACCCCAAGCAAAACACTAACGACACACTGGCCTTCTATCTGTTTTTGGTCCTTATTGCGCCAATGATTTTGGTTCTATTATTCGGAAACTCAGAAATGGATTGTAATCTGTAACCTTTGGCGGTTAGACTGTCGCCCTTGCAGCAAACCATTTCTCTTGCAAAGGTAGAGTCTGCACTAGTCCCAATTAGGGAATACTGAGATTAGATAGGGGTGGCTTCTTATCGAGTGCAGCAGGTGGGCGATCGCGGCAGGTTTTGTCCCAGCGCAAAAAACCGATTGTTTTATATCAAATGTAACACAAGAGTCAGCAGAAAAACAATAAACTACTCATTATAATAATTTTCAAAAGTTGGCTTGAAAGTTGTCCTCAAGGTTTAAGAAGAATTAACTGTAGCGGCGCTAGGGGGTACCAATTGTTCGTATCTCCGTCCCGTCAGCACTGGTGGGGGGACTAGACACAACAATTTATGGAGCTGATTCTTGCCCCCAAAGAACTAGGTGTGTGTTTTTTTTTTGATGTGAAAGCGAAACGGATAACCACGCACCTATTTGTAACGATTTGACGCGTTTTTGAAAATGTTTCATAGCCGCAGATAAATTGTAGCAATTCACCTCCATATCCCGCCTCTTCGATGTTTATCGCCTGTAAGGTGCAAACGAACATGCGGTTGTTCAATCCCACTTGTTCGTTGTTGCTAGATATAAAAATATCACGATACCAACTGACGGAAACCCTGAATGTTGCAATTATTCTTTCGATGCAACCTGTGAATTACATTGCCCCGTAACCTTGTTTTGCAGCCATTTATGCCCCCTACCCTTTCCTATTCCGGATACTGAAAATGATAAGCGGGTTTCCAGCTCAAAGCTGCAGATTTCACCGTACTTTTCAACGGCCGGAAAGCGCCTGTGTCTGAAACTCACCTTATCAGACTCGTGCGTCGAGCCATCGTCAAAGATACCGGGAATTTGGCAATGCCATAACCGTATCTTTCATTTATGGGGACTGGCGTGATATATATGCCTCTCATTTCCCCTTCTGCAATCAGTGACCATAAGTTAGACTCAAACCACTTCTTATATTAAACTTCCCTTCCGATCGAAGATGTCCTCCATCTCGTCGAAAGAGCAAACAGCCCTCTCGAAGGAGGTCTTTGAAGTGAAAGTAGATGAAGATATCGCTGATGTCGAGTCTCATTCCAGCTACGATACCACAAAGTGGTACAACAAGGGTCTGAAGGTATTCGGATACGAATGCAAGGCTTACTCGCAAGGAGATATCCAGATCTTGATGGTGTCTTTCGTGTGTTTCATGACTGTGGGTATGTACAGTGCTGTCAGTGGACTTGGTGCTGGTGGTACTTTGAATGCAACGGTTGTGAACAACTCCAACGTGGCTCTTTATGCAACATTTGCCAGTTTGGCATTCTTTTCCGGTTCCATCTGTAACAAGCTGGGTGTGAGACCATTGCTGTGTTTCGGTGGTTGGGGTTACGGTCTTTACGTGGGCTCATTGCTGTGTTTCACCAAGACCAACAACGGTGCTTTTGTCATTGCCTCGGGAGCCATCTTGGGTGTCTGTGCCGCCTTCTTGTGGACTGCTCAGGGAACTATCATGCTTTCGTACGCTGAGGAGGGAGACAAAGGTAAGAATATCGGTCGTTTCTGGGCTATCTTCCAGGCCGGAAACGTTCTCGGATGCTTTATCCCATTGATCCAAACCGTCAACGACACTGGAGGAAATGAGCTTGGAACCGCTTCCTATGCCGCATTCATCGCGTTGATTTGTGTCGGTGCCTTGCTCGCAACTACCTTGCTTCCTACTAAACTAGTCAGAAAGGCCGATGGTTCCAAGGTCATGATGAAGGACAACCCCACATGGCTCTCCGAGTTCAGAGGTCTCTGGATGTGCTTGAAATTGGAGCCTTGGATCATGTTGATGTTCCCAATGTTCTGGGCTTCCAACTGGTTTGGAACCTACGAGGGTAACGACTTCAACCTGGTCAATTTCAACATCAGAACCAGAGCTTTGAATGCCCTGTTGTTTGCCGTCATGGAGGTATTTGGTGCCGTTGCAGCTGGTTCCTTCTTGGACTTGAGATTCTGCTCGCGTAAGACGATGGCCAGAGTTGGCGGAGGAATTCTGTTCCTTTTAACAATGGCTATCTGGGGTGGTGGATTGAAGCCTCAATTGGGCTACACTAGAGCTAGCGTTGCCGCTGGTGAGTTGGAAAAAATGGACTGGACCGACAAGAAGTATGGCGGTTATATTGTATTGTACATGCTCTATGGTGCCTACGATGCCATTTGGCAAACTTACTGTTACTGGTTAATGGGAGCTCTCACCAACTCCTCTAGAAAGCTTGCCATTTACACTGGTTTCTACAAGGGTTTGCAGAGTGCTGGTGCTGCCGTCGTTTGGCGTCTGGATGCTCTTGAGACCTCCTACATGGCCATGTTTGCCTCTACATGGGGTCTTTTGGCTGGTTCTCTGCTTATCGCCTCTCCTGTGGTTTTTTTCAAGGTCAAAGAAGAGACTGATGAGGAGGATGACAAGCACTTCTTGGACCTGTAGGGCCTATGGTGAATATTTTTCCCGCTATTTTTGTTTGCTCTTGAAGTATTATTCCTATTTATTGGTGATTATAATGGTATATCAAACATATTTTAGACCATGCTGAGTGGGTAGGAGATGTAGTCTGCAGAAGCTTGCACCGTTGGTAAAGATTAGGGTGAAAATTGTTGTTCAAGAGGGGTAATTCTGTATGATTGATGTATGTGAAAGTTTCAGATTACTCTGGTATAGCTTGGCGGGTTTTTAATGGTATTTTATTGGAATATTATGGGGAATTGGTGAAGTTTTGAGTACTCTGGAACGCAACAACCAAGAATTCGCGCACTGAATTCTCGGAAACCTCAAATACGTTTACATGTGTGTTTTAGTTCCATATTTGCATATTTGACATAAAGCCTTACTTCTTTTGCTTTCTTGAAAAATCAAAACTAGTTTTACAGAGCAAATGGTTTAGGTTTAGAGGAGAGGTAACGGTTTCATGCAGGTTGAGGTATGGCATGTAATGCCATGTTGGTATTGCATGTACAATCAAAATATCTCTGGTGACTCATTTGGATTCCAATTTTAAAGTCTGAACTGTCTAGGTTAGTGATATAAAAGCTAGAGGGGAGACTTCAGTTCTTTTTCACAAACCTGTTTCAACGCAGCAACAAGTTCTGTTACTTCTAGCTCTGAATGTATCACGATAGCCTCTATAATACTACTTAAACTTTGTTGAAAGAGTCACAAGATTGAGCTCAAACTAATATCAACCGTGGTTTTCTACTCAAGCCTTAACTCAAGTCTTGATCGAGTCCCTTCAAAAGAAAACACAGCCGAAGGCAGAAGTATGCAGCTGGTAGACGTGATTGGACGAGTGGAATTGAAATTTCCAGAGATTCATCAATTCTAACTTCATGAGAAGAAGAACAACATAAAAAGAGGTATCAACCTACATCTTGGACATATATTATTCGAATTTTCATTCGGAGATCACTTGGAGATGATAACTCAGCCAACTTTCCTACCTTTATGAAACACATTAACGAAGGTCCACAAAGACCAGGGAAGGTTTCAAAATCATGTTCAATATCAGAAAGCTTACCAACCCATTGTTTCAACGACTTCGGATTTTTCAAAATCGATTTTTGACGGTGTCACCAGATATCTGGTGAATCCGGGTATTGAGATCTAATATCTCCACATACAGCCAACGGACCTGCTGACGCAAAGAAATCACCACAATAACTACTTGACTACAATAATAACCGATTTCCAACTAAAACGAAACAAATTCGCACGGACAAATCGTTTTGATCCCTGCTGATATCTCATTCCCGTTTTTAGTGTAATGTATGTACAGATTGGTTGCAATTCCAAGAGAATTTGACCAGACTAGGCCAAGCCTGACCAAACCCAACCAGACCTTGACGTTTAACGATGCGCCAAATATCTGTTCAGCCTCTTTGCGGTCTGTGCGTTCGTCTTCGTCCTCTGTCCTCTCACCGGCAATCCCAGCGCATGTCTCAAACCTGAGTAACGACCCAGATCCTTCTTCGCCTGAATGTTCTCCCTCAATATCGTCTTCAGCTTTCCTTCCACCGTCATTTCTGAAAGCTCTTTGGTTATGGATAACACCTGGTTTTCCGTGAGCTGGTGAACCCTCATCTTAGGGTAAAAGCCTAGCTTGGCACACAGTTCCCGAGACGTCTTCAAACCCACACCAAATATCTTGGAAGCAAGCGCATAGTCCAGCAAAGCCGTCCCCGGCAGCGATTTTCCGAGAATGTGAACAACCATGGTAATGCTGTGTAAGGGTAGTTTCCAAGTCTGAGACCGGCTCTCGAAGATGGCTTCAACGTTGAGAAAAATGGGACCGTATCATCGGCTGCGCACGACCCCGTCCTGGTCCCCCAACGCTTATGTAACCAAGTCATGGTGTTTACGTAATCTTTGCTGTGTAACAGATCCGCCGCTGTCCGCCGAAAAGGGGCTCGAAAAAACACAAAAAATGGCTGGAAAGAACGGACTTCAAGCTAGTGTGTTAGCCTCATTAGTTAAATGAGCCTTTGTAACCATTCTGGCACAATATACAATTATATAATATAAAATAAAAAGTCCCAAGCATATCAGACTCAAATTTCCGCTCCCAAAATCGAACATTATTCTGGTTACCCGCTTTTTACCAGATCTCTCTGATTAGTTCACATCGATCTCGAACCCGATAACTGTGTGATACATCGTGAAGTTTAGGGCCCCCTCTCCCTTGTTTCCTTTTCTCTGAAACTCCTACCTATCGGATTCTTGCACTTTTATTTTTGACTCAGGCTTCTTTTGTGTCCTGTCTGAGATTATAAGCACTTTTGTACACTCAGGATTAATTTCTGTCATTTTGCTCGGCGCTTATTTGCAGCGCTTGGTTGAAGGTCTTGTTACGTCCCTGGAACATTGTTACGCCGCCCCTATTTCTTTGTTTCCGCCATGCCAGTCATCCATATGATCGTTCCTGAGTCGCGAGTGTCGACGTCGTCCACTGGCTCAAGCGTACAGCAACCGCAGACACAGCTACACCAGAACCCTACGGCGTCCTCTTCGTCTTCGAGTCTCACATCCACAAGGAGAAAGTCTGTTTTTTCGGCGTTGTTTGGTTCCCGCCAACAGGCCAACCCCGAAGACTCGCAACACATATCCGGATCTTCAACTTTGGAGCCGGTGACGGGGGCTGTGACCGGTGCAACCATGGCTGACGGCGAGGACGCCAATACCGCTCTGGCCTCTGAGCCTAATCAGAGCGATTTCTCAGCGAGATACATATCAACAAGCCAAACGATGGCCAATTTGAATGGAGAGTTGGACGAAATGATAGAGCCAGATACCACATCCGTGATGGAGGTTGATGAGGACCACACCATCCGGTTGACCCCTTTCATTGATCACTCTTCTTCCGCGCCCTTTCTGTATTTTGGGCCCATCATAAGGAAGGTGATACCTGGAATGAACATCCCAATTGGTCGGTACACCGACAAACTGAAAAACAACGCCGCTCCCGATCGAACAGAGTCTATTGTGTTCAAGTCGAAGGTGGTCTCCAGGTCGCACGCGGAACTATGTGTGAACGCGAAAGGGGAATGGTTTATCAAAGACATCAAGTCGTCTTCGGGAACCTTCCTGAACAGACTGAGATTATCGCCAGCAGGCGTGGAGTCCACAAACCATATGTTGCGAGACGGTGACATCCTGCAACTGGGCATGGACTTCAGAGGTGGAACCGAAGAGATATTCAGATGTGTGAAGATGAAAATTGAACTGAACAACTCGTGGCTTCGCAGGACTCAGAAATTCAACAAAGAAGCGCATGAAAAGCTGAAATTACTCACGTTGTCGCTGGACAAGGAGAAGCTGGATTCCTGTGCTATCTGTCTGAACGACATCAAGCCATGCCAAGCGGTGTTTGTGAGTTCGTGCTCTCATTCGTGGCATTACAAATGCATAAGGCCCATAGTGGTGAAGTCGTATCCTCAATTCCTCTGTCCGAACTGCAAGGCCGTTTGCGATTTGGAGTCTGATCTCGATGAGGACGAAGAGGATTGATGATTGACGAAACCAGACTACAATGAAGAGGGTGAAGAGGATGAGATCATCTGGAAAAAGACAAAATTGGCTTTCCAGAGAATAATGACACGAAGAACGATGAGTGATCCACCAGATACAGCGCTGGAAGCTCCTACACCGCCAAGCGAACGCCTGAGACCCAAACGAAAATGATCTTCCAAGTGGATTTTCAATCTCCCATTGTCAGGTTTGAGTCCAGATCCACCAAGGCGTTCTCCTTTTTTTCTGATATTTCATCTCCAGTTTTTCACCTAACGCTTCCTTCATGTCTTTCTCAGGCAACGTATAGCTAGTATAAATGGGGTTTTTTGGGTGTTACATGCGCATGTGTAGCTTCTACAGTAGATCTTTTACTACTTGAATATAACCTTCCAACGTTAAGCAATATTTGAGTATGTTTCCATTTCTTTCCATCTTCACCTCCCACCAATGGCTTAAACCCAGCTGTTGGCATTTTTGACCCTGGTACACGCCCGCACGCCTGTTTGCCCGTAACATTGTCGAAACCCTTTGGATAGCCCGGTGGCTTCAACAGAGCACTATAATCCAAACTTCCCGCACAGAAAAGGTTGCGTTTGGGCCTATTTCTTTGTTGAACAAGGCCACTTGTTAGTTATCCATACTGTGCCAACCATTTTTTGCCAGGAGCAAATAAGCCTGTGCATACTACAACTGAACAGAAAAGAGGCCGACTTAGGTGGGACTTTTCTGAGCAGTATCAAGAGCAAATCAAAGAACAAGGGAAAGGACTGATTGGAATCAGGGCTTGTTACCGAGTGATACTGGTGTTGACATTGTAATCTGGTTGAGTTCTTAGTGGCTTAAGAGTGACTTAGGACACCCAGAGAGACAAGACAACGGAGAACAAACGGGTTTTTGACTGTTTAGTTTGAGACTACAGGTTTCTGTTCAAGATGACGCAGCCACAGGAGGTCATTGACTTAAGCTCGAAGTTTATAGCCGGAGTCGACGTCGAATTCGACTACTCGAAACAGGATTCGGCAGACCACACCGCGCAGAGCCCGAACAAAAAGTCCAAAAAGACCAAGAGACGAATCAAATTGAAGTCTTCAGGCGATATGGATCAACTGGATCAGTATCCGCAATCCCGGGTGATAAAACAGGGCAAGGATGGGGATCTGGAGGTATCACCGCTGAACGAATCTGAAGAATACGTGTATCACGATGAGGATGGAGATCTAGATGATCGTGAAGACGATGCTGATGATCACCATCATCACATGTGCTCTCATGATGAGGAGGAACACGATCATGACCACCATCACCACCATCACTACCAGCATCAACATCAGCATCAACATCAGCAGCACCAGCACCAGCACCAGCATCACCACCATGACCATGACCATGACCATGCCCACGATTGTCAGCATGGCTCCAGCTCTAAACAGCATCACCAGCATACGAATACCACGAAAAGACTGCCGAATAACAAGCGCGGTGGGAAGCACTCAGTTTCCATAGATAGCGAGATATCCGAAAAATGGGTTCCCAGTTCGCCGGAGGAACAACAAGAGCTACAAAAGTTCTGGCATAGCATTTCCATGGCAGATAAGCAGAAGCTTCTTGCTGTGGATAAATGTGAGGTCTTTGCGATAATGGAAAGGGAACGAAAAACCCCGTGCAGCTGCAAGAGCTGTGCCAGGGAGAACTACATTGTGAATAGGATTGTTCATGAAATCTTTTTGGATTACGATTCCACTTTCGGAAACGTCATAATCGCTAAGTTTCTGGAAGACAAAGAGCTCATGGCCACCTTGCTCAAAGAGCAAAAGGCTAAGCGCGAGTTGCAACAGCAGGAATACCTCAAGCTGGAGAAGCAGTTAAAACTGGAGCAGCTCAAGAAGCTGGAACAGGATAAGGCCTCTTCTCCGCCATCGCAGCTGCAATTGCCTGCTCCGTTGGATGGTGCTACTACAAATCCGAATTTCTTGTCTGTGTTGGAGGAAGCTATGACCACCAGTGACGAATCCAAGGCTGAAGAAGCCGTCTCCACGCCTATCTCTGATACAGATATGGAAAACCTATGTGGCGTTCCGGAGACAGAGATTTTATCTGTGGCCCAGGATCTGCTGAAGACCGACGGAAAGTACTTTCTGGAGATAATGGAACGGTTGGAGACTAACCCAGCCTTGAAAGCCATAGACATCTCCCGGCAGATCAGCCATGTTCTGGGAATCCTGAACAAAGGTGTATTTGGCCAACCCAATCCTGATCTTACAGCTATTGAGTCGGTATTATCAGAATTCCGTCACTGGGAGTCTCAAAAATCACAATCCCAGGCTCAAATAGAGGGTACTTCTGCATATAACCGCGATCCAGCTTCCCTTGATTTTGCTGATGAGGTATACGTCGACGAAGATGATGCTGATCACCCTGATGTGGATATTGATGAGGGTGAAGAGGAATACGAATTTGATGACGGAGATGATGTTGAAGAAATTGGAGAGGTGGAAGATGAAGAGCAGGAAGAAGAGGATGACGACGAAAATGACGACGAAGAAGATTATGAAGGAGAGTACGAAGACGATGAAGAGGATAGGTACGATGAGATTGATGAAGAGAAGTTGAGCGCAGAGGCCACCCGCGACACCTATTCCAGAATCCAGTCGATCTCATTCAAGATTGTGCACAGTCGTTTGGTATCGGCGTATAAAGAGAAGGCTGCTGAAGACAGCACCAGGCAGTTGATCGAAGAGCTGGAAGCCGAAGAAAGAAGGAAGAAGGAGAAGGAGGAGAAGAAACAAAGGCAAAAGGAAAAACTCAAGGAAAAGAAGAGACAGCAACAACTGTTGAAGGAAGAGGAAAAGAGGAAGAAAGAGGAAGCCAAGGCTGAGCAGGAGAGGCTACTGAAGGAAGAGCAGCAGCGCAAGATGGAGGAGGGTCGCAAGAAAAAGGAAGAGCAGAGGAAGAAAAAGGATGAGGAAAAGAAGAAGAAGTTGGAAGCCTTGAAGCGTAAGGAACAAGAAGCTGAACGCCAAAGGAAAGAGAAAGAAGAGAAAGAGAGACAGCGGATTGAAGAAAAACGCTTGCGTGAAGAAGGACTCAAGCTTCAAAAAGAAGAGCAAGAACGAATTGCTGAAGAAAAGCTTGAGCAAGAACGTTTGGCTCAGGAAGCTGCAGTTGCCGCCAAAGCCGAAGTCAAATCTAGTCCGCCTGTTCAAGCTACCAATTCTCAAAGCGCAGTTCATGCTCTGAACTCTCAAGCAACAGCTTCGCCCATGTTGGATGCCAGATCTCTTGCCCCAAACACTCTTCCGCCTCCTGGACTGATGAGACCACCGACCGCTAGTTCGGGCTCCTTGCCTCAGGATATCTCAGATATCCTGAAACAGGCTATGGAAATGCAGCAGGCTCAACAGCAGCCTCATTTGATGTCGCAGCTCCCTCAAGTGCCTCAATCTCAACCTCAAGTTCCAGTTCAAGGATCAACCAATTCTTCCGGTATTTCCCCCTGGGACTCACGAGCAAGCTTCTCGTTGGCTGATCCTAATGGAAGTGACTTGATGCATCACCAGCAGATGCCTGTTCCACCCAGCAATCCCAACGGACTTCTTGGATATAGACCATCGGCATATGGAAATGCACCTCAAAAGTCATTCTCACCTTTTTCTTCTGCGGTTCCTTTAGTTGACTCCAGACATGCTTCGGATCTCGATGTTGCGGGCTTGGATCAATACATGAGTTCTATGGGTTTAGGTGACCATCAGGATGTTACGGCTAGTACAGGAACCACCGGTGGTTCTGGGTCTACACCCACAATGGCTGGAGGTGCAAACCTATGGCAAAATGGTACGACAGCCGGGAATGCTTCTCTTCTGCTCAGCAACAACGTTAACAAAGGGGCGTCCATCTGGGGCCAGAGTCCAAGATTTTCGTCTTACAATCACAACAGCAGCGGTACCGTCGGCAACAACGTCAGCAGTGTCAACAGTGTCAGCAGTGTGAATGGCTTGGGCGTGACTGGGGCTGCTAATGGCGTGAACGGTGCTCTCGGTTCGTTGTGGTCTACAACCTCACAAACCGCCAATCTGACTTCCACTGCTAATGGATATCACCAGCAGATCTCGTACGGAGATGCTGAGCTCATTCAGATAGCCGCTTTCAAATCGTCATCTATAAATCTGGTCAACGAGCCCGGTGCAATCACTCCAACCTCAGCGCTGTTGGTGTACACAAAGTCCCTTCTCCCTTCGATGCCAGGGTTGTCGCTGGAACAGTTCACGAAGTGTTTGAGTGCGAATCTAAGTGCAAAACTCGGATTCTCGTTTGAATTCTTCTATGATGACATGGGCCAACCAAGCCATGTGAGGATCAACGTCTCGAAATCTTCGCAACAACAGCCGATTCTCCAAATACCTCAACAGGCTCAATCACAGGTGCCACATGACTCTTATAACCAAGGTCTTGTCAACTCTCAATTTGTTGAGAACTCAGAGCCACACACCTATTTCTCGCCATTCGGTAGTTCTACGGGATTGTCGACTCTGAACGGAATGGGGAGTGTTTGGGGCAACAGGTCATGATGACCATGTTGAACTTCTTGCTGTCTAACTGGTGGAAGTCGTTGCAGCGAAAATATTGTGATTTCATACCATCTCCTATAAATATCTATCGACCCTACTCACCATGAGAAAGTTGTAAAAGAAAGCTGTAGATCCAGAGGTCTACTCACCTTAAACGTTCGATTTCCTGTTGAGAACCGTAGTTCACCCAATCGACGCGTGTATAAGTCCCATATCGAATATGGACCCTTACAGAGGCATTTGATTGGTCTCCTATTGGGGGCTTCGACTGTCTACTTTGGACTCGACCCCTGCGTTACGAAATCCTACACTAGACCATATAAATATTGGAAAGTCAACCCTATCGTCTGTAGTTATACCTTTTCTTGCCAAGAGAGTTGCACCGATATGTTCGAGATATCTGCAGGTACCGTGGTGGTTAATGTTACGGTTTCTGTGCATTTCTTCGACTAGAAACGAAGTTTATCTCAGGCTATTCTCACAGCCATTGAAATGATGTAATTGGACCTCGCATATGAGAGCATAAAGATACCCCTTCGTAAGTGGGCTTCACCGCTTCTAAAAAAAGAACCCAGTGGGCATCTCTCAAAGCGCAGTCTGATATAAGGCTACTGGTCAACAGACTTCGACTAGAATATCATTGTTAAGAAACAGGGACATAATCATCCAAAGCTACGGAATCTCCGCGGTCTCCAGAAACAATAGAAGTAAAAAATGGGCTTAGCAGGCTGATAAGTCAAACCAAGCAATGGAGTGAAAAATTCTGAAGCCAAGCTGCATGCACGAGAGATATTCTGCTGTGATGCCCCTTCCGCTGAAAAGTTCAAATTTAGATTCGCTTTAGTTCTCGCCATGCAACGCGAAACGGGCAAATATGCCGACGTCGCCAACCTCGTTGTACATCTATAAAAACACTGCCACCCTCCTAAAAGTTCTTTAGACCTATCTAAAAACTCAGGGTCCAATTTCCAGCGTCTAAATCGAGCGCTTAATCGAAGATTTCATCACCCCGCGTTCTGTCGTGAGATCCTCAAAATCTCTGTTTTCAGAACATCGATTTTTCAGTGGTTGACAATTGAAGCTCAAGTGTTCGTGTGTGTTGTGCTCCTTTTCGCAACATACGGCCAGACAAGTTTGAATTCGGATTTGTCTGCATCAAATTTAGCATCTTGTTTTTGCCCTAGCGCTTGGAAATACGGCATTCCATCTCCTGGCACTCCAGAACTGAACCCCCTTGGAGGCTAGCCGTTCCATTTGAAACCAGTATCCTCAATCTCTTAGACTTTTGTTCACCGCTATATTCGCACGATGGACTCCAGAGAAGTCGTTAAGAGAAAAATCGTCATAGTTGGCGATGGAGCTTGCGGAAAGACTTCTCTGCTGATCGTGTTCACTCTAGGAGAGTTCCCAACTGAGTATCATCCAACGGTGTTCGAGAACTATGCCACCGATTGTCGGGTTGACGGAAAAGCTGTTAGATTGGCTCTTTGGGATACTGCTGGTCAAGAAGAATACGAGAGATTGCGCCCTTTATCATATTCCAAAGCGCATATTATCCTAATCGGGTTTGCACTTGATGTTCCCGACTCTCTTGATAATGCCGGCCACAAATGGGCCGACGAGGTTAGCTCATATTGCCCGAACACCCCCGTGATTCTTGTTGGACTGAAGAAGGATCTCAGACCTGAACATGAAGAAGGAGAAGAGGCCAGAGATTACGATAAGAAGTATGTGCGAAGCGCCAAAGGTGAACAGGTAGCCCGTTACATCGGGGCCAAGAAGTACCTGGAGTGCTCCGCTCTCACTGGCGAGGGTGTGGATGACGTTTTTGAGCTGGCTACCAGATTGAGTCTTTTGGTCACCACCGAAAAGGAAGACTCGAGTGGCTGCTGCACAATTTTGTGATCAAACACTAAAGAAAAGCCGAACCGGCTGGAGAATAATATCGTGCCATTGAGCACACCCAATGCACCAAAACAAACCACAGCACAGCACCACACAACACAATACACCCCTTGTATACTAGTCCCTCATTTACGCTTGTTGTCAGAGGAGAAAATCAAACTGAGACTCAAAGCAGGAAAAACATCGCTCATTCGCTCTTTTCACTTCACCATTTTCCGCGACGCTACACATTCATTATTCCCTTCCCATGCATCTCTTTTTTTCTACTCAAAATCTTCACATGCTGCTCATCTCTGTTGATAAGAGGTTTTTATCAGTTCATTTGTTCTTGCGCAGAACAGGTGAAGCCGTTGTCCATGTGCCAGCGGAATGAACCTCCATCTCAAAGTTGCTCGCTCCATTTACGCTCTCTACCGCCAAGACACAATGTCGACTGTTTTGGCTGCAAATTCTCCACTGGTTTGTTTGCTCCCCCTTTTTGTTTGTCTACAATTGACCTAATCACCCTTGAATAACACCGCACCAGTAGTTTCCACATGACCCTTAGTCCAGAGTGTCTGTGGGGAATCGGGATCTGTAACACCTGCCGATGTCACCGAGCAAACGATATATGCTAAGGATATAATTCCTAATTTGGATCCGGAAACTAGTTCACTGGGACAATCCAAGAGCTGAAACCGTACAATGATGGATTGGCGCGAGTCGGACTTGAAATGCCTTGCGTTTTTTTGATGCAAATACTTGCATTTCTGCACGTTTACCCCACATCTAGAATCCGGCTATTTGCAGTCATACCTGCAAATGTTACATTGACTGGCGGAAATATACGCAGAATGTGAGTGATTTGGGAATCTTACAATGTCTCAAAATATGGGGTTGACGAATTAGGAAGTAGATCCAGGGATGCAATGCCATTCATACATCCTGTCAACAGTCTGGGACCCGTCATCTGAAAAGTCGATTTCAATGGTATAAATTCATGAAGATCCCAAGTTGTTAATGCAAAAATGTGCCCGTTGACTAAACTCAAAAACTTCAAACTCATCTCAATTGATCAAAGCTGGAAAATCTAGCTTTGCGTTGAACCTATTGAGCCCAAAATGAAGTCAATTGTGGCTACACTGACATGCTTGCTTTTGCTCATGAGATCAGTCCATGCTCTTCCGCATAAGGGCAATGGGAAAGGTGGACATTTCGGAAGTGGAAATCATCCTGGAGACAGCCACAAGGGGGGCCATCCTTCAAAGAGAGACTATGCCACAGTTTCTAATGTCACCATCTTCACCCCGGACTCAGACTTCACGCTCCCTGGAGTCTATTATGCCAGGTCCCTGGAACTTGCGGACGGCACGGTATTGGCAACTTGGGAGAACTATAGTCCTGAGCCACCACTTGTGTCGTTCCCCATCTTTAAGTCCACTGATGGGGGTGCGACCTGGACCCACATCTCCAATGTGACTGACCAGGTCAACAGCTGGGGTCTGAGATACCAACCTTTCCTATATCTCCTGGAAGAACAAGTTGGAGAGTATGCACCAGGAACGATCCTGCTAGCTGGTAATTCCATCCCCACTGATCTGAACTACACTAAGATTGATGTCTATGCCAGCAAGGATAATGGATACACTTGGGAATTTGTATCCAATGTTGCTTCGGGAGGCAGGGCTGTTCCTGATAATGGACTGACCCCAATATGGGAGCCTTTCATTATCACATACAATGGTGAGATCGTTCTGTACTACTCTGACCAGGGAGACTCGGCTCATGGTCAAATCCTGGTCCATAAGACTTCCACCGATTTGCTAAGTTGGAGCAGTTCAGTGGTTGATGCTGAATACTACGATTATTATGCTCGTCCAGGAATGACCACAGTTGCGAAATTGCCCAACGGAAAGTACATCATGACATATGAGTATGGTGGAGCTCCTGGCTACTCGTCGTACACATTTGCGGTATATTACCACATTGCGGACGACCCCAGACAATTCAACAGCTCCGCTTCAGTTCCGTTAGTTGCAACAAACGGAGACAAACCATCGTCGTCACCTTATGTTATTTGGACTGAACATGGCGGAGAAAATGGTACCATTGTGGTGAATTCTCAGTCCCACAGTGGCATCTACATCAATAAGGCTCTTGGCGACCCCGACTCTTGGGAGTATGTTGATTTGGATGCGCCAAGAGCTTACACTCGTGACTTGAATGTTATCGGCGGGGACAAGCTGGTTGTTCTTGGGGCTGGTGCCGGTAGCAGCGTTTTGAACCATGTGACATATTATACTTACTGGTTGAAGGATCTGTTCTAGGGCCAGGTGAATATTATTTCCTTATTGGCAATCCTGTTTGATTTCGAGTAAAAGTCCACTAACTGAGAGTTATGTTTTCGAATACTGTAAGTTCAGATTTAATAAATAAGCCTTCAGGTGGTGTGGCTGAAACATTTGTGGATCATGCACCAGTTATATGCAGAGTCCACAGATGTGGACCCAGTGTTTATCGCGAAATTTCGGAGAGAAAAATTTTAAGTCCGTGAAACCTTTGGGTCTTGGAGTAAAATCAACTGATTAATTAGTAAAGCCTAGCCCATTGGCCAAGCCTTTCCTAAAAATAAACTAGTGTGGACCAGACTCCACAATGGCATCGAAGATTAACTTACTGCTGAAAGGCATTTAGACTCGCTCTGCAGAGCCCTGCATACCTCTTTACAAGAAGCATCAGCAACCTCTCACTACTGTTTGGTCCAACTTCACCGTTTCAATAGAAAATCATCTCCAGACCAATAATACACCATCACTCCATCATTGATCCATAAGCCAACGCTCTGCCTATCAACTACTCGGATATAAGCCTAAACGAACAAAGAAATCCGGTCCTGCACGGACCAAAACCAAACGGTATTTCGCCATCGGTGCCGCACTGGCATAACTGTGGTGTCAATCTGTGGATCTTCCATCTGCAGAAAAAAAATTGTAAAATCCATGGACTTTAGCTGGATCTGGTAAAGATAGTATGGTATCTTTCCAATTTTTGGGCATGCAGCGAGTCTCGGGCCTTTAAAAACGGCTTTTGACGCCACCATTAGGCGAAGATTGTGGAATGAGCCAGATTGAAAAGTTTTTTCAGGTATAAAGGCTGGCCAGTTCGTAGCATTGTATTGTAGTATATTTACTCTTGTAATATCGATAGGATAATTCTCTTGAATAAATCTTTGGTTTTTCATGGGTGTCGCTAAATTCTTAGGCGCCAAGACGGCCAAGCCTGTGGAGTCTGAGTCACCGGAGACCAGCACGTCTAAGTCGGATGTCGCTGTTATCTCAGAAGACCTTCCCTCTTCCATTGACGAAGAGAAGCCAGCGGTATTGGAGAACACCAGTTGGAAAAGACATATTTGGGATACTTGGGGACATCCAGACAAGAAGCATGTGAAGATCATCTTCAAGCTGGATGTTACTCTGCTGGCTCTAGCTTCGATGTCCACCTTCATCAAGTATCTTGATAAGATTAATCTCAGTTATGCCTATGTTAATGGTATGAAGGAAGAGTTGGGAATCGAGGGAAACGAGCTCAACTATGCCAACACTGGTTACAATATTGCCTCGATCATCTGTGGTTTTCCATGGGCCTTTTTGATGGTCAAAATGAACACCAAATGGTTCGTTGTTCTTGTGGAACTTTTCTGGATTTTGGTGACTTTCTGCTTCTCTGCCGTCAAAACGCCTACTCAAATGGTTGTGCTGAGAACGATAGTTGGTGCTTTTGAAAGTGCGCATTATCCAGCTCTGAGTTACATTCTTGGAACCTACTACACTTCGGGAGAACTTGCCAGAAGAAACGTCATTTTGCAATCTTCTACTTCTATCGGATCGTTCTTTGCTGGTTATGTTGCCAGTGGAACCTACACCGGTTTAAACGGTGTGGCTGGAAGGTCCGGTTGGAGATGGGTTTTCATTATCGATGGTATCATCTCGTTGGGTATAATTGGCCCTCAGATCTTCTTTTTCTCGGACAGACTCTCCAACAGAAAGCCTGATCTTGTTTTGAATGAAACGGATATTGCCTATCTCAAGGAGAGGAGGCCGGACCAGAAGGTCGACAAGTACGACTTCAAGCTCAAGGATCTTTGGGATGCAGCTCTCAGTCTGGAGGTGTGGGCCTTTTGGGGTTTCGGTGTTTTCCAGGATCTTGCCAGTTTGTGTAGTAGTGCCTATCTTCTGTGGCTGAAGGCTTGGAACAAAAGAGAACCGGGCAGTTACACGGTCCCTCAAATCGACCATTACGGCTCCATCCTCTACGCTGTGCAAACCGTCATTGCTCTGTCAAGTGGCTGGATATCAGACACGGTTTGCAGAGGTAAACGTTGGCCACCAATTGTGGTTTCTGGTGTTATCAGTTTCGTCGTCTGTATTCTGTTGGGAGCCTTGCCTGTGTATCCTAACAACAGGGCTTTCAGGTTCTTCCTGTACTTGAACACCACCTGGTCTCTGGCCACTGCCGGTCTTTACTGGGCTTGGTGTCAAGAGTATTTCAAGGATAACCTCAAGCAGAAGGCCATTGCGACTGGTGGTATCAACATTGGTAGTTTTGTTGCCAACAGTATCGTGAACAACATCTGGTATAAGACCTCAGAGATGCCTAGCATCACCGCAGGTTACTACATCTCTGGTGTCAACGGTGCACTCTACAGTATTGACGCCCTTCTTTTGGGTCTTTGGGAAAGGAGAAAGAGAAGAAGAACGATTGGGTTCTAATGGATTTTTTATATGCCGAGCTTAATAATTTGTTAGTGAAATTTCACAGTTTCAGAGGAGTTTTTCCAGTAAGCTACTATCAGCTAGGTCACGATTTTAGAGGACATTATATAGATCAAAAAACTTAACTATACCTCTACCTTCCATTCTTTTGGCTTTGGTCCTGGGCGATCCCACATACTCACCAGAACGATTCTTTCATCTCCTTCCGTCCAAGGCTCTCTTCCATGGGAAACCTGATAGTTGTCTAGCAAAACTAAATCACCATCTTCCCATTTTTGTACAAACTCTAATTCCCTGGAGATCTGAAGACATGTCTCCAAATAATCCAATGGAATCCTCTCGCCTGTGTCGTAGGTGGTAGGATAATAGATACCACCGTTATCACCAATGTGCGGAGGGTGAAGGGCTCCGTGGTCTTTGGAGGTACCGTATCCTCCAATAAAACTGTTGAAGAAAAGCGGTTTGTGAGTCACTGGGTTCTCTCTGAATGCAGGTATGTGCTGTCTGACGACAATCGAACCGTCTTCCTGCCAAGCGAAATCATCAGTCAGCCTTCTGACCTGCTTCTCCGCCTTCGCTTTTTTCGTCTCTATAGAGTCGGTCTCCAATATCTCTTGTCCAAAAGTGTCTGGACCTTCCCAATAAAACTCATTTCCCTTGATGGCAGCAGTTGCATAAGTCTTACTGGGGTAAACTTGGTTATTCACAAGTCTCTTCTCAGAAAGTTCCTTTATGAATTCGGGAATGGTCTCGTTGACCCTTTCAAAAAGCCTTCTCGAATGAACTATAGGACTTCCTCCGCCTCCTCTCTTGGCAGCCTTGTGGCAGAAGAAGTGGATATTGGAGGGGAAATGGGTGAATCTGGAGTACTCATTGTGCTGGTAGAATCTGGTCTTTGGTGGACCTTCGTTGGCAGTGAACACGTTTTCAGCCCACGCGTGTCTTTTTCCAGCCAGACCGATCTGCTCGAAAGGAAAGCTTCCTCTTGATTTTTCAACGGCAGTCACGAACCGTGAAAAGGTTTCGCCTGAGGAATCGCCGAGACCTCTCAACAAAACCGCTCCATGGTTCTGCAACAGGGTTGTGAATATTCCCTTTGACGAGACCTCTGAGAGGAACTTTTCGGTGATGTCCCTTCTCGAGACATCTGAGGATTTGTAGACGAGGACCAGAGGGAAGACGTTTCCGTCTATGACCATCTGGCCCGGAGCTGAGGCTTCTTCCAGCTGAACCTGGATGCCATCGTAGGTGCCACTCAAGTCTTGCACGGCAGGCATTGTATTCAACTACTTCAATGAAAAGGCGATATAACAAAAATACAGAAATAAATAAATCTAATTTACAACAGAATTCCCCAACCATAATAAGACCCGATATTATCAAACTCAGATTGAGTTCATCATACTATGAAAAATTCATAGGTTGATCAAACTGTGGCTGAAATTCTACGATGGCTCCCAGACTGCATATGTGGCACCTGCATGCATATCGGACGGAGCCACCTTGGATTAGGAGTCGAGATGGCCATATAATCCAATCGGAGCGCCCAAGCAAGAAAGTAGAGAGCAAAAATTCGGCAGACCGATAGAATTCGTCCGTTCTATGTGTCTAAATACTCGATGTTATTGTGAGGAGAGTAGCCGCACGGTTTTGGACGGGTTCCAGTAGGGCCTCTCAGAGAGATAATACCAGTAAACCGTCCGTTGTTGATGGAAAAACTCCATAAAAAGCCTGGAATTTGCAGGCATCTCCCGGCTAATGACTACGCCTTTTATCTACTTCTCCAATATCTATTTTCTATATTGTAGGGACGCCCAGGAGTTCTCCAGACCACTCTGCCCTCTGCGCTTAAATTTCAAGATCATTTCTGTTTATGGAAATTTTAGCCGGGTTCCCTTCTTCTCCAGAATTTCCAGGCACCCTCGCGGCACCCCCACAGTAGATCTATGTCCAGATTTAACCTGTTTTTCTTCCCAATCCCAACTTTGTTCTCTTAAATTCCAATATCTGAAGATGAGACTAAGAAATTTATTAGGTCTTGCCGCTCTGGCTGTACCAATTGGTGCTCAGTTGGCTCCCAAAGACGTTCTGCCCCACGCCTTCATCCTTACGGATATCTCTAACGAACCAGACGACGCCGAGAGTCTCGTGAGAGCTCTTCTCTACTCTAATGAGATTGATATCCGAGGAATTGTTGCAACAACATCCTATTGGCTGAACAGTACCATTCACGATGAAGATATTTATCCCATACTCGATGCGTATGAGAAAGTTCACCCCAAGCTATTGCTTCACTCTCCGAACTTCCCTAGTGCGGAGTACTTTCGCAGCATTGTCAGCACTGGATACCCGGTTTATGGCCTTGCTTCTCTGGAATACCCTGAAATCAGCAAGGGTGCTGCCAATTTGATCAAGCAGGTAGATAGTCTGCCTGCCAACGAAACCATGTGGGTTCTGGTCTGGGGAGGTGCTGCCGTTCTGGCAGAGAGTTTGACCGAAGTTTCAAAGACCAGATCCAAGAAGGACGAGGCAACTTTCCTTGATAAGATCAAGGTTTACTCCATCTCTGATCAGGATGATGCTGGTGCTTGGATCAGGTACACTTACCCTCATTTGTTCTACATTGCCTCCGTACACGGTTTCAACCAGTACGCCCTCTCTTCTTGGGTAGGTATTTCCGGTGAATTCTACAACAAGTTTGACAAAGGAGGACCTGATCGTTCTCTTGTGTCGAAGGAGTGGCTTCAAAGAAACATTCAGGTCGGACCTTTGGGAAAAGCCTATCCAGAGTACATGTTCAATATGGAAGGAGACACTCCCTCGTTACTTCACATCATTCCCAACGGATTGAACGATCCCGACGCACCTAGACATGGCGGCTGGGGTGGCCGTTATGACTTGGTTGATATTTCTGGAAGGTTCAATCTTTATGGCGGTGTAACTGATCATGTGGTGGGTCAGGATGGTGAGTTGTTCTGTAGTGATAAGGCCACCATCTGGAGATGGAGAGACGCTTACCAAAATGATTTTGCTGCCAGAATGCAATGGACAATAAAGCCTTTTGAAAAGGCAAACCATGCCCCTGTGGCAGTGGTCAACGGAACTGATTCCGTGAAGCCTCTGGAGTTGTTTGTGGCTGCCGGTTCGCGTGTGTATCTTGATGCCTCCGAGTCGTATGATATTGATGGAGACTCTAAATTGGACTTCAATTGGTTTCACTATAGGGATGTTACCTTGACCCAATCGAACATTATGGAGGTTGCTGAGATCGAGATTGATAAGTCTGGAAGCAAGGCCAGTTTTGACGTTCCAGATTTCCAAACTGCATGCTTCAACCCCTTTGGAATTTTCCTTGGAGAGGATCACTGCAAATCTTATCACATTATTTTGGAAGTCACGGATTCTGGCTCGCCTCCTTTGAAGGGGTATAAGAGGATTATTCTTCGCACTCATCCAGATCAAAAAGAGAAGTCTGAAGATTCCGAAAACAGCCATGATGAGTTGTAAGTTGAATCTATTGGCGTATATTGAATCACTGCATGCAAATTTTCATTTTTTTCGTAGAAATTAAAGTTACATCATGTTCCTAACAAAGTTGTCTGTAGTGAAGATAAGGAATGGAGATAGGGAATTGGCGCCGCATGCCTTCTGTGTATGCCTTTGAAGCTGAAAACGTGAAAAACATGGTTATTAATAGTGAGTTATGGTATGAGCATTTTGTCCTGAATTTATATTTATTTTATTAATTGAAATATGAAATGTTAGAATCGTTGATGTTGCGTTACTCACGTCTGGCCAGAAATCTGAATTTTTTTGAATTTTCAAGGAAATCACAAATGTCGAAAAATTATGTTCAAATTTTTAGGCTTGAGCTAACGCTCGTGTTTCTATTTATTTACATGCTCCAAGTCTTCAATGAGTCTTAGCGACTGCAACTCGGTCTCCTTTGCCTCAACGGCATCTATCACCTGGTCCAGACTCTCACCATTCATACATCCACTTAGATCGTGCAATGAAAGACCACACCTATGATCAGTAACCCTGTTTTGCGAGAAATTATAAGTTCTGATTTTGTCAGAACGATCTGTGGAGGAGACCTGGTCCCTTCTCTCAGCTCTTTCCTTCTGCACTTTTTCCAATCTCTCTTTCTCGGCCAGTCTGGCTCTCAACACCATCAATGCCTTGGCCTTATTTTTATGCTGTGACCGCTCATCCTGGTTGATCACCACTATTCCAGTTGGAATGTGTGTGATTCTGACTGCTGACTCGGTCGTGTTAACATGCTGACCACCTGACCCACTTGCCCTCATTACGTCAATTCGAAGCTCATCACCAGCAAACTTTCTCTCTCCTTCATCAGCACCTTCCTCAATCTTCGGTAACACCACCACTGCCGCAGTAGATGTATGGACTCTCCCCTTTACCTCTGTTTGTGGAACACGTTGAACTCTATGAACACCAGCCTCGTGTCTCAGCCTATCATAAGCACCAGGATGGTCTATCAAAAGAGACCCGTCTACAAGACCACCAGAAGTACTTTCGTTTTGCGACAAAATCTCACATTTCCACCGATGAACCTGGGCATACTTATAGTACATGGTGAGCAAGTCTTGGGTAAATATCATAGCTTCCTGGCCACCCGCACCGGGTCTCAGCTCCAAAATACATCCTCTATCGGAGAACTCATGCGGAGGCAGCAATTTGGATGTCACACCAGAAGCTAGCTTATCCATTTTCGGTATACTCTCTTCAAGCTCTAGCTTGGCTTCAGCCTGTAGATCAACATCTTCTGGGTCATTCGCCATGGATACTAGACCCTCGTAGTTACTTTTCTCTCCAAGATACTCCTGGTACACGGTAGTGAAACTAGACAATCTGGAGAACTTTTTAGCATCTTCCACGTTGAAGGTTTTACCATCTGACATGCGAGACTCAAGTTCCTTCAGCTCTTCTGTCATGGCATCGGCCTTTTTCAGCAGTGCAGGGTGTATATATCCTGGCACGGTACCTGCATGGTATTCAGTTAGCGATTGGTGAAAAGTGTCTCAGGAGCCACTCAAACTTACTCTGGCATCTCAAAAACGAGTTGGCAAACGATCGGCCAAAACACGGCAATACGCCGTAGTATTTCAACATTTCAGCTCAAATAAAAACTAAACTCCGAGCTTAGCGTAGCTTGATTAACACCGAATACTTCAATGCATTGAACCTTGGTAGGTTGAAAGAGTCGTGTGAACTGATCAACTTCCAATCCATCACGTGCTCACGTCCAGACAGCTACGGCGAAGGCGAGAGAATCCGGGGAAGCAAGGATTCTACTCTTTTCAGAAGCTTGTTTTGAAGCGGAAAAACCATCATCAACCATCATGTCAGCTGCTCTGAAACCTATTCATATCGACGAGTTCAAGATAGTCATAAAATCCATAACAGATGCAGAAATTGCGTTATTGGGTAAACAAATTCACAATTCCATCGACAGGCTGGAGAGGTCGAATTTCATAATGCAAGCCTTACTGCAGAAAGCGAAAGGGCAAGAAGTAAAAGAGGCTTTTGATGAAGAAGAATTCGATACTGGTGAACAAGATGAAGAGGACCTGAAAGTCTACAGTGATAGCATTAGGGAAAACGAGATTGTTCTGGACAACCTCCATAAACGGGTTGAAGCCCTTGATGATGAGTCCCTCAACAGAGACATCACTCCACCAACCAAACCACCAAATGTTAAGCCAGCTCTCAAGAAAGTTGAAGTTGATGCTGATAATGACATTATCGACTCGAATGCCCCAAACAGTGTATTTTTATGATTGCAATAATATGGTCTCCGAGCTGGACCATCAATGAACGCTTTGAATGGTGATCTGGTTTTGCTCCAAAAGTTCATGGCAGATTTCACGCGACAACACCCTACTCTAGTCTTGATTATCATTTCCGCTGTATTGTCTATTTATCGTTCTCAAATGTCTATCCCTGTCTATCATCTAAATCATTTTGTTTTGCTTCAAATACAGAATCAACCAAAGCACCTGGACGACTCCAACTATCACGAGTGACGCCGAGGCAACTATGCCGCCGATGATCACCTTGGAGAACAGATCTTCGTTGAAGTTTCTGGAAGCCGTTTCGTCGGGTATGATTTGAGCAACAAACTGGTTTACCAGCTTGGTAACCTCTTGTTCTATGTCTGATGCCTGCTTTTGCACCGGCTTCAACGCGGTGCCTGATTTCTCCAAATTGTCAACGATCTCGGATATACCAATCTCCACACTCATTATTATGTCTTTATTAGCACCCTTGTTCTTCCAACTTTTGTCGATCATCTGATTCTCGTAACAAACGTCGAAATATGCGTCCTCTCTTGGGTTTTCGGGTATAGTCACTGCCACCCTAGACTCCTTCACGTCGTTCTTACGACGTAATGTATTACCCTCATCATCTATTAAGTTAAAATTCAACTGCTGGTATCTATTGCCAAGTTCATTAACATTTGTGGGATCGACAACCTTCACGTGGACCACCACCAGCGTATTCTGGTTCATGTGATCTTCCGTGAACTCGTTCAAAATGTACCTCACGCACAAGTTATTTGAAATGTATTTTTCGACATGCGATTTGATCATGGCCCGCAACTCAACAGCCTTTTTCGAAGTCTTCTTGAGTTTGTACAACTCGTTGTGATACTCAGTTACCTCTTGCATAAGCTTAGCCGAGTCCACAGAGCTGGGTGGCACCGTCAAGCCAAGCTGGAAAGCCTGACACAGACTCGCACCGAGTACGAAAGCAGTCAGAACTCCATAGAGCCTCATAGAACTGTGTATATAAAATAGTCTGAACGCGGTGCCTTTTTAACGTAATACTTGTGGCTTTGTTTTGTGACACGTTGGATCCTCTACAAGTGCATCGCTCGAAAGGATGCGGTACACGACCTGAGTATGAATTTTTCGTATCGAGTGCATGTAACTTAGCTGACAAGACACTAGTGACTATCCAGTCACACTACTCACACAACTCACACAATGGTGCTGTCGACAACTGAGAGATACTATCTGCTCGAATGTTTATCTGGGTCTAAGGTGATACGCGCTGACGCCAGACGTGTGGACCAGTTCAGACCTGTGGAAGCTACCTGTTCTTTCCTTCCCAACTCTAACGGCTCTTCAAGAGTCAGGCTTCCAGACGGTTCGGAGTGTATAGCTAGTGTCAAGGCCAAGGTTGTGAAGGTTGAATCGAGTGAAGTTACTGACTTGTTGAACGTGGAGGTGGATATCAACGGACAGAGAGACGACGCCGAGGCCGTGGTGAGCTTCTCATCTATTCTGAAAGAGTCTCTGGCACAGTGTATTCCGGAGAGCTTACTGAAACTTACAGAAAAGTACGCTTTTGAACTGAGCATAGATGCTATTGTGATATCTTATCCTAGTGGGATTTCGTCGTTTTACTCGATTTTGACGTTGGTGTCTATGGCCGTCTACCTCGCACTAAAGTCCACATCCCTACCGCTTCTGACCTCCACCACGGAAGACGCTGAGGTTGAAGAAGAGCCCACTTTTTCCGACGACTGGGACCTTGCGAAGCTTCTGTTCCCCAAGGACCGCCTGCTTGCACCGCCTTTACTGTTTGTGCTGGCCATGGTCGGCCCGAACTTGCTACTGGACCCTTCAGTCGAAGAGCTAGAGGTGGCTGAAAATGGATTATTTGTGGGATTTGCCTCCAACAAAGCTGGAGCACCTATACGATCTATCTCGCTGAATTCAACAAACAACAAAGGCTTGTCGACAAATCACATCTTGGACGCAGTCTCCACAGTCGACTCTGTGGGAGGCTCGGTCCTGAAGGCTCTCAACAGTATAGTTGAAAACTCAACATCTGAATTCTGAAAATCCTCAACAGTGCTGCGCTGAATAAGCATGCACTATCACTGCAGTTGCAGTTTGTATATTCATAGATCTAATGACACCAACTTGTTTAATCTCGATGCACATATCGAGTATCGCCAGGAGATCACCAGGTATACCTTCTCTTTCCCTTCCCAACAAAATCAACGACTTTTTTGGGAATTTCAACTTCTCGTCGAGGACTACCGATTTATCGGTTTGTTCTAGGCCAACAAGTGTATATCCTTCTTTTTTCTTGGATATCATGTAGTCTGCAATGCTTTCAGGCTTGACTTCCACCATGGGCATCCAACGGTCTGCAGTCACGGCCACATTCTTGAAGTCTCTGTGATCCTTGACTCTAATATCTCCCAAAGTCAACAATCCCGCACCCAAAACATCACATAATCGACAAATACCTCCCAGATTTGGAGGTTTGTCCACGAGCGAGGATACCACGATTAGGTCAGATCGTTGGATGGATGAGGTTGCATTTCCATTGCCAATAACCTGATCAACGTCTACCGGAGTGGACCAGGTACCGCTTTTCTTCTGGAGCGGGGAACTGGATTTTTTCAAGTCTTTCAAATAATCAGAATGGGCATCAATTGCAGCTCCAGCCTTGAATGACTCAAAGTCAGCTCCGATAGGAATGCGCACATCTTCATGCTTCAGGTACTTGGCAAATGAAACTGCCGGAATGGAATCGATATCCGTCCTGTCAGAAACTTTGAGCAAAATCCCACCAAAAACACCAACGAGAGTCAGATCTTTGACGATATCCCAAAGATGCGCGTCGCCATTTCTATGAGTTCCAAAGCCTTCTGAAGCAGCAGCAATACGATAGACGTTCTCTAACGTCACGAGAACATCCGAGCTCAAAGGAAGTTTGCGCTTGATGATCTCTGGATAAACAGAACACACCAGAGAGACCGCAAAATGCCTGTGCCATGCTTTGTTCGAGGTGGCAGATGGAACCAGATACTTCACCACGAAGTCTCGCATGAAACTAGCAGCCTCTTCTCCTTCCAACTTCTGTCCTAGCAAAACGCAAATTCTCTCAAAAGTGGTGATTTGAATGGAACTTTGCTGAGAAATGTCAATGCTGAATTGTTCCAAAATAGAGATTCTGGAAGAGGGATTTTTCAGCAAACACAATGCAATCATCCATTCCAGATATACGCGGCATAATGGACTCTGTTCCTTAAACAGCATTGCCAAACCGAACTTCTGGGTAAGATTTTGAACCTCATTTGGTGGAAGAGATGTCATTAAAATTATCATCATGGAAAGAAGCTGTATTCTTTTCCATTCCTCGAGTCCATCGCTGCGATTTTTCGGATGAAATAGGTTGAGCTCGGACTCATGGTTTTCAACGAAGTCAAAAAATGTCACAATAAAATCCGGTTTTTGCAGTTTGGCCAAAATAGAAGCCATAGCCACACGAAAAGAGACTTCTTCGACGCCGTAGACTTTTGCATATAATCCTTCGGCGGCAGTAGTAGAGTCAACTTCTTGATCGTAGATCTGAGCAATGATTGGTTCCAACGTGAACAAATTGGTGGTGACCTGTTTGGTCGAAATACCACGGACTATCACGGGTATGAGAAATTCCATGTTTTGCAATGCTGCAAGATCATCATAAGCATCAATTGCTGAAAACAAGGTAGGTAACAACGATCTTCTGGAGTGCGACTGAGTCAAAATCTCCGACCCAACTCGGGTCAGTACCTCACCAATACTTAAATCATCCAAAGCAGCAGAGAGGACTGATTTATGGAAAAGAGCTCGAATCAAAGAACAATGAATTTTGTTTTGTTTCAGTATTAGTCTGTCCTCAACCAGCTCATCCCAGAGGTTTTCCAGAACAATTACCAAAGGTTTAACATGACTTCCTGTGAAAGGCAGCTCCAACAGAAGCTGGATGAAATTCACCAGTAATAAACGGCCTTCTGAGTCATAAAGAGTAAAATCGACTTCTGCAATGGAGATTGCTGTTTTCAATTGTCTTTCTTCTATATTCACATTCAAACAGAAACGGAAGATGGAAGAGTAGAATATGTCTTTCACCTTGTAGAAAGTCTTGGAGGTGGAGTGTGACGTCTTCAGGCTTGCGTATGACTTTTCTGCAAGCAACAAATATGTTTCAAGAGATTTTTGCTGAAACTTTTGATTCTTTGAAAGCAGCTCAAGTCTGTATGTTGCCAATATTAAATCATCTTCGTCCTCCGAGTTGATCAGCACATCGGATATCTGATCATAGGTGTCTGACAATGAGCCATGTGTAGTTGGAATGTGAGAGCCATAAAGATGCCTGACTTCTTCATTCTGAATACAATCGAAGAAAATATCTAGTCCATTCAAAACGGCGCAATTAGGAGATCTGACCGGGGTGCTGTCAATCATAGAACAAACGGTTATCAGGTCGTTCTTGGAGACGTTGCTGAGTTCAGCCGCACCAGAGGCCCTTTCCTCGACAATGACATATGCAACCAATGCATAAGTACTTAACGTCCTGAGTGAACCATGGTCGATTTTATTGATGTTGGGACTCGCCTTGACAAGGTGAATATTTTCTTTCAGGATCGTAATACCCAATTGTTGGTTCATCTGCAGAAACCTGCCCAAGCTCTCGTACTTCTCATTAGCTGCAGAGTTCGCAAAAAGGAGGATCCTAAGAAATACCGTCTGAAGGGTTTTTTCGTAAATCTCATTTTCAGACTCGCTTTCGAACATTTGAACTATCATGCCGACATGGTCGTCATCCAAGATATTAAACTTAGATGCATTCAGTCCTTTAAGCAGACCGAGTGCTAAAGCGATTCTGGCGACATCAAAAGCCAATCTGTTCTTGACGAGAACCTGCAGGATGGCCTCGCAAACAACCGAAACTCCCTCTTGATCTTGCTGGTTTGACAAGCAGTTGCAAATAAAGTCCACGAGTTTGGTCAAAAACGGACAGAAAAGTCCCGTAGCGTCTTTTTTGACGGAGTAATGGAAGGCGTGCAGTACGAAAGGTAAGAAAGTGTCTCTCAGGAATGAGACATCGCTGGTCAATAGCATCAGATTGTTCTGGGGAATGGAGAAAACCAAATTCATGGCAACCCTTCTTATACTTTCCTGGGAAGACTTAAAACCAATTGATAGCAAAGTGAGTGCGAATGCTGTGGGAATATGAGAGTCCAGAGATAACGACCCCACCAAATCTGGCGCCGCATCTTCGGCTTGATGCAAAGAAGAGTCTATACCCACTATTTCGTACAAAGTACAGAACCTCTTCCATGACTCTATGTACACTGAAGCACGATCCATTTTCCATGTCATGATGTCAGTGTCGATATCTTTAGAGATGGAGGTCACAGTCAACTGAATAATAGACAATGACATCTTCTTGTGATCGTGTGAGTCGTCCAGTAAACTCTGTTTCAAAAACTGCCAATATTCTCCTGTACTATAGATACTTTGAAGCTTCGCGTCCGACTTAGCAAACTCTTTCAGATAACATAGCCATAATATCAAACCATTGGTTCTCTTGAACGAGTCATGAGCAGTCATTAAAGTTGAAATACACTCCCACATTTTTAAGAAGGCACCATCCTCATTGAATGAAGAGAGTCTCCATCTCATGATATTAGCAGCTGCAGTGGATATTTTCTCTTCATCGCATGTAACATATGCATAACATAATGCATTGATCTCATCCAATCTCAACCTTGCCAGGTTATCGTTTTCTTTGAATAGCACATTCAAAAACCCAAATAGGTCCAGAACCTCCGAGGAATCGATGGTAGCCACATTCATAAAATCAGAACTGTTCAAAAGTCTCATGCGTTCCTCAAAGTTCATCCTATTTTTCAAAGCATATGCTCTAAGCTTAGCACTGATCAGAGAGAGAACATCGACTGAAACATCCTCGAATTGTCCACACAGTTTGTACACTGCTGGGCTCAACTCAGACTGAATATTATTTCCAACAATATCAGCAAATAATTCATAAACCAGAGGAGAAATCTCCTTTTTTGTTTCCAAAGAAACCACGTTCACCAGTTCTGAAAGTACTTCGATTGAACTTAGAGTCTGGCCCTCAGTCAGGTCTTGAGCTAGACCAATAGCGATACTCTTTCTTTGCTCCTCTGGCAACAGAGAAGCCAGTTTGGTGACTGTTCCGACTTCCATTGTGACCAGCAAAGCTGCGATAGAATTTACACCTGTTTATATTTGTAAAGGCATTGTTAAAAGCCAATGAATTTTTTTGACGCTTTCAGGTGTGAGGCACAAAAGCTCATCGCCGAATTGTGTGCGGCGCTACTCTCCATGAGTATAATTGGAGATATCTTGACAAACTATGGTTTACTCTTGAACCTCTACTTTTTTTACACAATTTTACCGTAGGACGTGGGGAAAACACCTCTTATGCCCTCGATCTCGCCCTCGGTCCACCCCGAGCCATCGTCTTCGGTCACCACCAAAACTTTGTCACCCACACCCACACCAAGTTCGTCGTCGCCCTGAGGTTCATAGTCGTACAAGATCTCCATATACTGCACTCGTTTGGCGCCTTTTCTTGGCGCAACTTTGGGACCCTGTTTTTTGCCTCCGTTCGTCGAAGCCGCTGGCACTATGGAGAGATACGACGTGGGGACCAGTCCTTCGCCTGCTGCAGATCTGACTTTGGTCCAGCCAGACCCGTCATCAAGATCAATCACTTCCAGGGCTTCCCCTGCGATCAGCGAGACTTCATCTTCACCGCCAGCTTGGTAAGCGTAAAGTGCTTTGCCTGAGCCGGTTGATGCAGATGCCGCCGAGGAAGTTGTCATCACAGACTCTGCTCTTCCTCTCAATGCACCAAACAGTCTGCTTCCTTTTCCGGTGGATGTGGTCACACGACTCATCGAGCTCGTGAGGCTGTGCACCTCATCGTCATACTGCTCGACAGGAGCCGAGGTTTCGTTTCTATGCTTTCCCTTGAACAAACCACCAAAGACTCCACGTTTCTTGGTTTCTATGGGCTGCGTCAACGTGAGATCCTTACCCTCAGCAGCAGACTGAATGGTTTCAACCTCAACTTCTGCCACTACCCGTTTGGAATCGTCCAAAGAGAATTTCGACATCGCAACAAGCGATTTCACCATCAGGTCGTCGTATTTGAACATCTCCTCTTTAGTTCTCAGCTTCACCTCTGTGATAGAATTTCCAAAAGCCTTGTTACGAGCCTGGATCAATTCCCCAAGAGTATTCTTCTCCTCTTCACAAGCGTGCTGCATGTTACTATATGTTTGCGAGGATTTGGAGAGCTGTTTCTTCAAGACCTCCAATTCAGCAGGAGACGTTATTATGGTCTCGTCGTCGTGCCAAATGCTAGATGGAATGTAGTAGAAGTCAGCTGGCTCGCTCCAGTCAGTCATGTTGTGTTTAATAAACATGGAGGTGTCAAGCGTGGGCACGTTTTGGCGAATAACTTCGTCCATGGCATCGTTCATTTTGATGAGTTTCTCGTTCGTTGACCTCTCCAGAGCAGACGCAGTCAACCAGATTGAGTTCAATTTGGCAACCTTGGCCTCGTTCAAAGTTTGCAGACCATCGAGCACCTCAGGCAAGTCCTGGTAGAAGTACTTATCCTTCAACCTGTTGGCTACGTTGATCTTAATCAGGTAGGCATTCTTGGCGGCGTTCATTTCAAACTCCCTCTTTTCCGACTTGTGTTTGGATCTATCATTTTCTGATCTCTCGGTCTTGGATCTTTGGCTCTCCATTGCCTGACAAGAGGCGTCGTAATCCTTTTTGGCCTTGGTCACCTCATCGTAATACGAGTCTCTGGCTTTCACCAGATCTTCGTTCACCCCCTTCCACCGTTGACGAATTCCGTCATATCTGGAGGCCATTTCACTGATCTGGGACGCGACTCTACGCTCAAGACTGCTGGCAAAAGCGTCTCTTTCCTTGGCTATGTTCTCGGTCTGTCCCAGGATCTCTGTCCAAGCCACCAAACTAGCACTCTCCAATGAACCGGGGGTTACCACCGGGTTTTCACCAACAGACACTGCAGTCGAGACTTTGGCCTTTTTCTTGAATGCCTCCGCGCTCAAAGTCTTCAATTTGGTGGCATACTCCCTCTCTATGGCAGCGCGCTCCTTGTAGAACCAGTCCAGATCCGTGAGCCAAGTAAGCCCCGCCTTCACCCATTTATCTGTGGGTTTATAAGCATCTTTCAGCTCGTTACCAATACTCAATGACTCGGCCATTTTCCACAGATCAATTGCGCCTCGGGTTATTTCGCTGATGGCATTGAAGCTCTTATCTACACTTCGGAGGATCATCACCGCTCAATCTGGGAATTCCAAACTGCCACTCCCACTCCGTGTCATTAATCCCGCGCCTTTGTTTTTTCGTGGGGCAATTACTTGCGGGCCCTTGCATGTTAAAACTTGTCTACTAATGAACAGCCCAGTCTTTCTCCTTTCTTTTATGCGATATTGCTTAGCATACTCTCCATGAATCAAGCAGCCCGCTGATATTACCGCTGAGCCACCATATAGTAGCAATGTCCGTGCTACCGCTAGGAGGATTCATATACGCGGCTGTTAAGCCTATCATCAGGATATACCTGCTGATGGCCACCGGATATTTTCTCGCTAAATATGATTTGATGAGTGTCGAGTCGGCTAGAGCCGTTTCAGATTTGATTTTGATGGTTTTTATGCCTGCTCTGACATTTGCCAAGGTTGTAACCAACCTAGACATCCGGGATATTAAGACAATAGGAGTCATCATCCTCACGGCTGTACTGATGTACAGTGCAAGTGCTGCGTTTGCCTTTGTGAACGTGTTTTTTTTGACGCCGGTTCCAAAAAGATGGCGGGGAGGCGCACTTTCTGCTGGGATCATGCAAAATGCGGGCGATTTGCCTATTGCCTACCTGCAAAACATTGCAGGTGGATTAATTTTCACTGAGGACGAGGGTGATAAAGGAGTGGCATATGTCATTATCTTCCTGGCTGTCTATGTTGTGGTACAATTTAATTGTGGGTTGTTCCAGTTGGTTGAGTACGATTTCAAGAAGGAAGCTGAGGATTTGGAACGTGAGGCAGCTGAAAGTGCTAGAGCCCATGAAAAAGAGTTGCAAGAGGAGAAATCGACTCCCCATCTCCAGACACCCCCAACCCCACATAACGAGGCATTGGATGCAACAGGGGTCCCCATATCGCCAACCTCGACGCTTTCCTCGAACGGGGATGATGATGATGACAGTATGAGCATTCAGACCTCGGAGCTGGATCCGAGACCCTTGCACAGCAACGAATTGGTTGCCCGAAAATTGCACTCCAATGTATCCACAGCGACTTCAAGAGTGCCTTCGGCCAGAGGGAGACCCAGTGCCGATTCTTACTCTAACAATAGGGCATTCTCTCCAGGCGGAATTTCCAGCGGAACTGTGGGCAGGTCCGCTCAAAGCATCTCCCATCGCAGGCCTTCGGTTTCATCCACCTTCCTGTCTGCGGTGATGAGCAACACATCTAGAAGAACCGGCACCAGCATGGACGATCGCCATTCGCAGTTCAACGACGACGATGATTTGGTGCGTGAATATTCACGTGCTGAACCATTCAACCAAAATATCACCACCATCGCCTCGATGGTGACCCAATCCAATCTCACAAAAAAAGACATCTTGGAGTCTGGAAAATCCATATCCTTTGTCCAGAAATATCATCTCCACGCATTAGTGTTTGTTTTGAAGAACTTTCAAACGCCCAATTCTATCGCATTGGTTTCCTCGCTGATTATCGCACTTATTCCCTGGCTCAAGGCTCTTTTCGTGAATACTGGCTCGGTCACCTTATCACAGGCACCTGACGACAATCCTGCATTATCGTTTATTCTGGACTATGCCACATATGCATCTGCACCCTGTGTGCCTCTGGGGCTGATAATGCTGGGTGCCACCATTGCGAGACTCAAAATCAAGTCCATTCCAAAAGGATTTTGGAAGTGCCTTACTGCCCATACTCTGTTCAGGCTGTGCGTTCTTCCAATCATAGGAATAGCTTGGGTAGGAAAACTTTCCCGAATGAAATGGATCACCGACGATATTTCGAAGTTTGTGTCTATGCTTCAATTTGGATTGCCCAGTGCTACGGTCCAGGTCTATCTGACTGCATCCAACATGAGGGCCGATAGCCCCAGTCATCTGCAGATGGATTGTCTTGCGCTCTACATCATTGCTCAATACTCAATGCTTGTGGTGAGCATGCCAATTCTCGTGACCTATGTGCTCAAAGATGTTCTTCACAAGTAAATACCCAATATCATGGTTATAGTCCAATTTATAGGCAGCCGTAATGTGGCTGGGATTTAGTATGGCAACGCGTCTTTTGGCTTGGAACGACCCAATTGAAACATTCAACCGTTTCGCTAATAATTTGATTTAGTCATTGCTCTATTTTTAATCTCTATCCGGCCTAAACTGCAAACATTCTTTTAACTTTGTTTCAGCCTCCTTGCCCTGCTAACTCCATCATTCGCTGACGTGCTCGGCATCGCGCATTTCAGCCTGAAATTCCACCCTCGGAAATCATGCAGCTGACTGTGGGCTGTGCCAGATTTCAGACGTGCGGCGCGGGATTCTGCCGGTGATCAAACTCTTGAGACCCCAGGGCAGGCTGGGTGGTAACAAAGACTGTAAAGGGTCAGTGAGTTAGTGACGGAACATGGTCAGTAGTAAATAATAAGTGAAAAAACCTGAAATATAATGAGTTAATGTCAAAGGAACTGAAGTTTATCCCTCGCGTACATCCTGCACTTTCCGCGCTCGTTTTGCCGAACTTACTGTAGATCTCTGTAATCTGTGTGCCCTTTGCCACAGTCCCAAAAATCTCCACAAACCCCAAAAAGATACACAGCCAACAATAATCATTCATCCCATGACCTAGCCTAAACGCCATCGCAAAATTTCTCAATTCGCTGAAACGATGCGCACGTTTCATGTAGGCATCCGGCTCCGGCTCCAGGATACCGAGGGTAACCCTCGGAATTGGCGGGGAGGGAATATTGGCTATAAATTGGACTTGATCCCCCTTGATTTCGACCTTGATCTCACTTCCTATTATAATTCATTACCAATTGAACAATGTCTTCAAACGATTTCTACAATTCCGGCGAACAAGGTGAATACAACGCCCCTTCGCAACAACAGCAACAGCAACAGGCTGGTGGTGAGGGCGAGAGAGGCCTTTTGTCCACTGTCATCGGTGGCGCTGCCGGTGCCTACGGTGGCTCCAAGGTGTCCAGTCAACACAGTGGTTTGACCGGAGTCTTGGGTGCCGTTGCGGGTTCTGTTTTGGCCAACAAGGTCGAAGACCGTTTCGAAGGTAACCAAGGTGGCCAACACCATGGCGGCCAGGGTGGCCAGGGTGGCCTTTTCGGTGCTGTCGAGAATGCCTTTGGCGGTCACCACGGTGGCCAAGGAGGACAAGGAGGTTTCGGCGGCCAACAAGGTGGCAGAGGTGGCTTTGAAGGTCAAGGTGGATTCGGTGGCCAACAGGGCGGATTTGGCGGCCAACAAGGCGGATTCGGAGGCCAGCAAGGCGGCTTCGGAGGTCCAGGCGGTCCTCCAGGTGGCTTTGGCGGTCCAGGCGGTCCTCCAGGTGGATTTGGTGGCCCAGGTGGTCCAGGTGGATTCGGTGGCCCAGGTGGTCAAGGTGGTCAAGGTGGATTTGGCGGCCAGCAAGGTGGACGTTGGTAAATCAGCAAGACCCTGCCAGGTGATTGGTCAACTACACAATGATAAATTGAGAAACAGAATGACTAAAATATTGTAATTGAAAACGAGTATTTCCATGATTTGATTCGCACGAATTGAACAAAACACGTAAAAATGGCTTTCCCTAACTATGGTACGCGTCGCGACACGACTTTTTATCAACCTTTAGAAAGGTCCACATGTCCTTTGTAACAAACCATTCTTGTTTTCTTATCTCAAAAAATGGAATCTTTGCCCCTGGAGCTGAAATCTCAAGTGGAGAGTATCATTTGTGAGTCTTTATTTGATATTATGGGCTATTTTTTTGCCGTATCATGTACTAATTGTCCGCCTATCCTCTAGCCTCTTTTCCCCCGAGCAAACCAACGTTTGATGCATTGATAGAGCATTTCACACAGGATGATCCCAAGAGAAGAAAGATCTCGGCTTTACCGACGGAGTCGTTACCCCCATCTTTGCAAGACTTCCATATCGTCCTGCAAATACCAGAGCTGTCTCTGCAATCGCCGATCAGGAAGAAGTTGAACCTGATCTTTGCCACGCCCAAGAACGCCAAGAGTCCAGCTTTGGTGCTCTCGAAGGGTGTGGATACCCAGCCCGAGATAATGCTGGATAATTTGAGCTCCGGAAATGTCACTTTCGCGGCAATATTGAGAGTGCCGGAGAAGAAGGAGCTGCGCAACCTGCTGATCTTCTACAAGCAGAATAGAGGTGACATGTTCAAAAACGAGCCCATCCTGATACAGTATAACGATACTCTGCTGAATGAACAATTTTCGCCAATTCTCCAAAAGATGGACTTTGGAACCTATCTTCAAAGACAGTGTTCTCTGTGTGGATTCCAATTGATCGATTCCACCTCAAAAGAGATGAGGTCTTTCTTTGTGGATGCCTACAAAGGTTCCAAGGAAGGAACGCTTTATTTCCTTCCCAACCATATAATTTTTGGGTTCAAGAAGCCCATTCTCATGTTCAAATCTACGGACATAGACAGCATCACGTACACCTCGATCACGCGGGTGACGTTCAATGTGACCCTGATGATTGTCCCAGCCGACGGGGACCCCGAGAACAGCGACAGGTTCGAGTTCTCGATGATAGATCAGCAAGAGTTCAACAAAATTGACCAGTACGTTAGAAGCAAGGAATTTAGAGATAGATCTATGACAGAGGAGCTGAAGGCTAAAATTAAGATGAAGAACGCAGACAAGCCTGGTGCGCTAGCCGAGGCCGCCAGAATGGTTCCTGGTGGGGCACAAATAGTGGACGGAGTCAAAATAGACGATCAGGACTCTGATGATCCGGAGGACGAGAATTATCAGTTTGCAAATGAGGAGGGTGAGAGTGAAATCTCCGGAGAAGAAAACAGTGAAGATGATGATGAAGATGGAGATGAGGACAGTAATGACGACTCAGAGGACGATTCTGGAGAGGACGAAGGTGAGGATGAAAATGATGATATAGACCTAGGAGATTCGGAATAGGGGAGGTGCAGAGATTAGGAATGGGAGATCAGGAATAGAACGCCAATAATACCACCAACATCAACGCTTCTACTACTAAGAAGATTCAGACTAACTTCATGAAAGTCGCCCAACTAGCCTTTCAACTAGTCTTTCAACTAGTCTTTTTGCAACTCCTCTACAACTCATTGAATGTTTTTGATTGTTTTTTTTGGAAAGAACTGAGTCTTCATAATCGATCTCATATACATATGTGTATTGCATCGCGAGATTCACACCGTGAAATTCAAAGCTCTCTTTTTTCAGTAACCCACCTGTTCATGTTTTATCAAATAAAATTGTTGTCTAGTCTTTGCTGTGAATAATTGGTCTATTCAGAAGCCGTCGCACGGGCCTCATTCAGCTTTTCCAGACGTTTGTCCAACAACAGCTCGTTCTTCTCAGTCCACTTCGTGAATCCGTATCCAAGGGCAACCCAGAAGCCGGCGGAGTAAGCGTAGCCCATAGGGGCGTACAACATATCGACCTTTCTTATACCGTTTTGGTAGGCTCTAACAAGGACACCTAGATGGAGGGTTAGTCAAGGAACTTTCTTCATTGATGACAACTCTCAAAAACAACATACCAAAAGTGGCCCAGCCAGACAAAGTTGCAAAAAGCGCCATTTTTTGTAAAACAATATACTTTGAGTGTAGAAATATGACAAGGAGCTATCTCTTTCATGGCCATTACCAAAAGGCTCTTCCTGGTTGGGCGATACTTTTGCAGACACGGGCATCAAATGACAGACAACAGATATGGGCATCTACAACAAGGTGCGGCTTAAATAGCCGGTTTATCTGAGAACATTTAACCGCCAGCAAACATAATTAAATTAATCAAACTGAATCATCATGTTACTGTCAGACCTGTTTGATCTGAAGGAGTCCTTCATTCTTATCTTTGGAAAAAAGGTCTCATTTTTCACTTTGGTGTCCTACATTGTGGACTGGTCATTATACATGTACTACATACCTCTCTCTTTTGAAGGCTTCAATTTCCTAACGCCCACAGCGCCATGATCACCGTGGCAATCACTTACGGAGTATCAACAACCCCACGCTTCCAGGAGTTTTATGCAATGGATCCAAGCCTATGGCACTTCTATTACCCAGAAGCCGCCACTGCAACGCCGATATGGCTTCTTATGGTTCTCGCCTTTGTTGCTCCATTAGCTGCAATGGCGGCTGTCGAAGCTGCAGCAATCCAGGACAAGGTGCTGAGAAGAATATGGGACTATTTTGCTGCGGTGACAGCTCTCACATGTGCAACTGCAATACAACTGATTCTTGTTGTAACCCTGAAGAACCTGGTCGGAAAACCCAGACCTGATGCTATCCATAGATGTCTTCCGTCTAGTTTCACAGCACCGATAGGACAACTTTCAACTGTGGAAATTTGCACCTCGCCATACCGCACCCTGGTAGCTGAGGGGTTCCGATCGTTCCCCAGTGGACATGCCTCAACGATCTTCGCCAGTGCTACCGTTCAAGCTCTTTTCACCATGGGAAGAGTGAGACTATTCGATGGGCGAGGCATCTTTCTCAAACTCGTCCAAACAGGATATCCATTTCTAATAGCCACTTCAGTTTCTGCAGCACGAGTCACTGACAATAGACATTTTCTATGGGATGTGATTGCTGGCACGTTTCTTGGAATTGCGGCTGGTGTCATTGCATTTTTGCTCTATTTCCCCCCACCATATCCCTATATTAAGAACCATGGCAAAGCTTACCTTCCGCGAAGATTCTGCGCAAGCAAATACCAGAGAAATTTTGATGGCTTCTGGCATTTTGAGGACATGTTTCCCGAGACAACCGCAACCGCAACTGAACTTCAGGATAGATCAAGTGCAAACTTTGTGGTTCCCAACCCTACGCTCAAAACAATGGCTGTTTCGAGAGGAGGGTCGTTTGCAACCGTGGGTGAACCTTCAAATGCGACTAGAAGCAGATCCGCATTCAGCCCGCAAGCGAGCAACCACGGTGGTTCTACATCATCCGCAACAGCACCGCTTCAGTAACTACTCCGGAGATCATATCAATTTGCAACGTGCATATTTTCACTTTCCAATGCAGAAACTGGAGAATACAACGCCCAAAATTTCTTCTATGCCTACCGCTTCACCCGTTATCTTTCCAATTCCCTCAATGCTATATCTCAAAGTTTCACCGGCTAGAACAACATCGTTGGACTCACTGAATAGCAGAAACTCCTCGAAGCCATACAGAACGTCTTTCACCAAAATATCTTTGGCTCTATCGGAGATAGAAACCGGGTCTTGGTCTTCATACCAGGTCAACGACTTGAACTCCTGCGTCAATGTCGAAAGCAAATTGTCAACACCCACCCCAGTGGAGCATGATACGGCAGTGAAGTCTTTCGAAGGAAGACCAAGCTTGGACTGCAATTCTGTCAAGACTCTTTCAAGATCTGCGTTGTTCACCAGGAGATCCGACTTGTTGATCACCACCAGTATTCTCTTCCCACGTTTCGACATCTGCTTGATATGATTGACAAACTCGTCGTCCACTTCCAGATCATCAACAGGCACAATCACAAGTACCAGATCAGCAGTTGCAGACTTTGCCATTGCCCTCTTAATACCCTCAGCTTCAATCTGATCAGCATCATTTAGAGACCTTATTCCAGCAGCATCGCCAATTACCACCTTGTAGCCACTGATATCCAAGGGAACGTTGATGATATCTCGAGTAGTCCCGGCAATATCACTCACAATAGCGGTGTTACTGTTCGAGATAACGTTCAAAAGAGACGACTTCCCAGCATTTGGGGGACCCAGAAGAACTGCTTGTATTCCACGAAGAAGAATCTCGGATCTATCCAACCTGGCGATGTACTCGCTGACCTCTCTCTGGAGGTCTAAAACGTTATTGCGAACCGTCTGAAATATCTCATCTGTTTCTTCCACTCCGTGTTCTTCTCCAAAATCAATGATCGTGGTAAGCAATGCCACATTATTCACTATATCTGTTCTCCATCTGCTGAACAAGGCATTGGTTTCTCCTTCCATTGACCTCAGACTCATGAGCCTTTGAGACTCGGTTTCAGCATGGATCAACGAGTTGATACCCTCCAGCTCAGTGAGGTCAAACCGTCCGTTTTGAAACGCCCTCTTCGAAAATTCTCCCTTTTCGGCATGCCGTATGGGCTGATATGGGGTATGTAAATTCTCAATGGCTTTGAGCACACCTTCAATCACGGCAGTACCTCCATGGACATGCAGTTCAAGAAGGTCTTCTCCCGTATAAGATTTTGGACCACGGAAGAACAACGTGAGGGCATGATCAAGTAAAACACCCGTTTTGGGACTCACAAGTTTTCTCAATGAACTGGCTCTGTGTTTTGGAGCTATTGTCTTGCCAGTCAATGCCTTGAACACATTGGTGCTTGCGGGCCCAGAGATCCTGATCACACCAATGGCTGCCCTTCCCGGACGCGTAGAAAGAGCGTATATGGTTGGCCGAACATATTCAGTGGCTGAATTTGACAGAAACCGAACACCAAGAAAACTTCTCATGATTATGCTCTTTTCGTTGCCGTTTAAAGTCCCTCGCCATCAATAGGTGAAATGAAAAATTTCAGTGAGGCTTGCGATGCCCTTCACGCGTATCTGAGGGCTCCTGCATGACTCGACTCCACACAAAACTGTAAGCTATTTTAAACCCAAACTCGATCATTAATATACGATTTTTTATACAAAGCTACTCAGTAACCTGGCCCTAGCGCTAATACCAATTTCCCCAAACGATTCCGTCTGTTCTACTTCAATCGAGTCATTAGTTGCAAGAACTAACACTTCGAAGAATGCACGTGCAGCCTGGGCTTTTGGTTTGGAAGAAAGAGGTTCACCTGACTCAGAATCCCTTTCAAGAACGGACAAAAATGTTGTTTTGGCAGAGTTCTCGGTGAGATTCCTGATGTGGGTGGCCGTCTGGAACTCCGTATCAGCCGAAATAACATCGTTTTCCTCGGCGAGGTCTGACTGCACATCTTCTGGCTGTTCATCATGATGGTCTTCGGGAATGTCAAAATCCAGGTCTGGGATGGAGAAGTCGGGCATATCGAACTCTTCGGCTTGGTGTAGATCCTCGCGCAAATCTTCGTCAATTCTTGGTCTTTTCGTTGTGGATGACTCATCCCATATTCTTCTCAGCTCTTTGAGCTGTGTCGACCCAGATGTACTGGATCTCACGACTGAGTCCAATTTCTCCTGAGTAGAAGGAACAATACCACACTCGACAGGTCCCGGAAGCTCCAATTGAGCAACTCTAATTTGTTCACTTGGAATCTCGATTATGCTATCCACTATCAGCTTTCTCTTCTTGGTTCTGACCACATCGTTTTTCAGGTATGTAATTGGGCCCCTTTTCACTCTCTGAACCGGAAGAGGCTCTTCTGGTGGGGTCACGGGTTGTTCAAAATCCTCCTCAAAGGTCAACTCTGGGAGGTTGAAATGCGAATCTTCAAGATCTGGCATGTCATTATCAAAGGACGCGTTGACCCCAGCGTTTCTACCCACCTCGATGGACTGATCAGCCCTCATCACACCAGCGTTCAGCTCTTCATCTCCCAAATCAAAGTCCAGCTCGAGATTCACATCTTCATTCATTAGTTCGCTAGAGTAGTCGTCGTTGTGGTGAGCCCTTGGATATTCGATAGAGACATCTGCGTCAAGAGGAACATTGGCCGCGGTTGAGAAAAATTCACTGTTTCCACCCAAACTAAGATGTTTCCCGGTTTTTTCATTGTCTATTTCATCGAACCTCAATGGCTCTTGGTAGAGAAGATCCATTGAAGTCACCGTGTCGGGTAGTGTTAAATTGCTCACGCTTTGGACGGTGGTAGCCTCGACTGGCAAAACCACCGATTGGTTGGAACGAAACGCGGTCTTGATACGCAACAAAGCATCCGAAACATCATCAAGAAGATACTTTGCCTTCCTCGAGTATATTCTCACAATACCAAATAAAAGCTGGCCAGTTAACCGCAGCGCAATCGGCTCAGCCTGGTGAGAATTGTGTGTCGAAGATTGGGCTATTGCCTTCGTGGAGTCTTCAATCGAGGTCTGAAGGAGCTGGTGTTTCGTCAGCTTTTTCTCCAAATTAGCAGCCAACCAGACATGGGCCAGTGGTCCATCTCGTATCAGCAACTGCTCTGAGAAGAACATTATTAGCAAATTAGCAAGTTAGCAAATGTTGACAGTTGAACTGAGAAGAAAGTGAGTAAGGGACTGTTAGAGGAGATCAATAAACACGCTGCCAAGAAGGTTACGGTTGCAGAAAATTGAAGACAGACTCGCGAATTCCAAAAATGGAAAATACACGACCCCAGAAATTAGGCCGGTCCGCGACCAATTGAAGAATCAGCTGCAACAGTAGGTAGTACAAAACTTACTGGTGGAAGCCGCGTGATTCGGTCAATTTGCCGGGCGCAATAAACAACATCGTAGCAATTCAAATATATATATATATAAAACCGAAGTCTCGCTTAATTCGGGTAAACGGAGTCTTGTCGGGCGCTTTCAGTTTCCCCCAAAAGAGAGCGGCTATACAATCCCGAAAAGGCCCATCCAAGGCCATCGTCGATTGAAAAATTGGCGCACAGGGGATTCTTCTCCATCCTACTCATTCTTTTGGTAGACCTTGTCAATCATATTCAATCCATCAAAATGGCCAAGTAAGTAATTGAAGTCGTGATTACAGTCGTGTGACTCAATTTTTCTCAATTTGTGCCCATACTAACGTTATCATCATAGACAAGTTCTCCTTCTCGGCTCTGGTTTCGTTGCCAAACCAACCGTTGATATTCTAGCCAAGACCCCGGACGTCGAGGTCACCGTCGCTTGCAGAACTCTTGTCAAAGCTCAAGAGTTGGCTGGTGATGTTGCCAAAGCCATCACGCTGGATGTTACCGACCCAGAGGCCTTGGACGCTGCCGTGTCCCAGTACGACCTGATCATCTCGTTGATCCCTTACATCTACCACGCTACCGTTGTCAAATCGGCTATCAAGAACAAGAAGAATGTCGTCACCACTTCTTACATTTCGCCAGCTTTGCGCGAACTTGAGGACGACATCAAGAAGGCCGGAATTGTGGTCATGAACGAGATTGGTCTGGACCCAGGTATCGACCACTTGTACGCCGTCAAGACCATTGACGAAGTACACAAAGTCGGCGGAAAGATCAAGTCTTTCCTCAGTTACTGTGGTGGTCTTCCAGCCCCAGAAGACTCCGACAATCCTTTGGGATACAAGTTCTCGTGGTCGTCCAGAGGTGTTCTTTTGGCCTTGAGAAACTCCGCCAAGTACTGGAAGGACGGCAAGGTTGTCTCCATCGAGTCGCAGGATTTGATGAAGTCTGCCAAGCCTTACTTCATATTCCCAGGTTACGCTCTGGTGTGCTACCCTAACCGTGACTCCACCACCTACAAGGAGCTGTACAACATTCCTGAGGCTGAGACCGTCATCAGAGGAACTCTTCGTTTCCAGGGTTTCCCTGAGTTCGTCAAAGTCTTGGTCGACATTGGCTTCTTGAAGGATGAGGAGAATGACCTTTTCAAGGAGTCTGCTCCTTGGAACGAGACCGTTGCCAAGTACATCGGTGCCGCTTCTTCCTCTGAGGCCGACATCGTTGCCAAGATCTCTTCCTCCACCCAATTTGTGTCTGAAGACGACAAGGAGCGTATTCTCGCTGGTTTCAAGTGGCTTGGATTGTTCTCTGACACCAAGACCACCCCAAGAGGTAACCCATTGGACACCCTGTGTGCTACCTTGGAGGAGAAGATGCAGTATGAGGAAGGCGAACGTGACTTGGTCATCTTGCAACACAAGTTTGGCATTGAATGGGCTGATGGTACCACCGAAACCAGAACCTCCACCCTTGTTGATTACGGTGTTCCAGGCGGATACTCCTCCATGGCCAAGACCGTTGGTGTTCCATGTGCCGTTGCTAGTCAGAGAATCTTGGCCGGTGAGCTGGTTAGCGAACCAGGTCTCTATGCTCCAATGACCCCAGAGATCAACGATCCAATCATGAAGACTCTGAAGGATGAGTACAACATCTACCTGGTTGAGAAGACTTTGTAAGTGTTTACTTGAAATAGAATAGCCAATTTTAATTTTTTATGACGTAAGCGACGTGTACCGAACAATCGTGCCGCACGCCACGACACTCCGCTTTTGGCCTTCGAATGGAGATTGCTACCTACAACACTCTATTGAGTTTTCCTCCTTGTCGTTGTTTGACGGCTAGAAGCCATTTTACCGAGCCAATTTGCCAAAAATGTCTACCAATCCTTCAACTGCATCGAGTACAGTTGGCTACGATGGCCAGGGGCACTCCCCCTACGGATCCGCAGACGGCGAGGATGTTGTGGAGAGCAATATCGAAGAGCCACAGTCCTATTCCCCAAAAAGGACCAACGAACCCCTTTCAACCCAAGACCCTGAACGAAGACCCCTGCTATCTCCCGATGATCCCAGTGTGTCGCCGTTGAACGTCAGACGTGTGCGTATCTCGCGTGGAGTCATCACCTTGTCAACCGTGGTGTCTGCACTGTGGTTCATCTTGTTGCTGGTGTCAGACTTTGTCTCCATCCCGGGATTCAATAACCGGGGAAGAAGCTTTTTTGAATTGGACCTGATATTTCTCAGTTTGATAGCAAATTTCACTGCTCTGACGTTTTTCACGGTCCCATCGCCGTTCGAACGAACAGTGGGCTACGTCACCTCTGGATTTATCGCTTTTGTCCTCTTTCTGATTCTGGTGGTACCATACCTCAGACATCAGCACGGAATGGTTGGATTTTTGACTGTTTTGTGGGTATCAGCCACAATGGCTTTTGGATGTTTGGCTGATTACTTTGTGGAGTTGGCTAAGACCTCCGAGGAGATAAGACTCACTGGTCGCCCCGAGACCAGACGCACTCTGTTCGAATACACAGCCATTTCGGTCAGATTCGTTCTGAGAGTCGTGGTACTAATTCTGGCATTTTTCTTGTGGCTCAATGTGCTGTTTTCAGCGTTTGACTCGAGAATCAAGCCATGGGGCAAGACCGTCTCTGTTGCCAATGACTCTTTGGATCTGCATCTGTATTGCGTGGGAGATGTCTATGGAAATTCTACTAACGAAGAGAAGAGATCACAACCGACTGTTCTTTTGGAATCAGGACAATACACCTCTGTTGAAGAATTCTCTAAATGGGTGGAGGAACTATATCATCTGAATAAGATCCAAAAGTACTGCCTGTACGATCACCCGGGAATGGGGTTTTCAGACTCTGCTCCATCGCCCATATCCATAGGGATAATTACCGATATGCTTCACGAGGCTTTGACCAAGGAGAAGATCTATGGACCTTTCACTCTGGTCGGATTTGACATGGGTGGATTGTACTCCAGGGTCTTTGCATCCCGCCATATGGATCAGGTTGATTCTGTGCTGTTGGTTGACTCTTGGCCTGCAGATTTGCTAAAGGGTAATCCCCTAGGCAATACTGCTAAAGGAGAGAGAAAGGACGAAAATTTCAAAAAGACGCTAGGTATAAGGCCAATGTCTTCTCGTACTGGTCTTGCACTTTGGCTGGAAGGAGTGGTTGCACCATTCAGTCTGAGAAACTTCAAGAGAATGCTTTTGCACCGTGATGGGTCTAATTCGAGGATCTGGGGCGACAGCATGAGGTACCAGAGCAAGTTCATAAGGGCCAAACTGCAAGAGCAGATAACGTCTAATATCCTGTCGTACAACGAGGTGGTTAACGCAGACGAGCAGCTGCACAAGGTTCCGCTGAGTGTGGTGACTTCCAACACAATGATCAAGAACTCACCCAACTGGGGGAGATGGCAGCGAGAACTCACCAAGCTGGGAACAGGTGCTGTTGAATGGTTGATTGCGGATGGTGACCACAAGATTTGGGAGAATCCAAAGGGTGTCAAAGATCTTCAGGATATTCTTAGGGGTATTGTCACTGGAGAGACTGTCATACCTTTGGAGGCCGAAAACACGACTGACCTAGTACAGAACACACCATGAAGTCTACATACGAAAAATTTCAACATCAATTTAAACATTACAGCTTAGAGACCTTCCTCTCATGATACGTTAAAGTTGTCAAGCTCTGCCTAACAGCTGTCTAATCCTTGTCCGGACCCTACCAAGCTTCTCACTAACACGATAGAGTGGAGAAACCTTCGCTAAAGAGTCAGCTTGCTCTTGCGTAACCACGCGTTTCACCAGCAGATTGAATATTCCTCCAAATGCCAAAGACATCACAGTTGACGTGAGAATAATCACGTTGTAGGGCATACTGAAGTCAGGTGTTGGCAGTGTAAGCAACGAAGTTGTTGTTCTAAAGTGGTAGATCTCATTACCTTCCTCTCCAATGACCGAAATCACGGCCGGGTCAATCTCGAAGCCATGGTTCGCATCTGGTGGATATTCGGCATACAATAGCATGGACTTGTCGAACTGGTAATTCAAAGTCACCGAGCAACCCGCTGGGATTCTCAACAGAAGCTCCAAATGGGTAGGAGCTTTTCTGTCGACGGCCGGGCTGTAATAAATCTGTTTCAATACCGTCTCACTGAGAGGGTCCGAGATGGAGTATGTCACCGTGGACTTGTCAGGCTTCGTAATTGTGATGTCCATGGTGTGCAGGAATATACGAACAAACCAGGGAAGTGTTTCAAAAAACACGAGATCCACATCTTTATCTTCGGAAATGTTTGCAAAATCAGTTCTGAATCCACCCGAATCCTGAGAGTGGCCAGTCAACGATCTCGAGGTCATTACAGGAGGTTTGTTGAGCGCAACAACGTTGTTTGATTCGTCAGTAGAGAACAAGAAGTTTGTGGTACTCTTCACATCCAAATCCGCACAATCATCAACAACTGTAAACTTCTCATCATCTCCTGTGCCCGTGACAGCGTACACTTTCCAGTGTTCATGGTTCACATGGGCACACACCTTGGAAGGCTCTGACGATATAGAACTACCACCGTTTATCGTGGTTCCAAACAAAGTCTTCAGGTCCCATGACATGTCTGTTTTTTCGCCTAATGGGAAGCATTGGAAGACATTATGCGTCTTGCTCTGATCACACCTCAATTCTTCTCCAGGCGTGGGTTTTGGGATTGGGTTCAAGGCCCTATCAATTGTCTTCGGAACATTAAGAACAACGTCTATGGCTTGTTTGAGGTTGTAGTTGCAGATGAGACTGTCATCGCATTCGGTCAAGATATCAATTGACATGGAACTCCATTGGGAGTTGAAAACCTTGTGACCATTCAACAAGGAGGAAATACCAGCTTTCCCCTTGGCAGGAAGTATCTTTATGAAAGGTGTGAGATTCTCCGTGCAGATTGGTTCACGTGGTAGCGCGCTTCTCAGCAAGTACAGCTGTTTCTCAGGTTGTACCTTCTGGTAGAAGCTGGAGTACGGCTGCAACGTTTTGACGGGGTATGTGGTGATTGATTCGTCAATGAAGTTGAAAGAAGCGCAAAACAAGCCGGACAACGAATTCACCAGTTTCACCCAACTCTCGAGAGCTTGTGCCTTATCATCTGCTTCAATTAAAGACCATATTTCCACTCCAGTACCACCAGCCGTTGATCCGTTTCTTGGTAGCGACCCCCATACTTCAGAGTCCCACCAACCTTGGGAAAATCTCAGATGAAGCTCTCTCGCTCTTGTTGTCTTCAATATCGGTCCAAATGATCTGGGAAAAACTGTGTAGTGTGTAGATATGGAGTCGCCATCCGAATAGAGCTGTATATCGTTGGAGTCAAGTTCAAAGTTGAAGGACGCAAGTAGGTTGTTTCTGGGTAAAGGCGTCAGATCAAGTCTTTCTTTAAAAGGATATGTGTTTGCCGTTGCATCAACTGAACACGCCAGCAACACAAGTGTCCAAATGCTTTGCAACAGCATTTTGCAATGGCTATGTTGGTCAGCAAGTCGCGTCTTGAACTCTGATTCGACGTAAAAAGTGTAACTTTTATTCAAAACAGTAACGCAAATGCAATTGACCCAACCGGCTGATACTAAATATTGGGAACAAAATAAATCACAGCTAACTGCAAGTGTGTCAATCCACTTTGTGGAGTCAGCAATGTAATCGCTATGCGTTGTTGTTGAAAAGGGTCTAAATTAGACACGTGACCAAGATTCGGTAAACACACTAACAATTGCCGCATACTCAATCTTTTCAGATTTTACCACACGTAGCTATGGAACAACTTTGAAACAAGCACCCTCCGACGTTGGAAGTTATATTGCAGATATGACTGGTAAGTATTCTAAAACAGTGAGCCACAAAATTGGTTTGACCCTAACAAATTTCCCAGATCTTGACAACAGGGCCAAGACACAGTCTGTGAAGCTGACGGGGCAATACACTGCTCCCAAGCTAGTGGAAGATGAAATCATGGAAGAAGTGGAGAATTCCCCGGTGGTAGTGAGTTCAGTGAGTTCAGGCAATGGTAAATCAGTATATTCGAAAGAGAATGATTACCAGAGGCGAAAGTACGATACAATACAACAAATGGAAAAGGCAGGTGACGAGTCCAAATCCTATAAAGAGCGCATGAAGCTGAAGTCATTGGAAAATGGTCAAGAGGACTCGTCTAAAGAGGAAGAAAAAGGTCTAGAACGAAGAAAACAGAGAAAACGTCGTTGGGATGTTACTGACGAGGATACCAATCAGATTGACAAGAAGACAAAAGTTGATGGAGTGATTGAGACCTCCAGTTTGCCCACTATCAATGGAATTGAACTCAATGACGAGATTTTGAACAAATTGCTTCCACCTGGATTTGTGAAGATACCACAGCCTGAAAGTTATAAACCAAGAGACGATGAATTGCCAGATTTCTCCAACTTCGATGCCTCTGGCAATGCTGATGGCTACATGATACCGCAAGAGAGCAAAATGCTCGTGGAGGCTAAATTGGTGAACCCAGCCATGATTTCTGATGTTTCGGGAATTGGTGAACTACAGTTTTTCAAAGAAGAGGACATGAAGTACTTTGGAAAACTCATAGTGAAAAAGGATGTTCCACCAGAGAGCATGTCTGTGGATGAAAAGAAAGAAATCAGGACTATGAGGCTTTTGCTGAGAATCAAGAATGGATCAACACAAAACAGAAAGACTGCTCTGAGATCTCTCACAGAGAATGCCAGATTCTTGGGACCAAAGGTACTATTTGATCAAATTCTTCCTTTAATGATGGAGAAGAGTCTCGAGGACCAGGAAAGACATTTGCTTGTGAAGGTCATAGACAGGATCCTCTTCAAGCTGGATGAGCTGATCAGGCCATACACTCACAAAATACTAATTGTGATCATGCCTTTACTGGTAGACTCGGATTTGGTGGCTAGACTGGAAGGAAGAGAGATCATCTCCAATCTGTCAAAGGCCGCTGGTCTGGCACACATGATCTCAACTCTTAGACCTGATATAGACAGCTCTGATGATTACGTGAGAAACATTGTTTCGAGGACTTTTGGCGTTGTCGCCTACTCCCTTGGTGTACAGAACCTGTTACCCTTTCTCAAGGCCGTGTGTCACTCCAAGAAGAGTTGGCTTGCCAAACACACCGGAGCCAGAATTGTTCAGCAAATTGGCATGATTATGGGTTCAGGAATTTTGCCGCATTTGAATGGCTTGATTTCGTGTGTGGCTGATTCGATAAATGACGAAAATGCACAGGTGAGAATAATGACCGCTAATGCGATAGCTTCGCTGGCAGAATCTGTTGCGCCGTATGGTATTGAGTCCTTTGAAGAAATACTGCAAGACCTTTGGGGAGGAATGAAGAAACACAGAGGTAGAGGACTGGCTGCTTTTTTGAGGGCTATAGGTTCCACCATACCACTTATGGATGAGGAGTATGCCAACTATTACACACGGGAAGTCTTCAAAATTCTTTCCAGAGAGTTCTCTTCTCCTGACGAGGAAATGAAGAGAACTTGTCTCAAGGTGGTCCAACAGTGCTGTGAATCAGCTTCCGTTCTCACTAAAAAGTACATGCTCAATGAGGTTTTGGAAAATTTCATGACCAACTTCTGGAACAGAAGAACCGCTCTGGATAAAAGAGTAGCAGGTTTGTGTGTCCACACAACTGTCACGATTTCCAAGAAGGTTGGATGTGCTGAGATTGTTGAGAGGATCCTTGTTCATTTGAAGGACAGTGCCGAGCCATTTAGGCGAATGGCTGTAAGCACTTGCGATACGATAATCTCAGAGATAGGTAGCATGGATCTTTCAGATAGAACGGTTCACAGGCTCGTTGACGGGTTACTTGTTGCATTCCAGGAGCAGACGACACAAGATCCGGTTTTCCTGAATGGCTTTGGCCACATTATTAAATCGATCGGCATAAGGTCAAAGCCTCATTTGCCCTCAATCCTGAGTACACTTTTGTACAGGTTGAAAAGCAAGTCTCCCGAGGTTCGTCTGCAAGCTGCTGATTTAATTACTCAGATAGCACCGGTAATCAAGCTGTGTGGGGAAGAGGATATTTTGGCCAAGCTGGGATCCATATTGTATGAATCTTTGGGAGAAGTGTTTCCCGATGTTTTGGGATCGGTGATTGCAGCTCTTGGTTCAATCGTGGTGGCCTTGGGTGCCGCTTCCATGAATCCACCAATTTCTCAAATTCTGCCAACTCTGACCCCTATATTGAAGAATCGTCATGTCAGAGTTCAAGAAACCACCATTGAGTTGATTGGAAAAATTGCGGACAAAGGAAAAGAGTTTGTGAACCATCGCGAATGGATGCGTATCAGTTTTGAATTGCTCGAAATGTTGAAAGCAAGTAAGAAGTCCATCAGAGTCGCTGCAAATGAGACCTTTGGGCACATAGCCAAGGCAATCGGACCTGCGGATGTTTTAGTGACTTTGTTGAACAATTTGAAGGTTCAAGAACGTCAATTGCGTGTTTGTACAGCAGTTGCGATTGGAATTGTTGCCAAAACATGTTCGCCATTCACAGTTCTGCCTGCACTAATGAATGAGTATCGTACACCAGAAGTTAATGTCCAGAACGGTGTTTTGAAAGCTATGACTTTCATGTTTGAGTACATAGGAGACATGAGTGCTGATTATGTCTACGCTGTGTCTCCTCTTCTGGAAGATGCTCTCATCGAGAGGGATCTTGTACATCGCCAAACTGCTGCTACGGTAGTCAGACACATGGCTCTGGGATGCGTTGGGATGGGACTGGAGGATGTGTTCTTGCACTTCTTGAACTTGCTGATTCCAAACATATTTGAAACCTCGCCGCATGTCATCAGAAGAATCATGGACGGGATTGAAGGATGTCGTAACATCGTGGGTCCAGGCTTGGTGATGAACTATTTACTTGCCGGGTTATTCCACCCTGCTCGAAAGGTGAGGCATGCTTACTGGAGGATCTTCAATGAAATGTACGTTCAGAGCTGTGATGCTATTGTTCCTTTCTATCCTAGGCTGGACGGTGTAGGTCCTGCCCCAGCCATGGAAGGAAATGCCGCGACGAGAACACCAGACATTCCTGAGCTTGATCTTATGATCTAGTACTGACTCTATATTGGTAATCATCTATGTACGATAATGTAATCACACTAGTTTGCCCGATTGGCATCGTCATCCAACGATTCGTCCACAATGTAATCCCTGTCAGCCTTTTGTAAGTCAGCTTTTTCGTCGTCGAGGTCATCATCATCATCATCCTCTTCTTCTTCTTCTTCGCCCAAATCGTTTTCGTCATCGTCTTCTTCATCTGTTTCGCCATCGTGATCATAGTCTTCGTCTTCATCGTCGTCATCGTCTTCGGGGCCCTGGGAACTCTCCGCAAAAAACTCGTCCAAGCTTTGTAACTTGAACTTCTTAGCGTTAGCAACAGGGGCCAAGGTCGAAACTGATGATTTTTCATAGGTACCAGGCATAGATAAACTAGAAGCAGACCGGAAGCTGGCGGGGTTATTCACCACAGTTTTGTGGCTAATAGAGTTCACAATTTTGTTGAAACTCTTCACCTCAGATTCTTTCTTGCGTAGGTCTTCGTAGTAAGTCTGAAGAGAAGAATCAGAGGCAATTGCGTCACTCCATTCTGGCACTTCCAAAAATGCGATCAATAAGGGAGAGAACAGTTCTCCCTTGAGGCGGGTGTCAAGATTCGACTCGTCTCCAGAATTCGAAGTCAGAGAATTTTCAGTTATTGGGGCATTTTTGGAGACTTGGAGCATAAGGGCAGCTAGGTCAACTTCTGATAGCTTTGCATACATATCTGCAATTACTTCACCAGCAATAGGAGAAGTCTCTGGACTCAAGAAATCCTCAAAACTTGTAAGTCCCGAGGATGTTGTGATATATTTACCAGAGAAGATGTTTGGCAGTAAGTACGACAAAGTTCTGGCCTTATCACGAACATCCAGCGAAGGGTCATATTTCGCATAATGAAGAGTCAAACTGAATAGCTTGAAGACAATATTGTCAAATTGGTAAAGGCTGTCTCCATAGGTTTGCCTGTGCATGTAGAGGTCTTTGGTAAACAGTTTCGCTGCGAATCCCAGTATTTGCAAACGACAGATCGAAGATTCAGTAGCAAATGTTGTCACCAAAATTCTCAAGACATCAGGCAAGCAGGCATCCAAAACAGGTGCAGAAGGAATGTCAGCTGTCCTTACATCCGAGCCTTGCTGTGCCTGCATCCATGAGTTGGAAAACTCACCCAGTAGCCATATTATCGAAGCTCGAGTCACAGGGTGATGTATAGTCATGGATTTGGCCGCATCCGATATCGGAACTAGTTTCGCCAGTAATCTCAAGAGAACTGGTGTGTTTTGCAACAGATTTTGCTGGATAATATACCGTACTCCCGTCAATGCTTCTGAGACTAGTATATCTGTAGAGCCTGGAATGCCATCAGATTCCTCAACAGATGCGAATTGATCCAAAGTGCGAAGTAGCCAACTCAAAACCTTTGAGGTGTGCTTTGCATCTAAGTTCACAGCTTTTGAACAGCAAAGTTTGCAAATGCATTTCACTGCTAGCACCTTGGCTTCGACATCGAGTACTCCAGACTCAACAGTGTACTTGAACTCCTTGAAAATAACGTCAAAATTGGCGTTGTTGGCTAGCTTAGCCATGATCAAAAGCTTCAACCTTGCTATCTCATGCGATTCGTTGGGTAGAAGAAAGAACTGCGAGATCTGATCATTCTGCAAAAACGCAGGATAAGAACTGATTATCAGCAGAATTATCTTCAATGCAGTCTCTGCGACATCCTGGTCCTGAGAACTTGTAAAGCGATACAATGCCCTATCCAGTTTATAATCCTTGATCACCTTTGGAGGTGCTAGAGCGATCAAACAACGGGCCACAGCGAGAACGACACTCACAGATTGCGAGTAAACAGAGTCCCGCACAGAACCCAGAAGCGATGATAGATCTGTATGGAATATCACGTCGTACTCGGAGAACGATAATGACGAAAAGTGTGAGAACGAAGGCATATCCACCATCTCGTTTGGGGAGTCAATGATAGACTCGGCATTTGAACGGTCCAGTAGCTTGGGCTTCGGCACAAAGAGTCTGGCGTAATCAGTAAGCAAAGGTATCACCAGGGCCTTGGCAGAATCGTCGAGCTCCGGGATCTTGTGACAGATGTGGGTGTATCGAGAATGCAATAGCTCATATTTTCCGGGGAAAATCTGAGCAAAAGTGACTATTGCCGAGCCCAAAACTTTGGCGTCATCATCAGAAAGTAAAACAGCCAAATTATTGAACAAGTTGTGAACATTGGAAGACTCATCCTCCAGAGCTTCATCAGTAGAAAGATGATCGTTGTACACCCTGTCCAACTCGAAGCATTTCGTGATAGCAATTGCCGTAGACGATCTCACCAACGGGGATACATCGCTTATTGTCTTCTTGATACTAAGCATAAGAATGGGCAATATGGCAGGTATCTTGATACCGCAGATCACCCTGATGGCCAGCGATCTGATCAACGGGCTTTTATCAGAAAGCGACTTCTGGATAGCATTGATGGACAACAGCGAGATATCTTGCTCGAGATGGTTATATTTCAGCAAATACACGAAGACAAGTTTCTTCACCGTGAGATTGGAAGAATTGATGTTCTTGACCACATGTGGGAAGAATTGCAGCACATCCAAGTCTCCCTCGTTGGTCCTTGAGGATACTCGTGTGATATATTTGAGTGCTAACAACTTCTCTTTTTCACTGGACGAATTCAGGTACGACAGCAACTCAGTTTCGTTCAATTGAGGCATACTCTGCGAGGAAAATGCCGAAGAGTACACCTTTCCGTTGATCAGGTCGCTTATGGCTGCGGGATTGAAGTTGGTGCCCTGTCCAGTATGGGATATGGCGTCCATCGTCAAATCCCTTGCGGACTCGATCATGGAGGAGATATTCCTAGCAAGAGCAGAGTCAGTCATCGCGGGATTACTGAGGAAGTACCTGCAAAAATTGTATACTTGTTCAAGAACAACAGAGTGTTTTGTCCTTGTGTCTTGTCCTTTTGGCCCTGCAAAGAGTCCAGATGGCGTCCCCAGTGTTCACGTGCAGCACAGCCCTGAAAAATGAAAGAAGAAGTCGACCATCGCAACATGGCGACATTCCAGTGAACAAGACCTTGTGCTTCAACATCAATTGAGCGTCAATTGGTGTGCAGAGAATATATTTGATCTGGAAATGGCTGGATCTGAAGATGATGATATTTCCATAGCTTCTGCTGGAAGCGCGCAACGAAAGAGTCTCAGGCGAACCATCTCGATAGACTCACTGGCTCCGTCCAACCTATTAAAGACAACGAATTCTTTTACGCGGTTATTCCAGAAGGGAAACAAAAGGAAGCTGGACGACACGCCTTCGGCTTCCAATGCTACTTCCGAGTATGAAAGTGACGAGACTGAGAACTCGGATGAGCAGACTACCTACAAGAAGCAGAAGACGCTCACGGAAGCGGATCTAGAGCTCCAGAAGAAAGAGGAGGAGTGGGACAGTTTGCTACCGGCGGAATACCGCAAATACAGACCCAAAGGCCACAAGCTGAATCCGCCACCTACAGACCGTCCAATCCGCATATATGCGGATGGAGTGTTTGACCTGTTTCACTTGGGCCACATGAGACAACTGGAACAAGCCAAAAAGTGCTTTCCAAATGTGGAACTGGTTTGCGCAATTCCGAACGACGTAGAAACACACAAGAGAAAAGGGCTGACCGTTTTGACAGACAAACAGAGGTATGAGACGCTGAGGCACTGCAAATGGGTAGATGAGGTGATCGAAGATGCTCCGTGGGTGGTGACTCTGGAGTACCTGAAGGAGCACAAAATTGACTACGTTGCCCACGACGATCTTCCGTATGTGGCGGATGGAATCGAGGACATATACTTGCCTATGAAGCAGGAGGGCATGTTTCTCGCGACGCAGAGGACAGAGGGGATATCCACATCGGATATCATCACCAAGATTATCAGGGATTACGACAAGTACCTGATGAGGAACTTGGCTCGAGGAGCAACCAGAAAAGAGCTCAACGTGAGCTGGCTGAAGAAAAATGAGCTGGATCTCAAAAAGCAAATCAGCGAATTCAGACACTACTTCAAGAAGTCCAGTCAAAATCTGAACAGGGCTTCCACAGACTTGTATTTTGAAGTTCGCGAGTTTCTGAGAGGCAAAAATTCATCTTCTAAAGAGCTGGGATTGTCAACCTCACCCAGTTTTGATTCCTCCAGCAGCTTCCTAAAAAGACTGAGATCGCCAGCCACGGATTTCGCCTCCAAGTATAACGGCAACGAGCATATGAGGTCCAGGTCTATCATAGACAACTTCAAGGAGTGGATGACAAAAGATATTGCAGACTCATCCGAAATCTCGGATAGTCACCTTGACGAAGACGAGGACGAGGACGAGTTCGAGACCAGTGAGAGCCACGATGAGGACGCCGGAGCCGAGGAAGGCCATGAAGCCCAGGACGATGAAAGCTCCTGAAGATATGGATTATATGCTAGTTTACTACCTATCTGTTATTCAAGTTGATTGGCTTTTTGAAATAACCTGTAAAGTGAAAAATAAACCAAACTGAAAAGTCCGAAGCCTTCCGTGCACCACACAGAAGTCTCTCCGGAGACGCCAGGCTTGATTTCTTCGATCTTCTCTTGTTCACACCATTCCGCAGAATTGCTTGTAAACTGATCACCATGCCCACAGTTGCGGATATAAAATACTTAGAACCAACGACTCTGCGGAATTGGCTCCGTCAAGGGTGTAGTGCCACGGGATCCAAGTTCTTGGTGGTTGATGTTAGAGACTTTGACTATGTTGGGGTAAGTAGCGTCTCATGACGGCAATGGACTGAACTCCCTTTTACTAACTATACACACATTCACAACAGGGCCACATTAAAAACGGAAGAAATTTGCCTGCAAACACGCTGACCAAAGAGCTGCCCAAACTGGCCGAAGATGTGCTGGATAAAGATTACAAAGATGTGGTTTTTCACTGTGCTCTCAGCCAGCAGAGAGGTCCCACTGCAGCCATGTCGTTCTTGCGGTATCTCAATAAAACAGAAACGGAAATAAAAGGTCTGACAGTCTGGATTCTGAGAGGAGGGTTCACAAAGTGGCAGGAACTGTATGGTGAAGACGATAGTGCCACTGAAGGATACGATAAGCGGATCTGGGAGTTCCAGTAACATATCTTGGTAAGGCCATAGGGCCTTTTCCGCACCATTAAATAGACCAGCTTGTATATGGCTCATAATTCGCACTCAAATCACGTCAAACTCTGAGATATATAATATGCAAACAGCGCGTAAAAAATAAACCTTATTTTGACGGTCTGCGCCAGGTATGGTTCATAACTAAACCTCTTGGGCCTCATGATCTCAAAAGTTTCCAAAAACCTCAATTGCATGGATTTGCGAGAAAACATAACATAAACACGTTTTTTAGCCCTTTCGCCAGCATCAGCCTTGGTCTGTGGGTCCATTTGTAGAACCTGGTTCATGACAGCACTCCATTCGATGTGGTCTGACGAAATCGTGAAACCCGTCCACGATTTGGACTCCGCAGAAAAATTCTCCACAGTCTCCAAGGGTCCCCCTGTGTCCGTTGCAAGGACAATTTTTCCCTGACGCATTGCTTCCAGTGGTACAATTCCGAAGTGTTCAAAGGATGGGGTATATAGCAAAATCTGACACTGCGAGATCAGTGAATCCTTTAAATCAGAGGTCACGGAAGGCAAAAAGAAAACATTTCTGTCTTTGGGATAAGTACTCAGGTTTCCTCTGAGAGTTATTGACTTGAGCTGGAGCTTCGCGCAGAGCTCCTCTAGTTCGATCAGATACTCCACGTTCTCCCTGACCCTAGCATCATAGCCACCGGCCAGTACCAGCTTCAAAACTGACCGTTTTTGCTCCGGCAAAGAGCTCAACAGATCAGCAAATGCCAAAATAGCAAGCGAAATGTTCTTCTTCCTTTCGAATCTATTGATGGACAAAAACATGTCCGAGCCGTTGAGGAACGTGCTCACCTCCTTCACACTAGACTCCTCCAGCTCAACCGCAGTTGGCACACACGGATATATGACCTGAGGAGTGATATGTGCCAAGGACCTAAACGTCTTTTTAAAAATTGATCTAGTGAACTTGGAGTTCACCACAATTTCATCTGCACAACCCGTCGTGAACTCTTCAATGGTGTCAAACACTTTGCGGTACAATGATCTCACGAGAGAGGCATGAGAAGCCAGTAATTGGTCTGGAAAATGACAGTAAAAAAGAGTCTTGGCATCGGATCGTTTGTTATAATGAAGAAGAGGTAGACAATAAGGCAATTGGTCTAGAACAAACATGTCATATCTCTCAATCTCTCCAGAGAACACCAACCAAAGACATAGCCATAGCTGTCTTAGTGTAGCGAACACAATATGGAGTCTACCCTTGATATTGGTAGGAAAAAAATCACCACATACTTCCACATGAAGCGTTCCATTGGCCACTTCTTCGAAACAGTGTGTCCGATCGCAATGGGATGTGTATATGGTCACCTCGTTGTCCTCTTCTTGAAGCGAAACAGCGGCGTCCACCACGAGTCTCTCGGCGCCGCCTTGAAAGAGTTAGTCCATTTTTGAATGTCTAGAGGTAATAAACACGCTTACCTATTCCCAAATCTGGGTGTATAAATGCAATTTTCATGAGTGGTGGCCTTGGGAGGAGAGAGCTTGAAAAAGAACCATAGTTAAGGCCATAGTTAAGGCTGTAGTTCAAGTCTACTTAAGGCCAAAGTCATCACCAAAGACTTTTGAGGCTCGCACTCTCTTAGAGATAGCTCAAGGCTCGAGTTTCGTAAACCAGTTACTCCATCAGTTTACAGTCGAGTTTCCCAGATTCCGAATAAAAATGTTGGTACCTCCTGATAGTTTTGGTCTCGTGGAAGAAGGAGTTTGTATGTATTTTGCATCTGTTTTACAGCTACCGTTGGTGAAGTGCCGGTCTCCTGAGCTCCACTAACCTGTCAGATCGTTGTGCCAAGTTGGATGCCATTAATTTCTCGTTTCTTGAAACGCTGAACCTGACTTCGTTGATATTGCTTGATCCCGAAAAGCCTGCAAGGCCGTTTCGTATTTTTCTAGAGGACAGAGGCATAGTGCTGCACCATCTGGGGGGTCTCGAATCCAGCTTGAATGATGACTCCAGCTCCAAGATGGAAGACTGGATGCTTCTGAAGCCCCAGATAGTTGGAAGGATCTTTGAGATCATATTCGAGAAGAAAAACCACAATGTTCTGTTGATAGACAAGTCGGAGACCGTGATCGGGGTGTTGAGGCAGATTCAGAAATGGACGTTTACAAGCATAATAAACGAGTACCGGCTTTACTCAGGAAATAAGTCCAACTATTTTTCGGAGAATTTCCTGGAACTAGTATCGGTGGAGCTGATACCGCACGATTATGACTCCTCCGTTCAGTCTGACGCCAAGACCACGACTCCAGAGGGCGACGATATAGAGAGAATGAAAGACCATTCCATTCCCATAAAAGCCGTTCACAGAAACAGCTTTCAGTCCAAAAGACCCGATTTTAATATGGAGGCCTTGAGGAGCTCTTTGCCGAACAAGGATGAGGGTCTGGAAGAGAGCACCGCTATCAAGGACGACGAGATGTCGCTGTCTGTCTCTCCGCAAATACCGAAGAATTTGCTAAAGTTTGCCGAAATGAGAAAGCAAAAGAAGATGCAACATCAAGGGGGATCCGAAGAGAATGAGATTTCAATCTCTAATTTTGTTCGGTACTACCAACCCTCCAATAATTGGTTCCACACCCGGTCCAAACCAATCAAAGTTAGACTACCGCCAGAAGATGAACTGCCAAATTGGTTCTTGAGACAGAGAGATGGATGGGAGGCCGATTTCAGCAGATTAAATTGTTGAAAGGAATGGAAAATTGCGCTCAAGGCCTTTTGATAAATTTCAGGGCATTTTCGTCGTGTCCGTGCGGCTTAGCGTCCCCCAGCGCTTACCATGTTTTGGACTCTCTTCATCCTTCTTACTGCTTTTTCTTTCCAGCGCGGTACTCAATCCCTTAGATTTTCAGATTATCCACAATATTTGGACTGAAAGAGTCTGCCAGCGAACTAAAGGATGTTGCACAAGTTACCTCCCAAACCGGCAAAGCCGCAGGCTCTCAACAAGGTATGGAGTCTACTCACCGCCGCTCATTGAACGAACGATTGAATATCATGTTTTCTAACATGTTTTACAGGTTTCCACCCCAGAACTAAACTCCCCGCGGCTTCCACAGACCACACCCCAATCGGACTTTGGAACGTTTCAGTTGATGTCGCCTTTTCAATTCACCTCATCTGCACCATACCAGTCTCCTCACATCCCCAATTGCACCAGGCAACTGGAAGGACACCTGATTGGTTGTCTGATGAATAGCCCTTCGGCTAATAAAGATGGGGCGGGCTTTCCTTCCAATTTTGATCCCCGAATGGAACCAAACATGCCTGCCACCAAGAAAGTGATTGGGTGGCTGAACGAACTGCCAGTAGACATCACCGCTCCAAGATCATTCAAAAATGGATGCTTTGAGCTTGAGCATTACAACGGTTTGGAAGTTGAGGATCTAATCGAACTCCTTTGGCCAGACGAGGATGCTGCCATAGAGTGCTCTACAGATGAGCTGATTGCATCACAGGCCAAGCAGATCGAGTTTCTAACCAGCAAACTATACTCTATGGAGTATACTAGGACACCCGAGGAGGTCACCAAGACGGCGCTGCGAAGTTCTCCGCCATCGTACAATGTGAGGTTGATCAATCGTTGAGCCGCCAAGATGGTTCGTTCTGGGTCGCTTCATACATAACGCACTCAATAATCATTTTGCTTGGAATCCCAGCCAAAATCTCCATGAATTGTAAAATTAGTACGTGACCAAGCTTAATATCTTCAGCTGATCTTAACAGACCTGTAAATGTCTGTAACACCTGCTACAGCGTAATTAACATAACGGCTAATAGTGACAGTGAACTTGCTTCGCAGTAAATAACATCATGACGTATGCATGCGGCTGATAAATTTCTCTACATCAGCTTCGAACCGTATTATAGTGCTGATTTCCTTTAATCAGAGCAATCATGGCCTCCTCAAATTCCATATTGTTGATAAATAGATTGCTCAGTCTAAAGGAACAGTCTCCCTTTTTGCTTGTGGAGGACTCTCTTTCGCAGTCGTCAGCATACTTCACACAGGAATTCGTCTCGAGAGTGCCTACAACACCAATAGTGTACCTTTCATTTGAAACAGTGAACGCGCCCAGTTTTGCTGCAAACTTTGTACAATGCCTTGGTCTATCTGTTGAGGAGATCCACTCCAAGATTGAGAGCAATGCCTCGAGGAAGACAATCGTGATGGTCGACTCTTTGAACTACATTCCTCCTTCACAGATCACCAAGTTTATCAAGATGCTTGTTCATCCCAATGTGATACTGTACGGTGTTTACCATAACAGTATCCCTCACATAGAAACACAGGATTACCCCAGTTCACTGCAATTGCTTCAGTTCATGGCAACGTCCATTTTTGAAATAAGACCAAGGCTCAAGAACATGGATGAGGAAGAGGTGGAGCACCAGATGGATATATGGAGGTTTCCAATAGGGGAAATTAACTCAAGCGAATTTTATGTTACTCTGACAAACAGAAGAAAATCAGGAAGGTCTGTTGTTCACAAATACGAGATAAATTCTGACACTCACGAGATTACGCCATATGTCTCCAAGGCGAAGGAGGATGCCGTTGGCGATGAAGAGCTGCTGAAAAATCTCACCACCTTCAACTTGACCACATCTACAAGGCAGAAGCATGCCAGACAAGAAGTTGAACTTCCTTTCATGATGGCACAGAATGGGGAAGGGGCCGTTGGAGGCGCGATCGTTTATCAGTACGAACAGGATGATGATTACGACGAAGAAGATCCCTATGAAGATCCGTTTTGAACACTACGTAAATAATGATACAAACACCGAGAATATTGATGCATCTTGTCCGTCATATGTCGTTCTCGTCCTGCCTAGTGTTTTTCTTCCTGGGCCACAAACTGGGAAGTTTAATGAGTTGGAATCGTGGTTCTATGCACCGTTCCACAAACCAATTGCGCAGCTGAGAGTCAATAATCGAGCTCAAACGGGGAATATCTTCCAATTTGGTTCTGGAACCTATCAAGGACTTGATCTCAAACTCCAGTCGATAATCCGGCGAAAACGAGAACATGAGCCCCACACCCTTGGCAGAGCTTGACGAATCGTCTTCCAACTCCTCGTCTGAAGCTGTAATCAATGAGACTGTCAAACAGCCCGAGAAACGAACGATCGAAACTGACAACTGTATCGGCAGCGAAGCAGTTAAAGTCTTGGGGTAGTTGAGCAAGAGTTTCGTTTCTATCTCCAGAGTCAGAGTATCAGAAAGATCCACATCAATTTTGGCCTCAAGTCTTCCATTGAGTTCGTTCTGCTTAATCCTGCAGTTACTGAAGATAGGAAAGTCGCTTCCGATATTGATCTCCGTTATGTTGATAGTGTCGAGGTAATCAGGCAGATCAGAGGAACTCAGTGCTGCACGTAAACTGTGGTAAATATTGTCGTTACTCAGGGCTTCATCTCTGAACTGCGAGATCATCTGGGCCACAAGCACATTGAACCAGTCTAGCGACTCCGATTGGTGTGTCTTGACATCGTAATATGTCTTTTCCAGTATGGCTGAAACTTTGGCCTTGAAGAGGTCAGCAGCAGATTGTGGCAGTCCTTCATTATCCAGAGAAAGAAGCGGGCTGGACTGTGAGTCTATTGTCTTATAGTTCTTTATCCTTTTGTTTATTATGGGTTCCTTGGGGGCAGTTTTGTTGGAAGCAGCCGATTCGCTGAAAACGAAAAACCGTATGAACAATACGATAACCACGATGACACTTAACTGGCCAAGTAGGAGACCTTGCGTGAATCCCCATCTGTAGAACGTTTGTTAGCGAAAAAACACAAAATAGACTGTAAGCTTTGAGTAAAGCATCGACTCACTGGGAAGAGGTGTATTTTTTCAGCAATTGCTCGTCTATCGGCACAAAAGTCTGACCCAGCAAGTCGTCATCAAATCCTGTTGTCTCGGGAACTTGAATGACCTGCTTCATCGCAATGGCGTGTTTTCGGAGACGTTTTAGCTGCGTGATAGTGTGAAAGGCAATCAAACCATTTCAAGCTTGAGGGCTGAATCAGGCATCATCTCTGCCAAATTTCAACGGCTCCCTAAGACTACTGTATTAAAAGATTGAGAAAAAACCAAATTTATTTCATAGCAAACCGAAAAAACATTATAAAAGTTGAAGTATACATGGTTATTTTTGAGTCTATATGACAATTCCAACGACGATGAAGGTGAGGGTTCCAACTATCATTGAAATGGAAGATGCAGACAGTTGGGAGTTGACCAACTTGAAAGATGGAGCCGAACCGGAATCACTGACCGAAACGGAGTTGGAAGTTGAGGAATTAGACTTGGATTTGGTGACTGAAGTGAGTGTAGTTTTGGTGTTCGATTTGGCAGAGATAGAAGTTGTAGCTTTCGAAGAAGACTTGGTGCTGCCAGAAGCACTGGAACTTGCCAGACTTGAAGTTGATCCAGACTTTGATGAAGAAGTTTTGGAAGAAGACTTAGTCTCAGTTGAAGACGTAGTCTCAGTTGAAGACTTAGTATTAGTAGAAGACTTAGTCTGAGTAGATGTTTCCGAATCTGCTGAACTCGATCCACTGCTTCCGCTCACCAAAGCACTGAACTCCTTATCAGCCTTGCTTTTGCGTCCATTGATTTCACCATCAGTGGACTCGATAGAGGTCCAGTCACCGCTCTGGTCCGAGTAGCTGTATTCTGAACCCGTAGAGTAGTCACTCACAACCAGGTTTCTGATGTACATGGAGAAAGGTGCATCAGAGTAATCAGTCTCTCCACCTGCCCATTCAATGGTGCCTTCCGCGTTTGTAGAGTCACCACCAGCCCAGATACCCATCATCACGTACATTGGCGTCTGAGGATACCCTTCGCTTGATGTGTTCTTCAAGGTCCTCACCACGGTTCCGTCAATGGACCACGTCAACTCCTCACTGGTCCAGTCAAGTGCATATGTGTGGTAGTCCGATCTTGGATCGGCCATATCGTGGTATTCACCTCTGTCGTAAGTAGATGTGTCTCCTTTGGAAAAGTAGTTCGATTGCATCTGCGAAGCATCACCACCAAACCATTCCATGTCAATCTCGTCGAGGTCGTCTGATTGAAGGTAAAAACTCGAGACAACACCCTGACCGTATGAAGATTTAAGCTCCACCTCCACGCGTCCAAACATGATGTAAAACTTGGATTTCAGAGATGGGTTGTCAAACCGCTCAGCCAGCGTCAGCGTGAGACCCGTGTCGTTGTAAAAGATCTCGTCCGCAGTGGAATAAACGCCAAAATAATCAGACGCCTCGGTGAAGTCAACTGCTATCGAAGTCGCAAGCGCCTTATCGGGCGAGCACGAGGAAGTAGACAGTGGATTGCATGTGGTGGCCGTACTTGACGAACTGGCGGTCACTGTAGTTGCGGCGCTTACGCTCGTCAGAGCGTTTGCCAGTAGCGACAGTGATAATGTGGAAAGTCTCATAATTTCTTCGAATGATACTCTTCAGATTGAAAGAAAGTGAAGAAAGAAAGGAAAGAACTCAAAATTGAAATTTCAATTCTTCGAAAAAACCGATGCGAAACGTTGTAGTTTAAATCCTCGTCTAATCTCTCACACTTCTAAAAATAAACGCTCTATAAGCCTTGCAGCGTGTCAGATCCCGAAATAGGTCCCCACCTCATCGCGCCCAAAAACCAGCCTCCCCAAATAGGCGCGTTTTCTCACATTTTCGGTGATTGGTCCGCGCACATACCAAAACTTGCAGGCAGATATCCAAGCCTTGTTGCGGTTGAGACGCGGTTTTGGTCGCGTTCCAGACCGTTGTCCAGGGAAAGGGGTAATACCGCCATAGGCACTGAAAATTTTCGCAGGATACTAGTGTGAGTGATGATGGTGGCCACAAACACGAGGATCATGCCCATACTAAGGTTAAAACACGGTATGCCGGAGTCGTCCTTGACTATACCAAAGAAGCCGATGAGGCATATCTCCAAACAGTAGATGCCCGAGTACAGCTGGAGCAACGCGACAGTGTAAAGTTTCCCGTAAGTCTCGGAGTGGTTTTCTCGGTAAAACACGTTTTTGAAGCAATACTTGTACCCTATGAATATCAGCATGAGAGAGATGGTGGTGCCCACTAGTATAAGAGGTGCAAGTATTGCATACACCAAGGCTATAGTGCCGAATAACGAGACCGTGGGATAGAGCATTCCCAATCTGAATCTGGGTGCATTTGCTGCCATTCTCATCTTCTGATTAACCTCTGAGGAGTCCACAAAACGACGGTGAAACAAAAATTTCAGCAACTCCGTGAGTCTTAGCAAAACGTTGCCGCATATCGTGAAGCCTCTTAACAGGAAAAATGAGTAGAAAAAACTGGAGGCTTTGGGCAAGTCTCTAGCAACGATTGTTGCAAGTGACGTGGGATTGTAAAGAGCCACTTCCACTATCACCATTATGCCTGAAGAAATGGTAACCACCAGGAAAACCTGGACAAACAGGAAGGAAAAATACCATCTTTGGAGATCTAGCTCCAGCTCTGCCATAGTCAGCACTCCTCTCATCAACGAAAGCTTTCTGAACATGGCTTGAGCAATCTCAGTCAAGCAGGTCAAAGCAATTGTTGGAAGGATACCAGCTATCACTTCCTTCACAATCTTGGGCAAAGCGTTCAGCCATCTCGCGTATGGAATGAGGGTGGTCAAATAGGGCAATTGAATCACCAGGCCAACAAAGGAAACAGGCACTACCCATCCAACAGTGATGGCCACACCGAGAATATTGGCCATATTAGTTGAGAAGACCAGTTTCCAGCTTGGCCCACGCTGTACGTTGGACCAGATAATTCCCTTCGGGTCTATATCTATGGTGAAATCGTTCATCTCAAACGGTTCACCAAACACCAATGTGTTTTTTGCCATGTAGGCCCCGAACGGATTATTGAAAACGATAAATGCCCTTCCATAACACCCAGGCTCTTGGGGACTCAACAGTTTCACTCGTAAACGTTTTATCTGCGGTTCCAACGATCTCAATGCCCTGTTCGCCCTATATATCTCAACTGTGGGAGCAGTGTCTTGCATTCTCATGAGTTCTAGCGTCTGCTCGAGCTTTGAATGTAATTGAGTCAACTTTTCAAGCCTTTCACAGTCAGGGATTAACCAAACATCCCGCACACCTCCATAAAACTTATTAAACACTCGCAATAGAGACTCGCGCTGTAGTTTTTCTTGCGGTATGTTAGATACCAGTAACACAGTGTTGTAAGAAACATTGGCTGCCAGATGCAAATGGCGGTGGAGAGTGCAGTACTGCAGTTCCTTGTAGATAACATATTGAACAAGAGCAATGTTGATAATTGCGAGCACGAAATGTGCAATGTATCGTTCCGTATGGTCTCTAGGCACGTTGGATATGGATAGTCTGTCTAGTCCTTGGACGTAGTCTCCCTTATTTCCAGCTATAAGAATTGGGATCAGCACCGAAATATTGATCGTACCAATAGGAACCAAAATAACACAGATCATTACCACCAGAAATCTCAAAAAATAGTAGGCATCAATCCCGATGTCTCGGTACTCCAGTATGGAGTCATTGGCTGTTTCTCGGATCCAAGCGAAAAAGTCCTGACATTGTTCGCTCAACCTAAAAGACTGATAAACATCCTTAAACTTTGTTCTCAACACAGAAAATGCTGCTATTTGGACAAGAAAATATAGGAGAGAGAAAACCAATGAAGCTGTCAGTGTTGTAACAGAAACGCCAGTGGCCAGATGAGCCGCGCCGGACTGGGTGGTGTTGAGGAAGTCGAATAAATGAGTGCTAGGAATAGTGACCAACTCCATTATGGAAAGTAATAAAGATGACTGTAAGGAATTGGCTGTCTTAGTGGTAGTTAGATTGAAGGACTATGGCTAAAGAGAAGAGTATGGTTGAGTGCATAGGAGAGATCTAATGGTTTATGTGACAAGTACATGGTGAGGGGTAACTTCATTCGCATATTCTGGGTGGAAATCTCATTGAGAGTGTCATGCAAAAAACAGAATTATAATAACAGACATTTGAGTCTATACAACAATAATTGGTTCTATTTACGTACCAATACATTGAAAATGGGCAATAATAGCGAACAAAAACAAGAACAAGTACTCCAGAAAACCCCCCTAATAAACCAGAACTAAACTTTCACTTTTTTGGAACATATATCGAATCCAAAACCATCTCCAGAAATTCGAAAACCGTCTCGAGGTAGTAGTCAGACTCGTTTTGGTACACCGACAGCCTCTTTAAGAGATCTGTGAGCTTTGATGGAGCCATGGTAAGACGCGTTTTTAGGCCTAAACTTCCGTCTAGATTCAGGATGGACTCCATCATGGCTACTTCTGAATTCCAAACTTCTTTGAGAAATTTCTGGCTCAGCTTGTCCAGAATCTCCTGACTCAAGACCTCTTCCTTATCTTCTCCATCTTTCATAGTCTGTGTTGATGACATAGAACCACAGCAATTCTGCACTCCTGGTCTCAATTCCAGTGTAGCTGTATTGTCAAACCCAAATTGTGAAAACAATGAGCTTCCCACAAACAACAAACACAATTATCCTATCTCCAAAACAACGGTCTTTCTATCAGCCAGAGAAGTCTAGCGCCGCAGACAAGAGCATATCTGCCATTTCAAATCGTGTCATTTACGTTGAGTGGGGCACGCCTAGAATATCCAAAATACTCAAAGTTAGACAAGACACAAAAAACAACCCAGCTTATCTGCAGCATACACCCAACTACATAGCATTATACAACGGGTTTAATGGTGGAAGGAAGCATATTGGGCTCGATATCCGATCTGGATACCGTGTCTTTCAATACAGCTGACGAGGTGAGGCCCATGGTGCAGTTTGCAAAAGCTTTGCAAAGCTTCAAGAACGAGCCATCTTCCGTTGATTTGTTTGGGATAGTCCACGATTTCGGTAACATTGCCGCCTCAGAAATCCTTGCTGGTGAAGATGAAGGATTGGCAAACGATGCCATATCTAACTGGGTATTGGAAAGTCGGTTTTGGGCCCTCGTTGAGATCATCATAAAATACAGGTTTTCTGAACGCGATTCACCGGTGGAAAGCTCTAAAAACTTCAACGAGTTTACCTCTCGATCGATTTTACAGGACTGGATTTTACAGAGGAATCCGAATCTGCGAGAACTGTGGTTTGTGATGACGTGGCTAGCGGATGCCCTCAAGCTAGACCCAATAGACGAGGAAGATGACGTGGATGTTGAACAACTGCAGCCTTCCAAATGGATATCTACCAAGGCAGAGCTTCAGTCTAACAAACCCCGGTTTGTGAAGAATCTGGATGCAGATGCCCCGGTTCGAACAAACTCCCGTATAAGTGATTCGGATGCCAACTCGGATAGACTGTTCTTCAAGAAGGCTTTCCATCTTTTGCTTGAACGCGACGAGGAGGAATTGGCCAAGGTTTCCGAATTGACGAACAACTGGACTTTCTCAATGATAATCGCGGGTACCCAGGATTATATTGACCCTCTGATTGATGGTTCTTTCCTTGCAGAGGACGATTCGATGGATCTGGACACCAGACCTATTGGAATCAAGAACAGTCTGTTGTGGAGACGTACTGTGTTCAACTTATCGCAGCAAAAAGGCTTGAACGATTTTGAAAGAGCCACTTATGAATTCTTATGTGGAGATGTTGAAGTTTCTGCCAGGGTCACTAATTCATGGGAGAGACAGTTATTGCTTTACCTCAACAACATTTTCAAATGCGAGATGGAATCCCAGCTCGTTGAACTGCTAAAGGTAAAACAACCCAACAGCGAGGAATTAGTCGTTGTCAACTCAATGAGAGTTCCTACCAAAAGTTTTTCAAACTTGACGGAAGTGTTGAGTGCTCTAGCATCCAGTGGAAACGAGATTGTTAAGACGCAAAGTGAGCATCCAATCAGGGTATTGGCTGGTTCTATACTTACAGATAATGTGGGGTCAATTCTCGAAAACTCTCTTGATCTGATCAACCAGACTATATCCGGTGCTCAGAGCTCGTTGCTGACCAGTAACGGTTATCTCTTGAGAATGGTGGTTCATTTTGCCATATTTATGAGGCTTCTGGACAGCAGTTTGTTGAGCGATACCGACTTCACCAAGTTTCTGAGAATCTACATCACCAGATTGTCTCTTTACAAGCTATTCGATGAGATCCCATTGTACGTGTCGTTTATGCCTGACGAGTCAGACATGATAGACAGCTACTCGTTTTTCTTGTCCAATATGGTGTTAGATCCTAAAGACCGTTCCAGGCAACTTCAGTTGATCCGTGAACTCGGATTGCCATTGGAAGATATTTTGAAGAGAACTGTTAACAGAGTGTTTGAAGACACTAATGATCACTATTCTCCATCAGGGGAGATCGTCCTTCTGAAAGACCCAAACACGACCAGTAAAGTGGACATCAAATTGTTCACATCTGTTCTTTGGTTGGTTGAAGAAAAGATGTGGACCGATGCTGTTGAAGCTACAATTGTGATCATGAGACGGTTTTTGTCTAGGGGTAAAGTTGGCTCGCTCATAAGTTTCTACAATTCCATGGAAGACCTCAATTTGTTGTTAGATAACTACAAGCTTCACCACTCAGTGATTTCGGATCATTTTGGCTCGGAAGGTACACCCATAGTATCCAGGGCCAGACTCTTGAGTTGGTATCAAGTTGAAGAACTCCATCAAAACATCAAATTTATTCAGACATTCATGATGCTGAATAGTCACGAAAAACTTTCTCAACTGGAAGTGAAAACTGCCTTGGAGAAAACCAATTTGCTTGGCTCGGCACAAGAGCTTGACCTGGATGTCAGAGAAAGAGCTATTTCATGGTACTATGACTTGCTTCAAGGCTCGTACCATCCTCCTGAATACGACCTCCAGGTGTATCAGGACTTCAGAGTGATGTATGTTCCGTTCATGATTGAGACGCTGTTTGGTGTGTTGACTTCATCGAAGAATGGTATTCTCATCAAACAGGGTATCGATCTCGTGAACCTGGTGAGCGACGATGCATACCAATTGGACCAATTATTTGTGCAAGCTGACAAACTGGAGTCTTTCCTTAACAGTCTGGCCAATGTCTCGATATCTGCATTTGAAACGTGCGAAAACGGCATCTACGAATGAATGTATACTACACCGAATATAAAGGGTTTAACAAGATAGTTGAACCTATTCTAGTTTAAAATGAAAGCTCAGTCATTTCAGTTCAAAAACGATGCTTTCTCGTAAAGGAGCTCCACCACACTCGACATGTTCTTGATTACACTCAAAGACAAGTCGTAGCCCTCGTCAACCTGGGGTTCGTCATAGACAATCAACCAACCGTTTCCTTGATCTAGGACTCCGTAGAACACTTTATCCAAGATCATGTGACTCAGTTTGCTCTCGATCACCTTCGTCGATAGACCAATCATTGAAGAGATGTGTTGAATTTCGATGCAAGAATATGGCTCAATCAGCTTAAGCAGATTCTGCTGGAAGAGAGAGTCATAGAGCTCGTTCAAATGTGAGCGGATGATTGGATCTTGGGTCAGTTCAGCAGAGTATTGTTTGAGACATCCCTCAAACTCGCCCAAAGACCTGTTCGAGTGAGCGGTAGCAACAGCCTTCATTGCATCGATGTCCTTGTTTTCAACGAATTTGGTGATGTTTTTGCTGGCCAAGATCGTCTTGACGTCGGCAACAAGCCCCAGCATCACCTTACACAACAGCATGTATTTCAGCACCTTTATGGTCTTCTCATCTTCTGTGTGTAGTTGGAAACTCTCAAAAGACTCAAAAAAGTAGGAAAACGCGGTGTTGTAGTCTTTGTCCTCGGCATGAAGTATTCCACTCATCAGGTCCAACTGAGCTTGTAGCTGTGTAGGGCAATAGATGGAATTCGCGGATGTTCTGGCAGAAGTGAGCGATGCCCTCGACTTTGCAAAGTTCTTCAACGCCAAGTAAGTCTCGGCTTCCAAAAGCTGCACCTCCACAAGCGACGACTTGTCATCGAGCTTCTTAAACTCCTTCAGCAGGTTGTTTATAATTGCCAAAGCTTCCGTGTATGTCTTCTTCTTGTAGTACAGAGACGCTAATCTCAATTGCAGCGCCTGGCGCAAAAAAGATCTCTTCTCCTTAACGGCCCATTCAATGCAGTCGCTGGTCACCTTGATTGTCAAGTCCAGCACTTCCTCACCACCTGGTAGTGATTCAACAAGGTCAATCAAAGATCTCACAATCTTGGAGGTTTTAGATTTCGCAAACGTGCTTAGAATGGCCTCCGATTGGGAAATCAACGCAACTAGCGATTCCTTGTTATCGGTATCGCGATACATTTGACCCAGTTCTAGGATGGCATTCTCCTTACTCTGATTGATCTTGTCGCTCACAGATTTCGCGGAAAGCAGGTCATTATATATCTCTTCGGCCTTAGAGTAATCCTTCGTCTTGACGGCCCGTCTAGCATCTTCTATCGATGGAACAGACATTCTTAAGAAGATAAATGAATCCAATTGGGATACAGAAGCTACGTGTACTTCAACACTTGTTCCTTGGGGTCGAAGTGGCGATTTTGGGAAGGTTAATACTGACACGCAAAACAATGACAGATCAGGGACACGACCATGCGGCTCAACATCAAAAAGGTAATCTCTCCCAACTACAGCACATCGATTAAATTCAGGTGTTTTATTGGATTTTAATTTTGTATAAACGAATTTACTCTTAGAACCCATGGGAAACGGACAGACAAAGAAAAATGGCCCAGGGCGAGGATAATTGGAGTTCGAGTTGCAGGTTAACAGACAGATAGACAGACAGACAGACAAAAAAACATCCGCAACAAGTCATAGCTGCTTAGTACGAGCTCTCATTTTGCTCCTTACGAACGTCATAGACCTGGAGGATCGACTCGGCAGCCTTGACTCCCGAAAGAGCCATTGCACCAAAAGTGGGCCCCATACGGTTACATCCGTCAACCTCGGCTAACTCCATACCTCCAACAACCAGCCCGGGCAAAATCTCTCTGGTTCCCTTGACAATGGCATCCTCAGCCAAATTCATGTCCAAACCATTCATGCCGGTTCGTTTTTCAAGCAAACCAATCTCGGCAGACCGCTTGACACAGAAAGCCCCAAAGGGTCCATCATGGCCAGTAGTTGAAAGAACAACGTGAGCGTTGATGGTGTTTGGATCCATACACGATTGGTCGTGATGGTGCATAGTAACCAATGTCCAGTTGGTTACTACACCCGCGACGCGAACTTCACCCGAAGCGTCGCGTCTGGTGATAAGGTCCTCAACCGCAGTAGCGTTGAAAAGCTTCACATTGGGAAGAGCAAGAACCTTGGCACAAAGAGTGGTGATGAACAATGCTGCGTGCTTGACCACAACATAGTCTCCTTCATCCTCATACTCAATTCCCAAGTCTTGCAAGAAGATATGGGCTGGCTTACGCATAACCATGGCGCTGAAAAGTTGGCCTCCAAGGAAGCAACCTCCACCAATTGAAACATTTGCCTCAACAATTGCGATCTTGAGATCTGGTCTCGAAGTCGCAAGAGTCCATGCTGCAGACAATCCACAGGAGCCAGCTCCCACAATGACAACGTCTGACTCACAGTACTTGTCCAGATCCGCAAAGTAGCGACTAGTCATAGCCCTGGAAACAGTTGATTCACGAATGGGCGCAAACTTGAAGGATTCCCAGTCAAAAACAGCACTGGTAGCCTTCGCTACTGGCGAATCGGCATTCTCTGCATTGGCGTTTTTAGCTCCAAGTCCCTTCTTGAAGCTCAGGTTCAAAACCTGTTGAGTCTCGGTGATTGCTGATGGTGCCCTGATAAAAGGAGTTAGTACGCTCTCTTAAAGTCTTCCAATTGGCATGTTCTTGGCGCTAGCATTATCTAGTTCAAGTTCAGCCGTATTTTCTCAGCCGCGACGGAAGAGAAGAAGTGTCAACTCTCAATTCTCTCCCTCAATGTCGCAGCACCGGCCATGCTTTTTCCTGTGAATCTGACGAACCTGCTAATCAAAAGAGGTAACCATACGAACCCGGCCGAAGCCGCACACAGTGCTCACATATCTGGGGTATTAGTAACCGTCATGAGTGATCATGACAAAACTTTTTGTTAACTCACTAGTCTGGAACAACGGTACAAATTTAAAATGATTAACTATGTTATAGATAATCACAAGGTAAATCGGTGTAAAGAAAGGATTAGCCAAAGTGGTGGCAGAGTACCCGGGGAAGCAACGTATTTATAGTGCCCGGGCGCGGGGTTATAGCCTACTAATGGAGCACTCCCAACCGGGTTACGGGTTACGGGTTACGGGTTACGGGTAACGGGTAACGAAGGCCCAGCCAGCTATAGACTTTTACAGGCAAGAAGTGCCGTGATTGGACAGATATTTGAGCAAACCAACAAATCAGGGCTGATTTCGAAGGCTGTAGACTAGTGGAGTGGCTATGGGTGGTAGACTATGCATTGTAGACTATGCAGTATAGACTATGTACTGTGAAGTAGACATATGTGTACACGCGAGCCTGCACTGAAGAGACTTAATTACATTGTTCGGCTGAGATGTGGCAATGGTGTGGCTGGATACACTTGACCGCTTAAAGTTATACTTGTGATTCAATGGCTGTCAGATGAAAAATCGGTGGCTTAGTATTTGCATAGTAGTGAATTGTACATACCTTTTGTAAGAAATTCTCCTGGAGAGGACAAAAAAAACAAAAAAAAAAATACTCTCATTCATGGAAATGCTACAAGTTAGTCATAAAGCTCAGAGAGCCCTCAAAAGCCTCAGAGAGATTCGGTCCTATTGATGAACTTCCATCTCTCTCAGAAACTCGGGCTCCATCGCCTCAAGATCATCAATAATACACCCTTATTAGAGGCTAGAAAGACAGAGTAAACAGCATGGTATTCGTCCCACACGGCCCCGGCTAATGCTTCAATGGGGCCAACAAGCCGCGGAGGGCGATATGAGTAGGGCTGGACCCAACGTAACGGCATCATCATCAAAAGGATTGGATTAGTTCTAATACCCGGGTTTAGTTCAACTCGGGGTTCTTCAGCTCCTCCTCGGAGAACGGCACAAAATCAAGTGAAAAGCCATAGTCATCGGCAAAAGAAGTCCTCTTCCACTCTGGAATGAGCACCGACACGAGGTCAGGCCTGACACTGAGCTCGCGTTTGGAGAAGTCTAGAACGTCTGGTATCAGCTTTGGAATGCCCTTATTGGCCATCCGCGAATCGGGGAGCGGCACGTTTGGTGCTCTAAGCTCGTCGAAGTAAGGCAATGTCAGCGACTCAATGGCTGAGACACGCGCAAGAGGAGAGTAGCTCAGCACATGTTGAAGCAGCTGGAGACAGTCTACCTCGGTCGCCTTGAAAACTTTGTTTAGAGGAATGGGTTTGATTGAAGGGAACTTGTGCTCCATGTAGTTCGGGTTCATCGTGCGAATCTCGTCGCGCGAAGGTGTCCCGAGGATCTTGATAATCTCGACGAGCTGGTCAATACCGCTCTCACCAGGAAACAACGGCTGGCCGAGAATGAGCTCCGCAATCACACATCCCGCACTCCACACGTCAATTTTGGTGGTATAGTTGCGACTGCCAAAGATGAGCTCTGGTGCACGGTAGTACCGCGAACATATGTAGGAAACGTTAGGTTCCTGTGGGTTCAAAATCTTTGCCGAGCCAAAGTCGCAAAGCTTCAAGATACCATTGTATGGATCTATCAGCAAGTTCTGGGGCTTTATGTCTCTATGGCATATCCCCAGCGAGTGTATGTAGTTGAGTGACCTCAAAAGCTGGTACGAGTAGAGTTTGACCTCAAACGCAGGCATCGTGAGTCTGCGCGACGTGTAGTAGTGTGATGCCTTGAAAAGAGTCTCTGGAATAAATTCCAGAATCAAATGCAAGTAGAGATCATCGTTCTCGGCTGTTTTGTAGAAGAACGAGATCAGATTCACAATGTTCTTGTGGGATATCGTTCTCATGATATCTAGCTCACGGTTCTTGAACCGTTTATCCTGGAGAACACGTTTTATAGCAGCCTTACGGTCGTCCGGCTGGATGGATATCTGGTACACATAGCCAAAAGAACCATGTCCAACCATCGCCCGTTGCGCGTACGCGATCTTTGTGTATTCACCCGAATGGCCGTCCTGGACGGTTTCCTCGACGTACTCCATCTTGGCCGACATCGCAGATACAGCTCAAAAATTACAACAGACGACGCAAATACGGCAGACTCGGTAAACAAGTTCAACACGAAGTTTGTCGCGATTGGGAAGAATGCAGGAGTAGATTGATAAACGGGGGAAAAAGCGAACAAGACAAAGGGGCAGGGAACTCAAAGTGGTAGTGCGTAACCCATTACTGGGGAAGAGACTTGGAGGGGCGGGGGTTCGCTCGGGGAACCCGGCCCGAATGGGTGAAAATTAAGAAATTGAGACGTAATCGGTGAAATTTAATGATATTAAAGCGGAAATATTACCGGAGGACGGTGCGGATGGTACTTCAAGAGTGGTGGTGTACAAGCGGGCCGGGAAACCTCAGTCCCTGGATTGCTCTGGAGGGTGTTTCCGAGACCCGGGGAGTCAGTGTGGGGATGTCAGGCGGGTAACCCGATCAAGCCATGAGGCATCAACAACTTGAAGCATTTGCGGTTACCCGGCTCCAGAAAAGATGTCACGTGTTAGCTTGGAGCACTACCTATTGAACTGGAGTTTTTGAGGAATGCGGCATGAAAAGTTGGTTCAATCAAACAGATTCCCAGTCTGTTCAATGATTGTCACAAGAAGCTGCTTCTCGCGATTGTTTTCGAGACAATTCTCGCAATCTGCAACGATTGATACGGTTCCGCTTGTATTTGACAAACATGCAGGACCAGAATCCCCTAATGCCCCGATCGTGTTCCTGCACGGACTCTTCGGGTCGAGGCTGAACAACCGGTCTGTTTCCAAGCAACTGGCGAAGAGACTTTTGCGGGATGTCTACTGTGTTGATCTGAGAAACCACGGAGACTCCCCCCACAATTCCCGCCACGATTATCCCGCGCTTGCGGCAGATGTTGCTCGATTTTTTGAAGACCATTCCTTGGAGAACCCTATTGTTATAGGCCATTCCATGGGTGCCAAAACGGCAATGGCTTTGGTACTCGAGCACCCACGACTTTGCTCAATGATGATTGCTGTGGATAATGCTCCGGTGGATAACTCTGGATATTTCGGAACGGGTTTCTCAAAGTTTGGCAAGTATGCGAGGCAGATGCGCATTGTCGAGCAGCGCTGCCATTCTAGCAAAGAGGCAGATGCAGTGTTAGCACAAGTTGAAGACTCACTCCCGGTTCGCCAGTTTCTCATGAGCAATCTCAAGCGCAAGGGTGATCACTACACCAGTCGGGTTCCGTTAGAGATTCTAGCAAAAAGTCTGGATAACGTTGGCGCCTTTCCGTTTGATCCACTCTACTCAAGATGGACTGGTCCAAGTCTTTTTGTAAGAGGAGCAGACAGTCCGTACATTTCGGACGAGATGGTGGTGGAGATCGGCAAGTTTTTCCCAAATTTTGAGGTCCGCGATGTCCAAGGAGCAGGTCACTGGCTGATTAGCGAGAAGCCAAAAGAGTTTATTGATATAGTGGTGGAGTACATTGAGAGGATTGAGGATGAATAGGAAGATGGAGGTTGTGCAGTGAGCAATGTTTGATCAAAATGAAGATATAGACAATCATACATCTCATGAGAAATACGAGCATTAGTTTGAATGGCTAATTGATAGTCCTAGATTAGAGGAGAAATAGTTAAGAATTATCTAGAGTACTCACTAAAATACTGGTCGTGATAATAGAGACTTAAAAGTCAGTTTTAGAGCAAACCTGCAACACTCATGCAGTAGTCATATTGCATTCCTTTCTTTTTCGACGCAAAAATATAAAGAATCCCAAAATATCATGATCAAGCCATTAATCTTAAAATACAAACAAATCTCAAATACACCTTGTGTGTTCAAGTACCCCACAACGATTATTTCAGCACTACTCATATACACCATGCACTCCACACTCAGCATCATGCACGCTGATTCAAGACATGCCACGCACAAAATCGCAAAAACCTCTTCATACTACAGAGTCTTAAACACCTTTATTGAGTTTCATAGAATTTTATAAAGCTTCACCAAAGCAGAGCCCATGCCGCGAACTCCGTTCTCCGTTCTTTTATTACTAAAGTCATGCGGCGTTTCGGACCCGAGAATGGGCCCCACACACCAATACACGGCCGAATGTCTTCCTTCAACGTGGTAGTGCGCGCAACCCAATTTTTGTCGTTCAAAGGGTTTGCCAATTACAACACCTGCAATCTACATATTCTTCCTACTCCTCAATTTAATTCAAAAATGTTGAGATTTTCTAATAGACGTTTGTTTTCCTCGGCTAGAGTGTTGGCTGAGGCGGTTACCAGTAAGTTTTATGTGTTTTGCGCTATTGCTGGCGGGTTAGCTATGGCTGCCATTTGGTAATCCCGGAGTGACCTCGGGATCACAACAGTGGCGATTCTTGTTTGAATACAGCTCCGATATTAACCATTTTACAGAGAAGCACGACGTTGTGGTCATTGGAGGTGGACCTGGTGGTTATGTTGCTGCCATTAAGGCTGCTCAGGAAGGATACAACACTGCGTGTATCGAGAAGAGAGGTGCCCTTGGAGGTACTTGTCTGAATGTTGGCTGTATTCCATCTAAGTCCCTCTTGAACAACTCTCATCTGTTCCACACAATCCAGCATGAGGCCAAGGGCAGAGGAATTGATGTTGCTGGTGTTGAAATTAACATAGGCAATTTTCAGAAGGCCAAAGAGACTGCCGTCAAGCAACTGACTGGCGGTATCGAGATGCTTTTCAAGAAGAACGGTGTCACCTACTACAAGGGTGCTGGTTCATTTATTGATGAGCACCAGGTTAAGGTTGATCCAATTGAGGGTGGCGAGGAGTTGACTGTTCAGGCAGACAACATCATCGTTGCTACCGGATCTGAGCCATCTCCATTTCCAGGAATCGAAGTTGACGAGGAGAGAATTGTGACCTCCACTGGAGCTCTTGCTCTTAAGGAGATCCCAAAGAGACTCGTGGTCATCGGTGGAGGTATCATTGGTCTTGAGATGAGTTCCGTCTGGTCCAGACTTGGATCTGAAGTTACTGTTCTTGAGTTCCAGGATGCCATTGGTGCTGGTATGGACGGAGAGGTTGCCAAGGCCACTCAGAAGTTCCTCACCAAGCAGGGTCTCAAGTTCCAGCTTGGAGCCAAGGTCACCAAGGGTGTTAGAGAAGGCGATGTTGTCAAGATTGAGTACGAGGATGTCAAGAAGGGCACCACTACCGAGATCGAGGCCGACGTATTGTTGGTTGCTGTCGGTCGTCGCCCATATATCGAAGGTCTCGGTGCTGAAAAGCTCGGTCTTGACATCGACAACCGTGGAAGACTCGTAATTGACTCTGAGTTCAAGACCAAGTTCCCTCACATCCGTGTCATTGGAGACGTGACCTTTGGTGTCATGCTTGCCCACAAGGCTGAGGAGGAAGGTATTGCCGCTGTTGAGTACATCAAGAACGGCCACGGTCATGTCAACTACGGCAACATCCCTTCGGTTATGTACTCGCACCCCGAAGTCGCCTGGGTAGGCCAAAACGAGCAGCAGCTTAAGGAAGCCGGTATTAAGTTCAAGGTTGGTAAATTCCCATTCATCGCCAACTCGAGGGCCAAGACCAACCAAGATACCGAGGGTTTCGTCAAATTCCTGGCCGATGCCGAGACCCAGAGAGTTCTGGGTGTCCACATCATTGGACCAAATGCTGGTGAGATGATTGCCGAGGCTGGTTTGGCCTTGGAATACGGTGCCTCTACTGAGGACATTGCCAGAGTCTGCCACGCCCATCCAACTTTGTCCGAGGCCTTCAAGGAGGCTGCTCTCGGAACTTTTGGAAAGACCATCAACTTTTAAGTCTGAAGTACATATGGATATAGGAGTCCAACCATGAAGGAAACTGAATCTAGTTAGAAGAGTGAGAGTAGTGAAAAGAGTAAAAGTACGAGTAAGATGAGAGTAAGATGAGAGGAAGACTACCAATGCAAACCAAAGGTTGTCTTGAAAATTCACCAGAAGAGCGAGCTTATATTTACCGAATATGGTCGACACCATTCAAACCATTCTAAAAATGTAATTTTCATGTCAATTTTGTCAAGTATCTAACTCCAGACTCGGGCCTCTATCTCCGAGGTACGTTTAGTGCGCAAGTGAAAGTTTTAGCCTAATCGGGGCATAACCGATAAGGGGCCATAGCTCTCGATCTCATCAAACTTGTCTTCAGAATAACATTGGAAAAAAGCCGCTTCATTCCAAAGCAGAATTCCACCGGCAGCTCAATTTAATAATCCCGCCCGCTAATGGCGATGACGGTCAAGGAGAAGAAGACCCGTCGAAAATACAGCCGCAATGGGTGTATGGCATGCAAGAAGAGAAAGATCAAGTGCGACGAAGGAACGCCAGTTTGCGGGCGATGTGATCATCTGAAAATCAATTGTTTGTATCACAAGCAATTCAAATTTAAGGACATTACTCATGAGGTGAGGCCTCCGTCTGAGCTCGAGAACATAGAGCTAGACAGAACTGCAGATGAGCCAATAGAGCCCGAGATCACCACCAATGTTGAGATCCTAAACTTGTTTGAAAGTGCCGAGTCAATCATCGGAGACATGGCTGGGATCACGAATGGGTCCAATCTTCAAAACGTTGTCAGAATGGGAGAGGAGTTAGAGTATAAGGGCGATATGGATGTCCCTTTCGAGAACCGTCTAAGTCGGTCTCCACTTGAAATGGTGAGAACGAGCTCTGCGGAAAGTAATGGCCTCAATTTGTCAACTTTTGCTGATTATGACTATCTGAAAACGCTGGAATCATCTCTTGGAACTTTGGAGATCTCTAGATTGGCCAAATGGCTGCAATTCCGCCCAGACTCTTCTAGACTGGTGCACTTCCGCGCATTCATGATCCATGTGAATCTGATCCTTTTCCCGCTTACATGCTCCTATGCCGACTCGCCATGTATAATGGTTATTCTGGAGGCCGCCAAAAGATGTAAGTTTTTGTTGAGCGCAGTTCTGGCCTCTGGGGCCAGTTTCCTTGGAGAAAGGGCCAAGATTGGACTGCGAAACTGTACAGAATCCCAAAGAAAAAGGCTGGAGACAGAGATTGAGGAGCACGAATCTTCGAGAATTTACTATCTCTCGCAGTGTTTTGCTCTCCTCCAGCAAGTACTGGAAGATATGGTCCAGGTCACGGATTATGTCGATGGAATCCTTCTCACCAGTCTGATCTTAGCAGCAGACTCGTCTTCCCGCAAAGACTCGAGATGGAAGGTCCATCTTCAGGGAGCAAAACAGTTTCTGATTCGCTATTCAAACGAGGTTAGAATTTCCGATGCCCTGATAATTTCGCGCTATATCTTTTCGTCTCTGGAGATCTCCTCTGGACTCAATGCGCCTCTAGGAGGCAGTCTGCATTCCGCCGAGGAATTGGACAATTGGATTACCATCCGCTCAGATTCAGTGATCAAACTCCAGTTATATCGCTTAGGTTTGACAATTGACGGACATATCACCAATCAGGATGGCCAATTGGTGTGCAGTGAGGGCTCATACAACATGTATGTTGGTTACAGCGATCATTCCGTGGAGGTGCTGAAGGAGATGTTACGAGCCTTTAACGAAATCCGCAACTTGCAGATGTTATCACCGGGGAAAGACGTTCAATTGGATCCCCGTGCTGTGTCAATGTTGTTTGCTAAGATCGAGAGAGCCAGAGGATTTCGAATTGTCACCAATAAGCCGCCCTTCCGAATCCCGTTGGAATCGAAATTCCATCCAGCCTATGTGGGTGCTGATAAGACGCGATTGCCGCTCTCCTGCTATTATCGGATTACGAATCCGAAGCTGAGGATGTATATACAGGAGGACGAATGCTGGTTCTCGTTCTATGATTTTCTTCAGCAAATTCATTTGGATGGAATATATCTGCGCATACTTACCTGCAAAGAAATGATGAATGTCCCGTACAACAGCTCTCTGGTCCAAGCTGTGGTCAAGGACATGATCGACGAGTTATCGTTCTTTATTCAACTGGACTATGAGAGTGTGACAGACCAGGACCTTCTTTATCTGGAGGAACACTATAATTCCAAAGTCATTCTCAGCAAAGAGGATATCAAGTTGTTCGAATCCAGGCCGACTTCATCAGATTTGGCTGCATTCAGCGTCCCAGAGAAAAAACTCAGGGAACTAATGTCTGCTTCGCCGCCAATTGACTATGTGAAATATGTCAATTTGCAGGTTGACCACCGACTGTGTATGTTCCAGTGGATTCTTCTGGCTTGCGGGTTCTGCTGTGTTGAGCCGCACCATAAACTACTGGTTGAAACACTTCTTTCGGAGCTAAACGAGCTGGGAGTGAGAAGCAGTGCAAAGTCTCTTGAGAAGGTCAGGAGAGCGTGGTTAGAGAGAAGATTTTATTACGATGATGGATCTAGGGTTGTTAGAAAGGATATCAACACCGATTTCTTCTGGAGAGATGAGGAGAACTCCTTTCCGTTTACGTGATGGTTGTGAAGGAGTGGTATCCATATTGCTTATACATGGATGGAGTGATGGGACAACATGTCTAGTGGTCACTTGACTTGGGTGAGATTGTATGGATATCACCATGATTTTTACTTCTTGGATAATAATGATATGGGTGTTGCTATGAGTGATCTTCCTCCGATCACTGTGACTTTCACTGGACCTATCCCTTTGGCTACCGGCCGTTATTGGGCCACTTCCCCTGTCTTTCTCTGTTTTCCTCTACCTATATAAACCGCTCGCATCGAAAGTACTGTCTCTTAATTTATTTCTCTCATCACTATCCGCAAGAACCCAATTAACGCACATATCACAACCCTCCGGAGTTGTAAATCCTTGTTTGTGCACGACCAAACCAAGACCAAAAACGGGGAACCCTCAATCCGCAGCACGTATATCAATTCCTCCCACCAATCCTCTGTTAATTCCACACATCATGCCTAAGTTAGAGGACTGGGAGATCAAAAAATACTGGGAAATTTTCTCCGGATTGGGCCCCGAAAAAAACAAACTCTCCGGAGACCGTGTTTCGGTTGTATTCAAAAACTCCCATCTTAGCTCTGGTGAGCTGGCCTCTATCTGGGATCTGAGTGATATCGACACTGATGGGTTTCTGGATTTCGAGGAATTTTGTATTGCGATGAGATTGATCTTTGACAGGGTCAATGGTAACATTTCGGTGTTGCCTAGTATTCTTCCAGATTGGTTGGTGCCTGCCTCAAAGTCTCATCTGGTACAGGCAGACCGGGCAGTCAATGGATCCGCATCTAATAACGTGGTTTCGGACGACGATGACGAGGCAGTGAGTCTGAGCTCCGACTTTGACTGGTACATTTCGCCTACGGACAAATCCACCTATGAAACGGTGTACGCAGCCTCTTCGGATAGGTACGGAAGAATCAAGTTTGAGAGTCTGAATGACTTATATAAGACGTTGAGCGTTCCAGAAACGGATATATCGAGCGCGTGGAATTTGGTGAATCCCAAGAGTGCAGAGACAATAGACAAGGACCAAACCTTGGTCTTTTTGCACATTTTGAATCAAAGATCGAACGGAAGAAGGGTTCCAAGAGGAGTCCCAGCCTCTTTGAGAGCAACTTTTTCGAAGGAAGTGCCTGAGTACAATCTGGACTCACACCAGGCCGACGTAGCAAGACCCGTTGTTAAGAAGGGTGAGAGTTTTGCAGATTCATACCTGAACAAACTTGGTGTGGGGAGCAGAACTTCAACGTCTTCCGGAACAGACTTCAGCGCTACTAAGGGCACGGATTGGGAAGAGGTCAGATTGCGCAGACAACTTGCGGATATTGATGCCTTGATCAAAAAAGCGGAAAAGGCAAGTCAGAATCCGACTCCTGAAGACGACAAACTAGCAATGACCAAGTACGAGTTTGAACAGTTGTTGAAATACAAGGAGGAACAGGCCAAGGGTGTCAATGTTAACTCCGGGGACTTGAGTGGTGTCGAAAGCGATATCAATTTGATTGAGTCGCAGGTAATTGGTCTGGAGCAGTATCTGGAGAAGAAGAGGAATACGTTGAAGGAACTACAGGCGGAGATCGCGAGTGCGAAGGCCTAAACGATACCATAGGCCAATACTATGACCAAGACCAAGATCCAAGCTAAGAAAACTGATACACTTAAGTCCTTCGAGTCTACCAGGTCTGATCAGTTGATAAGTACAGGTGCTCCAGTCTCCAGGTTGGAGCCGATCCGTGACTTTCCTACAATCCAATCTTATCAATGTTTTCATTTTGTATAAATAGAACAGGGCCAAAAAATATGAAATTCTATTTTTTCTCCTCAACCTCAGGCTCAGGCTCAGGAACAGGCAGCTTGAAACTCTCTGGAGTGTCGTCCTTGCCCGGACCAACCTGCTCCCACACAGCAGAACCAACCGAGAAGTTTCTCCATGCCTGAGTCAACTCCAGTGGCTCATAAACAACCCTTCTCTTTTCTGCGTCATATCTGACCTCTGTGTATCCGGTGGTTGGGAAGTCTTTTCTCAGAGGATGGCCCTCGAAACCGTAATCGGTCATGATACGTCTCAAGTCCGGGTGACCCTCAAAGAAGATTCCAAACAAATCGTAGGTCTCTCTCTCAAACCAGTTGGCTCCCTGGTAAAGAGGAACCGAAGAAGGCACTGGTGAAACCTCGGAAGCGTATGTTTTCACTCTGATTCTCGAGTTGTATCTCACCGAAAGCAAATCCCAAACCACATCAAACCTGTTGGTTCTTGAAGGATAATCAGCAGCAGTGACATCAACACAAGATTTGAACTGTGCGGAGGTGTGGTCCTTCAAAAAGGTGAGTACTGGAGTCACGGCAGAAGGCCCAACGTAGATCACCAGCTCATCTTTCCAGACAGAAAACTTCTGGACATATTTGGGCAAACAACCCATGATGTATCTTCCAAACTTGTGCAATTCTTCCACCTGGACTTTGTACTTGTCTTTTGGGTTGTATATGGGGACGTTTAGCTCTTGAGTCTCAGCACGAGGCAACTGACGAACATCCAAGGGGTCTTCGTAGCGAGCAGCAGCGCGAACAGAGAAACCGCGCACTGCGGATTGCAATGGTCTAGCTCTGAGCAACGATCTGGGCGCCAATCTAAGCATTTTTGGAGGGCTTTTAATGGAAATGGCGTGGTGTTACACAGTTGTGCTAGGCTTGAGTTCAAGATGCTCTCCTTTTCACCATTTTCGATTGGATAGAGGATTGAGTGGTGCACGCAATAATTTCATTGAGATGGCCTTCCCATAAAAATGGCAGTAGCAGTGAGTCTGAGATCAACTGACCAAAGTCAGACTATACAGCCAAAGTACAATCTAACACATTTATTACCAATTTTTATTAGATGCAACATACTAAACAAAAGGCCGCATGACTCAATGGTTACGACCCGCAGTGCGGGGCTTGGCCCTGATGATGTTATCCACCCTCAACAGCACCTCTGCGGCTTCACTGGCAGAGTTAACGACAGCCCTCTTGAGCTTGTAGCTCTCGACGATGCCCAATTCTCTCATGTCGGCAATGACACCCTTGTTAAGGTCCAGACCGGAGGTGGTCATTCCGTTATATATAGATGATCTGAGTTTGGCGACGAGCTCGCTGGAATCAAAACCGGCATTGTCCGCCAGAATCGTGGGAAGTTGTCTCAAAGCTCTTGCAAAAGCCTCCATGGCCAGCGACTTCTTTCCGTCTTCGTTCTGGGCAGCAGTGTCAACCGCCTTGGACATGTTCATCTCTGCGCACCCACCTCCCAAGACTGTTCTTGTCTCTCTTGTGGTCTGCGAAAGCACCGAAAGAGCATCATGGAGAGATCTTTCGGCCTCTGCCAAAACTTGCTCGGTAGCACCACGAATGACGATGGTACATGCCCTTCCAGCGGCCACTCCCGAAAACTTGGTCATGACGTCTTCACCGATTATCACCTCCTCGATGGAGTCACAGTACCCAAGCTTGACCTTCTCTGGATGGTCAAAAGTAGAAACAACCTCACCTCCAGTCACCAGCGCTAATCTCTCTACACCTTCGAAATCAGCGTGTTCGATCGAGTTGATTCCTGCATCTGCAAGCAATTGCTCGGGCCAGTCGTAGATCAGCTGGCGATTCACAAAACAGTTGATGTTGAAGCCCTTGATTTTCTCCACCTTACTCTTCATCTTCTCGCGTTCTGCTTTCTCCAGATCCGCCAGTTTGCTGGTGGCATCCACCTTGAACTTGGCTCCAAAGATCTTGACCTTATCGGTGTCCATGGAGGTATTGGCGATCAAAAGCTTGACATTTTCGATCTTCTTGGGTTGGTTGACCCCAAAGCGTTTATTCAGAATAAATCCTTCATCAAGGTAAGAATCTGCAAGTTTTCCACCCACGATCTTCATGATCTGGATGTGGTCCAGGTTAGTGGAGCCCTTCAGTCTCAACACAGCATCAACCGCGAGTTTCGCAAAGTATTCCTTATCCTGCGACAAAATCTTGGACGAAAGGGTCGTCTTGGCAATATTTATAAGATCGTCTCTGAATTTGGCAGAGTCTGTGCCATTGTCGACGGCGACACGGTCCAGAGCGGCAACAGCGGCCTTATTGGCCAACCTGTAGCCTTCAATGATGGTTTGGGGGTGGATTTTGTGGTCAACCAACTTCTCAGCCTCGCGAAGTAATTCAGCGCCCAAAACTGTCACCGAGGTGGTTCCATCTCCAACCTCGTCATCTTGCACCTTGGCGATGTTAACCAACACTTTGGCAGCAGGGTTGTCCAATGGGATCGCCTTCAGAATCGTGGCTCCATCATTGGTCATCACAGCCTCACCAGTGGAAGCACTCTGGAGCAATTTGTCCATTCCCTTGGGGCCTAGAGTGGTTTTCACCAGATCACCAACGGCGATGGCTCCCACGAAGGCCGACAATCTGGCGTTCTCAGCCCTCTCTTCAGTCACTTGGTCTCCAAAGATATTAACAGACTGCGGCGTTAGTATGGACAGACATTGTTGTTAACTACTCAAAAATTCATCACTCACCATCTTGGAATTGTCGATCTATCTAGATATACCACATTACTTAAAGCCAGTCGCCTTCACCGTCAGAAAAACGCGTCCAGCTCCGGGAAAAGGCGTGCGCATACAAAGGCCGGGTAGCCCTCATCTCCAGGGCTAAGACGACCCGGAGAAAGTCTCTTGTATTGCATGGCGCTATTGCTGCTCCATGGAACAAGAACCAACAGCCCAAAATAGCCCGGAAAAGAAGCCGCGATATTGTCCAGACTCAGCACATTATGTTGAGCACTGAATCGGAGGACGAAAAATTGCAACGGCATCGCAAGTTGTTCCTATCCATAGACAATGGCAAGTCGGGCCAAATCTCGCTAAAGTCTTTCAGAGAGTCGCTAAAATCGCAGAACCATCCTCTAAAGGACTCTCAGTATGCCATTGGCGAGCTGTTCCAGAGTCTTGATACAGACGGTGATCATCTGGTGGACTTTGACAATTTCAGGCGGTATGTACTGCAGGCAGAACAGCAGATCGAGGCCGGATTCCGTGTTTTAGACAAGGATGAGGACGGGAAGATACTCAAATCTGATGTTGAAAAGTATTTAAAGACAACTTTGGGCGTAGATCCGGCACCTGAAGAAGTTGACGTGTTTTTTGAAAGTTTGGACAACGGCCATCGCGGATATGTCTCCTACGAAGAGTTCAGAGATACGCTACTGCTTATGCCCCGGCTTCAGGGTTCCCGCATTAAGACGGCTTTTCGGTTCTTCAACGATGAATTGGAAAATTTGTCAAGTGAGGGTGATGTGACTGTTGGTGATGATATTCTGAATAGCGTTGGCTACTTCCTTGCTGGAGGACTGAGTGGGGTAGTTTCGCGGACGTGCACGGCGCCGTTCGACAGAGTCAAGGTTTTTCTCATCGCAAGAACAGATCTGACTTCAACGTTTTTGCATTCGAAGGAAGAGATCAGACACATAATAGAGGAGCAAAAGCACCAGGAGCTTGCTGAGTCCAAGATCAAGTCTCCCATCATAAAAGCGGCGCGCAGTCTGTACAGACAAGGCGGACTCAAGGCTTTCTACGTGGGAAATGGATTGAACGTGATCAAAGTTTTCCCCGAGAGTGCCATCAAGTTCGGTTCGTTTGAAGCTGCTAAAAGGTTTATGTGTAAGTTCGAAGGTGTGTCGGATCCCAGTGAACTGAGCAGATTGTCTACATATTCAGCTGGTGGTCTAGCGGGTGTGGTCGCCCAAATGGCTGTTTACCCAATCGACACGCTGAAGTTCCGTATTCAATGTGCACCGCTGGAGTCGCGGACGAAGGGAGGAAGACTTCTATTCACCACAGCCAAAGACATGTACAAAGAAGGTGGAATTAGGTTATTCTACCGCGGGCTGATTGTTGGAATAGGAGGCATGTTTCCGTACGCTGCATTAGACCTCGGAACTTTTACGACGATAAAGAAATACTACATTCAAAGAGAGGCGGAGAGAAGGAAATGCTCTGAGGACGACGTCAAACTGCCGAACTACCTGGTTCTTTCTATGGGAGCATTGAGTGGGTCTTTTGGTGCGACTGTGGTTTATCCAATTAACCTTTTGCGTACCAGATTGCAAGCTCAAGGGACGTTCGCACATCCATACCGCTACGACGGTTTCTTTGACGTCGCAAGACAAACAATAAAAAGAGAAGGCTTTCCAGGGCTCTTCAAAGGTTTGGTGCCCAACCTAGCCAAAGTTGCTCCAGCCGTCAGCATCAGCTATCTCGTTTACGAAAACCTCAAAGGTTTATTTGGGCTTGAGGTCAAATAGATTTTGTCGCGATAATGTCCCGTATTATTCATTTAGAGCAAATATAAAAAGCACTCAAATCCAAGCCAGCATTCTCATTAAGCATTGGTGCCCCTCGTGGTGGTGATCTTGCGCAAGAAATCATCATTGTCCTCTCCTTCCCCATAGCCGTTCTCAGCAGCTTCAAGATTGGCTTCGATCCACCACGAAGAGTTCTTGTAGTCATCATCATCACCTGTGCTGAGATCTGGCTTTTCTCCTGGCGATTTATCGCCAACAATTGTTCTGCTGGCACTCATGTAGAGCGACTTGGATGAGTTCGACATCGGCTTATACAGAACTGTGTCAGCCGATGAACATGGAGTTGTTTCCTTGATGGATGAATTAGCCCACATAGTGGTCAGGGGCAAAGAAGTAGCGACGAGCAAAGTTCCAATGGCACTGAGATAGTTATACGTGACTTTTCCATTAGTGCAGAAGCTGGCGATGATGATGGCTGTGGGTATGACCATTGTCTGTGACGACATGATGAAAAGAATATGAAAAATGTCAAACTGTTTGAGGCCGAGATACCGGCGTGTCCGAATGGCAATGAAGAGCTTAACATTGAGCATGAGGCTTACAATGACGAATGAGGCAGTGAAAACTGCCAGAGGCACAGCACCCACCCATGATGGAGTAGCGACGAGACTAGTTGATGTGAGATTAATGTTCGAGTAAACCGCAGTTGCAAAATACAAGCCGGTGGTGATCAAGCCCAAAAGACATGCCATAACAGTGGCAGCAATCCCAAACACTTGCATCATTCTGTTGGGAGACCTGAAGATGGTGTAAGTCTGCAAGACCAATGAAGCCTCAATGAACCCGATCACCAGGATCTGGAAAGTGTTTGTGACCACCGATGTGACGGTCGCATCGTGGTTGGTATAATCGTAGAGGCTGAAGTTAAATGCAATAGATCCATAAACACCATTCAGAAAACGAAGATATAAACCAGAGTGAATAGAGATCGAAAGCAGTGCCAGCTGGTTGACAATGAAGATGGGAGCTCTTCTGTTCTTACTGACAATCCAGGAAACCACAATGGTCATCGCTGAGACGCTGATCCGAGCACCAAAGACTGCGGCCGTTGCCAACTCGTTCCTGAACCAGCTATCCAGATCACCGAATGCGATACTGGTGTTTCCATACGGAGAGGTGTAGTTGAGGAGGATGTCTTCTGGGTTCAACCCAGCGGGCAGAGCGAAGTCGATTTTGTCCATTATTTTCGATTCCGAAACAAGTGGCTACAAGCTCAGTAGCAGCTCTATGCTTCTGACCCCATATATATATTCAATCGGCGTTATCTCTCCCGCATAGCCTTAATTGTCTCATCGCTTCAAGTCATCCCCGTGTCTGTCAAATTTCCCATTCGGGGTGGATCAAAAAAAAAAACTGAGTGCGGCTCTTTATTGTGGAGTGCACGAAATCATCTGCACCCACGCTTTTCAGGTACAACAGACCGAGTCACGGTATAAGAGGAGGAGTCATTCCCCCAAAAATGCTACAGAAACATCTCGAAAACCGCCCAAACACCAGCGTTCAGTTCTACTAAACGATTGACCTTCCAAATATCCCCCGAATATACCCCCAATATATACCAGCCTCAATTTCGCCCCGGACGCATCCCGAGGTGTTGCATATATGTCCCACTTTTGCGAGCTTCAGGTGCGACCTCTGACGCGCGCGGTCCCGATCCCTCGGGGATCGCTTAGCGCATTTCCGCCTGACGCCAAAGCAGGCGGTTGTTTATATTCTTTGAGACGTTCTAGAATGGGTGTTCCTTCCTGCATTTTTTTTGTTGTTGTTGTTGTCTGACCAGCTCGTCCTCACCAGAAAGCTGCTGATATTCGACTCCCTATTGCTCCTTGCTATTCTTCCCTTTCAAAAAGGCGACTGTTTATTCAATTTCAGCGATTCAAGTGTCTATTTATAAGTCCTCGTTTCAGAGTCTCGTCGGTGCCTGAACTGTCTGTTTGAGGCTTGTGATTTTTTTCGACCGGTTTCTCTCCAAACTTTTGCTGCTGTTGTCGTTTGAATAAGCAATGAGGTCAGGGATTTTGGCGTTGGCGCTGCTACCAATGCTGGTAGCGGCCGATACCTTCTCGTATCTCGGATGCTTTGCGAAAAGCGACGTCAGTGGGCTTTCCAAGGACGATTACTACACATGGCAGACACCATCGCACTGTGAAGACCAATGCAATGGCCACAAAGTGGCTGCTTTGCTAGACGGAGGTACGTGCTATTGTGGTGATGACGTGCCGAGCTCCGGTGATATTGTTGATGATTCCAGCTGTGATGTGGCTTGTTACGGTTATGGCACCGTTAATTGCGGTGGAGCTTCGTATTACAGTGTTTACAGTACTGAGACTTCAGATGACGACGATTCCAGTTCTAGCTCCAGTTCAAGTTCAAGTTCGAGTTCAGATTCGAGTTCTAGTTCGAGCTCCAGCTCTAGTTCCAGTTCCTCTTCAAGTTCAAGTTCCACTTCGAGTTCCACTTCAAGTTCGAAATCCCGTTCCAGCTCGTCTGCAAAGCATACCTCCAGCTCCAGCTCATCGAAGACCTCAGCTTCATCCAAAGTGACATCCACGGAAACATCTTCCATCTCGGAAACATCATCAGACGAATCCTCCTCGGAAACGTCTTCATCCGAAGAGTCCTCATCTTCGCCCAAAGTCACGACGTCCCCGTCGTCGGTTTCGACTTCGATCGTCTATGTGACTTCTGCTGAAACCACCTCAGTTTCAACTTCAACTTCCTCGTCTTCGGCTGCCGCTAATGAAGCCAATTCGAAGAGCTCTTCCGCTCACAAGTCCAAACTCAGTGGGGGCGCCATTGCAGGCATAGTCATTGGTGTTATAGTCGGTCTAGCAGCTTTGATCTTATTGATATTCTTCATATGGAGATGTCGCAAGAATGAAGACGTCGATGACGAAGAGGACGACTTCTACCACGAAAAGGAGCAGAAAACTCGCAATAGTTTTGGCTTCGTCTCTAATGACGACAGACTAGCCTATCAGGGTGAAAAGGGCAGACGGAGATTCAGTGACTCAAGTCTGCCGGATGCAAGACAGGAGACTGGTGGTCAGTTACGAGTTGTCAATCCTGACTGGAGCGATACCGAATAAAGCATTCAATGAAAGACGAATAAAAGATAGGTTGAATAACCAAAGGGTGGAACGTGAAAGAGTGATCAATTAATGTGGCTCCATACAAATTTTTTTATTTATCAGTGCATCATGAACCATATACACATTCTTTTCTCATTGTATTGTAGGAGTAAAGGTGGTGCAATTAGTGTGTGATTCTTCAAATCTTCAATACACCTTCTCGACATCTCCACGTGAAGACCTCTTGACCTGCTCAATTGCCAAACTCGCATCAATTACATCGTTCCATTTGGAGCGGAACGCGGTCTCGCCAAACTTGGCCAGAGCCAACTCGCGTTCTCTTTGAAGCATTGCATCCCTGGTAGTTGGGTCCATGGTCTCCGCCAACACGAGAGCATCACTCAGAGTGACTCCATTGTTGATCTTTGCGTAGTCTGGATCATCTTCCGATGTGAAGAAAATTCCAGTGGCATTGGAGTCAGTTGCTTCGTTAATTGGCAGTTCTTCGCCGTTCCACGGAACACAGATGTCGAGTTTTGGACCAGCACTGGCATGAACCACAGGCACCAAACCGTTGAATAGATATTCAACAACAGTGATTCCAAAATGCTCATTCCACATCGCATTCAAGCCGACCTCCGCACTAGCTAGCAATTGCTGTAATTCTGAGTGTTTCACGTTCAAACGCAGCTCAACGAGGTGCGAAATCTGATATTTGGCAGCAAGCTTCTTAAGGTCTTCAACAGCCTGCTTGTCGTTATCGTCTCGAACAGACCCCACTAGCACGAGCTTGTATGGCGTCAACGAATCTGTTTTCTTCAAATACTTTGAAAATTCCTCCAGGATCAGAGAGTGTCTCTTCTCTGGTCTGAATTGAGCAATGCAAACGATCACTTTCTCACGAGTGCCACCCGAATTGACCTTGGAGCCAATTGGTGGATAGCAGATTACCGGGGCAGAGGTGTTGAAGCTCCAGACCTTGGAAATGTGATTTTTTGTCCAGGTCGAATTACACAGAACAATGTCACAGTATGAGCCTGCCACAGCATATATCCACAGGATAGCAGTCCAGTAAACATATTTCAGTGAGCCTATGAGCGAAGCGGTATTCAGCTTCCCAAGCATGTCTGATGAGATCAACGGATAATGAACATATGAAACCACCGGCACTTTGAGACAGAACGAGATCCATGTATACGTGAAAGGGAACCCCATGGTATCAACCCAGACATCTGGCGGAAGCGCTGAAACGGCTAGTATAGACACATATACAGATGCCAGGGATTGCGCTATGAGCGTGAAATGCTTCCATTTGGACCCGTCTATGACCCATCTCTTGGTGTTGGGTAATTGCAAGAAAATCAGATTTTTCTCGTACTCGGTGAAATCCAAACCAAAGTTGGATTTCACAGAAGCCAGAATAGACGAAACAGATGTGTTATCGGAAAGTGTGAAAGTGTACACGGCAGCAATATTCTTTTCTGATTTGGCGAGTGTGTCCCGAACTGCTTCCCATAGAACCCTCTCTCCACCACCAGAGGCATCTGAATACGGATGGAAAAATCCAAATATCTTCTTCCGAGACTCATCAGTTGGAACCTTAGGGTTAACATCAAGCAGAAACTCCGAAGCCCGGGTCTCAGGTATCCGATCCACCTGTGGAATTCTCAACACCTGCGAGTACTTGATGTCTCCAGACGCAGTATCTTTGTGTGTGTTCAAAGGTACTGTAGAATACAGAATTGGCTCCTTACTCGCCAGAACAAGGCGTCGCCTAATAGTTCCAAATCTAGTGGCAAATTTTGACCGAGGTAAAACGCACGGTTTGTCCAGTTTGGAAGCCTTCTCAACCGCTGCTTGTACGTGCTTCTTCCATCCGTTAAAGGGAACGTAAAAGTACCGAGGCAAAACCACTGTCAAAGACCGATAAAGCGTTACCACGATGAAAAACACCACGAATAGTAACGTGACTTGAATCGTCTGACCAGTTGCCATTGCTGAGCTGATGTGGTTCGATAACTTGAGGAGCACATTGTACGTAGCCTTTATCTGGATAAGGGCTGCTTTTCGCTGAGGCTAGAGACACGTGACTTCTGATTTAGCTGTCATGTGACCTAAGTGCGGCGTTGGATAGCTTAGAAGCCGGCATTCGGGATGACAGATATTCTACGAATTCAATGCGGTATATTCGTTAGGCTAAACAATTTGCCTGATAAATCCGTCCAACTCTCAAAATAATTGGACGGCCAATAAGAGATGAAGGCTGTTCCCGGCTCGCAGCCTCTCTGCAGGGCTCTTATCCTTTTCTGCAGTGACTTGCTAAAGTTTTTAGGGGTGCGGCTCTCGACCTTCAATCGGTCTATGCCGGAAGTCATTACCAATGAATAAGCTACCACTATTGTACAGTAGGGGCACGCCTCTATCGCATTCTCTCAATAATGCCGGACCTCGGATTACACACGCCTTTCGATATTCTTTTGATTCTGCCGGACCTCGGAGTACAAAAGCCTTCTGACATACTCAGTCAATTTGTCATCTAACAAGACCGATGCATGAGAGGTTACCGCTTCGAGAAATCGCGCATCTGTTATAGGAGAATGTAATAACGATTTCCGGAGAAAACGGAGATACCAAACGAAGATGATTTTTCCTCGGTCCTCGGTTTAAATCAAAAACCCGGGGTATAAGTAAGAGGCATAAACCTGACACGACGAAGAATAGAAAATGTTTTAAGAAAATTTCAAACTCTGCTTCAACAGACTCTTATCAACTCAGACAGCCCTCGACACCTGCAAAATGCCCCATCAAAAAGTCTACTTCGTCACTGGTGCCAACCGTGGTATTGGTCTACAGATAGTAACTCAGCTCTCTGCCAACTCATCCAATATCGTATACGGAACCGCGCGTGATCTCGCTTCAGCTGCTGATTTGAAAAAATTGGCTTCCTCTCACTCCAATTTCAAGCCATTGGAGGCCGACGTTGTCAAGCCAGAGACAATCAAGAACGCTGCAGATGTGGTAGCCAAGGAACATGGCTACGTAGATGTGTTGATCGCAAATGCGGGTATTGCAGAATGCTATTCCCCCATCAAGGATGTTAGTCTTGATGAACTATCTCGCCATTGGGAAGTGAATGCAAAGGGTTCTGTGATCACTTATCAGGCAATCCGTCCACTGGTTGTCAAGTCCCAGGAGAAGAAGATTGTTTTTATCTCCTCAGTGGCAGGTTCCATTGCTGGATACTTTCCTCTCCCAAACCCAGCATATGGCTCGTCAAAAGCAGCTCTTAACTACATCATCAGGAGTATCGCTGCCGAATCTAAGGACGAAGGTCTGAAGGTGTTGGCTCTCCACCCAGGTATGGTAACCTCCGACATGGGAAATTTTGGCCTCACTAAGGTTGATATCACTGGGATGGATATTGTATTGCTTACTCCAAAAGAGAGCGCTACCGCTGTGATTGAACAAATTGAAAAGTTTGAGGAAACTGATAAGTTCTTGGGCTATGACGGCACCACCGCTCTTTGGTAAGCTGGTTATTCAAATAGCAACTAACCATGCGTTTTTCATACATAAAATTTACTTCTTATAAGAACTAAGGGTATCGAGAACATCTTATCTTTTAAACTCTCCAGGAGCTGCACGTGCGGCTGCCCCTCACACCTGATGCCCGATAACCGATCCGGTGGTGGTTACTTCAAGTGTACCACCCAAAAGTGCTCTGCGTCTGATGTGCAGTTCAGTGCAGGATATCTCCTACGTTTTTTCAAATCCATCAAACGCCGGATAGTGAGCAGGTACATCCGCTAGATTTTACTGGTAGAGCAGCGGTAATGGTTTGTCGTCCTGTCGGCTTTGTTTGCTCGGGTTGGCTGTAATTTGATATATATAGAGAGTAGATTTGAGTCTGCCCTGTCTCAGCATACCATGGCTTATCACTCACAGAAAATCATGGATTCCATGGTCATAATCGAGCCTCAGCTTAACGAATTAGAACCAGAACAGAATGATGAACATGGTGATCCTCATCGGATTCTACCCCACCTGAGATACTTTTCATAATTGTGGTACTCTCAGCCCAGCTTATGACAATGGCAGGATTGGCCACAGTTGCAATACCAGAAGACGAGAAGCTGGAGACTTCAAACGAGAAAGAAGTTGACTTTTTGGGTGCTTTCACTGGGGTTTCTGGGTTGGTTTGGTTTGGTTTAATGTGGCATGGAATGAGGCTCTCATTTTAACCTGGCACAAACCTGCAACTTACATTCTTTTGATCTTACGAGTACTCTGCTTTATGGCCTTCGTTATCATTGAGATTAACCATGCTAAACACCCATTGATTTCTGTTGCCTAAATGGATAAAGCTGTTGCGAGGGTCACGGTGTGTGTTGGGTGTGGATTTGGGGCGATTGGAATATGGATATACTAGTTTGGGATTTTCCCCATGAATATCAGAGGTCATTCTTCATTGACGGCTGCAGGGCAATTCTCGCCTGTAGGTTTTGCTGGGTTTGTTGTGGCTGCTGGATCAACTGCTGCATTGATTTCGAGTGGTTAGAGCCCGGGTATTGATGTTGAAGAGGCAGAACAGAAGGAGAATCATGAATCAACTTTAAACCAAGCAGTTGCCACTAATTGTACCGCTACTGAATATGAAATGTCATCATTTTTGAACAAACATAAAATCGTTTTTGGCTATTATTCAAGTGTTTGGAAATATGTGGAAAAATAGAAATCTTGATAAATCATGCAAATGGCGATGCATGATGAGGTGCAGTAGTTCATGGCAGTAACCATCCGCTGCAAAGATACGCAAATATGTTGTAATTATCCACAAATCCGTTTGCTAATCTTCTCAACAAAGCAGGTGTTTGTCCTGAGCTTCCAATCCAACCGCACTATAGTCTGGTGCTTGACCGCTATGATGCCATAGATGGACATCACCACGCCGACTCAAACTGAACCCTACATCACTCAGCAGTCCACTGTTACGTCCGAAGAATCTCCATCATGAATAAATACTCTCTGAAAGCTCGTTTATCCGTTTTTTGCAGTCCAAACCAGGAATAAGCACACCGCAAAATGCTGACATAATCACAATTTAGCTTACATCATCACCTCCGGATGAATGCAATGTCGCGCCTGCAGCGGAAGTGAAAAATCTTTGATTTCTCTGGGGATCTTTCAGACACTCAGAACTGCCGTTTCAAATAATGCTGTTGTCGTTGTCGAATTATTGGGTTCCTGAAAAGTACACCCTGGATCTCAAAATCCAAGGGGACCGTCCCAATTTCCATGGCCACTGTGCTATAGACCTGGTGCCGGGCGGTAACACTGCATCTCAAAAGTTCCAACTTCACGCCACCAAGTTGATTGTCACTAAGGCCGTCTTATTTGAAGGGGGAAACGAAGTGGCACAAATCAAGCCAACCAGAGGCTCTGATAGCGTATCTTTTGAGTTTCCGCAGGAAACGAGCAACTCAAGATCCTTGAGACTTGAGCTTGACTACCTTGCGGTGCAGACCAAGGTCTCGAGCATGGCCACCCCAACTACAGGAGTTTTCAAGTCATCAAGCGGAATTTGGGCAACCCACTGCCAACCTGGCTGGGCTAGTTCGGTGTTTCCTTGTGTGGATGAGCCAGTCTGCAGAGCCAAGATCCAACTAACTATCACCACTGACGATCCGGAGTACACTTGTATTGCCAACATGCCGCTCGCAGATACAAAAGTTTCGCAAGAATCTTGCTCTTTCGTGTTCCAGGAAAGTTTGCCAATGCCTACGCATCTCTTTGCTTTTGTTCTGGGGAAATTGCAAATGTTAACGAAGAAAGCCGGAGACATCACCGTCAACGTCTACGCCGAAAATACCAAGGGTCTTGAATGTGTTCTTTCAACGGCTTCGGCAGCAACCACACGCATTGGGGATTTGTTGAACGTGGAATATCCCATTCCAAAAATTGACATTGTTGCGCTTCCGTTTCTATCTGACGGTGCCATGGAGAACTGGTCGCTGATCACGGTTGCAGGTCAACATCTCATTTACACCTCTGGGGATGCTGACAGCAAATGGAACTCTAGCAAGAGTGTGAGAGAGATTGTGGTACATGAACTGGTCCACCAATGGCTTGGAGATTTGTGTTCGTTCAAATCATGGGACAACACCTGGTTCAACGAGTCTTTTGCTACTTGGATGGGTATTCGTGTGTTGGAGTCAATGGACCAAACTGGCCTCTGGCAAACTCATCTGGACCATGATCTTGTCCAGCTGTTACAAATTGACTCGCACGTTCAGAATTCTCCAGTAATCGGAAATCACCAGACTAACGACTCGCCCTCCTACATTGGCGAGACATTCGACCCAAAGACCTACAGCAAGGGAATCTATCTTTTGGAGATGCTGAGCTCCTTCGTAGGTTTTGAAACTTTCTGTGGATATGTTGGTGAATTTATTTCAAAGAATAAGTGTATGTCAATCTCAACTCTTGACTTTTGGCTGTTCCTGAAGGAAAAAACCGCCTTCGATGTGCCAACCATGGTCAACTCGTGGGTCCGCAATAAGGGATTTCCAATCTTGTTGGTGACTGCTAATGACGGGAAGTGCACCATTGAGCAACACAGATATCTGGATTCGGCATCGATCGAGGATACCAACGAGGAGGATGTCCCTTTTCACATTCCCTTGATTTTGGTCCAGGAAGGCCAGTTGGTGAAAAAGGTGTTGACCGACCGCAGAGTTGTTCTCGATACAATCCCAGACTCAGTCATCGCTCCAAAGCTCGCTCTTTTGCTTTACAGAGACCCAATATTTGCAGAAAGGCTCAATGGCGACCAGATATTCAAGCTGTGTTTTGACCTCAACTTTGTGGCCGATATCTACAGGACGAAGGTTGACCTGGAGATTTTCAAGCGCATCGCCGACTCGCTGAAATCCAAATGGCACACAAGAGAGGGACTGAAGTATCTTCAATTGCTGATGCAGCTATCTAACTCGATAACCGTTGGTTCGTCTCGTCAAGGAACTGAGAAACTTCAAAAATGGATTGAATCGTTGGATCTTCAGTTCAACCTTGAGGATACCGAGCTGTCAGAGACCAAGAGAATCTCTTTCGAGTCGAATGCTCTTTGTGGGCTATTCGGGCTTTCTCAAGGCAAGAATGTCAAGGAACTGTTGGAACTATTTGACAGCATAGTTAAGGGAAGTGCTTCTGTGCCTTTATGCTATGCATCTCTAGCCTTCGTTGCAGTTGCCATTCACGGCGATATCAAACGCTACAACACGTTGTTATCTTTAACTGACGATGATAACTTGATTCTCAAGACTCTGGACTCGATCCAGAAAGAAGGAAGACAGCGTTCTGAGATCCTCAAGTCATTGACCACCCAAATAGTTCAAAGTCTTGGGTTCACTCGTTCTGCAGATTCACTGAGAAAACTGCTTGCTCATATTCTGGCTCGTCTTAAGAAGGGTAAGGAGGACCAATACCATCTCTGCTTTGAACAGCTGTCGGGAGGACTGGCTGCCACCTCCGAGGTGAGGCGAATGGTATGGGAATGGTTCAGAACCAACTACCGAACCCTGCTGAAAAATGGCGATAGGAGCAAGGACTTCATGGTGTTGGCCACATCCTGTTTCAACTGCAACACTTTTGAGGTTTCGGGAGAGCTCGATAAGGAGCTGAAGACGTTCATTAAAAAGAACGACAGTCTTGTGCTGAGGAAGTCTCTGGAACACAGCCGGAGCGAGCTGAAAGCCCACCAGGGTGTCTATGAGCTTGCGAAAGGTGTATTCTGGTAGAGAAGAGCGCTTGTTGCCAGACACACTTGTATATACTTAACATATTCCCAAGGATTGCATCAACACATTGCACCATAGCAATATTCACACAAATTGCACCGACATATTAATAGAAAACCGCTCACCAGAACAGCATATAATAAACAAAAATCAACCTAACCTAATACCCCAACAACTCAACGTCCAAACGCAAAATCAAAACCACTCGTATGAGCCCGATCATGGTGAAGAAACTGGCCACGCCAATCGGCACCACGGCAAACACCACGATATTGTACAAATCCATGGAACGAGGTCCCTTTTTATTTCCAAGCCTCAAATTGGAGGTCATGTAATTCTGAAGAATGTAGATCACCGTCAGAACACAGGAGATCAATATCCAGTTCGGCAAGTAGTAATTGCCAGAAGGATTGAACGTCATCGAAAGCAGCTCCACAATTGTGGCTAAAAGCAGCGACATACTCAGCATCCGCACAATCGCGGCAGTGATCGAATAAGTGACGATCCATCTCACCATTAGTCCGTCGAGGATGGAATACGTCATATATCCAGAGACCAAGCACCAGAGCCCCGCCAGCAGGTACTCCGATGATCGTGTCGCAGTTATTCGGGGAGAGGTTTCCATTTTCAGCTCTGAATAAGCCCCCCACATCGTATACATCTGTTTTAGTATCACAATCAACGAAACGTCACGACAAACAGCCATGGCGAAGTGTTGGGCCGGTCCAAGGATTCCTAGCCCCATTGATTTGAGCCTGTTACGTTCGGCATTCAAGTTCACGGTTTGTTTCGGCAACGGCGGCCGCGGAAGTGGTGGTATCAAATGAAGAGCTTCCTCATAGCTCGGCACCGGATCAAAAAGTTCAATCTCGGTGCGGGAGTATGACGATTGCGACCGTATGCTTGTGGAAGACTGGTTCCGCGCAGACAGGCCAAAGCTGGGCGAATCATCCATTTCAGTGCGCTTGTTTTTCGCAGAACAGGCCAATCACCTCGACTGAACAGCCAGAAGTCTCTGGAAGCGTTCCTGTGTATAATTGTAGTTAATAGCGTTGTTCTCAGGAGGAAGGACAGCTAAAACAGTTTACCTGTGGACTGCAGAGGGTGAAGAGACTTTTGCGTGCACCCACCAATAGTGAATCTGAGTGCACTGCTGGTGATGTGCAGATTAAAATGGGCTTGTGTAAGTGTAGGTTTTGATTGCGGGTAGTGACGTGATTATTGGTCATACTGCAATTGGGCAATTAAAGTTGACTTACGAAACGGATGATCTTACTTTGATTGCCCAGTTTTGTAGCGGCATGCACCCCGCAGTGTTGGCTCGCTAGGGCCGTGATGGCGTGGGGTAAAGAGCGACTGAATACGCCGGTAATAGATGGCCCTACCATGTTACAGAGTATATTGAAAAAAAATACGGTTATTCAAGATTGTTCTCCATATAATTCATCAGTTGCCCATTTTAGTCAGTTCTGTCTTCTTCTTATCAATCACCTCTGTCTGTCTGTATCAAGCCATTACTCCGTCTTCGAAACCCTGAAAATCAACTTCTCCGCAGAAACCTTATTGTTGCGCAGCAAAGACAAAGCTTCCTCGGCACTTCCCAGACCATCGTGCAGAATCCTCAACGGTTGGTGTTTGATAGTTCCGTCCAGAACAAGCGGAACCACCTTCTCGTAAAACTTGCGATGGGCAGCTACGAACTCTTGACCACCAGTGATGACAAGGTCTGTCAATTGTTGATCTTCGCCGCTGGCCAGGTGAACGATAGCCTTGGTGTATTTAACATTCTTCTTGGGATTCTTGAGAACTGATTTGTCTAAGAACAACAAGTTATCAGCAATGGCTGGCGCGGATTCAGTCAGAGCGTCGTTCACCGAGTTCCAAGTACCCTCGTCCGAAACTGTATCGTAACCATAAACCAAAGACTCTCCAGAAAATTTCTTAATTTGATCAATTACATCAGAGTCGTGGTAATCGAAGACGGCATCAGCTCCGAGAGATTTCAAAAAAGACTCGTGCTTCTTACTGGCTGTTGTGACCACCTTTAGGCCATAGGCCTTCTTCGCAACCTGGATGGCCAGAATACCAGTAGCCGTGGAACCTCCCCAGATCAATACCGTTTTGCCCGCATTTTTGGTCTTGTCGGAGTCCAAGTCAAAGGAGTGAGCGAAAGACTGACCCACAGTAAAAATACTGAGACTGAGAGCGGCTGCACCTTCAAAAGTTTCCACCTTACTGGCCGGGTACTCGGTGACATCAGCACCGAGGGTCTTGAGCTTGGAGGGGTACCGGATAGTCAGAGATGGGTTTACAACACTGTACTCCTTGAAGAGACCTCTATGAGGATGGTCGGGGTCTCCACCATGCTCAAACAAGCCGACATGATCACCAACAGCAAATCCATTGACTTTGTCTCCAACGGCTACCACTTCCCCAGATACGTCTGAACCAACGAACGCATCCTTTCCTCCCCAGCCAAACACAATGTGTTTGAAGTCTGTAGGGTTCGCAGCAAAAGCCACAGCCTTAACCAGAAGCTGGTCAGAATTTGGCTTGGGAATTTCGGTAGACACCAACTTGAGGAGCTTTTTGTCTTCGGTGGACCCCGTGAAGGCCAAAGCTTGTTGAGTTTGCAAGGACATCAATGATATAGAAATCGCTTCAGAAAAATGTCGGAAATTGAATGTTTTATTCTCGGTCTTCAAAATTAGTTCAATTACAAAATTAGCAAACAAAAAGGGGGAATTTCAAGGCTATTTAAGAAATGGAAGTCTCCCTTGATTAGTAAACTAATGCACCCATAGCATCATTAGTTGCAGGTTCACAACGCATTGCATATGGCACATGACATTTGTCAGATGGTCCACTTCCGTAACATTTTCCGGTGCAGTCCCCGAAGACTGAAATCGAACACACAAGGATGCGATAAGCTTGGCTTGTTCTTATTATAGTTGACTACATGTTACGTTAGAGCCATGCTTGGAATTTTCATTTATTTTGCTAAAGGGCAGAAACTGAACAGCAGGTTACGGCGTAGCAACCTACTGTCAAATTTCAGTAGGGTGAACACGAGCTTTCTAGAAGCGATAACCATTTGTTGAGTTATCGAACGCCGCTAAAATTCAACTAAGCAACATTAGAGAACTGTTATTTGGGAATAATCAGCAACATTGTAGTGTGAGATGAGAGAAGTTAAGTATGGTGTGTGTCGCTGAACAGGCGCGTTATTAAGGAGATCTGTGTGCGGCTTATAAAGAGTAGACAGGATGGGGTGTTCTATAGACGGAGATTTGATATAAGGGGCAACTTCCAAAGTGATTACATTTACAAAATCTGGAAACCTCAACTTTTCTCCACCTCGACAGCTCAGCACCGTTTCCGGCAATGTGAAGTTGATTAAGTGTTAGAAATGAGACCAAGAGAGACCAAGGTGAAGACTCGTTTCCTGGACTGCTAGTCTGAGTGGTCAGAAAATCGGCCAATTTCTGTTTTTCACTCGACTGGATACAGACAATGGAGCCCAGCCTTCTGTTTTTTGCATGATATATTAGTCGTGGCACCCTACTCATAGTTGTCTTACACCAGTTTATATAGCTTGGCTCTCACTCATATATTATATCCATGTATTCGATCGCGTTGCCTAAGACAACCCGACCAATTCTACATTCACTCAAAACTCTTATTCAATTCGCAAAGCTACCTATGGAAATACTTCGAGCCCCAATGCACCAATAGCGCCACGAGCAGAAGATACACCGAAAGGTCGGGTGCCCCGCTGGACCCAGAAGGGGTGTCCGATAGTTAAAACGCCTCAAGTTGTGCAGAGATCTCTTCGAGCTCAGCCTTGGCCGCATTGTACTTGGCGGTCAGATCCTCAAGCTTGGTCTCGAGATCCTCCTTCTCAGCCTCAAGAGAAGTCACCTTCTTCTCAAGGGTCTCTGCCTTAACATCGGTCTCTCTGAGCTTAGCAGTAGTCTCCTTCAATTCTCTGTCAGAAGCCTCCAACTCCTCCTCCAGCGCCTGGTGCTTTCTGGTGTAGTTATCGTTAGAGGTTTTGAGATTGGTGGCCTCCTCGGCGGTGGCTTTGTGGCTAGAAACCTCAGCCTCCAATTTCTCCAAGTTCTCCTCCAAAACCTCGTTCTTGCGGGTCAGGGCCTGGATCTGGTTGTCCTTCTCCAATTGCTCCTGCTCCAGCTTCTTGATCTTGTCCGCAGCATCATCGTGCTTGTTCTGCCATTCCTCAGCGTCAAGCTTTAACTTGCTGATTTTCTGCGAGTTGCGGTTAATACCTGTAAATAAAACAAAGATGCCATCATCAAACTAGAATTCTATATCCAACATACTTCTCTGAGCTTATCCATTGTATGAGTTGTCAATATATATAGTCAACAGTTGAAGAGTGGCCATAAAGAACAACAACGCGAAATCAAAGCGAGCGATCGATCCCAGATTTAGCACGGAAACTACCTTCTAAAACATGAGGCCCGACACGACCTACACAGGAATATTGGTTCACGCACTTACTCTTATCGGCGCACCGATTTGGATATCCGCCTTGTCAAACAAGGCCCTCTCTTCCTCAAGTTTCTCCTTGTGACTGGTTGTTCTGCTGTCATTGCTCGACGTTTTTTTTTGCTTCCAACGGGCCAGCACACCTAAATGCCCCAATCCCGTCTGACTGTGCTATTTTTCTCGGGCCTGGTGGCGCTGGCTACGGGAACGCCGTATCTCTACGGAGTATACTCTCCGCAGCTCATTCAGAGATGCGGACTCACCGCCTCGGACTCAGCTACTCTCTCATTTGCTACCAGTGTTGGTACGAGTTTGGCGAGTTTGCCCGTGGGGATGTTTGTGGACCGCGGAGGCCCTCAATGGGCGGTTTGTGTTGGAGCGATTACCCAAGTGTTTGGCTTTGCTACACTATATATCGCCTACAAGACCCAACTATCGAATGTGCCATTGCTATTTTTTGCAATGTTTTGTACCGGTGTAGGGTCAATCATGGCATATTATGCCACCCTTAAAGTTGCCACAGCGAATTTTCCAAACCACAGGGGTACTGCTGGTGCTGTTCCGGTATCGGGCTATGGGCTATCTGCTCTCATGTACAGCACCATTGCGGCCTATTTTTTCAAAGATGATACTGCTGGACTTTTGCGGTTTATCTCTATATTTTGCGCTCTTTTGATTGGAAGTGGCTCGCTTTTTGTGAAAATTGTACGGCGCGAAGAAGGTTCGGATGATGAGTCGGATGAAGAGGATGAGACCAATCCGTCTACGGGGGCTACAGCAGCGAAACAGCCCCCGAACCACGAAAGCGAATATGGAGGATTTCTGGCGGGTCATAGAGGCTCTTTTGCTAACATCAATATTGCCAGGAACGACTCGCATAGCTCGTTGTTCTCCTATGCTGAAAGTACATTCTCTCAGTCATCAGCTTCTGTGTCCTCGTCATTACAAGCCCCACTTTCTCCACAGCACCAGGTCCCCCAACCAATCATGACAACAACAAATACTATCTCATCACATCCCTCATTTCAGAGACCAAGCCCGCAATTCTCGTTGTCTTCATCGCCCACTGCGTTGCGCATTCCCTCAGGGTCTCCGCAGCAGATGACCCATTCGGCCCAGTCAACTAAACTGTCCACCTCGGTCAATTCAAGTCTTTCATCATCACCAGTGATATCAAATGAGCGAAGTTCGCTACCCACTCGGGGCTCGTTTGTGTTTCGCCCAGCTCCAGTGCCGGTACCCTCTGGATCACCAAGAGGCTCATCTGGCTTCATGAAAAGAATGCAGCAATACCGCACTGGAAGCGACTCTGCAGTTGACGAGGAAGCCCCTTTGGTTCAACCAGAAAGCAGAGACAAAAGTTTCACGAATTACCATGCTGTAAGGTCCGATTCTTCCTTATCAGATCTGGCACCAACGGCTCCACTGCGGCTTCGCAGACGCCGTAAACGTCTCACAGCCACTCAACACATCGCAAAGCTTCTACACAACAAAGTGTTCCTTTCGAACTGTCTCGTGATGATGGGATTATCAGCAGTGGGACAGGTGTACATCTACTCGATTGGGTTCATTGCCAAAGCCCTCGTTTCCGAGGAACGGGGTTCAGGCGCCGCTCAGGCTCTTCAGGTGTCCATCATCTCGTTCTCGTCGTTTCTGGGTCGTCTCCATTCGGGTCCCTGCAGTGATCTAATCAGGAAGAGGTTCAAAATGCAGCGGCTTTGGGTGATTGTCATAGCATTGACTGCCATGACTGTAGGCCAGGGTCTGGTTATATTTGCCAAAACCACTTCTGCACTGTCGGTATCGAGTCTGCTCATTGGGATGGCCTATGGGGCAGCATTTGGAACATTTCCGTCTATTATGGCTGACCAGTTCGGCTCGAAAGGGTTCACGACCACATGGGGTCTGGCAGGTACCGGGCCGATATTTGCATTTTTGTTACTCACAAAGGTGTTTGGGCATGTATATGACCATAATAGTACTACAGATGCCATTTCTGGATTGAGGGTTTGCCATCTTGGTCGTGGATGCTATGCTGACGTCTTTAAACTGACCACGGCCATATGTGTGGCACTTTACTTTGGGCTGTTTGCGCTTATCCGCCACAATTATATGAAGGAGAAGCGTTAGATTGCTTTAGCATTATTTTTGGATCATTTTGATAAGGAACTATGATATTATTGGCGGATTAAGGCATACCATGGAGCATGCACCGCATAGCACAGACTAAGTAGCAATGACTCAAAGACTCAAATCATTTAATCAAAGCAACGTAGCCCTGGATTCAAAGATCGTATTTCTGATCTACAGCCATAATAACTTATAGTGGTACATTGGTCTAAGTCTACTCCTCCATCTCAACATCGCTCTCCTTCTCACTTTCATCATCAGCAAAATGTGGTCTCCACACATCCACCAGACCATCTTCAGCAACACTGGCGATCACATTGGAAAGATCTGGGTGCCATGCGCACTCTCCAAGACGCGTAGTGTGACCTCCGTGAACGAACACCAGTTCGGGAGGATGGTCCTCATCGGAATCATCACCAGGTGCTAGCAAACTGAAATCCCACACCAAGACCCGGCGATCTGATCCAGCGGATGCCAGATATGAGGAATTAGGCTTGAAAGCCAATTGGGTAACCGGAGCTGAATGACCACTTAGAGACCGCACTGGGGTCGCAGGATTTCTAAGATCCCAGGCATTCACAACCGCATCGGCTCCGGCCGTCACCAAGAAGTTGGATAATTCAGGATGGAATGAAACACAGTTAACTGCGCCATCATGGGCCTGAACGTCCACGATAGGTTTCGATAAAGAAGATGAGCGCAGGTCATGGAGGTGGAGGTGAGAAGAGTCCGAAACACTTGCGAAAACGTCTGGGATTTGCGGGTTCCACGACAAATCGTTGACGGAGGCAGTGTGTGAGTCAATCACATGAGATGGCTTATCAGAGGCCGAGGAAACATCCCATAGGGCTACTATAGCGTCTTCCGTTGAGGTCAGCAGCCACGACTGGCGCGAAGGATGCCACTCGAGGCCATAACCCTCTTTCGTGTGATGCTCTAGTTTTTTGAAGGGTAGGGCTTGGTCCAAAGAATACAACAACACAGCTCCAGTATTGGTCATAGTGGCGATAGTAGACGACAATGGGTTGTATCTGGCTTTGTTAACCTCACCAGGATGTTTCCAGGACTTGACTTCCTTGAATTTGCAGCCAGATGGCGAAGACGGAATGGAAATAGCAGCACCACCTGCCAATGTAGCAGGTAAGTCGACCGAGTAGAGCTTCAAATAGTCATCTGCGTTGCCAGAGGTGTGTGTTCCAGAGATGAACTGGGCACTGAGAGTTCCGTCATCATTAGTAGAGGTTCCGGGTAGCCAATCAATAGTCAAAGCAGGCCACTCAAGAGCATACGAATACACCAAGTCGTACAATAAAGGACTGGTTTTTTTCCATATTTTGAACTCCTCATTGATCACCTTCTCTGCGGTGCGGTAGGAGCGTAGGGCATCGTGGGTTGCTATGAAAATGTAGGTTAGTAATCGGTACTGGGCTCAAAACCACAAGTGTTTGCAAAAACGCCACTCACCCTTAGACGGATTTTCCACAGCTGGCGCCATTTTTTGCTGGATGTATGAACTACAGATGAAGCTGATGTACTGAGTCTCGTTTGAGGCCAGTCGAGGAGAGCGTTGATTACAGACGTGCGATAACCAGCAGATATGACTGTACACGACCTCCACGGGTGCCTTTAAAATCGACATTACCGTTCTTTCTATCAGATGATTTGTTTGTTTGGTACTGGCGGCTCGTATTTTCGCCTAATGGACCTTACTGTGCAGTGTTTGCAGTAGAAACTATACACAGAAATGTATTTCATGCCCCACTCTGAGACTCTGCTGGTAGCAGTTGAGAGAAAACGGCTGGATCGTGTACGAACCCAATGTACGCAAACGCCGCACAGCCTTCCACCGCCACCTCAAGGCGGTGTACCAGCAATCGAAGGAAGAAGATACGTGCCAAACAGACAGGAGACTACAGATGAAAGCAATTAACACGCGTCACTAGACTACCGAAAAACGCGATATTGACTTCGGATAGCCAAGAAGCGGCACGCGTCAGCGTTCTCTTGTGCCCGACTAGTCCGTGAGATAACACCACCTAGTGCCCGATATATCCCCGGAATCTCAGGCAGAGTGGTCAGACTGCAGCAGAGACCAATTCCCATGATGAAATAGACGCTAAGCGTAAACATAGATTACTCACATATTACGAAGAAGGACGCGGTACGCGCCCCAACGACCAATCATAAGGCAAGGCGTCTAAACGCGTCTCCCGGAAACGGCCAAAGGTCAATAGTACCGACACGGATCGTGCACGACCAGTCAGGAAGCGCGTCTTGTCGTGTCACTTCCAGAAGGGACGTATAAAAGGAATCCGCGTCGCTCGCACCTCAGGTTTTTTTTTCCATATACCCAGGCTTCAGATTACTACATCTAGTCATCAAGATACAAATATAAACATAATGTCCACTGAACAAACACCATCGAAGGTGGCTGCTTCCGCCTTGTCGAGCCTCGAGCTGAAGGACTCCCAGAAAGACCTCACCGCCACTTTGAAGGCTGCCGCTGCCAGAAAGGAAGCTACCACGGTTGAAAAAGCCGAGGAAGTGGATGAAAAGCTCATTGCTCACAACAACTTCCTCAACAAACACAAGGTTCATCGTCATCGCTTGAAGGAGCTTGAGAAGGAGGAGCCTTTGCTGCGTGAGAACAAGCAGCGTTTCGTTCTGTTCCCTCTCAAGTACCACGAGATCTGGAACATGTATAAGAAGGCTGAGGCCTCTTTCTGGACCGCAGAAGAGATTGATCTCAGCAAGGATATTACTGACTGGAACAAGAAGCTCAACGATAACGAGCGTTACTTTGTTAGCCGTGTTTTGGCATTCTTCGCCGCTTCTGACGGAATCGTGAACGAGAACTTGGTGGAGAACTTTAGTGCTGAGGTGCAAGTTCCAGAGGCCAAGTGCTTCTACGGTTTCCAGATCATGATGGAAAACATCCATTCTGAGACCTACTCGCTGCTGATTGACTCCTACATCAAGGACCCTAAGGAGTCCAAATTTTTGTTCAACGCTATTGAGACCATCCCATGCATCAAGGAGAAAGCCGAATGGGCTATGCGCTGGATCAACAACCAGGATGCGCTTTTTGCTGAGAGACTTGTGGCATTTGCTGCCGTTGAGGGTATTTTCTTCTCTGGATCGTTTGCATCTATCTTCTGGCTCAAGAAGCGTGGTTTGATGCCTGGTCTCACCTTCTCCAACGAGCTCATTTGCAGAGACGAGGGTTTGCACACCGATTTCGCCTGTCTGTTGTTCTCGCACCTGAACAACACTCCAGACCACTCTATTGTTCTTAAGATCATCACAGAGGCCGTTGAGATCGAGAAGCGTTACTTCACCGACGCGTTGCCAGTCTCATTGTTGGGTATGAACGCTACCTTGATGTGCCAATATGTCGAGTTTGTCGCTGACCGTTTGCTCGTTGCCCTCGGCGGAAAGAAGCACTTCAACGCCACCAACCCATTCGATTTTATGGAGAATATCTCGCTGGCGGGTAAGACCAACTTCTTCGAGAAGCGTGTTTCTGACTACCAGAAGGCCGGTGTCATGGCCAGTCAGAACCAGGCCGAGTCGAACCCATCTGAGACCTTCAACTTCGACGAGGACTTCTAGATGCTCTCACGCACTGTCCCCGCTTTCTCCGCTCTACTTGGCATTTCTCTGGCCCCTATTAGCTCTGTCACAGGCTTGCCTCTATAATTATGTATACTAGTCCTAAGAATTTTTTTGATATCACGACACGACCTTTCTGTCCCCTGAAAAATTTCACTCAACCCGCATCGGCAGCCAACCAAGCCCGACCGATTGGCCGACGATCACCTTTCAGAGCTTCTTTTTTCGCCTTCCAAACCGTTTTTTCGAGAGCAGCGAGTCGGAATTCACACATGTCGACGAACGGGGACATGCCGAGTACCAGATCATACAAGGACGCGATCCGCGCGCTCAACTCGCTCCAGTCGAACTTCGCGACTGTTGCTGTGAGGAGAAGCGCCGCTGTGGACGCTGCCAAGTTGATGCCCGAGATGTTGGAGTGGACGGCGAGATGTGGCTACACTCCCGAGCAGCTAGACTCTCTGAATGTGGTGCATGTTACAGGAACCAAGGGAAAGGGCTCGACATGCGCCTTTACGCATTCTATTCTGGAGCGTTATAGATCTGCGATTTCTGGCCCAATCACGCGAATGGGAATGTATACTTCGCCACATCTAAAGAGCGTCCGCGAGCGAATCATGCTGGATGGTCAGCCATTGGATGAGGCGAGATTTACTCGGTATTTCTTCGAGATCTGGGACAAACTCGGATTGGCTGAGGACGGTGGTGAAGAGCGTCCGGCCTACTTCCGTTTTTTGACTTTGTTGTCGTTCCACGTTTTCAAGAGTGAGGGAGTTGATACTGCTATATACGAGGTGGGTGTTGGTGGACAGTACGATTCGACCAATGTGTTTGTGAGGCCGACAGTCACTGGTATTACTGCTTTGGGAATTGACCATACTACGATGCTGGGGACGACTTTGGCTGAAATTGCCTGGAACAAGGCTGGAATATTCAAGAAGGGAACGCCTGCAGTGACGGTGGTTCAACCGGAAGAAGGCATGAAGGTGATACGTGAACGTGCTGCTGAGAGAGAGGTTGCGTCGTTGGAGGTGGTCGAGAAACGCGAGGGATTGGCAGGTATCAAGCTCGGTCTTGCAGGCGAGTTCCAGAAGCAGAACGCAGCTGTTGCTGTTGAACTTGCACGCCTACACCTCAAGGCTCTGGGAGTTGCGGGAATGGATTTTGGACTTCAAGATCCAATCCCACTGGAGTTCGAGCGCGGACTTGAGGCTGCCAATTGGCCTGGAAGATGTCAGACCATTCATGAGGACACGATAACCTGGTTCATTGATGGTGCTCATACACTAGAAAGTGTTCATGTTGCTTCTGAGTGGTTCGGATCTGTGGTTCCCAAACAACGTGGTCAGCGCGTTCTTCTGTTCAACCAACAGACCCGTGATGTGGCTGCGTTGATTCGCGAATTATACGAAACCGTGGCAGCTGCGGGTGTTAAGTTCGATCATGTAATATTCACAACCAATCTCACGTGGTCCTCGGGGACTTATTCGGACGATTTGGTCTCCATCAACACCTCCCAGGAACAGGTGGACGAGCTGGTGGTGCAGAAGAGGCTTGCTGAACTTTGGTCTCAAATGGACGACAAAAAGTCCAGAAAGCATATTTTTCACGACATTGAAACTTCTGTGAACTTTATAAGGTCTTTGGAGGGGCCCGTGGATGTTTTTGTTTGCGGGTCGTTGCATTTGGTAGGAGGGTTTTTGACTGTGCTCGATAAATGAGGACGAGTCTTAGAAAGAGGCGAGAGCGAGCAAGCTGCAAAGCGCAAAGATAAAGAGATGTTTCAGGCGACTAATGATCGGCTTTATACGAGATCTTCACTAATTCTGAGATTCAGCTTTGGCTGCTAGCAGTACACAATCGAGTAGATGACTGGCTGAGGTTCTTCATTGGCTGAAATTTGTGCATTGAAAGTCTTTATTAAGAATTTCCCAAAAATGGATGTTTATCTGTATTATTGAGAATCAAGTTTTCCAGGTTTTGACCGACTATTGTCAATTAATTGTCCAACTTTCCAGGAGAAAAATGAGATTTACATTCGTCTCACCACCTCTCATCTCAACAGTTTCTCACATTTCTCGGCCAACACGAGCGTTTTCCACTCAATTCTCGAGTATTATCATCTCAAAGGACTTAATTTGACAGCCTTTTCCTGACATCATATATATTAGCCACCTCCATTCAGCCTGCCGATTTCCCTCCAGTAAAGATCAGCGACGTCGTGCATGTACCAAACTACTAACCTCTGGCCTCCGGCCTCTTAACAAGCCTCACAATCACAACTAAGCAGGTTACTCTTCTCAATTATTAGTTCCAGACAGCACCAGCACTCTTGTTTTTGGAGGAAAAAGCGCTAGAGATGGTGAGTATTTGGCTTATGTGCTGTGTTTTACGCTAGTGCACTATATACTTGCAATGTTGTTACTAACCCGAATAGTGGTGGGTTGTCCTCACTTTCCTCGTACTCACGCTGCTATTGTCCGCGTTCTGCCTCAATATATTTATCCGGCTTCGCTCCCAACCCCTTTACTTGTCCGCTACACTGGTTTTGTCACTGTTTCTGCCGTTGTCGATCATTTTCATCCTTCCAATCGATCTGATATCAACGTCTATTGACAACTCCAGGTCATCTGGAGTGTCGTTACAAGGGAACCAGAGCTCTATATTCTATCTAGACCCACGAATTGTCATAATTCTATGGCGGGTGAACTACTGGACCACTTTTGTGCTGACATGGGTGATCTTGCCGTTTTTACAGAGTTGGTTTAGCTCTGGATACCACAAAGTTCGCGATCGGCTCAAGGACGCGCTAGTGGATGTGCTCAAATTCCAGCTGTTGATGCTGGTATGCGCAGTCGCGTTTCTGGTGTATCTGCTGTTTGCGCACCGCGATTGGCTGAGTTTCACGACGTTGAAGTCATTGGTGATTACAGTTTCACACCTCTACGCGTTGGTGATAGCTCTTTGGCTTATGGCCCACGGTTTAGTGGCGATTCCTCGCGAGAAATATCTCCATTCCGGGTTCTACGAATCACGACTTTTTGGAGCTTACTGTGCTCTTCCATCCACCAAAGAACGTTATGACGATGCCAAATTTGAATTTCGCGAGTGCTGTGGAAAGGTTTGCACGCTGCGGCAGCTCCAGGACTCCAACCTAGATTTCCGCGATTGGATTATCGATCTTGTTAATCAGGTTCCGGACCAGTTTGTGCCGTCAAGTTCTCACGTTGGGTTTGCTTATAGTGGTGAAAGACTGACCGCAGCCGATCTTTCGGCTAAGAAGATGAACCAACTCACCACGGAGTTCCAGCGCAAGAAGAACCGATTAGACACAGAGTACATTCATTTTCAGAACGCTGTTGATGAGATTATCAAGCTGGAGGATAAGGTGAATGCTCAACTGTTGAAGGAGCTAAATCCGCGACTGACTCCTTCGTCTGCGTGGGGTGGCTTTCTGGTTAGACACCCACGTTTAAGCTACATGCTTTCTCAGTATTGGAATCCGTGGTTTGGGAGGTTCACGGCACTCTGCTTGGCAGGACTTTCGGTTATTGTAGTCGAATCAGAGGTGCTTCATGGCACGAAAGCCTCGTTGATTAACCTAGTGATCAATGGTCTCACTAAGAACAGCGTCAGGAACCACTCTACTGCGATCTCGCAGATATTTATGGCTTGTCTTGTGACCCTCAGCTATATGTTGCTTTCCGCGATGTTCTCTCTGTCCAAGATCCGTGTCTTTAACATGTACCATCTTTCACCACATCAATCGTCAGATCCCGTTTCGGCGACGTTCTTTTTGACTTATGCTGCAAGACTGACTATTCCCCTCAGTTACAATTTTTTGATGCTTCTGTCGACAGACTTTACTCTGGATTCGGGGTTCCAGAAGTTTTTGGGTAACTCAATCAAACTTATCCCGGCTGGTGCATTCCTTAACAGTCTGCTACCGAGACTAATCTTGATTCCCTTGCTGCTATCCTTTTTGAACGTGTGGGATAGGATGAAGAAATGGTTCAAGGGCACGTTTTTGTTCGAACAGTTCTTTGATGAGTTTGACTACGATGAAGATACTCAAACTCGATTATTGTCCAGAACCAACGAACAAACCGCTGACCCTGAGAGGCTTACCTCTGCTCCCATAATTGGTACTCCATCGAATGCAAGAGAAGCAGCGCTTGTACAAGAGGCCAAAAACATTGTTCAAAGAGAGCTCCACGGCCAGACGAGCGTCATTCCAAGCTCTACCTCTGGCACCGGTATAGACTCGCGCGTCATAACTTCAGCCCCACGCCCTTTTCAACTCTCCACGACGCGACAGGTGTCTTCGCCATTCAGAAGCAAACGCTCGTTATCTAGGTCTTCCTCCATGCAATGGGGAGAAGAGCCGGGAGTGGGAAACAGGGTGTTTGGAGGCCAGGATCCGGAGTACGTCCGTTCCGAAGAGGGAGCGGACGCTCCTCTGACTTTCGGTCAAAGAGTGTCCAGTGCACTATCCAACGTTTTTGGAAGGAAAAACAACTCTGCTGGCGCATTTGAACTAGGTCGTCGTGGAAGCACGAGTACGATGGCTTCATCAGCAAACGATTTCTCTATGGGTTCACGTGCAGATTATGAGACGGACAATAGGTTGCTTCGTGATGAGGAAATATTGAATATTGATGACGAAGAAGAGGAGGATGAAAGGTTGATGTTGTGATCATACTTGAGATGTTGAGCATTGTGAGTTATTGTGACTACCCCCAACATGGAACTTTTTATCACCGATGATGTTGGCTGTGGTATGAACGGTGGGGGACTATTATGAAATATCGGACGTTGAGAGTGATTGGTTGGAATTGTTAATTATTGACAATGACTTATGGGGGACTGTTGAGGACCTTCAGCTGGCTAGCTATTATCAGCTTCTTTCAGCTGTCGTCATGTTATATTAAAACTTTATACATAACCGTTAAAACACGTCACTTTCGCACCTTCCTCTCAATCTCATAAGGATCCCGTAGAGGCACCGGATCGTACTGTTTTTCATAAGTCATTGCTCTTTTGGAGGGCTTCACTCCAAGAAAGTCCTCGGACGTTACGCTTTCGCCTATCGCCAGTAGTCTAAGTGGATCTGATGACAATCGCGTGTTTTCTGTCAGAACGTGCCCTTTTCTTTGAGGCCGATTAGCCGCTGATTTCCAACCTTTTGTGGAGGTGATAGAGAGTCTTGGATCAGGTCTAGATGGCCATCCTTTTGAGAAGGCAGCAGCAGCCGTGAGACTGCTAGCAGTCTGACTAGCTTCAATAGCACCAACAGTTTTGCTAGTTTTATCGGCATCATCGTTTGTTGAAACTTGGACGTTTTTCACGTTTTTCACCAATGCCCTAGTCCCAGACTTTTCACCCTGCTTCTCCACTTTAGACACTCCACCAAATGCCCAACCATGCCGCCTCCTTCTTGCCATATTATCTCTTACAACCATCTGATTAAACTCATGAGAGTCCTCCGGAATATACTTTGCCACTACCGAGTTGATTGGCTCTTCACCAGGGTCCTCCCCCACACTCTCAGCGGTCTTATCAGATACCGTTATCTCACCGCTCAGTAATGGGAAGAACTCTGTTGTGATGGCCTTTCGTAGCCTGTTTCTGTAATCTGCATTTTGAGTTACCTGAAGTATGTCAGATGTGGAATCTGGTATTTTTTTGTACTTTTTTGGCACCATTATTCGCCAAAGGTCGACCTTGTCACTAGTCAAGCAAGCCGTGAAAAATCCAAATATTTCATAGAGCCCGGGGATTCTCGGTTGCCCCACGAAAACCACCCGATCCATCGCGGGCGACCCACGGGGCTCGCAACGCCTCTCAAAGGAGATTCTACCCCAAACGTTGCCCTCTTTCGATGTGTCTCGAGACAGGACCCTTGGTTTAGGGTGAAATTTCGCCGTATTTGACCCGACAGTCTCTAGTAGACATATCTACAATTTGGAAACCTAGCCTACCGATAACGCTCAATATCGGCGATGCTGGCCATCCATGTGCCGCGCCGGCTAGCAGCAGGCCGAGGGAGAATGCTAGGAGCAAGGCGATTGTCGCAGCGGCTTAGTGTAAAGCTGAAAGACTCAAATATTGTGGTGAATGTGAATCTGATGAAAGTCCCATCGAACTACGGTTACTACTCGTCACGTGTGAACCGATTATACAACGAGGACAAATTCAGTGCTTCCATCATCGAGGTGGACATGGCAGAGAACAGAGTGGCCATTGGACCCGACACGAACGAGGAGTTAGATGTTGCATCTGATTTGGCAGATATAGATCCATATGCGTACGAACTAGGTCCGCATTCGGGGGGAAAGAGACCGGTGAAGGTGTTCAACTTCAATGTCTTTGATGGCCATGGAGGTGAGGAGTGCTCGGATTACCTCACCCACCATTTGTCTCAGAATGTGGAGTCTCTTCATGTGACATCAGGTGCAATTGAAAAGCTTTTTAAGGACTATGCAAAGTCCATAGGTGGGTATTGGAGACGTTGGGTTCGAAGGCAGAACACTCACTTTGAGCAGATACTCAGTGTGACGCCCCAAGAAAGGAACCTTACGGGTTCCGAGACTCTACTTCGCGAGGAGCGGTCCTCGCGGGTGCCTATTTGGGAGGACGAGTCATTTTTCAATGTTTCCGGCGAGGATTTCCTGAAGTTGCGGATCTTCCTCAGCTTTCTGTACACAGATTTGAGGTTTTTGAGCCAGGAAAAGGCCGAGTCGGGCCACCATTCCGGGTCTACGTGTACCAGTGCATTCATATACACTATTGATCCAGATCCCACCGACTGCCACAGCTGTAGAAGTGGCTCCGAGGAGGCCGTGCCGTTTGACGATGTGTTCTTTTACGAGCCCAACGTGCTGTCTAAACTGGTGATAGCCCATGTTGGGGACACAAGAGCGATTCTTTGCGATAAGGAAGGTGTTGCGCATGCTTTGACTGTGAACCACCACCCCTCCAATCCTCTGGAGTCGCGAAGACTGGCCCGTTTTTCCACTGGACTGATGATGACCGATTCGTTTGGCGAAGAACGGTTCATAAACTACGCAAATACACGCTCCTTTGGAGATATTACGGGAAAAAATGTCGGGATCAGTGCAGAGCCTGAGTTCCGAGAGGTGTTGCTGGGGGACGCCAAAAAGATGCAGAAATACAGAAAGCAGCATCGCGACAAGCTCGCCGCCAAGCAACTGCTTGACTTTGGTGGAAACGAATGTTTCCTGGTACTTGTTTCAGACGGAATTACAAACTACTTATCGGACCAAGAGGTGGTGGATCTGATCATGAGCACCACCAATAACCTAGGAGCCATCAAGGGAACGCCGCATGTAGCTGCCAAAGAGGTAGTGAAATTTGTGGAGTGCATCGGAGGTGACGACAATGCGACGTGCAACATTGTGAAGTTAAGTGGTTGGGGTAATTGGCCAATGTTGGACCGAACTGGAAAACTACGCGAGGAGAAGATGGAAAGCGTTAGTCGTGCAGACCGAGGCTGACCTTCATTCGAATTGGGAGACTCATACTATATTCATCGTGCAAACGCAAAAACGGATCCTTATGATCATCACTATGTACAGTATTGCATTCAACACTCATAGATGTTGGCATTGGCGTAGGCCTGGCGGCAGGGTTACTATTGGGGGATGTGTAGAGATGAGTGATGAGGAAATTCTGGCAAGTTTTGGTGGAGGTTGAGTGCTTTCATGAGCTTTTATGAGCTTTCATAAAGTTTCATAATGTTCCATAAACTTCCATACACCGCGATAACCTCTCATAATCTCCCATATCACTCTTCAAAAATCCCATCACCGTCCACGCCCTTCTTCTTGCACGAAATCCTAATTTTTCACCTGTTCTTCGTCTGAGTGTACTTAAACTTCTTCCTGGTATGCGCAAACTCACCCAGCTTATATCCAACCATCTTCTCGTTGATGTGAACCTGAACATAATCCTTACCATTATGTATCTGGAATGTCAGACCAACAAACTGTGGCAAAATTGTGCACGATCTAGCGTTGGTCCTGATTGGGGTCTTGGTCTCCTTGGCCTTGGAGATGGGAAGAGGAACAAAGTGTGGACCTTCATAAGTGTTAGTGGTTTTTCCAGTAAAAAATTCTGAATAATCATAAATACATACCTTTCCACACGGAACGTCTGAATAGGACTGCTGCTGCTCTCATGATGAGTTGGTTGTTTAACCTTCAATACAGTATCCAGACTCGACAACCTCGAAAACTTCGATGCCAGTGATGGGAAATTTGGTTACGAGCGATGGCGCCATCCCAAATTTTTCCCTTAGGTGCGGTTCGAATATTTTTGAACGAACAGGAGAGGCAGTTGCGAGCCCCAAAAATATTCATATTGAGGCATGTTTGCAGCTAGATATGATGGAACAGTGCCTGTTAAAACCACTTTCAATCCGAAGAGTCTGATACGAAAGCGGAGGCATCAGGAAGTTGAAGTTGAGGTGGGAGAGGACGAAGACGATGAAGAGAGGGAACAACAACGGTCTGAAAAGTCGAGTTCAGAGGCAGAAAAGAACGAAGATTTCGGGATGGAGGATGTGATAGAGCATGATGATATTATTGAAAATGAACAAGTGAAAATTACTGCTGAAATTCAAGCGGAAACTCCAAGTGAAAATGACGAGACATTCTCTTCAAAGCATGCCTCTGTGTTCAAAAGGTTCACGTCTAGTGTCCACCGGCGGCAGCAAGATGGCTCACAAGATGACATACCAATTAGCGATGATGAAGGCGTTGAAGCTAGTGTTCTGGGACCAATCCCCCAGCCTGCTTTGCCAAAAGACACAAAGCTGATGACTTCTACTACCCGGACACTTGACTGGCTCGCTGAACCGCAGTATTCCAAGGTTGAGACGATGAAACCATTTGCAAAACTAGAGCCACCAATAGATGCTGGAATTGTAAAGACTCTTGAAAAGGAATTCGGGATATCAGATGCCTTCAGTGTTCAGATATCGGTTATTGAAACATTACTTGCAGATCAGAAGAAGAACATACTATCACCCATTCCAAGGGGGGATCTACTGGTGAACGCAGCCACAGGATCTGGAAAAACTCTAGCATATTGTGTGCCGATTGTTCAAGCGCTGAAGAACAGAAGAGTGCCCTCCATCCGCGCAGTTATTCTAGTTCCAACGCGGCCACTCATCACACAGGTCTACTCGACACTTCTGAAACTCACCAAGGGAATTGACCTGAATATAATGGCATTCAAAAACGAAGTCAGCGTTAAGGATGAAGCGGAAAAACTGGTGGCTATTTCAGGAAGACCAGACATCGTGATATCGACTCCCGGTAGAGTTGTTGAGCACATCCAGCAGAACCACATGGATCTCTCGCAGTTGCGATATCTGGTGGTAGACGAAGCAGATAGATTATTGAACCAGTCTTTCCAGAACTGGTGTGATATTCTGATATCAGAAATTGACCGTGCTTCTGCTCAAGAAAACATTTCGCAGAGATGGCGATTAAAGTGCACCAAGATGATTTTTTCAGCTACGCTTACCACCGACTCTGGCAAATTGTCTCATCTCAAACTCTTTAACCCCCGTTTATTGGTGGTAAACAGCTCAGAGGGATTGGTCAAAGAACTTTATCAGATGCCACATACTCTGGAAGAAATGTACTTCCGTATTCACGCCAGTCTCAACTTCTACAAGCCGTTGGTGCTGTTGAGGTTTCTGACAGACTTCGGTTCTGGAGACTTTACTAAAGCTGGGCTTGTTTTCGCTAAGTCAAATGAATCTGCAATTAGACTAGCAAGACTTCTGGGCATTGTGGCCGAGGAATTTGGAATTCCGACCAAAGTTGCGTCCGTCAACTCCACTCTCTCTAATAGTGAGAGGCAGAAAATCTTCAAGGCTTTTGCTAATGGCGATATTGATATTCTGGTCTCCACAGACGTTTTGGCCCGTGGTATGTCGCTTGACACGATTCGTTTGGTTGTGAATTACGATCTGCCTCTTTCGACCAAGGAATATATCCACAGAGTGGGTAGAACAGCCCGTGCCAACCAGGCAGGTGTGGGTCTGAGTATCGTCGTAGGTGATGGTGAGTTCAAGTGGTTCAAGAAGGTTGTTTATGGTGGAGCTGTGATCAACAGAAACAACAAGTCAGTCACGGAGATCGCTGTTGTGAGAAACTTGGAAGAAAGTGAAGCCCAACCAAGATTTGCACTTGACTTGACCTCTGAAGATAAGGCTAGGTACGAGAAGTGTCTTCTTGCTCTGGAGAAAGAGGTTTTTCAGAGATGAAAAATAGGTCAAGAAATCGTTTATACGTAATTATTAATGCATACGGTCGATTATCTGAGCAGATATCCGCTTCTTAGAGTATCAAACGTGGTTTTGACGTATTTATATATGGGCAGAGCCCGTGGTCATCTTACCCAATGTCCTCTGCTTTGCCTCTTCTCTGACTCTTTTCTGACTCTGGTGGCCATTTTCATCTATCTCCTTAACAAGCATCATCCTGAGAAGCAATGAAGTCGATCGCCTGCTGGACGGTCTTTATCTCATCAGCCTCATGATCTGGTATAATAATAGAGAATTCATTCTCAATCTCCATCACCACCTCAACAGTGTCAAGCGAGTCCAATCCAAGGTCTCTGGTAAATGAAGAAGAAGGCAAAATCTCCTTTCCTGCAGTCTTGTCGTAAGACTCAAACAATTCGACTATTCTCTCTTGGATTATGTCTTTGGTCAAGGCTGGGGCAGCTGAATACTGTCTCCACTGAGCCTGGGCGACAAGAGATGGGACTCTGAGTGGGAAAGCAGAAGCTCTGGAGCCCTTCAAGAGTCTGGAACACGATAATCTGAGCATCTTCTGGGGTTTGTACTGGTGATTATTCACTGGTGTTGAAAGACAAGCTTGACCAATTTGACCAATGGCTGGCTTTTGGTTGGTGATTTTGGCGAGGGCACTCAGAGGCCGGGTAACCCCTCTTCCATCGCTCGTCAACTGGAGATTTGAAAAACTCGCCGTATTAGTAGATGGAGCTTTCGGAATCAGCTCGACTCCTATTCATTTTTCTACTACGGGCTTTTGGTTCTTTGTTACCATGTTTAGATCATTAATAAGATCGGTGGCAAAATTACCGGCACCGAGACTTTTGTCTGCGGTCAGGCCGACGTTCAGGCCAACCTTGATGCAATCACCAATACAATGGAAGCTCCAACCTGTTTCGAACTTCAGTTCAACGTCACAAGTGCTGGCTACCTTGAACCAAACCAAAAAAGGCAGAGGTAAAAAGAAGACGCCCAAAAGACCCACAGACTCGCCTGATCTGATGGCCTGTCCAGTGAGGAAGGGAGTTGTGGTGAGAGTCATGATCAAAAAGCCGAAGAAGCCAAACTCTGCTCAGCGTAAAGTGGCGAGAGTGAGGCTATCGAATGGAAACATGGTTTATGCTTACATACCGGGTGAGGGCCACAATGCCCAGGAACATAGCGTGGTGCTGGTGAGAGGAGGAAGAGTGCAGGACTTGCCTGGTGTTAAATACCATTTGGTCAGAGGCCCATTGGATTTAAGCGGGGTTGCCAACCGTGGAACCTCCAGGTCGAAATATGGAGTTAAAAAGCCCGCGAAGGCTACGTGAGAGAGGACTGAATATTGTACATAGGAAACATAGACTTCTAAGAGGACATGCAACGGTTGACACGTAGAATAAGCAATTCCACGAAACTTTAACAGCAAAGAGACAATTAACATTTTGGATATCATATCTATATTGATATTACCAAATATGTCCAAAATCTATAATCTCCAACGTATAAAGCATCGTCCTCCGGTCGTCTTATTTCACCGAATTAGCCGTTCCGTTCACCGCGGTTACAAGCCCTGCTCAAGGGGTCAGCGGATCGGCTGGCCTCATTCATACTAACCAAGACTTGACACCTGGATAACTTTCGCACTCCATCTTCAGTTCCGTTCATCATTCCTCAATCACAACGCTCACAATGTTACAATTGGAACCGCAGAATCTCCTAATTCAGGAAGCCTTTGGTGCTGCTTTCTCCGAGGACTACCAGCCTATCACCTTGGACCGTATCATCACGGATTTTGACTTCACCACCTACCACATCTCGACGCCCGAGTCCAAAACAAAGATTTTACTCTCAATTAACATCAAGTGCTGGCCGGATTTGGTAGAACATGGAGTTTTGGCTCTTCTAGCCGAGAAATATGCTGGTTTCCAGATCCTGGACCAGCCTGAACCCGGTTGGGATTTCAGTATCTATGTCGACCTAGAAACCACCAACTTCGGGTCCGAGGAAGCCAAGAGCGAGGCTATCGAGAATTTATCGCTGCTCAAAAGAAACTGTTTTGCCGCACCATTTTTGAAGGCGTTTGCACGCTACGAAGAGCTGTCTGCGCAACAGCCACCAGATCCAAACAACATCTACGGCGAGGATTCCACCAACAACTCCAATGAAAAGGTCTTGCAAATCCATTATCGTGATGCTGAGAGCATATTTGTGAAGCCATCGAATGATAGAGTCACCGTTATCTTCTCTACGATTTTCAAGGATGAGCAGGACAAGGTGTTTTCCAAGGTATTCCTCCAAGAGTTCAGTGATGCGCGTAAACGGTCCATCCAGACTGCGCCACAAGTTATCAACTCACACAAGGAACCTCCTTTAGAGATTCGCCATTTGATCCGCGAGACAGCAAATGCCAAAGACACTTCTTACATCACTTTCGTGTTGTTTCCACGCCATCTCTCTACTGACGATGCTAAGTGGAATACTATCACACACATCGAATTGTTTAGGTCCTATTTCCATTACCATATCAAGATCGTGAAGTGTTATCTGCACCAGAGAATGCGTTACAGGGTTAGTGGGTTCATGAAGGTACTGAACAGAGCCAGACGTGAGCACGATGACGAGGAACTGAAAGCTGAGAGGAAGACCGCCAGTGGCAGACGTTTTGAGGTCAGATAAAGGTAAGAACGAAGAAATATTCGAAATGCTCAATTGGCAAAATTAAACGCAAAAATCATAAATTTCACCAACCAATATCTTAAGTAGTGGGCGACCCACTTCCGTTTTGTCGTGCCCATTGCATCCTCCTTCGTCGAGATTTTGCCCAGTCACCCTTCTCCGTCGAGCAATACTATCACCATTGTACAATCAATTAATCGTTGAATCTCCATAGGTAATTTGCATCGCCAAAGCTCCGTTGGAACTCAGTATATTGATTAGACATGTCGTTTTTCGGATTCGACACGAGTGGTCCGCCAAAGGCAGACAAGGACCTTCAAACGTTAGACTTTGAAGACACCTACGAAGGTCTAGGAGAACACCCCGAGGAAGAAGAAGATGCCTTCAACGACGAAACCTTTGGTGCTGATATCAAGACAGGTCGCGACTTCGATTTTGGGACAGCGCAACCACAGGCTCAACACCTGAGTTATGCACAAGCAGCCCAGAAGCCTATAGTTGAAGATGTGTTGAAGCCAATGGCATCTCTTTGGTCAGACCAGACAGTGCCGGAGCAGCAGCCACAACGTGCGCCAACAAGTGGACCAAAGGTTCTCTCTTTGGAAGAAATTGAAGCCCAACTGATGGGAAGACCAGTCCAGCCACCTCAGATGATGCAACCACAGATGTATGGCCAGAATGGGTATCCGTTCATTATGCCTCCAAATGTGAACCCCCAGCAGTTCCAGCAGTTCCAGCAGCAATTTGGTGGTCAGCTTCCTCCTGGATTCATGTTTCCACCTCAAGGGTACCCGGGTCAACCGCCCATGTTCATGCCAGGCATGCCAAATCAACAGGGTATTCCTCCTCAATTGCAGCAACAGCATCTGCATCAGTTCCAGCAAGCTCAGGCTCAACAGGCCCAGCAAGTTCCTGCTCAGTTTCAGGTTCAGCATGGCCAACCACAGGGCCCTCCACAGGTTCAACAGGTCCAGCAACAACAACAACAACAACAACAACAAGCTCAACCAGTTCATCCTCAAGCTCAAGCTCAAGCTCAAGCTCCAATTCCGGCTCCAGCTCCACAACCTCAGGCTCCAGCTCAGCCTGCTGAGACCCAAGCTCAGGCTCCAGCTCAGACCCCTGCTCCCTCCCAACCACAGAGTGCGCCAAGAGCACAAGCTTCATCTAACGGCCAGAAGTTGCCTCTAGACGAGTTTCCAGTTTTGGGCTCTGCATCTGTTCGTGAGCACCCAACTCAACCTGCCCAACAACAGAGCTACCAACAGAGACAATACTCGCAACATTCACAAAATCCACAGTATCTGCAGAACCCGCAGAACCGTGGCAGGATTCAAAGACCAAGACAAGATCTCACTCCTGAAGAAAGAGAGAAGCTGATCATAAGATCAAACAAGGTTGCGCGCATCACTCGTAGCTCTGGCTTTATGACTCCAAGAGATAAGGACTTCGTGACCCGGTTCCAGCTTTCGCAAATCGTTTCGCAGGATCCTTTCAATGAAGATTTTTACCACCAGATTTTCAAGATTTTGAGAAATCCGGGCGGAGGTGCTGAGGACATGTCCTACATTGCGCAGAAGTACCTTGACCAATCAGGTCACAGACTTGGTGGTAAGAACAGAAGAGCAGATGTTGCTTTGCAGAGGATGCAGCAACAAATATCCAAGGCCGTTACTGTGGCGAAGGAGAGAGGAGAGAGAACCGGTACCTTGGCACGTGAGGGTGCTCTTGGAAAGGTGAGTATTGGCTCCATTCGTCAACCACGCAAGCAACTTGTTGTTAAGCGCAGCGAGAACGCTACCGAGGACGAGCTCAAACAGTTGAACCGTAACCCAGCAAAAATCTCCAAGTTCACCAGACAAGCCCAGCTCAACATCATCGAAAAAGTTTATTCAATTTTGCTCGGCTTGGAGACTCTTGAGAGGGAAGCCAAACCTATTTCAACAGAAGAGCTCTTTGAGGCTTTGCATGTCTTGGATGTGGTCTCCGATGAAGAGGAACATCCTTTCATTTCCTTGCTCGGTTATGAAAAGGGAATGAGACTCTTTTCCCGTTGTTTCCACCTGTTGACTCCAGACCAGAAGAATGCTTGTTTGCTCTGTCTCTTTGGCAATCTGCAGAAGCTGAATGTTGTTTTGAGAGGCTCTTACAAGAACTACGAGACATCCAACTTTGTGATTCCAGAGGCTGTTGAGAAAAAGATTAACGTGTTCCAGATGACAGTGATGAAAACTCTCGTCTTATACATCTCGGAGGCGAGCTTCGAGCAGGTCCTCCGCTTCATCATCGAGCTTGAGAGCTCCAACAGCGTTTTGTTTGTATGTACCTCGAAGATTGGATTGTCACTTATCACCGTGCTGATTTCGCGCCTTGAACTGATCAAGCAGGAGTCCAATGCCAATTTGTCAGAGGCTGAACTCGAGGCCTGGAGCCTCACTTACGACAAGCTTTTTGCCAACCTCGAAGAGAGATTGGTTTTGATCTATCCACCAACCCTGTCTTCATCGAAATCGGCCTCGTTTAAGCCGGATGATGACTCGTACATCTGGCAGTTCCTAGCGTCTGTTGCATTGGCAGGTAAACTTCAACACCAGAGAGTGATTGTTGACGAGGTTAGAGACGAGATTTTCGGAATCATGGGCAAGGCCCGGGTTCTGAGCGAGGAAGGTAACTCACTGGACTCGGCCAAATTCATTGGAAATCTCAATCTGTTCTTGAATGTGATGGGATTGAAGGCCTCCGAGACGGACATTTCGGAATTGTAATTCGCATGCCTGGTTTTCAGGGAGGCCCAGGCAAAGGGTCCAAATTTGTTGTTGATTGGACTCTTTGGCCTTTTTAATTTTTTGACGTGTCTATTGAACTACGTACTGTTGGCGTAATACAATTTGTGACAGTGGAGCCACGCAGAGATGTAGCTGATACCCAGTCTCGGGTCAAAGATAGAGAAGATTGTAGAAAAGAAGATCCAACCTTAGATCTAGATGTCGGGGAGATTAGAAAGATCCGAATCTCTCCAGAAAACTTTTCTACCAACCCATGACGAGGTGCATATCAAAGCGTGAACATTACATGATATTATTATACCTGCATGAAAATCAATTCGACAGCTGCCGTCTGGGCCCACTGTCAAGAACTATATCGCATTAAATGAACTCAATTAGCAGCAGTAGCAACACTAGATGGATTTGATCACTTCCAAGTTAATATCTTAATTCACTCACATTCCAAAGTAATGCACCCCTGGTCCTTACATCATGTTCTGCTGGTCACTTTTGGCTCGCTCCGTTGAGCTCCGCACTAATTACCCCCGGCCTCTACCCCACCCCGGATCGCCGCCGCAGTTGCAACATCCGTCTGGTCTCTAGGTTGCTGTCCATCGGCTATTCCTGGGATTCCCTTCTGCGTTTCGTAATTTTCCTAGACTTGAACATAATTTTGGCTTCGAGATTCATGGGGTCTTTTCTTCTGTGGCTTTGCGCCCGTGACTCCGATTGGGCAATAAATCGTTCCACCAGTTCTGGCGGTTGCTCGCGCATCTGGAGACCCGTCTCATGCATAGCAGCTGACATAACCGTTGGAACATCGCCGACGCCGTCTTTGCTTCTGGCTTTCTCGGAGTCTGCTTTATTGTCTCAGTTTCTACGACTACCATTTAAAAGTCTATAATTGCTTGTCTTTTAGGAGATGGATTAAAACCATACACGGTTGTTATACGCTTCGCGCTAGGTGGTGGTGGACTTTCCATGTCGAGGTCGTTATTGTAGGTATGCTTTTCTGCTGCTTCGGCGGCCTGCATTAGACTATCAACGGTATACTAATACTTGCTGGAGCAGTTGCTATGGAACCCTTATGAACCCGCGTATTGCACTAATGGTGTTGAAAGGGGATGAAAGTGGAAACCCGGACCAACTAGAGTTTACGGATGCCGTCTTAAAGAGCTATCGACGGTGCATGCTTAAGAACGCAAAGTATCCCGCAGTATTTGCGAGTGAGGGTCATTCCGTAGAAGGAGTACTGATCAGGAACCTCAGAGACTCCGATCTGCAATTTTTGGATTGGTATGAAGGAAGTCAATTCGAGCGAAGGCCCGCCAACGTGGAATGCGACGGTACTACTGTGGAAACGGAATTTTACCTTTGGGTTGCAGCAAATGATGAATTGCTGGAGAATGACTGGGACGATAGTTGGATGAATGACCCGGCCATAGTCAAGGCCTACATGAAGGAAGAACTAGAGTCTTTGGAAGATGAGCCATGAAACAATGTGAAATTATGCTGTTGAATCTAGGTATGCCACACCTATCATGAAAGTGTTTTAAGTGGAGGGCAGAGCCGGGTGCGACCAGATGTTCATTATTACACCTCAGCAACAACTACCTTCTCAGCCACTTTTTCCTGTGAACCGGTCTCTGCATCTAAAATACCTGTCTCCGCATCCACAAACGTCGCTTCAGCCTGAAGCTCCTCCGTGTCGGGGTCCTCAACTGCCTCATCCTCATCTGGTGAATTACGGCCAACGCGGATCCACCATATGAAATGCGATATAACAAGAGATAACTCGAGCGCGGCAACGATCGAGTAAAGAATAGACCCCATTAAATCGACTTTTTTGGCGACAGCCAGCGACGCCAATGAGAAGAAGGCCCCGCCCAGATCAATGGCCAGGAACCCGAAGTTGATGCCCACAACCCTGCCTTTGCGCTTATAGGCTTCATAGATTGGTGGAAAAAGTCCTACAGGCTGCGCAATTGCGGCAATGATTCCAAAAATCAATACAGGCCAATGCACACCGTGGTGGACGTAAAGATTTCTCAACGGAATAATAAAGCCAACCTCCAATGCAATTGCCACACCCAGGAACAGCGACAAATATAGAGCCACCTTTTTCATTGGAAATTTCACTGGTGGATAGTAAAGCGTTTGTGCCCATGTGAAAAGACATAGCAACGTGAAAACCTGAGGTTGAACTTGAACGGGAATGTTGGAGTTGCTGGAAACGAGGTATATGGAAAACGGCACACCACAGCAAGCCCAGATGAAGAGCATTAGTGGAGGCAGGCCCTCACAATCCTTCTTTCTATAATTATCGATGCATTGAGGAACCAATTGGATACACCATAGAACTGTGCCTATAGTTCCCAAGACATTTGACGCGACTGAGACCATTGTGGCGAGTTGTACGGTCTTTAGGTGTATTTATGCGATAGCGTAGTCTTTGGGGTATTTGAGCGAGCGGTGGGTGAACTCCGTAAACGAACAGACGGGATGGCACTAGAAGAGCATGGCGGATCGCGTCTTTATAGCTTTTTACCTAAATCGTTTAAGAGACCGCATTCTTTCGCACAAATTTCTGCTTTCTTTTTCGATAGATTCCTGTACGAGTCTCTTATCGTTATGAACTGCCTGTTTAGGTACGTTGGTCCTGTATTTGAGCTCGAAAAGCATCACGTGACCGGGGCTAAGTTTCCTGTTTCGGCCAGATACCACAAAGTGAGGCTCAAAACACGTCACGTGATTACATAAACCTCGTAGAGAGTTTCCTGCTTTGCAGTGCCGGCAACACCTGCCTGAAGCAGAAGCTTGAGGCGAGGAAACACTCTATTGCAATATGAGAATCCAAGCTAAATGGCGAGTACTCATGCGATGATGAGTAATGTCACAATTGCTCGTGTACCGAATCAATATGATCGGCTGCAAGGCTGCACAAGTTTGTGTCGGTGGATTGGTGATGTGTAACCGGTAAATGCAATCAATATGAAGTGGGTAGTAATAGAAATAAGTCTTGCAGCTGATTCCAACTCCAGTTCACTGAGAACTAGCTTCCAGTTCACTCCATAATTTATCTGGGGACTTGAGATCGGCTGATGAGTTGCACGTAGCATCACTCTGTTCATCATCACCACGCTTAAACCACAGGAAGGCACTCTATCCGTTTTAGTTGGCGATTTTTGAAAAAGAGACGGATCTTGAAACTCCCGTGTGCTTTGGGTTTGAAGTTGATCTTTTGCGACGATTTTAGGCCCATTATTGGCTCACAGCATGAGAATAAAGTGAGACTGCCCGATCCGTGTCTCACTGTGGTTGAGAACGATTCTTGTTGGTACATTTGATGAGGAGTTAAATGAGCAAGAGACATTAGATGTCTTGCAAGTTTTTGTTCTTTTATTTATATAAAGCTCCAGCGCTGTTCTGCTGGCGGATGCTAGTGATGATGTTCTGACAATGTTCTGGTGCTGTTAAAAAACATCGGCAATGAAAAACATGGAAATGAGCAAGATTAGTCATCAGAAATTGGTCACAAAGTACTCGGATATTTATAACTTCAGTTTGTATTCATATGTACACTCACGAATGTAGTTGTCTCAGTGACAGAAGGAATACAGAAGTATCCATTAATCTGCACAATGGACCCTGCATGCCAAACCCAAAGGACTTTCAAAGAGCGGAGCAGTTGCACAGGCCGAATAGACAAGCAGAAACAAAGACAAAAAAACAAAAAAAATCACTGTATCATTTTTATAACTCCTACTATTGAAATATTCACAAAAAATTACCAAACACATTTCGATTTTGCGAGCCTTCGCTCTTTCCCGCGTTTCGGGTATTTAAAACCTTTCGTGTGACACCTAAGCCTCACGTATCTTCCCCGGTTTTCGCAACAGTCGTGTATCACGGAGATGGCCTGACCGCAAATTGCGCAACACACGTCTGTTTTAACCCCCCTCACTTGTATTGACTGCCTGTTCTAAGGAGAAACAAACATCTTGGAACCACCACTAAACAACCACGTACTGGTTTGTTTTGCTTGTTTTGCTCTCATTATCTTGCATACTTTTGCATTTTTGCTTCTGCTAAGTTTGGCTACCCCTGTGACTCTACAACCAGCACATCTCCAAAACACAAGCACAGGTGATGTCAAACCAGGAAGCTAACGACCACTCGGACTTGCGTCGGAGGCTCCAAGACGAAGCTTCGGCCATAAAGATTGGGCTCTCTCCCGGCGAGGTTGATTGGTTTCTTAGACCGAATCATTTCTCCTCGCTTCTCCAGCCAATCAGATCGCCGTCTCATGCTGATTCCAACACTGCAAAGTCACCAGCTTCGGTTACCACAACAAATGCTACCGTCTCTACAGGCGTGGTCAACTCCACAACATCTCCACTGAGCAGGTCGAAAACAACGGAAGGCAATTATGCCGGTTCACACTCGGCCCCCTCCAAATACGACACCTCTGCTCTCAAGAGGACGGCTTCTAATGTGGCCGATAGCTCCAAACCCAAGACTGGTTTCTTCAAGAAACTGCTCGGCAAACGGGCCGAAAAGCCTGTTTCCAGCAGTCCCATTCCAGCACATCGTTTGAGCATTGCAAATCCGGAACCCAGCAAACTGGAACCCACTTTCGACCACTCTGCGCAATCGACTGCCGATAAAGCCCCGGCTTCCCATGTGGATCCCAAGCTATCCCACTATCTTGAGGAAATTCACAGTGCGGCATCGGGTCCATCAAGTCGTGATTCTTCCTCCTCGTCAACGATCTTTGAAGAGCAACCCAAGGGCTCTCTCAAGCTGGATGCTGCTGGAAATCCAATTCCTCCTCATCCTGCAATCCCGAAGCTGCCTTCTGCATTTGTGGACCATCCCAAGTACTCTGTCCCTCCAAGCCCGCAATGTCAACCATTTCAGCCGGAGAAACCGACGGTTTTTGGTTCTCTGCTTGGAAGGAGGCGGACTCTAACGGACCTGTCGAGGGTCCCATCACCAACGCAGCCCCAGTCACCACCGACGCAGCACGCAATGCCTGTCAAATGCAAAAAAACCCCGCCAATAAAACTGTTGAAAGATATGAAGCCGATGAAACGCGTGGCGTTTGCTACAACTGTCTTCGTCAACGATCCACCGCAACAGATCCCATCCAGAACGCCTCGTAAGGGTAACGTCGAGGTCAACCAGGACGGAACAATCATTGTGCACAAGATATTGCCCGAGGAAAGACTACAAGCCGCTGCTGGGATTGTTGTGGGTGGTTCTGGTCATTTGAGATTGATGGACCATCCCGGGTCACCGCCTCCTGGAGCCGAAGTCACTAACAACATGGTTCTGGATTCCACCCCACCATCACCAGCCCCAGAACGCACTGATCACGATGCCCCGGAACCAAAATCGAAGTTCGAGACGGGAGTCAAGATTGATAAGCCAATGGTGAAACGGCACTCGAGTTCTCCAGCAATGAACAAACCGCTGGTGACTCTCAAGCTTGACGAATTGTATACTCGGTGCTGCCATCTGCGTGAGATTTTGCCCATTCCAGCTACTTTGAAGCAGATTCCAAAAGGATCAACTGATCCACTTCTGTACATGCAATTGCGCAATCCAAAACCATCTATGATAGAGGTTCTCGCATTCTCGGACTTCATTCGGATTGCTCCACTCACATGTTTGTCACTGGACGGAGTATCGCTCACAGAAGAGATGTTCCGGACCATCCTGTCGGCCCTGGTGAGCAAACGTTATTTTGAAAAGTTGTCATTAAGAAACACACCCATGAATGCCGAGGGCTGGAAGCTACTTTGCTGGTTTTTATCTATGAACAAAGTGGTCAAACAGCTTGATATTACACAATGTCCATCTTTGAGCACCAACACACAAAAGGCAAGGTCGGGCTCTAAATCCAACACAAAGGTGATGGAGTGCAACTCACAGGACCGATCTGATATGGACTGGCCGCTGCTCACGGCCACTCTGATCGCTAGAGGCGGAATTGGAAGTATCGTCTTGAGTGGGTGCAAGATCAACGACCTCGAGGTCTTCGAAAACTTCATGGACATGGCACTTTCAATATCTACTCGGAATGTGGGATTAGCATACAACGATCTGAGTCCTCAGCACTGTGAAATTGTTGCCCGTTGGCTCAAAAACAACCTAGAGGTGCTCGGGTTAGATTTAGGGTACAACAATATCGGCAATTCGCTGAAACCATTCATTGAATACACAAAAGAGACCGTTTCAACTTCAAAATTGGCGCTTTTGTCGTTGAATTGCACTGGTCTGTTTGACTCACCAGATGTCAGAAATCTGACTAGCACGCTTTCACAACTCCAAAACTTCAGGTATCTTGACCTGTCTAACAATCCAAAGCTCTTTCCAGCGTTTACAACCCCATTGGCAACGTTCCTTCCTCTTTACACCAAGTTGGCGAGATTACATCTCGATAACAACGAGCTGACACCTGGGCCGTTGATATCGTTGGCAGAAACTTTACCCCTTTGCAAGAGTCTGACTTATTTGTCAATCGTGGGCAACCACCTTGATGAGTCCACGTGCATTGCAATCTGCCAGGGGCTCAAGAACTCGCAGTCGTTGTTCACAATTGAGTTTAACGAGGATGAGATGCCCGGGAGACTCAAGGAGAAGATCGGATTGTACACCATGCGGAATATGGAGCGTGCACTCTACGGTTCGACCTCGGTAACGGACAACAACTTTTTTGTTCAGTCGAAAGGGCTGATCAAACAGGGGGAAAAGTCACTGACAGAGACCATGGCCGAGTTTTTGCACGACAAGGACCTGGATTCCGAGAAAGCTCAAACATTTCTGGAAGAGACCGGTAAGGTGCGTGAAAGTATCCACGAAACAATGACGGAACTGTTCAAGCTTCAGCACAAGAACAAGTTGAACATGGATGGAAAGGAGACTTTAGTCAGACTTTGTGTGATCGATGCTTCCTTGGAGCGTGGAATGTCCTTGATTGATTCGAAAATCCAGAACCTTTACAAATCGACTATCCCTTCTAAGATAGGCATTCCCGCTGAAAGAGGGGATGCTCGTGACGGACCAGCTGATGGAATAACAGACGCTGACAACACCATGACAGAGATCAAAGGAGAGGATGCTTCTTCCTCCAGCTTGGATGAGCCCAGAACCAGCTTACGGTCAAAAGACCGGGCCGAAGGTTCAACTCTGCGTCTGTCAAGTCTCGCTGAAAAGAAGGATGCCGACCCCTGGAACATTTCCAATGACACAATTGCACATGCTCTGCTTGAAGCAAGCGATATCAAACATGTTGCAAAGATACTCCAGTCGCTCAAGGCTAAGGGTGTTTCGCTGCGGGATCTCTTTGGAAAAGGTTCTGAGACTTCTAATGGTGATGATATCACGACTCTTCGTGATAAATTGCATAATTTGGAGCAGAGCAAGGAAGATGATCTCTCAGATACTGATTCTATCGATAGTGCGGAACCTGACTACGGTGGTAGAGATGACTTGCAGGCAGTGAGTGCTGCCTACGACCAGCTTCTGGATCAGTTTCAGAAGATCAAGACTGCAGATGAAGAGTCTTAAAAAGATCTGTGCAGAGATATAAGTACTAAGATACGATATTACGAATACGCATGCATTAACGGTGATGCAAGATGACTACGAAGATAGGATACGGACTACAGGATGCCAAATATCTGCTATTAGTTGTTTCCCGTTCAATAGTGTCACATAACACAATAGATTCTGTTACTATTATATTCTGATATTTTCACAAGCTACTGTTCTTTCTCTTTCAATGCAGTTATGCAATGTTTTAAGTTTGAGCTGTAGTAGTGCATATGCTTGCATTATCAGCCTATAGATCCAGATATATACAATCCGTAGACAGAGTCTTATATATGCATCCTCTATCTAACTGTTTATCATGTTATTTACTCTCACCTATAGTCTTTCCTGTCGTCGTTCTTGCAGCCTTGCCTTTAGTATCTCAACCATAGTCTCGTCTACCCTATAATCATTTGTCACTTATTCATCAACTTGCTCACTTTTCGTTGCAATCTCATTTCCAGCCTTGTTCTTTCAAAATCAGGCTTTTTGGAATTGTCATTCGCATTATCGGGGTGTTTGTAAGCCTTCTCTGGCTGAAGCTTGGCCGGACTCCGTCTGGAGTCCTCACTACCGCTCCCCGAACGCCTTCTAAACGACCCTGAAGATCTTCTCATCAGACTCATCAACGAGTTTGTCCTCTCCACAGGCGGAATTCGAGCGTGTATAGCGGCGTACCGTTCGACAACCATCTTTCCCACAGTCTCAAGCTCGGGCTCAGAGTTGTACATCACGATAGCGTCTGTGATAATGACATTTGGATCAATTTCCACACGTGGAGACCCAGAGACATCGGAATCAGCAGAATCTTCATCATAGACCAGATCATCGTCAATATGGTGGTTGTCGTCTTCGTCCTCGTCGATGTCGTTGCTGAATCTGACACTCTTATTGGTGCGTTCATTTCGTGTTTGCACTGGATAGTGCAGTAAAAGATACATAACTTCTCCATAATCACTCTGCATTGTCTCTGGGCGAATCAAAGATAGCAAAATGATCACTATGTATGGGAGAAGCAGCGTAGTATCCAGAGGCTCCTTTCGCTTATTAACATACCCAAAACTGACCATCTTATCCCACAATGGCAATGAAGAATCTACCCCAAGCTCGCGAAGAAGAAGAAGTCGATAATACCGAATCAGCCAGATTGACGGCTCAATTTTGAGCTTATTGTTGAGCAGAACGAAGTGGTACCTATCACACCGATGGAGCTTGAGATTGAACTTTATGGACTCCTCAAGCAGGGACGATTCACCGTAGTAAAGCTCATATGGTCTAGCAACTATTCGAGCAAAAATATGGTACACATCTGCCTTAAGATGGTTGACATCGTAGAGCTCCAGTATGGCCGTATCAGTCACGTCTAGCTCCACAATCTCAGATCCATCTTTGCGTTTCTTTTGTAATTTTACTGGATCCAGAGCCTCTTTGTAGAGCTCAACAAACACCAATCCAGCAATCTCGTGAAGACCCTGTTGGTAAGTGTCCCCATGCAGCTTCCACCACACGAACAGGATTTCCACCACTGCGCGTTTGTTCGCCAGATTCCGAATAAAATACGCTGGCATTTGCGGAAACAGACGTTCTACATCCGTCACAATTGCCTGGAGGGCGTTTAGATCTGTCATTCTTGGGCTTCGCTGGCTGGAAAGCGGGTCATGTTCGACCCGGGTCCTTCCAAGACTGGTGGCTCCAATGTCGAATTCGTCCGCGTCCTTTGCACGTGAATAATATTCACTTCCAGGATCAAGCTGGTCCCATGGCACAGGGAAATCATTCAAAAGGCCAGCATACGCACGCCGGGACGACTGCAGCCGATCCAACCTAACATCGATTCGATCAGCAGGTGAATTGGCAGGCGTCAATTCCGGTGCCGAATTCTCGTAGTTAGTTATCAGCTGAAGTCTCCATAAAAGCGAGCGTGAGAAATAAGGCACCGTGGGATTATATTCGTCTGAAACATTGGCCAAAGACAGCTGTCTCACCGTTCGGTACGAGGATAGTGTCTTCCTATAGTCAGCAGTTAGTAGGGGTAACCGGATTTCGCTCAAATTGATATTGTGATCACTTACTTGGCCCTCTCAATTGTATGCATCTCAGCAGTGAACCAGGGTAAAAAGATCGAGATTTCAGCCGGGAGTAAGCGGTGCTGGAGGGGTTATCGTGGCCTCAACCTGGTCTTTCACTCTGGCAGATACGCGTGCATGCTTCAACTTTTCAGTAACCACACTTCGGGTGGAGATGAAATGGGGAAGGGCAGAACCGGTGGGGGAAACGCATGTTTTTCTCATACATTGGTTAAATATTACTTGGAGTTGTCTAATTATGGCTACTTTGGAGACAATTGGGAAATTTTAACAGGCCGTAATGGCGAGACTGTGAGGTGATCGCGAGTCACCAGTAACGCAGCTTAGGCTGACACTGCAGGTGAATCAGGGATGAAATAAAGGATGAAAAACTATGGCAGATGATTCAGAAAACACACAGGAAGCTAAAATGTCGAGATGTTGGTGGTAGCGGTAACTGGATACTCAATTCTTCTGTTCCCCATCAACGATTTTTTTCTTATGAGTTAACCGCCAGTTGGCTAGCCCTGACTGGCTTGCTGCAGCCGTTTGGTTCCGAGATGAGATGGGTGGGGGATACTGCAGTGTGAACTGTTCCTGAAATATCAGTGAAATATTTATGAAACACCCTTGCAGTTGAAACGATATTTTTGAATTCACCAAATGACTTGAATGACATTGAAAAAATATCGCTATCCAGCAAAACCAGTAATTCATTAAGATACCAAAGTCCTCAACCTAGTCAATGAACAGCCGTCGGTCAGTCTATGACACAAATAGGCCGAACATGAACCTGCCTTTTACATTTCTACATCAATTCTTCAACAAAAAAGCAGTTTAAAGATACCCAAACCTCTACTTACTTCTTCTGGCCTTGAGCAGCAACGGCAGCAGCACCGGCAGCAGCAGCTTCTGGGTCCAAATAGTAAGATGGCTTGGTTGGCTTCAAGTGCTCGTCAAGCTCGTAAACCAATGGAATACCGGTTGGGATGTTGAGTCCAGCGATGTCGGCATCTGAAATACCCTCAAGGTACTTGACCAATCCTCTCAGGGAGTTACCATGGGCAGCAATCAACACAGTCTTTCCGGCAAGAAGATCGGCCGCAATGGTGTCTTGCCAGTATGGCAGAAGACGGTCAATGACCAGCTTCAAACTCTCGGTCTTTGGCAAAACAGCTGGCTCAACGTCGGCGTATCTTTCGTCACCAAATTGCGAAAACTCGGAATCGTTAGCAATTGGTGGTGGAGGAACATCATAAGAACGTCTGTAGGTCTGGAAAAGCTCTGGACCGTAAGCGGCCAAGGTAGCGGCCTTGTCTTTACCCTGGAGATCACCGTAATGTCTCTCGTTCAATCTCCATGAACGGTGGACTGGGATGTAGAGTCTGTCAGCGGCCTCCAAAGCGATGTTGGCAGTCTGAATAGCTCTGGTAAGCTTCGAGGTGTACAGAACCTCCGGCTTCAATCCAGACTCCTTCAGCAGCTCACCGGCGCGAGCAGCCTCCTTTCTGCCAACGGCAGACAATTGGACATCCACCCAGCCGGTGAACAGGTTTTTTTCATTCCACTCGGATTGACCGTGACGGACAAGAATTAGCTTAGGCATGATATTTTTGTATAATTCGTAGCAAATGTGACAGAGATGGAGAGAAGAAGAGAGGAAAGAAGGACAGAAGAACTCAGCTTAAAAGGACCATGCCATCAAGGATGCCCGATGCCCGAAGTGGTCACGACCCGTATCATGCGGCGTTGGTTTAGACTGTGCACGTTTTAAATATAATGTCTTTGAGCCTTGTATAATTGATTTTTGCTCGAGGAAAAATCATGATCATTGGTAGTCATTTTATCGGAGTGATACTATTACATCATATGCCCAATAATGCAACTGTAATTGCTGGAAATTGTAGATTTGATGGCGATCACGTATGACATGTGAGTGATCACGTGAATTTTCATCGTGCATCTGCTGGTGCAGATGATAGTATTTCTTATTGCACTTCTTCTACTGTACCCATCAGTTCACGGATTTACCAAGTATTTTCAATGGTAAAAGTTTACCTCCTTGGAGCTGGCTGTATTGGGTCTCTTGTGGCAAATGAAGTCATTCATGCGAGCAAGGGATCTCTCGAGATCGTGTCGCTTCTGCGGACGCAGGCAAAGGTAGACCAGTTTATCGCTAACGGGTGCAAGATCACCATTGACAGGCTATATAGTGGTGAAATTTCAACCTCTATTTTGTCAGGTGCCCAGCTAAGTACTCTCCCACCTGCTAGCCACATTGACTATCTGATGGTGAGTGTCAAGACACCTGCTACCGTCGCATCACTTAGGGGATTACTGCCAGCGATAAGCCCAAAAACAAAAATCTTGTTGATCCAAAATGGGATGGGTGTTGTCGAAGAATTGTACCGCCGTTTGTGGCCAGATCCTATTACTCGACCCACCATTTTTCAGGCTGTAATAGGGCATGGTGTCTACCAAGACCCGAAGGCCACAGATCCGTTTCGGTTCTCCCAAGCTGGATCAGGCCAGGTCAAGGTGGCACTCGTTCCAAGAGAGCTTGGTAATGTGGATGGTAAAGACACTTCAGTTTCCCCACAGTTTGCTGAAGATCCGGTGATCCAATCTCTGGTTGCTGCCCCGGAGTTGAGTACTTCTTTACACTCGTACCCGCAATTCGTGCTTCTGCAGGTGCGTAAGTTCCTGCTTAATTCCTGCATCAATCCTACGGGATCGATTCTGGACTGTCTTAATGGTGAAATGGATCCTTTGGATGAAACCCGTGATCTTTTCCGTTCGATCATTGCTGAATCCATCGAGGTTTTGCTCCAGGCCCGCCCATTTCTGAAGGAGACTCCCGGCATTGAAGAGGCATTTGATCTCGAACAGGCACTGGAGTATGTTGTTGAGTATGGTATGGTTCTCAACAAACAAAATTCGTGTAGCATGCGCCAGGACTGTTTGAACCTGAAAGAAATTGAGATTGACTACATCAATGGGTTCATCGTGACTCTTGCGGAGGAGTTGGGAAGAAGTGCTCCTGTGAACAGAACGATGACGTATCTCGCAAAAAACAGGCTTGCGCTGAACAAATTGAGGGTGAAGAGTTGAGTGAAGGGAAGAAAAAGATTGAAAGTGTTCTCACAGAGACACTGTATGGGGTTTATAGAGCTCGGGACAGGCCAATAGATATAGATAGAGACTAATAGAAATAATGAAAATTGGCAGGATATATGGTATTCAATTGAGTCAACAGGCTTATAAAAATCAGTCTACTGAAATCATTCAGTGCGACTCAATGAACTCATTACAGTTTACCTAATACTGTAGACCTCTTTGGATCACCATCTGAACACTATCTAAAACCAGACTCGTTTAACCTAACCCAAACTAGCCTACTTCTAGAGACACCGCGAGCTCATTCATCAACCTTTTTTTTCCATCACTTGGGCTCGTATAACAATGCAGAACTGGTTTTTCATAATACCTCAAATGTCTCTCCAATGACCTCCGACCTTTTGTACTCTTCTCCTGGCTCAGAAACCTCAGCTGGCTCAGCTGTACGAAGAAGAACAATAGCCACATCCTGGTACATCATTGTGATCACCACAAGAAACATCAAGCTCGAGTCAAACACAAATAAATACCACTCGTGTGATGATATGTAACCACTGAAGCCCTGGATGAACTCTACCACACGGTATACAGACCGCACCAAAATAAGCATCGAAACCGCAAACATTGATATCAGAGTGGCATGCCAGTTGTGAAATCTGCCTGGATAATGTCTGGTCTTGAAAGCCACATTGGTGGGAGTGGAACGCAATCGGAAAAACAATCGTGTCTCTGCATATACAAACAGCAGGAAGAAGACGATCTGGATGAAAAGTCCCACTACCACAACCTTTTGGCCCACTCGGACTCTATCTAGATCCGTACCAGACATCATACCGCCACCAATTCCCTGGACCACTATAGAAGCAATATCACCGCTCACAAATATAGTAGTGAGATACTTGCGAGGCACAGGGCATAGTTCGTTAGCCCCAAGTTGGACAACCAGCCGACCAAAAATCATGTAAATTGAAGCTGCAAGAAACGGTGGAGCAATGATTAGCATGAGCATCTGCTCAATATAGGCACCCAGATGGGTCTGATTTTTTATGGCAAAGCAGCGCCCTATGTAGCCTGCCATCTCACAGGCCGTGCCGATAGCAAAAGGCACCATCATCAACGAGGCAGACCGTCGAGGCATTCGGGAAGGAAATTGAGATCTCCATATCTGGACAATGCGAAGAGTTTGGACTCCAAGACACACTCCAAACAGCACTGCGAATGCAATTGTAGCGGAGGTGGTGGGACTGTAGTAGAACTCTCTCCAGGACTTATTTTTCATTGTAGAACTGGTGATCGCGTGTGAGGGACAAAAAACGAAGCTAACTTGCACTCAACAGTGTTTGATAGCTATCATAAATGCTTTGACGATTGGATGGCATATGCAATGGTGTGAGCGACTTGATGGTTATTGTTTTTTCGGGGTGAACATTTCTAGGCGCAGTCTTATATCCGAGGCATGAGGCATATCTCCGGCTTGCTACGTGTGTGCGCGCAGCGGATGGAAGACGAATGTGTGGGGATGGGGTTAAGATCAAAAAAATTTAGTGAAGGGAATGGATGAGAACAGAGTTGAGATGTGAGTGTTTTTTTTTGAAAGTTGGGGATCAGAACTTGGATCCGGGCGTTGGACTTGTGAAATACGCCAGACTGTCGACACAAAGATCTAGAAACTGATCCCGCCTGAAGGACTGCAGATCTGGGATGACGGCTGCATGGCTGGTACTGATCTGATTGCGTGGTTTTATTTTTGTGAAGGCTAGAAATCGTCTACTTTTAAAACGCCTATTTTGTGTAGGCATATATAGGCAATTCGAGTGCTCGGAAGGGCTATAATTAGTGTGAAACTCACGAGAGTGTGTCACTCTGCATTGTTGCCGAAGATGGACGCACGCAGGTTAAATGCTTCCAATATGGAATCAGGTCAGGCTAAACTACACAAAGCTCCATTCAACCGAAAATCTGCTGATAAGCATGTTTTCATGAGCATACCAATTTGTGAATTCCGTTGTCAAAAGACCTGAACCAGTGACCTTCACATCAATCTGCAAGTATGGTACCTCCCCACGTTCACATAGACGCACGCTAGCGGCTAAATTACCTCCCTTTCTGCCGGGCCGTCTCGAGAATCCCTAGTCAGGCGAATTTCCCAAAGCGTCATTATTTACAGTTCTCAAGACCGCATTCAGTCCATATTCGAGAAGATAAACTTCAGTTTCATCTCAGATAAATTAGATTAAAAATGTTTTGGTCCCCCCCTCTTGGATTAATCTTCCATGAGCGTCTGTATGCGAGTATTGGTCGCTGTGCGGTCTTCCGCATGATCAATCCAGCCAGACTTCAGTGTCGAAGCCACATTCCAGAAATTAACGAGAAGTCTTCTCTGTCACTTCCCGTATTTGACACACATTGGTCAATACTTTAAAGTTTCTCGGTAAGAGGACCAATAGTGGGAAAGCTGACCTACAAACCCGGTATAGTCGTGCTACGCACTCAAAAGTTTATCCTTCCAATTTCACTTCTCAACTATACGCTGCTGCTTTTCCTTATGTTCGCTGATTTGAGAATGTCGGCCTGCATTGATAGTTTATTGTCATGGTTTTATTCTACCAATAATTGTTAATTCGCATTGTTTTTCGCACCCAATACCAGACTTCAATCGATATCTCAAGTAGAGGTCGTGCCCCCAAAACCACGGTGAGGCTCCGCGTTCTCGATCTCGGTCGCGGTCACGATCATTACAAAGAATTCCAGAAAAGCAAAAGGCACCTAGTCTATTGCATACTTCACTGCGCAGTGAAGTAAGTTGCTGATCCTTCGTTCTACAAAATTTCCCAGTAGAGCCTAGAAGAGACCGCAATCGGCCAGCTATTGTAGATAGAGATCTCCACATGTGGTCATTCGGACGTAAATGGTAAGCCGAACCGCGGGCAAACAGTTTTTTAGGTTTGAGCCAAAGCTGTTACTATAGGCACCGTCACGCAAATTGGCTTCGACGGAGTACAAAAAAGGTTATAGGTACATCTGACCAAGCCACCGGAAGAGATAATAAAATGGGGGTGGGCCAAAATCGGGGTTGGGCAAAATCACCCGTTTGAGTTGCTTTAAGACGAGTCGCATGTAGACCGATCACGAATTGAGATTCAGAAATGAAATCCGAAACAGTGGTTGCAAAAATGGCTAGGCCACCTGCAATAGGAACAAACTTGATTGGAAGTAAATCAGTCATATTACTGGAGTCTCCAAAAAAAATTAGACTTCGTGAGAAGTGTGTGTGCGATCCTCGGCTTCTAGATCTAGAATACGAGCCATACGGCAGATGCGGCTTGGCCGCCGGCCGTCTGCATTGGCTGTGGCGGACCGGAGGGTGGAACGGCTCGAACATCCAAGCTGAATGATTGGATTATGTCCATTATTTTTGAAACCTTGTAGCGCGGGCCGAGGCACAGCGAATATCTCGCAATCTTAGTCAATTTTGACATTTCTGTGGCGATAGCCGATAGGCTGTTTCGTTATTGGTTGCAGCGCACGACTTGCGATAAGGCGGCTGCTTCCACTTCAGGGACCCTTTTTGGAGGAGAGACGGTGGAAGGTCGGCATAGAGTGCCGGGCCGGAAAATTTGCCTCCATGTAAGAGTTACGATCTCTCTATTGGAGTTGCACCATCATCTCCGTGCTCGTACTATGTGCTAAACAAGGTTACCCGAGATACCTAGAGCCAGACCAAAGGCCTATCGAGCCCCTTGTTCCCGATGTACGTTTCAAAGATAAACCTGACACAGTGGGATTCGGCCTTGTTTCATGGCCCCGACCAGGCCAAGCCCGAAACTAGCAATGTGTGTTTATGCAGTCGTAAACCAAATGGCCGCAATTTCGTGTATTCAAGGCTAAAATTTACTGCCCTAAAGTCCCCTACATAAAGAACCCAAATCCGCATGACAGTGTCGTGTGCTAACCCCAAAAAGAAACCAGGCGGGACCCAAATGGTAATTCTCGGCCCTTGATCTTTCGCAGACTCCCTTTTTCTCCTTTAACTCTCTTCTTTTTGTGTTCAACAAAACCTTTCCGTTCATAATGGACGATCCGCGGTCAGTACCTAATCGCCAGCCCCCGGTGTTGCCCAACCTTTCCAAAATGAACATGCCGTTGCCATCGCTGGACTGGTCTGACAGCTTGCTACGGTTTGGGACAAGCGGCAGTGGATTGGCTCCTGTTCAGACTGCTGCCCCAGCTTCTCCCGTGAGACTTTTCAAGCCACCAGCCGAGGCGATTAATTATCCGATTCACTCGATTCCCGTGTCATTTTATGACCAGATTCCCCCGGACCAGTTGAGTACTCTTCCCAAGCCTAACTCCATTAGCAGGCGCAAGTACTCCACAGGAATAGACGAACGCAACTTCGTCACCGTTTACGAATTCCAAGTGAATAACAACTGGATCATTTGGGATTATCATACGGGGCTGGTTCACCTAACCGGACTGTGGAAAGCCATCGGAAATCACAAGGCTGACATTGTCAAACTCATCGAGGCAAGCCCGGAGCTTGCCACCGTGGTGCGCCGTGTTCGAGGTGGTTTCCTGAAAATTCAGGGGACCTGGGTGCCGTACGATGTTGCACGGACTCTAGCCACCAAGTTTTGCTATGCAATTCGGTTTTCGCTGATAGCCGTGTTTGGAGAATCCTTCGTGGCTGACTGTCTTACGCCGCACGACAAGGGTTTTGGACTTCTGAGACTTTATTTTGACGAGGATGAGTACAATGGGGTTGGCATTGGAAAGGACGGACGTCGTCGCCGGCGGAGGCGCACTTCTGCTCCAAAAGACCCCCGCGATCCAAAGCCGCCGCGCGGCCATCGTCAGACGAAGAGTCTTCCAGGGTCGGGTGTTAGTTCTGTGGTGAGCAGGGACTCGCTGTATGGGTCCTACCGAATCCCTGCTGATGATCCTCTTTCGTCGGATCTGAGCAGGCCCAAAATGTTTGGCTCTGACAGAGAGGGTATTTTTGCTGTTTTACAAGCAGCTAGGCTTCAGGATCGTCTTCAGCCTCAGAATCCGGGACCAGTTGACACCTCCACTCTGGAGGCTGCTAGGAGTCTCATGGGTGTGAGTGCTGGAAAAGCGGTTAATCGTGTCTCTGACTTGCAAGAAACTCCTCGGTACACTGAATATGGTCTGTATGCTACTAGACAGTTACCTCCAGTTCCAATCAATCAGATGAATCAGATGAGTCAGATGGTTCCAGCAAAGTTTGCGAGTGCTCGTGGCAAGATGGATATCCATGGTCTCCTGTCGTGAAAGCATAGAGATGGTGACTCTAGTTTGCTATTTACTGGTTAGTTGCAGTTGAGTCACATCGCTCCCTGCTGAACTCTCCATTTTGACTTAGCTTCTTCAACCTTTTGCTCGCGCTTCTCGTTCGTTCTCTCTCCCACTCTTCAATATCCTCTTCCCCCACCCATTTATATCTATCTTTTTAGGTTCGGTCTTTGGTTTCTTGGTCTATGGTTGGTTTTTTTGGTTTTCTGGGTTTTTACTTCTCACGCCCGCTGTCTTTTCGCGGTTATATATACGCTAACTCAATCGCAATATCTTTTTTCATGTTTGTAGAGCAATTCGTGAACAGTCGAATCGTTTCCACAGAGTATTTATTGAACATCATAGAACTGCAGTTATTCCAATCTATAAGCCAAGTCTATAACCCCAGTCGTGCGCCACAGAACTGTTGACACAGGCGAAAAAGCATACGCAGTCTTTCCTCGACTAAATAAACGATAAAAAAGAACATATTAATAATTTTGAATAGCTCTAATCCAAGAAAAACGAATCATATAATGCAAATAATTGCAAATCCAGTTTATGGCTCGCAAGTTCAATCCTTTGAGCAGTGACATATTATCTGCCATTTTTCAGTGTGCCACTTTATCACCACCTGGCATCTGTCTTTAATCTACAACAAGCCAATCTTCCTCTTGATCCTGTTGATCCTCTTGTCGCACCTTCTTTGCTCCACCGTTTCTGATTTTTTGATCTCAAAATTTCTGGTTTGTTTTTTTCAATCTGCTACGATTCCAAAACACTCGATTGGAGAACCGCGTGACTTTTCCAGTAAGATCTCTTCTGCATTAACAAGCATACAACACAAAGACATGGACTTCGTCTATGACGCTTACACGGATGGCACTTTGGATGCGACGGATATAAAGCTTCCGCCAATCCCGGCTCCGCCCCTGAATTTGCCCGCTTTCACCAATTACCGTGAAGATCTTACTCGAAAGTTTTCAGGGCTGATTCTCAAGAATCTTCAGCCGCGACAGCAGGACGAAACTGTTGCCGAAGATGACTCTGGGATGGCCAATGCGTATGCACGCGCATCTCTTGTGTTGGCAGATTCTGGCAGTTCAGATCCGACTGCGGCTGCGGGTACAATGGACGCTGCTGCTACGCGGTCGCAGTCAGTTTTGGGAACGCGGTTGATCCGCGTGCTTAATTCATCAAACTTCGACTCATCGCTGCGAAACGCACTCTCTGTGCTCCAGGGACGTATTGACGAGGGTTCTCTGGACGAAAGACGGGATTCGTCCGCGAGTACGGTTGACTATGCTCATCTCACAGCCACGGGGATGGTCGGTTCAATTGCGCGACGTCGTCTTCGCGGGGAAGTTGAGTCAGATCTCCTCCGCGCTCATTTCCGCTCATTGAAGCGGTCTGCTCCGGTTGTTCGTAAGCTGAAAGCTGTCAAGGCCGAATTGGATGCGTTAAACGCTGGTTACGAGGGTATCACCGGAAGACTAGGCGAGATCTCGCAGCGTGACGATCGCCTGCGGTGTTCTGTGGATTCGCTTGCCAAACAACGCAATGCTATCACTATCAAGAAGGAGCTGTTGAATAGTTTCAAGCGCAATTTCACACTTAATCACTACGAAGAACACAGACTTGCCAACGGCGACATCAACGATGAATTCCTGGATATCTTAGCCAAGGCGAAAAGGATATATGGCAATTGTGAGATCTTGCTCAGTCTCGACAACCCAAAAATCGGTATGGATTTGATGTCCAAGATGGGAAGGTCAATTGATCTGGCAACACAGCGAATCTCCAAGTTTCTCAAGCTGGGACTTGGACCTTATTTCGAGTCCGTCGCCCTGGGCTCAAATGATATCCCATCGAGTCAGACGGTTCTCCATAAAACACTAGCATTTGTTCTTCATGAGAATCGTGGTTATTTCGACGAAATTGTGGATAGTCTGGTTCAGACTCGGAGCAAGGCAGTTGTAGATGATCTTTTGACGCAGATCAACGGTCAGGAAGTGCCCACGCGCGCCCAGCAAAACTCTACAATCCGCCACATGCGTGGAGATGATAGCAGGCCTCTGATTCTGAGCTCTTACGACTCAAAACGTTTTTTGGGCGACCTCTTAGCATTTGTTCATAACGTTCTCGTCAACGAGCGTGAGCTGCTGGACAACCTGTTTGATCCTGAAGAGACTGAAGCCGAGTTCGACGATCAGGGGCTTAAAGAGGTGGCCAAAGACATTCTTGACCGTGTGGTTGGATCATTAGCACGGCCATTCAAAAGCGTTTTTGAGCGTATTATCCATTCAGAGACGAAACTCACTGTATTGCAGGACATTCATGCTTTGTTGGATCTTTACGAAATGATGTTTGAAAAGCTGGTATCCGCTGTTGAGGATGATAAGCCATCTCCTATAGTCTCCTCTCTGGCCTCCCTGAAACAGGAAGCGGTTGATCGTCTGTTTGCCGCGGTTGATTCAAGACTGAAAGTCGTGTCGAGTGGTCCAGAGTCCGAAATCGAGCCAATCAGTCCTGACCTCGGATTGCCCGAATGGCTGGTTAGTCTCTACTCTGAAACAATGCCGTTGTTTGACAACGTAGCCATTGACGATAGGTCGTTCATGAGGCTTTCCACAGAGCAGAGCCAGCGTTTCTTGAAGCTCGTTGTCGATGATGTGGTAGGCATAGTTGAAACTCAGGTGAAGCTGGGAAAGAACAACGCTGACTCGAAACCAATGGTCATCCTTAAGCTCAACTGTTATGACTTCATGAGCTCAAAGCTGATCACGATCCCCATCATGGGTGGAAAAATTGAGTTCTTGAACGGGAAAATTCACAAAGAGCAATCCAGGTTGGAGGAGCATCAGTTCACTCTTTTGCTCCAACGTTCCGGACTGTTTGATATGTACAACCTTGTCAACATGATCTTTGCGTTGGATAACTTTGACGATTATTTTGATGTTTCTATCTACCAGCCAATCGTGGAGAACCAGTTGTTCACCGAGAGCAACTTTCGCTCTATCAACGCTCAGCTCGAGAAGTTTCTGCCGAACGCTTTGATCGATGTGCAGCAGAAGGAGCTTATGAAACTCCTGCCTCCATTGGTGGAGAACGACGTTATCACCAATTCGTCAATTGCCTTTGTCAACTTCTACTATAAGATGTGGATAATTACGCATGAGTACCTTCCAACGACCAACGGGGTGCCCATCTTCAGGTGGAGCGACTCCCATGTGGCTACTTTGTTGGGGTGTGAGGAGCCATATACCAGGCAGAAGAAGGACTTTACGGAGTCGGAAGAGCAAAACTAACCAATCAAAAGAAGGAGATGGTTATTGGAAAGGTCAGTTGTTCCACCGCGAAAACGTCATGAAAAATTCATAAACGAATAGCATTACAACTCAAAGGCTTCATATCAGGATTTCGTATCAATACTTCGTAGCTAGGCTTTTAAACAAAATTTTACAGCCAACAGCATCATGCATGGCATTTTCTCAATGCGTGGGCAGCTTGCCTCTTCCGTACCCATCCCTTGAATAGTAGTCCATCGGATAATAATCCTTGGTCCACTTGCGATCTTGTCCAAGCATCACCATTGTCTCATAAGGAGTCAATAAGGGTTTGTTGAAGGCATAGCCCCAGTCAATAGACAGTCTCGGGCATGCAACTTGCACAAAAGCGTCAATCTTGTCAAACATTGCCAGCTTTCCTGGAAAAATCTCCGATAGAATTATTTTGACAACTGTTTTTCCACTGGCAACTAACTTCGCCTCAAGAGCCTCCAAAGTCACAGGACTGCCCTGTCTTCCTAGAGACCCCAAAATCAGGCCAATGGTCTTTGCATTGGAAGCAGCATTAATAGCGTCCTCCCGAACCTGTACCAGCTCTTTTTGATCATACAGTTCCCTCGTGAACTTTCTCGAATATGGGTCATACCTGAATGCAGGTATATCCGGGTTGTGGATCATGGCACTTTCTAGATGGAATCTGCCATCTCCGACATACACCATGGCATCGTATTGCTCGGCCTCCAGACGGGCTGAAGTACACCCAAGAACTTCTCCTTTGGACAGAGGCATTGTTTGAGGCGGAGTAGCGTAAATGAGCTTGTGATCGTTCTCTTTTGCGCTTGAGAGGTCGGGGTTCTCCAGCCGGGCCTTTACACTGTGAATAGCCGGATTGAACTGAATGGTTCCAAACAGCGCCAATCGCACGCCATGGTCAAAATTCCGACGAATAGTGTTCACCAAATGAGTCTCATCAATTCCAATAGTCACAAACACATACAGCACCTTGATTAAAGTGATGTCCACAGGAACCAGACAGGAGTGGGCATAGTGCACTATGAAGTCGCAGTCCAATGCTCTTGCAGTATAATCATCAATGCAACAAGCACCGTAGGAAACATCACCCATGACCAGAACTTCACACCCGCAAAATTGCTCCAAGATATCTGTTATCACCAACGAGTAGATCAACAATCCCTCCGGCATCTGGAGACACACTCTTCTTGATTTGTTCTTGCGCACGTTCCAAACCGTTTTGTGGATCTCGAAGTTGTAATTACTTGGAAGAAGTTTAATGGCCTCGTTCAGTTCTTTGTCCAGTAAAATATCATCTGGTATCTGGTTCAGCACTTTGCCAAAAGTCCTTGGCCTTCTTCTGGCCACACGGACGCCATCCCCACTTGTATCATTATCTGTGCCGGTCTTCTCTGCGTCTGTTGATCTTTTGGAGCCTCCAAATCGTCTCTTTGGTTTCGTATCTACCTCCGTCATCAATAGAAATATAAAAAATAGCAGTTTGTGCTCTGAAAAGAGTCTTCTGAGCCAATAATTTAGGCAGCAATAGTAAGCAGTAATCAAAAAAAGTAGCACCTCATCGCTGAAATTTTTCAGTGCGATGAGATGAAAAATGTGAGATAGAGTGATGGAGTGAGATGAAGGGATTTTGAGTGTTTGCTAAGTTAACGGAGTTGACAAAGTTGAGAGCATTAAGATACTTGACAGATTTTAGTATACGACAAGAAATATTACACGAGTGTTGAAATACTGGTTCAAAGTTTTGGAAGTGGGATTCGTTTAATAGTGGTGATATCGTTACTGTTATCCACCCTGTGAGAGTATAGAGGATTATTGCAATACCTCACAATCATCACATTACAACACAAAAAAGCATCATTAATATTCTCACTGTCACCGTTCACATCACAAACTGACAGATGATTGTTCCATTCTTCACCATAGATCAGGACGACGAATACGTCACGGTTGACCTGAAGATATCACATCTCCGTTTCAATGCCTCTTCCTTGGAATTGGCAGTCACCGATAACACTATGGTGTTTTCCTTAGCCCCATACTTCTTAAGACTGAGATTTCCTTTCCCCTTCGAGGAAGATGATGACGAAAAGATAACTGCCCAATATATCTCCCAGGAAGACGTTTTGCGGCTGCGACTTCCCAAACTCAACCGAGGCCAGTTCTTTCCAGACCTGGACTTTACTGCTAAACTGCTCGCACGAGACGGTGAGGCTGTGGCCAAGGAACCTGCTCTTCGCGCCGTTGACGAAGAATTGAAGGTTCCTCGGACAGAGTCTCCAAATGTCCCCAGACCGTTAATACAGGAATTGGATATGGCTGATAAGACGCGCGATGTTGACTTGCAGCATGCAGAGTCGTTGAATTGGGAGGTCGAGCAGCAAATACCGGTGGACCCAGTCTCGATAGGTGTGGACTCAAGATTTTTGTACGGCTTTAATGACAGTCACAAGAGCATGCTGAACATCACTCTTTCTAACGGGAATGATATTAACGAGCTGAGCGATCCGGATGCCACTGACGCAGATGATCGCATCATGGAGAGACTGATCAAAGAGAACATCAAGTTCGATGTGGATTACTACGGCTCGGATTATTTGTTACTTAAATATGGTGATACAGATGATTCGAAGCGCATTAAAGATTTGCTTGAGTGGAAGTTTCCACTCAGAAAGGAATTTCTAAAACATGCTAAGGCCAAACAGGATGGTGTAAAGGACGTTCCCGAGACTGTTCCGTTGGAGTTCACCAAAGATGAGCAAGAAAAAATCCAGAAGCTGAAAGTCAGACAGTTTCTTATTGACGAAACCAGGCCACTTTATCAGACAATAATCAGCATATTATTTGCATATTGCTTCGATCTTCGATCTGGAGAGGGAGATACTACTGTTGAGTCCGGTTGGAACATTGGAAAATTGGTTCCGCAAATCGCCTGTTTGGATTCACAACTTATTCCTTCGAATAATTCCACAGAGACAAATCTGTTGAAAATCTCTGTAATCACCTCCACAAGAAGGGCTCTTTCGTATCCGCTGGTGAGGTGTTGGGAGTTGGTCCAGAAGGTATGGGAAGACGTCTACTATGTGCTCAGGTGCGGAAAGCGTGGTGTGATCAAATTGCTACTTGCAGCTCGTGAGCCATTCCGGTTTCATGATGTTTATTATGTTTATAATCTGATCTGGTTCGAGGAGCTGCTTGGATGGTGTCTTGGTGATGATGCATTCAACGAGGCCACTCTTCGTGATCTTGCCCATAGTCTACGTAAGGAGACTGAGGGACTGACCAAATCGGATATCACCTTCGAGAAGTGTCTTGACGAAGAGACTGCTGAGATTGAGGTGGTGAGTCTTGTGGATATCGAAAAGTGGGCAGAGGAAAGTTATGCTGATGGACTCGGGGAATAGACCAAGCTTGATAAGACAGCTACTTAGCTCACCAGTCCATGAAAATGGCTAAAATCCGCAAAATAAAATCTACGAAAATGCAACGAAATGAACGATAATCAACTTTCGGAAACAATCATATTGAAAGTACAATGAATCATCATAAAACGTGGTCTTATAGTTGACCATTCACTCCGATAATCGGATAATCCATGATTGTACGGGTCCTCTGATTCACGATAATGACCACTCTTGACCTTGATAATTTTCTAATCTACTGTGTAGTTTCATTAGCATATCCTTCTTCGCATAATAAAGTTATCAAATTGTTCTGAATATTCTTCCTGTCGTCAAGCCTCGTCAACGCTTTTGACTTCAGCCTTCCCATCTACGATCCAAGAATGTTGTTGGGAAACCGTGACAATTTAGGCTTATCGTCAGTTTCAGTTGGCGAAGACCCGTTCTGTGAATCTCTGTGATGGTGTCTCAATGATGGCGGTGACACTTTTCTCAACATTCCACTCATATCGGATCTAGTTCTAATATGAGATAAAAGGGACCTCCTGGTAGGAGGAGACCTAGAACGTGGAGCTGGTTGAGAAACACCCTGCATTGGTGGAGCACTCAAAGGTGCCACAGAACTTCCTGGAGTCACAAAATTTGCTGTAGTTGGAGTAGAAGCACCCAGAGAAGAGCCTGATTCACCGTCTGACCCAGAAGATCTCCTTCTCTTAGGAGCCGGCAAGCTGGGAATATCGCCCTGGATGGGTGGCTTCTCGTCCGATTCAGGTTGCCAGTGATGGAACTGAATCAGATGATGCGACGAAATCATAGACTCCTGCGTAGGTTTTTCTGATTGAGAGGGGGCGGAGTTCTTCCTAGAAACAGGCTTTCCAAACGACACAGCAGCGGCCTCTGGGATCCCAACTACAGGCATCGATTGGTGATGTTTGTGGGCCACTCCTCTTTGCGGCGTATTCAGGGCAGCTACTGCTTGTGCTCCCATTCTCGCTGGGGAGTTTTGGCGTCTGTGCGCCATCTGTGGTGCTGGTGCTGTAGGGGTCATGGATGGTGTAGCAGCTCCAGATCCCGGCAACGAGCCGGCCCTCGACCCGGATCCAAACTTGAAGTTCGGATCAGCCTTATACATTTCCGAATTTGAATAAGGGTTTGGGCCGGAATTTGTGCTTATTGACAACGATTTGACGTCTTTGGAGCCCGTTCCGCCAACGGGACCTGCTCCCGGCATGAATAGCTGAGGGATTAGATATCCGGGTATCTGGGCAGCCATGGCATGGCGGAGCAGCTCAAGAGAACGTGACACCGTCTCCATTCGATAAAATTCTTGTCTCGTCTTTTCCTGCTCTGTTTTGAGAGCGAGCGCGTGGATTAGCGAAGTCTCTGTGAAAGGCCATTCCTTGATGCCATTTCCAAGCAGCGCAGCAAGCACGTCCTGGGACGGCTGTTGAGACGAAGTTGGCGAAACTGGCTGATTCATCGACACCGGTGGGTCCAAGTGGAGTCTTCCTTTCAATGGCTGGTGTCTGGTTTCCGTGGTCGAAACAGTTGACATGATTTTTTAATGCGCTCTCCCCTTCTCCTGTTCGTAGATCGACTGCTTACAGTTGAGATCTGCCTGGAAGAAGAATAAAAAACCAAGATTTCGAAAAGACAACGAGATCAAAAATACACACACAAGATGTCCAACTGTCTTTCAGTGTTTTCGTCGCCCCGTTCACCACACTTCCAAGTTTTTTCCACACTTGTACACACACAGACGGCAGATAAATGTCAGTCAAATTTTGGCTCCACAACCCTGTTGTCACTTTGCCGCATCGGGAAGGAGGACGTTACCCGATCTGGAATATTGCGTGCGTCGCTGCACGGATGCGGCAATGGGTAGGAAACTACCTTAATATGAGTTCGGAACGACCTTGAGGTTTTTGCACGACCTGACGCGTCCATGAGAATGCCATGCCTAGACAGACACAAGAGCAATCCTGTTCCACTCATTCGCTCAACTACAAGATGTCTATAGTGTCGTTGCTTGGAATCAATGTGCTGAATAACCCGGCGAGGTTCAGTGATCCCTACGAGTTTGAGATCACGTTTGAGTGTCTGGAGCCCCTCAAGGAGGACCTTGAATGGAAGCTCACGTATGTCGGTTCGTCCAAGACACTAGAGCATGATCAGGAGCTGGATTCAATTCTTGTTGGCCCTGTTCCTGTTGGGATCAACAAGTTTTTGTTTACTGCTGATTCGCCGTCTCCTGAGCTGATTCCTGCGTCAGAACTGGTTTCCGTCACGGTGATTCTTCTTTCGTGCTCTTACAACGACCGCGAGTTTGTTCGTGTTGGCTACTACGTGAACAACGAGTATGACTCCGAGGAACTCCGTGAGAATCCACCCAGCAAAGTCCAGGTTGATCATATAGTGCGCAATATCCTTGCTGAGAAACCCAGGGTGACGAGGTTCAACATAGTCTGGGACAGCGAGAACGATGGTGACGAGTTTCCTCCGGAGCAGCCCGATGCGGACGATGAGGAGCTTGATGATGAGGAAGAAGAGGAAGCGGAAGAAGAAGAAGAGGAAGAAGGTGACGAGGAGGAGGAGGAAGAGGATGAAGAAGAGGAAGAAGATGAAGAGGACGATGATGACAACGAGGTCGATCTTGAGGCTGATGACCAGAAGTCTGTGAAGAAGCGGAAACTGGAAGAAGAAGAGGACGACGATGAAGAGGACGATGATGAAGAGGATGATGATGAAGAAGACATTGAGGAGGAAGATGACGAGGCCACAACCACTCAGGAAAACAATGATGTGCCCACTCCCGCAGACGATGCGCGAGAATGAAAAAATTGGTTTGTGCAATGTATGTTATAGGAAGGAAGAAGCAAATGAAGAATGAAAATGTTAATTGAAGAATTGAAAATTTCGAGAAGCAAAGAGCAGAGCTTGAACTCTGTACAAGACTGTGAAAGCTCGTAGAGACCAAATAGACCCAAAAAAAAGATGATTGAGTATCATTTCTACTCAACTGCAAACTCAACTGCAAACTCAACTGCAAACTCAAAGACTCTTTGACCCTTGCAAAAGTCTGAACAGGGACAGGGCCTGAAAAATGCTGATCTTTGGATTTTTGCCACAATTGACAGCCAACTTTAATGAAACCCACTTTTCAAACACTCATCCCATATACTGTTAATACACTGAAAGGTAAATGTCACCTTCTCCTTCAATTCCTCGGACCGACCCACCATCATCTTGTCCGGATGCCATCGCACTCTCTCAGTCTTGAGCCGCTTCTTCAACCGGCCATTATCCAAGAACGATCGGATTGACTCAACGCTCAGATCTGCAGGATGGTTGGATGCCACGGGCCATGCTATCTCACTCGGAGCGGATTCCCAGTGTCGGTTGTAGTCTTCGTAGCTCCATGCATGGGTGAAAGATAGCTCATCTTCGGACTCTGCTGAGGCTGGATGAGAGTTCGAGCTCGTCTCAGAAACTGAATCCGAATCCGAGTGTGAGTGTGAATCTGAGTGCAAGATATCATCATCGTCGTTGTTAACATGGGGTTTTGTAGTGAATTCAAACGCTTCTTCGTTTACCGATCGCACGAACCGATACCCGTTGATCTCTGGCCCATACTCTACGCTGGGCATTTTCACTCGAGTCCGTGGTCTTAAAGTAGGTTCTGAAACTTCTGGTGACTCGGAATACTCCGTGTCTCCATTAAACTCAGCTGTTTCTGTTCTGTTGTCTGCGCTATTCTTTCTGTCTGCATCATCTCCCTGGTTCGATTGTATACCCCGTTTAAATTTCAACCGTCTTCCACCAATTTTTCGTTTCTTGCTGATCTTCCCCGATACGATCCCTTTCTTCACAACCATTGCAAGATCATTTTATCTGGCCAGTCCATCGGAGAAGAATACCAGGTAAACACACATAATTTGGGCGATGACATTTGGCCCGGAGATTGAGGCTGGTCGGCTGCGGCTCTCCCCCGGCTAGAAACCGGTGGTGGTAAACCTGACCGTTTTCAAATTTCAAAAGGTTTTTAGTATAATACTTAGAGAAGTATTGTCCTTTGTACCATTTTGTCAAGTTTTGTGATTTTTGGAGAGATATTTGAATTATGTGGGACTAATATTGCAGGAATAATGTCATTTCTGCATAATTTTAGAATTTCATAAAACTGGAATGGAGATTAGTGAGCAATTGTTAAAAAACAACATGAAAAACCTTGGTTTGAAGCGAGCAAGAGATTTCTATCTTGATTAAACAATAAAATTTGTATTATTGCCCGAATTTTCAATAAATTTATGTCGATATTCTCCATCTACTCCTCAGGCCTTATCCCCATTGTACCCCCGACATGATCCCGGAATTCCCCCGGATACATGCGATGACCCAAAAACTTTTCTGCCTTTCTGTGAGGCTCTTTAACAAGCTTCTTCTCTCTCGTACGACTCAACCACACCGAAATGAGTTTTGGACTAAGGAGGCTTTTTGGCACTTCTATAGTCAGGCCATTTGGTTCCACACGAGCAGTGCTAAGGAAATTTGCGGCTCAGGAGATTCCAGAAGATGCCGTTGACGATTTCGAGGCTCTCTCGACAGAGGCCACCACATTACCATACGCATACAGGCGAGATGGCGAGACCTTTGGACAGTTAGTCCGGGATTATAACCACGATTTGGATCCCTCAGACAGTTCAGGTCCAACTGTATATGGATTTGATGACCAAACAGAGCAGGTTTCACCTTACCGTGATCCAGTGACCGGACAGGTGCGAGACGGACTGACTGCCAAAGATGCCAGATTACACCCTCTAACTCGCGAGGCACGTGTGAACAGACAACAGATTGAACTCCCAGCCGAAATGGGAAAGGCGATCAACAATCACATCTTGCTCTTGAGACAACCAAAGGTGTTGAGAGCCAAGGCAGCCGAGTACTATGTCGAATTGCGTGAACGGAATCTCCACTTTGCAGCTGAGACAGAGGCAGATGCAGATGCACATATAGCAGCAGTGTTTCTACAGAACTATGGCTCACTTTACCAGGTTTTGCACGAATTACGGAAGCGGGTAGGAGAGGACAAGTTCAACCCACGCAGAGTGCTTGATGTCGGTTACGGTCCTGCGACCGGAATCGTTGCTTTAAACGAGATCATGGGCGATTCCTTCGAACCAGAAGTTAAAGATGCAGTTGTGGTGGGTCCTTACGAAATGCTGAGACGTGCGAAGTTGATTCTGAGTAGACAACTTGCTGAGTACAACGGGTTGGAAATCAGCAAACAGGAGCTCGAATCAAAGGTAGAGTCAGAGGACGAGGACATGGAGTTTGTGGGTGAGGTGATGACCAAAAAAATCAAAATCAAGACCAAGCTGTTGCAGGATATTCGGTCAAACGAGGACAGAAAGTATGATCTGATTATGGTCACCCACCAGCTGCTGGAGAGACAGAAGTTCTTTCCCGGTCAAGTGGACGAACGTGTTCACGAGTTTTTCAAGAGGCTTGCTCCCGGTGGCCACTTGGTAATTGTGGAGAGAGGAAACCCTCTTGGGTTCGAGATCATTGCCAGAGCAAGACAGGTAGCTATTCGTCCGGAAGACTCCATCTCCAACAAAAAGATACCCGCTCCTTACAAGAAAGGTGCTATTGGACCTGATTATCATTTGAGGGTGGTAGCACCATGCTCGCACCATGCTGTATGTCCTTTGCAAGTATCCAAGCCAGAGTACTACTCTTATGGTGGTGTTGGAAAGAAGCTCTCTTTCTGCCATTTCCAGACGGAGGTGGTTAGACCGAAGTTCACAAGTGAGCTGAAAAAAGGATTACAATTGGCAACCCCATGGGCCACTCCTATGGATGGTATTGGAATCAAAGGTGAAGCATCAGCCGGAAAGGGTAACCCCAATGCGCGCACTTACGAGAGTGCTAATTACAGTTATCTTATTTTGGAGAGATCCGCAAACGACGAAGAGTCTCTGAGGAGGATAGAAGACCAAATTGAGAAAGAGGGCCAACAAAACTATCCTGTTGGTTACAGTGGTGACACACCAGATGAATGGCCCAGGGTGATGAGGGCCCCCATGTGTAAGAAGGGTCTTGCCATTGCTGAGGTGTGTGCTCCATCTGGCAATTTGGAAAAATGGCATATTTCCAGGTCTTCGGGCAAACAAGATTACCACGATGCTAGAAAGCTGAAGGGTGGAGATCTATATCCGTTAGGGGCCAAGTCCAAGATTCTGTCCAACAAGAACAGTGATAACTATTCCGAGCAGCTCCAGAGGAAGGAGAAAAGTTACAAGAAGGTGGTGAAAAAGGCCAAGAAGGATGTTGCACACGAGCGAAAGGTACAGCTTTATGAGGCCCAAAAGATAATCGATGAGGAGAAAAGGGCCGAGCATATGGCCAAGGTATTGGACCAGGAATTCATGAGTCAACCATCTATGAAGAAGAGGGATCCTAAAGTATACAAATATTAGGGGAAAGAGACACCTATTGTAAATAGTCAGCTTTTTGTGTAAATACTGAGAAAAGATACCCTTTGTGAATAATGAGCTTTGTTCTAAGAAAATGATACTTACCAATCAGTATTGAAATTTGAATGTAAAAGAGACATATGAACTTCCCGTGCGGCTCGGTTATGAGCCCTCACCTATCCGGGGAGGCCCCCTCCTCACCAGCTTCAGCCAGGAGATCTGAGCTTTCTTCAGACTTTATCGTTACCATTCATCCGTAACAATGTCGCTGTTCTTTAAAACGCCGTTGGACATAGAAGTCAGACTGGATGGGGACGATTCTAGGGAGCATGTTGAGGTGAAAAATGCTAAAGGCAGGAAGGAGAAGCTACCATTGTACAAGGATGGTGAGACCGTCAGAGGCCAGGTCACCGTTAGAATAAAAGACAACAAGAGGGTGGAACACACTGGAGTAAAGGTTCAATTGCTTGGTTCAATTGAGATCCAGAATGACGGCTTGCAGAGTGATGATTTCCTGTCACTTGCACACGAATTGGCGAGTCCAGGAGACCTGACACACCCTGAAACGTTCCAGTTTGAGTTCAGAAACGTGGAGAAGCAGTATGAGAGCTACAGAGGAGCGAACGTGAGACTGAGATACTACATAAAGGTGACTGTATCGCGGAAGTCAGCGGATGTCATTCGCGAGAAGGAATTGTGGGTGCACCAACACCAGGGAGCAGTCGAAGAGTCCGCTCCACCACCTCCTTCCAGCGTCAAGATGGACGTTGGAATCGAGGACTGCCTTCATATTGAGTTTGAATACTCGAGGAATAGATATTCGCTCAAGGACGTGATTGTTGGAAGGATCTACTTCCTGCTGGTGCGTCTGAAGATTAAGCACATGGAGCTATCCCTGATCAGACGAGAAACATGCGGGGCGCCTCCTCATCAATTGTCTGATAGTGAGGTCTTGATAAGGTTTGAGATCATGGATGGAGCCCCGGTAAGAGGTGAAACCATTCCAATCCGTCTCTTCCTAGGTGGCTTCGATTTGACCCCAACGTATAAAGACGTGAACAAAAAGTTTTCGACCAGAACGTTCCTTAGTCTGGTCTTGATTGACGAAGATGCTAGAAGGTATTTCAAGCAGAGTGAGATCATTTTGTACAGAGAATAGAGAGTCGAACTCTGCAGAGGCCTGATACTCTAGTGTAATTTTAATGTCACATTATTGACTTCCCGTCTTTGTCGATGTAGATGCATTTGATAGATTTTTGTGTTATCGTAGTATCCAGATCTTCCAAAACATCCGGGCGATCGATTTAGAAAATCCTGGGAGGCATGGCTGTCATTCTATGTCAACTGTTTATCGTCCTCGCATAAAGTTGCCAACAATCCCACCACCACTTGCATAATAGACTCATTCTGAGGGTAGTGTTACAACCAGAGTATGCATCTTAGAGCACCGTGAAAAATAATTGGTGTAATTTGCCTCTATGGCCAAGTTGGTAAGGCACCTCACTAGTAATGAGGAGATCGTCAGTTCGAATCTGGCTGGAGGCATTCAATTTTTTTTTCAAACCTGTTCAGATCGCTTTGCTGACTACAGTCACAATCTACATTTTTAATATACCAAAAATCTCATTTCATTACCACACTGGTGACAGATCTTCAATCCACTTACTGGTCACCGGTCTATAAACCTTGATGGTTCCCTCAGTCAATTTGTCAATGTCTATCTCTTCCCTCACCACAAACTTATTACCGTTGACATTCTGATGTATAATGTTTAATTGAGACCCACTGACCGAGGTAACAACTGCGGTATGATCGGGTGATCCGAAGAACAACGCTTTGTTAGGATATCTGAGACAACAGTTCTCGAACTGGAGGATGTCTCCACGTTTGATCCCATCTGAGACTGAAGACTTGACTCTTTCAGTCTTGCCATTCTCAAACTTAATCAGCAAAGTCAAAGCACCATGAACTAAACCTTCGGAGACGAAAGCATGTTTTCCACATCCTTTTTCCAGAGCATCATGAGCCAGAGTCCAACACTCTCCATCACCAACTGTCTTATCTTCTTTGGTTTCACACCAACTAGCTACATGTTCACCAAACAGAGAAGCTCCTTCAAGAAGTTGCTTGGAAGATGCATGTGGTGGTTCTTCAAATTTCTTCTCAACCTCCACCAAAGCTGTTGGATCACCAGACTTTGGCCAAGTCAGTTTCACTTTGGCAGTTGATAAATCGTGGAGTCTCACCGTAAGAATTCTAAAATGCTCTTTCGAATTGTAGCCGTAAGCAGTAGCAAAGTTCAAGCCCTTGAAGACTTTGGGCAAGTTTTCGGCAAAGTTTTCATCGTTGACGAACCAAGGTTTGGTCAGTTCCAGATCCAAAACTGGAGGTTTCCAGTCTGACTTTGCTAAAGTTCTATGAGGTGGGACCACTGGTGGTGCCTTTGGCTTCTGCTTGGTAGGATCACGAGCATCTTCAGTCTTTTCGACGGAGGTTATAGAACTCGCGACGCTTCTTGGCTTAGGCGCTGGTGGAGGACGTTTTGCCTGCTTTGGTATTTCGGGCTTTGATTCGGGCTTTATTTCGGTCTTGACTTGAGGCTTCATCTCAGGCTTTGCAGGCGCAGCACGAGGCCTTTGAGGCAGCTTAGGTCTTTCCTCCTCCTGTTCTTCTTCTTCCTCTTCCGAATGAGACCTGATCTCATCGTCAGTATATGTAGCACGCAATGCCGGTTTGGGCCGGATTATTGGCGGTGGTTGCTTCCTGACTGGTGAAACATGTCTCAACGCAAATTTCGGCTTGAATTCCATTTCGTCGTCGTTCTTTGTGTCGATTGAGGAGGAAGAACGAGAGCTGGGTCTGGGACGAATGATTGGCGGAGTCGAAATTCCAGCCGGAGAAACGTGTCTCAATGGTAATTTGGGCCTCGCATCTTCATCTGAGAGAGTATCTTCATCGTCTTTCACCGGAGTACGGGCACCAGGCTTGGGTCTAACGACAGGAGGAGGCATTCTCTTTGCTGGCGAAACATCACCACCTGAAGGAAGTCTTGGTCTAGCTGGCAGCACAGGCTTTGGTTCTGCATCCACTACCGGTTCTTGTCGTGCTTCAGGGTACGAATCACTCAAAGACTTCTCGGAATGTCTTGATCTGAGAGAAAGCTGGGAGAGACGCACCGAGCTCATGGCATTACCCATGGCATTGCCCATGGTCATAATCGATTTTCCAATGGAATCCTGAGACTCAATTGATCCAGAAGAAGTAGATCTCTCTATTACACGTGATGCTCGGCGAAGGAAGCTTGGTTTTTCAATAGGGTCTTCCTGGTCTGTGCTGAAGGTGGAGGAGACACTTCCGGGCCTAACTGGTGTTTTCGGAGGAGGAGGAAACTTTTTAGCAGCCTCCTTAAGATCAGCATACGATTCACTCAATGATCCCATTCTCGGTGCACTTTCCCGTCTGGATACTGGTTCGGAGTCGTTTGTGCCAGAAGCAGATGATTCAGCCAAAGCTGAAAGGGCCTTGGGTTTCACTGGCAACACAGGTTTCCGTTTTGTATCTGGTACTTCCGCAACTTCTGCGTCTTCTTCATCTGAATCGTCATCTGAAACTACGACGGAAGCAGGTCTCACCGTCCTTCTGGGGGGAGGTGGAAACGCAACCGAGGTCTTTGGAGGTAGACGAGCAGTGGGTCGTTCAATGCGAATGTCTTCCGGTTTTTCAGCGGTAATTTCAACAGACTCTTCAGCTGGTTCATCGTCAACAGCTTTAGGCTCAGGCTTGACAACTCTTCTCGGAGGCGGTGGGAATGCACTCACTGGTTTCCTGGGAAGTTGGTCCAATGGTCTTCTAACTTCCTCTCTCTCCCCGTCAGGCTTACCACTCGCCACGGACTCAGAACTTGAAGCACTACTCACTAATGGAGCTTCGGGTTTGCGAGGAGGTGTGGATGGCTTTTTGGGCAAGACTTCCTCGTTTTCCTCGTCGTTTTCCTCGTCCTTTTTCACAGCAACCGGAACAGTTCTTCTTGGTGGAGGGGGAAACGAACTGACTGGTTTCATGGCCAATGGCTGTATCAGCTTTTTCTCAACTTCAAGAGATTCTGGAGTCGTCACAGGTGAAATTTCGCCATTATCCAACCTCACATTTCGTAGACTACTTCTCAAGGACACGGTCAAATCATCACCGGAGTCCACGGTATCGATCAGCTCAGAACCCGTTCCCAATGCCAAACCTGCAGAAGTATTTGAATTTGCCTTTAATGCTGTTGGTTTTGGCTTCAAAGGTGGTGCTTTCTTGCCTAAGTCCGACATTTTTTATGGCCGTGGTCTTTGGTGTAGTACCATCAGTTGGCGACTGAAATTGTTAGCTGGAGATCTTCGAGATCGTCGGCTCATCGCAGGAGTCTGCGCATTCCGCGTTTCGCGCCATACTTAAAATGGAGGGTAAACTCGGTTGAAAACGTGAAATATTAGCAAAAAACTAAAGAAACAAGTAAATTATACAGTCTAGAAACATTTAAATTTGTGTATTCGAGTCAGGGCCAGGTGCTAAACGCTATCAGTATCGTCGCCATACTTGGACCCTTAAGGCCCGAGGCAACGGCGTCTAAGTGCTGCACTTAAGGCGCGTCCCGTCGGGCCTAACGACTAAGTCAGTGATATCGTGAAATGTTTCAGTTTTTTTGAGACTATTACATGCAGAAATTTTGGGATATTGTCACGATCAGGATCTACCTTGGAATTATCAATCATACTGCACAGCAGACCAACAATAGGTTCTGGCGGTTAGTTCTTACGGTTAGCCACTTCCCACTTCACTCCGCTTCTCAGGCAATCTTGAATACGAGGACAATGGTTCCATACTAGCTTGTATAATATATACGAATCGAGAATTGAAATCTAATAAACAAGAAACTAAAGTCCTCCCACTATCCAAAACTGTACTAGCAGTCCATCTTATGCACTTTCCTCAGCCTTCAGGAAACTAGAGTAGAACGCATCGAACTTGTATTTCTTCAGCAAATAGCTCTCTCTCAACCAAACCGGAAGCGAGTAGTAAGCAGCCGTCAACATCTTTGCGCCCTTTCCTCTGTAGTAATGAATTCCATAGATATCTCCCTTTAGAATATCAGCAACCACCTGTTTTGCATAATCCTCAGGCTTGGTAGGGTTGGTATCGTTGACGATGCTTCTTCTACACCTGATGGCTTCATTTCCCTCGGGCGTGTCGAAAATGGAACCTTCGGGCAGAGGGGACCGGTCCATGATCCCAGTGTCAATAGCACCAGTTATAAAGTTCATCACCTTGACCCCCAGAGGAGCCAGTTCCATGTGGACCGTTGCGGCATATTGCGTCAAGGCTGCCTTCGACGAACAGTACATCGAGCCAATTGGGAAGGGAATGATACCGGTCACAGAGGAAGTGAAGCATATGGTTCCTTTGGAAGCAATCAGCAATCTGGAGAATTCTCTGGTAAGTCTGACAGCTCCGAAAAAATTGATTTGAAAGGCTTTCATGAAGATCTCGTCCGAAGCGTCGATGGCCGAGGTGCTACATGCAATACCAGCATTATTGTACAAAAGGTCCAATTTGCCTTCGTCAGCGACAATTTTCTCCTTCAGCTTCAAGACACTTTCCAATTGAGCAACATCACACAGATAGGGCACGATTTTGTCCTTGAATTCATCCGTTTGGGATAGTTCTTCAACCTTGTCCAGTTTGATATCAGTGGCATACACTTTGTAGCCGTTGCGAGCCAACTCCTTGCTGATGCTAAAGCCAATGCCGCTATTGGCACCTGTCATAATAGCCACAGGCATTTCGAAATAATTAACAAAGAGTATTTTCCGAGAAGTAAAAGCGGAGGGATCTCGCGATTGTCTCCAATGAGGTGGCTTGTTAAATTCAGATGGTCCTGGACGAAAGATGGAATCTCGGTTGATTCGGTGAAATCAACACAACTCGAAAATATTTTTTCACCAGATCAGAAAGAAACGTTGATAATTCAACACTTGGAGCCCGTAAAAACCGTCGTTGTTTATTGGCAACCGCTGAATATTTATATCACAATATGTCGGGTAGTTTAATGCACTTTGTATGCCCCCTCGGACTTGACATGGTGCCCCCTCGGACTTGACACGGTGACCAGGCTTGAAAAGACCCGACTGCAGGGAGAAGATTGTCTCCCGATGTGGCTGATTCTGATAAGTTTGTGATGAAATTCGATCAATTCTGATCAATTGCAAACAATTGTAACCAACTGTAAATTATATGACCCCTCATATGTTTTTTTTGATACCAATTGACTCGATTAAAGAGGAATATTGACGTTGGATCAGCCAGAAACCACTAGTCCTTCCTATATCACGCAGGTAATGCCGTTGCCGAGTCTTCAGAACTTCTGACCTGCACAACTTTGGTTGTTCGGTCTGCAACCCTTAATGCCTCCAAACGGTCGATAAGTTCTGCGTCTTCGAAGTCAGTACCCATTCCCGGACTCTGCGAAACCCTCGCGGATTCTTTTAGCATTTTCTCATATTCCTCCTCCACATCCTGGTCCTCCTCCACGGTCACTTCGGGGACCTCCATGTCCTTCATCTCGGTCATGATTTTGTCGATGTCTTCCACATCGAACTTATCGTTCAAGCTCTTGAGAGCTGACAAGCCACTTTGTAGCGTCGAGACAAACGATAAATTCACATGCGCACTTTCAATATGTTCCAGGATCTCCGTGGCCTTGATCAGCGATGCGTTGGAATTCTCCAAAGACTTCTCAAACACCCGTTTGAGGTGAATAGACGACCGTGCCGAGACCTTGTCGCCTCTTTCCAAGTAAGTCAGAGCGTTTTCCTTGATCTGGGCAATCTTCAAAGAAGTCCTCTCTATCTGTTTCTCCAAACCCCATATGGTGTACCGTAGATCAGCCTGTGCCAAATCGGTAGCAACAACCTCTGTCTTTGGATATTTCACTATTCCATTATCCAAAGATATTCTCTTTTTGTCGCGCGACAAAAACAGCAGAAGACACTTTAGATCTTCTTTACTCAAAGGCACATATAGCGTGGCGTTGATCATCTCCTCCAACTGCTCCTGGTGTAGACATACATTCTTGTTCAATAAGCTGGCTATTTTGTCACCCAGACTCTCCAGGCACCGAATACAGACCAGATGTTTTATATTCGGACCTACCAACCAATGAAACAGAGTTCCCACAGTCCACGATCTCTCGTAAACACTGTTCTTTTGAGACTCGAACCTGCTCAGATCAACAAAGTCGCCCTGGTTCGTCAGCTCCTTCAAAACAAGCTCAAGACCCTTCGGCTGACCATATTGCTCCAAAAAGAGCTTCTTCTTGAGTTTCTCCAGATCAACAACACAATGGTTGTCGTATATCGGAGTGTCTGGATTGGTGAGTAAGGACCTCCAGGCATCCAGATTAGCCTGGTATCCCTCCGGATTTGTTTCCTTCAAATGCGAGAAATCAGAATAGAGCGATCTCAGTCGCGTTTTGGTGAAGTTTCTGTTTTGAAATATAATGTTTTCCATGGTTGTCATAAATGGATCGTGAAGTGCTACGTAGAGCAAAAAGTATATATTGAAGCCGCAATGAATTTGATTGCTTATCTCATCAAGTCTGCCTGGTATTTCCCACATGAGATGCCTCACCTTTCCTCTGCTCTGGCGATTAAATCAGCCACCAATAGACCATTCAACGGCACAAAATGACTGATCCAGTGATATCAAACCTGGCACAGTATATTCAGCAATCAATTGATACCAAGTTCAATATTGCGTTTGACGAAACTCTTGTTTTGGATGCTATACAGAAGCTGAAAACGGATCGGGACTTGACGGTACCCGATGGCAAGCCAGATGACTTCGTACAAGAGAAAATTGTGGAGCCTCTTGTTCAGGTGTTGCAAATTGATATTGCGATTGAGATCAAGCAGCTCATAGTTCAATTGCTTGAAGCTGTGTTCACGTTCTTCACATTTGACCAAGTATTGGTTGCCACCTCTCTCTCGTGGCTGATAGATGGACTGCAGTCTCAATTTCTGGAGCTGGAATTGCTTTGTCTCAATATTATAGTGCGAGCATCACCAGCGGATGTTCTCGCGAACACCCCCATTATTAAGATCATTCTAACGCGTTTGTCTCAAGAGGATAGTCCACTGGCTTTGGTTAATGCCATTGAGGTGGTTATACAGGAGTTGCTTCCCAGAGGAGAATTGATACAGAGACGAGTCAAAAGCGATGAGATAGTGAGCATATTGGTTCAGATGACCCAGTCGGATATTCTCAGGGCGCGCTTGTGTGATTTGTTGGTGATTTTGGTGCCATATACAGGCCCAGGCGAATTGCCCCCAACACTGTTCGTGCAGCCGCTTGCAAGTTTGGAGCAGAAAGATGATCCTTTGGCCATTGGATTAGTGCTGGGATTCTACTCGAAGATTTTGGATTATGCTGAGGAAAAGCCCTGGTTGGTGGAGTCTTTATGGCCTGCCTTCGATGAAATAGTGGCCTCATACCTAAACGGCTACATCCACGAGAACTCCATGTTCCTGGAAGGTGATGCCAGCGCTCTTGTTGGAAAAATGTCGTATTTGCCCGGTTTTAGCTTGCTCGATGGAAAGCATAATATCCTTAAGACTGCCGTTAAAAACGTCCCTTCCTATTGGAAATTGTTGTCTCTCACAAACCCTCTGGCTCTTCTGGAGACCCAGAAGGAGTTTGTGGAAACGCTCACTTTGAAGGCAGCAACCGTGCCCATCTACGAGAATTTACTTTCGAATGAACTGTCATTCACGGGATGTCCAATATCAGGCCGGGATATTCTAAAATTGCCAGCTCCGCTCAACTACCGTGTGATTCATTCGGTAGCAGAATATCCTCATGGCCGTCACGTTCTGTTAACGAAATGGTCCCAAGTCATGTCATTCATACTGGATGAAAGCCATATCGTGGAAACTGAGATCTGGCAATTGAAACTGGATACCATCCAGCTACTTCTGCTGTATCCTACCGAAGAGGAGAAAGGGATCTGGAACCGCAGGTTATTGAGACTCTATTCGCAGATGAAGGGAGCTACAGATGTACAGGCCACTGTTGCCTCTGCAACTGCCTAAATGGATAAAAATGTCAAATATCTTGATATTGTGCAAGTCGTTTTGGATATATAAAATGCCTTTTGCTATTCCTTAAGCATCACTCGGAGTCTCTCTCCTCAAATCGTCTGACATACTGTCCAGTTCAAAGTCCGTCACCGCTTCGTAATCGCGTTTCCCCAAGTTCGAACTGTACCCTTCAAGCTTCAGGTAAAGCTCTATCAGAAGTAAAAACCACAGATATATCACAAAAGTAGCACTTGTAAGCACCAAGATATACGAGGAATGGTCAGCACCCAAACTCACCACCAGGTCCAGTTGTTCTTCATTGGCACCCATGAACAGGATTCCCGATTCAATGAGCGCAAACGAGGGCAAATACTGGAACGATATGATCTTGTATTTGTCTGCTCTGTCATCCCGCAGCAAAAACGAAATTTCAGCAATACGTGAGAAGCCACCAAGTATAAGGGCATAACCGAACATGGCATGAACTTTGGTGCTTATCTCCAGATGCTGAGCATGCTGAGACATTGCATAGCCGGTGAAAATCAACAGTAACGACGGTATGAACGATCTGGCACCGTTACGAGTGAACCATATACCAAGCAATCCGCCTGCCCACCATATGATGCCCATGGAAGTGTGTTGGTAATCACCATGGGACCAGCCCTCCCGTCCCCAACGATGCTCCGTGAAAGTGTTGACAATTCCCCAGGCACACATCACGATGCTGTCGTAGTATTCTTGACTTTTCTTCTGGCCATCGCCGTTCCTCAGCCATGGAATCACTAGAACAATGATGTACACCAAACCATACATAACGAAGGCAGAGCCCATAATGCCGTGTGCGATACACTGGCCTGTATGAGCCTCACGGCAAAATCCAAACATAGCCACCGGGGCTAGAGACGTTTTGACCCAACCGGTCATGGTGACAAGTAATGAGCAAGCCTTGTAGGCCCTTGTGAGAGTCTTCTGGCCTGCCAGCGCAACCCACCTGCTTGAAGTATCTTCGGATATAAAAGCACTTGACCCGCTAGCAAGACCTCCCACCAAGATGGTGAAACAGTAAAAAAATGCGAGAAACCATGCGGTTCCCTTTGAAGTCCTGTTTTCAACGCCATTCATATCGGGGAAGGACAGGAAGAGAGCCTCAAAAACAGCATAAACGGCTGCTATAACCTGCAAAAACACCGAGGAGGCAAATCTGTTTGCCCAGCTGAAAGCACATGCTATAGAAGGCAAGATCAATAGCATTGCCATTGTAGCCAACCAATGGAAAGTTTTCGAGCCGGCATGAGTCTCGGTCTCGGCTGCTGGTGTGTCGTCATCCCGTGGGATAAGCTCCTGAGCCAAAGAATTGGCAGTCAAAGTCAACACCAATGCCACAAATGTAAACCTTTTCACAGGATTGAATCCAGTCATGACTTTGTCTGTGTTTGGTGGAGGATGGTGTTGGATGTAATATTGCTATCGGCTGATTTATCGGAGCGAATTACAGATCAATATAATTTGAAGTGCTAACACCAAATATGAGCCGCACTCACAGACATACCGAAGACCTGAGGCAGCTTTCGAAGGTCTTGACGATATAGCAGAAGAATTGTTTTTTTTGTTTCGAATGTTCATTCCAGATAGATTATGTTTTTGTTCTATTTATGTCCATTCTGTGCTATGTTTTATCACCGGCTAGATCCAATCCGGAACATTTCGTCTTCGTCATCATCCCCATCAAAACCATGCATGTTATCAAACAATTTCTGTCTTTCTTCCTCCTCTGTTCTCAAAAAAGCATCTTCTCTTCTAGAATCTTGAGCTAATTGCTGCGCCCTTTTCTGGTCCACACTGTTTCTCGGAAGCTTCGAGGCAGGAATGCCTCTTGCTTTTGAAAGATCAGTGCTTTTCCTAGTGGTTGCGAAGGGGTTGTCAGCATGGTCTCTGCTCACCAGTGAGCTATCGTCAGTCAGTTCCTCCTCCGTGTCAAAATCATCATCAGGTTGAATCACATCAAACTCATACTCGTCTGTTCTTCCTCTTCTTCTTCTCTTTCTCCGCAGCTGTTCCGACTTGAACAAAGCCAGAAAGATCACGAAACCAATGATGACCAGAAAGAAGAAGTACTCCGAGTAGTGACCCTCGGTAGAGTGTCTGTATGATCCATCCTCTCCATCGATACCATCATCCTCATCTTCTTCCCCGCCAGTGGCCTCGCTGCCTTTACCCTCGTTGGTTGCATCACCGGCATCAGACGTAGAGACGGCCGAAGTTTCGGAGGTAGTTTTCGCTGCCGTCGTGGAAACAGAAGTTGACGTACTTGAAGTCACTATCGTTGAACTTTCTTCTGATTCCTGAGCATTTGGATCAAACGAATAGTCCGAGTCAAGAGAAAACCTCTTGACCTTTGTCTCGTCTATGGATTCTCCAAAAAGCTTCAACTGCCACTCGTTAAAGTCAACCGAACATTCAGCATCCGTTGTGGACACTTCCAGAGTCCATGTTCCTTCACCAGATTCACCCCAATGCGCAACACTGGAAAACGACCAGTTGTTCCAGCCTTCAGTTGAATGGTCAAACCTCCTCGAAACTGCTAGTTCCGAGACAATGCCACCTGGGGACTTGAGAGTGATGGCTGTCTTGCCTCTCGCAGACGAACCAATGTTCACTGTGACAACCACATGTTCAACATGATCAAAATTGGATTTCTCCAGCCATTCTTTGTCTATGGTGAACTCATGAGTGAGCGTGGATTTTTGGCTTTCTATCTTCGACCCAGGACGCTGAACAGGCGACCAAAACCATGATTGGGGTTTGAGGCTCTTCCAGGTCTTTGCCATTTGAACCATATTGTATGCATCCAATTTGCCATAACCGTATTTGTGCGAGTATCTTCTGCCCAGTGGACCATCGTGCCAGCTTCCGTCGTTTTCGTTTACCTCCACCGAGGTGAGCAAAGTCAGATATTGAACGTCCCTCCAGGTGAGGTCTGGGTTTCCCTGTAGAACCAAGGCGTATAAACCAGCCGCAAGCGGTGCAGCAGCCGATGTGCCTCCATGGATATCGGTACACTTATCGTTTATATCACTGGTATGAATATGTTCGCCGGATCCGGATGAGTATGTCACAGTCATCACGGCTGAACATGCCTCAGCATAGGGTGGATGCAATCCCTTGTGGTCAATAGCACTCACTGTAATCGAGTATATGCTGTTTGTGTATCCATCGAAGTTGCAGTTGTCATTGTGCATACCACCGTTACCACTGGCAAAGATGTAAAGAGAACCCTTTCCTTTTCTCCCGTCCAGAACACCCTTCAGCATAGCCTCTTTGACAATCTTCTCTGGCTCTTGCATGGACTTTCCATCATCAGGTGGTCCCCAGGAGCAGGAATATATGTCGTTAACGTCAGGGGCATAGATCATTGCAGCTGCCTCATCCTCAGCGGTGATCTGCCCAGATAAAATCCTCAAACCAGCAACTTTTGAGTCATAGGCAACCCCTATCCCACAATAATCGTTGCCCTTCTCGGCTGCAATCTCGGCTGCACACCGCGTTCCATGGTAATCGTCGTCCAACCTTGGTTTGGGCAGGTTGGTATTATCGTTGAAGTCCCAGGAGCCCTCCTTGCAGAAGCTTCTCTTTAAATCTTTGCTATCCATGTCCAGACCATCATCTACAATCGCAGTAACCACTCCCTTGCCAGTAATCCCTTCATACCACAATCCAGTCACGTTGACATCATCGCCAGGCGAAGCAGTATTCACCAAGTGCCACTGTTTGGCGAAAAGAGGATCATCGATCTTTAGCCTTTTCTCAGCCTCAATCAAAGGCTCCATCGAACTGTCGATTTTCACGGGCATCCTCTTTACCAGTCTTTTGGGTGGTAGAGGATGGAACGACTTGATGTCCAGTGATTCTTCCAGCCCACGTTTCCGTAGCTTATCTATGGGCGTAGAAAAGACATGATAATGCTCCAAACCCCGCGCAGCATGCTCATACTGCCAGTCATTGTGTGAATCCTTGAATGCCTCCAGTTCTATCGACTCCTCCAACTGGACGGCGAAGTACTCCCTCGAGTCAAAGTCCTTTGTTGTAACTTGCGTACAAGCCGAAACGTGACACAGAGCCAGCCAGCACGCTAATCGGTAGAGCGTCCTGAAATGCATTACAGTAAATGCGAGTACACAAGCTCTATCTGACCAGATTGCCTTGAATTACACTGAGTAAGACTAAGAAAATTACAAAAGATGAAAAGGCTAGGTGTTAGCGATCAGAAGATCAACTTCGCGGTGTGATAATGGTGAGCACACGACAGTCTGATACACGGGTCTCGGACAGAGTGAAAAATTTATGGACTGATTGTTGCTAAGCTTAAGTTAATTCGTTGGATTGCTGATTATTCACATGCAATTGCATTATGTTTTCGTATATGGTCTAATCTTCCGTTCTGAAGGTAGCAAGGGCTCCCATTGGATCGTATGGAGGGAGCACAATGGGAGATGGATCTTGCTCAATCTTCAAGATGTTCGCTGGAAGATCTGATTTCTCAACAACAACCTGGTAAACGTAATCCTCGAGATACTCCTGAGTCATGATGAAGTAGCCGTCGAAACCGACATCTTTCCCCCAAGAGTTCTCGACTCTCCATCTGACGGGCTTACCCTCTTCATTCAGATGAACAGCAGTAAGCACCATGGCATGGGTCATCAAAGATTGGTGATATCTGACTCTGGAGGCCTTCGTCTGTTCGGTCTTGAAGCCAATGAGGTCGTAACTCCACAAGTCCTGATCCATGTATCCTCTCTTTCTGTCCATGTAGATTGGGGTGTGGGATCCAAAGAACACGGGTTTTCCCTTCTTAATACGATCGACAGCAGCCTCGGTAAATTTTTTGATATCCACATTCAGATACGAGACTGTTGGAGCACCAACAACGTTTCCTAGACGGTCTATCTTGACGAGTTTGTCATACTCGTTTCTAGGATCATTCAACAGAGACACGAAGTTGGAGGAGTCGAATTCGACAGATTCCTTCAAAAACTTGATGGGTGTACTTTTCAGAGAATGGTACTTCCCATCTTTGTCTTCGTACTCCCACAAGAACTCATCGTTTGGACCGGGAGGTGTTCCGAGATACATGCACATGTACTTATGGAGTTCCCTCTGCATGGAAGCCTTGACTGCATCAATGGGCTTTCCGGCAGCCAAATCTTCTCTTAAAATTTCGGCAAACTCTCTCAGCTTGGTCTTGAGCATCCAATTGAGCTTTCTGGAAAGTGTGGTATTGAACGTGTCTGGGAAAACAGTGTTGGGAACCAGACCGTACTTATCCACGATGTTGATGAACATATCAAACTGACCACCATCACAGGTTGGGTCATCCAATAGAAATTGGACCAATCTCGAGTCAACATCTTCCTTGTAAGTGTCACTAATTTGGTCAAGGAAAAAATTGCATTTTTCAAGCTTATCGTAGAAGAATAGGAACGAGGTTGAAAGCTGGAAGGTTTTCAGATTGTACCGTTTCATCATGGGGATTCTCAGACAATTAGTCGCGGCAAATAACCAACACCTACCCGAGGCCTTTTGGCTGGTGATAGGACTTCCCTCTTGCTCAATTTTATGGGAGTAGATGTTGGACAGGTGCTTGATGTAGGCGTCTCTGTTGATCAACACCTCGTCTGCATCAGCCTGTCTAAGAACCGTACCCGCCAATAGGCTGACCTTGTCCTGCTTGAAATCGGAAGTCCATTCCGACAGTGTGCTTACTTTGAGATCCATTTTTGTATTCTGCGATAGTTTTCGCCGGTTGTAATGAAAGGGCACGGAAGAAAGCGTGGAGAAGAAGGGTCCAGTTGGTGAACCTTTTAGCCCCGCGGACCGGCTAAGCCGTACGAATGGCTGGCTCGGCGATTTGGCGCTTTTCAATTGGCCCGGCCGAAGTCGAATCATGAGGTGTCTACGTTGTGAAAACGTGTTCTATGTGATCTATATAAGCCTCGAGAATCGGCAATGCCCAGGAAATATGGACCCAGGGGCCCAATCACCAGCCTAAGTACATTCCCGATAAGTAATTTGGCAAATTATGGTGCAGTCCTCGAGCCGGCCGTTCCGAACCCTCGGTCGGGACCGGAGTTTTCCGAGCAAAAAAATTCCGTCCTGGGAAGAAGAGATGACTAAAGCGAGTAATCTGATTAGGGCTCTGTCTACAACTCTTTCCAGTTTTTCTTTGATAACTCATAATCTCCCGCTTTTTTCCTGTACATATATCGTTTGCGGGCTGACACATCATCATCATAATGAGTGCCATTCTGTCGGCTGAGGATTTGAATGACTTTATCTCGCCGGGTGTGGCGTGTATAAAACCGGTGGAGACGATACACAAGACTGAAATAGGATATGAGATCCAGATCGGTGTGGACGGACAGCCAGTGGAGATTTCTATAGATAATGGCCAGGTTCACCAGCTGCAAAAGGCTCAAATCTCTTTGAGTGATTGTTTGGCATGTTCCGGGTGTATTACATCGGCAGAAGAGGTTCTGGTTGCGCAACATAGTCATAAGGAGTTGGTGAATGCTCTCAAAAATAGGCAAGAATGCACTTTTGTGGTCAGTTTCAGTCATCAGAGCCGAAGCTCGCTAGCGGCTGCCTTTGGCTTGACGATACCGCAGACTGATTATTTTCTGTTAGAACTTTTCACCCAGCGATTGGGGTTCGCGTTTGCCGTTGGTTTGGGATTGGGCCGCAAGATTGCGCTTGACCAGATCGCCAACGACATGCTCGATAAGAAGGCCCAAGGGATCTCTGGTCCTACTTTGAGCTCAGTTTGTCCTGGCTGGGTTCTTTACGCCGAGAAAACCCACCCACATGTGATACCCAAGATCAACACCACCAAGTCTCCACAGCAGATAACCGGTCGCATACTGAAAACTTTGGTGGCAAACCAGTTGAAGGTGGAGGCGGCCAAAGTGTATCATCTTTCCATAATGCCTTGTTTTGATAAGAAGCTGGAGAGTGCGCGATCCGAGAATAGTGACGAAAACGGCCCTGATGTGGACTGTGTGATTACACCAAGAGAGTTGGTGCAAATGATGGAGGAAGAGGGTATGAACTACATAGACATGATTGAGAGTGCGAGAAACTTCCAGGTCGATTTGGGAGAGCTCTACGTGAGATATGCTCCAAAACAATGGCCCTTGGCGGTCGAATCGTGGATGAATGACGAGGGATCCGCATCAGGAGGATATGCTCTTAACTATCTATTAGCCCTTCAAGCCATCCACGAGGAACAGGGCAAAGCCGGCTTGACAGTTTGCAGAGTCGAGGGTCGCAACCCGGATATTTACGAACTGAGGTTGGTGGATGCGGAGGGCCAGGTGCTGGGAACCAGTGGAGTTATCAATGGGTTCCGCAACATCCAAAATCTGGTGCGGAAGCTAAAGCCCAATGGAGTCAAGAGGGTCATCAATACCACCAAAAAACGCGGAGGTATGACTGGTGGTGACACTGTGGACGTCTCCAAGTGCGATTTCATCGAAGTCATGGCTTGTCCAGGGGGCTGTATCAACGGTGGAGGTCAGATCAAGGAACCCGATGGAAGGACCAATAAAGACTGGATCAAAGAGGTAGCTGGTATTTATTCCACCATTCCGGTCAACGGGGTTTCTTCCAGTAGCCTGCACCAATGGCTGGATGAGTTCTACGCATATTTCAAAGTGGAACCCTCTCGGCTACTTCGCATGGAGTTCCACGAGGTAGAAAAGCCCACTGATACCACTTCCATAGCTCTGGGATCCAAATGGTGAGTAATGGGTGCGGAAACAACGGGAGCGGTAACGGATTTAGGAAATCGGCGGCGCACGATAGACCGGTATCGGCCAACGGTCGGGACTCTACGGGGTTTGGATAACTCCCTGAGTAATGCACGTATTTTTGTACTTTGAGAATGTAAAATAAACTGATACGGTATTAATCATACCCGGGTTCTTTGTGATTCCATTCAAATATATTATCGCATCCCACGTTTTGAACGTTTCCATGTCTTCCGGATGGCCTGCCCGAAACAGGCATTCCGGCTCTTCCTGAGGAGCTTGTTTCCCCATTGAGCTAATCGCAGGAAGGAACTAGCGAGACCTCCAACGGAAGCCGGAATTGATGGAGTTGGGCAGCAAGTCCAGAGTAGACACATTCCTGACATTACAACCAAATTCGATGCTTGAAATTATAAATATTACATAACTAACCACCAGATCACCCAATTACATACTTGAAATATCGAAATCCCGGGTCTTCTGCCTTATTTGCGCCCTCTTTTACTCTCTTCCAGTCCTCACGCAGAAAGCCGGAAACCTATCTTATCGGATTCATCGGCACCGCCGCCAATGTCTTGATGAATAATGATTAAATGGGAGACCTCTGGAGGAAAAAGCCTCTATAAACCTCTCCCCTGCTCTTCTTCCTCCTTTCTTCCTACGCCTTTATTTTTAGCGAGCTTTCCACAATTGTAATTGTCCTCAGCAATTGTTGGATTATTTTTCACGAGACCGAGTCGACTTGCCTTCGAATCACATAAATTTCGAAATTCAAACCCCTTTGCCTTCGAGATAGCAGCTATGTCGGCCCCAGTCGAGTTCAAGGAAAACACCTCCATCGTTGTGTTTGGTGCCTCTGGTGATTTGGCCAAAAAGAAGACGTTCCCGGCTTTGTTTGGATTGGTAAGTTTTGGTTGGAATATTTGATAGGGGGCTGTTTTACTTTGACGGCCTGAAAAGGCAAGTCACACCGAAAGGCCCTATCGCAGACTGATCCGAAAAACAAGACACTAACCACCTTCCAGTTCCGTGAAGGATATTTGTCCAAGACCTCGCACATAATAGGTTATGCCAGATCCAAACTGTCAACGGAGGAACTGCGCGAGAGAATTAAAAGTTATCTCAAGTTCCCATCCGACGATACTAAGCTTGTCGACGAGTTTCTGAGCCTTATCTCCTACATTGCTGGTCCTTACGACACTCCTGAAGGCTACGAAAAGCTTAAAGACTCTATTGAACAGTTTGACAAGTCCAGAAATGTGACTGAGTCCCACCGTTTGTTCTACCTTGCTCTTCCCCCTTCTGTGTTCACTGTGGTTGCCAGCAAGCTCAAGGAGATCTGTCACCCAGGCTCCAAAGGTCTTGCCAGAATCATTGTTGAAAAGCCATTTGGCCACGATCTACAAAGTGCACAAGAATTACAGAGTCAGCTGGCCCCTCTGTGGAGCGAAGACGAGTTGTATAGAATCGACCATTACCTCGGAAAGGAGATGGTCAAGAACCTCAGTGTGCTGAGATTCTCCAACTCCTTCATCAGTGCTGCCTGGGACAGCAGAAGCATTGCATGTGTGCAGATCTCTTTCAAGGAGCCATTTGGAACCGAGGGAAGAGGTGGTTACTTTGACTCCATCGGTATAATCCGTGATGTGATGCAGAACCATCTTTTTCAGGTGCTGACGCTGTTGGCCATGGAGGATCCTAAGTCTTCGGAGGCCGAGGCTGTTAGAGACGAAAAGGTTAAGGTGCTCAAGGCTATCAAGAAGTTCGACGAAAAGAACATCCTGATTGGCCAGTATGGCAAGTCCGCCGATGGAACCAAGCCAGGTTATCTTGACGACGACACTGTAAAGCCAGACTCCAAGTGTGTCACTTTTGCAGCCCTCACTTTGGAGGTTGACAATGACAGGTGGAGAGGTGTTCCTTTCATTCTGAAGGCAGGAAAGGCCTTGAACGAGGGTAAGGTTGAGATTAGAATCCAGTTCAAGCCAACTGGCGACGAATCCTTCACGAAGGTGATCAGAGACGAATTGGTGATCAGAATCCAACCAAACGAGGCCATGTACTTGAAGATGAACACCAAGATCCCAGGTGTTCGGAGTGATCTTGCAATCACTGAGCTGGATCTCTCCTACAAGAACAGATACTCTGACTTCTACATCCCAGAGGCTTACGAGTCCTTGATTAGAGACTGTTTCTTGGGAGACCATTCCAACTTTGTGAGAGACGACGAGCTTGACCTCAGTTGGGGTCTCTTCACGCCGCTTTTGAACTACTTGGAAGGTCCAGATGCACCAACGCCAGAGTCATACGCCTACGGCTCGAGAGGTCCACAGCAATTGATCCCATACCTGGAGAAGAACGGATACGTTCACCAGACCAAGGCGTACCAATGGCCAGTTACAAGACCGGACATTCTGGAAAGTAAGATGTAAAACATGGATGACATAGCTTCCTTGGTTCTTTTGACTTTTTACTGTGTATTCTCGGCTCGTTTGCCTGTTTTGAATCGTTGCAAAGAGTAATCAAAAAAACCATCAATATTGAAATCAGTGTAGACTTTGTAGTTGAGTTGAAAAGTTTTGTAGTAAGTTGCGGTCACGTGATCACTATCCAAAAGGCAGAGAGCCCTTCGAATCAGTCCTAGACTTTTACCGGATGATTACAGTTTGGCATCTCTCATTTGTTGAATCCTCAATGTCAGACATCCCAAGGGGACCCAGATCCAGCAAAAAGGCCACTCCAAACAGCTCGGGTGGATCTCCACAGAAGCAGGCTCTGTCGGTGTGGCAGCGCTGGAACTCTCTTTCATTCAAGGTGAGACTTTACATAGGCGTGAGCACAATGGCAGTGGCATATGGTGCTGATCGTCTTGCTACCTTTCTGGAGGAAAAGAACGCTTTGGAGATGGAAGCAAGCAAGCGTGTTGAGTCCGAGTTGGCAAAATTGGACCAGGAAGTGAAGAAGGCATAGACGGGTGGTAGGTCATATGCTTGTACATAGGGCATATAGGATTAGAGATTTACTCGAGTCCAAACGCTAATTCTGCTACTGAAAGATTATTCAGAGTTACTCACAAAGTATTCGTAGTGCGAGCAACATATTCAAATGAAGCTATTTTTTTTATATGTAATTTTAAGCGAAGATGTAATTAGCTATTGTTTTTTTTGATCTGCTCACAGTATCTTCTCCTCTGAGAATCTCTTTCTCAGAGATGAAATGAACTCCAGGAACTTGGCTGGATTCGCATCGATACCTCTGGTATAGACAAATTCAGATGCGAGTCTGGTTGCAAAGATTGCTCTCAAATACTCCTTTGGAACTCTTTCTAGAATATTGGTGATTCCAATCTCATGGAGTAAGAGACTAGGCAAGGAATCTATCAGGACTGCGTTTCTAAAACCAATATCATCTTCCCACAACTCTTTGGAAGAAGCCAAATCATCGCCGAGCTGGTTTATGGCCAGTGACAAGTCATCCGAAAGTTCACTGTAAGTCTTTGTTGAGTCTTGCTTCAGCTTCCACAACATCTCAAATTCCTTATGTGCGTTGTGGATGATTATCTGTTGAACCTGCTTCACGTAGTCTTGGTAAAATTGGGGTTTCGCACCTGTCTCTTCATCAACACACATGTTCTTGAGGAAACCTTGGTCGTCAAATGACAGGGAAGCCAGAACCTCAAGACTTGAAGAGGTGACACCGCCTTTGTTGGTGGAAGCGTCTTTGAAGACAATTGCTCCAGCATGCTCGAGGATAAGCTTGGCCGATTGGGTAATGAAAAGGTTTGCACCTTCAACTATAATTGGCACAACCGGTTTGCCTGTCTTTTCATCCAAAAGCGAGTGGACAGTGGTGGTGTCTATGGCACTGGGTCTTCCACCGCAAGGAACAAACAGATCCACCTTTCCATTACCAAGATACTCTGAAAGCTTCAGGTGGAAAGTGTTTCTGAAGGCAACACCATTTGGAACAATCTGACCAGATTTCAGTTTCAGATCGACATCATCACACAATACAATATAACCATTCTTGCCCAACTTGGATCTCTCAAAGTCCTGGATCATTCTTCTCTCCCTAGCAAGTCTCAAAAGTTCCTGCTTATCGATTCCATCTTCATCCACAATCACACCAGAGCCATCTACCAGTGCAACGTAGTTCTCATCTTTCGAGAGTAGAATCTCGTTGGAACCAAGATCTCCATCTGGACCACCCGTCTGGAATTTGTTGATCTTCGATAGATCTTGGATTCCTAGTTTCTGATAAACACCCTCGACGAAAGCCCTCACAGAAAGAGATGTCATTCCGTACTCATCGTGGGGAATACCACCTAGTTTGGGATTTTTGCCTGTGAAGAAGGACTTCCACCAGTGGGCACCTCTCTTACGCGCATGTAGCGTTGCCCAGTCCACATAGCCGGCAGTATTTTCATCAGGACCCATGAAAAGAATTTCCGGTTGACGGTAAAGGTCCACAATTGGTTCCTTGACACCGGGGATATCCGACTTCAGAAGCAGGTCCAACAAAGAATCGATGTACTTGGTGAAACACTCTCTGGGTCTTTCCTGAGCGGCCCCAGGGTTCAGCAAAATCACACCCTTGGAACCACCTTCGGGGATATCTTTGTTCTTGCGTTGCTGAGTGCTGGCCAGGTTATAGTTCTCGTCAAACATGTTGCGCAGGTTGACCTGATAAGCATCTACCGATCTCGACTTGACGATTCTAATTCCACCACGCGCGATATCACGGAATCTGATGTGGAAACCTCTGAAGTCAGAACCCACAACGAAAAACATACCGAATGGTTTGTTGGGGTACTCGGTGGGCGGCAAGAAGGTTGCGTTCAGTCTGAAGGAGATGGCTATTTTGGTCGGAGTGAAAAAGTTGGTTTTTAGAACACTCTTGTTGAAGGAGTGGAGAGCTCTCAAGACCTGAGCATGATGCTCGTTCTGACATCTGTCTAATAGATCCTCAAAATCCTTCTCTGAGCCTATTGGATTGATGGCGGAAATTCTCTGATACGAAAGAGTCTTCTCCATTGAAGAATGAACATAGTGGACGTCTGCAAATTGGCGATAGAGCTGTTTCACGAGTCCAATCTCCTTCTGGAAGATCTCGTTGATGTACGATTGAGTGAAAGTCTCAGATCTCAGTCTCTCCTTAAGCTTGGAGAGAAGTTCACTGTGAACCAGAGACTTGGAAGGATCCAGAAGCGATCTCAAGGTGTTGAATTCTGGACCAAGTCTGTTCAGGAAATGCGTCACGAATATCACACCACAATGAGCATAAATGCACTCCTGCAGAGACAGTTCCCCACTCACAAACTTGGAGTAGAACATGTTGTTCGGAATGCAGTACAACAACGAGGCCTCCTTGGTTAATTGGTAAAGAGACAGTTCGGGCGAAATCAGGGAATCTTGTGCCGAGATGTAAATGGAGATTACAGAAATGCCATTGGCAAATTGCTCCACATACTTCCTGGTGATCTTCAGCTTGTAGTAGTTGCACAGAGCACTCAAAGCTGAGCTATAGCGAGGTGAACTGTTTTGACGGTAACCAATAATGACTCTCTGTTCGCCTGAACTCACAACTCCAAAGTGCTTGATCACAGGACCACTGGTCAGGACAACCTCACGGATCACCTCAGAGTAAAGATTCTTGGTGTGTTGAGATGCAATGGCCAGAAACGTGGTATCACTAATGAGGTCAAGGTCAGTCTCGTTTTCAGAAACGGCTTCCCCGGTGAAGTTGCACTTGTAGACGAAATGACACTTGACCGAGTATGTAGGCATCGTGGTGCTGAACAGCTCCAGACGATAGCTGGGAGAATCAGTGGGATGGTCCAGGTACTTATCGTCAATTTCCGACTCATACTGAGCAACTCCTTCGAAGGTCTCGAAGTAAACCGCGTGGTCATCTTCTTCTCTCTTGTGGTGCAAAAAGGGCTTGTCCTCCACACCTCTTGCAAACGCATCCAATTTGGCAGAGTACAGAGCATGGATATGCGACACTATCCCAGCAACAGACTCACGCGAAAAGTATACATCAGCAATTCCAAGGTTCTCGTAAAAGTTTCTCGTTTCCTGCTCTATCAGATTCTCGGGGATGAAGCCACACTTGTCGATTTCGTCCATCACATGTTCCATTTGTTGAGCCCTACCAGAGAAAGGCACTGAATTGTAGCCAGTGCCCGCAAGCTCATCATCGCTAATTGTTTGGAAGGACGATGTGCTAAAGCTGTTGTTGAGGGTGAGACCACCGATTTGAGGGAGTAGAACACTCATAATGACAAGCCAGTCACAGAAAATCTATTCTGGTTCCAGGTGTTTAACTTAATGCCACGACAGTTGAGAAGTGTCCCGCCTTTTATACGACCCCTCTATTAGAAAAAGAAAGGTGTACCAGTCACAAACACGAAAGTTTGCATTCTTTGTTTCCAGAAAAGTATAATCGGTACGGAGAAGCGGCCAATTGCGTTTAATAGGTTGGAAGTAGTAGACTTGTGTGGTGGAGATATTATAATGCTATGGTCAGGTTTAGTGGTGAAGAAGCGAGATCAATTACTCTGGCATCAAGCCTTCTCGTTGTGGAGAAAACGTGTAATGGCTGGTACCCTCTTTCGGAACAGCGTCACGGATTGCGGAAGGTTAACGGATTCAATATAAACAGGTACCTGGCGCTTAGCTGGATTATGCTGATATTGCGCTAGAATATGCGCTCATTGTTCCCAAATTGCACACCAGAGTGCTTTTCTGTTGGTGTCTGTGATGTGCGGCACCTCATCGTACGGCTTTGGCTTCGGTCTCTAGCCTAAGGCCTGAGGTCAAATGCAAGGTTCCTTAATATAATTGGTGTCATTGAGACCTGGTGTTTTTGCGACATTTTGCATAATCTAGCAATCAGCAATCAGCAATCAGCCACCTGGAAATTCAAATTAATGTTCAGAGTAATTGGAGTCTTTCTACACCGCCATTTTGGCCAGGCCCCTGTAGAAAACCTAAATAGACTCCTGCTACACCTCACGAATCTGTTGGTCTACATGTGACCGGGTCCACCTGTTCAAAAGACACGGCAAACCCGATCGAAATGCGAAAAAAGCCATTTCCGCCTTATTGTTTCGGTCTGGTGTTTTCGTGTTTGGCAGATGGGTCATTCTCCTCATACAGAGTCATTTATGCAGGATAAGCCGATGCCCTTGATTACCCGAAAAAAGTTCGTCTTGGCTGTGCGGCAATTACAAAAATGGCTTTGTGGTGGAAACCCCAAATTTTAAAACCTTAAAACCGTTCGAACGTGAGGCTCAGAAAGTTATGGCTTGGGAGGTTTATTCACGCTATGGTTGAGGTAGAGATTTGGTTGGAGTTGGAAACGATAGCTAAGTGATGGGACATTAGAATATTCTAAGTAGGAGAGACTTCGCAAAACTTTTATGATTTCTCAAATTCCCGTTTGGTTATTGTGGAGCTTGCCCGTTGGTCCGTATCAGTAGGTGAGTGGTGGCAAGTCTTGGGTCCACGCATGCACGTCTGAGTGCATTAATCTGGCGATGTTGATTTTTTCTCTCCGCTATTGCCTAACCGTTGAAGAACAAAACAAAAAGAGGAACAATGAGAACGTGAAATCTCACGACTTGGAGTTTTTATAACAAATAAGATCTAACAAGGGGTAATTAGCATCTACGAACTTTCCCCGTTACGATCGAGTAAAAACTCAATCGTCTACCTTCTGGTTCGATCAGTGTGCCAGCTCCAATCACTTCCCCAGAAAACCAAGGGTCCAATGAGAATGGTTACTACAAACGGTGTTCACTTCGCTGTTACCGGAATATCGGAATAAAATTACCAACACACTGGAAACGTTCTTTTAAACCCTCTGGTGAGAGTAAAGATTAATTCACATTTGCAGTGCCAGACGACTTCGGTCTAAGTTTGATAAGATTTGATGCGAAAAAAACCACTCACGTGATACACAATTGATTACCCCACGATTTGCAAATTTGTGATCACGGATAATTTATTGAATACTTGCTTTTGCACCGTTTAAGAAAAATAGCAGTCTACCGTTTTGCCTGAACATATCTGTTTCAAGTGCTTTAAAATCACCACCTGAAACGAACTGTTTTTCCACTCGCCGAATTCATTGCTGCCCGCCAGTTGTCACTCGCTAATGTATGAGGCATGCACGTTTGAAATCCCGGAAAATTAGATAACAGAGACAGTTGATGATGCCAAGCTAACCAAACCTAAGCTACGAATTGTATATTTCCACAAACATGAAATGTATATATAAACCGTCAACTATAAACCAAGTGAGTGATTCTTCAGTAAAAAAAACCCTTAAATAAGATAGGGCCACCCGCACAGCCCAACATTAAACATCCTATCTTATCGCATGTGAAACATTATCTGCTAATCTTTTCTTGCTTTTCTATCCTTATTGTAATTTTGTGTCTTTTGCTGTGTTCTTCAGATTTACCACAGAGTGTATCCACCATCAACGATCAAGTCGTGGCCAGTAGTGTAGCTGGAACCAGACTCACTGAGGAGATACAAGATACTTCCAACAAACTCCTTTGGCTCGGCCAATCTCTTCATTGGGACCTGGGATTCCCAAGAGTTCTTCATAGCAACATCACCGCTGATGACGTTCTTGGTGAGAGGAGTCAGGATGTAGCCTGGAGACAAAGTGTTGACTCTGATGTTGTACTTGGCCCACTCTGCAGCCAGCGACTTGACCATGTGGATAACACCAGCCTTGGAGGCATTGTAGGCAACTTGTGGCTGAGGGTTGTTGACAACGGATCCAGACATGGATCCGATCAACACAAGCGAACCCGTCAAGCCCTGCTTGATAAGTGGCTTGGCAAGTGCCTGTGCAACATACAAAGAGCCAAGCAGATTCACCTTGATCAGCTTTTCAGCGTTCGCAGCTGGGTAATCCTCCGCTGGGAAATTCTCGCAGTAACCTGCAGTGTTCACCAAGTTTGTGGCTAACTTTCCGTGGCTTTCTGCAATCTCAGCGAAACAGGACTCGACAGAGGAAAAGTCTGATATGTCACAAACCCAAGCGGAGACCTTAGGAACAACACCAGAGAAACCCGTCTGCTTGAAGTATTCAGTACCCCAGTCAGCAATCTCCAAAGCAGCATCTTGTGTTCTTTGCAAGTTCATGTCAATGAGTGCGATTTCGGAGCCGTTAGCCAAAAGAGCTTTGGCGATAGGGTTGGCTAATCCGCCAGAACCTCCGGTGATGATGGTCAACTTGCCATCTTGTCTGAATGAGGGAACAACGTCCATTGTGTGAGAGATATATGAAGTGAGAGATGTGAAGATATTACTATACTATCAAGAGAGTGGAAGAAAAAAAGGGAGCAGTTGTGGAGAGAAGTCAGGTATTTAACTGTCCTCAGGTCACAACAGTCACTGAAAAAAAAACCTCTGGAACTCCGAGCGCGCTTGGAGCCAAAAAAAGAAAAGTGTACACAAAGCAAAAGAAACGTTTTAGGTTGAAAGCACGATCGTAGCGCCAAAAATTGTTCCAGAGCCTCTGGAAAGAGTGTGATATATTCCTTGATACAAGGATAATATAATTTACGATGTACGTGGAAAAAATTTCAAATTTTGACGATCGTGGCGCTGTAATTAGATTTGAAATCGGAGATTAGAACGGTATTCTGGCGGGGTTGTGGCCTCCATAGCCCACAGAGCGGTGTTCCGCCCTCTTTTAGAAGATCATCCGGGGTAGCCCAAGTCACTGCGTCCGGGCGGTTGTTTGAGATGACCTTCGTTCTGTTTTAATAAGAAATTCTGAGTGTTTGCAGAATACCCGAAACGGCAATGTTAAGATGCTGATTGCTTAGAATTTTCCGTTTTTTATTAATAGATAGGTTTTTGGTTCTAAGTAGCAGGTTTTAACGCAGGTGTTTCTCCACACTGGAAATCCGTATCCTGACCTCAACATGGGGTTGTGGCAGGCAATGGCAGGTTGTGGACGGTTGGGTATGTTGGACATTTTGCAGTAGATACTAGTAAACACCGCAGTCTAGTGGTGTAGAGTATATTTCTAATATTTAGTTTGTTTGTTATTATTCATCAGCTTATTACCAATTTACAAATCCTGCGTTCCTTTTTTGGGCGCTTATTATTGTTGTGTGTCTGGCCCAATCTTACGGGATCCCGCAAGCGATTCCGTACATAGCAAGCAATTAGATCGAAATTGGTGAAAAATAAAGATTTTCGATAAAACTTGAGTTTTTTACATTAATCCATTATTTAGTGGGGGTTGAAGTTTTTGGCAAAAATTGCAAGAGTCAATTCGTCATACCAAGAATTATGATTTTCGTCACATTCTGGAAAGCTTATCTGGTACATCACCCTACACTCCACAGTACTATTATTTGCAGGTCAGGCTATAGTGTCCAGTGTGTACTCACCGGGTTCTTCACGTTACTAACCCATATACAATTGAAATACTCCCAACACTCAACGCGTATCCAAACAACTTTTCCACTAGATTGTGAAAGTGTATGCACGTCATATAGAACATCCATTCCCACAATCCGCACAGGGCGACTGTGGGCCAATCCCATCTGGTTAATTCCCCACTATATATGATCTCAAACAGCAGTAGACACATAGACGTGTTCAAAAGAAATACATGACCACTTGGATCGAATCCACCAGTCCATTCTCCCTTTATTCTTCTGCAATGCATAGATGACGATACAAGGGTGGAGACCTCCTCCACCACACATTGTCCCCCACTTAGCGTGAAAATCCGATCAATGATAGACATCCCAAAGAACCATTGCGTTACAAGATACCATGAGGCAGTGACAAGCGAGACTCTCACCAGACTCTGCCTCAAGTCTTTCCGCTGTCTCTTGCTGTTGTGGAGAAAAGTCAGCACATATACTACTATCGTCCAGCCCCAGCCCTTTTTCACGAATAGGGTATTCACCAAGTTCCTCTTCTGTGTGAAATAATTGTCCGATATTGAATTCCTGAACGGAATGGTACCAAGATAAGTCAGATGTCCCAGAATCAAGATCACAAAGTTCAGGAGTAGTATCAAGACCTGCTCGTGAGATAAGTGTAGCGTGCGTGCAAACCAACTCACAAACCGGTGTAGCTGATCCAGATTCTTCCTATATATCACCCCATTATCCCTCTTTACTTCTGGCATTTTAATTTGAAGATTTGGGATTGACAAGTGATTGAAGGCAAATGTTTCCGAAGTCTTGCCTCTATAGCTTAGTTTCGGACCCTCCGCCTGTCCTCATCTGTCTGTCATCTATAAAAGGGCGAATATATCTGTCATTTGGCAAAGGGTATCCGTTACTACCACAAGGGAAACACAGTTTAGTTACACCTTTCAGGAAGCTTTAATAGGAAAAATTAGGAAACTCTACGAACAAATCTAATCACAATATCAATATGGATGAACTACCCACCCGCTGGGAGATTGAACTCGAGGTGAGTCCGGTTTGAGACCGAGAATTCGTGCCAATTGGTTGTTTTTCAGAAGTTGACTAACACGGTCGCCAAGTTTGTCCAATCGCTTTCAAATCTACAGTACTTGCAGTATCTTGCACAGATGGGAAAACTGCAAGAACAGACGTTTCTGAACTATCTGGACTACCTGGAGTATTGGCGAGATCCAAAATATGCCCAATTCTTGATGTAAGTGAGACGTTTTCTGGTTAAGACTAGCATGCGGACACCTATATTGTCGATAATTCACTGATACTGACTTCAAAAGATACCCGAATTGTCTTCACATACTGACACTGCTGAAGTCGCCGCAGTTTAGAGAACAGATATCCAGGCAGGACCTGACCGAGCTGTTGTTCAACGACATGGTTAATAGGTGGAAGGAGCCAATCGACGAGAAGCCTCAAGAAGATGACAAACAAGAACAATCCGAACAAGATCAAGCGCAAGGACAGGAGGATGGAGTTAAGAAACCTGGACAGACAGAGCCAGCCACGGAAACTGTATGAAATCGCCGCAAGAGTCTCGGTTACCGTCAAGAGTGAGTTTCTAAACACTCCGTTGCACACTCTATTGCATCTTATGAATCATCTCATGTATAATCAATCCCATTTGCCGTTTTCGCCAAAAGGTCTCGAATATCTAACTTTCCACCAATTCCTGACCAAAATCAGGATGAATCCTCTTATCTGCGATCATTGAGAGTGTCCCATCCAAAAAAAAGATGTGCACCAACCGATGTAATTATCAAGGTGGCCAAAAGTCGTCGAACATGATAGACCTTCGAGGACATTCTTTGAGGTCTCTTCTCGTGGAAAATTGCAACAAAAACCATATATACACTATGAATCCAGCCATTTCAAACCTTGTTTTGATGCTGGGTATGACCCAGGTCTCCCGGAAGTTCGACTGGGAAAACCCAAACACTATCTTTTATGTCAGAGTGCTGTACGTTTCCTGTACGTTGGCGGTTCTCCTGATCTATCTTGCTGCTAGGTTCAAGATCGTTAAGAAGAATGATTTGACCACCTTGAAGTACTTGGAGCCTGCTAATGCCCTCTCTGGCCAGACTGAGCCCAAATACGTGGTCACTACCGTCAAGGACTACGATCTGAAGCAGATCCAAAGCTCCATCCGCGGTGTTTTCACCGGTGTCGCCATGATGGGTTTCATGCATATTTACATGAAATACACGAACCCATTGCTCATGCAATCCATTTCACCATTGAAGGGTGCTTTAGAGAACAATATCGTCAAGATCCATCTTTGGGGATCAGCTCCAGTTGGAGACCTCAAGAGACCGTTCAAGGCTCCTTCCATGTTCGGTGGTTCAGGCGATGTCAAGACCGACAAGCAGTCGATCGAGAAGGCCGAGACCGCCGGAACTGGTGGAATCAAGGAGGAGTAGATGGACGCTGGAGATTAGAGCTAATCTAAGAATGGGATTTTTTGCGGATCATTCGATAGTTCTTCCTGCACTCCCCCTTTTTTTCTCTCTCCTATGTCTTCGAGTGTATTCGAAGCCATATCTATTTTGTGTACCGACTTGTGGTGTTTTTAGGAAGTTGCAAGCCGACAGGCCCTATCTAGCTAGCTCTAGATAAGCCTCGCTTAGAAGCCTATTAGACGATGTTATATTTCAGATTAAATCGAATATGCTGACCAATAATGTAAACGAAAAGTAGTCAAGTCAATCTTGAAATCTTAGATCAGGTCTTTCGTCAGATCAGCTACCACCAGCCTTGGTGAACTCACTATGGGACTCTCTATTGTTGGCGGGCCCCAAGTTTCATGCCAACCCTCGGGTCTTCCATGGTGCCGTATCCGGACCCTACAAGCAATGGCAGTCACTCTGGAGGCTATGGGAGTGGCCGAATTTCCAGTCGGGTGAGCGTGATAGCCAGCCATTATCTGACCACACTGTGTGTTCAGATCAACCCTCACCATATGGCTTCGGCAAAACGGTTTTCCCCTCTGCTTGTGCCTCCCAACGTTCATGTAGCTTGGGTAAAATCGGAGAAAGCGTGCTAATGCAGAATTGTTACCGCACGCATCCCGCATCCCGTACCCTAAGCAACAAGAGCCGGAACAAGCCAGGCGACCCAACCCTTAATCAATCACCAGAAACAGCATCAGGGGCTAGTTTTGGAGACGTTTGACGTATTTCATTCACCTCGAATTCTGTATAGAGACCATTTTTCATAAGCCAGTGGCAATCTTGCTCATCTTGAAGCACAATGGCGGCTGCTAAGTATCTGGCTCGGGAAGGGGTACCTGATTGGCTCAAATTTCAAATTGAGTTGCCCAAGTATGAGTACTTCGACATCACGAAAGACAGAAAATACTACGACTACTTCAATGATCTCAATAGTGATGGTCTGATGTTTCAGCGGTCTGACTTGCATGCCACGTCGGACTACTTTCGCCGTCACAGGGTAATGGAACCGAAGTTCGTCAAGGATCAACAGATGTCCGATGCTTTCAAGTCCGGCACGAACTTCAGCAACTACTTCCATTGTCCGACCTTGTTGAGTGACCAGAAGATTTCATCTAGAATGTTCCAGAATTCTTGTACTTTGGGAGACAAAGTGTACTCTATTGGTGGAATGACCGTCATGGATGCGGCAGAACAGGCAGAATTGCTAGGCGACTTGACGGACGATTTTGACCTGGATCCCAAATTGCTGGAATTGAGATTTGACTACGATTTGCCAGAACCTCTAATTGCAGACTTCATCAAATCGCCGTTCGTGAAGCCAGTTGACTCAATCCAGGTGTTCTCGTGCCAAAGTGCAACTCTCAAACACTTTCCTTTCGACGATGAAAGCCCGCCCCCTTTGATCTGTGCCAGTATGTGTGTGATATCCAAGCACCATCTATTTATGTACGGTGGTTTTGAGCTGGATACGGACGTTTACCGGGAGGGTGAAAAGCTGATTTTCGAGAAGAAGCTGAAGATGAACGACACGCCCTGGATTCTAGACGTCTTGAAGATGCGGTTCCAGAAGGTAAAGAACCAAGTTCATCCCACAGTATCCACGAGGTTCCCAAACACCATCGCGAGGTTTGGCCACGGAATGGTGGCTATTCCCGTGGAGGAGATGAACAAAGAGCCGGTCATGCCGTTGACGATCAACGAACTCACAAACTCGAACAATTCCATGAGGAGCAGCTCGAAAATGTCCACACCGGCTGTCGGATTTGTGATGGGTGGATATAGGATGGGGAATGACAATAAGTTCACTCCCATCAACGATATATGGAAGGTGGAAATGTTCGTGAATCAGGTGGGCAAGCACAACCATTTTGAGTTTGCAGAGGAGATAGTGTCATATCCGCTAGGAAGATACGAGGTGAATCACAATAATGACGGAGGCTTTACCGGAGTGGTAAAGATGACCAACTGGCCTGTGCCCCGGGGATTTTTCAGTTTTGTGGTCATGGGTGGAAACAATTCCGTAATGAGCCACTCAGCAGGGAGCTCAACTCCAGACAGCTCCTCCATCAACGGGACTTCTGTGTCCAAGAAACTGATGGTATACGGAGGATCTACGATACGCAACGGCAATACGGAGATTTTGGGCGATGTGTGGTGGTTTGATGTGAGCTCTGAAACGTGGACTCCCATTGATGGCTTTTCCAACCTGGATGATACCACAGCTCGGATTTCTCAGTTTAGAAGGTGTGGCCATGTGGGTGTCATGAACGGGGACTACTTCATTGTAAGTGGAGGTGTTGGGCCTAACGAGCTTGGTCTTCAATATGACAGAGAGAACGCAGTTTTTGATATCGGAGACAGACTCATCCAGGACAGACTCAAGCTCTTCAAAGAAGAGCGAAAAGAGTATGTCTCTCTTTCTTTTAACGTGGAGTCACAGATGTGGAAATACGCTTATTTCATGAGCGAAAACTGTATGACCGACACCATCAGCAAATTCTGGGGTGTTAAGGATGTCGTCTTCAACTCGATAGGAGCCAGTGGAGTTTTGTTCAACGGGAGGATGTTTTTCATTGGTGGTATTCTTCATGTTGTCTTTACTGAGGATGGCAGAACGGTGGGTGTTCCTCTGGCCTCTATAGTTGAGATAAACATGCCTATGTTGACATTATAGTTGTTCTTTGGGATTAAAACTGGACTGTCTACGGCGTTGAAGATACTTGCTTCTACGGACACTTTTGCCTGTTTGCATTGCATTCTGACATAACTATTTATTTGTCGTTATTCGTGTACTATTATCCTTTCATCTGTGCTATTTCCCTTGCTATTTCATCACTTATCAGCTGGCCATACTTGGCCATCAGAACATCATCCTTCTGCTGCGATCGCAAAAACTCGTTGAGGTCTCGTGCTTCAAGACGTTCACGCAGCTCAATAAGTCCGCGTATATACCTCTGGAAATCGTTGTCATCGAGGTAAATCTGGTATAGCGTCCTGGAAACGTTCTTATTCACGGCAGTATATTGCATGGTGTCCAGCTGCCCATCGTTGAAACGACGCTTCAGCTTTTCACGAATGAACAGCTTCTGAATGAGCTGTTTTTCGAGAAGGGTCATGCCATTCTCTGATGCTGAGACTGATGGTGACATTATAGAAGCTCTTATGTCAGGAGCCTTGGGCTGTAATGCTCTTTTCCGGTTGGGTTTTTTGAACTTGCGTTCGTCATTGGGTATGGGAGTGGTAGACCTGCTAGTCTCTCCCTTTTTAACCCTTTCCCACATGTTCCAAGACTCTTTTTCTTCCTGAGTCAACTTCTGCTCAGTCTGAACTGCACTCTGTTCGCGAAACCTCCTGGTAGCATCCACCACGGCATCGAAATCAGCACTAGTGGCATCGTCAGAAAGCGGCTGCCCCACGGCAAAACCGCTTCGTCTTCTTGAACCTCGCGTATTTCGCGAAGGAACTGGAAGTCCCAAGTTGGTGTATCTGTTGTTTCTTATCTCTCTTCGCAAACTCTGGATAAAACTTGATCTTTGTGGGACTTGTCCTGTGACCTCAGAGACCCTGGAACCCCCACGCGAGCGCCTATTGGTGCGCAAAGTCACCGCCCTTGTTCCTCGCGATGGTGTGATGGTCTGAGAGTCCTGCAAAGAGTCGCACATTGGACAATTCCAGTGGGTTGATCCACTGCCTAACATTCCCAGACAGTTGAGGTGAAAACTCCCGGAACAGTCTGCACAAACCGCCATTCCCGTCCGCGAAGTGCATCGCTGATCACATAAAATGCACATGGTAAATCTGGTAGCATGCGGAACCCAATCCCCGTCTTCTTGGTCGTATTCATAATCATCTATTGGAATCTCGAAATCCTCGGCATTAAACTCCACTGGTAACTTCTTATCTTCGACCTTTATCTTGTCCAGGATACTCCCGTTGGAAACAACCTCAATCAGGTTAAAAACTGACCGACATTTTGGACAGCTGTTGGCCCTTTCAGCCCAAGATTTGATGCAAAAATCGTGGTAATAGTGGCCACACGGCGTGGTTCTGGCCAGACACTGCGTCTGTCTTGTTGCTCTGGCCACCTCGTGATCTGCTCCAGGCAGATCGTCCAGGCAAATGGCACAAACCTCAGCTTCTTCCAGGGACATAAAATTAAACTCTTTTTGCGAATGTAAGTTAATTTTCAGATACAATAGTGATGTTGTAGCTATGCAACAGAGAGCACAGAGTGCTGATAGGGCTCTACAAATAGAGAGATGAGCTGGGCTAGGAGCCCGGGGTCATCTCATCGCCACTCTGAAAACTTGGCTATTCTTATTTAGGTTATGAGATAGGTTGGGATAGCGTGGAAAAGATATCGTTACGAGTGTTGGGAGTGGTACCGGTCGTATCTTTAGCGCGTTCTGAACACATTTTGAACATATTGTGACCATTTCTCCACCATGTCGAGAGCACAGTTTGATCTCGTCATGTGCTTGAAACAGCCAGGAACAACCATAGGAAAGGTGTGTGAGAGATGTGACGGAAGATGTCCTGGATGCGATTCATTGGTCAACTCCAAAAAGATGGCGCGGATCTGTGACGACTGTTCGTTTGGTAATTTTGCAGACCGGTGTATTATCTGTGGGGGCAAAGGGTTCACAGAAGCCTACTACTGTTCTGAGTGCGTGAGGACTGAGAAGGATCGGGATGGGTGTCCCAAGGTGACGAGTCTGGGATCTTCCAGAGTGGACATGTTCTACGAGAAAAAGAAGAAGGGGCAGTAAGGGGAAGGCTGAAAAGGAATATCAAGAAGTATGATTCTGAAATACAGTTCAAAGGGCTAGATGGTGGACCACCAGACATATCCCTCCACTTCTGCTACATTTGTATAATAAAGTCTCGAAGAGATTATATCCAGGAAACACAATGTATGTAAAATTTTCACTAGAGAAATGAAAGCAAAACAGGACGAATTGTCGTCGTAAGTAACAGGAAATAAGCAGGTGGATAGACAAGGCGAAATGTGCCCAATCTTAATAGGCACAGTTGCTATGGACAAGATATGAGCCAGTCGAGTCCACAAAATGGACCAGAAATGGCTGGCTCATATGTGATTTAGGCAGAAGTTGGTATAACAGACTCGGCCAAAGCAATAAGCTTCTCAATGCTGGCAAGATGCTTACCAAAAGAGGTCTTGGAAATTAGCTTAAGATACTGTCTGATCTTGATGATCAACAGCTTTTTGTCGTCACCATTGGTCACTTCAACCATTTTTTGAACAACGTAGTTGGCAAACTGGTCCTTCATCATGAGTGCCAATGGTGAGTCATCGCCGACATCCTTGCCGACTTCGGTATTATCTCTAAGGATCTCCGTGTAGATGAGCTTGCGGTGTTCTTCATCTCCAAAAACAATGCATTTCTCAACAGCATTTGAAGCAAACTTGTGTTTGGACAACAGCACAAGGTTGGAGATCACCACGTCAGTGATAGCATTTCTGTCCTGGGGTTCGCCGTGCTCGATGATGTGTTGGATCACGTAGTTACCGTACTGGTCCTGGATGAGGTAGTAGACAAAGTTGCTCAGTTCTTTCAGGATAAACCTCTGGTCTTCGTGGGTTCCAAACTCAAGCAATCTTTGGATAACACGGCATCCATATGGATGCGTGGAGAGATGGTAGATTTGGTGTTTCAAAGACTCCAGGATAAAGGCAATTTTCTCAATTGGCAGACTCTCGATGGACTTTTGAATGACGTGATTACCATTTTGATCCTTCACAAGAGGCAAGACGTGTGGTTCCAGCTCCTTGGTGATGCTGATCTGCTGGTCCAATTTGATAAACTCAATGGCTCTTTGAACAACTCTACATCCGTACATCTGTTTAGACAGAAGATGGATGTTACCAGTCATGGCATCCAGCAACACTTCCTTTTGAACGTCTGAACCATGCTCAAAGTACTTTTGAATCACATAGTTACCAAAGACATCCGTCATCAGTTCCATGGAAACCTCCCTGATTTCGTTGAAGATCACTTCTTTCTCTTCCAGACTAGCAGATTCCAATTGTTGCTGAATGAATCTGGACCCATGCTGGTCTTTGGCAAACTCAACCCCGTGGCCGTAGATATCTTTAAGAGAATATTCTCTGTTCTGTCTGTTGCTTCTGAACTCTTCTAACAACGGACTGCGATGAATATGTCCACCTTTGGCACCACGACCACCAGAAGCCTGAGATCTTGCATTGGCGTTGGCCTTAGGCGACCGTTTGCCGTTTGCGTTTTTCGCAGGTGGAGAGGTTGAAGTGAAACGGTTTGGCTGGGCTCCGGGAGGAGCACCAGGCGACGAAGACGAAGCACGAATCTCTGGAACGGGACCGTTTTCAAACCCAGAGGACCCAGGGAAAATTCCATTGAAAGGTGAGAATGGTGGCATCATAAAGGGAGGAGACATAGCTCTGTTCATGAGACCTTGGGGAGGAGGTGGAGGAGGAGCAACGGAATCTGCAGCTGGTTGCTGCTCTTGCAATGCAGGATTCGCACCATTAGACCCGGCAGTCTCTTGAGACTTGGCAGTGGATCCCTGGTCATCCTTTTCATATCCTTGAGCAGGGGTATTAGGCACCATTCCAGGGATGAACGGGAATTGGTTTCCCACATGAGGATAGAAGCCATATGGTGGAGGATACATGAACATCTGAGGCATGTTCATCATTGGCATACCTTGATTGGAGGCACCAGGAATAACACCACCTTGGCCTTCAAAGCCTGCTGGAGTGAAAGAGTTTGCAGTTGCTGGGTTCCAGATGTTTCTCTTGGAATTTGCATCAGCTGACTCCATGATCAAGGAGCTGTGTTCAGATTTGACATCCGAAGAGAAAGACAGAGCTCTCTCGTGCTGTCCACCCGGCGAAAGCATGTAATTATCAAGCTTTTGACTCAAAGATTCACGACGCCCATTCAGTGGAACTCCCTTGAGAGAGGGCGAAGAAACGGTATTGGCTTCAGACAACAATCCGCTGTCGTTGTTGAAGATACTGGCTCTTCTGGATCCAAGAGACTCAGAACCCTTTCTTTGGGATCCTGCAGAGAGCTGGGTCAGACTCAACTCCAATTCTCTTGTTTTCTCAGCCACTGAGGCAAACTTCTCGAGGAAATGGCCACCTGAGCCCATCTTATTGGCTGCACCAACAGACGTGTATCCAGCACCAGCCACCGAGGCCGAGGCAAACAGATTTGATGCAAATCTTGATTTCGAAGCATCTGTCCTGGCATTATATCCGGTGCCCAAAGGTGCGCTGATTGCACTCAAAACCTCCTTCCGGAAGGCAGACTCGCCAAACGGATCCGCAGCACTGCTGGAGCCAGCATCACTCATCGCCGTTGCATTGTGTCTCATTGGGAGATTATCAACAATAGCTCCGGCATAAACGGAACTAGCCTTTGTGGCCGTGGCATCGCCGAAATCCGAGTCCATTCTGGATCCTAGACCGATGTTGCCAAACGGCGAAAGAGGGGCAAGTTTGCTGGAAGGAATGGCACCCGTAGACTTGGCATCCCACGGGTTCACAGAAACGGGCTCATCGACTGAAATGTGTTAGATAAAGTAACTCACACACAAACACAAAAAGTTTGGCTTGTATACTTACGAGACATGCTCTTGGCAGCTCGATCCCAGTTCGGGGTTTCCATTGGATTGTTGTAGTTGGGAAGTCGATCAACAGGCAGAAAACACGAGCCGAAATGGAAACTGAAGGAGGTTAAAACTTTGACTATATACAGGAATAACCGATCACCCTCAAGCTTGTTTGAACTTGCTCAGACTGGACGTTATGGAAGAAGAAGCTAAGGCCTTTTGCCTCAAGACCAGCTTTTCTTCGTTGTGGCTAGACGGGCGAGATTGGACCCGGTACACGACTATTCAATGACTGGGTTTTTCAGGCTTATGACGAAAACGGCTGGAGGTGTGTCAATGTTGCCAATATTTGCTGGTCCATCTGCAGGTTTCAACAAGACATAATTTGTTCAAAAGAAATATCTTGTCTTTTGGGATTCGCCATGTTGTTGCATATGGCGTTGGGACGCAGATTCTTCGCTACAAAGAAGAAGCTAGACCTGACTGGGACCGTTAACCTGATTGCAAAAGCTGCTGCGGAGGCATCTGAGGGAACCCGAATGAGATTGCAGAGAAGACTATTCGATGATGCTCAAGAAGTGGATCCTTCCGACTATGAAATCGGACCCGCTACTGAGTATATACCGCGAGACTCAGCCTTGGAGTATCTGCCCAAGCAAGACCACTCAGATGAAATATCCAGCATTTTGGCCTTCCAGTCTACAAACGCGAATCTTTTGAAGCAGGAGATGCAGTTCTTGTTACCACATCCATTGGAAAGGAAGTTTGAACCTGAACCACCTATCCGGTTTGATTTCATCAGAGGAAGACACCATGAAAGTTTGGATTTTTCAGGCGCATATTTTCTTGCTTTTGAGAACGACTCCGAGGCTGCAGCTTATTGGATTGAAACGAGAGGATCGCTCTTGGAGGGCAAGACTATTGATCTGCGTTTCGTGAAATTTGCAGACGTATACAAGCACATGTTCACGCCCATACTGCCGTACATCAACGGTGAGGTTTTGTCATCTCGTGAGACCCTCAATGAATTAGACCCTTCGTTCCTTAAATTGCGAGACGGAGATATTGGGAGAAATAAATGTGCCATAATAAGAGGCCTGCCTACGAAACTAACGAAGGCAGAGCTCATAGACGAGCTCTGGGAATTCAAGCTGCACCCCAACGAGGATCTGGCCATACAGAAAATTGAAAGAAGAACGAAAAACGGGGCGATTCAAACGGGGAGACCCAGCGATTGGGTTATTGCATTTGACAACTCGCTGGATCCCAGTAGGTTCGCAAAGAGATACCATCACAGGCGATTCTTTCCCTCCAAACCGGACGAAATTTGTCAGGTAGAGCTACTGTGATAAATTGTGATGTCTTCACGAATATTAATGAACCATTTGTATATATATACCTGAAATAGACCGTTAGATGACCTTGAAACTTGATTCAACCGAAGCGGCACGGATAAGCAGATAAGGACTCCCTCCACCCTTATCGCGAGGGATGAGCAGGAAATTATGGGGGGATTGCATTTTGCAACCTCGAGGCAACGCGATCCTAACAAGCACGTATATGAACCTGCGCGAGGCCAGTGTTTTTCTAGCTGATTGGCACACTCAAGGGTAAGTGTATAGAAATCATTCAGACCAGTTTACTCGTTCAATTACGCAAGATGTGGGCGCCGTCTTGTATTCTGGCAGCAATTGTTTTGGCGCTGGTTCAGTGTGCCGATGGAACCAAGATCAAGGTGAACCCACTTCCAGCCCCGAGGTCTTTAGTATGGGAAGAGACTGAAATTTCTCGGCCATTTGATTTGGACGCGTTCTCAAATGCGAATATTACCGCGGCAAAAACCAATTCTGCGAAGAACGAAGAAATCGTTCAATTGGCGTTCGGCAGAGTCTTGGATAGGATCACAACACTCAAATGGGTGCCCGCTACGGTTGAGGTCTCCACTTATTTTGAGTCATTTGCAACTGACGAGCAAGCTCAGGAGAAGATTGGAGATCCAAAGTACTCTCCGACTAAAAAAATAAGGGAGATCCCTCCCACTTTGGGCGCCTCTATCACTAAGATGAACATCTTCGTGGAGGACTATGATGCGGATTTGCAGATGGGTGTTGACGAGAGCTATTCCATGTCGCTTTCGGGAAATTCTACATTCATTGATATCACTGCGAAGACAACTTGGGGAGCTCTTCATGCGTTGGAGACTTTTGCTCAACTGGTATTATTTGATAAGCAAAGCCAGAAGTTCTACATCGAGGCTGGATTCGAGATCCTCAACGACTCTCCTCTTTACGGCCATCGTGGATTGTTGGTAGATTCTGCCAGAAATTTCATGACTGTTCAGTCTCTGCTTGACCAGATTGATATTTTGGCCATGGCAAAAATGAACGTCTTGCATTGGCATTTTGTGGAATCCCAGTCGTGGCCCATTGAGATGCTCAAGTATCCCCAGATGACGAACGATGCCTACTCGCCAGAGGAGATCTACACCCAAGAGGACATCAAGAAAATCTTGAAATATGGAAGAGAACGTGGAGTAAGAATAATTCCCGAACTGGATATGCCTGGTCATTCGTCTTCTGGTTGGAGATCTGTTGATCCAGAGATAATCTCATGTGGTGATGCATTCTGGTGCCAATCAGACAAATTCCATACTTCTGTGGAGCCCAACCCAGGCCAGCTGGATATAATCTACGAAAACACCCACGAAGTTCTGAAGGACGTGTACGGTGAACTGAGTGGTTTATTCGACGATAATTTATTCCACGTTGGGGCTGACGAGATCGTAGCTGATTGCTACAACTACTCCACTCACGTTCAGAGGTGGTTTGCCGAAGACAGTTCGAGGACATTCCGCGATCTCATTCAGTACTGGGTTGATAAGACGTATCCTATGTTTACTGGCTTAAAGAAGGACAGACGGCTAATTATGTGGGAAGACATACTCACGAGTGATATCTCTGCCTTCAACCTAAGCGAAGAGGTCATCATGCAGGTATGGACTAACGGACCAGTGCACATCAAGGATCTCACGTCAAGAGGTCACGACGTGATCGTTTCTACGTCTGATTATCTATATCTCGATTGTGGTGAGGCATCGTGGCTGCCCAACGATCCCAACTTCATTGACGGATTCGTCGGCACTCCTGATACTTACAATTACAACCCCGGTTACGGAAGCAGTTGGTGTGGACCCTACAAGACCTACCAGAGAATATACAACTACGACATTGCTGCCAATCTAACTGATGAGGAAGCTGCCCATATCATTGGAGGAGAGGTGGCTATCTGGGCTGAGCAGACTGATTCTCTCACTCTCACCTCAATGGTCTGGCCTAGAAGTGCTGCCTATGCAGAGAATCTCTGGAGCGGAAACAGAGATGAAAGCGGAAAGCGCCGCAATTTCGTGTTCACTCAGAGAATTCTCAACTTCAGAGAATACCTGGTTGCCTTGGGATTTTCTGCTAAAGCCTTGGTGCCAAAGTACTGTCTGCAGCACCCTCATGCTTGTGACCGCCAATGGGACATTGCTGCTGCTAATTAGGCGATCGAGATTTGAACTCTGTTAAAGTTTCATTCTTAGTGTATTTCCTCTTCAAATAGCCGTTATATTCATCAAAAAGTTTATCCTATCGCTTTATCGTTTCTGCGCAAAAATCTGCCTTCTCTTCTCCTCATACAGTTTCTCCTTATCGCGCTGCGATTGCTCCAAAGATACCTTAGCAACCGTGCGGTTAGCCGGCTCGGGAACAACGGGGGAAACACGTTTCAACACAACTGGAGTTTTGGGTTTGGCATAGTAAGCATCCATGGAGTTTGCTCCGGGGATTTTCTGCAATTCCACGTTGAGTTTGGATCCCGGAGATTTTCCCTGGGTAATCTCAGCGTCATCCCAAGAGTCTCCCCATTTGTTCTTGGTACTCGCAGTACCGTCTACTTTTGCAGGCAAGTCCCAATCATCCGACCACCTGTCTGCCATTCGATAAACGACCAAAAACAGGAATTGCGGCTCAGTGCAATCTCCGAACGACTATTTCAGCCGTTTGTCAGGACATCATCTATTCTCGAATGCCGTAAAAGCAAGTCATTGTGGACTGGGACACGACCCCTGCAAGCCATTTCCCGATTCGGAAATTCTGCATGAAAGCCTCAAGTCAGTATGGAGCCGGTATATTGGTCAAAGGTTCGGACTAGAATGCTGTCAAATTTCATGCTCATCGAAATTGCCAAATCAGCAGCCAATCATCTCAATCATGGCTTCCATGGTATCATAATGACACAACCGGGGTTGCTAATCCATTTCGGGTACAGCCAATTAACACAGGTTACATTGACAGAATATGTCATGGCAGAGCAATGGTCGGTACCCCATACTCGGTAGCTGGTGTAGTTGCTTTCGATCGGTGAAGAGATATCATGTGGAATGGCATGAATTCACAGGAATTCCTAGTTGCAGGCTTTGATACCCCACAGTGTGACGGAGCAACTTTATAACTCCCCCCAAATATCACTTTGGCCTCCACACTGAAACGGTCAAAGTCATGCAATAAATCTGGAACCTTGCTTGCTGTGGTTAATCACTGAAATTAGATTTCAAGAAATAACAAGTAGCATATATACCCTCTGGTTCCTCGAATTGCCTCACCTTTCTGTCCAAGTTCTTTCCCTCCACAGGATAGTCTTATGAAATCAGAAACGTTCTTGTACTGTGGGTTGCCTATTTGAAAACCTACTACTATAAGCCATTGTAACTGATCCAATTGGAAATCCTGAAAAATCGAGAACAAAATGAGCGCTAACGCGAACTTGCCATCAACCGCCTCTCGTCCCGTTGCTACCGGCGAGACTGGAAGAACGGCTGGTGTTAGAGAAGGAGTTGATGAGGTCCGCAATATCCCCAGAAATGCACAGATCCCGGGTGGTTTCCCCACATCTGGAACTGAGCCTTCAGCTGGAGTGACTGGTGCCTCCCAAGGTAGTTACACTCATCATCAACAACCACGCAGCTACGATCCAGCTTCTCCCTCTGGTCGTCACACTGCAGCTTACGATGATGAGTTCAGCGACGAGGAAGACTTAAGCAAAGATCGCGAGTCACAAGGTGGATTTATCCAGACAGCAAAGAGCTTCTTTGGTCGTGGCGGTTCCGTTGACTCGTCTTCATCAAAGGGTCATCGTAAGTCTGCCAGTACTGGAGTCCCCACCACCGTTACATCGTCATCTCCCTACGGTGATAACAGTGGTCTCTCCGGCGAAAGAAGCTCACAGCAAACCCATGGAACAACTCATGGAGATGCAAGTATCAATCCTGAATTTGAAACTAAGCCTGCAAGTGGAACAGGTGTGTCTTCCTACATTCCAGGTGCGGCGGCTCTTGGATTGGGAACTGCAGCTGCCTCTAATAAGGGCAATCTCAGCAAGCACTACAAAGACGTGACTCCCGGCGTCAATGCACCTGTGCTTAATGAAAACGTGGTTGCAGCAAATGATAATGCTAATCAGAAATATTCGTCTTTGGTTGATCCGGTTGTCAGCGACAGAGAGATCTCCCAAGCCGGCAACTTAAAGAAAAACAGAGAGAGTGACCTTTACTCATCTTCTTCAAATACTGGAGCTAAGGGTGTCAGCCAGTCTAACAATCCAAAGAGCGTCTCTCATGGCGCTCAGTCTGGTGTCACCTCAGCAGGTGTCGCTTCCACCGGAAACGATAACTATACGACCACCGAGAGAACACCAACTGGCATTGCCGGAAGCAACGTAGGTGGCAGAGGTTACAAAGAAGGAGTTCAAGATCAGGACTTTACTTATGGCACTTCCGCTACCGAAGATTCACTCAAGAAGACTGCAGTTGGAGCCGGTGGTGTTGTCGGGGCTGCAGCAGGAGCTGCAGTTGGACTTGCAGCGTCTTTGGGATTGACCGGTGAGGGCCAAGACCAGACTGCCAATACCAATGACAGAAGAACAGGTTACAATGAATCAAAAAGTGGATATGACGCTGATTATAATGGTGCCGGTACAACCGGGGCTACTGGTGTCGCCGGTACTCATGGTGTGACGACCGGTACGGGAAGTGCCTCCACTGGCGGAAGCTCTGATTACACCACCAACTTCAAGGGCTATGGCGATCAAAGAGGAAATGACAATTCTGCTCCAATTGGCTCGAGAGGTGAGCAAGTCTCTGGTTATCCCCATGAGTATGCTAGTACTAATACTGGTGCTGGTGGTACACATACTGGTACCGGCAATGCAGCAGTCGCTGCAGGTGCAGTAGGTGCAGGTACAGGTGCGATTGGAGTTACTCATCTTGACAAAACACCAGCCTCTCAAGGAACTCAAAACCAGACTTCAGGAGTTTATGAAGGCTCGAATACACAAGCTCCTATTAGGGGCAATACAGCTGGAGATTCTGGCTATTCTGCAGGCTCTGCCTCTTCTCCAGGGTATGACCAGTCAGGAGTTGAAGAAGAGGGCACCCCCAAGAAAAAAGGCTTGCTGAACAAGATCATGGGAAAAAATAAGAAGGATGATCAACACCAAACTCTTGACCAATCTAAGGGCCGCAACGAAGGCCATGGTAACGCCGCTGCAGGTGGAGCTGCAGGTGGAGCAGCAAGCGCAGCTGCTGTAGCTGGTGCCGGTGCGGCTTACAAGTCTCACCAAGGTGGTGGTAATTTGAAGGACACTGGTATCAGCGGTGGAAAGGCCGCTTACGGTGATTATTCTAAGGGTACGGGATCGGCTAACAAGTCTGGTGCGCACTCTGGTTACGATCAGACCAGAGATTTAGGACAAGGATCTGGTCAGCATGCTCATTCCAAGCAGCCAGGTCAACCAACCAATTACCAATCCGGCCAACAGGAGATTCCTTCTCAATCTCACGGAAATCAAGGTGGTACTCAGGGCCAGTCAGGAATAGCTGCCGGGGCTCTTGGAACTGCTGGTGCCGCTGGTGCTGGTGCTGCATATAAGTCTCACCAAGGCGGTGGTGACTTGAAAGACATAGGCACTAGTGGTGGTAATGCCTTCTATTCCGATTACAGTAAGGGCAAAGGTGAACAAGGCAATGCTGACAACACTTACGGCCAGACTGGAGAAGGGTATGGTCAAACCGGTCAGTCAGGTCATACAGGTCATACAGGTCAAACAGGTCAAACAGGATATCAAACCTCTGAGCAATCCGGTCAGTCTGGACATGGAAAACAAGCCTTGGCTGGAGGTGCTCTTGGAACTGCAGGTGTCGCTGGTGCAGGTGCTGCTTACAAGGCACACCAAGGCGGTGGTGATTTGAAGAATACTGGCATTTCTGGTGGAAAAGCCGCGTACTCTGATTATTCCAAGGGAGGACAAGATACTTCGAAAACCTCTGGTACTCAGTCTGGCACATATGCTCAGCAATCTGGAAGCGACTATGGCCGCGGAAACACAACCGGAGCCAGTGTTGCCAGTGTCAAGAATGCGCCAGGAGCAAAGTCTGATCTGCAAGGCAGAAATGCTGGCTATGCTACCGGAAGTGAGAACCTCGGAGCTAGGGATGCTTCTGGCCAGTATGGTTCGGAAGGGACAAACCCTCAGTACAGTTCCCATGGAAATGCAAACCCATCTGGAAACGTCCGTTCGGATGCTGGATTTGGTAGCACTTCTGACCAGCCTCAGACTCTTGACCCTAGAGAGAGTGACCATTCTGGAGCTAAAGGCTCTGGTGGTTTCTTGGCTGGTGCTGCCGGAGTTCTTGGGCTTGGTCATCTCGTTGGTGGCACCAATTCCAGTCCTACTGATGAACAAGCTGGAACGGCTGGTTTGGGAAATACTGGTGAAAGAACTGTTGAATCCGGAAATGTTCCTGTTCACTCTCAGTCCGAGTATCCAACTACTACTGATCATGGGACCACCTCACAGGGCTTCACTTCGCAGGACACCAACCCATACCAAGAGTACTCCCAGACATCCAAGGGATCAACCCGAGGGGCAACCAAGGCCACATCTAAGGGGACATCCAGAGGCACACAAGGACAATTCCATGAGGTTCCCGAAGTAGAAGAAATGAGTGCTCGTGGTAAAAACACTTCTGGTGGTCAGAGCCAGGCTCTTGGTGGAGGTGCGCTTGGAGCTGCTGGGGTTGCCGGTGCCGGAGCTGCCTACAAATCTCACCAAGGTGGTGGTGATTTGAAGAACACAGGTATTTCTGGCGGAAAGGCGGCGTACTCTGATTATTCTCAGGGAGGGAAGCAAACTGGTTACGATGATTACGCTAGATCTGGTAACGATCAGACCAGGCAAGCAGGCGGCTACAATCAACAGTCCACTCAACAAGCATACCCTCAGCAATCAGATGAAAAATTTGGTTCGCAACCTAAAGGCTCTCAAGGTGGAAGCCACGGCAAATCCGGTTTAGCTGCCGGGGCTCTAGGAACTGCTGGTGTGGCCGGGGCAGGCGCTGCTTATAAGTCTCAACAGGGAGGGAAAGACTTGAAGGAAACTGGCCTAAGTGGTGGAAAGGCAGCTTACGGAGATTATTCCAAGAATAAACAGCCTCAATCTTCTGGCAATAAATCTGGCGACTATGTTGATCAGGGAATTACAGGTGGCCAATCTGGACAATATAGTGGAAATGATCAGTCTGGAAAGGCTGCCTCACATGGACAGTCCGGATATGGTACTTCTGACCAATATGATCAATATGGGGGTGATTATCAGCAAACCAGTCAAGGCCAGACCCAAGGCCAAGGCCATGGTGGCCAAGCACTGGCCGGTGGGGCTCTTGGAGCTGCGGGAGTGGCAGGTGCTGGAGCAGCATATAAATCCCAACAAGGCGGAAAAGACTTGAAGCAGACTGGTTTGGATGGAGGTAAGGCTGCGTACTCGGATTACTCCAAGGCAAAAGGTGGATCTACATCTAAATCAGACCCTACTGGACGCCAGTCTCAGACTTATAACCAAGGCTTACAGTCATCTGGACAAAAGTCCTCCCTCCAAGGGCAACAAAAAGATCAGAGTGCCTCAACAGGTCAGGGAAAGCAAGGTCTGGCTGCAGGGGGTCTTGCAGGTGCAGGTGCCGCAGGTGCTGCAGGTGCAGGTGCGGCTTACAAGTCTCACCAAGCCGGTGGCAATTTGAAGGACACTGGTATCAGCGGTGGAAAAGCAGCCTATACTGATTATTCTAAGGGTAATAAGCAATCTGCAGGGGCAGGTCAAGGTTACTCTCAGAATCAATCGGATGCTGCCTACCAATCCCAGCAGGGTAAGAAATATCAAGACACCGGCGCTTACCAAGAATATCCTGCTGGAACGCAAGGGAAGAATGCTGGTTTGACTGGCACTTCTGGTACTGATCGTAACGCTTCTGGTGGATACCAGGCTTCTCAACAGCAGAAGACTAGTGGTGTTTCTCAACAAAACCAGTACCAGGAAACTGTCAGTGACTATCCTAGGGCTGGTGGTTATGACAGTTCAGCACTTGGTTCAGCACCACGGGGCACTGATCACCATGAAACACTGGTGGGAGTCGGAGCGGGAGCTGGAGCGGGAGCTGTTGGAGCAGGAGCATTGGCTAATGAAGGCTCTAACAATCCCAGCTCACCTTCGACTTCTGAAAAGAAGAAGAAGAAAGGTCTTTTTGGACTTGGAAAGAAGAAGAGCCCAGAGCCAAGCAGATATGGTCCAGTCCAGAAAGGAACAGTATTTCAGGGTGAACCTGCTGGAGAGCAGGGATATGGTGGTGGGTACGGTGGTGCTGCTACAGGTGCTGCTACAGGTGCTGGAGTTGGCGCTGGAGCAGCTGGAGCAGGAGCTGGTAGCGGAGCTGGTACCAGAAGTGGCTACGGAGCCGGTGATGCTGATACTTCCAAGTATGGTGGACAGCAGGGAAACGCCTACAATAATGCCGATGTAAAGGTGGAGCCTATTGATCCAAGTATGGTGAGTGCGGCTGATGCTTCGTTGCTTGATGCTGCTGCCAGAGATGCTCAAGCCAACCAGACAGGAGCATTTGCTTATTACAAGAATGACCCTAACTTGGGTGGCATTGCAGCTGTTCCAGATCACCAGGTGCGTTCAGGAGGCCAGGGTGCTCAGGGTGCTGGATATGCTACTCAAAGTGCTCAAGGAGGCCAAGGCACCGGTTATGCCTCTCAAGGCACCAAGGGCTCTCAATCAGGCTACGGTACTCAAGGCACCACCAAGGGTACTCAGACTGGTTACGGTACTCAAGGAACTGCAGGCGACTATGGAACTCAAGGTGGTCAGACCACTGGTTACAGTAGTCAAGGCACTAAAGGTAGCAGAGGTGACCAGGGCACTCAGTCAGCAGGTTACGGTACTCAGCGTTCTGAATATGGAACTCAAGGCACTAAAGGTACCAGAGGCAATCAAGGTCTCCAGAATGCTGAGTATGGAACACAAGGTGATCAGACTACTGGTTATGGTACTCAAGGTACCAAAGGTACTAGAGGAACTCAAGGCACTCAGGGTGCAGGATACGGTTCCCAGGGAACCCAGAATGCAGGATACGGTTCAGAGAATGCAGGATACGGTTCACAGGGAACCCAGAATGCTCAGGGTGCTCAGGGTACTCGAGGTGCAGGGAACAATGCTTCAGGATCGCAATACGTTGATGAAGGAGCAGAAGGACCCAAAAAACAAGGCTTGGTGCCAAAGATCAAGAGAGCCCTAAAGGGAGAATAGGCTCCAAACAGGTAAGAGGTCCTGAAGGGAGATCAGGCTTCTGACTGTAGCTAGGCATTCAAGCCATTTGTTTCTATTTCTGATTTTCACCGTTGAATTTATGACTTTTTTGTTCTTCAACCGTCATTATAGTAAGCAAGTAATTTATCAATAATGATCGATCAAGTTGATCCTACAAGCCGCCTACAGATAAAAGCTAAGAGGTTTGTATCTACTGGCAAGACGCAACTAACCTTGAGTTTTTCAGCAAAATAACAAAACTATCAAAATCACTCGCACCGCTAGTCAAGGCGATCCAGCTCATTTTTGAAAAGCTGTTGATAATTGGCTAGCCACCTGTTTTGAAAATTGAGCAGGCCCACACCTCCAACACTGAAACTTTTAGCCCGGCTCGGCCCAAAGTAAAAACTCATCCTCCCGTTGATGCAGGGAAAGTCGTGCCTATCTCAATGTGACGATCAACGCTCCTGATGATCCTCAAATCAGACTAATAGTGGCATGTCGTGTTTTGTTTATCCCATACATCAAAGATTGATCAGGTTATTATCCCATCCTCAATCACCATGTCTTTCAAGTTCCCAGATCTCTCGTCTCTGCAACAGACTTTGCAGCAGACCTCCCAGCAATTGCAACAATCACTGCAAGACGGTATCCAAACAAGCCTCAAAGAGGCTTCCACCATCAACGACAGTTTGTCTCCCTTGTTCAAAAGAACCACCAGGTCTTTGCAGGAGAGGTTTGGTGGCACTAATGATATCAGCGAGTTGCCAAGAGAATACATTGAATTGGAGAAGAAGGTTGATAGCTTGAAGGTATTCTACAAGAAGACCTTAGTGATCACCTCCCAATACGAGATTGAGAGCTACGACTATCCTCCTAACATCAGAGAGTCGTTCCAGGATGTCACCAAGACCTTCAGTGAGAAGATCCATGGGTTGTCCCAAGCCACGACTACTGCTGAGGCAGAGGCCGTCCTGACTTCTTCTTCAGCCACGGTGCAAGTTCCAAAGACGTTTGCTCACTCGTTGTCAAAGACTTTGAAATCCAACAGAGAAACTGTCTTGGCAGCTAGCAGCGAAGAGGAAACCGGTCTCTCGAAGGCGTTGCTCTTGATTGCTGACGCCCAGTACAAAATTGGTGACGAGAGACTCGAGCAGGACAAACTCATTATCTCTGAGTTCAACAACAAGATAAAGAACATCCTCGACAACGAATTCACAGCCACATCGAAGGACCGCAGAAGTGTTGAGAACTCGAGACTAACTTTCGACACTCTGAGAGCTGAGATCAAGGCTTTCCAGAATGGCGACGACACAGTTGAGGCTCCTGAGGCTTTGCAGAAGAAGTTGGAGGCTGCTGAAGACGAACTTGTCAATGCCACCGAGGTTGCTGTTGAGTCTATGAAGAAGCTGATCTCACCTACTGCCTCAATCAACTTGCTGAAGGTCTTCTCTAAGATCCAACTCAACTACCACAAGACTGTTGCCGAACAGCTAACCACTCTGGTTGACCAATTGGAGGCCTTGCCTGCTGACGAGGATAAGGATTAGATATCCATTCATATATAACCCGGTTTTTGTATTTGTGAGTACTAATCTTTTCATAACCTTTTGTTTTTTGCGCGTCTTGGTAAATATCGTGGCTTGCGCCTTCGGTAAATCAATGGCATTTTTCAAGGTTAATTGCTCGTTTTACCTTTCTTGAATTATCAGAAGAGTTCCTTCATAAGGCTCGTAGCAATTATAGAAATATATTTTAGCGCTCATATACTGTATTGACAAACATAACTAAGCAGACTCTAACCGAAGCAACCACTTGAACCAGTGAGGTCCCACCTTTTTTAATGGAACGCCCCACAAAGTGCACTGTTCTTGTTCACGTCCAAGATTATCGAAATTCTGTTGAAGAAAACATCGCCAAAGGCAAATCCCAAACAGATAGCGAAAAAGTAGAGCACCACGTACGACATCGCAGCCAACATCACAGCATAACCGACCATCGAGATCAAAAATGCGAGAAGCAATCTCACGAGATCCTTACCAGCCTCAGCCATTCCGGGGAACAGTAATTGCTGCAAGAACGTCTTGGGCTTCCCAGAAGAAGCGCTCGAGCTTCCCTTCTCTTCATCGCCTGGGTCACAGGCGCACTCGTCAATCTTGGTAATCACCACCGAGTTGTTCAAATTGTGAAACACTTTCTGCTCGATGTACGCGCTCAGGAAGAAAAGGCCTCTCAGCAAAAAGGCACTGAAAAATAGGAACACAAAAATTCCAAAGGCAGATCCACCAGTGGCCGCGTGCAGGGTCTTGAAAAGAACAGGCGTTCCCTTGTAGGTCGAGGAAAAGTACATATTCATGGAGGAACTCATATCCATGCTCGAAGAAGTTCCTGTAGAAGACGACATATCCATGCTCGAGGTAGCTGTTGAGCTCATATCCATGGTAGACGAGCTGGCCATAGCGGTGGCCATGGACTTAACTGAAGACTTGGCGGATGTCATCACCATAGACATCGAGGACGAAGACGACGTCCCCATGTCCATACCACTCATATCCATTTTAGCGGTTATTTTCAGGGAGCAATAATTCGGAAGAAACTGTTGGTTTCAAGTCAAGGAAAAACCATCCGTGAGCAAGAATTGTCCTATCTTATATGTGAAAAATCAACTGGTTGACAATTTGCTCGTTCGAACATTCCCAAAAGGGTATCCAGCGAGCAAATTTGAGGTGCGGCTGCAGAATGGTGGACACACTATTGATTGGGTTTTCACATGCCTAACGGCGCAACAGTTTTTGTGTTTCTCGAACTCGAACAAGGTATCTTGTTGGCTACCAACCATCCGGAAGACTGACACGATTGATGAATAGGGAAGATTCTGCTTCTTCCTACGGCTCTAATGAGGGCGATTACTCTGATGCAGAGTCAACTAGGAACGCGGATGCCGTTTCATTACACACGGAAGACGCATCCATATTTGATTTGCTGGATCCGTTTGCAATGACCACGGAGTTGTCTAAAAGAACGTATAACAAAGTCAAAATGAACACGGAACAGCTAAAGGCAATTGCCATGAAGCAGAAGGACAAAGTATTGAAGTTGACAGCTAACGACGAGGAGATGGCAAAGCTGAAACTGCACATGTCCCAAAGGGTTGACAAGTTGTACCAGAGATTGTCCTCCACATTGACTGCTTCCAAAACTGAGAAGTTTTACTATGCCTGTGCACTCTATTTTGTGTTTTTCTCTGGGCTGGTCATAGGCAAATACCCCGAATGGTACCATGTGCTTTACACTGGCGTTCTTGCCATACTACTCCCCATCAGACTGCTGACTTACTACAAGGTTGGCTACGGCTATTATTTGGTGGATTTGTGTTATTATGTGAACATTTTGTGTCTGGTTTACATTTGGATATTCCCTGAGTCGAAAATCTTGTTCGTATCGTGTTTTGCGTTCACTTTTGGTACTTTGTCGTTTGCGGTGATAACGTGGCGGAACTCGCTGGTTCTGCACTCTATTGAAAAAACAACCTCGTCATTTATTCACGTTGTTCCTCCAGTCACTATGTATGTGATCACACACCAGATTAGTCCAGAGTACAAGGAGATCAGATTTCCTGGCTGTGCCAAGGTGGAGAATTGGAATTTCAAATACGGAATCGCATACACCTCACTTTTTTACTTGATATGGCAATCAGCTTACCATTACTTTATCACCATCAAACGTGCCAAGAAGATTAAGGCTGGACGGGTAACTTCGTTTGAACACTTGAGGAAGAGCTATGCAAACACTACCATCGGCAAATTCGTGAACGGTCTGCCAGGAATATTGCCAGTTGTGGCTTTCACTTTCATCCAATTTTCTTATCAGCTTGCGACCATGTCTTTTTGCCCACTTCTGTTCAAGTATAAGACTCTAGCGTCGGTGTTTCTTTCATTCATCTTCTTCTGGGCCTCCTACAATGGAGCCACCTACTACGTCGATGTGTTTGGTAAGAAGTTCGAGAAAGAGGTTATCCGGCTACAGAATGAGATATCGGAGCTACAAGCGCAAGCTCCGTCTCCTCCAGGTAGCAGTTCTGCTTTAGCCAAGGACGTAACGTCAGGCGAGGAAGCAGCAGCTCTCGAAAAGGACACGCGAAAATCGAAGTAATGGGCTACCGCACCTCCTGACAGTATTCATGAACAATTTCTTATTTTGCCAAAAGCTTGTTTTAAACTGTAGACTTTAATTCAATCTAGATGTCACTCCCACGTGTGTCTGTAACGGCATATTCTGGGGTAACAAAAATGGCCCACGTGACTGCTGATAACAATCTGACAGGTCGTGCACCACTGAACGCTCAATGCAGCCAGCAACTTGCGTTTCATTAGTCACGATAACGAGTTCGCGCCTAAGGTCTTCATTGGGTTGCAGTTATTGATCTTATACAGAGTTTCGGCTTTTTGATTTGGGCAATATGGGAAGCATAGCTGAATATGAATCAGATATCGAAAGACAAGGTCTTCTCGAAGGAGAAGGCACACCATCTAGCGTGCTGGACGCCAAAGCATCCCGCAAAACAAGACAAAGACGATTCATCCACTTCAGTGTTATTAGCATCATCATTTACGTGATTCTGTTCAGATTTGTGGTGCACGGAAATTTTACTAAGAAGTCCTCTGGAAAGAAAAATGTCATATTCATGGTGACAGATGGAATGGGGCCAGCATCTTTATCACTAGCAAGATCTTTCAGACAACATAGAGATGGACTGGCAATCGAAGATATTCTGGAGTTGGACAAGCACTTGATCGGGGCCTCCAGAACAAGGTCTTCCGATTCGTTGGTTACTGATTCTGCAGCTGGTGCAACTGCTTTTTCGTGTGGATTGAAATCGTATAATGGAGCCGTCGGGGTGAATCCGGAGAAAATCCCATGCGGAACTATTCTGGAAGCTCTAAGCCAAGAGGGCTATCTCACCGGTCTTGTGGTCACCACCAGAATTACAGATGCCACACCCGCTGCGTTTAGCGCTCATGCAGACTGGAGATGGCAGGAGGACCTGATTGCAGAACACCAGCTCGGGCACTATCCACTGGGCAGATCTGTTGACCTCATTATTGGTGGAGGCAGATGTCATTTCCTGCCCACTTCTAAAGGTGGTTGCAGAGCAGATGATCTGGATCTGACGGAGGTGGCTCAAGAAGAGGGGTGGTCTTATGTTGCTAACAGAACCTCTTTCGATGATCTTGAGCTCGGAAAGAACGTTCAACTACCATTATTGGCTTTGATTGCAGGCGGCGATGTCCCTTATGACATTGATCGTGACTCCTCAGTATATCCGTCTTTGGAAGAGCAGGTCAAGACAGCTTTGACTGCCCTCACCAAGGCCACCGAAGACTCTGAGCAAGGTTTTTTTCTCATGATCGAAGGCTCTAGAATCGACCATGCCGGCCATCACAATGACCCTGCCGCTCAGGTGAGGGAAGTTCTTGCTTATGACAAGGCGTACAAGTATGTGATTGACTTCGTGAAGAACTTGGACACCGAGACTATCGTTGTTTCCACGTCAGACCACGAAACTGGTGGGCTTGTGACTGCAAGGCAACTGACTCCTGCTTATCCGGATTACATGTGGGTGCCACAGGCTCTTGTAGATGCTAAACACTCAGGTGAGTACACTAGAGCGAAAGTTGCCAGGTATTCTGGTGTTGATCTAGAAGAGTTTGTCAAGACCGAGGTTCTGGAGAAAGATCTGGGAATCAAGGACTATACCAGTGATGATGTCAAATTCATCATTGAGAACAAACAGAATTGCCAAGATTACGTATTGGATATGGTGTCCAAGAGATCTCAAACCGGCTGGACCACACACGGCCATTCAGCTGTGGATGTGAACATTTACGGTTACTCCAACAAGCAGAGTACCATGCTCGAGCTTTACCAATACTTGGGTGGGAACCACGAAAACATTGAGATCGGTAAGTTTATGGAGACCTTTACTGGAGTTAATCTCGGCCAAATCACAAAGATAATTCACAACACGAGGCATTCTGCCAGTGCTTCAGAGGAGAAATTCAAACTACTTGCTGAAGATCCATATCACCATTACGGACCGCTTGAATAAGATAAATTTAGTTCATTAAACCACCCAAAATCAATGCTATGATTGCGTTAGTCACCAAAAATTTAGCAAAAAGATCAAATGACATATTGAAATCTTACTCGGAGTTAAGGAGATAATTATCGTGTTAAGTAGAATGCCTATATCCGAGGGGCTTTTTTATCTGAGCTTTCGGACCTAACGGTGCGTCAGGTGGAACTTCATCGTCCAATGGTATCCAAATTGTAGGAGATTCTATTGATAGAACGAGGGAAAAAGTTTCACCTGCTTTCGAGGCAGTTTCTGGTTTGATTATTTCCAACCACACTTCTCGAAACACTCTGGGTACTTAGCCGTTCCAGGGTGGTGGGACACAAGCTTTGCATCTTCATGCAAGCGCTGATATACATAAAGCTGCGGACTGCTCCGAAAGCTAATCATCGTTAACACCGAGAACACCCTACACTGGAGTTATAATTATAAGTGCTATTTCAATTTTACTGATCGTATTGCGAGAGCTTCTCGGCCGAACCACTGCTGTGCTTGGCTGTGCTTAGCATCGCAGTGTTAGTAAAAAAAATTATGGCCGGATATTGCCACTGAATTCATTCTCACAAGTTCCAAGGGACCATGACTGTTGATCAGAGAACCGTGGTTGTTATCGGTGGAGGGCCCTATGGTGTTCTTACAGCACAGAAGCTGGTTAGATTGTATAATCATAAGGTGATACTCATATCGAATCTGGAATATTTCTACCTTTTGGCTTCAACTCCAAGAGCGTACATATACGACACGCCATCTGATTGGGCTGGAAAACTGACAATCCAGCTGAAATCGATTCTACCAGAAACGATTGACTTGGTCATTGACGATGTCGTTGACATTGATGACACCAATGTGAGCCTTAAAGGTCACGAGGATATTCCATATGATGCATTGGTGATTGCTACCGGAGCAAAATGGCCTGCCCCAGTTTTTCCTGAATTCAATGGAGACCGTACGATCAAGGGGTTGCAAGACTATTACGAGGACAGGGCTCGAGAAATCCATGACTCCAAGCATATCGCATTTGTGGGTGCTGGTTTTGTGGGACTGGAGATTGTCGGGGAGCTGGCCCATAAGTACAAGGACGACATCAAGAAAGGCGAGAGGTCAATCACCATCTACCATGGCCGCAAGGAACTACTGGACTCTTCTTACGGAGATGAAATCAAACGAAAAATTCAGAACGATCTTGCAGGCTCGGGAATCAAGTTTGTCTTTGACACAAAGGTTGTATCAAACGAAAAGGGTGAGGGCATCATTGAGAAGTCTGGTGACAAGATTGTCGCTGATAAGATCTACTTCACCACTGGTCCCGTTGCCAATCCACCATCAAACAGCATTGCTGGTTTAGTTGATGGACGTAACCAGGTGAAGATCGATGCCACTCTCCGAGCTGTTGGTGCTCAAAGCGGTAAAGTTTTTGCTCTGGGCGATGTTACCGATTGGCCACAAAAAGTGCTTCAAACCGTCACCCCATTCTCTTCAACAGTTGCTCATAATGTTGATGCCTTCCTACGGGGCAAAACCGATGTGAAAAAGGTCGCTCAGCCTTCTCAATGGTCGCGGGCTGGTGTTTCCCTGGGCCCAAATTCGGGCTACGGTCAGGTGCCAGTCCCGCTTTTGGGATACATCAATATTCCAAGAGCACTCTTGGTTAGGGCCAAGTCGAAGCAGATGTTCACCGATAGGCTGGTACAATTTGGCAAGCTTCGCTGAAGATCTTGATCTTTCCTGGGCCTATCTGTTGACTTTTAAGTTTAGTTTTCTTACCTTTTTACCGTTCTGTCAATATACTTATCGCAATTTACTTTCATTCTGTGAATCTTCAAGTGAGCTCTTCAAATTCTTGCATGCAGGCATGCATGTACCCTCAAATATGCACCCCATGTTGTTTGCGAAATGGGGTGAATTCTATCTTGACAACAATTGCTGATTAATTTGCTTACTCAATCCTGCTCAGTATCAAGGAGAATCACTAATCTGCTGACTCAGGAAAGTTCAATTCTGCTCAAAGTCCAAGTATATATAGACTGTGGAACAGTGCAGTACTGGTGAAAACAGATATCTGTATCGCAACTGAGCCATATCGTACTCGAACCGAGAGAACATGACTGTTGATAAAAAAACCGTGGTTGTGATTGGTGCAGGGTCCTACGGTTCTCGTGTCGCACAGCACCTGGTCAAATCCTACAAGTACAAGGTTTACCTTATATCGAATTTGGAGTATTTCTACTTCTTGGCATCAACTCCGAGAGCTTTGAATTACGACACGCCATCTGATTGGGTTGACAAAATGACAGTTCCTTTGAAGTCCGTTTTGCCGGAGACTATTGACTTGATCATTGATGATGTCGTTGATATTGATGACACCAAGGTCAGCCTTAAAGGTCACGAGGATATTCCATATGATGCACTGGTGATTGCTACCGGAGCAAAATGGCCTTCCCCAGTTTTTCCTGAATTCAATGGAGATCGCACGATCAAGGGATTGCAAGACTACTACGAGGACAGGACGCAGGAAATTGATGATGCCAAACACATCGCATTTGTGGGTGCTGGCTTTGTGGGTTTGGAGGTTGTTGGAGAGCTGGCCCACAAGTACAAGGACGACATCAAGAAAGGTGAGAGGTCAATCACCATCTACCATGCCAACAAAGACCTGTTGGACTCTTCGTTTGGAGAAAAAATCAGGCGCAATATCCAGAACGATCTTGAGAGTTCTGGAGTTAAGTTTGTCTTTGACACAAAGGTTATATCAAACGAAAAGGGTGAGGGCATCATCGAGAAGTCTGGTGACAAGATTGTCGCTGATAAGATCTACTTCACCACTGGTCCCGTTGCCAATCCACCATCAAACAGCATTGCTGGTTTAGTTGATGGACGTAACCAGGTGAAAATTGACTCTACCCTCCGTGCTATCGGGGCTGAAAATGGTAAGGTTTTTGCTGCTGGTGATGTCACTGATTGGCCAAGGAGACTTGTTCAGTACGCTATCCCTTTTTCCGTCATCCTTGCTCATAACATAGATGCGTTCCTGCAGGGCAGGAACAATTTTGAGAAGGCCTTTGAGCCACCAGCATGGGCCAAGGGTGGTGTCTCTCTGGGTCCAAACTCAGCCTATGGTCAATTACCAGTTCCAATTTTGGGCTATATTACTCTCCCAAAGTCAGTTTTGGTTAAGGTTAAGGCCAAAAATCTATTTACTGATAAGTTTCTTGATTTTGCCAAAGTTTAGTGAGCCAAGTTCTGTGGAATTCATCAGGTGTTATCAGTGGGTTCCGCTTGATTTTTCTAATTTAATCTCAATCTATTCTCAATTTATTTTGCGCTATGTGCCATTCTCTTGCTAAAACACTGTTCGATTCAGCATTCCACATTTTGCATTGACAGGGAACCTTGATCTGCATGCGCGCATGCACTTTAAAAACTTCAGCTATATCATATCTTAACTCCGGAATGGAAACTAATGCTGGGTTCACAATCTGATCTAATTGTCAGCGGTTACCTAATGAGCTGGCTGAGATTATTCAGAAACTTTGTCTTTTCCTAGTATTTTTCTTGAGTCTACAATTCGGGCTGCCCCGAGATTCCGAACCTGGTTTACTTAACACCGAGGACACAGTACAGCGAGGAGACTGTCGCCACCATTTTATTTGCATACCTCCGAGGTAAATATATACAAACCTTATTGATGGGACAGTATAAATATGAGAGCATTGTGCGTTTTTCGTAGTAAGAACAGACTCCTGTATTGCAATTGAGCTTCATTGAGATTAGGACTACATCAACTGAAGAATCATGGGTAATGATCAGAAAACTGTGGTCGTTATCGGGGGAGGAACTTATGGAGTTCGTGTAGCTCAGCACCTAGCCAAGTCCTACAACCATAAGGTGTGTCTTATTTCGAATTTGGAATACTATTATTTCTTGGTTTCTACACCAAGAGCGCTGAATTATGACACCCCATCAGATTGGGTCAAGCAAATCACCTTACCACTAAAGGAAATTTTGCCAGAAAACATCAATTTAGTCATTGATGATGTCACCAATATAGACAATAATAAGGTGAGTCTCAGAGGTCATAAAGATATCGCCTATGATGCTTTGGTTATTGCTACCGGAGCAAGATGGCCCTCACCTGTCTTCCCTGAATTCAATGGAAACCGTACTATAAAGGGATTGCAAGACTATTATGAAAGCATAGTCAAGGCCATGGACTCTTCCAAGCGCATCGTATTTGTGGGTGCTGGTTTTGTCGGACTAGAAATCGTTGGAGAGCTGGCTCATAAGTATAGGGAAGAGATTAGGATGGGAGAGAAGTCGATCACGATCTATCATGGAAATAAAGAACTTCTTGACTTCACATATGGTGAGAAGCTTAAGAAGGGAGCTGAGAAAGATCTCGAAGGTCAAGGTGTGAAATTTGTTTTTGATACGAGGGTTATTTCTGATGGAAATGGTGGGGGTATCTTCGAAAAAACTGGTGAAAACGTTTTGGCCGACAAGATATATTTTACCACTGGACCTGTTGCAAATCCACCACCAAATAGCATTTCTGATCTGGTTGATGATCTAAATCAGGTTAAAATTGATACCGCTTTTCGAGCAATTGGTGCAGACAATGGAAAGATATTTGCGCTTGGTGATGTTACTGATTGGCCCAGGAGAGTTGCACAAAATGCAAAACCGTTCCCTCGGATTCTAGCCCATAACATCAACTCTTTCTTGGAAGGAAAAACTGATATAAAACATGTTCCTCAACCATCAGGCTACGCCAAAGTGGCGCTTTCTTTGGGTCCAGAGAATGCATACGGACAATGGCCTGTTCCGTTTTTGGGGTACATCAATTTCCCCAAGAGTATGGTGGTAAAGGTTAAAGCCAGGAAGATGCTCAGCGATGTTATGTTGGACTTTGCTAAGATTTAGCTTAGTGATGGCTGAATCTGTACATGCTTGAACCCAACTTCCCTCTACATTTATATCTCGTACTTGAGGAAATCCGCAATCATAATCTCAACCTCTACCCTTTGAAAGATGGCTGGCCAATAACTTACTTCTTCAGTCTCCAAGCACTAGGAGGCAAACTTTGCAGACGCATCACCAGTCCCTTGATCACATAAAAGTAAAGTGCCAGACCAATCGCAATGCAAATCAGGTTTGTACGCATATACCCGTCATGTTCAACATGACAAACTCCGCCGTTGCTAACGCATTCTGTTTTCAGCTTGGCATTCACACAATGGTAGTATTTCTCTCCCACAAATGGATTGTTTATGGCCGGACTCGTTATAGCGCTCTCTGATGGCAAACAGGTGGCCCTGGTCAGTTTGTCAATGAGATAGAAAACAACCAGCCTCGGCCACTGGCCACCCAAATTTGATAGCGTGTTCAAAGTAGTCATGTAAGTTCCTCCAATGGCGGGGTCTGCTATCTGGGTATGGAAAGCACATATCGAGACAAACTGAATTGTGGACATAAAGGATCCAAGCAAATGGGACAGAATGACACTCAAGAAGTAAGCCGAAGTTACTTTTCCGTCGCTGGGGAAACACCAGACCATGAACTGGCTCAAACAAGCAGCTGCTATTCTACCCAGATACGCATATAACCACGGATTCAAAGGCCCAGCTCCCGTGGACCAGCGACCAGCATAATATCCAAAGATGATTTCAAACGGAAAGTCTATCAAAACTGTGATAGCCAGGTCTTCCTTCGAGAATCCTTTCTCCAACAGCTTCAAATTGGTTGCTCCTTCATTTGCCTGAAATCCTATTTTGGAGATCAGGTGTAGAATGACAAATGCTCTCACATTTGGCAACCTCAAAATTGCAATCATCTTCTTATATACGCCTGTGAGAGATTCGGTGTTGACATTGCCAACCTCAGAATGAGCGTGAACTGTGTTTCCAACGGAAGCGATGTCCCTCTCTAGTTCAACCATTTCGATGTCTTCATACTTTTTGTCTTGTTGAACAAGATGATTTGGATCTTCAGATATGAAAAGAAGCCCGATTGTCACGACAAAATAGACAAATCCCCAAAATTTCATATACTGGCCCAACGTCATCACTCCAGCATCCAGAGGAGTAGGCCTCAGATACTTATTGGCAAAATCAGGAGAATTGAAAGCCAAAAACACGGTGAAAGACATGAAATAACCCGTGTTGAGTCCAATAGTCTGAGCTGTGGATGCGTATGATAATGCCGATGGACTCATGCTGGTCAATGCCCATCCGTCAACGGCAATATCTTGTGTTGCGCATAGTAATATGAGTAAGAAGAACACAACTGTCAGCTTTTGGAGGTTCGCAAAGAGATCCTCCAGGAGAAAGTCAATTTTCGATCCAATTGTTATCAGAACGATCGAACTGAGTAATTGGACGGGTATGATCCAGGACCGCCTTCTCCCCAGTCTCTTACTGTAAAAAGAATCCACCACCGGTGCCCACAAAAGCTTCAGCGAGTACGGGTAACTCGCTAACGTAAATATTCCCACTTGCGAATATGAAAGCTGGCCTGACTTCAGCAAAAAAGGCACAGACCCAAACCCCAGACCAACTGGTACACCCTGTAGCAGATACAGAAGCACCAACAGCATAAATCGGGGTCTGTCTATTCTGGGTAAATTCGACGACTTCACATGTTTGTCCATTTGAGATGACGAACTCTGTTCGTATGCCGAATGAGGCGTGCTTTCTCTTGGAGAAGCTGATTTGCTGACTGGAGTTAGCACCGAGTCTGAGTCTTCGTATCTGTTTGAGGAGTTGTTGTATAAAGGAAGTGTTGATTTGGAGGTCATTCTAGCGACCAGAGAACAGACGTAGTCGAAGATGAATATTCCCTGGTTTTTCTATCCAATATCCAGCAGAACCCCAAAAGCTCTTGTTCGATTTCACCAATTGAGACATGACAAGGTGTCAGGTCTTTAGGCTTTTACGTGTATTCGTGCATTCCTTCCCCAAATTGGTATGGGTACACGACCTGATTAAATTTCGTCAATAGAGTAACCGAGTACAACAAGTGGAGCTCCAGTTTTTGGTTGTTTTTTGGGGTGTTTCTATCGCCCAATTCTCACAGTTTTTCAGATGGACAAATATCCTCCACCGATAGCAAAGCTTTTTGCACCGAAACCGCCGCTCCGCCACCTGGAGCCTATAGATGTTGAACCTGCACTAAGGAAGACCAGAGAGGTGTCTGGGATAGCTCAATTCCTAGCGTTGTTGTCCAAGCCAGTAAACAACGATGCTGAGCCAGCTGAAGCTGTAAAGTCCCGCAAATCCGATAAAGCAAAGAAATTGGAACTTCAGCGAAGTTTTTTAAAGGATGCTGTGGTCAAATGGAACCCAGAATCAGACCCCCATATCAACGGGGATCCCTACAAAACGGTGTTTGTTGGAAGACTTGACTATTCTGTGACGGAGCTAGACTTGCAGCAGATATTCTCAAACTACGGTGAAGTTGAAAAAATACGCGTTGTGCGAGATAAAGACAGCAACAACAGCAGCAGAGGATACGGGTTCGTGCTGTACAAGCATACACATGACGCCAAGATTGCCTATGACAGGGCCAACGGGCTCAAGATCAAAAACAGGGCCATTGTAGTGGACATTGAGCGTGGAAGAGTGGTGAAAAACTGGAAGCCGAGACGATTGGGCGGTGGTCTTGGTGGTAGGACGGTCAAGTTGGCTCCCCAATCACAGCTACCTTCACATCCAACCCCGCGTTTTAGTTCCGGCGCAAACTCGTCTCATGTTAGCCACAATCGTAATCCATATCCTTCTCATGGTTACAATCAATCAGGCTACAATGATAGGGGTGGGTACCAGAACAGATTCCCTCCACCTTATAGAGGAAGAGGTGGAGGACGTGCCCGAGGAAGGTTTAGGCGGTGAAATTTGGCAGTGAAAAATGAAAAAAATAACGCGGCTCAAAATAAATATCATTAGTTTTTTTTTGGCTTTTTTGGCTACTTTCGCAAACCCAGCTAGAAGCAATATAATTGGAGCATTTCCGCAATTCTCGGCCTAATCAACCACGATTTAACACGATATTCAAATAATGGATCCAGAAATATGACCGAGCCCCAAAAGGAGTTACACACATCACCAGCCCAGACGCTACAATTCCAGGCACACACATCACCAGTCCAATCTCTCCAACTATCGCGAAACGGAAGATATTTGCTAACGTGTGGTCTTAAAGAGCCCATGATTAAGCTGTGGAAGGTTGCGGATGGCGCGGAAATGTCCGAGTTCGAGGTGAACTCCATCCATGGAACGAACGATCTGTGTCTCGATTCCAGAGATGAAAGGTTCGTGAGCAGCGGCGCAAATATTCAATTGTGGGATATCTTGAAGACTAAGCCGGTCCAAATCTGGAACACGCAAAAACAACTACAAAATGCCGAGATGTGTAAGGTATCTCAGAGCAAACTCGTGGATGGGGGCTTGATCTTCTCAGCAGGCTACGATGGTGCCTTAAAAATATTTGATATCAGACAGAAGCTGACAGGACCAATTGTGGAGTACCAGACTTCTCACGAGATGCTCAATTGTCTGGAACTGGAGGGGTTCAAGGTTTGCTGTGGTGGTAACGATGGCTATCTGTACAGCTTCGACCTCAGGAGCGATAAGCTGTACTCGGACATGTTCGATACCAAGTCGCAGGTCATGTCGATCGCAAGCGACCACGCAAAGACGTTTTTGTCAATGGTGGGAAAAACGCAGATTTGCGAGTACGATCTCGCCCGCGGAAAGCTGGTTTCCATCAACCAGCACTGCATAGACAGTGTGGAGAACTACATGGTGAACATCTGCTACAGAAACGATTGGCTGGTCTCCGGCAGCGAGCAGGGCAAAATTTACGCTTTTAACGGCGCCAGAAGAGAGGTCTTTGGCTTAGGCAAAACTGGAAAGGGCAAGGTGGTCAAAGTTGCGAGTAGTAAGGGCTTAGCCGGTGGAAACACCGTAGCTGGTGGCTGCGGCGACGGGGTGTGCCATATAGTAAGCATAGAGTGAAAGAGTATGAAGATAACGACGCAAATCACGAAAATAATCTGAAAAGTCCCAATTAAACAGGAGGTACATATTCACTGTCCCGTCATGCTATTGTATCCATTTTTAAATTTCAAAAAATCCCAAAAATCGCCCACCTTGCATTTTTCAGCCCACCTCCAACATTCTCATCTGCTGAGGCCCCCGTTTCACATGATCACCACCTTCTCTCGGATTTGCCCCATTCTTCTTTGATCCCAGTCTTAACAACACCTCCTAACAGTGTATATTTTGGCTTTAAGAGTTGTCAGGGCTGTTTTGGGCTCCAGTTAGTTGGATCTATCATATTCAAATATATTTATTGGAGTATTGTGCTCATGCTATCGGTATGTGTTGATGTTGTGATGTTGTTTCGGGGGCCGGATCCCTAGAGACTTGCAAGACTAACGCGTTTCAGAACTTCAAGAACCTGATCAAGAAGAAGGACCACAACAGCCCCGTTGCGGATGAATTTAGATGTTATTCCGAGATAATTCCTCGGTACCGGATCGAGGCGCAGATTGGGGAGGGCGCCTTCTCCAAGGTGTTTAGGGCCCTGGACACGGTGCGCAACGAGGAGATCGCCATCAAGATCATTGACAAGTCCAGCATGACGATACAGCAGATCAATGGCATTTTGAAAGAGATTGCCATCATGTCCAAGCTAGATCACGAGAATATCGTCAAGTTGCTGGCGTACAAGAACAGCAGCAATTCGCGGTACTGCTATCTATTCTTAGAACTAGTTCAAGGAGGCGAGATTTTCAACCAGATCATCAAGTACACCTATTTCTCCGAGGACCTGTCCAGACATGTGATTGTTCAGGTGGTAAGGTCCATCAAGTACCTTCATGAGCAGGTGGGTGTGGTTCACAGGGACATCAAGCCTGAGAACCTGTTGTTCGTCCCCATCCCGGTGGTGCCTACACCTGTCCACGAGCAGCGCAGACGTCAGTCTGATGACGCAAACAAACTGGACGAGGGCAAGTTCAAGGTGAATGTTGGTGCCGGTGGAATTGGCACAGTAAAACTAGCAGATTTTGGTCTTTCCAAGGTTTTATGGGACAGAAACACTAACACTCCGTGTGGAACGGTTGGCTACACTGCCCCGGAGATTGTCAAAGACGAGTACTATTCGAAGTCTGTTGATGTCTGGGCAATTGGGTGTGTTCTGTACACGCTGCTGTGTGGCTTTCCTCCTTTCTACGACACCGATCCCAGGAATCTGGCTGAAAAAGTGTCCAAGGGCGAGTACTGTTTCCTGAGCCCCTGGTGGGACGAGATCTCCAAAGAGGCCAAAGATCTTGTCTCGAACCTTCTGACATTGGACCCAAGCAAGCGGTACACTCTTGATGAGATTCTGCAACACCCTTGGATCTTGCAGAACTCGCAAATCACCGAGCCTGCGTTTGATGCTCCGCCTCCAACCACCCACAACTCTCAGCTATACCAACACTTCAACGACACTTCTGAGAGTTTGCAGACCCCAAGGGCCGAGGCTATCAAACTAATGTTTGACACCAGTGCTGCAATGCATGCGGGAGGAAACAATATGTTAGCTGCCACAGCGGTTGGCAGTCCCAGCCATCTCACGGCTTTTGGAATTGTCGAGGAGGAAAACGAAGACATGGATGTGATAAAAACAAATGCTCAGCATCACATTGACCATGGCTCCATATATGACTCCTCGATATCTGACTCTGATAGTGATTCCGACTCGAACTCCAATTGGGATCACCCTAGCAAATCGCCCATGATGAGAAGACGGATGTCGTCTTCGAGCATCGTGAAACCCAGACGGCAATCCACAGTCTCGTTTCTGGACTCTGTCAAACCAAGACAACTGTCCAGAGGTCATCATAACGACATTCCTCGAACACCTGATCCGAGCAGGAGCGTTTCCAGTTCTCTGACAATGCAAACCTCGGAATCTTTTGACTTGAAGATTGGAGGCTCGACCATGCTGTTGAGAAGAAAACGTGTTGGCTCTTCTGGATGTGGCCCCAAGGCACCCGAGGACGATCCGTCGCCTTCTGAGCTTGATCCTCCTCTGGCTTCTGCTATTTATTGAGAAAAAAATCGAAGGACTCAACCTGTTTGGAACGGGTAGTGCTCTTATACGGCGCTCCAAGTATGGCATGGCAACTATGACAATCCAAATATGGCCCTTACAATCCTTTGCAATATCTCACACACACTCCCTTCCTATATTCACGGCCTGATAACCTGACAATAACGACTCACGAAACAATCGCTACCTGATAACGCAAACTACGAACGAGCCGAAGCGCAAGTGCACTTTTTTTTACTTCATTTTCATCACTACATCGGCCAGCATCTCTGTCTATGCCTTACATCATATTTGATGTCGTTTTTTTGTATATTTCATCCGAATCATCTCTTTCTATACGTAACACTCATATGCTCGACTCATTTTGTAGCAAACAAGCAATGTCATTAGCTCTTTTTTGAGACAAATTAGTGTCTTTCATTTGCAAAAACCGTTGCTCTCTCCATATGGCTGATCAATACTGCAAATCTGTAAATCACAGGGATAACTGTGCTCATCAACCAAATTCCTGTTAATTCCATCGTTCAATTCGTACCTTTCTAATCCACTCTCCAGGTCTTGACAGATTCCACTAGAGACATGGCGCCGAGCCACCCTCGTGGATGCTCTTTGGCGGTCAATTTCCAGCTTCCAAGATTCGTTCGGTGCCTTTGTTGAGCTAAGACACGTCTGTATTCGGCACCAAGGCTCCTGCTTCAATAGGAGATACAATCCTTCCACAATCAAAATCCGCGTGGTTGATGCGATTTTGATCCCGTTCAAGGTTGGATCCTTGAGGGCGTGATCAAAATCGGGAATGTAGATATCGGGTATTCCGGTAGCTTTTCCCGGGAGTATGTCATACTTGCCGAGCTTGTGGTCTCGAGGCTTGCCTTTATTGAGCCTGACGTCTCCAGACTCACACCTCGTCTGGTTGTCTCCTTGACCTCCATCTTGTATATCTGAAATATCGATGCATGTATCTGTCAAGAGCTCAATCAACGTCACCACCATGGTCGAATCAAATGTGAAAGGCGAACCTCTTCTCAAAATCGCAAACTCCGGATCCTCAAATTTCTTCAGCGTTGCTACTGGCAAGTGAAAACCATCCATTGGAATCACCTGTGCTAGTTCTGGCTCAGGTTCCTCAGAACTCTCGTGACTCTCGGGACTAAGTGAAGAATCTATCTCGATAGTGGTGCCTCTTCCGTGTATCACCCTCCTATCGCCTTCAGTTTGCAGCCTCGGTGGAAAGTTCTCATCTTCAACGGATATGACATCTTCAGGGTCGAATTTTGTGAATCTCCCCAATTGCTTGATTAAAACATCCCGAACAAGAAATTCGCTCGATTTTAAATTCAACTTTCCCTTGTTAGTATGTTGGTCGTAGCTATCGCCATCGCTTCCGCACGCGATTCCATCCATTGTGCCCGAATCACTTTCTAGACTTGATGCATGTCTATGCTTTTTGTATTCTTTATTTATTCTTTCAACTACCTTGTCCGAAAGTGTAGACTTTCCACTGCCGGGGGATCCAATCACTAGTACTATAACTCTGTACCGATTGGAAGCCTCCAGTAGATCCACTGCCCTCCTGGCCAGTTGATCGTACGTTGTATCCATTCCCTGAATTTGTGATATGTCTATATGCGTTTGTATGGTCTAATTGAAATTCATACTTGATTCCGAGGGGAATTGGAACGAGGCTTAACCCAGTGTATACAGGAAGAGTCATTAGGCAGTACGGTATCTTGTGGAGGCCAAGCAGATACTGGGACGATAGATGGATTATGTAATACGCGCGGATTGGCAATGCAACTGATTATGTAATCATGTGGTTTTGTTTGATTACGTAAGATTACCAGGAGAATCCCATTCCCATTGGGTTTTTCTTGTGCTTTACACTATGCATAATCTAAGCTTGATTGTTTATATTACTGAGGATTTAGCCAAATGCCGTTATCGCTAACGTGACAATCATACCTTATCCTCTATAATGCGCCAGCGCACTGTTTCTTTGCGAACAAATCGTTGAAAGGCACATCTTCATCGTTTGTGTCATTAGCCCATTCCTGCAAATCTTTGAAGATTCTCGAGGAAATTTCCAGATCCACCATGAGTTCGAACTCTTTGATTCTCCTGTCGACAATCTCGCATCCTTCCACTAAAAGAGGGACCTGAGTACGACCTGAGACTTGGCATGGTCTTTTGGGGTTAATCTGCTTGGATTTTCTGAACGTCACCAGAGATTTGAAGTCTGTGATGTTAACACATCCTCTTAACTCCAAAACGTTCAAATGAGGAAAAACTCCAGTGCCTTGCGCGATCTCGTGACCAACGCCGTTAAAAGAAGCATTCCCATTATCACGACTGAAATCCCTGTCGTTGAGCTCCAATACTCTTGGAATTCCGTGATTTGACAATTTGTAACAGTTGTTCAACGAGAGTCTTTCTATGTGATCGTTCTTATACTTGAAGATCTCCCATATCGTTCCATCCGTCACATGGCATCCTGCCAATCCCAATGTCCTTATCTGGGTGTAACGGCATATGGCGGAAATTCCTGTGTCCGTGATTAGCTCACCGCGTGAATGTCTGCCTACATTCAATGTGTGCAGTTTGGAGCAGTTAAGCGCTATGGAATAGATACCTGCATCCGTAACCAATTCGCATGCTCTGATGTCCAAGATCTCCAGATTTGGACAGTTGATACTCACCATCTTGAGAAAGTTGTCATCCACCATTTTCGAGCATGGAATGACAAGTTTAGTGATATTTCCGTTGGCAAACATGCTCTGGGGTGGAAGAAGATATGGACATATGTAGAACTCTATCCAGTTCAAATTGATCATCTTGGTGTTGTCGCAGATGAAGTCGAGATGCTTCTGTTTGGCTCCTTTCAGTTTGTTGCAGATGAAGGTGCGAGTGGAGGAATTGTAACCAGGTTGGCAACTGATGGTGTCAAAATTATCACCTTCAACATTATATATATTGGGTCCCTCTCCTTGGTTCTTTCTCGCTTTCTGGTAATACGACTCAAAATGCTCATCCGTCGTAAATATCAACTTTCTCTCCAACATCTCCAACGTAACCTTATACCATAGCTTATTCACTAGCAAGCAACTGTAAAGATCACTGTTTCCAATATTGTTTCCAGCGTTGTTGTTCATGTTCTCAGACTCCCATGCTCTGGTCGCGTCCTTCACATTACCATGAATGATTAACGAGTGTTGGAAACTCATTGGCTTTCTCCTGATGGGACTCACCTCCTGAGGAACCCTGCTGTCTTTCTCCACGAACGACAGGATTTTCGCGAGTATCTCTGGGATTTCGAAAATCTTATGTGGTGTTCCCAAATTCGCATTCACGCTGTTGCTATCCATACCAGACGACGAGCTGATTCTCATCTTCTCAAAGCTCGAGCAACACTCAGACGTATCTTTGAATATGGGGTAAAATCTAGAAAGAGTCTCGTTGAAAGACGACACTCTCTTCACTGAAGGGGTCTCGTCTTGCTCTAAAGACCTTTTCGTGGATCTCTTGAACGTGGTGGTGATGCAGCTGTCGCTCTGATTAGCCACCGACAAAGGGTTTGTCTTGAAAGCAGATGTGTAATTGAATGACATCCTTAACCTTAATATAGAATCAAGAGCTGCACTTGGAATATTTCCTTTCACGGAATTCAATTAAGGTTGAACTGGTCTTAATTGGCAAAAAAGTCAAACTCCGTCTTTCAAAATAAATGCTCGGCAACTCTAAAGATTGATGCAATTAAGGTATCAGTATTGATGCAGTATGCAAGATAGATGTGATGAGCCCCGAGAAAACGAAACTTGTTGCGTGTTCGTTATAGAGATGGTATGAGCTAGATTTAATGCTCACGCGTGTTCCTGGGAAAATAATTGGAAAGATTGTTGTAATAAAACGAGTGTGGGACAGTTGGTGGAGGTGCGGAGGGTGCGGTGGTGCTATAAAGCCGGTGAAAGGAATGTATCAGGGTGAGAACCAACAAGCAGAACAAAAATTCAAATATGAAAAACAAAAAGTGCTAATTAGGAAAACTCTAGAGGTACCACACTGAGGAAGCGAAAGGAACTACATTGGTTTATAAGGGCATAACCACCAAATTCCTCTTTTTTTTTGTTAGAGGTGGCTAACAAAATATCGATGTAAGTGTAAGGATTAAAACCCAGCCTGCTTTTCGATTTGCAGAGGCTGGGTTTGTATCTGCACACATTGCATAGCCGTGCGTCAGGTCGTTATGCACGGAATATGCAGTTTTCACCGATTGGTTTAAGGTCGTGGGCAAGCCCCCTTTTACAATGGGAGGCAGTGGCTGGTGGTTTGAGTCGTTTCCAGAGTGTTATCCAAGGCCCTAGTAAATTAAGTTCTCTTGTTGTCATGGTGTTGAATTTGGGCCGTATTAGGGTCTGTCATCAAAACCGGCAAATGTAGTTAGGTGAAGTCAGGTTGTAGATCCTAAAGCAAGTTTATTTCTTCTCCACTTAGGTTAAATTTACTTTTATTTGGCTTGATATATTTGGTCAGTCATGGTTGACCATAGCAACACCTGCTGCACCACTCTGATGTCGAACAGTTTATCGTATTCCATATTCAGCTATTCTAGTCTATTGAGTATCGCATTGTGAAACAGATGGCGTGTAAGCCTATGTTTTCTATGTATTTCTGTATCATGTGACATTAAAGTTGTGCCAACTCTGTATCTTCGTGAAACCTGACACTATTGCTCCTCTGTCTATTTGCCTCAGCTTTTGGGTATCCCAGCTTTCTATAATGGAAGAACTGATATGTAATCACCAGGTTCAAACTCATCTGGAAGAACGCCGCGATCACGAAGATGGTGGAGATGTTATTGGTGCCATACAACAAATAACTGATCTTGGTCAAATCTCCTCCAAGCCAACTCAATAGCAAAATCGTCCTGAAGCCTTCCACACTTTTTAGTCTGTTGAACAGAAGGATCTGTGGCAGAGGCAAAGAAGATTCCACCATAAAGGAACACGATCCAAGAATCATTCCGAAGGTCTCGTTCTTCCAGAATATCGCTTCCAACACTGCGACTACCGCCACAAACCCCAATAAGAACTTCCAATACGTTGACTCGGATCTCCATTGCCAGAACTTGAAGGGTCTTTTGTATATTCCGTTGAAAAAGCTCAGAAAACGCCCGAAAACACACGAAAGAATGTAACCGACGCAAGAGACGAACTCTCTGATTGCGATGAAAACAAAATCAAAGAAGTTGAGTACCATTTCTTGAATACCAGACGAACCCGACAACGAATCAAATTTGCTTTGGAGATATTTCACCGATTTATCGGCCCGGTCGATGATGTCCGGAACGGCAGATGGGTATTCATCGAGCTCATCAAACTCCAAGGACCGGAACTTTAGTGCCGTCCGTAGCAAAATCACCTGAATAAAAATCATCGTGAAACATTGTCTCAGCAAGGAGATTTCAAAAGGATCGGAAATGAAGAAGAATATTCGGAGAACGCTGGCGATCAACATCGTACAACATATGTCCATGGAAAACCCGGCGGACGACTTGTCCCTTTGGATTCCTATTATAGTTGAGCCGTAACTTATCAGTGGTGTGAACGACATAAGCCAGTTTATGGCCGTTTGTAACTGTGGAAGGTACTCTGGCGGTAGTATGAGATAAGCCATGATGTGGAGAGGCGTAGTCTATGTTTCGGAATCGGTCTATATTAGTATGTATTATATCCGCATGAAAACTGGCCGTTGTCTATGATCACTATTATAAGGCCGAACACTCCGCTTTTCTCTCTCAAAACCAGATAGTGCACAAAGGATGCGTGAAAAGAGCTTGTTTGTTACAACGCTATTTTTACACGCGGTTGACACCGACCAGCCTTGTCATCGGTTTGAAGGTCACGTGATGTATATTTGCCCTGTGGAAATGGGCCAGGAAAAGTCTATACGTTTGACTTTCAGTCGTTATGGAAGTCGTATCTTTTTAGTTAAGGTTATCTAATTTTCTTGCCCAAAATTATATAGCTTGCGAGCCTTATTTTTCCCCACCTTTGACAGATATTTAGGGTTTGGCAGCCTCCCGTATTTAGTTGAGAGAGTCCAAGAACTTTCTAGTTTGGGTTCCCAGACCTGTTTAGAGATCCTTTTAAGCTTCTCATTTATTTTTGACATTGCTATCCTTTTTCTCTCCACCTATGGCTGTCTGACCTCGAGAGTAAACCAAAGTACCCACAAACACTAGGGCGATCCCGACTGCAGATCCCGCATTCAGCCTGTTGCCAAAAACAGCCATGCTAATCATAAGACTGGCAAACTTCCTCAGCAACAAAATGATGGAGACATTGAGAGCGTTCGTCGAGCTCGCCAGTTGATTGACGCCGTAAACGCACAGAAACTGGGTGACGCAATTGATGGACAGATACTTCAGTATCACGTGTTGCGTGGTTGGTGGCTCGTTCATTATCCGGGTTATCTCGCTCCGGAGCGTAGACACCACGAAAAGGAACAATGGCAATCCGTAAAAATGCGAGTAGAACAAGTTCTGTTTCCAATTAGACTTGCCGTATTTGAGATATGTCCTTTCTGTGAAAAGCCCCATCACACAACCGATGGCAGTTGAGAAGAATAGCAGAGAAACTCCCACGAGTTTCCTCAAATTCGCAGTCTGAGCCTCGTGCACATAAGCCTCATTCTTTTCTTTGGTTGTTGTCAAAGTCACTATGATTACCCCCGTAGTAAGCACGATAGCCCCCAGGATCTGTTGTCTGGTGTAACGCTTGTGGAACCATCCCCAGCCCACCAACATGGTGATGGGGGTTCCACTTGATCTGAGCACAATGTGCACCGGGACTGAGATCCCAAATTGGAATACCAGATTGTTAAGTATATTGGTCACAAAAAACGACGCATTTTGCAGAAAGTGCACTTTCAGAGGAAGATTGGATTTTGGTAGGTACAGACCATTTCTGAGATCGGCCACCAAAAAGTACGAGATTCCTGACACCACCAAGAATTGAGCAAACGTCACCAATGTGGACGAAATCCCAGTTGTTTGAACCAGATTCTCCAGAGACAACACATTAGAACAACATCCCCCAAACACGAACGCCAACGGCAGCATGGCTGGCGCAATCGCAATGGTGTCCCGTAAGCGGCGCGCTAACTAATTACTTCAAACTAATCAGTTGAAACGCTCTCCCGCTGCAAGCCACCCCCTCGCAGAAATCAGCCTCAGATCAACAATGTGTTGCACTCGTTATGCTTATGGTGCAGATTATTAACGTTTCGTTTGTGTCGTTTGTCCCGATTTGGGTGATTGAAATAGTCGAATTTAAAGACCCGGGGGGCTGGTGATGCACGGGGAAGAGATGGCTGGTTTGGAAAATGGGAAGGACACTACACTATCTATCAGATCTTGACAAGTGTGTATGTGGCTATTGTTCAAGCCGTGGATGGAAATCTAGGTAAAAATACTAACTGAAAAGGTCAAAATTGCCGTGTTTCATTCAATTTGTAATACTCTTTGCAATGACTGATCCACACATGCTTCCTCCCATTGATGACTTCCGATTATCTAGCATTCTGAATCATCTAGAGGACGACAATGCTGAAAGCGATAAGGGAGCAGTCCTAAGACACGTCGTCAACTCAATCGTTAAGGTGGATCAGAATTATGTCAATGACATTGCGTTCGAGCTGGAACGGCTGTTTTTGAAGGTGGAACTGGAGGACATCATCAAGCAGAGGATGGACCGTCTCAGATCCTCCATTCAGAAAAATGACAAATTTCTGACGATGCAATTGCAGGAGTTGAAACAGACGCGAACGAGTTCGTTCAACTCGTATCTGTTTCCCAATATGTCACACAGCAGTTTGGGGAGCCACACTTTGGGGAACCACAGTGCTGATGATCTGGGACACGATGCGTTCGATCCCCAGACAGACGTGTTGGATCTGAAGGAATTGCACGAGTTGACGCTTGAATCGAAAAAAAGGTTCCAGCGAATCACGATGAAGATGAAGACAATTGAATCAAACCTGCCGAGAAGAGACAGGCTGTTTGTGACGAATTCTCCCCACAGACATCATTACCCTCGTTTGGCGAAGTTCGGGCTTCAAGAGGAGGCAAGTCCCCGAGAAGATCATTTGGCCGGAGAAGCAAGTTCTGGTGCTGCATCTCACGAAGAACCATTAGCTGATCCCGTAGAACCTATCAGTGATATCAAATTGAACCAATACATCCAGCTGGAGCAGGAGTTGAGCGAACTGGAAAGACAGTCAAAGACACCACCAAGCAGACGAACGCATCCAATGGGACTCGCGACTTTGGGCATATCTCCTATCAGAAAAGACAGTGTTAATCCAACAAGTCTGCTTCTTGGAATAAACCATATGACTCAAAAATCCAACGTGGAACTCAACTCGGAGACCGTTCTGGTCAAGGACTTGAGTGCCAACGAAGTCACAAATAACGACAACTACATTGATGATCTGAAAAAATATATCCATAACTGAAAATACACAAACTGAAGAGTCTTATACCCATTTTTCACAACTTTGGCTTCACAAATGCATCAACCATCTTTCTCCTTTGAATCTTACCAGTAGCCGTCTTTGGCAACTTACTGACAAAATAGAACCTCTGAGGAACTTTGAAACTTGAAAGTTTCGTACTCAAGTACTCGTGAAGTTGCTTGTCTGTTAGTTTAGAGCCAGGCTTTAGTACTATCGCAGCATGAACAACTTGACCATATTTGGCATCGTCAACTCCAAAGGCAACAGCCTCGTCTACATCTGGATGGCCCAACATGACTCCATCCAACTCAATGGGCGATATCTTCTCACCACCACGATTGATCAACTCCTTAATTCTCCCAGTCAAGATAACATAACCGCGTTCAATTTTTCCCTGGTCGCCAGTGCGGAAGAATTGCTTTCCCTTAGAATGGACAAACGTGAATGCCTCCCGGTTGGCCTTCTCGTTGTTGATGTAGCCGGACGTAACGTTGGATCCACATATAGACACTTCACCGACAACTCCCTCGGGAACAGCGTATCCGTCATCGTCTAGAATGATCACTTCTACTCCTTGACCAACCCCAATGGTACCTGGGGACCGTTCTAGTCCCTTTCCAGGAAGGTTGTTGGAGGTCATCTGATGGGCAGCCTCGGTCATGGCATAAGCCTCCAGAACTGGGGCCTTAAATGTCGCCTCTAGCTTGTGAAACGTGGGGGGAGCAAGCGCACTGGAACAGGATCTGATGAATCTGATTTTGGGCAAATGCTCGGGCACTTTTGTGTTCAACAGGATCATGTGGATGGTGGGAACAGCAGAGTACCAATTCGCCCTATACTCAATGAAATCGTCCCAGAACAGGTGGGCTGAAAACTTTGGTGGAATAATCACAGAACCACCCGAATAAAGTGTGGAAAGAAATGCACCAATCAGGCCATGAACATGGAATAATGGCATCACCAGGTATGTCCTATCTGAGGGGCTGAGGTCGTATGTGTGTGTGATGTTCTTCATAGAGGTCACGATATTCAAGTGGGTCAAGGGAACAGCCTTGGGTCTTCCAGTGGTTCCAGATGTGTGCAATATCATGGCTACATCGCCCGGAGAACAGTTTCCAGGAAGCTCAACCGCATGATTTTGTAAGGTGGGTTTTCCAATGGAGGTATATTCCACAGTTAGAAACTTTTCATGGTACACCTCGAACTCCAGCCTTCTCAATGAGTGGTCCCACCATATCTCGATCAGTTTCGCCTTGTTTGCCTTAGCAGACTTGCAAATCTCAAGACCAGTGTCCAGATGGGTTCCTTTCTTGACCACAACAGCAGGCGCCTTAAGATCCTCGAGATAAAAGTCAAACTCCTCCTTCTTGTAGTTGGAGTTGAGCGGGGCAGCTATGCGGCCAGCAGTGGTAGTAGCCAGAAACGAAACAGCAAACTCCAAACTATTCGGCAAAGAGATCGCAATTGCCGATTGAAGAGGTGCAATTGATCTCAATGGTTCTGCGTAAAATAGCTGCTGGAATTGTGCAATTAGCGAACTCAGGTCTCTGTATGTCAAGGTCACGGTCTCTGCTCCTGGGATGATAATGGCAGGTGAATCATTGACCCCTATGACTTTTCTGAAAGTTGACATATTATCAAATTATATGAGTCTCTGCAGCTAAACTGTGAAGAGCTATCGAGAAAGATCTCAGCAAAATGTCAGTTGTTTGATGCTAAATCTCGGAGAACAAAGAAGCAGCCAACTGCCCACACTTGCGTAATGTTAGTGATCCGGTCTTACATCATCTTTCGTGACCTCACACTACGCCGAATGCTCCGGAATATAAAAGAGTGTTTTTGAGCGTTTCAAAATATGCAATGGGGTTATATGTACATAATGAAGCCAGATTTCAGAATTTCCGTGCTTCTTCCGACTATATTCAGCCGTTGGTGTTTTTTGCAGACTGTTTTCACGCTGTTCTCACACTCTTTCCAGTAGGTCTCTGCCGTATCTGCGGTCTATCTCTGGCCTATCTCCTTATTCCCAACTTATCATCGCTGTACACCTTACAGCTCCTTCTTGGGCTCAACAACTTCTCTCTCTGGAATAACTGGCCCGACAGCACTAGATGGCCATTCTGCATTCAGTATACCGGCTTTCTTGAATAACCTCGTCACCGTGTCCGTTGGCTGTGCTCCCACAGATATCCAATATTTCGACTTGTCAAAATCCAGCTTGATATCCTTGATTGGTCTCTCTCCCTTCAGCTTCTGCTCCGGTGTCAAAGGCAAAGGAACTGGGTTGTAGGTCCCAATCACCTCTATTGGTTTGGCATCTCTGGCCTTTTTGGCCTTGGTCACAACTATATTGTACACAGGCTGGTGTCTTCTACCAAACCTGGCAAGCCTTATTCTGACGATTCCCTTCATGTTGTTGTGTTTTATATAGCGTACAGGCACTAGCATGGATCGAACCTAAGCTATCCAAAGAAATTTCAACGTCGAGAGTGCGTGAGTAAATTGGTAACTCGTACACGACTACGGGTTCAAAATTGTGAGAGTGGTTGTGTACTTATTAATAAATATGCCGAGTGCGGCATCGAGTTTGAAGGGACAAAACATGCAGGCTGCGGGGCAGAGCTTTAAAAATCTTGTGCATCACTTATCCGACAGACCAGTTTTGTTCCTAAAACCGGGAAAAAAAAAAGACCAACGTCTCAGAGTTGATCAATAAGCAATATTGGAAAGTTAGCACTCCAAAAAATCAAAAACAAGCTGTCAAAATTACCACAATCTGAAAAGATTCTCCACCGTTTTCAGCTTCAAATTCCACTATCTCCCTTGGCCACTTCTTTGAAGTTCCCGTGGAAAATGTTGTAAAAGTCTCTTTTAATGTTCTTGATGTTGATGGCTATGAGAACTGAGGTGGGCTTGGAGAAAATATCGTCAATCTCTTCCAAACTTTTACCCTTCGTCTCTGGAACCAACAACAGCTGGTAGATCCAACCAACGAACGCAATACCTCCATAAAACCCAAGTGTCAAACCAGTATAGGTAAAGGCCTCGGTCATCCTGGTAAAGTTGTAAGTAATGATGAAAGAACACAGGTACAACAAACCCGAAGAGCAGGTCATACCGTAAGATCTTAGATACGTAGGATATACCTCGGCTGGTACGACCCAGGTCAAACAGCCATAGGATCCAAAGAACAACATATATAGAATGACTCCGGTAAGATAAACGCCTTTGGAGGCTGGATTGTCTAGGGGAATCAAGTATCCAATACCAACCAAGAGCAAACCGAGAAATTGTCCGGGCAGCATGGTGTTGGCCCAAAACCTTCTGCCACAATAATCCATATACAGCGTACCAGGAAGGGTACCAAACATCAAAGATGCGCCTCCAACGAGTGACATATTCACAGCATTCTTGTCACTAAAGCCAATGTTTTTCATCAAAGTAGACATGTAGTACATCACACCATTCACACCTGTGAACTGGCCCAGAAAGATCATGATGTTGGCGTAAATGAGTGATCTCCTACATCTGGGTACAGTGAAGAAGTCCAACCACATCATCCGTTTATTGGAATGGGCTTCTGAGGCCTCCTGTTGTTCCAATTGCTGGATCATGTCCAAAAACTCAATCTTATTGATGACGTCGTCCATATCACGAAGCCTTTTCCAAACACCATATGCCAGGCCGACTTTGCCTTTGTGGACAAGATATCTGGGCGATTCGGGCAAGAAGAACATACCAATAAACAGGATGGTAGAAAACACCAGGGAAGAACCAAAAATGAATCTCCATCCTCCGTGGACGTCTTCAAACATTGCTCCTATACAATAGCCAAAAACTTCACCAACAGCAATAAACAGCTGATAAAGCGAAACCATTCTACCTCTGAAAGCACTGGGAGCACATTCCGATACGTAAGCTGGAACAACTGATTCCAACCCGATACCAACCCCGACGATGAATCTACCAGCATACAACATGCCCGTATCAATGGAACCAGCACATAACGCCGCACCAATAGTGTAAGCGATACAGGATCCGATGATCGAGGTTCTTCTTCCAACAGCCTCGTTCAAGGGAGACATGATGATGGAGCCAGCGACTGCACCCAGACCCATCAGAGAAGAAACCAGAGATTGTTCATGGCTATTAGCATTGAGAGCGCCTGGATATTGCAGCGCAGCACCAGAAATCAACGATTGATCACAACCAGAAAGAATTCCCGCTACCGAGGCAAAAATGGCAAGCATGTACGCCATGTGTGTTTTGTTTTTGAAATGGATTTTGATCTCGAGAGATACCATTTTGTCGTAGAAACTCATATTTTCCTGTGACTCCTGGTACATTTGCTCATACTTTAGAAAATACTCATCAAGATCTACGCCGTGGAGTTTCTCCAAGGCTTCTATTTTCTCTGCAGCATTGTCAGTCTTGACATCTATTTCTGAAATGTTGGATACCTGAGAGGTAACGTTCTTTAAGTGGGACATGCTGAATTTGAAAGTTTAACCAAACGAAGACTTTAGGATTATTCCTTGGATAGGAGAATAGTAATAAATATTAGATTCAAGCGGATCTCCGTAGACATTTATACTCCTGTTAAAATTTACCATTTAGCGCAAGCTACAGTGAAACTACCCTGTGTAGCCTGGACAGGGTTCCCTCAGCAGATACAATGCAGATTAGACATGCAGACCCCCACAGGTGCAGATTACGTCGTGGAGTAGAAGCGACAGCAATGCAGGCTCAGAAGAATTTTGCATGAAATTTTGTCCAGCTCTGATATTTAACCACACGCCATGACGTATTTACGGCGAACTGTCCTGTTCTCCTATCACTATCATGAGACGCGTTTCAGAGGGTGACTGACTAAGTAGCTCAGAGAAACAGCAACTCAGTGGCAGGATCACTCGGATACTTCGGTGAGGTGAACTTATTCGCGCGTCTTTATTTCCTGAAAGAGCCCCGCTTTCAAGAGTCAAACCGATATTTTCTACATCCTCTTTGGCGGTCTTCTTGACGCGGCTGAAAATACCCACCCCATGAGATATTTCTCGCTAATTATGTAGTTTCAATCAGTTAGGCCAGGTAAAGCCAGATTAGTGTTCTTGATTCAAAACAATTCTCTCAAGCCTACTCCATGTTTTCAATTCCAGCTCATTCATCATCAACCCACCGGGGTAGGCTGAGAGCGCAGCCTACAACATGCAGGTGCCGGCATGTATTCAGCACAATGTGTGCAGCGTCTGACACTGCCGGCAAACTCAATCACCTCACCAGTAAGGTTTAAAGGTTAACACCCAATGGGGTAGGCCAATCCGGTGTTAATGGTGGGATAACTGGTGGGGGGACTGAGGGACACTTAGCGCACTATGGTACCCCGCATACTTATGTTCCATAATATGATCGTATGACGGTATCCTAAGTAAATATGGACTAAAGCAACCAGTGAAATAGAAATGATCGGCAGCATCTGAAGACGCCGATCATTTATTTTTGCGATATTATTATGTTTGTTAATCGAGTCCATTACGCAAGCATGCTGTGAGCTGGTACATTGTGGTAGTGTCATCGCGGGCATATCGAAAATCTAGGATGGATTTCCGGGCCCTCCTTAACTCATCAAAAAGAGTCGTGCATTACCATAAGGTAGTGTCTTGCTGATTTGATTTTTTTTTTTAGAAAATATTTCATGTGCGGATTTGCAGGTGTGCACTCTCACTACTATTTTCCAGGAACATACTCGCATTCTAGAATATCTTGTTAGTGCAATGGACTCTACAAATGGCGAGGGTGTCTCTATTGAGGACAAGCTGGACCGTATAAGGTTGCAGATCAACTCAAAGCTGGACAACCAGAAACAACTGGCCATCATTCTATCAGCTGTCGAGGAGAACATCGAGGAGCAGAAGACCAAGAAGAGTGAGGTTGCCTACTTTGTCTCTTTTCTAGGACTTTTGCAGCAGAGTATTCAAAATGATGAAATTGTGGACTTGAGCTTGGCCACGGTGTCGGCATACTTCTTGGACTTGTTCTTCCCATATCTTCCAGCACAACTGCTGAAGTCGAGGTTTTCAGATATACTCACCATGTTGGCCCCTGCCTTGACGAATGAGGCCTCGGAAGCCCCTTTGATTAGATCTTCTGTTGGTGCTTTGGAAGCCTTGCTGTTGGCCCAGGATCATGCCTCGTGGGGATCCAATGTGAGTGTCTCTCCAAGAAGAGGTTTGTACGGTCTATTGGAGCTGTCATTGGACCCAAGACCAAAAGTCAGAAAGAGAGCTCAGGAAGCCGTCCATAAGATCCTGTCACTGCCACCACCTGGCCCAACTGTGGAGCATCCTGCTGCCAACTTGCCAGCCGAGTTTGTGCTGGAATCCTTGGTGGAGCTGTTGAAGAGTAGAAACAAAAATAAGGCCCATACTGATAAAGACCTGAGTTCAAAGATGATCCACAACTTGCAGTTGATCACTTCCATCACATCTGCAAATGCCTGGCCTTCAAGACAAATTGAGCCATTGTGTGATGCCCTATTGGAACTCTCCAAGACCACAGACCAGTATCTGGTTTCCGGTGTTTTCAACGCATTCGAAGGGCTTTTCAGTTCAATGAACGACGAGATTGATAAAGACAGATTTGTTGCCGTTTTGAACATTATTTTCGATTTGAAGCCTTCTGTAAATGATGTGCATCTTGCTGCTTCTTGGTTGGCCGTTGTCGCCAAGGCTGTGAGTTCATACGCCAAGGTGGATTCTTTGGCATGTTTGGCCAAGCTTCCTGATGTCTTTAAAATTGTGATGCAATATTTTGCATCTGATTCTGAGAATATCTACATCAGTGCGTCTCAGTGTTTAATTGCCATTATTGTTGAGGGCATTGAAGACAACTCTTTGCTCCAGCCTTCCAAGTCTAACGGTGTTGATAACCGGACCTACGAAGCTGTTGATGATGTGATTACTGAGATCGCTGAAGTCACGTTGACCCTCTGTGGAGTCAAATACGCACATGCTGCCAAAGAGGTCATGGAGCTGTTGACTGCCATTTTTACGAAGCTGAGGGTTAGATCCAACCCTGATTTCTTGCCTCATTTGGAACAGGTTGGAAATTGGAGATCCGATGAAGAACGTTTCCAGTACAAAGCTGAGGCTGATGCTGTTATTTCCTCGGCTCTTCTTGCTCTTGGACCCGAGGTTGTGATCTCTGTTCTTCCTCTTAACCTGGATAGGCCAGACCAGGTGGGAAGGGCCTGGTTACTGCCATTGTTGAGAGATAATATCAGAAACGCCAAACTCGGCTTCTTCCTCTCATACTTTTCACCATTGTTGGAATTTTTCGCTGAAAAAGTGGAGAATGCGGAGGACAAACAATCCATGCACATCAAGATCTTTCAGACCATCATTGATCAAGTGTGGTCTCTCTTGCCACACTTTTGTGACTTGCCATTAGACCTCAGATCAAGTTTCACAGACGAATTTGCTGCAAAACTGTCGGGATTGCTGTATGAAAAAGTTGAACTCCGTGTGACCATCTGCCATTCTTTGAAGCTGCTCGTGGAGAGTAACCTTGCATATGCAGATGGTGCATTGACCGATGACCTAATGATGCAGCAACAATTTCCAGAAAGTGAGGCCAAAAAGAACGTCAAATATTTGGCAGCAAAGGCCTCGAAGATTCTTTCGGTTCTTTTCAACGTTTTCACGCAGACCGCTGCTTCGTCCAGGGGATATGTTCTGGAGACCATCGATGCCTACCTGCAGATCACTCCCAAGGATGAACTGGAAGCCACCTTCAACAAAGTTTGTGGAATCCTTAAAAATGCCATGGATGAAGAAGCTTCTGGAAAACCTTCGCAGAAGAAGGAATCTGTTGATTTCCCCAAAATGAGCATCACTATGATGGACCTGGTGGTTGCCATGTCCAAGTATGTTCCTGAGACGTCGCACAATGCCCTGCTGACAATTTTCAACCAAACTCTTACATACCAAGATGCTTCCATTCAGAAGCGTTCTTATCGTATCTTGACAAAAATGTTCGAAACTGAGGCCGGTGTTGAGTCTGCGAAGAAGTACTTGAGAGACATTGAGAGCTCCATCATTGCCTCCACAGATTCTTTGATAGCCACAGCCAAGGCCTCGCGATTAGCTGCAATTGTTGCCATTATTGACATTTTGCCTTCGTCGGATCTGTTTTTCATTCCTTCAGTGCTATCAGAAATTATTATGGCAACCAAGAACGTGAATGAGAAGACCAGAGAATTGTCCTATGCGGCCCTCATCAAGATGGGTAATAAGATGGAGGAGGGCGGTGTCATTGAGAATTCCAAGGTTCCTTCAATGGATCCAGAAATGCCTGATTCAGAGGCTAATTTAGAAACTTATTTCACCATGTGTTCTGCTGGTTTGGTGGGTTCTACTCCTCATATGGTCAGTGCTGCCATCACTGCCATGAGCTGTCTGCTCTACGAATTTCGTCCCAGAATGAACACCGAGCTGTTGTTAGAGATATCCACCACCGTTGAGCTGTTTTTGGAGTCTAACAACAGAGAAGTTGTCAAATCTGCAATTGGTTTCGTGAAGGTTGCCGTTCTGACCTTGCCAATTGAGATTGTTGCCGGTAACCTTGGCGCTTTACTGCCTAACTTGATGAGATGGTCCCACGAACATAAGGGACATTTCAAATCGAAAATAAAGCATATCATTGAGAGAATGATCAGAAGATTTGGCTACGATACCATTGAAGCCAATTTCCCAGAAGAAGACAAGAAACTGCTGCTGAACATCAAGAAGTCCAAGGACAGAGCCAAGAGGAAGCAGCAGCAAGAGCCTGAGCAGGAGAAGAGAACTGAGGCTAAGACGACATATGCTTCTGCCTACGATGAGGCTCTCTACAAATCCTCGGACGAGGAAGATTCAGATGAAGAAATGGAGGAGGCACAGGCACCTAGAAGAGGTGATCATGGCAATAACAGGTACATCTCTGAGTCCAAGGGTGCTCCTCTGGATTTGCTTGATCGTCAAGCGATTTCGCGTATCACGTCTTCCAATCCTAAAAATGCCCGCAAACCAAATTCCAATGCCTCAAACTTCAAGTCCAGAAACGGCAGAATTGTTATTGATGCTGGTGAAGATGAGGATCCATTCAAGGGTAAGGACTCTGGCTTGAATGCCTATGTGGAAGCTGTGAAGCAGGGCCCGGTTAGGGGACAAAGGAACAAGCTCAAGTTCAAAAGAGGTAAAAATGCTCGTGATGATGATTTCGGTGATGATGATGAAGACGACAAGCCGGTTTCGAGACCAAATGGCAGAGGAAACTCCTTTGCTGGTTCTCGTGGTGGAAGAGTTAGCAAGCCAAGAGGAGGAGGCCCGCCAAGAGGAGGTCCCAAATTCAAGTCCAGAAAGAAGTTGTAAGATTAAAGATTTTAATACGATATTAAAGAAGTTGATAAGATATTAAACAAGTTTTAAGATAAGAAATTTTAGTAAAGAAAATGTGAGGTCTTCCAAAAGTTGTACTACACATGCTCAGTTTCATAATACATTGCTACCTTCCAGAGATAAGTATATAACATGAAACAGGTAACGGCGCAAGCGTAATGACTTCATAAAACGTATATTCACGATTCTTGCGTTGTCTCAGTCTGGAACTCTCTCTTTTCGACCGATTGGTCAATAGCATTGACTAGCTGAATAGCAGGCTCTTCAGGTTGATCGTTTTCATCTTGGGACAGATCAACACGAACAGAAAAGATCTGGGGGTTCTCTTTATAGATTGCTGAACACTTGCTGATAATCTCTTTCGTGGTGAGCTCTTTGCCGGCTTTGTGAAATTCTCCCATAATATACATCCGCATCAAGTCTTGAGGAACAATGCTGAACTCGTCATGGGACTCTATCAAGGAGTTGAGAACCTCTATGCCCAAAAAGTAGTTTTCACCCTGGTGTGTAGTATCAACGTATGAGTAAGGGTCTTTGCTGTTTTTACTGGCGTTTGCCGGTTTGGCATACAGAATGCTGGGACTCAAGACCGTCGCCAGATTATGGACGTCCATCTTTGATCCCGTCTCTTCATCAATGTGTGCAAAGGTGGCAGACCAACTAAAGAAGTATAGCAAGACCTCCACCACATCTCTGTTCGTCTTTGGCAACATTGAGTATGTCAGTTGCATAATTCTCTTCTTAGTAGCAGGATTCTCGCTGTATTTCTGTGATAGAATCCAAGCATTGTATAGCCTGAAACAGAGCAAGCAATCAGGCATTTCACGGAGAAACTTTTTGAGCAAAGCGGCCAGTTGGATGGGGTTCTCTTTGGAAAAATCTGGCATTTCTTCGGGGTGGCTATCGATCTCCTCACACAAAAGTCTCAACCGTTTAATGTTACCATTAATACGGAAGACACCTTCCACAGATAGATCCATATTGTGCATCGCCGTGACACAGTCATCGATAAACGCTGGAATCTTTAGTTTGTCTGGACCAATACCTAGATCGCTTTCCACCCCATATCTACTGGTCAAGTAGTCTATTGGAACACCGAACACTCCTGAGTTAGTATCCCCGTTCTTCTTCCCAGCTCCAAAGAGCTTGTCCCAGAACGTTGACGGTTTCTTCGTTGTGATGAATCCAAGAACCTCATCCATTGAAAGCTTGTCATTAAGCAGTTTCTGCAGTGCAAATGCAGCAATGTGACCCATTATGAAATGCTCTGTTGAAGTGAGTTCAGCGAACCTCTTCACTTGCGGCTGTGAAGGAGCAACACTTGCCGGAACTTCGGTCAACTTTTCGGGAAGTCCCTGGTTCAAGCTATCTCTGTTCTTGGATCTAACAGGTTTGGCTTTCGGGATAGCAGAAGTCGACTGTAACGGAGCGTTCTTTTGGTACTTGAACGCATTAGGACGATGTTCCCTGGCTTGTTCTGCGGATACGATACGAGGGATGTCATCCAGTGTTAGCCCCTTCTCATTCTTGAGCAAGTTCGAGGTTGATCCTAGATTTGTCGACGAGTTCCGTTTTGTCAGAGGGAAATCTCTTATCTGTAATCTCTTAGAACCCGAATGAGCAAGCGTCGTCTTATTCAACTTCTGGTCACTGGTGAACTCTTCAGTTGCTGCCTTATCGGCTTGTGGGGCTTCGACAATCATTGACCTCCTGGCCTGTTGCTTGGCTGATCTTGATATTTTTTCACCTTGCCTGGTTGAACGCATTCTCTTTATATCGCTCAAAGTTCTGTTGAAAGTCTGTTCCTGAGGTGATTGGATGCTGGCATTCAAAATTGGAGCATCATCACTACACCCAGACTGCTCCAAAGCGTACATCGATCTCACAATTGCAATCTTCAAGATATAAGTGAGCTGCAATAACGATGAAATTTGCTTGAATCCGCGTCTGGAGTCTAGTTCAGAGGTGGCACACTCTGAGCAAAGAATGGTCTTGTGCTCAGAGTTAAACTGTGCTTCACCAATCGATGAGCCTGACAATTTCTTAGAACAGACAGAGCACTGAAAGCAGTCCATATGCCATCTGTGTTCGTCAAATTGGACACAATTCTCCTCGATACTTTGACCGCACTTGGTACACAAGTCTTGTGCTTCTATTGGGATGTTCAAAATTGGGAAAACGTCATCCGGAACGCTTTCATGGGCTGCAATCTCAGCCATGTACCTGTCTGTTGCAGCAGTCGATTTTGCGGCTTTGTTGAAATTGAGAGCTTGGTTCAGACCAAACCTAGACATCAGTTTCAGATAATGAGCCAGATTAGATATTAGTGCCAGCAGGTCCTGCGAAAATTTTGGACTTGTCAGCTTCTCCTTATCAGCATCCTTTAATGCCATCAGGTATGACAATATATTAGTGGATAAACTGCGAGGTTCTTTCTTGAGAGCCAACTGTCTGTAATCGCTTGGGCCATTACTTGAAGTTAGCAGCAAACTGTTTGACAATTGTGAGAGTGCATCCAGCGCTTTGAACAAACATTCAATCTTTAAGATGAGTTTTCCAGTGGCACGCAACCCTCTTATCTTATTTCCAACAGAAGCATGGTATAGCATGTCGGAAATGCAAGAGGCTGCAGATTCTTCGAAAGCGGATAACGTCAGCCAAATTGCCATGGTGATTTCCTCAATCTTTTGTTCTATTTCAAAAAGCTTCGATGGGGGCATTTCTGTATCTGACAGCTTCTTCGAATTTTTTGGAAGCTGAACGTTGACGTTGCCGATTGATTCTGCAGTGATTGTCACTCCCCAGAACTTGTGAACCATGAAACACTCGGGGTGCCATTGTTGCTGTCGTCCTCCACGCCATAGTTCAACATATTGCTTTAAAATGGCTGAGTTACACGCTTCACAGTGAGATGCATACAACTTTGAGTAGTGGTAATGGCAATAGATGGCATTATCGTACTCATAATAATCTTCAGCATCGAAAACTTGGTGGCAGACTTCGCACGAAAAGTGTTCTGGATGAAATTTTCTGTTCAAAGCTGTGATATATGGTCCTCTGATAGCTTTCTGGCATGTGTGGCATATCAGATCTATCCGTCGGAAGTAATCAAACTCACATAGAGGCACTTCTTTCGTCTCTTTCGTAACGGGATCTTGGATATCAGCAGCGAAGAACTTGTTTGAACACTGATTCCCACAGTCATGACAATGAAAGCAGTCCACGTGGTACGTGTTTCCCATTGCTCTCACCAACGTCCCCACTATTGGCTCTCCACAATTCTTGCACAGTTTCTGCGTTTTCTTCTTCGAGTCTTGCAGATTGCCGCTCAGACTCCTCTGCCTAACCGACCTATCGCTGTATTTCCTGGACCTTGGAGAAAAATCTATTTTGTTTGCAGGATCTTCCAACTCCGTTTCGTTGTTATCCGGCGACAATGGAGGTATCAAATTCTTCCAGCCCAACTGCTGAGGATCCTGCCTCTGATTTGAGAACGGGCTGTTGCGCTGGTCTTGCCTCACGCTAAGACGGGAGTCCGATCCAACACGGGACACACTCGTAGGCGTGAGACTCGAAACTGACCTAGTCCCATATGATGAAGGAGAGGGCCCACTCTCGCTCCTCATTGGAGGAGGTGGGGCTTCCCTTGGCCGCTCAAATGCCATGAAAAAAAGACAACCTTGCGTTCAAAAAATGGTCTCAGGCTGAAATTTCAGAATATCAAATAAGAGGGAAATACAACAAACGGTTGTGTTGTTGCGTGTTGTCGTGAGCTTTCTGTGCTGTGTGTGATGTGTATGATGTTGTGCTTCGTATACGAGCTTCCTCTTGTACTTGTATCGTACTTCTGGTGATGATTAATTCACACTTGAAAATCCAACCTCTTATCAATATCTCACAAAACTAAAATTCAAAGAAAGGAATGACTGGACAAAAACGGGTCCTCGCAAAACTGGGCGTAAGGTCCTAACAGATCTGTCTAATTAAAGCCGAACAGCTTGTGAACGCGACTGGGGTAACAAAAATGCGTGAATCTTGGCACTTTTCTTGACCGTCTATTGGTACAAACTAGGGCGAGTGTTCACTTTGTGGAATCCCAGTGACAGTATCAAAAAAACTTGAAGCGTTTGCAGAAAACGCTGTTGTGAAAGAAGAATCCAGGAAGTAACAGCTTGGCCCATTTTTAGTTCGTGAGTTGAATGTTGTGATGATGTCTACAGTCTTTTTCGGGAAATTTTGTTGGTGCACGCTCTCCTAAAACCTGATTTGGCAAGCGGCCGCGGGTTGGGTCCCATTGCAGGTTATATGGGAGATATTAATAGGGTGACCATACGACACAGCCGAAGTACTTGTCCATGCTGAACGCGCAGAACGCAGAACGCTTTTAAAATGGTCTACATCCGAGTCCAGCGGATCATCCGAAAAATTCTGGTTCCATTATTTCCCGGCCTGATTCTCCAAACTCAGGCTCGACGATATTGGGCAAAGAACTGGGCGTGGCCCCCCGAATTTCCCTTTTTGGGCGAGCTTTGGCGGCAAGGCATGATTGCATCATTGATGCCCTTTTGTAAAGAAAATTCATTGCGGGTCCATTTTCGGGCCTCCTATTGGCGATTGGAGATGCAGCTGCGATGTTTTACCTGCATATGTTGAGTATTGATACGCGTATACTGACGAAAATCTATTACGCGTTGGGTTGAATGATTAAACTTACTCTCGTGATATGTTAAGTAGGCGTTTGGGACTTGCATATATCTGCTGAAAAATCGCCTGGTCCCGCATAATGCTTGCCTTCATCCCAGTCTCTTGTACTTTTCCTCTGATTTTTTCTTCTCGTTAGGGTCCAGGTTGTTGATTCCGCCTAACAATGCCTTGGACAAAGCTTCTGTGGTTCCAATCATTGGTCTTATCACCATTATTGGAGCAGCTCTGGCAATCTCGTAGGCTGCTGTTTTTGCACTTCCACTTTCTGCTGCCCTACTGCTCGCACTGGTGATCGCGCCTTTGGCCGAGGAAAGATTCTTTCCAAACGAATCGTAGGCAAGTTTCAATCCCTCTTGGACGTTGTTGGGCTGGTTGGAGTAAAGACTGATGCTCTTCTGGCTTTCTTCGTCTTCGGCCTCCTCGTAACTGCGATATCCATTGCTCGATCTGCGCACTTTGGGCCTGGAGGGCATGTAATTCCTAGACACCTTGTAGTCTTCGTCGTCACTATCGTCCACATCGTTTAGATGACTACTGCGAATATCATGTCTGTTTCCAAAATCAACAGCCGAGGAACTTGACATCTGGTCCTCAAAAGTTGCCCTATCGGTGATGGCATATATGAATTCTTCGTCCCCAGTGCCATCTGAGAACCTGCGTTGGCGCGAGGAAGCTGGAATTGGCACTATATTCCCGGGTGATCCCTGTCTGGAAGAAGATCCTGGTCCACCCAGAGCTCCCTCTGCATTCTCGAGTATCGTCTGGGTCCCAGTGGCCAGTTTAACTCCAAATTTCAGCAACTCGCTGCCGGTGGTCTTCGCAAAAGAATAAGCCCCTTTCTGTATGCTCCTCATGACTCTTCCGTCCTTTTCGTATTCTTTGATCGGTATCGCTACCAAGTTCTTGAAACCAGCACCCACTTTGACAATCGACTTCACGGGTGCCAGTCCAGCAAGAACACCGCCCAATTGCGTGGATTTGATGTCAGGCATCCATGAGTCATTCAGCAATGTGTTGAGTCTTGGGAATCCAGGGACTCCGTAAAGGACAATCGACTTGAGGGTCATTTTTGCCTCGTCCAGAATAAAGAAGTTCATGAACTCGTTTGTATGGCCAGATCTGATTCCCGCATAGTCAACCTTCTTTGGCTTGTAATCAAGTTTGATTTTCACCGCGTTCACTTTAATCATTTGAATAAACAGAGCATCGTCTTCTTCGTACAGAGGGATGAACCTCTCGTCCTTAAACTCTCCAAACCTCGTAAGAAAATCCAGGGTATCCTGATCAACGTATAACCGTAGGGGCAAGACAGAAGCTCTGATCACCATCTCAGTGGCAGCCAGTGCCTTGACAGGTTTTATTGTGTTCATAACGAGACTTATCATGCTTGTCCCAACCTCACGATCACCAGCTTCTCTCATATAGGTTACAAACTTGTTCCAAGTAGAGGTAGGGACGTTGTCGACGATCTGAAAGTTTTGCACTCTCAGCTGCATGGAATTGATCAATTCTGAGTCATCTGCAAGTTCATCTTCCGCGAACACTATAGGCTTGATTTTCGGCACGTCTGCTAAATCAGTGTTGGTGAAAACAGTCATTTCAAACTCAAGGTCAGATGCATCGATCAGCACTTTGTGGAACTTGGACCTCTTGAGCATCAGCTTGTTTGCAGATGAATTCCCCAATGTGAGTGAAGGCTTGCTATCTTCCTGGTTAGAATCTGCTGAGAATGTGCTTTCTCGATCGTTTATCATTTCGCGGTTGATGCCTGAAGGCAATGATGAAGGATTGGCGCCAATTGGAAGAGACACATGGATGGACTCGAACAATCTCTCCTCTATGACCCCATTATAGTTATCTCGGTCATCGTCATCTTCATCTTCATCTTCGTCATCCTCATCTTCCTCTGATTGGTACTCTGATTGGTCATATTCAACTGAGTCAGACTGTCCTTGCTCGAAGTCTGCGCGACGTTCCTGTTCAGCTGAACGCTTTTCCACGCGTTTGACTGCATCTGCAATGGCCATTCTAGTAGCTTTCCAGTCGAAACCGTCGAATAAACGAATGGTGACCTTGGAGGTTATCAGATGGAATAACACAGGCACCACTCTGGATTCGGCAACGGGTAAAGATTCAAAATGCGCATCGTCAAAATCAAAGTTTTTAGATTTTGAGTCTGCATTTGTGCTGCTCGAGTTGTTGTTAGAGACTGAGCTTCTCTCAGATGGTTGGTAACTTTTGGCTGACCTTTCTGCTTCTTCTGTATAATAGCCTTCAACAAAGTTCAGAGAAGTGTTTGACCTCTGAGGTGATAAGTCCAGCTCGTCCTCCAGTATTCTGGCCTGATCATCAGGCTCCATAGCAGAATGGGCACCAAAAGAATTCATTTCAACACCTTCAAAAACATCCACAGCTTCAGTCTCAGTCTTATACTTATCAGAGAAGGGTATGGTGATTGTTTCCTTCAAATCCTTGAAGAGCTGAAGCATGCACTGGGCAGAATCTGCACACAGGTCAAAATTGCAATAGTCAGCATTGAACTTGAGATCTACCAGAGCCTTCAATGCACCTGGACTGTCCCTTGCAGTCTTGAAGTCGCTTATGGTTGCAACGATATTCAGCGACCCAAGAGAGCCAACTGTGACAAATCCTTTGCACAGAAACATAGACACTTGGGTCCAGGTGGGAACAGAAGTCTGCCCATTATGAAAGTTTAACCATTGGCGATATCTCTTGCTGTCAGCATCGCTAAGTATGTTAGCAACATCGTCGATCAGGAGTAAAGATATTGATCTCAAAGTGGCCCTGATCGCGACCTTGTCGGAAACCAACACATCAGCACTACCTTTTCGCACAATCAGATTTCCTTTACTGAGCAAAGACACCGGGAATAGCCCTATAACGACATCGGACATGGATACTCGACATTCAAACCGAGACGTTGGTTTCGTCGTTTCTAGCGATTCGGAATTGGTTTCTTCCAAAGTCGTACTCTCAAAGTACGACAACCATCTTGCGTAGTACTCCAGTGTGATGTTTCGCAGATGTACATTCATCAGACCAGGCTCTTTCATCCTCATAGTGATCAAGGGCGAATTGGTATCTTCAGGGTTCGTGATACCCAGGAGAACTTCCTGGTCAGCCCCATACGACCTGCTGACGCCGCACTTAACGATAAACGCTTGAAGTGAGCCTTCTTTGTAGAAGTTGATGCAAGCTGACTTTATGGACCCTTTGAGATCGCCAAACTTCTCAGAAACGTTCAAAAGAGAGACATCGATCGTCCTGAATAGTGCAAAACAAGATAGCGACTTGGCTTGGAGGAATATCGTGCTTCCCATTCTCACCTTCTTGGAAAGAGTTTTGGAGCCTTCTGGCGAATTTGGTAAAAGACCCACAAAACTGGAAACAGCCTTCTGAATCTCAGAGGCCCTCTTATACTGGCAGGTCACACTGACACTCTCGACAGTCAATTTCGAGGAGGTGAAAAGCGCAACCTCCTGGCTATTGTGATCAAACGACTTTATCTGTTGCTCTTTGGGATAAGACTTGAATTCTATCTTGGTCGCCATTAATAACGGACTCATATAATCATCATCAACCTGCTTGATGTCTTCAATCAGCACCTTGTCGGTTTCCAGGACTCCTTTGGATGAATCATAGGAAAGAGGGAAAACCGTTGCTTTCAAGACGGTGTCTGGATCGATATTCAAACTTATGAACAAAGTAGCAGTTTGAAAGGTCACCTGGGAGGTCACTTGAGGCTTTTCTCTCGTTCTATTATTGGTAATGACGGGTTTGGATATCACTCTGAGATACGTTTCGAGGACCTCAAAAAATGGCTCCAGAGTGAAGTAAAAGCGCAAAATAATGGAAAGGGATGCCAGGTCTAAGTTGCATGTTGCAGGCTTCGAGCATAAGAGAGTATATCTCGTGATATCAGACTGAATGGACTCGAATCTGATGTCTCCAGCCGCATTCGACACTTCTTGGTTCGTTTCAAATGAGAATACCTTTTCGTCGATCCCCTTCAAAATCTCGAGACTTCGAATAATTCCATGGAAAGATGGCTTCTTTTTCTGACTGAACAAAACTTCTCCAATCACCGCTCTTAGAGATGACGGATCTGCAAACTCTCCAGAAGAGAGAATAGCCGATGTGAAACTCAAAACAATTTCACTAATACTCACTCTGTCAACTGGAAATCTGTTCTCATCACTAGCAGTTGATTCTGGAGAAGTGTCGCTCTCCCTGCTTGCCTCACGGCGCTTTTGAATCTTTGCTAGCTTGACTAGACGGGACAATGAGTCGAAAATGGATGCCAGGGCAGTAGGCCAGGGAGTGAGAGCAACGTTTATAGTTCCAATCTCAATCACGAGCTTCTCGATATCTTGTAGACCTTTGAATGAAAATGAGCCGTCCTTTATGTACATGATTCTGGCCGGTTTTGTTCTCTCCCTTTCTGAAGCTGCAGGCTTGACACCCGAGAGTATCACGTTGGAAGTGGCACTCATATACATGGAACTGTCTCCCTGTTGCTCAAACAAAACGCTATCCATGAGACCTGATCTTTCTAGTTCGTCCATGTCCATATCATCCTCGCTATCAGTCTCGGAAGTGTCGGTTCTGGTGCTGGTATCTGCCTCCTCTGACTTTGAGTCATCGCTGTGTTCTCCCATATCACCACCAGAAGTGGCCGGTTTGACTAGCAACACTTCTACCCCCTCGAAATCGATCTTTCTGATCCCGTCCTCGCTCGCAAACCATAAATGCGCAACTAGCACCTCCACAACAGCTCCGTCCAGAATGATGGTGATCTTGATATTCCGTAGTTCCACCTGGAGTCTCGACAGCGCTATTTCAACAGCCCTGTTCATCATGTTTCCCAGATACGTTTCGCCCTTCTGGTCGTCCTTTTCCTCATTGGGAATATCTAATGAGTCCTGCAGACTCTTGATGTCGGGCTCGTGCGCTTCGTCTGCAAACATGACACTATTGGCAAAATCAGCAGTGCTCTGAGCAAGAGAGAAATGGCCTCTTGGAGACTCTGTTCCTCTTGTCGTGGTAGCTGAAGGTGCCAGGGTTACGTCGACACCATCTGCTTCAATATTGACCCCGTCAGACACAGTCAGCACCAAAGTCAAGTCCTTGACTCTTCCATCGCGTACGTAGATTCCAGGTAAAGATATCTTCTCAGGATCCAACTGAACGTCTCGTAAATTGACCCGCGAGTTTGTTCCAATGGATACATCTAGGTTGGGCAGGTTGATCTCAGAGAACAGAGACAGTTGCTGAAGGACATACCTCAGCAACCGCTTTTGTAAATTCTGAGGCATCCACTGAGGAGCCATCTGAGAAATATTTTGGAGGAGAGATTTCGCGTGATTTCTGCCCTCTTCCCTCTCTTTGTTGAATTTTTTGGCGTCGAAAAGACTGCTTAGGCGGCAAATCCAGCGTTATCGAAGCATCTCATCCTGGAGACTGGGGTTTCGCGTGTGGCTTGTTTCTGAGTGGCTTGAACGTGCTATCTCGCATGAGGTGTGTCAACCGATTATGCAATTGTGTCAGGTAGCGGAGAAATATGCAATTATTGTGGGAATGAAATGGGAGAAGTATATGTTGAGGATAATATAAGGGGTTTGGGTGGTGTGTTTGTGAGTTTGCGGTCTGTTTGTGGTCTGTTTTTTGGTCCAATCTTGGTCCAATCTTGAGGTGCGACTTGTGTTGAAGGTGAGTGAACGATGCTGTGGAGTAGATTCGCTGCCGAATGCTCCTTGAGGTCCTGCTAGAACCGGAGACACGCCTAGAGCTACATTTACATGAATGTGGAGTGATTGAGGGTGTTATTGGGGAAATAGTAGTTTATAATTGTCTCAAAAACCTGAAGACTCGAAAACATTCGCACATGTGTCTTATTTTTGCACGAGCCCTATGGACTTTTTGACTTTCCTGAGATTTCTGAAATTTCCTAGAACCAGGGCTATCAAAACATTGGACTATACATCCAGTTAACCAAACAAATCCAGATGTACCCATAAATCGAAACTTGACGATAAATCCAACAATATCCCAACAGTCAAATGCCACAGACCGAAAAAATCACAAGTATTATCGGGCCAGTAGTGGCCCCGGCTCCCTCGGTAGTGTGCACTTCCGGGGGAACCGCACTAGATTAGCAGGGCCCTTTTGACTACAACAAGCAAGGGTCCAATTGTAAACGTCTACCACAAGCACACTCCGACATCAACCATGTCTCTTCACAAACTGCACAAAAAACACAAGTTCAACGTCCAGCTGAAGCTTCATGAACTTATCAATATCCCACAACTTTCAGGAAAATGCTACATCCATCTGACAGTATCTAACAAGAGACACCAATCGACCAACCAATACAGCACAAAGACCGCTTCTTCACCAGTGGTAAATCACAGATGCACATGGGATCACGAGGTCCAGACCGTGATAAAACTATACGAAGACTCGAATGGCTATATTTCAGACAAGTGGCTGACGCTCAAATTTTACGCAGTGATGACTAGTGATGAACTTCTAGGTAAGCTAGAGCTCAATCTTACTGAATACTTGAACGAAACCAGTGAAGTTACCAACAGGTACCTCCTCCAAGACTCAAAGGCCAATTCAATCTTCAAGATGTCGCTGTGGATTGAGAATGACGCTGAGTACAAGATCCCGCCTCTTTCAAAGGACAAGATATTCCAGGGACTCACAAATGTGATAGAGACGGAATCTGCTACTTCAGGCTCCGAGACAGAGCATAACCCTAAGATGCTGAATAGCCAAATGATGAGCCAACTTATAAACAAAGCTTACAAATTCACGTGGCAATTTGCGGGAATTTCTGGAACGCAGAACTACGACGAATTCACGCCTTCTGAGTGTGTGGAGGATATCTTCAACTACAACGGAACAGGGTGGAAGCGCAATGACGATGGCGTTGCTTTTGTAGATTTGGCCTCTAATCAGTTGAATCACGTTAAAGAGGAGAGAAGCGAAACCAGGTGGAGATACGACGATGAGGACTCGGACGATGAGGCCGAGTTTGCCTCGCGAAAGGCAAAGCACTACCTGCCTCCAAAGGAGTTGGATATAAGGCAGGACTTAAAGAGTTGGAGAATCAGTGCCTGAGGTATACGAGCGAAAGCATGATCAGATAAATGCCGTACCAGAAGCACAATGCCCACTCACAGGTAGCTGCATAGCCGGATCTGTGCCTCAAACCACCGTATCCAGCAGCCAGGCCAATTCCGACGATAAGGAACACAATGTCAAAAATGAACATGGTCAGCAACCATTTACGTGCCCTGGTGTCATGCGTGTGGCTTTTGTACAAGCCCCAAAGCTCAACCAGCTGGGTAATTATAGTGAAGAAGGCAAAGGCAATGAACAATCCCACAAAGGTAAGATGGACATGGTCGTAGACCGTGCTCTTGCACGCAGTAACGATTATGATCGAGGCACTTGTCATGAAACTGAGTGGAATCTGTGCCCAACTGGCCCTCGTCTGGTGTTTGTCTTCATCTCTCAGCAGAGTTCCATTTCGCCTGTAAACTCTGGCACCAACGAAACTTAGGAAAAAGAACAATCCTTGTAGACCAGCCCCACTGATGAACAATGGCTGCAGGTTTGTGGCTCCAATAGTGGAAAGATACACCAGTACGATGTGTGATTCGCCCAGATTGTGTTGCGAAAGCAATGGCTTGCCTTGAGCAGTCCAACATGCCAATAAGGCAACAAGCATTCCCCACCATCCGAACAAAGAGACCAAGGGGAAAGGCCATATCCAGTTTCTGCCCCGGGATCCTCTTCCGCCCCTAAACTCCTTCGGGTCGGGATTATATTCTGCCATGGTGCTGATCATCGTGAAGCGAAAGTATCAGGTATATGTTGAAGCCAGATATGAGATAAGTCTCGAGCAACCTTGGAGTTTCACCCAATAGCTGGAATGGAAAGACCAGGGATTTCTAAGCAATCACTGTTCAGCGAGTGAAATTTCGGCAATAACTCTCTGGCAGCTCCAAACGGTACCGTGTGAGAATTAATTGGGAAATAAGAGTGATAGGGAAGTACAATAAGCAACGACTCAAGCACAATTTCAGCAGTTGTTCCAGTTTCCAATACTCCCGCAAAGCCTTGCTCTTAATCCACCTCGGTCTGTTTTCATAACATTTAGCCTAATTCGGCCAAATTGGAGCCACGGCACACGACCTTTCCAAACAAATTGTGTAATGCACGCATAGACGCTGGCACTTTTTAGCTCCACACACTACCTTCATCGAGAACGCACATTCACAACTTCAAGACGTGTTAACACTCGGACAATTCGTCGAACTTCAACACAATCGAACCATGAAACTTAGTTTGTGGCTTTTGGCAGTGGGAATCACCCTTTGTCAGGCATTCACCCCTTCTTCGGATTGGGAAAACAAGAAATATGACAAAACGCTGGATCTGACCAAGTCCTACGTGAAAGAAAAGCACATCATTGAAGCTGTGAACGTCGGAAGCGAGCCACAAGACGCCTACTTCTTTGGAATTCCGTCCGATCTAAGACCGAAAGTGGCATTGTTGATTTCAACCCTTCAGTCGCAATCGCAACCAACGATCTTGGAGACAGAGCCCGTCGTTGAGAACTCTGAAGACGGGTTCTTGTCCTACTACAAGATTACACTCCCCTACCCCGTTGCTCCAAAATCATCCTTCAGTTTACAGGTAACTTATGCATACACGGACTCGCTGACTCCAATTCCACAGACGGCAGAATTGGGCGAGAAACAGACGCTTTATTACCAGGGTGTCAAGACCCCAGCATCGCCATACGACACCACATCTTACAGGTTGAGAGTTATTGGCCTGGCCAATGCCAAAGAAGTACCACTTTCCCCCGGAGAAGATGTTAGTGAGGAATACCAGGGCAGAGTTGAAAACGAGTCTTTAGTTTATGGACCTTTCAAGTCAACTGTCTTCAAGAAGTTCTCCAGCATTCCTCTGGCATTGGCGTTTGAAAAACAGGCACCTTTGCCCCACGTGTATAACTTGAAACGTGACTACTGGGTTTCCCATTGGTCTGATTCGCTGTCCCTGGAGGAGCATTACCAGTTTTCCAACAAGGCTGTCAAGCTGGCCAAGGGCTTCTCCAGAGTGGACTGGATGTCGGGAAGATATTCCATGAAACCCAACCCGGCTATAGTTGCCATTCAAATCCCACTGACACCACATATCTCCACCAAGGATGTTTACTATACCGATCTGGTGGGCAACGTCTCAACTTCGGCGTTCATCAAGAACGATCTGATTTTGAAGCCAAGATTCCCGATCTTTGGCGATTGGAACTACAACTTCACTGTTGGCTGGAACCACGAACTAAAAGACTTCGTGAGAGAGGTTGAAGACAAACACGTGCTTGCGGTTCCCCTTTTGAACGGAATCAACGACGTCACCTATGAAAAGGTGGAGCTTTCGTTCTTGTTACCCGAGGGTGCAACCTTTTTGGATGTGCAATCTCCTGTCAACTATGACTCTTTGGATGTGGCCCCCGAGTTCTCATACTTTGATTTGGCATCTGGTCACACAAGAATTACCCTCACATTCTCGAATCTCGTGGACGAGATGAAGAACCTGAAGGTTGTGGTGATATATAAGTACACTGTTCTGGACCAGTTCAAGAAGGTGTTCATTCTGGCTGGTTACTTCTTCATTGCGTTGCTTGCAGTCTTTGGGTTCACGAAGTTAGATTTTTCTTTAAAATGAATTAACAGTGGATAAGTCATAGCTTATCTCATCCTGTCTGAAACCTAAGTTTAGTCGTAATCCGAGCTTGCCAACACGCCAGCCATGGCTTGGAAACATAAACCCATGTTTGCTCAATCCAAACTCCGCCAAGTGTGGGCATTCAATAGGTAGCCGTAACCTTAAATTGCGACAAGGTATTGGTTTGTATTTTGGGCCGGCCAGAGGTTTGACCCGCAGAAGATAAGAGATCTTCAAAAACGGAAGGATGACCCGCACACGACTCCCACTGATAAGGCAGCATGCCCGCCGAGCATTGGTCATGAAGTTTTGCGGGCTTATTAATTTGATTCCGTTCATTCGTTTACGGCTAAAGTAAAGAACCAGCAATAATGGCTGATAACGTGGTGTTGAAATGGCCCACTCCGAAATCGCGCCGCTCAAAGACCAATTTATTGAGTAATAGACCTTTGAAAATTCCCAAAACCAGAAAGGATAATTTGAAGATTATAAGCCACGCAACACGGGATCCAAAGAACGATGAGAAACAAGGGGCCTTTGATATCTCGTCAAGCTTGATAAAAGATCTGCCCTCAACAAAACATGAGCAACACTTGTGCGAAGAATCCGTTGTCATGAGCATTGCTCCAACACGCAAGTTTGATCTGAGCACCTTGGACGGAGTCGAAATCGACAGCACACCTACCGTGACAGCTCAGATCTCTCGGTGGAATCCAAATGCGCCGATACCGAGAACCGTTTTCGACGAGACTGAAAAAGTTCTCATGAACTTTTCGGATTGTGTGACGTACATTTATTCTACGAACATGGGGTTGACATGCAATTCGATGGTTGGAGAAATATTCCGAGTGTCATATTTCGATAGGACAAAACTACCTTTCATTGATAATTTGAATCAGGTTTTGTTAAAGCAAAAACCGGCTGTTCTTATGCTCGAAGATTCTTCGGAATCAAGCAAGGCTAAGGCCAACATGCAATCCTTCTGGGTGGACATGTACTTGACGTATTTCAAGTCGTTGGCAATACACAGCTACAAGAAGCCGTTGCCGTTTTTCAATCGCATTGCTAGAGCTCTAGAGCATAACTATGACCCTTTGTCGACAGAATCGCTCAACTGGGCTTGCCTTTTCTGTTTTTATGACTCGCTGTCTGCCATGATGGCAGGCAGATCTCCTGCCATACCTCAAATATACCTGACTGCACCCTCCCAAACCCAGCAGAGGCAACACGACAGCAGTCTTATGGCAACTGTTGGATGCCCCGAAAACATTGCGGCTATAATTGCCGAGTTGGCACACATAATAGGCAGCTTGGGAGGGTTCCCGAGACTCAATAACGCCAAAGAGAAGATTCAAGTTCCCACTCAGGTCTGGGACAGATTGCAGGATCTCATTTTCGAAGCCCATACGTCCACGCTTGATCAGAGATTTGAGCTTGAGGGCGAGGTGGAAGACATCAGCATCTTCGAACTGATTCACGACTGCTGGAGATGGGGGACGTTGATCTATATATACTCTGTGTTTTTCAAGGATTCCGCGGAGAAGAGCCAGAAGATGAGGACTCTTAGAGACAACATTCTGGGTACCATGAGGGAACACTCTTTGGTCAAAACCAAACAGCTCTTGTGGCCCCTTTTTATGGCAGCGTGCCAGATTCCCGTGGATGATGTCAAGAATCAGATGTTTTGCTTGCGTTTGTTCAGTTTGTACGCTGAGACTTATGGACCTGGGATCTTTCTGGTGGCAGCCGATGCGCTAGCAGAGATATGGATGAGCCGCAAAGCATCAGAAGAAATTTTTTGGTGGGAGGTCACCAGTGACATGTATAGGAACGGAAAGGAAATCCTATATGCGTAGGTGTTTGTAACTGTGTCTGTCTCACATATGCTTGAATAAGGTAGTTTCATGTATCAGGGTGGTTTCAGGATGCAAATGAGGTCTAATGTGTATATATTTTTCATAAATTGGGCGTGTAATGAGTGTGTATCACACTTGTGTGAAAAACGGGTTTGCAACCAATTGGGTCGCAGAAACACGTTTGAATGGATCCCACTGGAAACATCCTCTTAGGCACTCAACAAAAGGGCCGAATAACTTGTCGTTAGTACCGATTCTTCCGTTTCTTGTCTTCAGCAGTGCCAATGACGATTCCACCGTTTTCGAAGAAAGGTGGAATTTTCGGTTCATCTTTTCTCTGAACAACGCTGAGTCAATGGACCCATCTGAGTTGAAACCACGCCATAGCAGGGTGGTCTTATCCAGAATACCGGAGCCTAAATCTCTGACTCCAATGGGTCCTTGTCTAAACATTATTTCTCTCAGTTTCAGTATCAATGCTTTGGGAGGTGGGCCCAGATGCTCTCCGAACATGGCTATGAGGTCAAACTCGTTAGTTGCAGGGAACAGAGGTAGGCCTGTATAAAGCTCGGCGAGCATGGCACCAAACGACCAGATGTCTATCTTAACCGAGTATCTCGAACCTAGTGCCACTTCGGGTGCTCTGTAGAATCTCGATTGCAGATACGAGTAGCTGAGCTGATTTTTCGGGCAAGAAGAGCCGAAATCGATGAGTCTCACCTGAAGATCGTTCTCATAGGGAATCAGCATCACGTTTTCTGGTTTTAGATCACAATGAATGATATTTTGTGCATGGACAAAACCCAGAGCGTCAATGACATCCTTACCAATTTTCTGAACAAGAGGTAGGGAGAATCCTGAGAAGTCAGAGGCTTCAATCGCCTGGTAAAGATTGACCGCAAGCAGGTCTGTGACAATACACATATGACTTCTGAACTGAAAGCTATCAAGTATCTTCAGCACAGGCACCTGGTCGTTGGGATCGGCTTGAGTCATCTGTTTCAGAGTCTTGATCTCGTTGATACTCTGAAGCATCCAATCCATATTGTTTTTTATGATTTTCACGGCAACAAGCTTTCCAGTTTTGTGATCTGCGCAACTAATAACACTACCAAAGCATCCCTTTCCCAGCTTGGATATGATTTCATAACGGTAGTCTAGGTGATCACCAGGTTTGATAATGTAGTCTTTATTTTCATCATCAAATCCAAAGTTCTTCGAGAACTGGCCCCCGTTGAAGTCCTGGACTTTGATGTTTTTGTCTCGGCCAACATAATAGACCTGCTCCTTTCGCAGAATCTCTCCACGCTCGTGAACAGTCAGCAGATCGTACATTGGAAGTTTGTTTGAGCTCAAAAGCTCCGGTTTTATACCTTGGGTTGCTTCAGGCTTGCGGTCAGATATCTTCCGAAACCTTCTCATACTTTCTTGTGTTAATCTGTGATTGCGTAATTTTTGGAATAGGTCGGTGTAACTTGTGATCTGAACCTTGTAGTTTCCAGATCCTTCTGATACACTCGCTATTCTCGGCTCTTTGGAGATATGAGGATGAGCTGGGGCTTTTCGTTTCAATGTTAACGGTCTGGGCTTTGTGTTCTCGGAATGAATTCTCGTTTTAGTTTCTTTCGTTAGTGAATTCAAGCTTTGCAGTGTCCTGGAACGAGGAATGGTGGATGAACCAATGGTTTGGGCTTGGATTGCATGTCTATCAGCGACTCGGACCTTTGGATTTCTCAATTTGATCACTTCATATGAAGGTTTTCTCTTGGATTTTGCATCAGAACTTAGTTTCTCAAAAATGTTCTCTTTTCCACGCCCTGGCGTCCGCTGAATCTGGGAACCCATCTGGTTATCCCCAAGCGCCTTCAAAGACCAGGATGACTTTGAAGAGTTCATCCGGCTCAAGCCCGCAGTTGGACCACTTTTTTTTAGCGAATTTGCCACAGATATATCTGACATGCATTTTTGGGATCTCAAGTCTGAAATATTTGCAGAAGCAGCTTGTTTCGTCATGACTGGCAGTTTGGAGGGAGTACCAGATTGATATTCTTTTGATCTAGGCGATTCAGACGAAGAACCAGCACTTATGCACGATGTAGGCGAGAATTTGGGAATCTTAGACACATATGGCATTCTCTTTGCCTTCACAGGAGTATCGTAATCGTTCCTCTTCGAAACAAGCCCACTACCTTCTGGGTCTTTCCTCTCAAGGAGCTCCGACATCTGAAGAGACCCTAATCTCGATGCAAGATGTGTGACGTCTTGAGGATCTTGCATTTTGCAATTTTGGTCCAAGAAAACCCTCCTATTCCGAGGATAGCGCGCGTGGGAAGTGCCAGCAGTTTGGTTGAACTCATTTAGCTCAGATCTGTCCTGTTTGTTGACCTCGGAACTGACATAATTCACGTGACCACCGAGGGTTAGAATGACATCAAACCAAAAATTCACCATTACCTCAGATCAAACGAGAGCACTACTCTGTCTTCATTTGTCCTCTTATTTTTGCTAAAGGCGTATCACGATTCAGAATGTCTCAATCAGATGGAGAAGAAATATCTCACTACTCCACACAGTTCCTTCTTTTGCTAGCCCAACTGGTGCACGAGTCTGCAGTGCATCCTCTCACATCATCGAATGCCAAACCTATACTACAGAAACTTAAAGCGCATCCAATTGTCACGCGAGAAGGAAGACAACTCAGAATGACGGAATCCCAGTTTGTGAAGCTGTATCAACAGCTACTTGAGCTCAACAACCTTTCTACGGAAGACACCGAAGAACATGAGGATAACCACCACAGGGCACCGGAGTATGCCACTCAACTATGTGAATTATTGTACGAACAGCGATGCGAAGAGATAAAAGAGAGTCTATCTTCGATCAAGGATACTTTCAAACACCAGCTTTCAACGATTGAGCAGCATTGAAACTATTAAGAGTCTGTGTCTATCATGTAGCACTTGGCTCTTACTTCTGACCTCGACAACCAAAACGTGAGGATCGACTCACGCTTTCTATAAAGCGCTTTATAGACTTTTCTGTACAATACCTAATTACGAATATTTAGTCCAGCCATGCTGGCTCAAGCTTCAATGAATCTTGACTATTATTCTTCAAAAAAAGCTTGGCCGAAAACGGAATTCTAATAATGACACGACCAATCCATCGATGGGCTACCACTGTCGAAAATATTTAGTATTGGTGACAAGTAGTATAGTCCCTGTCCTTGTAGACAAGACATCGAAGATGAAGGCTGGACCAGGCAAGCTTATAAAGCACTGCAAATACAGTCGTGGGGTGTCCACTGTTGCGGATGCTAAAATATCGGCGGTTCCTCCGATAATACCGAAGTCCATACAACATGTGCGACAGACGTTTTTTTCAGAAGTGATGAGAGTTCCGGATGCCCATTCACTTGTTTCCAGGCCGTTTGAACTTTCAAAAATCATAAGTCCAGAGACTTTACAGAAGTACAGAACATCCATTACTATTGCTGGAACAGTCAAATGGGACGGAAATTCGCTTAAACAGCGCCTGCGAAAGGGCGAAGTTTCTGAGTGCCTACGCAAGCTCGTTGAAGAACCAGATTTGCTTGCAAACATGATAGAAACCTTCCAAGAAAGGGAGTTTGCATGGTTCATACATGAATGTTGTAAATACTTGAACAGACTGAGCATATTGCAAAGAGGAAGAGAGTTTCTGAATGATGCTGGTGACAGTGCTAGACAGGCGGAAGACATTCTCCATAGCACCAAGCTCGGTGACATGAAACGGTTTAATCTTGTTTTGACTGCCATCAAGGAATCCAAGAGATACGAGCTTCAGGTTTCCGACTACGAACAGATTTTGTGGATGCAGACGTATAGTGGGGAAATGACTGATGCTCTATTCACTTTGAACGAGTTTGAATCCACGGCCCGGAAACTGATCAACAAAGAGAGAACCATTCCTCTTTACTTTACCACACTCATTTGGAACTGCAAATTCCAGATCCTTGCAGATGGTCTTCCTGAGCTGTGGAAAGTTGATGGTAAGAAGATAATGAGGAATAAGGCAAAGGAGTTGCACCCTCATTTTGAGTACTTACACCATGATAGATCTATCCACCTTCTCATCAGGATGTTCCAGAACGAGAGGCTTTCGCCTGATGCTGATACCTTGAGAATCATGTTGCTTTGCCTCGGGAAAAGTGGAAATTTGGAGATTCTGAGATCGTTCATATCTAAGATGTGGGGCATCAACCAGGATGGCTCGGTTTCGAGAAGACATTTGAGAAAACCTGGCTCGCTCTTTCATCCTAACATGCCGCTTTTGAGCGCCATAATATCTGCATTTGCGATCCAGAATGAGTTTCTGGAAGGAATGTCGTATGTGGATTCGTTTGTTTCTACCTATAACATGGACATGTCCAAATCTGAGCAGTTCTGGGCCACCTGTTTCAGGTTCCTTGAACTAGTGGAGAGAGGAAAGCTCAAGTACCACGGATCAGAGCAGAGAAAAGACCTTTCCCTCCTGCCTTTGAAAGAACGAATGGTCTACAAGGCAAAGACATACACGTTTCCAGACTCTTTGTGGAAACTGTCGAACTCACAGTGTGCGCCAACGGCAAGATTGTACACATGGAGGGTTCGTTATCTCTTTCTGACATACCGGATTTCGGAGCTAAGAGGAGTGCTGGTACCTCTTTATGAGATGGCTAAGTCGCACCAGGTTCATAACAGTCGCAAGAAGGTTGCTCATGAGACTTCTGAGCTCTTGTATGTGTGCATAACGGCGAGCATCCGTCTGTTGATCTCGAGAGGATACGAGAACCAAGCAGCCCGCATGGTAGAGGACTTTTCCCTGAATAGAGAGATGAAAGAGAGATTGGACCGCGTCTTCGAGTACAGAAAGGCCAGGCAAGTTGAGCATATGAGACGTTTGAAGTCCAAACAAGCAAAGAGAATGGAAGAAGAAGATGATGATGGACTTTTGTCCTGGCTGTGAAATTCTCATTGTATATAGATCTTAGTTAGACACTAAAACCAACTCGTTGGAGTTCGCATATTTACTACTGAACAACCAGAACCATCTAAACCACACGATCTGGGAATAGTGTCCAAACACCATATCGCCAATCCCCAGGATCATGCTGTTGATATCTGAAAAGATGTTGATGGAGGTCTTTGGTGGGTCCTTAAAAGGTTTTTCAGTCAGAGACCTCAATTGGCCTAGCACCCAATTCACGCTATCAATATCCGCGGCACGAGCATACAAGGATTCAGCTTTCCCACAGTATCTAACCCAGCCAAAATTCAGGTATAATCTCTGAGAAATTTCCAGCATGCTCAAGAGGAAGCCCGAGTACTTCTGGTAGAGCGGCCATGTTCTAAGTGTCCAAACTGACACTTTTTCTTTGGATAATTTGGCAAACTCCAAACAGCCATTGTACATGGAGATATGGTTGGGATGGCCAGAAATCCCGAACTCGTCAAACGTCAAAATCGAGAGAGATTTGCTGTCCATCTGCAGACTGGATACATACCCTGAAATCTCTTGCGCTATTTTCGAAGCATCCCAGATGATGTTCATACCGTCTTGGAAAGCTGGATCGTCTATCACTTTTACCTCCTTAATTCCCAAAATTTGGCCACTGCGTATAACCTCAGCAGTCCTGATGTCTCCTAGACCCTCGGCATTACCAGAAGAGAAGCACAGCATTATGACGGTATTCCCATAGTCTGGCTTCGACAATTCAAGGATTGACGGGGCAAAAAACATCACCTCATCATCAGGGTGTGCTATCACCACCAGAATGTTGGTGTTTGTGAGATTGCTATGAATAACCTGCGGACCATTGAGTGTGTAGAGAGAAGTGTGTTTTGCATAGTAGCTTCCCTGCTGTACGTATGAAAAATCCGTATACTTCACCACCAGCGAAGGCACCACCGTAGAAACCAGCACCCAGAACAAAAATATCTGGAACAACTTCCAAATGAGTTTTCTGATAACTTTTTTGACAATCATTGCCTGATCTACCCCTGACGACTGCGATCGAAGCGTTCACTTGGTGCGGAGAAAGAGGCACGGTGCAGTGTTAGCTGAGGTGCAGATGCGGCGGTACACGCATTATTTGCATATCTTACATAATGCTATTAACGTGAAATATTCCATCTTTACACCGACAAAACCTTGAACCAACGCGGTTGAACCCAATGGGAATCAAAATCCCCCTTCTTGATGGCATTTTTGTCTCTTAGCCAGGTCAGAATATCTTGAACTTCAAGAGGAGCCAGACTGGGCTGGACTCTCTTCAAAATCTCTGTAGACGTCACTCCAGGCCTGAAAAGAACCTGATTCAACACCAAGACAATGCAATTCACCCAAACTTCAGTATTGATATCTCCCTGAAGATCAATCCACAATCTACTGCATGGTCTTCCAGCCGGAACGGGAGCGACCTTGATGGAGATCTCCTCGGACTCTTCCAACTGCACATCGCTCAATATGAAATCAGATTCGAGCTTTTCTCTGACCATCGATCTCGAGGAATAGCCCTGGAACATTTCCGATACCGGATAGTCTATTCTCGTGCACTTAACATGTTGTTCTGCCAGCAGATTAATCAAGGGTGCATAAGTGCTGTTCGGAGAAATTGCCGACAGCAAGAGTCCCTTCCTCGAGCTTGAAGCCGATTCCAGCACTTCACAAAACTCGGATGCAGTTTTCAAGAACTCTGCGTCGATCCGCAACTCGGTGTTACCAAATGCCTTATCTGAAAGTTCGAACTTTATTTGGGAATCTTTGCCCAAAAACACAATTTGTCGTTCCTGCTCAAGTTCTGTGAGAGCAGTACGACAAAGATCCTCACCAAAATCCTCAAAAAGCTTCTTTGCCCTTTTGGCATCAAACTTGGATGCATCTGTTGCAAAAAGAGCCTTCAAAGCAGTTTTGGTGAGTAAGAGCTCGTTAGACTCCTCGGCTTCGTCCTGAAGGGGCTTGTTGGGGAAATCAAACGAGGTATTCTTGTACTGTTCTTCTCTTTCAGCAATGGTAATCGGCTCTCTGTAGAATACGTCCCTTTTGGGAAGTGTTTCGCTCTTGAAATCGTACACTCGTTCATTTTCTTCTCCAGAGACAAATAGTGGGATATCGTCTATCTCGATTGTCTCGAGACCGATATCATCCCACAACTTGATCAGGCTATGGAGGTCACAGTTGGCGATCATTTCATGGGTGATTCTTCCACTATCAATGTTGGCAAAGAGCAGCTTTCTCCAGAGCGAGTGCGTCTTTTGGAGAACGTCAGGACCAAACAAGCGTCTCAAACTTGGCCATTTCTTCCTCAATAGCTCTGGCGTAATACCATCCGCATTGAAAAAGGACGATATCTGTACCCAATCTACTGCCTCTTTGGGTGATAGCGATTGCGATATCACAATTGTCCTCAGGATCATAACTGCATCTGCAAGATCAACATGAAGAGAAGTTCTGGTACGCTTCTTGATTGCTTCAAAAGAGTGATTTGCAGAACTCGAGGGGACAGACTTTTTCCTCTTCCTTTCAGAAGTCACGAAACTGTCATCACCTTCTTCCGTCTTGACGGCCCGCTTTCTTCTTCTCTCTTGGAGTATAGGGCCCACTGGATCGTCCTCGCGAGGCAACGTGCAAGCCCTTTTCTTCTTCGGCTTTTTGACTGGAGTAGTAGCTGGTGTATTCTCTTCCTCTTGCAGAAGACTGTCCTGCAATGCCAATGGTCCTGGAGTACTGTATGACTTTGAGGAACTGCGAGGTGTAGTTGGGAAAGTTGGAAGTGGAGAATAAAGACTCACATCCTTGAGGATGATCTGCTTGAGATCAGGTCTTTTTGCTAAGAGATTTGCATTTTCCAGTTTTTTACTCTCTGTAGGACCCGCTGTGGTCTGCTCGAGAGCTTGAGCTTTCAACCTGTCCAGTTTGCTCTGTGAGGGTGTATTCTGGGTGGATATAACCAGATACCTGGATTTCGAGCCATCTCCAGCCTGCTCAAGACGCACAAGTCCTTTTTCACGCAGCACTTCGAGATCACGATAGAGAGTCTTCTTATCAGTTACCGTGCTGGATCCAAGAACATTATCAAGCTCTATCAACAAGGATTTCCCAGTTATCAATGCACCGTCTTTCTTAACCATCCCAACTATCACGTCCTGCCTCTTTCTGGATTTGAAGGACTCGAATTTCGTCTTCGGGGTTCTGACTTGGGCCAGAGACCCGATAGGACCCAACCTCAAACTAGATATTCGGTAATCTGATCCTCCAACAACCGTGGGTTTCATGAACGATTCTGAAGGCTCTGAACTGGCCTCAGCGACTGAAGAATTGGCTACGGTTGATCCAACTTCCGCAGCAACTGAAATCGCAGCAGGGCTTGGTGAAGGTCTCCCTTCCTTTCTGGGTTTCAGGGTAGGTTTCATTCTCCCGTTCTTCATCTTCACTGAAGACTCATCCGGAAGCTTGAATGATACCACTTGTGGCTTTTGGCAAACATTCTGAGTGGAAGCAAAACGGGCAAGTCTGGTTCCTTGATACTGGGACCAATAAGGCCACCAAGACCCGTCCGGAAGCAATACCGTATCCACCGTAGGGGTCAGTGAATCGAAAGAAGAAGCACTGAGCTCAACCAACGAGCGTTTTGGCTCCGGGACAACGCCAAACGTGAGATCTGCGGGCTCGTTTATGGTCTTCTGTTGACGGCTCAGAAAGTTTGTCTGAGTAAGATAGCGGTAAAACTTGACCTTTCCTGCAAAGTCGTACCCTCTGATAATAACATAGTCGTTCGGAACCTTGGAAGCCTTCTCAGTAGAGGTGAACAGCAGATATCTACTGAGATAGCGCGATCCATTCTTTCCAATTAGCAAGGATGCCAGCTTCATCGCAGGAAGACCCCTCTCACCACCGCTTCTCACGAGCTCAAGAATCTGATCCTGAATAGGGAAAAAGGTATTTAGATAATGTGACTTTGTGAATCGAGTCTTTTCGAAAAGAGAGTCGAGAACATCTTCGTCAATCTCTTCCTCTTCTTCTTCGGGCTCGGCTGATAAGAGATCAGACGCTTCGTCTGTATCGTCGCTCAAATCTCTGTGGTACTGGAGCGCGAGGAAGTTTTTACCACCTTCCTCAAGTGAGATAAACAGCTTCTCTAAGCAATTTTTGGAGATCAGGAAGTTTACCAATTTGGTGAACCTCCGCTTATCACCCTTTTCCTTCATCTTCAACTGATCCCTCAAATCCGTGTACACCCTCACACCATTTTTGGCTGTCTTCAGTTCCTGCAAGATTGACTTGCAAATTCCCATTCCAGAGTTCATCATGATTAACTCGGTGTTCGCCGATTTATATTGTTGCCAGAACTTCTCATGAACCAGCACGTAAGACTTTTGCGGTTTCGTTATGGGCACTCTCATTATAAAAGCGTTCGACTCCAAATTGTTGAGTCTTCCTGTCAAACTCCTTGGGTCCTGACCCGTGACCTCTGCTAGTTTCATGGAGGTTATTCCTTGATCTCGCGATTTTGCAATAGCCCTAAGCAGATCAAATGCCAATCCTGCAATCTATTGGAAGTTAGTAACAGCCCAACTACCCTGGGATATACTGACAAAGTACATACAGCTGTGTTTTTGCGAGACGTTCCATTGGTCAGGAAGTTCCATTGCCATTCTTCGCTGGCTGCCACTTTGAGGTCTTCCCCATATTCCTCTTGCAGGCTAGCCACATCCAAGATATTTGTTGTGATCAGCTAGAGATGTTAGCATTCAAAATTTAACTGGTTCATTCACAAAAGATACATACATCTTTGCCACCGTAGACTAAGAGTCTGGAATCCCGAGTCAGCCACCTCCATATCAGTTTCTTGTAGAACTCGTCTAGGGCTGGATGGATTGTCTTGACCAGGTTCCAAAGCCCATCAATGGTTAATCCCTGCGGCCCTTCATAGGCAAGATCCTCAATTATAAGCTCCACTATTTCATTGGGAGATCTCAAAGGCATCGCTGAGATCCCTTTGATTGTCTGTGTGTTATTTGACTACAACACTAAAAAAAGTGTTTACAAAAGATAACCCATGATGTGGTGGTTGCGAGCACTGGCAAAAGATAGAGATTAGGCCTTGCCATATCAAAAAAAAAGCCCAAGAAACATGAAAAATCAACCAGAACCGGGACATTTGATTGATTTTACACCGAAATAACTTAATTCAAGCCGTGAAGAAAGTAAAAGTCTAATTGGCCATTTGGAAAATCTCCGAAATTCCAAAAGTCAGCGAACAGATCATTCTCAACACCTTCTCTGCCTTATGTCTTCAATTGTCATGTAAATACAAGAATACTATACACAGCTAAAATTCACTGCCTGACTTCTTCAGCCAAAACTCGCGTTTGCTCTGTTTGTTGATGTTCTTCAAGCTTGAGTCCACGGAATCAACTGTCGTATTCGAAGCGTCAAGCTTGGGTGAATAGGAGTCCTCCTCTTCGTCATTGGCCAACCCCATCAATTCCTCCGCAGCCGGACGTTTTTTCTGAGTGAAATTGTTCTTGCTTATTATTGTCTCAATCTCAGCCTCTTCTAAACCGCTGTCCTCACTTGAAGTCATATCGGAGTAGTATATCGGTGGAGACGGAGCCGGAACCTGTGCGGCCTTTGCTCTTCTGACTTCGGATGGAAGAGGAGGCAGCGAAACTGTCCGCGTAAGTTCAGCACCACTTGCCACAGCAAAGGCTTCATTGACAACCTGACCACGAGCATCTTCGAAGTCTCTTTCCTTTCCTTTGTAACGTATAATCCCACCCAAAATGGACTCGCCCAGTCTTTCCTTATATGAGGCCTGTGCCGTCACGTAACACTTGTTTGCCAGTAGCTCGAACGCTCCTCCGAAAGCCCTCTTTATGTTTCGTATATTGAATGTTCCTCTGCTCACGTTATTGTCCGGATCGTTGGGATCCTGGACCGCAAGCATGAACGGGTTTCTATTCTGGAAGCAATCGTTGCTGCTTTTCGTGATATAGCACGGACCATAGTCGTTGAATCCAATAACCACCGAATCGTAGCCAAAGTTGTACCCATATAGCTCGAAGAACTCTATCAGCAACACGCCCAGGTTTTCCGTGGGGTCTATGCTCTTCGTAGCAACTCTTGGGTGCAACTTCAGGAAACTGTACACCAGGCAGATCGTAGAAAATCCACCTAATCCTCCACCATGCACAACGTTCAGTTTCCTCACAGAAAGAAACTGCTTCACCACCAGAACCAGTTCCCGTAGTCCGGGTGTATCCTTCAGCCATTCAATAATGGTTTCGGCAGCCTTGATTCCGTTGACTCTCTCGAAGGATATGTCAATGTGAATTTTCGTAAGTGGATCCACAAACTTGATAATAGGAACCTTTGCTCCTGTAATTGTCTCAACGTTGATTGCCATCTTTTTATTGCGAAGGAGAGCTGACAACTGGTAGATGTACGATTTCTTTTCATATCTCTGAGTTGGTGATACAACCACCATATCGATATCAGAACTTGGAAGATATAAGTCTGTCGCCGAGGATCCAAAAACGTGAACTTCAGAGTCTGGCCATAGTTGCGTGATCTCTTCTCTGAGTCGCTGCACAGTGTAGTTTCTAGCTTCAATCTCCTCAACCGAAGGAGATATGTAATGGATGAAATCCTTGATTTCCTGAGTCAGCCAATCAGCAACCTCCACCTCCTTGGAATGGTCATTGTTTTTAATCCAAGGGAACAAGCTATGCGTGTCGCCTTCCCTGTAGTCTGTTGATTTGGTGTGGTAGAATGTCTCATCGTTGCTCAAATACTCGTTTTCACTTGCGTTTCCTTCTTCTTCTTCGTCCTCATTTCCGTCTTCATTTGCCTCGTCCGATGAAAATCCAAACGCTATGAAATCGTCATTTCCAGCCAATGAGTTTTCTGTGACTTCCTTGTTCTTTGGAGTAGTCTCTTCAGATTCGGAGTCCACATCTGCCAGTATTATGTCTTGACCGCTGGATGATCCCTTGCGCGAAGACTCACTTTCATCCGAGGAATTATCACTAACCAGAGGTATTATATCATCAATTTCCTGTAATACCTGGAAGTTGTTGTTCACATTCCTTGTTATCGTGCTCTCTTTGGCTTTACTCTTCTTGTTCTTCTTCTTTAGACCTTTGGTGATCTTCTTGATCTTACTTGTTGCAGCACCTATTATACCCGATTTCGTTTTCGGGGGTACCGAGCCTTTTTTGCTTTTCATTTCTCAATAGTCCCGCACTGAGCGTAGAGTTAACAACGTTACAAGGCCTCTCTCAAAGTGTCTACTAACGTTCCAAATTTTTGCCTATCGAGCTGGTATATTGGTTTTTACACTACTCGTTTGTTATCTAAGCGAGATCATTCTGCCGACTACCCCTTGGAATATACCAAGAAAAAGTACAATATCCATTAATAATTAGTATACAAAGTTAGCTCATCTGTTGGCTGGCTTCAAAACTTGGCCTCTACCAAATTGTGCGCTGGGGGCCAAAACTTTGGTCGTTTGGTCGTTTTCCTTTTCGTCTGCCACTCTCCTCTTCTTCATTGAGTGCTCATGAAGTCCTTCTCCGGCATGCTTTGATGGGATATCCAAACTGATATTGTACTCGGGAATTGAAGGGATCTTCTGATCGTCTTTTTTGATGCAAGTCTTGGAAATCGCCATGTTCATTCCAGCCTTTGCTTTCTGTGATCCAGCTATCAGTCTGTGGACTGTAGCAGTCGATTCCTGTTCATTGAACGAAGACGCTTCTTGAACAAGATTCTGTAGAGACTCCGTGAAATGCGTTTGGTGAGTGTCACAAACCTTCACAAGTTTTTCGTTGTGCTGAGAGACATTGGCAAGAACGTCTGTTGCTGACCTGTGCATCTTTTGAACATCAGATAGTATGTCATTGGCAGATTTCACCACCCTTTGCCCCACATCACTCACTATGGCACGAATGGATTCTTTAGAAGTATCAACATTTCCCAGACCATCATTCACTGTTTTCGAAAACTGCTCGGCCGATTTTGCTGCAACCTCACTCATGGAATGGACCTTATCATGTATGCGCGACCGTTCACCCTTAACACTAGCAGAGAACTGAGAGGTACTTTCTTTCAGACCATCTAATGTCCCGTGATGCTGGTCCATTTCGGTACCATGCATGGCCACCAAAGAATCAACCAGTGCCGAGCATTCATTAGCCTTAATTTGTTCTCTAGAGTCTCTTCTGGAATCGTGCTCTTGGAAAAGATCGTGAATCTGCGACTTTAGATCAAGCAGTGCTCTTTTCTCGTCATCATTAGCCTCCTTTTGAAGACTCAGAATCTCATTCTTGTACTTCTCGAGCTCTCTCTCATGCTGTTGCTTATGCAACAGCAACGCTTTTTGAAAAAGAGACACCGCGTGTACTTGCTCGCCCATCTGCTCCTCTACCACAGTCAGCAGAGAATTGAACAATTTATCAAAGCTTGAAAACCAAGAGGCGTGATTGGTAGAAAGCTTAGCGAGTTCGGTTTGGAACTTGCGTTTTGTTTCGTGAATCTCTGTGCTAAGGGTAGACAGCGCATCTGAAGCTGACTTCTCATATTCCTCGCCATACTTGACTAGTGCTGAAGCAGAGCTAGACGCAGTTTTCTCAGCCTCGCGAAGTGCCTCATGAATTCTAGAGGCATCATCTTTCATTAGCGAGTCTTGGATCATTCTTCTTAGATCAGCAAGAGCAAGAGAAATAGAGCTGGTCTGATTATTGACACTTTTCCCGATAAAAGCTGAGGTTTTGGATGAAAAATCATCCAATTCTGACTGTATCTGACTGCATATTTTCTCGCATGAGTGGTCAAGTTGAGCAGAAAGGTTCTTTTTTGTCGCTGCGATCATGTCCAAGTTTCCTTGCTCGAGCAGAAACTTCTTTGAGATCACTGATGACAACGCTTGAATCATCTCAACAGACTCTCCCAGTCCTGATGCGTACACTTGACATTTTCCTTGGAGCTCCCTCTCAGTCTTCTGTAACATTTCAAACGCAAGATCTTTCTTTTCGAGCCTCATTTGGAGATCTGATATTGTCACCTGGTTTGACTGTAGATCATTGGAAATCTGAGACAGTTCCATTTCTTTCTCTCGCAAAGTCATCTCGCTCTTCTTCGTCGACTCTAGTAACTCGTCGTTCTTCAGCTTCAAATTCTTGACCCTTTCGTCAAGCATCATAGTCTTTCCTTCCAGGTCTCTAGCCAAAATTCTTCGGCTTTCGCTTTGATCAAGCAGTAGTTTGTGATCTTCATCGGTAAGATATACCCCATTCTTCATGCGGGTAGCATTCAGATCTCTGCGCAACCGCTCAATCTCTTCGATATACTCCCCTATTAGTAGGGACTTGTTCATGCTCTGATTCACCTGAGGCTTGTTTTTGATGCTTTTTGCTCGATATGCGTACTCGAGCGTACTCAGCGTTTCGTCCAGCGAGACTTTTGCAGGAGATATTGTAGCTATAATGCAAGTCTTTGTTTGGCCACCAAGAGAATCTTGGAGTAACCTCGTCAGTTTGGACTCACGGTAAGGAATGTGAGGCGAATTCTCCACTAGAGCATTGATCACTCTTCCGAGAGTAAGTAATGACTGGTTTATCATTCCCGCTTCCCTTGCCCGTTTATTCTCTGCACCTGAGCGACTGATATTCTCAGAGCCGGCTAGATCCACCAGGTTCAGTTTCCCCACCTTCATGAAAGCCTCACCACTTAGGACATCAGGAAGCTTCATGTGTACTGTTATGGAAAACACCGTGTGGGATCTCGAAGAGAGATCGTTACATTTGGTGCTGGCAACTTGCCTTTTTATTGAACCATCTCTCAGCAGTTTCAAGCCCTCCTCAGGGGATTTGATGAATATTTCCTCCATCCCTTGAACCTTGATGGACTTTTTCGTAGACCCATCAAATATTTTGACTTTTCTCTCCTCGTCATCGTACGTAGGAGAAAGAAGGTCTCGGAGCTCCTCATTGTATAGCTCAATGAATGATATCCTCACAGAGTATTCTGCAACACTCTGAAGGTTTTTGAACAAGTCGATCAAGGTTCTCGGAATGATACCAGCATTATCTCCAAGGGATCCGCTGTTGGTATCTATGTCTCCGGACATGGTATATGTCTTTCCCGTTCCAGTCTGACCATACGCAAAAACAGTGCAATTGTAACCACGTAGCACCTCGTCAAGAACACCAGCAGCAATTCCTTCGTAAACTGTTTCCTGGTCACTTTCAGCCCCGAAAACACGGTCAAACGTGTATGTCTTGTTGATGTTGTTCATCGGACCAGTTTGAAGAATGACCTCTTTCCCGCGGTTTCCTGTAGTTGAAACCACAACACCACTGTTCTCCTTAATTTCCCGATCATTTCGTGTACGGCATCTCACGTAAACGCTTATATTCGTCTCCTCAACTTGCTTCGGCTGAACTCTCTTGTTCAGATTAGGTGGTTGTCTGCTGGGAACACTGACCGATCTCTGAGCCAATCTTTTTTCCATGTGAATTTGATCTTGCCGCCTATAATGAGAGGACCCAGGCCTGGACCTGTCTCCGTTATCTCTGGGAAGCATTGGATATGGAGTTGAAGTCTGGTAATGTAAGGGCATGTAAGCATTGTTTACGTTTTTCGCATGGCCTCTAAAGGGGTCGTGTATAAACTGATAAGTATTACAAGGCAGTGCAGATGTTTGATTATCTAATCAGATTAGAGAGCTCAGATCGGACCGTGTGGAAAATACTCAAAAGATTATAGAGATAGAGCAGTTTGCGAGTATTTACGAAATGAGATTTGTATTTGTATGGCTGGCAGATTTTAGCAGCCTCAGATAGCCTGGTCAAGGAAGTGAAAGGCTGGAAATCTTGCGGCTCGCCTGCTTTTAAGCCTATCTACATAGAGACTACATAGAACGCTAAGTGGCTGCCCATGCTCAATCATCTTCAATATTTTCCCTCAATATGAATCTAGACCGTATCCGACTGCAAATCTTCAAATCGCTATCAATTACTTCCCCGTTTCTGCGATCTTCCGATAACGCGCTTACTTCGCTATCGGCCTTGGGAAAGGGCTCCGCACGTGACATGAGACAATTCCAACTTTCCACCAGATCGCACTGGATTTCCAGAACATCCCTTTTCTTCCAATCTTTGGTACCAATTCTCAGTTTAAATCTCCCAATCTTCCCCAATTGATTATGATTTCCAAACAAATTCTTAGCTGTTCGAGCTTCGCCTCCCGTCGGTGCATTGTGAAAGCTCCATTGACCCAAGTTGGTGTCAGATTCAGGACTTTCAATGCTGCCGAGCAACCAAGAATCAGAATCAACTCGATTGTTCCAAACTTCAAGGCCCCTACTACTCTGGGAGACATCGACTTTCACGAGTTTATCTCTGGTTCTTGGACCGTCTTGTTCTCGCACCCAGCCGATTTCACTCCCGTGTGCACCACTGAGTTGGGTGCCTTTGCTGCCTTGAAGCCAGAGTTCGATGCCAGAAACGTTAAGTTGATTGGTTTGTCTGCCGAGGGTGTCGAGAAGCACAAGGCCTGGGTCAAGGACATTGAGGATGTTTCTCTCGAAGGCAAAGAATTCTCATACCCTATCATCGGTGATGAGTCCAGAGAGGTCGCTTTCCTGTTCGACATGGTTGACGAAGAAGGTTTCAACAACATCAACGGAGGACTCGTCCAGACAATCAGATCCGTGTTCATAATTGACCCAAGCAAGAAGGTCAGACTTATCATGACCTACCCTGCGTCCACTGGAAGAAACTCGGCTGAGGTCTTGAGAGTCATCGACGCTCTTCAATTGACCGACTCCAAGGGAGTTGTTACCCCAATTGACTGGACTTCTGGAAAGGATGTCATTATTCCTCCTACCGTTTCTGATGAGGATGCGAAGGCTAAGTTTGGCGAGTTCAGAAAGATCAAGCCATACTTGCGTTTCACCAAGGTTTAATGCATAGGTCTGACTGCTTGTCAATCTAAGACACTTTTTACCTCACCTGTGTAACAAACTCAAAGAAAAAAAGCAATCTTGATATTGTTACCAATTAAAAAAAAATTATCTCATATCAATATGTACCTCAAATTAAATAACTCTTCATTTAGCCGAGGGAATTATTTCCGGGTCGTGCGCCCGAGCAAAGTTCTGCGCAAAACGCAACTCGAACCCCAAACTCGGATTAAATTGTTTGATACGAGATAACCTTGTTACGCCGTGATATAACCGTTTTGAGAGTTTTGAAAAGTGAAAGAGCTGAAATAGCTTGGTCTTAACAGAAAGAGAAAGATACTGGATTGTTCTCTTTTTACTACATTCAAGAGAAGACCTCAGATGCAATACTGAATCCTCCGCGAGGATACAACAACCCACCAGCTGAAATACCGTCAAACCTACAAACGTACGCTGTTGCGCTCTTTGGACCGATAGTTGTGCCCGAAATTGTATGGAGTGTATAACTCATGAATATGACACCAGCATTATCGCAACCGTCCCAAAACGGGAAGAACGGCTATACCGCTTCGACCTTCGTGAAAATTGAAGAAGCACCCGAGTCGTTACCGAAACCAGCCGAAGAGCATTGGAATCCCGAAACACACGCTCTCAAGAGAAAGCCCTCCGTTTTGGAGCAGAAACCGAAGAAACGAAACTCCAGTGCCAGTCTTGCCGGTTCCAAGGAGGACCCCCACTCTTTGGGCCATAGAACCGTCACTTCTTGCACGCATTGCAGACAGCACAAGATCAAGTGTAATGCATCCGAAAAGTACCCAGATCCTTGCTCCCGGTGTGAACGGATGGAGCTGGGTTGCGAGATTGATCCTCTATTCAGGCCCAAGAAGGGCTCCCAGATCCAGTCGCTAAAGAACGATGTTGACGAACTGCGATCCAAGATTGAGTTTTTGACCCGCAACGAAAGTCTCATTTCTCAGGCGTTGGCCGTAACTTCTCCCTCCGGTGAAAAATCTGTTACCAACACTTCGGGTGTGGATGATAAGCCCAAGGTGGCTACTACGGCCTTGCATAGAGACCCTCCATTGCTGAACACTGTCCCCGATGTAACTATCGATGAGTTCATACTCGGCGACGTCAGACTGCCATATGAAAAGGCTGCGGAGCTCCACCAGCGATTCATGACAAATTACCTACCTTACTTGCCGATACTCTCCTCTGAAAACTGCACTGAATTGTACCAGCAATCGCAGTTTCTGTTCTGGACTGTTATGCTGACCGCATGTCTTTCAGATCCCGAACCGTCTTTGTACACTTCGTTGGCCTCATTGATCAAGCAACTGGCCATTGAGACATGTTGGATTCGGACCCCAAGATCCACACACATCGTTCAGGCGTTGTTGATCTTAGGTACCTGGCCCTTGCCTAACCAAAAAGTCCTGGATGATTGCTCCTATAGATTCGTCGGTCTGGCCAAGAACTTGTCCCTTCAACTCGGATTGCATCGAGGAAAGTTCATTGGTGAGTTCTCCAGAACCCAGGTGGCACTCCCCAATGCTGAACTATGGAGAACCAGAGCATGGCTTGCTGTGTTTTTCAGCGAACAGTTTTGGTCTTCCAACCTCGGACTCCCTCCCTCTTTGCAGACAGACTTCTTGCTGGAAAGTGCGCGTATTGATTACAGTCTGCCCAAGAATTTCAGGTGTCTGATCAGTTTGGCAATTTTCCAGTCCAAGCTCGTGAGTGTGATGGGTTTGAGTGTAACCAGTCCCGATGGTCTAATGGAACCCAAGAATAGAGCAGGTGCATTGGCGATCCTGGAAAGAGAACTCGAAAGACTGGCTTTCAAACTACAGATTGATGAGCCTTCGGTCGAAATATACTACCTCTATGTCCAACTGATGGTGTGCTGCTTTTCGTTTCTTCCACAAACACCCAGCGAAGACCAAACCAAGTATGTCACGCAGGCGTATTTGGCCGCAACCAGGATTGTGACTATCATTTCCAAATTACTGGAAAAAAGGCAATTGAGTGAGTATCCTATGTATGTCCGCCAATCTGCTTCTTTTGCTGCTCTGGTTCTATTCAGACTCCACTTAACTCCATTCCTATTACCAAGATACATTGATTCTGCTAGACAGAGTATTGTTACGGTGCACCGTCTCTACAGAAATATGCTTGGCGCCTGGAAAGACGTTGAAAATGACATATCGAGAACAGCAACCGTCTTGGAGAAGCTGAACTTTGTTATCCTTACCCATCCTGAGCTTTTCACCAAGACCGATGGTATAATCATGAGAATGAGGTCCCATCTCACTGGCTCATTGTTCTATGACTTGGTGTGGTGTATCCACGAGGCAAGAAGAAGAGAACTGGCTAACGAAAAAAGCGATGTCAAGTCCGATAAGAACTCACCAAAGCCTTTACCTCTCCCATTCTACAACCAAATTACGAAAGATGATTTTAAGACGATTACGACTACGACCCCCAATGGTACGACAATCACTACGCTGGTGCCTACTGACCAGGCTCTGAATAATGCCACTGCCTCTGCTACCGCCGCTGGACTGTCCAAACCAACAGAGATCAATGGTATCCCGCTGGCCATGCTCGAGGCAACAGGCAGCCTGCTTTCTGGAACTAGCAGGCAGCAAGGATCTGCAGGTTGGCAGCCAAATTCCAACGTCAAGTCAGAGTCCAAGAAGTTAAAGCCCAAGTCAGCACCAAGAGCCCTTGCGAGCGCAGCGTCTTCTACTCCGAATGCTAGCAAAAAAAAGATGAGAAAGAGTGTCGACGAAGTGGATCAAAGTGTTCCAACCACTGTTCCAACAACCTCTCTCTTCGCCTCTGCTGCCACCATGAACAATCCGACCTCGCTCTCGCCTTCTACTGTTGGAACCAATGATATGAGCCAAAGTGATGGCACTCCGCAGTCCGAGATTCTGATTGATTCTGCCAACGACCAAGTATTTATTGACAGCATATTCCAGCAGCAGAACGCAAATTGGTCGGAGACAGGCGATGACTTCCTGGGCTGGTTTGACACCAACATGGCACCTGAGTTTTGATTTTATCCGATGTATTTTACGTGAAACTCCTTTTCAGTTTTTGTATACTTTTCTTGTAGCGTCAAGAATGACCTTTCATGCAGGCTAGAGAAAAAGATTAAAGAAACAGTAAGCGAGGTATCTTGAAAAAAAGGAGCGTTGGCAGCTTACTCGTCATCCTTTGGATCACCCAGACCATCCTCATAGATTGCGAACACACATTCGCTCTCGGGCAAGCATGGAGAATCGTAGATTTTGCATATTCTCTGTTCGCCCTTGCCCTTCTTGAAACTTAGTCTGGTTGTAGAGGAGTGGGCAATAATGTTACCGCCAATTGGCTTCTTGGGGTCGGGATTGAAGATGGCACCGGCATCAACTTGTGCCACAACTTGGTTCGTTATGAGAACAGCAATTCCAAACTCATCTGCCAGACGTTGCAGGGTTCTCATGAACTTCGCAACGTGCATCTGTCTGGCTGAAAGTTCACCTCTTCCACTGAAATCTGTTCTGTAGAGTGCCATTATGGAGTCCACAATCAACAGACTGAATCGTGATTCCGCCATCATGGAGGCAGCTTGGTTCAGAAGCTGCAACTGGTGGTCTGCGTTGTAGGCTCTGGCATAGGCCACGTTATCGAGGGTATCTCTTTCGTCGAGACCGTACCTTTTGGCTACAGATATCAATCTGGTAGGTCTGAAAGTACCCTCTGTATCGATGTAAAGACACTTACCTTCTCCTCCACCCATATCGATGGGCAACTGGCAAGTGACTGCCAGAGTGTGGCACAGCTGAGACTTTCCGGTTCTGAACTCTCCAAAAACCTCCGTAATTGACCCAGTCTCAATACCTCCACCCAAAAGCGTGTCCAATTGCTTAGAACCAGTAGTGAGACAAATCAGCTCGCTTCTTCTATGGTGGAACTCAGACGCAGTGGTGAAGCCCATTGGAACAAACTTGGTGGCTTCCAACAGAAGCTTGTCAGCTTTCGCCTCTGATATTCCCTTGATTGTTAGAAGAGCTCTCTTTGGTGTATACGCAATTGCCTCAACAGTATTGAGTCCAAACTCCATCAGCTTCTTGATATCTCCACCCGTGATACCATTGCCCTCCAGCTTAGCAACAGGCATAGGCCCATACATGCCTTCTTCGTCTTCTTCATCGACCACTGGTCTAATTGCTTCTGTAGGCTCAACCATTGGTTGTGTCATTTGATTCAAAATTCTTCTTCAGATTGGGGTATAAACAAAGAGTCTTAACAAGAAACAAAAGGAGAAGAAATCGCCACTATACAAGAGCTGGGCTTTACGCATGCAAAGAGTAAACAAATCGACGCGTCGTGTGCGGGCGGAAAAATAAATAAATCTGCCGTGCTTACGTGATTGGAAATTGAGAGACTCCAATGATCGATACTGGTAACGTGTAATTTATGCGCTCTTCGGTCGGTCAAATTCGAAGAAATTCAGGCCGTTGGAGGAAGAAGCGGTCGAACTACAGTAAACAAAAAAAAACAAAAAAAATGACAACCCTGATAGCTCCTCTAAAGCCAATCATCCCCTGACGCGCACCTCGAGGCCCATGTTGGACGCGTTCGTAGAGACCAACTGACCGTAAAGTTCACGGAAAATACTCATTTAGATACAAAAAAAATTGCAATCCCGTTAACCGCGTTCTCTGACTAACCCCGAAGCCGTCTCCATAGCTTCGGATCACCATCCCGATATAAGCTTTTAAAAGGGACTTACCAATTAGTCCCAATCAGGAAGGTGCCAATGGGGCATCTCACGCGTGGTGAAATTTCGGGCTTGGAGCTCAAATGTGTACCTGATGGCCTGCCTCCCCCCTTCTTCTCCTAGACGTTAACGAATACGCCGTCATCTGCACAAGGGATTAATTTTTGTCGTTTTTTTAGTTTAATTCCAATTGAGCAGAATGGCACAGGTTTTGCTACGTGAAGAGGTGTCTTCTCTGGCTTCATCAATCTCTGGCCAGATGTCACCCATGGGTGATGTGTCTAGTGAATCAACCACACAAGGAACGGAGGTGAGTTTTTCCACTGGAAAAGATGATCGTCCACATACTCCAAAGCTCAACTCTGTTCCCGAACCTCCGTCACCCTCAGACTCGCTAGATGTTACGAGTTACTCCCCTCTACTGCAGTTGCTTCGTTCTGATGAGATCAATGGACAGCATGTGTCTAAGGAGCATCTGAGGTATCTTAGGGACGTCTCTTTCAAGCTTTTCATGAGGGAATTTTCAAATGTGAATCGGAAGAACTATTTGACTTATTTGGGTGGAGGTTCCGTTGGTGGTTCTTCCGGAGACGATCCAATGGATATCGCTTTCATCAGATGCTTCTATATGTCTTTCTTCAAGTGGGATGCCAATTTATTGCGGTCTTTGAGGCTTTTGTGTGAAAATCTTTACTTCAAGGGTGAGTCCCAGTATATTGATAAGATTCTTGACTCTTTTGCAACTAGTTGGTACTACACCCATGGCGACTCTGCAGAATCGAAGATTGACTTCGGCAGTAGCTCCGGGGTGTATTTGGTGGCATATTCTCTCATTCTACTGAACACAGATTTGCACAATAGTGACATTGACAAGAGGGCTCGGATCAGTAAAAGCAGCTTCATCAAGAACACATTCGAGGCACTGAAGCAAAACGACGTTAGTCTCCAGAACCGAGCAGAGGTTGAAGTTGAGCTCAAAACTTTCTACGAAGATCTGCTATCAGAAGAGCTTAAGTTGACAGGTACAAACGGCACCAAACAGAGATCCAAACAGTATGCAGATATGGCAGACAAGGCCGCTAACAAAAGGGCCTCTGTGTCGTCGTTCAATAGCTTCATGCCTGCCGGCTCCACACCAACCTACTCCAATAGAACCAATTTGAACTACGAAAGAAGCTATGGTCACAACGCTGCTCAGCCAGTGGGTTTTGCTAGTGCCTTGCAAGCTGAAAGAACGGTTCGCAGGATGTCCTCGCATGATAGCATTGGCAATATCTCTCGCAGTTCCTCCATCGGCACGCTGTCTACGGTACTGCAGAAGATTGACTCCAACGATACGGCAATGAGCATTCAAGACGAAACCTTTGTCATAGAGGAAGAAGGTGACCTTGAGCTGGAACTTGAAGGACCACCATGGGCAAAGGAAGGGTTGGTCTTTCTGGCAAAGAGTAACGATCCGGTTCAGCAGCCTGCTCCGTATGAGAATCGTGGAGCGTTTTCTGGATGGCTTTCTCGGTCAAAAACTTCCCAAAGCAAAAGCAGATTATGGCCTAATCTTTTCGTGGTTGCCTCCAAAGGTGAACTCAAGCTGTTCTCGTTTGAGGTCAACCAAGGTGGTTTGAAGGGAAAGAAGTCGGTCAGCGATATACGCAGAAGTTGCAATAGAGACCAGCAATCCCAGACCATTGGAGATGGAAACTGGCTGTCTTCTGCTAATTGTGTCGGCTCGTATAGTCTTTGCTCCACTCTGGCCCGTGTCATTGATGCAAAGTCGTCATCCTATAAGCTGCTTTGTGGTGAGTACAGAAACAATGTTCCTCACAAAAGGATCGGAGATTCCACTTTCTGGGCTCTGACACTTCCCCTGGCAGATGACCAGAAGATGTCAAATCAGGAGACACTAATCTTTTGTGCTGGTACACAAGAGATTGCGAAAGAGTTCGTCGACACCTGCAACTTCTGGTCAGCGAGATCCTCTTCAATTCCACCCGAAGATGCAATTTCCTCGATCGACTACGGATTTTCGCCAAAACTGGCTCAAATGGACAAAGCTTCTGTTGTGAAGTATCTGAATTCGACGACAATTATCAAATGGACTCCTTTCATATACGGGCTCATTCCCACAACGTTTCCCATGCTGGAACAGCTGACGAAGTTGAAGACATATCACACGGAGCTGGTCAATAAGGTCAATCAGCACAAGACCTGGATCACTGTAGTTTCCCGCATTGAAAAACACGCTCAGGACCTGGTCGCGCCTTCAAGTGCGGGTTTTTTGCGCAGAAGCCGAAAGACTTCAGATGCTTCTGCAAGTGCAGTCAAGAACCTGCGGATGATCAAGCTGAATTACCAGAACAAGCTGACGTATCTTGAAAACGAACTGGCGAGATTTAAGGCCTACGTTCGGATATTGCAGAAGTCACTTGAGTCACGGCAAAAGAAGTTGCAGGAGTCTGCGGAAGAGGAAGATGACTTCTTTGATACGTCTGAGTACACAGTTACTTGAGCGTAGACGGAATAGAGACACTCACACTTACTCTTGGACATTTACGAAACCGGCTGGAATAATGAACAAAATCCCGTTTTGTTACTCGCCATAATCAGGAATTATATTTTCCCCCGTTTTTACAATATTTCATACCATACGAGTAACGCTAAAACGTCTGGAAAGTTTATCCCAAATGCACGATGCAAAGTAAGGTAGTGTATCCATACCAGAAGTTTGCGGGTGTCGCCTCCCAAGACAATTAACACCAAATCGTTAAACTACAAGTGTATTCATCTCCAGCACTCCATTGGATTTCAAATTGATTAGAGTTGGAATTCACTGGTTATAACTCATAAACACCGATTATCACAACAAGATGTCTGATCCTAGTTCAATCAACGGTATGTATTGGGGAGATGTTGCCACTGGGGACGGTCAAAGACAGATTGCCTTTGAACAAGCCAGTCGGCTCGATTTCACGCAGTAACTAACGATATGGGGTTTTAGGTGGTTCAGCTGTGGCTATGGTCGGCAAGGACTGTGTGGCAATTGCATCAGATCTGAGACTGGGTAGTCAATCCCTAGGTGTATCCAACAACTTCGAGAAGGTGTTCAACTTTGGCCATGTGTTCTTGGGACTTACTGGTCTGGCCTCGGATGTCACAACGTTGTCCGAAACATTCAGGTTCAAGACGAACATGTACAAGATGAGAGAAGACAGGCTGATAGAACCGGAGACTTTTGCTAACCTGGTGTCGTCCACCCTTTACGAGAAGAGATTCGGCCCTTACTTTGTGGGTCCAATTGTGGCTGGTATAAACTCAAAAACAGAAAAGCCTTTTATCTGTGGGTTTGACCTGATTGGATGTATAGATTTTGCAAAGGACTTTATCGTGGCTGGTACTGCATCTGATCAGCTCTACGGTATGTGCGAGTCCGTGTACGAACCCAATCTCGAACCTGAAGATCTCTTCGAGACGATATCCCAGGCCCTGTTGAACGCGGCTGATAGAGATGCGTTGTCTGGTTGGGGTGCTGTGGTGTATGTGATCACGAAGGACAAGATTGTGAAGAGGTACTTGAAGTCTCGCCAGGATTAGACATGAAAAGATGTTTGTGATCTACAGAATTAAAAAATCTTCGAGTTTGCTGGTTTTGTAGCGTAAATTCCTTCGATAATACTGTCGCTATTTTCGTTTTCAGTTTTTGCACCTATCTTCTGACTTCACCTATATTTGCTATGTACAGGCCGGAACACAGATCGGAAATCCAAAATGTTTCCCCTTTTTCTTATATATTTCCCTATTGCTTTCCCTGGGCTGCCAGACGCTCCAGTTCCTTCTCGACCACTTTTTTCAGTTTCATATCCTTGCCCCATTCTTCCTCCTTAATCTTTTTCATCTTCTCTTCAAACTTCTTGTTCTTCTCCCTCCTCACCAGGATCTTCTCACGGTCTGCTGCCAGACGGGTCTCGTGTAGACAGTTTGAAAGTTGTGACTTTTGTATGTTGCAAGCACCAAAGGCTTTTTTCATGAAGTTTAGTCTGTGGCATTCCTCGAGAGCTTCAATGAGGTCCTCGCAGGCTGTGAGGGTTAGTAACAAAAATACTTAGTGGCCAAATCATATGGCTGAACCATATGGCTCTTGTGGTGTGTACTTACCCATAAACCTATCTTTATCCAACACAGGATGCATTTTGGTATGTATAATATATATTAGAGCTAAAGAGCCAAGTCAAATCACTTGCCAAATCTCTTTGTCCTGATATCTTGTCCCTCTTTTAGCGAGGTAGTGCACAGCCTAACAACCCCCCATTCGCTGCCACTGGGAGGTTGGTCTTAAGACGAAGGGATACTTTGTGAGAACGAGCTGAATCTGTCCAAGCTCAAAAGCTGTGAAGTATTTCCGTGAGACTGAAGTTGCCAGATATTGAAATCACCTGATCCACAAGAGCCAGCATTCTTCATCATGAGCTCGTCAAACAAACCCTCAGAGGCAGACGATGTCTTGGAGTTCCTCAACTCGCTGCCAGACTCAGACAAGGCCAAAGATGGCAAGACCGCTGCTAAGAAACAAGACGGTAAATCTGATGAGGACATTTTTGAGTTTCTGGACGAATTGGCTGCTGAGGACAAGAAGGAGAAGTCATCACCTACTCCGGAGCCAGTTATCGCGCCTTCAGTTTCTAAAGATGAAACAAGCGAGGATGTATCTTCTACTCAAACCACGCCAGAGAAGACCGCAACGGTGCCAGCTGGTGATGTCAGCGATCCAATTTCATCGCTTACAAGTTGGTGGTCTACAAGCGGATCTACCAGGGTTGGTTCTCAGGTATCATCACTATGGGGCACGGCTCAGAGTCTAAAGCAGAGTGCACAGGAGAAGGCTGAAGAAGCAATCAGATTGGCCAAAGAGAAAGGTCTGGAAGAAAACGTGAGAAAGGCTTTCCAGGAAGTTGGAATCACTGGAGTTCGCGAAGATGGTAAGCCAATGACAGAAGAGGAGCTGTTGAAATTGCCTGATGCCCACCAGGCTCTTCAGTCATTGAACAAGGGCTTTGGTTTCTTCCAAAACAAGCTGTCTGGAGTCATTGACAAGATCCAGACGGATTTCGAGAATGCCATTGGACCTCACGATGAAGTCTTAGATGTGAAACTGGTGCACGATCTCAGGAACTACGGAATGCTGAACAAGTATGTGACTCACAACTTCGAATCTGTGATGAGTGCGCAAGTAGACGGTGATATCCAGGTGAAGGTGGCAGAATCTCAGACCGTATCGGTGAAGGAGGAAGAATCTGATTCCAGATCCCTAAGTCTTTTCCAGGGAAAGATCTCGGACGCTGAGAAACTGGTGTTTGCCAACATCGAGAGTGTCATCAAGAATTCTGAAGAGACCAAGGAAAACGCATCTGAGACGGCTCCGAAGAAGGAGTCCCGACCCATACGAAAGTCAAACCTCTTCATTGGTCTGCAGGCTGTTGCAGTTCAGCCAACAACATCGTCCCCTTCGGCCTCGGATCTGATCACCATCGATGCATACTCGGCAGGCTCGTTTTCCTTCACCACTGTCTTGAAAGATACCACCCATAACATTACGATTGTCAATAGGTCGCAGCCCTTTCCTTTGAAATGGGCCAAATGGCTGGACGACTCGGAAGACAAGAAGGAGGACCAGGACTCTGCTGTTGACTCCACCGACGTGGATCCAAGCGATTGGGTCATTGACTGGGTCAATAGAGGCCTGGACATGACGTTTGGGGTGTTGGCCCAGAGCTACATCATCAGAAGAATGGGGTACTAGAATTGAATTTGTTGCTAGTGCAGCGCTTGTTTTTGATATTTGGGACTAATTTCTTGTTGTTTTTGGTTTTTGGTTTTCGTAGAGTGCTTGGAAACTTCTTCAGATATCCTCGCTCTTTTTGTAGTGTTCCAGGACTTTTGTCAATCCTTCAACATCGCTCGCAATCAATTGGTTATCCCAGTCCACGACCAGAGGTGGATTGAACAACTTCAAAGCCACCAATTCATCCAGAGTCTTGCCGGCTGTTTGCTTCTCAACGGCACTCTGAGTGGGGAGGTTCTCTACATCCCTTGCTCTCTCTAGCGTTTCACCCCACTTCGGAAATGCTGACTTGAAGGCAGCCTTGCAGTCTGGATGAGTAGAGATTGTTCCCTTTATAAAAAGGAATTGATCTGGAGTGGGGAATGTAGATGCCACATCAAGCTGATATCTGGAGGCAGGCTTCACCCCTTTCGACGAATTTCCTCCAAAAATCTTTGAAAGGAATCCCTGAGACTTAGGCGATGATTCTAATGATGTGGTGGCCTTTTGTAGAACTTTAAGAACATCTGAGGACGCTTTCACGTTGGGTGAGTGACTATAACTTATTAGATATCTGACCAGTTGATAAACCCTCCAAACATTTCACTTACAACAACGTTATCACTCCCGGCATGCTCTGTAGGCTCTTAAACATCGACATCGTTCCGATTGACTGTATTTCTAATCAGGGAACTGTAAAGAAAGGGAAGAAGATAAGTGTAAGAGAAGGAGGCGAAAACGGGTATTAGCCGTCCAGGCCGGGCCATTTGAGCCGCACCTTTCCGAACAAAACCGGGGTTCCGAGGGTTACTCCATTCCAGATTATCGAGACTCTCATGAGAGAGTTACTAGTAGTACATTAATGGTATAAAGAGCGCTGAAATTGCTTGGAAAAGGTCTCACGGGTGACCATGGTCAGATCCGGGCCACGCAGATATTCTCTGCGGCTTATCTTTCCTCAAAGCGCCATCCGAGGGCGATTCTGCCTGAAGCTCGACTTCGATCTGGTCGAGAACCGTCTTGAGGATAGCCGGAGACTTTCCGGAACTCGTTGCTGTGTCAAATTCCCGTTTGAAAAGCGCAAACCGCTCGTAGAGCAGACTGTCAAAGGCCTCGAGTAGTTTCGAGGCAAATCCGGTATCCACCGGGGTATTTGAAGCAATTACCGCACGGAGTCTCTTGACCAGTCTGAACGACGCTAGGTCGGCTGACTTAGCCGGCAGCGAGCTCCGTAGATATTCGGGTGGGTTCAGCACCAAAAGTGCGGCATAATAGAGCATGATATGTATGTGCACGGGCACATACTTCAGGGCATGCAAAATGTCTTCGTCTCCGAGAACGAGGTTCAACACTGTCTGAGCAGCCGAGATGGCCAATTGAGAGGACGCCTTTCTACTCTCTCCAGGACTCAATTCCTTTGTAAAAGTATCTTTAGTGGTCTCATCATCGTCTTCATCCTCCTCGTTGAAATCCTCGTCATTTTCGTCGCCTGAACCGTCGGAGTCCACTTCTTCGATCCTCTTATCCATGAAGCCCTCGGCCTTTGACAGAGTGGGAAACTGTAAACCGTCCGTGTGCAGACTCCGCACTGCTGAAGAGTTTATGTGCATCTTGGCGAAATTGTAGTAGATCAGAGTAGACTTCGACGACCAAATCGATCCGGCGTGGAGGGGTGAGAGTAGCACCGTCCAATGGACCATCCACTTGTCAAGCTCCAGGTTTGTTCTAAATGGTATGCCAAACGAAGCCGGTGCCATCATGTCCCAAGCATCGCCTTTGAACACGTCGCTTATCGCAAGATTGTACTCGACTTGCGAGACTAGACGGAGGTTTGAGTAATTTGCCATTTCTGTGGGTTCTGGTCTGTTCTTAGTTTCGGTCTCGGTTGGGGTCTCGGTTCCAGCCTTATTATTCCTGGTTTCGTCTTCGCTTTCATGTTCCGTCCCATCTTTGACCAAAGCCTGAGTAGGCCCGGCCAAAAGTGACATTCCAAGACCAAGAGTTCCATCCGTAGCATCTATCATGGGTTGTCTGTTAAACACCAGAGCCTGCTGGCCATCCAGAATGTATAGCAAATACCACAATTTCAGTCTTTCTTGGTCAGAAACACATCGTTTTGGATCGGAAGTCTTCCTCCTGTTGCGCTTTCCGGGGGCTGAATTGAGCCCCATGGTCTTGGCCATCTGAAGAGCCAATCCCGTGAACATCTGGTCTTTCTGAAACCAGAAACCACATATACACAGAGCAATGATGGTGTTAAAGCCCTCGACTTCGTCCTTGGGTGTGCTGAACAAAACTTGTTTGGTGAGCTCGTGAAGAAGAGAGTTCAACTTCACAGACAGATGGCCCAATCTCTGGTGGTGCATTGAAGCAATGCAACAGACAGTTGCAACCAGAAGAGGTGACGACTTCCACAACTCTTCAACCTTGTAGCTGGCAATGCTGAAACCAAAAAGCTGAGGTGTGATGTTGCTATCGAAAAACTTGAACAGCTCTTCTGCCTCCTGGAGAGACAGGATCTGGTCCAGCCCAGTAGTCTCGTCTATCCGGTCCAATTCGGTGGTCTCTTTGGTCTTATTCTGACCGCTATTTGATACCGCTGGCCTCTTTGGATCCGGGGCATCTTGGGGTCCGAACTCTCGCTTCCGGCTCGCTATCGGTGGTAGTGTAGGAGGAGCCAGGTACTCCGCAGGTGGAATTGCCGAGGGAAATGCGGGCCCCGGTGGAACCCCAAAGTATTGATACGGCTGGGGTAATCCAGGTGATTGTAATGGTGCGTTCAGAGGAGGTCTCAAAGCAGGATATGCCATAGAAGGGTGGAACGGCAGCTGCGTAGGATTGGGCTGGGGATGAGACTGAGGCGGCTGAGGCGGCTGCAACTGCACATGATGATTCGCATCTCTTTTCTGGTCCTTTAAAAGGCCCAGGATATCGTCCAGTGCGGTATCAAACTTCTGAAGCCGGTTTTCGACCGAATTCTCCCAGCCTGTGACATTCGGACTGTCCGGTTTTTGCGTGATCTCTGGCAAATCCGGGCTTGTCTTTTTCGTTTCTGGATTTTTGGAGTTCGACGGTATTCCGAAGACATGCTCTTGTCCTTCTTGAGTCCCAGCCAGCCCTCTTGAGTCTAAGTTGTGGGTTGCATCAACACCTCGCGAGCCCCCTCCAACAACTTGTATGCCTGGAATACTCACTTCCACGATACACTCAAGGTTGTGAATAGAGCACCGCTTGCACGCAACCTCATCGCGGGCATCTGCCTTTTCGCATCTGATTTTGGCCTTCCTACATCGCTGGCATGCCCGATTCCGCTTGGGCTTGTCATGGCGTGAGCTCCCGGCTTCCGGTGTCGGTTCCGACTGTCGCTGCAAAGCTACTTCTGGTTGTGGCCCCGAGGGTCCACTCTTATTGGACCAAGACACGAACCTCATACGAGTCTGGAAACAATCCAGCGAATGTCAGTGCCAAAGCGGCTGGAGGGTTGGTAATTCAAAGAGGACAGACACTGATGAGCTTTTTCCGAAAGAGGAAACAGTTTGTGCACGACCAAAAATGCAAATTGGTGGTGCACACCCTTTTGCGATCTGTAGATTACCAATTTCTTGCCTCTATGTTCATTCCTCTGTTGCTTATTTCTTTCATCTAATAACTCTTATTCGCATGTCCAGTTTTTTTGCAGAATCAAGACGGTTTCTGGTTGTCGGGGCCTCGGCCAATCCTGCAAAGTTCGGCTACAAAGTTCTCAAGTGGTACGTGGATCGAGGACTCCCCGCAACTCCAATCAACCCCACATCGAACGAGATACTAGGCCAAAGGTGTTTCGGATCTGTTGCAGATGCGATTGCTTCGTTTCCAGAAAAAGCCACAGTCTCTGTATCTGTTATTACTCCGATAGCAGTTACGCTTGAAACAGTCAAAAAACTCCGGCCTCAAGCCGTGAAAGCCATCTGGTTCCAACCAGGATCTTTTGACTCTGAGGTGATTGCCTTCTGTGAGAAAAACCTCGGTCTGGTTCGTGGAGAGTCGCTGATTTACGATGATTGCATTTTGGTGAGCGGAGACTTGCTGCGGTCACGGTTGTGATGTCAGGTCGATTCTTATCTCATTCACTGAGCATCTTCTTTATGAAGTTGTAGCCGTTTCTCAGGATCTCTTCTCCGTAAACGCCTGTGTTTGCAGCGGCTGATTGAACTATCACATCGCCGGCGTCGGTAGTGGCGACGTATTCAACGCTTGCAGTGCCCGAATTTCCGCTGGAGTCCTGGCGTAGAATTCGGTATGGGAATGGAGACGTTTCCATCGAGGTGATTGCCGGTATATGGGACTTGTGGGCATCCACTACATCGCAGATCTCCATCAAGTTGTTTTCGAATACCTCGCGGTACGCATCCAGATCGTGTCTCTCCCCGGGCGCAGCCGGATACCGTCTGTTGTTGATAACGTTTACACGCAGAGTCCACGTTTCCCAGCAAACGGCATGTCGGTCGCGCTCATAAAACTTGATTGCTATTGAGCTTTTGAACACGGCGGCGTCTTGAGATAACGGGCTATCCGTCAAGCTCTTTACCATTGATGTAGCCTCTGAATTGATCAGATCTTCCAGTGCAGTTGCTCCGACCACCTTGGGGTACGGCACACCGAGAAAGTAGTCATTCTTAGGAGTGATCGGGCCAAACAGTCTGTTGAAGAAGATTGTCCAGAGAATACCACGGGTGTTGTCGAGGACCGTGTCCAGGTCGGAGACAATTGTGAGAGAGAATTCCATGATGGCCGCGATAATGCGATGAGAACTCTGGAATGACGGTTATAAATAGTAATATCAACGGAAATAATGACACACTATAATGACGGTGAATGCGAAAACGTGAATATCCTATGTTTCTATGTCAACACCATGTAGTGACACATCGATAAGTATACCAGCGATAGTAGGATCCCAACACTTATGATATAGAATATATACCAATACAACTCCAAGTTATTGACCGATTGACTGGAATTATTTTCTGTAGACGTCTTCTTTCAACCTCTTCTTTCTTAGCTGTCTTGTCTTTTGTCCTGTTTCCTTACCTCTTGTCTCGCTCTCCCTTGTGCCTCCATCTCCTCCTTCTTATCGCAAGCTCATCCGCACTCTCACGTGACTGCATGGTCACATGACCAGTTCTGCCCAGCCACGACATGCGGCGCATTCGTGGCTTGACGGTGATCCGCAATCCAACAGCTTTCAATCAGGCCGAACAATAGCCACAGTTCCAGGGAAAAACTAGTCGATTTGTGAGGCAAAACGACACCCAGACTCCCGTTTTAAATTTATCTTGTGTTACTCAAGTCCACTGTCACTTATATTACCAACGCCGTTTGCTTTACTGCCGTTGCATATCCTTCTTGCATTGAAGATCTACAGAGGGCCAATGCCTGTCTAACAACACACCAAATGCATGATTTAAACTGGCTAAAGAAGCGACTGAGCAAGACAGCTCGTTTCTACTACCATAGATATGGTCATTACGTCCCGCGCACTCCCCGTTCTCGCAGAAGAGCACTGATCAATACCTTTGTGCTGTTGACGATAGGGCTGCTGGCGACGATACTACACAGGAGCTCGTCCCCGACACCGGGGCCTGAGACAAGCCAAATTGGCGCCGGACCATCCCTGCTGGCGCTGAGAGAGACGCTTTATGCTGGTGGCTATTATGACCGACTCCAGGAGTATCTAAACTCGGGGATCGCAGGAGATCCGACTGATGACGAACCACGGTATCCGGTGCTTGTGGATCTCCAGAAGAGTCTCTTTCGGTCATCGAGGTGTCCAATTTACACATATTACAACATGGATGCTTCAGATGGTTTGACGCAGGAAGACCGGGTCTATGATCGGTCCGTGCTGGCTGCGTGGATGGTGTACTATTCGTCCCTGGGATTCAACCCTGTGGTTCTCGATCTCGACGATATAAGTGAGAAATACGCCAGAAATAAGAGGTCCCCTTTATTTGGCCAGGCACGCTTTGCGCGGTCCATGTTGCGCCGTACTGATCTCCTGGAGAACGACTTGGTGCTGAAATTGTTCACTATGCAGGACCACATGGCGTCCAATGGGATTGATAGCGCGGCATTTGTTGACTACCACTTATTTCCAATGACGGGTGATCCTCTGGCAAATTCTGAGGCGCTCAGATCCTCGCTAAAAACCTGTTTTGGTGGAAGTGACCATGGTTTGGAGCCTCCAAGCGGTGTGGCCGCATTCAAAGTGGATGGTTTGCACATAGGCTCCGTCTCACAGAGCCAGGTAGCATTGTTTGCCACAGAAAAATCCATTCGGACCTCTTTGCAGCGCTTACAGCGACTTCTTCGCCGAACTGCCACTCTGGTGGTGCCTCTTCCCAAGGATAAGCTCAACTTTGAGTTCGGTGACTACTCCCAAAGTACAATAACCCGTCTGAACCCTGACATCCGCAAGAAAGATATTGCAGATGTTATTGCATCCCATCGCCATGCTCTTTTCATAGAGAATCTGAACAGAAGGTCTACCATGGACTATGTCACTCGTCCTATTAGCGTTGGAACCATGGAAATTGTCGATCCCGTCACACTTCCTGGACATTTACTGAGCGATGAGCTCGTCAAAGTGGCCAGATCGCTAGCCGTATGTCCTGATGTGATGGTGGGACTCCCAACGCAAGCAAACATAGCACGTGCTAAAGCGATAGAGCTTGAAAAGACGTGGGCCTTGGTCAACCGTGCCAGGGCGAAAAACCTAGCTCGTGATTCTGACATGGATAGGCTGCAGGCCAAAATTGACTCGTTAAAACCGAAGTGCAACAATCTCCAGATTCGCATAGTGGATGCTCTCGATCTGGCACATGCTGATGATGGTGAAGATCTCGATGAACCGGGGATCGCCGGGTCACCATACTCGCGGTCCCGTTTCTCGCTAATAGCAGTTCCTCATCCATTGGTAACTGTGAACGCTCTTCATCTGTCCTCAAACGATCACGCCGAGCTTGTGAGCTTTCCGTACCGCAACCAGTTCCTTACACAGCTATTCAAGGGCTCTGCGGCAGCAGAGTTGGCTACTCTTCCTGAGCGTCTGGCTCTTTTCAGAAAGGTCACAGCCCAAGAGGGCAAATACCGTGTTCTTTCCACGAGTCTTGAGTTCTTGATGGGCGCGCCTCTATCCGAGGTGTTGGAGGCGGCTGCCACGTCTCTGGGCTTCGCTCCCAAAGAGTATACCTCGCGTCACGGACTCGCGATGGCAGCGCTGGATGTTGAAGATAACAGCAAAACTCTCTATGTTCCAACCTACGCCGAGCTCGTTGGGGGCACCAGTTCTTTTGAAGTTCGAATCCAGGCACTACGGGCCAAGATGCGCGAGGCACGTTACTTGATAATGAGAGCAAGTGAACGCAAGCCGATAATCCCTCCCAAGGCTCGCAAACCGGCTTCGGGCAGCGAGATTTCTGTGGACCAGCTGGAGCCAGTGACCCAGCCTATCCCTGCCATCGCAGAGTCCCTCAACGCGCTCGACGCTGCAGCCTGGAACAGTGCGCGGGTTGTCGAGGCGATTGGGCGTCGTGTTCGTGGCCTTGTTCACGATTTGCAGAACATATAGACTATTTTAATGAACGAAGCATTTAGCATTTTGAAGTGTGGAGAAGCGGGTGGGAGGTGGAAAATCTGTCACGTGATCTGCAGAAAGTTGCGGGCCGGACATACAGAAGTTGGCTCCGGCGAAGCTAAGAATAAGGTTTGTTTTAATGAGTATATTGGGGAGATACCGAGACTATTTGACACGTTATGTGGTGGTTTCTGGTTGGTGAATTGTAAAACCGCGTTCTTGGTGTACTTGTTGGAAAGCTGTGCTCTTTTTCAACCAGCAGCTGATGGTTTACTGCTGGCTAAAAGTTTGTGGAATATGCGCACAGAATTCGGATGAGAGCCGCCAAACGCTCGGCGAAACAAACACCAGTCTGCTCGTGCGCAATTGGTCTGTTTTATTATTTGAACGCACTTTCTCAGCTGCAATACACCAGCAGGAGAAGTTGCAGAATACTTCCCCCGAAGGCTGTGTCCAATAACTTCTACGAATTACTCATCTAATCTGGAACCACTAATTACCCAAGACCAAACCTTGAATTTCCACAATGAAAGTCACTGTTTCGGTGTTCCAAAAAAAAGCATATATGCTCTCCCCTTGCGTGGCGCTACCTGAAACTGGGAGCCAACCTGCCGCATGAAGTCTGCGACACCAACGCCTTGCCCAAAGTCCCTTCTAATTACAAACCACGATAACTATCGTCATTAATACCCACCAATAACTACCTATAGTACCCTACTCCATAACACCCGATATTCTGACGCTCCTCGGCCATCGATAATAACTTCGCGCCTAATTAGCCGCCCATCAGCCAGACTCAGGGTCTGCATGTATAAGCGTCTTTTTACGCCCGCGCACGCCATTCAAAGGTGACTAGCCGAAGTTTAATTCGCCGGGATTGGGTCTAGAATTTTGAGCTTTGGACGTTTTTCCGTTTCATTTCCTTTCTGCTAGTGTACCTGAGCGTGTTTTTTTTTTTTTGGCAACTCTTCATTTCTCCCTTCTCGCTGAATTTGCAATCGCTTTTGGAGTCCGAACACAGTCCATTCTCCATCTCTTTCATCAGCCTTCAGGAAAAGCCCCCCTCTATTCTGTTTTGGACTTGATGGTAGCTATGGTACAATCGCGTTTGGCTGTGTTGACAGCCATCACCACTAAGGCGCGTTTATTGTTCCTGGCCAACCGAAAGGTCCCAGTCGTGTTGCTGCTGCTGGTGGCCGTGGGCATATACTCGAACATGATGTTTGTGTCGTCGTTCCGCTCCTCGAGATACTCAGGACTGTCCCACAACAAACCCAATGTTGACCAGTTTGACTATATCCCCTCGCATTCGAGAGACCAGGATTACCTGAGTCGAATGGCTATTTCTGCTGAAACTGTTCAGCTTAACTACAAGCCGATGCTATGGACCGGCTACTCCGGCGACCTGGACATTACGGACCTTGCCGTGAGCGATTATTCGACCACGCCTTGTCGCTTTATTCAGCACAAAGAAGGTCTTGGCGTGGCGGATCAGAAGATTCTTTCGGACGATTTGGCATCGGTCAGGAAACTGTTGATAGCGACCTCATACTCTGAGCTCGTGACCCAGAACGAGCCGGAAGATGTTGATGTATCCAGTCTCGTGAACCTGAGATGGGCCCGTTTTTCAGGTGCCAGTGTTTGGCTCGCTGATTACAATGTTCATTTGCTGGTGAGCAGAGTGATGTACGCCAAAGATGGAGTTTTCGGGACTCCCACCGCGTCTTTCATCAGAGCCCAGGTCTACGACCGCAACTGGAACGAGCTGATGAACTATTCACTCAAATTGGTTGATTCCAAGGGAGAAGTGTATAAGCAGATTACGTTCCCCACGCTCTTTGACGTGGGCTTCAATCCGGAGACGGATAGGGACATGGCCGGAGCAGAGGACCCCAAGATCGCTTTGAGGGTCAATAGCGATGGCAAGGAGGAACCCGTGATTTTCTTCAACATGTTCAATGGAAAAATCGCTGGTCGTCGCGCGTACCACGCTTATTTGCCCTTTTCGAAACATGACTACTTGGTTGGGTTCTCTGTTCCTGACGTTCCCCAGAAGGAGGCTGACAAGGATTGGGTACCCTTCTTTGCTCGTGATGTCGGCGATTCTGGCGAGATCACGGGTTTCGTGTATTTCATCTACCAGTTCAACCCCCTGACGGTAATCAAGTGTTCCATGGACTATGGTGAGTGTCACGTTGCTTTCCAGCACGATTCAGAGAAGTACCCCAGCTCCATCGACTCTCACATCACCATGGGCTCGAACCTGATACTCTTACCTCAGGGCGTTCCAACGGCCGAGTTTGGAGCATATGGAGCCAAAAAGCGCGATGTCTGGGTTGGTTTCTCGAATTTGAAATTGTACAACTGTGGCTGTGGAGATGCTACGTTCCGTCCTTCTCTGTTCGTGCTAATTCTTGACGGCGATAACTTCCGTATTGAATTTGGCACCACGAGCGTTGACTTTGGACTGACCGTTGCGCCGATTCACTCTGAGAACGTTGCCTCGTGCCAGGCGGACGATAAGAGCATCCTCACTGTGGGGTCTGTTGGTTCGTGGGATGTCACTAGTTACGACAAAGAGACTCATCTTTATGAAGACTACATGTCCATCGTTCTGACCGAGGCTGACCGCCAGATTTCCGTTGTGAGGCTCACGGGAGTGCTCAACTACATTCTGGGATCGCGTCGTCTTGAGCATAAATCTAAGCGCGTTGCTGAAAGGTTGTATGCAGATGAGCATGTTCAGCGGTCGATCCGTGTCCAGCAGTGTGCACTGTACTCTGCCAAGGATTATTGCACGGAGTATGCTGCGAAGCATAGCTTTAGGGAGGAGATGTGAGAAGGAGATGGATTCGAAAAGAAGGCGGACAAAGGGCGAAACAGATCAATATTTGCCATTAGTGGAGCCTCCGGTAGAGGCCACTGGTGAAATTTCATTGGTTCTTGCAAATCTTTCATCTTGAAAAATTGTTTTTGACTGACCTCCACTTTTCTCCACTCTTCATGCACTCTTCATGCAGGTGTCTTTGCATACTTCGATTTTGAAAAGTTGAACATTTCTCTACAACTTATTCAAAAGGAAACCTTTGGACCCTATCAATACCTCAGCATATAGAAGACAGTTTTTGGCAAAACTCTCTCGCCGCCGTTTTGGCCCTACACAGAAATGCCACTTTTCTCTACACCGACATCTGTCAATCCACTTTCGTTTAGTTCACTTTCATTGAGTCCGCTTTTTAGCCTATGACGCTTTGTAATAAATTTTGTAGGCGTTAATACCACCTGAAGCTCATCTTTAATATCACCAATTGTTAAATCCTGCTTTCATCATCAACTGTCCTCTTTCCCCTAACTGACAGCCTGCTGCCAATCGCGGTCTCACATAGTCTCACAATTTCAAGCTACAAACAATTTTTTTTGGCTTCTGTCTCACTCAAGCAGTCCATGTGGCCTCTCCTCACCTCTGGAAGCCTTTTTCTTGCCAATAGCTATCACAAGCAGTCGGTCAAACGTCTGATACAGCCAACTGGAAATGACAATCAGGCCTCCGCAGATCGTCGTGAGTCTCAACACAAACTGAATAAAACTGATTCTCTTCTCTTCAATCAAAAGCTTGATAGGCTCAAAGTCATAACGGAAGAATATTCCAGGCACTTGTCTCGTTGCGGACTTGTCGAAATTCAGCGCTGAGAACTGGTAAGTGTCCACCTCCATACCGAGCTTGCGGTAGTAGGTGGGTACAACGTTCAACTCGTATTGGTATGTGTGAAGGTGCTCGTTCGTGACACGAACAGTCTCATCAAGTGGGTTATCCAAGTACGGATAGAAGTCACCAAACGAGAATTCGTTGGTGATATGGGTGAAGTTGAGAGCCTCTGGCGGTGGCCTTCTTCTGTCGTGATATCCATAGCCCTTCGCTGTTATATGAAACTCGCCTTTGACCTTGTTGACTGGAAAGGACCCAAATATGTGGCAGGCGGGTTGTCCTTCGAAAGCCTGCTGTTCGCGTTGAATGAACTCGGCCGGCATCCCTCGTTGGACGATCTCGTCCAACTCTGTGGTCCGCACCGGTCTTCTTCCGTTTACAACGTACCATGGTGGAACAAAGAAACCCACACCTTCATACGAAAGTTTCTCGGCGGCCATTAGCAAATCGGCAGTTGCGTCACGCACGTTTGTGTTGATATAATTGCAGGGCGTGGCAACGATGAGATCGACGTTGATGCGTAGCTCAGCCTGGGTCTCGTTATCCACGGTGAACTGGTGATCCACGAAACCATCAATATAACCACCTACTTCCACCCACATCAGGAACACCAAAAATATCAGCATGAAGATGGTTGAAGATCCACCCCGGGACGACCTCACCGTGTGTTCTGGAGGTGCCTTTGCTATTCGGAGAGGCCGGTTAGTAAATGAGCTGCTAAAAGAGTGGAAATTCGCAATTGTTCACTCACGAAACGCATCAAACGTCCTGACTCTTCTGAATGTTTCCATGTCGTTGGATGTGGCTTTATAGACAAGCAATAATACGTTGGTTACGTGAAAAGTTTCAGCCTTACTCAAGGACGTGAACGAGCACTGCGCCTCACGCACCAGCCTTTGTCACGTGACAAAATCGCTGGGAGACAATCACTACTTGGCCGTTTTGGCAAATATAATCAGAATTCTTGCAAATATAAACAGAAATCGTCTCAGTGGTCAGGCGCTCGTGTCCTTGGCGGCTTTTCCTGGGTGGAGCGGCGGTTTGGGTAGCCGATGAGCAAATCTGACCAGACGTCTCCTTCTGAAATCGCCCTGCTCGTCATAGGCCCAGCCCTCGTCAGCAGGAACCAGCTTCAAGTATCGTTCAAGACACCAGGTTGCTGGGTTGGTATCGATATTCCAGTCCTCACTGGAATTGAATCTCCATCCCGTGGGGGGAAGGACTTCCTCCAACATGGGTACTCCGGCCGGTCTCCATCTATGCATTCTCTCTTCTGTGTCCGCATCGAATGCTGAGGGTGAAAAACACACAGGATTGTACTCTGTTGATGTGAAACTTCGTTGCTCGATTTCGAAAACCTCGACTTCCTCTACTTCAGGAGGCTCGTCAACGATGATGCTCTCCGACATGCGTTGCTTGATCAAGGGCTTTGGCTGTGACTCCAGCTTTGGATCAGTTTTGACTTCCCTGTCTGGGCCCTTGTTCCTTGCAGATTCAGCATCCGTAGCCTCCTTCCTGTTTCTGAGCTCCTGTTGCCGCACCTTGTACAATTTGACGAGTTCCTTCACCTTAGGCAGTCGGAAGCCCAGTCCAACCCATGCCATCACCACGAAAATCGATCTCCACGGAATAAAAGGACCCAAAAAGAATACCACGGCCACATACAGCCACAGTCTGAAAAATAGCACAGTGGATCCTACCTCATCACTAAAACCAGCCTGGCTGTAGAAAAACTGCTCTGTAGAGTCCATGAGACCGATCACGTCTCCCGTCAAGTTCTGCAAATCTCTCATGTTAAGAAGAAGGTCCACCCGTCTGGCAGTCTTATTTGGAGTGGGTGGAGTTTCGTCGGGCAATATTGGGTTCACAGGAGATGCTGTGGTGGGAGCTGTCTGTTCCGGTTGAGATTCCGCTTGTGATCCTGTCTGCGATTCTGCTTGTGAATCATCCAAAATAATAGATCCATCACTGTCGTTGGAGATATCCATGAGCACTGCCGCAGTCAATGCCTCCTCTCCATCCGAATCCGGCGAGTTCCTGTCCCTGAAACCTGCAGGGCCTTTGGATTTATCGTCCTGTTCCAATGTATCGGGCGCAAAAAACCCAAGAGCGGGACCACCACGTGATCTCAGAGGGATTAGACGCCGTCGTGCAAGTGGATGGCGATTCAAATAGGCCGGAATCATGGAGTATCCCAAAACCCACACGGCTGGGTACATCAGCAGCAAATGCGGATAGACACACCCGAACGAATACAGTACCAAAGCAGTCAATGTCAATGAGGGATCGTCCCAGGAAGAAATACGCACAATTCCGTATTGCACGCGAAACAAAATGTCCAGCCGGGCACTTAGCCTTTTGAAGTTACCAAACAGTGTTCGCACAGACAACCGAGGACGTTTGGTGCGATGTGGGTCTGTCAGCTTTTCTTCGATTGGCCTGCGGTCTTTCGGAGCTAGAGCAACATCCAAAACCTTTTCAATCACACGATCTGTGAAATGGCCGCCTCGTTGTTCAATACCGTAGTGGCCAGCAGCACTACCCGTTGAGGAGACCTTGTTAAGCCCACTCTGCAGCATGGTCGATAACGCGGCGGCTGCCAGCATCCGTTTCCCTGAAGGTTCATGTGCCACTGACTCTGTTAGATCTGAAGATTTGTCGTAAAGATTTTGCAGGGCACCAATGGCCTTTTTTCGGAATGCCGAAGGCGTGTCGCTTTGCGCCATTCAGTAGAGGTGTGATACTAGCTATACCTATCAATTGACGGTGACGTGTATGATGAAAAATGGGCTCTTGATCGGCTTGTCGCGGAGTTCAAATTCCCGTTTCCTTATCCTTTTTTTGGCTTTAATGACCAGTCTTTCTACCGGAGGCTATGCTCCTTCTTGTCCCACTCCGCTTAATCTATCTCATGCATAAATGGTACTTGCTTGCATAGAAGCCCTGCGGCTGAAATAGCACGTGATATCGTTCTGGTGACCACCGCAGCTTTAAAGCCAGTCTGTTTACACCTCAAACTTTAGACTGCCAGACTATTAGACCCGGCTGAGAAATGGGGTTGCCGGTTACATATTTGATAAGGCAAACTGTTGCACTGTCTGGGCCATGAGATCGAACTGTACTGGTACTATGTACACACTTGCGGTTCAATCGCCTGTTTGAAACCCAATGGCCGCACTTCAACTCCAACGTTCTGTGAGCATGTCATTCTGCTCGCTTCAAACGCGGAGTTCGAGGTATGTTATGTTTCGAGAGCCATATCGCCGCCCATTTGTTGCAATTATATCCCATATTTCGGCTTTATCATTTTTAACTCCAGTTCAGAGACGGATATAAGTTTTGGAAAAGTGCGTGTTTTAACCGGGGCTATCTCCCTTATCTCCTACACAACATTAGCGAGGAGTATAAAACACAGCCCTGAACCACAAAGAACCACCGCTCTTCTTTACTGGCCATTCAGATCACCATCTACTTGTCTACTCTTTTGCTCATCGATGTCTGTTCCAATCGTCAAAGTCCCAGGGACTACGGGTCTTGGTCTCATGAACTTCACGTGGAAACCCACACCCACCAAATTCGAAGATGCTTTCAAGATCATGCTGCAAGCGATCGAACAGGGTGCAACTTTCTGGAATGCAGGTGAGTTTTACGGAATGAATTCTTCTGAATTGAATCTAGAATTGTTGCAAGCCTTCTTTGCAAAATATCCTGAGACCAGGTCAAAGGTTGTTATCTCGGTCAAAGGAGGACTGAAGCAAATGATTCCGGACAGTTCTCGTGAGAACCTCATCAAATCCGTTGATAACATCATCAGGTTTTTTCCAGGTAACTACATTGACTTGTTTGAGCCAGCGAGATTGGACGGTAAGGTACCTATCGAGGAAGTCGTTTCTACGCTTGCTGAGCTGGTCAAGGCAGGCAAGATTCGTGGTATTTCTCTCTCTGAAGTCAATGCTGAAACGCTACGCAGGGCTGCCAAAGTCCACCAAATTTCGGCCGTTGAGGTGGAGTTCTCGCTTGTTACCAGAAACCCTCTCGAGAACGGCCTCCTCAAGACTGCTTTTGAAAATAACGTTACTGTTGTGGCCTACTCACCACTTGGCCGTGGTTTCTTAAGCGGTCATCTGAAGAGTCTAGCTGACCTACCTGAAAACGATATCAGGCGCCATATGGATAGATTCAACACAGAGGAGTACTTCAATCACAACCTAAAGTTTTTGGAGAGACTCGAGCCAATCGCCGCCAAGAAGGGTATAACTTTGGCCCAACTTGCTCTGGCATGGGTCAGATATTTCTCAGGGAAGCCTGGGTTCCCCCAAGTGATTCCTATTCCAAGTGTATCTACTTCAGTGGAAAGACTGATTGAAAACGTTACTGATGTCGGACTGACCGAGGCTGAGTTTAAGGAGGTACAAGAAGTTGTTGACTCTTTTGAAATCAAGGGCGGAAGAGCCAATGCCATGATGGAGACTTTCATGGATATGTGATTCTGGAACGGCCCTCATCGCTTTTGCGGGTTTTAGATGGGGGAAGTTTGCAAGGCCTTCATATACCAAATCATTCAAATATGAAACAAAGAGTAGTCAATTTCTCTGCTCAATCATCTATACTGTAAATATATTCAATAAGTCATCATTCATCCAAAATTGTACACAAAGTTTCAAATCTTGGAAAATTCGAGATATTCGGGCGTGCCCAGCACAACTTTCCAAACTTCGAAATTCGAAATTTCCATGATGCCCTGATGAAAATCGTCGAGATCATTTTAGAATATTTTGCTCCACATACAAACCAAGCCCAACATTTGGAAAAGTCGAGAGACCATGCAAAGATCCCTTATGAACATGTCAAGATTGGCCGTTAGGCCATCTTCTTTGCCCTTGTACAGAGCTGGCGCTTTTACCTCTGTTAGACAGCTGCCATACAGAGGATTCGCCACATCGAGAGGAGCTTTTGCTGAGGCTGCCAAAGAGGGCAAGGAGGAATCTTCGGAAGAGCCAGCAGCCACTGAGGAGACTGACCCTGTCGCCGAAGTGACTGCCAAATTGGAGAAGAAAGACAAGGAACTGTCTGAGATGAAGGACCGTTACCTCCGCTCAGTGGCTGATTTCCGCAACTTGCAGGAGACCACCAAGCGCGAGATCCAGAAGGCCAAGGACTATGCCCTTCAAAAGTTTGCAAAGGATTTGATTGAGTCGGTCGACAACTTTGGCCATGCACTGAACGCTGTGAAGCCAGAGACTCTTGAAACGAACCCAGAAGTCGCCAACCTTTACGAAGGCGTAAAGATGACCCGTGACATTTTTGAGAAGACTCTCAGCAAATATGGCCTGGAAAAGATCGAGCCTGTGGGCGAGCAGTTCGACCCAAACAGACACGAGGCCACCTTCGAGGTTCCACAGCCTGATAAGGAACCCGGTACCGTATTCCACGTCCAGCAACCGGGCTTTGCTTTGAACGGAAGAGTTCTGAGAGCCGCTAAGGTGGGGATTGTCAAGGGATCAGAGTAATGTTACAAAAGTCTGGAATTTGAAGTTTGAATTGTACCGGTTCGTGTCAGAGCCGGTATTGCCTTTTCTGTTATAATGCTTGTTATTTAGCCCTGTATATATACACATCGTAATGATTATCCGATTCTCAGATGGGTTCGGCTGATGTTATCGTGTTTAGTAGAGATTTTTTAACAATAGTTTGGAGCTTCGTTCGCGGTGGGTTATGTGCGATGGTGATAACTAATGAACAGGTTATTGGGTAAGTCTTGGGCTCAAATAATGTGCAATTGAGATAATATTTATATATATATTGAGTTTTCTGAAAGTGCTAACAGTATCTATGTAACAACTTGAGTTCTGTGTGGGTTTGTGGTTGGTGTATGGGTTGACTTTTCAGTAAGGTAGTATCGCAATGCTTGAGCAAGAAAATTGTATAAACTCAGGATATGGGATATTTCAGAGAAATACGGAAAATCCCTTAATTATTGTAAAATTGGATCACGGTGAAAACAAGAATTCACATATGAAACCAATAATCTAGATTTGGACGATATAGCAAGAAACTTTGTTAAGATTAGTAAGATTACTGTTACTTCTACCAGGCCATAGTATGGGGTAGGCATCTAATCTGCTTGAGCTTGAAACTGAAACTGAAAGCTACAAGGTAAGGTCGCATTCATTGATCTCTGAAGTAACTGGCCAAAAATGCTCTATGCTCTGTCTCAAACCTGGTAGACTCCAGGCTTAATAAAACAAGCATCTGTCGAGGTTCCTGTTCACTGTGCAGTCGCGTGCAGATCGAAATGATCTCTACCAAAGAAACCAGATAGCTGAGGACAGAGTGGGATAAATTTCCTTACTGAAAAATAAATTTGCAGTAACCCTTCCATCCCATACTTCCTATAACAAACATAGCCCACAACTTCTCATGATTAGCCTTTAAAGGTCCTCCACGGTTTTTGATTCTGGCAAATCGTGCACCACACAATCGTGTAACCACACAAGATCATCAGGGCTCATCAATCCGCCAATTCCAGAGAGCTGATCTCACCTTCTGGTCTTTCAGTACAAGACTCTTCCAATCGAAAATCAATCAGTTGTCAAATTGACCCCAAAAAATACGCAATGGCAGGTCCTCCACCGCCTCCACCTCCTCCGCCCCCAGGGCCTGCACCGCCCATGTCGAATACCCCCAGCATGCCGATGCCAGCTGGCAGAGACGCCCTTCTAGGCGATATCAGAAAGGGAGCAAGACTCAAAAGTGTCCAGACGAATGATAGAAGCAAACCATTGATAGGGGGAGATAGTAAGCCCTCGGGTGCACCAGTCGGAATGTCTCTCGGTGCCCCGGCAATTCCTGGATCTTCTACCAGACCGTCTCCAGCTCCATCTGCTCCAAGTGCCCCACAACTAGGTGATATATTCGCAGGCGGGATTCCAAAATTGAAGCACCGTGGAGGTGCCAATGGGGCTTCAAGTGCCCCCAGTATGGCTGCTCCGCCTTCTGTTCCGAACACGAGACCCACTGCTCCTTCAATGCCACAGTCAAGTGCTCCACCCATTCCAGGTTCTTCGGCCCCACCGATTCCAAAAGCGCCCAATGCACCACCGCCACCCTTGTCGAGTGCTCCGCCACCTCCGCCAATGCCAAGTTCGCGGCCAAGCGCACTTACAAGTGTTCCTGCGGCTCCTGCGGCTCCTGCTCTACCCTCGGGAGGACTACCGTTTTTGGCCGAAATCAACAAGAAGAGAGACGACTCACACGTCGTGGACTCGGCGCCGAGTACAGGACCGCCAAAGGCACCGTCATTACCAACGTCAAGTGCCCCACCACCTCCTCCGTTGCCAACTACAAGTGCACCACCACCTCCACCACTACCCTCTACGAGCGCACCTCCACCTCCACCTCTGCCCTCTATGAGTGCTCCACCGCCTCCTCCAATGGCCAGCACGCGCCCAGCACCCACACAAAACGCCCCGAAGGCTCCATCATTGCCGGCTGGTGGATTGCCCTTTTTGGCGGAGATTAACAAGAAGCGAGACGATTCTCATGTGGTTTCAGACGAGGATGTGAGGAAGGCCTCTTCGTCCTCACCAATAGCACCACCAGTGGCCCCAGCTGCACCAAAGGCCCCTTCGCTGCCTTCTTTTGCAGCTCCCAAGCTTCCGGCTTTCTCGGCTCCACCAATACCGACTTCAGCAGCTCCACCTGCTCCACCTGCACCAACAGCAGCACCAGCAGCACCGGCACCGCCAGCACCGCCAGCACCACCTCCGCCTCCAATGATGTCAGCCCCAAAGCTCCAAGCGACACCAGCAGCCCCAAAGGCCTCACCATTAGCTGGAGGTTTACCATTCCTCGCTGAGATCAACAGCAAACGGAACGACGCTCACGTGATTGACGATTCAAATGTTTCGGCAAAGTCTTCTGGAGTAACCAGTGCGGTTCAGAGTGCTCCTTCAATTCCAAAGACGTCAGCACCAGCTATTCCAAGAACATCGGCACCAGCTATTCCGACTTCGCATGTGCCTTCTGTGCCATCATCTCCACCGCCGAAGTCTCATCCATCTCCGTTCGCTCTTCCTGGCATGGCCATCCCAGGCGGGTTCTCGAACCAGAAGGGGGCCCCTTCAGCCCCAAGTACAACCGCTCCGTCAGCACCTTCAATTCCTAGTGCTCCTCCACCACCAATGCCAAGTGCTGCTCCTGCCATTCCAGCCACTCCTGCGGCTCCTGCACCACCTGCACCACCTGCGGCACCTTCGCTACCTAGTGCACCACCACCACCTCCATCTTTTGCACCAGCACCCTCACCATCACCATCACCTTTACATACACCACATAAAGCACCACCACCTCCTCCATCGCATGCTCCGGCTCCATCAGAGCCAGAAGAAAGCCCATTCTTCTCGGAAGCTCCCCAGGAACAAACAAACACCAAAGGAAGACTGTTTGGTTTCGGCCACCATCGCGACGCTGCCTCTACAAACTCAAAAATCAACCAGCAACAGCATGTTGGATCGAATTTACGCCACATAGATGCATCTGCGTATACAATTGCCGGTTCCAATGTCTCTTCTTCTCAGGGAGCAGCCAAGGTCGTGATTGACGATAGCAAGTACCGTTTCTCCAATGCTCATGATATTCCTCGGCCGCGTAAGTTTGAGGGAAAGCAGAAACTTTATCCTAGTGGGCGTGGAAGTTCAGTCCCGTTGAATCTTGCACTTTTCACATAGCAAGGAAGATACTACAGTGCAGGTGCATATACTTTGATATGGACATTTGTATGAACACTATGTACAACGACAGGGAATGAATACGAAGAAAAATCATATCCAAATCCAAGAACTAACCTCCCAGACTCTGTAGGAATATCTCTGGCTGCTCAAACCAGCCTCGTTTTCTCTCTATTGAACTTCTTCAGTCACAACTGCCATCTTCCCATCCATCTTTCCACCTCTGTTTCCACAAATTGCAGTCAAACTTGGGTTTTCCAAGCTTGACGTTGACCTCATTGTGAGCATCGCACAACCATTTACCAAACTCTTCCTGGGTTTTCACCTTAGGCTCCTCACGCTTGATATACTCGCGGAAGTCCCCAGCACAGAACCAGCATGGGTAGATCCGTGAGAAGATGTTCACAAAAGACTTCAAGTCTGACTGTTGTTCTTGGGATGGAGTTTCTGGATATGTTGCAGCTATAGAATGAAGAAGGGTCCAGGAAGATCTGCCAAGTTGCTCCACGTCTGGTGGGCAGTCCTTGGGCTCTTGCTGGGCTGGAGCCGCAATAGAGGCCAAAGTAGCAGCACCAGCAGTCTTGGACGTCACATCTGAAGCTTTCTGTTTACCAGCTACCATCTTGAAATCTAACAGAGTGTTACAAGAGCGACAACTAGAGATGAATTAGTGGCCAAACCCCGGACTATCTAAAAATTTCACTTACGGTTTTCCGTTCTCATCGTAGACGATCCGTCTTCCGGAAGCACCCAAGACTGGAACGCCATGAGGTGCACCGGTGGCCTTGGTGGCACCTGTTTCCACTTTCTCGCTAGACATGGTTGGTGGTGGAGCAGAAGTGGAGAGCTCTGGTGTTTGCCTCTGACTAATGCTCGGACTTGATTATATTGGTTATGAGCACTGCGGAAACATCGGAGGTATTTTGAAGGAGGTGATTTTAAGGAGTCCTCGGGAATTTTTAATTTGTAAAGTTGAAATATTAATTTATACCATCTCCTAATCTCAGAGGTTTTTCTTTGCTCGGATTAGGAAGTTTTCGGTGAAGCTGGACAGACTCTCAGGTCTGATGAATGTCTGTAAAGGGCGTGGATAGAGCCAAATGGGCTACAGCGAGGCTTTGACGATGCATACGATTGGCGACATGGACTGGCTTTGGATTAGCCCAAAACATGTATTCTAGTGGGCTTCATTGTCAGAGATCAAAAGATAATGCTGCATTAATAAAAACCAAAAGTTTCACCTTTTGAAAGCCCTCAGACCAAAGGTTCACCGAACTGGGACGATTCCCGTTCTCACAAGGACCCATGATCCAACTACTCAAAGTTCACACTATAACCCGACATATTGGTATTAAAAAACAGGAAAAACATAGTAAAAAGATCCCAAGGCACTGAGAGAAACGTTAAGCCAACCACAATCATCAAATCATCCAAATCTTGCCATCGCCCATGTAGAGGTTGTTTCTCTCCTCCATGGCCTTTAGCGCAGCAGCAGCTTCTTCGGCACCAAAGTGGTCTTCCTGCGGCAGAGCAGAGTTGATCTTCCGGACAAAGAGATTGTATTCGCAGCTTCCCTCGGATGATACCTCCGGGTCCCGGAACACCTGCGCCGCAGACCGGGCGAAGAGAGCGAGTCTTGCGGGAGAGACCTGAGCAGACTCATCAACGTTGGGTCCACCGGTCTCGTGTAGCTGAGCCTGATCGTCTTCAGTTGGCTGAGTCTGGATCTGCTGTGCTTCAGGCTGGGTTTCTCCCTCAAGCGTCTGGTCCTGGATACCACGCGCAAGATCCACAATTTCGTCATCCACATCCTCGTGGATGCGTTGCCTGTTTCTCTGCAAAGCCTGTTGTCTCGAGGTGGTGATTCTACCAGTGACCACATCGGCCTCTTCGTCAAGCTCGTCTTCGTCGTCGTACTCGATCTCTTCATCGTCATCTTCCTCGTCGTCTTCATCCACACGTTCCACGTTGGTGTGCTCACCACTGACTCTTCTACGCTTTCTTCTGGGCTTGGTGACCTTTTCTTTGAACAGGGCAAAACGCATCAGTTCCTCGGCAATTTTGACGTCTTTGGCATCAACCGTCTGTGATAGTCTGACTTTGGCGTGTGCCGACGACAAACGGATAAGCGTTTCCAGCGTTCTGGCCGTGATCGGCAGGGTCCTTGAGTTCTTGGTGGCCTCGTCGTTGCGCAATTCCGTGTAGATATCCACTATTCTGCGGGTAGCCTTTTCGGTGAGAACAGGCTTGATTCTCTGCTTGGCGTATTGAACATATTTCTTCAGGAACGGAATGGCCACGATCTCAGGAACCTTGGGCTTCTTTCCCACCCTTCCAGCATTGACTGTAGCAGCAGCTCCACTGTGCAACAATGGGTTAAACTTTTCAAAAATGGCGCCATCCTCTTCCTCCACAGATCCATCTTCGTTCAGCTGTTCATCACCAACGGCCAACGTGATATTAGGTCTTTCGCGCATTGGCTCACCTTCCTCGTAACCCTGGGCAACGTAGCGATGCATTCTAAGAACGTGTTCACTGATTGCTCGATCTTTTTGGTCAGAAACATCGTCTGTAACCACAAAGAGTAAATCAAAACGCGACAACAGCGAGTCCGGCAGCGCAATGTTCTGTTGTGGAGACTTGAAGGTGTCATACTGACCATACACTGGATTGGCTGCGGCAAGAACAGAACATCTGGCGTTGAGCGAGGTATGGATACCAGCTTTGGAGATGGTGATAGTCTGCTGCTCCATGACTTCGTGGATGGCCACACGATCCACATCGTTCATTTTATCGAACTCGTCAATACAAACGATACCTCTATCGGCAAGAACCATGGCACCGGCCTCCAACTTGCGCTCACCAGTTTCCTTGTCGGTGGTTACCGCAGCAGTGAGACCAACACCAGAAGAACCTCTACCAGTAGTGGTGATAGCCAATGGGGCCGTGTTGAGGACGAAACGCAGAATTTGAGACTTCGCCGTGGAGGGATCTCCGACCAAGAGAAGGTTGATATCTCCTCTCAAATGGGTTCCGTTGTCGAGATTCTTCTCAACACCACCAAGAAGCATCAGCAGAACCGCTTTCTTAATATACTCGTGGCCATAGATGGAGGGAGCCAGAGACGTGGAGAGAAGGTCAAAGATGTTCTTGTTCTTGGACAGCTTGTTGATGTTGCGGATATCCACATCACCAATTTTCTCCACGGTTTGGATAGAAGTGGACTTTGTGTGCAGAGGATACACCGAGTTGGCAAGGATAACAGTTTTGAAACTGGACGAGTTGTTCTGCCCACCACCAAGCGATCTGTACACTCCAATGACTCTGAGTCTGTCACCGGGCTTCACCTTGTCAACCAGATCGTCGTCCAGCACAACATCAAGCGAACGGGGCAATTGACCAGCTGGCGCAAGCTCAGGCAGTTCCTGGACCGTGATGGTCTGATGGTCGCGATACTTGGAGTAACCGTATTCTGTCACCAGCTTGTTACCCTCAGGGTCTGTGGTTGGATACGCCGCGGAAGTTGTGAGCGGGTTGAAACTAGTAGTTTGATCACGATACTCACGCTGGTGGAACCTACCAGTAGTGTCGCAATAGTGAACGGATCTCACGATTTTGGGGCGGACCAAAGATGCACGCGTGACGATACCTTCAACAGATACCATCCGCGACAGGAACGAAGAGTCAATCGACCGTGGAGTCAGCTGGTGATCCGAAAAAGCACCTCTAAAGGCGAGATAAAAGTCATCATCCTGGCTGATTTCTGACGAGAATTCAAGCGGATCGTAGACTGCCATTACCGTTTCTTTAAACGCATGTTCGGCAGCAGGTAAGAATTCAGCTGGCGCATTCATCAAACCGACCCAAAGCTCGCGGTCAAACTCACGAACTTCGTCAACAGACACGACAATTCTCTTTTCGCCCTTCTCCAGCATTGTCTTGACCAAATCTTTGTACTTGGTCTCGTGGTCGTCCGAGTCGAGAAAGTCCTGGAACCTTCTCATCCGGGATGTATACACAGCATCCTGGGCGTCGAAGTTGTCGTCCATGGTTTGCGGGAATTGATGGATAAACGATGGAAGTTGTGTTGAAGAAGTTGGGTCGAAACAGAGAAACAAGAGAAAGCAGAAGAAATGAAGAAGATAGCAACACGAAACAAGAACGGCGAAGGCACGCGTGAAAATACCTCCATGGCCCAAACGGGAAACTTCTCGATCGGGCTAATTGACACGCGTTTTGGATTGCGCACGACGACGCTAAACGCAAAAAACCCGAATCAGTTAGTGCAACCACCAATTCGCTGTTTGCGGCAAAACATAAACAAATAACAAGTGTGTGTTGACGCTTGGGATAAACACTGATTCCAGGTTCACTTCCCCGTTCCGCCTGAAACTCATCTTTGCATCGCTTCTCCCCCCGTTTTTTTCCCTGGAAAGCTTTCAGTAACGAACCTCAAGACAAACAAAACATAGTGTTCGTTTGTGTGTGTTCGATCCGGCTTTGTTACCAATCGTTCAAGTCTATAGGTCCAGTGATACGTCAGTTCTACAGCTTTTCCCAGAACGACGCTTTTGCATCGCAACCAAGCCCAGCGTGTCTATTTAACAGGAACAGATCCTGCCACCATCCCCATCTCTGTTTGCACCTTTGAAATCACCTGTCCAAACCACATTTACACAGCATGCCGTCTGAACCAGAGGCGGCCCCAAAGCAGTCCCATCGCCAGTCGATGAGTAATCGCGGAAAACCGGTTAGAATTCATCGAGAAGTGAGATTTGGTGCCTATGTGCTAGGCTCGACCCTTGGAGAGGGCGAATTTGGCAAAGTCAAACTCGGTTGGCGCAAAGATGGTAAACAGCCGTCTCAGGCAGCCATCAAACTGATCCGGCGTGATTCGATCCCACGCGGCTCTGAAAGGGAAAACAAAGTGCATCGTGAAATCAGTGCATTGAAGCGCTTGGCTCACCCAAATATCGTGAGGTTGGAAGAGGTTCTTCAGAACGAGAAGTACATCGGCATTGTGCTGGAATACGCTTCAGGAGGAGAGCTCTTCGACTATATTTTGGAACACAAATACCTCAAAGACTCCATGGCGTGTCGACTTTTTGCCCAGCTTGTTTCTGGAGTTGACTACATGCATTCCAAGGGCTTGGTCCATCGTGACCTCAAACTGGAAAACCTGCTTTTGGACAAACATCGCAACGTGATCATTTCGGATTTTGGGTTTGTCAACTCGCTACGCGGAAACGAATTCATGAAGACGTCATGCGGATCACCATGCTATGCTGCTCCCGAACTTGTTGTGAGTAGTGAGCCCTACGAGGCCCGCAAAGTGGATGTCTGGTCATGTGGAATTATCCTGTACGCGATGTTGGCCGGATATCTTCCCTTTGATGATGACCCACAAAACCCCAATGGTGATAACATTGCCAGACTATACCAGTATATCACCCACAGTCCACTGACTTTCCCAGAGTATATCCAGCCGACTCCCAGAGACCTCCTTCGCAAGATCATTGTTCCGGATCCACGCTCTAGGGTGGATCTGAAGGCCGTGAGGTCTCACTCGTGGCTGACACCACATGCCCCATACCTGTCGGTGACTCCCAGCGAATGGGATCGCAACTATCGATCATCTAAGAACAGTGCTTCTGCACCGATCGCACACGCAGAGGCGCCGAACAGAAGGTACTCACTCATGGAGAACCCATCGGCATCAGCAGCCTCTTTTGTCATGAACAAGGCCAATGCCAGGTCTTACAGCACCCAAAACGTTGCCCAATTGTACTCAAACCCAGCCGCACCACAGACGTCTTCATCTCACGCAATTGCACTGCCAACATCGTCTTCCACGACCTCCGTCAAAGACATGCTTGTGCCATCACCAGTGCTTAATTCCGGTCAAAGCTTCTCTTCAGTGGAAAAGCCTGAACATCGCAGAACAGGGTCCGCTTCAGTGGTACTCAAGGCTGTTGTTGATGCTGATGCGGTTGAGGTTTCAAGACGCAACAGTGTTGCCAGTAGCATTGGAAAGCCACGGTCTAGATCTGGCAGTAATGCCATTGAGACCATCCAGGAAAGCCCAAAGCCTTTGAGCCAGATGCTTCCACCAGCAGTACCAAAGACTTCGGTTGGAGACTCAGGATCACCAATCCAGCAGAAGTTCCCTACACGCAACAAGCCTCGTCCTACGTCTTACCATCCTTCATCTTCGTCTTCGTCTGATTTCCATTTTTCTGCTCCAATGCCGCTGTCGCCTCTGGCAATGTCTTCGGAGACATCATTGGTCGGTTCGCCTATCATCGAGGCACCAAGTCCATCTCGTTCCGAGAAACGGAATTCTTGGACTGTCCCTAAGATCCCAGAGCCACACGTCGATCTTTCGAGTGCAAGTGGTGTATTGACACCACTCTTAGCTTCACCAGAACAGAAGCCTGTTTCGGGTACGGCTTCGGCAGATGTCAAGGGAGAACGCCGCAAATCCGCGATTGACTCGCTGTCGAATGCGATTGACCAGTTTTCATTGGTGCCTAGCACAGCTAGTGCTACTGCCACAACAACAGGCGTTATTGTAAAGGAAGATGTTCAGGAGATTCCAGATTCGAGCGAGCAGAATGAGACTCTTGCGGCACTGCCAGGCGAAGTCGTTAGACCGCTCAGCGACTTTTTGCCTGCTCCTCTTGAGAGAACCAAGACTAAGTCTTCCGACAAGGAAAACAAACAGAGACCCAAACGGTTCAGCATTCTTGGTTTCTACGGTGGATCCCCTCAACAGCCCAAGAAGGCTCTGGAGCCTACAAATGTACACCAAGCTAATACCAATGCTAACCACTCGAGGTCGAGGGCTTCACGCAGAATGAGTGTCCTGGGCAATGCAAATAGCGGAAATGGTAATGGAAACGGTGCTAATGGCCAGGATTCGGCTGCCAGAAGGGTCATTGAGTTTTTCAAGAGGAGAAGTGTACGGATATGAAAGGCTTGGGAATATGATTTGGGAGATTCCAGTTTATAGGATATAAGAAATGAGTTGTTTTCACAGCGGTTTATTGTAGGCATCAAATTTTTGTTTTTTAACTTTGAAGATTGATTTTTCACCATTATCGTAGACATCATCAAACCTTCTTGCCTACCTTTTTCACCAACCTTTCAGTCATAACCATATATTCAACGTTGGCTAACTTATCTATTGTTCACTTCAAATGTTCTATTTATACTTATATCCCTTTACAAAATCATTATATTCATTATGGTGCACCATTAGTGCGATGACTGACTGTCTCCAGTCTAGCCAACCTTTCATCCCAAAGCTCCGCATTCAAAGTCTTTTTCCTTTGCAGCTCAAGGATATCCTGATCAGAGCACCAGCCGCTTGCAGTGAGTCGGTTCAATGCCACATCAAAGCCACGCTGCTCGTCATCGCGTTTAGTGCGAAAAGAGTCGGCCAACTCCGAACGCTGTTCTCGAGTAAGAGCCATGTCTGCGGACTCTCCAAAATCTGCGGACGATTCAGAAACCCAAAAGTCTCCCAAGGTTACATGATCCTTGAACCTTTCGGTTACGGTGATCACAGGAGAACCATCATTGGTGGCAGCCGAAGACGTTTGTGGATTCAGCATTGACGAAGATGCAGAGGAAAATGACGCCAGCGAAAAACCGGAACGGTGTCTCGGTATTTCGGGCCTGTCAAAAACTCTATCATCATCTGGTTGAGAGTTCTGACTGGAAATTGAGGAGTTTCGGTGTTGTATAGCACCCGTCATCGGAAACTGGAAATGCGGAGGCTGCCTGATAGCCGGCGAAGACTGAGTGGAATTGGTCACTGAGTTCGGTACCGAATATGCATTTGCATTCGCAATTGACGTAGCTGCCAAAGGTGTCAATGAGGACAATCGCACATGACTTGAAATATCAGCCGAATATGCAGAAGCGGTGTCGTCCAGAGAGTCTGAGTCAGCATCGTGCGGCAGAGGGGGCAGAAGACTGATAATTGGTGAAAGCCTCAATTGCGTGGGCGAATCATCTTCTTCCTCGAGGAGGATTCCGAGCGAGTTCATTGTTGTCTTGAGATCGGAACTGCTTGTGTTTTTCACGAGAAGAACTGAAACAATTGATCACTTGGTGATGGTAATAGTCAGCCGTTGATGGTCTTGGGCAGAGTGCAGCAGAGCCCGAGCCTCATGCGCTCGAGCAATTCCAGTGAAAAATCCAAACAAAAGCGCCAAAGGCAAAAATTACAGTATAATCTATTGAGCAGGGTTCCAAACTCTTAGAACAAGGGATAACCAGAGAAGGAAGACCCCCAGACGAAGTGCTATACAGTCGAGGCAAGTCCCCCCATTCGAGTCTCAACTATGCCCCAATGCGGTAATGCTGTATAATCTTGCACCAGCCACACCCAGAACCTCTGGTCGCTTATTGCAACGTGGCTGAAGAAGGGCTGTATCGGCTTGCATTTACTAAAAAGTACCATACTCGGTTAGGCGACTGCCTGCCGGATAATAATCTGTGGCTTCCAAACATCTATTCTCAGGATTATTGTTGTACAATGACAGGATAACCGTGCTATCAATTTGCCGCTGAACCCGTAGGCGGGAGGATCCCCCGGACTTACAGTTTACAGCCGGGTAACGATTGGCGGGATCTGCACTCCAAGCCAGAGCCTGCTCTCTTCAAATCATATTATACGTAAATCAATTTGAAACGAATCCTGGCAACTAGTCTCATATCCGACTCGCAGTAGGCTCAATGAATCAGCCACACCAAAATGCATGGGTACTGAATTTGAGTGGACAGGACCTATATCCGCCCGTTCGCCAAAAATATTATTCCCGATTTTCTACGGGGTGTCATACAGACGGACGTTCCCGTTTACGATGGCTTCTCTCTAGTGACGACGTCTCTTCGCCATATCGTGATATCTACCGAGACTTTGTAGTGCCTTTCCGTATTAATGGCGTAGAACATGACTGTGATAAATCCGGTCGCCCCCACCCACGATTCATGATCTACTATGGCGAATGCACCTGTGCAGCCGCGCTATCTGAGAGTACGAGTACAAGTGCCAATGGACCCAACAATATTGTGATCCGCCGTGGCAGAATTACTCCTTTTGGGAGATTGCTACTGATGCGCTCCGGAGGTCAACTTTTGGACCACTTCAAATTATTCTCCCACGATTTGCCCACCCCCTGTTGAAATTCAAAATAATGAAAACACTCACAAATTAGCCTATAATTCTAAACACTTTCAAAACAATTATAAACTCTAATTTTACCCCAACACCCCACGGTGAACTTTGTGCCCACACCAACCCAACACTTGAAGTCGAGTGTCACGCCAGGTAGAAAATTTCTTCCAGAAACTTGGAGCTGCACATCTTCATGCGACTGAAGCTTCGGCAGTGCATTTCTTTTTAGTTCCCTGCCAAAATTGCACTGAGTGGTTTGACTTTTTTTTTTGCAGGGTGTGACCGAGCTCAATACATATGCCGGTGACGGCAAAGGTTGACAACTTTATATGAATAGTATTTGAGAGTTCGAATCCGCTTCCTCCTGCCTACTAGTTTATACGTCCAATTCATACGTATACCCATTACCCCATGACGCCGTCTCTGGAAGACCTGGTAATCGGGTGCTACGCCTCAAACACATTTGGCTCCAACTGGCGCGACACGAACCTAGAACAGTCCGATGATTTTCGAGCCTTTACCATAGAAAAGCATTGTTTTGAGAACCTCAAGTTTCTCGTGGAAATCGTCCGGTACGAGAATCTATGGAACCAGATGTTTGAGGAGCGCCATGTCTCCGTGCTCAAGTGCAAGAAGTGCGGTCCACGATGTCTCCCCCGTCGCATTTCGAAGAACAGTGAGGTATCTTGCCTTTCATGTGATGATCCAGCGACTGACAACAAGACTGAACCCAAAGGTGAATCGGATTCAGATGCCAAGACATCTGAAACATTGCTTCTCCAAAAAGACGATCCCCGTGGAAACGAGCTAACCGCACAATGGCACGAGATAATGGAAAAATATATCTACGATGACGCACCCTACCAGATAAACCTTCCAGATGACATACATGGTGGGATAATTGCTGCTGACCGAGATGACACTATTCAGTATCATTCACCAGTGGTTCTGCTGGGAGCTCAACGGTTCACGCTAGAGTTGCTACGCGAAAACGCTTACTCGCCATTCATCATAGACAGAGAACAACCTCAAGAGAACGGAAAGAATCACGGATCGGAACATCATGAGTTTGAAGAACATGTTAACAGATCCGTCCTACTCATGCCAGGGCCCTGTGGGGTTAAAGGATCGACGAAAGACTACCAGCCGACGGCACCGGCGATTGCTCCCGTAGAGCGTTCCGTGAAAAAGTTCTCAATCCGCAATCAGCTCAGCAGATTCAGATCGAACACTTTAACGAAGTCGAAGACGAAAACGAAATGAAAGTAATTTGTGGGAGCTTGAGGTTGCGCTTGCAGGGGAGCAGCCCAAACCAGGCTCGGCTACAAAGAAAGCGTCTCTTACATGGAAAGTCTTTAATAAAAGTTCCAGAAGCGTACGGATAGAATCAACAGAGTCTCTTCAAGACCAGATTTCTTGAAGAACAAATTTTCAAAGAACAAATGAAGCGCTAGCTATTCAGCTAACGATGCGTTGCTATTCATGATGGCAGATCCTTAGGAAAACTCAAAAGTGGAAATGCGACAGATATTCCAGAGACCTGTGACCTTTTAAATTATCTTGCAGAGACGTCCGCGAGAACCTGAATCAATTATCCCGTTTGTGCTGACATCCATCCACCCTTGACAATGAATTGACCAAGCAGTCACTTCAAGAGTGGCAGTCACCCAATCAGGACTATATCTCCATCACCTACACCAATCTTATTTTTTAATACTGACTATGTTGCGGATTAATTGAATATATTTGTATATTACCAGAACTACCTTTTGGTGTAGTTAAGGGAACAAGGCCATATGATATCTGGTTACCTGGGGGATTAATCTCCCACTCCTACATTGATAACTGGGTGACTAAACACTCACTCTCACCAGCAACACACGCAAGGAAACAAAAAAAAATACGTCATCGTGTGGTATCTTCTGCAAAGATCTTCGGAAATTCAAAGTTCAAGCGAAAAGCTTTATTTAACCGCCTGGCTGTGTTCACCATGGCGAGCAAGCAATGAAGATCGCTAGAGGCCATACATTGCCAGATTGGGAAGTTGACGTAGGTACGGGTATTCCATGGAATGACCAAACTTGACGTTAATGCCACAACAAAACAGACATTTTTGGGTTGAAGAAAACAAGAGTTGGATATTCGGACTGAGCCAAGTTTTCTGTTTTTCTGGTACCTTTGGTTCCGAAATCGGCCAAGCACAAGCCACTACACCCTCACTCCACACATGCCAGTCTCATCCCTTTCTGTAGCTCTCAAATTCCAGGTTGTCCGAATTTCTGGCGGTTGGGGTGGCCATCCTGTTTGGGTGCTTGACGAATCAGAGGGTTTTTTTTTCACTTGAGGAAGAGGCCCCTCATGAAACCAAACCAAACAATTTCTTACGTCATAAAATAAATACATGGTTTAACCCTACCATCTTGTAGAACGCTGTCAACACTTTTCTTCGATATTCTATGCATTCCAAGCCCATCCTGTAACGTCAAGCCGACTTGGTACCTGGCAGCCCAAAATAAGCCAGAAAAATTTCGTCTCGTCCTGTTTCGGCCACACAACCTGGATTCCGCAACACACACACACTCATCCCATCCATACCTGGAATTTTCCCTTTAACTCTCATCCCTTCGCAGAGGGCGTGTGGTATTCGATACGCTGACAGCCGTGGCATCTACACCGCCTCTACGCTTCCTCGAAGAAAAAAAGACGTTTTTATTTTTTCCTTCCTTTCTGTTCTCTGGCTTGATAGGCTTTCTATTCTTTAGCCACGACTCCGCTGGACAATTTCACGTGTATTTCAAGGCTTAACCCCGACTTTCACTCGCATCATTTCCACGCTTGGTTCGGAGCCAAAAATAAAAAACCGTTGCAATCCAAGCCCGGCCACTTAAGCTTGAAATAGCAAACCTTTAGGGTTGGAATTCCCACCATATTCTTCTTCCTCCTTTCATCTTTGGTTTTATTCAACAATATTTGCTTTTAGACGCCAGACAAGAGTTATTTTTTGTATTATTCGTGAAAAATAATAGCCAGCAGGAACAACGAATCAGCTAACTCGCAGAAACATTCCAGAGGTGAGTAACAAGAGCTTCAAGGGCAACAAGGACAACAAGAGTAAGTCTTTCGTTTGAGCAATTATTCCACAGGATATTGCACTGAGTGTTGATTTCAAAACTTTTATTGAGACGACCTAGCTATAACCGAGACAGTTGGTTGGGCTACTGAATTCGTCCAAACCCAGTGATAGTGATTATTTCGACGGAGTGACGGAGCGACTGAACTACACCAGGACATATCACCAGTTGCACTAAAGCTTCATCAACAAGTTAATCAACAATATCGCCAATAATCTCTTCAAAATTATATCCAAAATCTCACAGCACCACTACATTCTCTACACAGCAAAATGTCCTTCCCACCATACCAGTACCAGGACTACCGCAACCATGCCCAGCAGATCAATTCCCACACCAACATGATCCCAATGATGCAGCCTCAGTACCTGTCGTCTCCTCAAAACAGATATCAGTACTTCCAACATCCACAGCAACCGCCTCAGCAACAGTACCACCATGTGATGCCGCAATATCACCACCCACATCCCCACCAACTCCAGCAGCATGCGCACGCACAATACGGAGGATATCCGATGGATGATGATTCGATCGGACAGCAGCAGCAGCAGCCAGTTCAACAGCAACAGCAATCGATTGGTTCCGGACCTTCGCGTACGGTTTACTTAGGAAATATCCCCGAAGACCTCTCTCCACGCCAGTTGCTTGATCACGTTCGCTCTGGAACGGTAGAAAACGTGCGAATTTTTTCCGAGAAAAACTGTGCTTTCGTATCGTTTTTGGACGACCATTCTGCTATGCTTTTCCACTCAGACGCTATCTTGAAAAGGTTGACTATTGGTGATAACGACATCCGTATTGGCTGGGGAAAGCCGTCACCGGTAGCACCTGTTGTGATGGAGGCAGTCTCCAGGTACAATGCCACGCGAAACGTATATTTGGGCAATCTCCCAGCTGAATTTTTTGACTCTGAAGAGGCCAAAGAAGAGCTGCTGAAGGACCTTGAGGAGTTTGGAACCGTTGAGAGCTGCAAGTTTCTGAGGGAAAAGCGGATTGCTTTTCTCCATTTCACCTCCATTCTGAGCGCAATCCGCACGGTCCAAAACCTGCCTTTGAAGGACAATTTCAGGGACCGCAAAGTGTCCTACGGAAAGGATAGATGTGCGTTTATCACCAAGACCCAGCAACACAATGCAGCCCAGTACCTTGGACTCAACCCCAACTTTGACAACAGACAAATTCTATCTCACGTGGATCGCGAGTTCATTTCGAACGCTCTTGTCCAGCAATCCAATGCTGCTGCTGCGATCGCAACATCTGCTGGTGGAGCCAATAATCTTGGCAATAGAACGGTGTATCTGGGCAACCTGCACCCAGAGACCACGCTTGAAGAAATCTGCAATGTGGTAAGAGGAGGCATTCTTCAAAACATCAGACTCATTCGTGAGAGGCACGTATGCTTCATTACCTTCATTGACCCAATTGCTGCAGCTCAATTCTTTGCCATGAGCTCTCTGAATGGACTGATCATTCATGGAAGAAAGATCAAGATTGGCTGGGGCAAACACAGTGGTGGGCTATCTAATGCTCTCAGTTTGGCAGTGGGCAATGGTGCTAGCAGGAACATCTATATTGGAGGCTTGGATGATGACGATGTAGTGATTGAAGAGGACGAAGGGGCTGACGACGAGAATAATGAGACCACTGATGAGACCACCGATGACACCAAGAGCACTACAAAGACTAAAGAGTCTTCTGCGGGGTCTCCAGAGGCCACAGATCCATCAACCCCAACCACAGATGATACAGACCCGGAGCATACTACCAGCTCGAAGATCACCTTCTCCAACAAGAAACTCCACGAAGACTTCAAACAATTTGGAGAAATTGAGCAGATCAACTTTTACCGCGAAAAGCATTGTGCTTTTGTGAACTTTACCAATATCTCGAACGCAATCAAGGCAATGGATGGCATCAAGGAGCACAAGGACTACCTGAAGCTAAAGATTAACTTTGGTAAGGATAGATGCGGAAATCTCCCTAGACAATTCAACAAAAACCACGAAAATCCTGCTATGAAAGACGATGATTACTACGGAGGAAGCCAGCACAGTTTTGGCCTTTCTGCGAACACAGACGAAGACAGTGGTTCTCAGGGTATGGGATATTCCCAGAACGGGTTCAGAAACGCTATTGGTAACATCGACGAAGACGAGAACGAGACGTGAGGTGAGGTCACGATAACAGCAGAAAAAAAGGACGCAAAGAGCGGGAACTGAGTTGCGACATCGGCTCCGAAATCAGAATTGCTATTGTGTATCTATATGTATAACCATTTGGACAATCAGGCTAACACAACCTATCTAGAAGAACTATCAGCTTTTAGAATCTGTTATCGCGACCTCGGGTTTGGTGACACCTGTTACCCATTAACCTTTTTTTCTCGTTTTGCTGGGGCTATGCTCCGGTTTGACAGTCGCAGGCGTGGTAAATACAGGTTTGTGCTAGACACGACTAGTTAATTTGTTCGGTTTGCGGGACGAAGACCCACCAGACCAGGTGAAACCCATCTAATCCGATATAAACCCAGCGTACCCGATACCGAAGCCTATCTTTCGCTTTAGACGCCGGCAGCGGCTGAAAAATTCACAGTTAGTCACTCCGCCTATGTCGGGTATGGTAGTATAGTGTTTTTTTCTTTAACATAATCTCAGGTGTATATAATGCACACGGAACTCAAACTATTTACGAAGAGAACAATATTGAGATCGAGCACGAGATCGGGATTGAGACCTACATACAGACCAAATACAGCCGCATACTATGCTCAACGTGTTTGCCAAACTTCAGGACCTCTCGCAGGTTCTGGACTCTTTTGGAGGAGAAACAAGAGGAATTGAAAGAGTTTTGGGCCATGAGAGGTCAAAGACGGCTTCCCCAGTGGTAATCTCGGTTTTGGGATTATGGTTGTCTGGGTGCGGCGGATTGACTTCGATGTCGTCTTATTTCCTCGGTGCGCTGGTGTTTGGCCTTGGTTTAAAAGACTCTCTAATTAGTGGATTGGTAGCCACAATTCTTGGATGTCTTGTTGCTGCGTATTGCTCGACCATGGGACCTAGAAGTGGACTGAGGCAATTGGTTACTGCGAGATACATCTTTGGTGGGACCTTCATAAGATTTGTGGTTGTGATCTCCGTTCTTGGATTTGTGGGCTGGTCAGTAACTAACTGTGTTCTTGGAGGCCAAATTCTACTTGCTGTATCTAATGGAAAAGTCCCCCTCGAAGTTGGAATAGTCATCATCAACGTTATCTCGGTGGTGGTTTCCATCTTTGGAATCACTCAGGTTCTTAGATTTGAACTGTTCATATCGGTGCCCGTATTCATAACCGTTATTCTGTTATACATTATGGGGGATAATCAGTATCCATATTATACCGACACTGTCTCTTATGGTGATGAAATGACGATTAGAGGAAACTGGCTGGGATTTTTTGCTCTGGCCTATTCAGTTACTGCGACATGGGGAGGATGTGCATGCGATTACTACATCCAATTTCCCGAGAATTTCCCCCAAATTTGGACATTTGCCATAACATTTTTTGGAATTTCGATCCCAACAATCATCGGAGCCATAATTGGAATGTATCTGGGAAATGCCACTTCAAGCTACCAACCATGGTTAGACAGCTACGATGCAAACTCACTAGGTGGACTGCTGGATACTGTTTTTTCTCGGTGGGGTGGAGGTGGAAAGTTTTTGCTAATGGTGTTTTGGCTTTCTCTCATCACAAACAATGTGATCAACAATTACTCTTCTGCACTGGAAGCCCAACTGCTGGGAAGTTGGGTATTCAAGAGGTTTCCAAGATGGTTTCTAGTATGTGTTGCTGGTGGAGCCGTGCTGATATGTGCCATGGTTGGCCGTAATAAGTTCTCGACGATTTTGTCAAACTTTCTGCCTATGCTGGGATATTGGATTTCGATGTACTTCACACTATTGCTGGAAGAGAACTTGATCTTCAGATCTACCCGCCTGATCAACCTATACACGGTTGAGTTCCCTAACGGGATTTCGGATGATTACGCTGTTGAATTTGCTGCAGACGCTGAAAAGACGTCCGAAGAGGCTTCCGAACTTGAGCCAGACTCGAAGAAACCGGTTTCGGTTTCTAAACCATACTATAACTTTGAGGTGTGGGACGACACTTCGAGCCTGACCCACGGATATGCCGCGGCTTTTGCATTCTGTTGCGGAGTTGCTGGAGCCGTTGTCGGTATGGCACAGGTCTACTATATTGGCCCTATTTCGGCTAAAATTGGTGAGTATGGCGGAGATCTGGGGATGTGGCTTTCGATGTCTTTTACCGGAATTGCCTACCCCGCGTGTAGGTACCTGGAGTTGAAGAGATTTGGGCGTTAAAACCCGCAAAGAGGACGGCAAGGGGTTGGTGGTAACCCTTAATAGCCAATTATCGCTTCCAATATATGCAAATAATATATATAGTTCTAATGCCGATAATCTAATTTAATAACCTTCAACGTCATTACCTAATTAGGGCTCGCAGCAAGCCATTTAGGTACGGGCAAATAGACGTCGTTTAAGTCGTTTGGCCGTGCCTTCGGGGGGTGCACGCTCTCTAGCTTTTTGCTTACGCTTCGGCCAAATGCTCGCGATTCTCTCCTGTTCTGTTTAGCATCCGAGCATCTCTTGTCCTCAAAGCTGACACTGTTCAAACATGTCTGCATCTAAGTGAGTATTCTAAGTTGAATTTTACGCGTTTTAAGCACCCGCCACTAACCGTTGTGAAGCGTGCTGGGTTCTGCCTCATTACCATCCCTGGGCCATATCAACGGGACATTCAGCTCCTTCTCGAGCGCTTACCAGGCGCTCCAACCAGCTACAAACCTCAATATTTTTGAGAAGCTCTGGGCCGCGTACTATCTATATCTTAACAATGACATTTTTGCAACGGGTTTACTCTTTTTCGTGCTACACGAGGTGATGTATTTTGGAAGATGTTTGCCCTGGTACATCGTTGACCGCGTGCCTTACTTCAAACGCTTTAAGATTCAGGATGCAAAAATGCCTAGCAACAAGGAGCAATGGGAGTGTTGCAAGAGTGTACTTATCTCGCACTTTGCAGTTGAGGCTTTCCCAATTTGGTTTTTCCACCCTATTTGCGAGAGGATAGGAATCAGTTTTGACGTTCCATTCCCCAAATTGACCACTATTGCCTGCCAGGTGGCCCTCTTCTTTGTTCTAGAAGATGCGTGGCATTACTGGTTCCACAGAGGATTGCACTACGGTGTGTTCTACAGGCGTATTCACAAGCAGCACCACCGTTATGCTGCTCCTTTCGGGCTTGCTGCTGAATATGCTCACCCGGTCGAGGTAATGCTGCTTGGATTTGGAACTGTGGGAATCCCAATTATATTCTGTTACTTCACGAGAAACTTGCATCTATTCACGGTGTGCATTTGGATCACTCTGAGACTGTTCCAGGCCATCGATGCCCACTCCGGATACGAGTTCCCCGTCTCGTTGCATCATTTCTTGCCTATCTGGGCAGGAGCAGATCACCACGACGAGCACCATCACCACTTCATTGGAAACTACGCTTCTTCGTTTAGATGGTGGGACGCAGTGCTCCAGACTGAAGCTGGTGTCCCAGCTAAAACTGTCAGAGAGAAGAAGATGAAGCAAAAGGCCAAGAAGATAAACTAGATCGCAGACCAGCCTCAAAACACAACTTATATAATATCCCTGTCACAATAGCCATTTTCCTCGAACTGAAGCTTTTTTTAGCGGTAGAATGTCATAAATTCGTGTCTTTATCTTCCTCGGTGATCTCTGCTCTCTCCAGTCTCCAGAGCACGCATCTAAATCTGGAGAGGTACACGACTTGTGACATTTTCAGGGCTCTGTGCACGACCTGTTAGTTTTTCACATTTAAAAAAGATTCAGTGACTTGAACCTGATCAGCTTAAGTTTAATTTGAGACGGGAAAACTCAGAAGAAACTGGAAGAATCAGCAAGGTCTTGTTGAGGATAAAATTGTATGTATTTAGCAACTTCTTCGAGCCACCAATTCATATCAAAATGATGAGAGAATAAAACACAGACCTGTACTGAGCTATAATGCGGATAAAATTTTATTGCCTTTGCTGAACATGATATGAAGGACTTGCTTGAGTTTCGGTGACTTAGACCTTTCACTAACTTGTAAACCAGATTTCTGTACAGATAATCGTATATGTATAAATAATTTCAATCTTGAATCTTTCCTAGAACTACCTCCTATATTACGTAGATATACTTGTAAGAGTCTGCTCTCAGTAAATCTTGATGGCTTCAACGATGAACTCTAGAGCCTTGAAAACTGTTCGCCGAGATGCCAAAAAATCCTCGAATTCACCATTTACTTACTACAATCGCATACAGAAAACTGATATTTTGTTGTGATATTATAGAGACATCGCTTATTTCTTGGCAGTCAATCTACGCAAGTAGAAAGCCAACTCTTCACCTTCCAAGATGTAACCATCACATCTACCAGACTGACCTGGTCTGGAAGAGATAGCAGCGTACAATCTACCGGCACCGAACTGGGAGTTCACGGCGTTCTCAATCTTAGACTCACCAGCTCTGGCAGCCCACTTCTTCTCGAGCTTCTTAGATGGCTTGGCAGCTTCCTCCTCGTCCTTCTTGATGTTCTTCTTTCCCAAAGAAGCACCGTAGTGGTTCTCGAACCAAGACTTGAAAGGAGTAGCATCGATCTGGACGATGGCACTCTTAGTCAAGGTGTTTGTTCTGACCAACTCGTTGTTGGAAGGGTGGTAGGCAACACCGGTGATTCTGGTCTTTCTGGTAATGTTCTCCGAGGCCCATGAGAAGTTTCCGGTCTCAACTCTCAAAGCTCTGAATTTCTGGTTACCACCTCTGGTTCTGACGGCGTGGATACGCTTTGGTCCGATTCTGGTGTTGGCACCTTGACGGCCCAACTCAAACTTCCGCTTCTTTCTGAATTGAGCACGTTTGGCACCGGTAGCGGAACGCTTGTGACGAGAATCACGAGAAATACCCATTTTTTATGATGCTGAGGCAGGAAGGGTTAGTACGTTGGTCCAGATTGCTTTGCAGAGAATTTGCTGTATGAGTTCTGGATACCGTTTTCAAATCTGATGTGAATAGGTGAAAGGATTTCAGTGTGGTCTTTCTGGCAACGATCCCACTAATTCAGATGATACCCTATTATTGAATCTTCAACAACGATACCAACAACTTTTCCAGCAAAATATAGCACTGATGAACTTACTTTATCTGTCGATGTATGTGGTTGACGGGTCTAAAAAGTTTCAAAGAGGAGCGGCAAGAAGAAGAAGTAAGGGCAGACCTCCAACATCTCAGGGTTGGTTAGCCCTTTGTGTGGTCACGTGCTCAAAAAATGTCTCCAACCCTGGTTGGGGAACGACAAGAAGAAAAGAAGTGTACAAGCTAAAACGTTGCATCCATTTTGAATTTTTGATTTTGTCCGTAACCGGTTCCTACACTACTAGCTGGACCACAAGAAGACACATCCTTCTTAACTGATATTCGTTGTTTTACTGTATAGAGAAACGATTCGTTATATATATTCTTGTTAACTTGTTTCCTTTGAGTTTATTACAGATCATCGACTTTCTCCTCCTATCCAACAATCAGCACGATACAAAACAAGGTCAATATAGGTACAAAACCTTAATAGTGCAACAACCAATCGGTCACCCCATTAAAAAAATTTGGCCCTTTGATTTCTCAGAGGCGTATACTTAGCTAAAGTCTTTGACTATTCCTGCCACCAATGTCCGAAGCAATTTATGATCAGATAGAAATCGAAGATTTCACATTTGATGCAACTACTGAGCTATTTACATATCCATGCCCCTGCGGAGACCGTTTCCAAATAGCACTGGTGGATCTGGAGGGTGGAGACGACATAGCAGTTTGTCCCTCGTGTTCGTTGATGGTGAAGATTATATTTGAATCTGAGGACTTGAAGGAGTATCAAGATCAGCTTGATATGTAATGTTGCTGCAATGGTGGTTTTTATGGTCGTGATCACACATTTACGCCTTCCTTCATAGGTCTCGTCAAGGACAATATATGAGAGAAGACGGCACGAGGGTTGTGCTTTGTTCGTCATTTATGCATTTTTTGTTGTTATTTTCGGGGTTATCAAAAGGATATGTAATATAAGCGAAGACCGGTGGTTTGAATCCATGGTCCCAAAATTTGGGTATATCAATACTATATATAGCTGATAAGAACTTGCCTTATCTGGTCTTTCAAGATGCAAGTAGAGACTCAAGTAAGAGAAGACTAACAGGCCGATTACAGATTCATTCAGATTCTTTAATTGGGTCTATTATCGGAGTGGCAAATTTCAGCACCGTCCTCCCTTAACGATATAACTTCGCACCGCATATCGCCACGGCAACAACTAACAGTATCATCACCACTGTCGAAACTGACCAACCTTCTTCCTCTTGCGAAACTGACTTCGCCAATAGCTGCGCTCTGAGTTTCTCTTCGGGATCCAGTATCTTTTCGGTCGAAACCCTTGGCTCCTCCTTCTTTAGCACTGGTTTTGGTTTCTCTTTCCGCACGAAAACTGTTCCGTTCTTGATATCTGCAAGATTTTGCTGGACTAGCTCTGGAAACTCTTTCACAAACCTGGGATTTTGGTTGACGTTGAACTGTCTCGAAGCCAATGCCAGATTCTCCTTCGTAGCCAGACTCGTCACTATAGCTCCCGTCGTCGGCTCGTCTCCAGTCATGAAACTCAGCAGCCCTGTTAAAATTGTGCTCACAGACCAACCTGGATTCCACGTATCTGGATGGTAGTCACTCATAGACAAACATAGTCTTGTATTCACCTGGAACCGCCCATTCGGGGTAGTCATCCTTATAGCAGGTGGCTTGAAAGGATACTCTGTGGGGAACGACAGGGTTCCGTGGTACTGACCACCTTCGTATGGCGTCTCCGGTGGTCCTGTAATTACATAGTGCCATTCCAGGATGTTTTGTTCTGATGCCTTGGCCACGATGAACGGTGGAGGATTCGCCTGTATCGCCCTGTACTCCTTGGTGAGTCTCTTGTGTGCACTTTTGGAGGCCATTTGTTGAAAATGTTGGAACTATGCGATGACAACGGAGAAAACAAACATGCACACACACAAACACAACAATCACTACTGCAACAAGACAGCCTGTGGTTCACAATACCGGTTGACTATTCTGTGACATGTCATGAAGGGGGCCGCCGGGGTCGTGTGAAGGGGTGCGTGTCTGGGCAAATTACCGATTCACCCCCACACGACCTAAAAGGTACCACAACTCCAGATGTTTACGCTTGAACATACTCCTTTGGCTCCAAAGGGCGTTTCTGGCTTCTTTGCGAGCGGAAATTAGTTATAAAGTCACGGAGATTGAAATTTCCCACTGCAAAATAGGGTAACACTTTTTAAAGCAGTCAGAACGAACTCTTCACCATGGCGTTCTTGTTCAAGAGGAATCCCAAGACGCCGTCAGAGCTGGTGAGGATGATGAACGAGCAGGTCACCAAACTGGACACTGCTCAGGATAAGAAGAAGGTATGTTGGAGTTGATTGGTGATATCATCAGCCTGGGGAAGTCTTTCTGTTTTCTATTATTACTAGGCTTTCATTACTAACTTTATGCAGGTCCAAGATGAAGTCTCCAGATACTTACTTCAGATCAGAGAGATTCTACTTGGTGATGACGAAGGCGATATTCATCCAGATCAAATAGCACAGTTAGCCCAGGAAGTTTATAGCACGGATTGCTTATATCTTCTGGTGTACCATCTCTCGCGGCTGGAGTTTGATTCACGAAAACACGTAGTAACGTTGTTTTCGATACTTCTTAGAAGGGAAGTAGGAAACAGATCGCCAACCGTGGATCATCTGCTGGCAAGGCCACGGACACTCACGTGTCTTTTCAGTGGACCAGAGACTCCTGAAACGGCTCCAATCACGGGATCTATATTGAGGGAGTGTATCAAGTACGATTCTATTGCACGCTTCTGCTTGAAAGACCCGATCATATGGGATTACTTCGGCTACTGCCAAACGGGCACTTTTGAGAATGCCACGGATGCATTTGACACCCTCAGAGACTTGCTCACGGTGCATAAAAAGTGCGCTGACGAGTTCTTTCGCGAGAATCTGGAGCGGTTCACTCAGGAATTCAACTCCTTGATGAGTTCTAAGAACTATGTCACTAAGAGACAGTCTATCAAACTTCTGTCGCAGCTGCTTTTGCAGAAGGAGAACCAGTTTTTCATGACATCATACGTGAATTCTCCACATAACTTGAAGCTGGTAATGATTCTGCTGGGGGACAAGTCCAAAAACATCCAGTACGAATCGTTCCATGCCTTCAAAGTTTTTGTGGCCAATCCCAAGAAGACCAAACCCGTTAGTGATATTCTGATCAAGAACAGAGACAAGTTGCTCGTGTTTCTGAAGGAATTCGATTCCGGAAAGAAGGAGGACAGGAGTTACGTCAATGAAAAGGAGTTCGTGATTGGCAAAATAGAAGAGCTACCGCGGCTCTTATCAAGTTCCACAGACCTCACCAACTACGAGGATGCTGAGGGCAACAACGCAAGCATCAACAAGACATAGCTAGTTCATCATTTCATTAATATACCACAGGAAACAAAAGACGCCAGATATCAGTCCCATTCGAATTCGAGGATCTCGTTTTTGTAGAAGAATGCGCCTTCCAGTCGAATGTCAACGCAAACTTTCCCGTCCATACATAGCTGTGTGACCATTGAGCTCAAAATCATGAAATTCATGCTGAGACCGGGGTGGTTTTGGAGACCCAGCACGGATACGCCATCAAGAGTGTTGATGATTTCCAAAAGTCTATTTGCGGTTGAACTGGAAGAGAAGTCGGATCTAGAGATGACATACATCTTCCCATCGTTCCTGCTTTCTGTCTTTTTGGCAGGAGAAAGACTCGTTAGATCAGAAAGATTAACCGAAACAAGCGGGATCTCAAACATTCGCACGTTGAACCGCAACGTCTCGAACTTCTTAACGGCATCATACAATTCGAGCGGAGATACCAGCGATAATCCTCGGGCCGTGTTGTACATCGAGTAGAGCTCATACATGGAAACCACACTGGATCTGTCAAGCAGGTTTTCGTTCATAATAAACTCGTAGATTTGGCGAGCAAGCTCATCAATGTAAAGTTCTGAATATCCGGATCGGTTGACATCGGTGACTGATGGCTTGCGTAAAGACCAGAGATAATTACTCTTGGATTTGTCTTTCTGGGCTTGCGAAATTTCATTGGTGGTGATGATGCTATCGAGGATCTTTATTGTGGTCTTTGATTCCTTCAGGATCTTCAAATTATCGTCGATCTTCGAAGTTTGTGATCTAGATGACATCAGCAGTGATTGGTACGTTTCACTCAAACCTATCAACTGCTTGGCTTTTGACATCAAATTCTCCAGATCCTGGATGGAGTCATTGAGAAGATTAGAACTTTCCAGGTTCTTCTTCATTGTCACGGCCTGCAAACCATGTATTCCCAATTGTGGCACGCTTGGTGGTTCGTCGTTGATGACGCCTCTATTGATACGGTCTGATTCAGTCAACTTGTTCCATTTGGCCATTTCAACCGCGCTTTCTAGTTTATCAAAAAAAATTTTGGAACCGGATTTGTGGAAACTGATTTTTATTGTGAACTCGTCGAAGTCTGTGGATTCTTCAATTTGCAGGTTGACTCCCTGGTCTTCGACACCAGGATGCTCTTTCAGTAGATGGCCGCACATCTCACAATTCGTCATTGAGGGATGGTTCAAAAAAGTACACTTGTCACATTGGAAGCCCTTACCTGTAACTGTGTGAGATTCGTGAGGTTTCGAGACCGAGGTTTCAATCAATCTCAGAATCAACTCTGCTGGAGCAGGTACTCCACACGTCCTGCACTTAGGGAAGTTGCTCGCGTTTCCAGGTGCACTCACGATCTTGCCAACTTGGGCTTTGGGCAGCTCATTGGCAAAATAACAGATTGGACATGCCCACGATACGTCCTGCAGTATCACGTTCGTGACATGCGATTTTAGCTTGTTCATGTGGAGTGTGATCTTGGGGCTGCTCTTGAGAAATCCCGCATAGTATTCTATGGAATCCACGTCTAAAAGGTCCAATGCAAGATTCGGGCTTTCCCCAGGTTTAGTAATATGCGAATTGTGAACATAAACCAACCTTTTGTCCGATAGATACACTCTTCCGTCCTGGTGAGTGATCAGCTTGTAGTTCCCCTGGTACAATCCCACGCCATCTTGAATCAGGATATCCGTTTCTCCCAGTTGCACGGGACGACCACTAGAAGAAAGCTCGGCTTTCTTGAAGTACTTCGAGTTGTAATACATGCATGGAACAGAAAGGGAACGAACCCTGGAGCAAAACAGTTAAAGCAGTCTGCAGATGTTATCCACATGCGGGTTAAGCTCAAGTATCTACGTTGTTATGAGCGATGGCGAAAAGTTTTAAGCGGGTTTATATAATTGTAGTCACGTGATTATTTCAAAGGTTCTGTTCTCAGGAAGTGGGTAGGGCAATGCTTTCCGTTGGGGTTTTTCTCCAGGTATAATTGGTGATATTCCTCAGCATCCCAAAAGTTCTCAATTGGCTCGATCGAGGTCACGATCTTGTGGTTAGGGAACCACTTGGTCTGCTGTTTGGCAATGGCTGACTTGGCTATAGCGACTTGTTCTTCGCTGTTGACGAAGATAGCAGATCTGTATTGGATTCCGGTGTTGTGACCTTGTTGGTTCAGCGTTGTGGGATCGTGGATCAAAAACAAAAACTCGTAGAGTTCCTCGTATGAGACGACGGCTGGGTCGAACGAAATCTGAACGGCCTCGGTGTGCTGGGTGTCTCCCTTGCAAACCTGTTCATAGGTGGGTTCTGAAACTTTTCCGTTACAGTAGCCAACCTTGAGGTCAACAATCTTATCACCATAGTGCTTTCTGTAAAGCCTCTCAATTCCCCAAAAACATCCTCCCGCGACGGTGACAATGGCGTCATTGGCAGGATTGAACTTCAGTGTCCGAGAGATGGGCTGTGCGGTAGATGCAGAGGGCATGACGATAGATTCAAGCTGAATATTCAAAGTTGACGATTTCACCGAGAAAAGAAGATGATCACAGGGGCTCTAGATTGTTTATATATGGAACAAAAATCTTATAAACCGAAAATCCCACAGCTTTCAGTGCTTAATACCATGGTGGAAAACACACACTTTGCAATTTCTCGGTTTGTTACGCAATTACACGTGACCACAAAAAAACCCGATGAAAACGGCATTGCTCCCGATGATGAAGGGTTCACATGCATCCGATGTCACATGCATCTTCTCCACACTGTCATGATATTGCCCGGTAAAGAACCTTGAGTACTCTTTATGTTGTTCCGCCTTGTCTTGTTCTTGTTCTTCTTCTTGCTCCTAGTTTCTTTCTCTTCTCTCTTTACATGTTAAACCCCATTTGTTAATCCGTTTAACAACAATTTTCATTATGACGTTGCTTAGTTTCTATGCCAAACGCCGAAATAAGATCTTGCGCGCGTCCTACGTGGTCCTGCTCTTGTTATCACTTCTCGGAGGAGGAGCCCAGAAATCTCAGCGAAAGCTGGAAGGAAAGCGAAGTAGGGCTTTAACAAAGTTCTCGTGGAATTCCATCTCCAAGTCGTCGCTTCTGTCGGTAATTGACCTTGTTAAGGTCAACGGAACGCGGAAGATCACGGGATTCCTGGCCTTGCAACTGGTGCTATTGGTTACACGAGCGTTTCTAACCTTGAAGGTTGCTTCCTTAGACGGAAGGATTGTGTCCACGCTTATATCCAGAAGGTTCAAGCAGTTTGCGTTTCTGATTTGTGTTTGGATGGGTATTGGAATTCCAGCCTCTCTGACAAATTCGTTGCTGACTTGGTCTGAGCGGATGCTTGGAAAGAATATTCGTCTCAATCTCACAGAGAAGTTATTAGATGACTATCTTCCGGAATCTGGCAATAGTACACTTTACCAACTGCTCAATACCAGCAAAAACTCGGATCCGGATGAAGCCATCATCGAAGACCCCAACCAGCGCATCACCACAAATGTGGAACAATTCTCTAAAGCTCTTGCCTCGCTGCCATCACAGCTTCTGAAGCCATCACTAGACCTGTTGCTCTGTGCAAATCAACTTGCTTCAACAAGCGGATCTTCAGCAGAGGGTGTGCTGCTGCTGGGAATCATTACTCACACTTCCACCATTCTCCTGAAACAGTTCACGCCCAACTTCACCAAATACTCCCAGATGACGAACGAATTGGAACACGGTTTTCATTCTTCCCATTCGAATACCATCACAAACTGCGAAGAAATCGCATTCTCGAGAGGACATAGACGTGAACTCGACCACCTGGACACGAGGTACCTAGAACTGGAAAAGTTCAAACGGTTGGAGTACAGGAGGTTTGCCATTTATGACTTCACCATGAGTTTTATTGTGAAGTACTTCTGGGGTGCCTCGGGCTTACTGCTCTGCAGTATTCCGATCTTCACCAGAGCGCATATGTCGAACTACCAGATTTCAGAACATGACATGAGAGACATCTCAGCAAACTTCATTACCAACAGAAGGCTATTGCTAAGTGCATCGTCGTCTTTGGGTCGGTTGATCCAGAGCAAGAAGAATGTGCAGAATCTTGTTGGTTATAGTGTCAAACTGGTGGAGTTCGAAAATGCTCTTTCTGCAATCAATTCTAGAACAGACAGTTCCGCAGTCCAGAGTGTTGGTCCAGGAGTTGTTGCGATTGGTGGTACAGCAAAGCCTCTAATCAGCGGATCTAACATTTTGTACGGAGATGAGGTGACATTTGATCACATTCCACTGATTACGCCTACGGGAAACACTTTGGTTGCAGACTTGTGCTTTTCGATCAAATCCGGTGACAACTTGCTGATCACGGGTCCAAACGGTTGCGGCAAATCTTCACTTTTCAGGATCTTGGGTGGCTTATGGAAAGTGGCTGATCCGGGTAAACTTACCATACCGTACTCCAAGGACGACCTGTTTTACCTTCCACAAAGGGCATATTTGACTATAGGAACTCTAAAGGAGCAGATCATATATCCGGATTCTATAGAGACCTTCAACAGGAAGTCGTCTCGGTACCAGAGAGCCAACGGCACAGACTTAGTGAAGGATGAGGCGTATCTTGTCGAGCTTTTGAAAATCGTGCAACTCGGTCATCTAGTCGATGACTGTGAGAATATCATCAACGACAGTTTGGAGAAGCCACGAGACCTTGAGGACTCTGTGCCCGAATCTCCGCTTGATTTGATCCGCAAGTGGCCTACGCTACTGTCCATTGGAGAACAGCAAAGACTAGCTTTGGCTAGACTGTATTACCATCAGCCTAAGTTTGCAGTGCTCGACGAGTGTACTTCTTCCATTTCCCCAGAACTCGAACAGGAGTGCTATAGATACGCTATAGAGGAGCTCGGAATTACTGTTATTACTGTCTGCCATCGCACTTCACTCTGGAAGTTTCATCAATACCTGCTTAACTTCGATGGACAGGGCAATGCCAAATTCACCAGATTTGATCCGGAATTGCGGTTGAAATGGCATGACGAATTGATAGACATCGACTCGAGATTGCACAAAATGGAGGGTTTGAAGAAACAACTCGGTGACCTGGAGAGGCTAAAGGAAGGACATACAACCAAACCTAAGAAACTGATGTATTTGTGAAAAGCAAAAGTTGGAGTAATGCATTATAAATGACGTTTTCAAACATACACACAATTTTTAGAATATGAATATTTGCTCAAAAAAAACCAAAAAAACATAAAATCTCCGGAAAGATTGTTTCCCCACATAATCTGTGTGGGATATCGAAAAAAAAATGGACGAGTCCGGAGTCGAACCGGAGACCTTTCGCATGCTAAGCGAACGCGCTACCAACTACGCCACACGCCCAGAAGATGACTATTGAATCCTCAGAATAGTTATAGTGAGCTTTAATTGTTGCTGCACACAAAATGAGACTTGCACGTGATATATCCACCGAGAGCACTTAAAGAGTACTCGGTTGCTAAAAACTGGCCCTGTTGACGATAATGAAGACGGTCTGAGTATCCGTTCGAGATCAAGAGTTTTAACAATAACATGTTTTAAAACGCCCGTTTACCCTCATTTAACCCAGTTTCCGTCTGGCTCATAGATCGTTTGATCCAGTGCACGACTATCTCCCCGAAGCCTAGATAGAGAAGATTAGACAAGACTCCGCGTACTCAGGGAAGACAGCCAAAGAGATATCGCGAACACCAATACCCGATACGGTTTGAACTTTAGCAATCGAACAATCGAGATCTATCTCGGCATTCCAATCACGCGTTTGTTTCTCGTTTTGCGCATTAACTAGCATCTGCATGGCCTTTCATGAATCATGGCCCCTCCATCTTCCGACACACCAAATGCCCAGAAGGAGTCCTCGGACCAATCAGTGGGGTTTGGCATCTTCAAGTCATTAACACGGTCTTTAAGATCTGGGAGGAGCAACCGAACACTGCCGGTCAGTGTTAATCCGACCATTGTTGGTGGAGATGCTACCCAATCCAAGCTGCTGGAGTCTCTGAAAAACCCCAAGCTATCGGACTCAAACAAGGTTTCTCACATTCGCGATCTGGACCAAAACCTCAAAACATTCACCATATCATCTGTGCCTGAGATTTGGTACCAGCTAAAGTCATTTTTGAATGACGGTTCCAGTGAAGTGCGGCGTCAGGCACTTCATCTGCTGAATACATGTGTATCGCTAAGTGATCACGCAGTGCCGACAAAACTGTCATATTATGATGACATTATCAATACATGCAAGGTTGATATGACTAAAATGGAACTTGACGATGATTTGGGGTTATTCCTGGATGTTCTGGTCCACTTGACAAGAGAGGGCCAGGACGTGTACGAGCTGTGGGTGTATTCTAAAAGACCGCTCGGCAAACTGTTGGTAGAGATGCTCACGATAATCCAACAGAAGCTTCAGGACTCGAAGCCACAACCACAAGAACTGAATGGAACTATAACCAAGCTGGTGGACTTCTTGGCTAGTATTTTGGAGTTCAATTACAACATCTTAGAGGAGGAAGAGGTGCTCAGAGTGCTACCGCTAGTTCTGAAAATCGCCAATAGTACAATCGAAAGAACCACTTTGGCCTCTGCACTTGGCTTTGTTGATGCACTGGTTTTATATGGGACACTCCCCATGGAGAGTTTGTATGATGTGATGGAGATATTATCTGGAGCATGCACCGTGAGCAAGTCTTCTGGCTTGGAATTCGACAAAATCGCGTGGAACATACTGGGAGACCTTTCAAAGACAACGAATCCATCACTGGTGGTGTATCAACTGTGTCAGGTGTTAGAAACTGCTAGTGGAATTGGAATATTGACTGGAGCTATCAGGATCCTAGCCAAGATGACGGAGATGGATGTGGTTCAAGCGATGTTCACTTTTGCGCCAAAAATGATGGACTCACTAACGATCGCACTTTCCAGAAACCCCAAGCTGAATGATGAGATAATGAATTTCCTGAAATTGCTGTTTGAGAGCGAGAAATACCGTCTCATGGTGTCTTTAGATTTCATGTTGGATGACCGATCCAAGATCTGGAAGTTGCTCAAAGAGGTCCAAAAACACGAGGGAAATCGGGAAATTGTTGATCCACTTTTGAAATCCTTGCAGAAGCTTTTTTTAGAGAAAGAGACAGAGGGATTGTCGCTTCAACCACTGGTGGAATTCTTCAATCAACAGTCAAAATTGAACCCACAAAATGCCAAATTCGTCCTTGAAACTTACCGAAAAGACTTGAGCTGCTTGACCATCAACACTCAGTGGTATGAAAATTGCGATTTTCTGCTCTCCAGATACACCCAGAGGGTGTTTGGGGCTGATATTCGTCGTCAATGCCTTGAAACCGTAGTTGAAGGTTTGACTGCATCATTGTCACTGGGGCCGGACCTCGAACAGCAAAGAGTTATTGATCTTTTTATGAGCCACTGGGATGTCATATTTGATGATGGAGATACTATCATGGAAATGGGAAAGATTGTACTGGTTGATCTATGGGTAGCTCTCGACGAAGACATCTTTAACGAGGCCATAAAGGCCGTATTTGAACGGTTGCCAACATCACAATACTCCGTCGAGCTCGCCAAGCTCTTGATAGAAACCATGCTACACTTGAGTATTTCTGCGACCACACGTTCCAAGATGAAGATGTTTATTTGTGGATTCTTGCGGACGCTCGACCATGCATTGACCACCTCGCACTGGCAGTTGTACCTGACGGTATCCAGATTAATGGTTAGACTGAGGATAAACGAGAGAGCTCTTTATTTCACAAATCCACAGGATCTTGAGGGATTGAGTGACACTATGGGTCGGCTCGTCCTGAATAGACCATTGGAAACAGCCGTGGATTGGAGCTACCCGGAAGAACTCTCGTACATCCCCGAAAAATACCTGGATAATCCGGAATCTGTTGTGGAGACTCTGAATTTTTCCGAAGAGATAAGAAGCTGGTTTCACATAGTTAACAGTGTGTTCTCCAAGTTCTATGATTGGGAGGTGTATTCGTTCACATGGTGCCATTTTTGTCCGCAATTGGCCAATATCGATCTGTTTCTTGAGTGCAAAGAAGAGATTGCGGAGCTCATGAAGACCTCTTGTGATAACCTGCAACTCAAATTCCCCGCAGAGTTGAAGCTTCCTCCGCACATACAGAGGTCGAATGTTCAGGTTGCTGTGGTCAGGACATTTTCAGCTCTGATTGGCTACCGCTCGTATTTCAGCAGACATGAAGAGGACATGATCATTGGGTCAATGATTTCGGGACTGAACTCATGGGAGAAAACAGGAATCCCATGTATCAATTTTCTCACCATTGCATGTTACGAATTTCCATTGTCAGTTAAAAAGTATCTGGCAATGATCCTAACCAATCTTCAAATCCGAATCTCAAGTTCATTCGCGAGTCCTCACATTCTTGAGTTTCTCAATTCGCTATCGCAAACGCCTGATCTGATTTTGGACTTCACGCTTGACGAGTTCAAAAGGGTATTTGCCATTGCCTTCAAATATATCCAGTACTCTCACGATTCGAACTCAAAGGTTCGGAAACGGGCTTCAGTGGACTTTGGTAGTTTTTCCGAGGCTACTGATCACGTTCCTTCTACCAGCACCACCGAGATGACAACCGAGCTATCGCAATATCTCTCCAGTCTCTCATATGGAGTCATCTGTAAATGGTTTTTGAAACTTGGACTGGACCAGCGCCGGTCGTTGGCAGGTTTCATAGTGCGGAATCTGATTCTTTCGTCTCCGTCGACAGCATTGGACGACCAGACTCTGGCATACATTGACCTCATTTCCAAGTCTACTTTTTCCGAGTTCGATTTCAAAGCGAGCAAGATTGAACGGGTTGAATCCCCAGATGTTGACACCAAACGTTGGATCCATGGACTTGGAATTCTAACAATCAAAACCAACCGTTATACAGGTGCAAGTTGGATCTCAATGAGACGGCCAACGGGATCTGTTCAATTCAAAGTTGATCTGGTCAGAGACAGGGAATCACACACGGTGTTTTCGCCCAACTTTTTGCTGCTACAGCTGGTTGTTCCAATGACATCAAAGCTTGCAACAAAGCCTGTCCCTCTGGTATCAGATGTGGCTACACTAAGGAGCATCGGAAACTTCGACCGCATACCAGTAGTAGATTTCTACAAGGTGGGTGTCATTTATGCTGGTTTGGGCCAACGTGATGAGACGCAGATGCTGGCCAATCGGAGTGGATCTAAGAGATACCATTCCTTCTTGAATGGACTCGGAGATGTGGTGAGACTAAAGGGTTACACTTTCCCTTCTGGGGGACTCGATACTGAGAACGATGACGACGGAGAATTTGCATTGGCATATTCTGCTCCAGCTGTCCAGATGATATATCACACGACTACAATGATGCCAAATGACGACCAAGACCCTTTTTTTAACCGGAAAAAGCGCCATGTGGGCAACGATTTCGTTTGCGTGTATTACAACGATTCTGGTGCTCCATTGTCGGAGCTAGGTTTGCTTAAGACTCAATTCAACTTCATCAACATCGTGGTGGAGCCTTGCGGACAAGACCATTACCGTGTCAAGCTTTACAGACGTCATGGACTTCCACCGTTATTTGCGGTCTCGCATTTCAAAATCGTGAGTGCTGAGAAACTTCCCACATTGGTTACCCATTTCGCCATTCTGGCCAGCGAGTTTGCCCATGTCTGGAATGCCAGGGGAGAGTATGTTTCCAACTGGAGCCACCGTGTGCGTCAGATACGCAATATTATGCTCAAGAACTCCGTTCCGGAGCCAGATCTTGCACCGGAGGGAGTTCTCGACAGTCTTGAGTTCGATTCTATCACAGGTTGAGCCGCATGAGCCGCACAATAGTGCACTACTCAACCCTCCAGCTGTGGGATACGGGATATAAGAAAATTTTCCGCGTCCTGTTTAGAAAGGCTATACGGCTATACGGCTCCGCGGAATTCAGGATTTTTTTGCCAGTTGCAGGTTGCAACGGAGACATCATTAAAGTATGGTATCTGTTCACGATAAGACAGAAGTACAGGTTCTGATTCGTCGGACACCTGGTTGTATCTCTTAGTTTACTGCGCAGAAGCTAATCATGTGTAGGTGCCAATCAGACCTTAATAAAGTGTTAAGGTGCCAATCAGTTGGAGATTGTGATTTTGCACTAAAATGTGCTCTTAGTGCTTGAGTTATCGGGGTGTGTGCTGGCCAAAGTAGCAACGCTTCTGCGTAGAATACAACCCAGATCCGTGAGCATCTCAAGTTTCTTTCAATGTGGACCCGCATCGCATCTTCGAGTTGGGAACGTTGCATCTTCCATTTGGCTGATAATGGGCTAATAATGGGGTTGCAAAGTATCTTATTATACTCGAGATTGAACATTGTTATTCCAACCAAAAAACATGAAGAGATCCCACAAGAACTAGTAAGACCCGCTAAAAAACTCAAGGGACAGAATGTGTCAGATAGACGTCGGCAGACGTGGGCACACGACCTAACGCCCAATAGCAAATAAGCTTTCATTGAGCAGCACCCTCGATGGACCCTACCAAAGCCGTTAGATGCCATCCCGTTTAATGACAAAGCACCCAGACTCGCCCTGACTCATGTAAATAGCAATTCTAAATGTTGTTAGACTATCTACAACAACCCCAGCCTAAAAACAGGCATACCCAGAGATTGCGGCCGGTGTGGCCTACCCGCTGTCCCATTTAAGCGACGATCTTGGGTCACCGTGATAATGGGACAGTCTGCAGGACCCAGTTACATTTTGCAACTCTGCAAAGATACGCCTTGATAAGGCCTTGATTGGAGCCGAGCTTTGCAGAGAACAATTGAAAATATCCTCCTTCTATATATAAGCATCACCGTTCGATGTGCTGAGCTTCTCCACCTTTTTCAACCCCAAGCCTCTCTTAAGCCTCTATCAAGTCCAAATGTCGTCTGAAGAAAAGCGCTCGCCTGCTGCCAGCAGCAACGAAGAGATCCAAGAGGAGTTCCACTCTGATGTGCCAGCCAGATGGTACGACAAACGCCTGGTACCCTTTCTACCGGCTTATTCCACCGCTACTGTCCAGATCGTGATGGTATCATTCGTGTGTTTCATGTGTCCCGGTATGTTCAATGCACTTTCAGGATTGGGTGGTGCAGGTCTATCTGACCCTACACTTTCAGACAACGCCAACGTCGCGTTGTACTGTACCTTTGCCACATTGGGATTTTTTTCAGGAACCATCTGTAATTGGATTGGTGTTCCGGCTACACTTGCCTTTGGTGGCTCAGGATATGCCATCTACGTGGCTTCCCTTTTCTGCTACCATTACACTGAGAACAGCGGCTTTGTTCTTTTCGCTGGTGCATGGTTGGGAATCACTGCGGCATGTTTGTGGGGTGCCCAGGGAACCATTCTGATGTCTTATCCTGATGAGAAGATGAAGGGAAGAATGTTTGGTATGTTCTGGACGATTTTCAACTTGGGAGGTGTTATTGGTTCGTGTATCCCACTGGCCCAGAATATTCACAGCAAGGGCTCTTCTGTGAACGTTGGGACCTACGCTGCGTTCCTCGCCTTGACCATTATTGGAGCCATTCTTGCGTTTTTCCTGTTGCCAGTCAGAGCCGTCAAGCGTTCGGATGGCTCCCGTATCATTGCGCAGAAGTACCCAAGTTTAAAGACCGAGCTGTTGGAACTGCTCCACATCCTCGTCAAGGAGCCCTGGATCATGTTGTTGTTCCCAATGTTCTTTTCTTCGAATTGGTTCAATTCATACCAGATGTCCGACTTCAACGCTGGTAGGTTCAACATTCGTACCAGATCCCTCAATTCTCTGCTCTACTGGTTTATGCAGATGGTTGGATCTACGTGTATCGGATTTATTCTTGATTTGCCATACTTCTCCAGAAAGGTGAGAGCCAGATACGGCTGGGGAATCGTGTTCTGCATTACCATGTTGATCTGGGGTCTTGGATACCTCTTTGAGCGCACTTACACCCGCACCAGTGTCCTCGACATGACTCCAATTGACTTTAAGGACGGTGCCTACATTGGCCCAATGTTCCTGTACATGTTCTACGGGTTCTATGATGCCGTGTGGCAGACCTTCTCTTACTGGACTATGGGTGCTTTGACTAACAGCTCGCGTAAAGCTGCTGTCTATGCTGGTTTCTACAAGGGAATGCAGAGTGCCGGTGCCGCCATTGCGTGGAGATTGGATTCGCTTAATAAGCCTTACCGTACTATGTGGGCCTCTTCGTGGGGTATTCTATGTGGTTCGCTGGTGTTTGCCATTCCTGTCATCTTCTTCCGCATCAAAGAGACCACCGACCTGGAGTCTGATCTCTTGGAGTCGGATGAGACCCTCGCCGACATCAAGCCCATCACCTCTGCTGTTTCCAGCTCGCATCTCGGTCTGGCCAATGCCTAAGCCATTGTGTTCGAGACTTTTTTAACTAGTTTTTTTGAGAAATTGCACTGATGTAATGCCACAGGTAGATCAGATTGTAGATGGAATTTGTTTTAACGATAGCTTGTCGATCGAACCGGTCAATAGGACAAGTCCAGGGCTTTAGATAGACTGAACTTAGCAGTTTCAAGCAATCACGCGTCGCCTCGCAAGAAGCTCGATCCGCAGCTTGTGAGACTCATTGAGATGCCGCACCTTGAACGCGTCTCCCCACTTCAGAACGTGCGAGAAAGGAGGAACAACATACTTACCCGGAACAACAAGACCTGGATCCAATATACAACAATCGTGGATGATACTCCCGTTTCCAAGAACACATCCTTCGCCAACGATCACTCGCGATCCGATGGCAGCGCTGGCTATCTTGCAATTTTCTCCGATGAGCACGTAAGAGCCCACCGCGCTCGGATGAACACCTGAAGTGGACACAGGAGGCTTCAACTCTACCCCACGTCCAAGAATGCAGTATTTCCCAATCACTATTGTGGGAGAACCATCTGGTATGGCCTCGTGCGCGTCAATAACACATTCCTCCACCAGGGTGTTCCCCTGTATCTGGATATTGGAGGACCCTTTTATGCGGCTTCCCCGATGGATCCGATTGTTTGACTGTGTCGTGATGTAGTCCATTGTGAAACGGAGCGATCATGCGAAACTGACACTTCTGACCTGCCAGAATGGTCTAGTTAGTTCTGCATCTGGGGAAACGTTATGAGCCATGGACCCGCATATTTGCGTGCGTACACCAATTATGTGCGTTAAAGATCGACACGTTCCGAGACTTGCATCTAATTTTCGTAAGGCTTCGTTGTCTTTTACAGCAGCAATTTCTCTTGAGTTAACCATTTTTTGTTTGTTTTTAATTATCTGCATCTGAAATGTCATCTAAGTTGTTTCGTGTCAACGGAGGTATGTAATTTTTACGGTGCCTGCATGATTGTAGCCTCCAAAGAGGCTATTTTCTTCAAAATTCAGGTTACTAACGTCTAAAAAAAGGTTACCAGAACTACGACTGGGGAAAGCTTGGTTCTACTTCATCCGTGGCCCAGTTTGCCAAGCATGCGGACCCAAGCATTTCTGTCGATGAATCCAAGCCTTACGCTGAGCTATGGATGGGAACCCATCCTTCTGTCCCTTCTATCAACCCAGACACGGGCAAGAGCTTGCGTGAAATCATCTCTGCGGACCCAGAGGCACTTCTAGGTGATAAGATCATTGAGAAGTTCGGTTCCAAGGAAGAACTGCCGTTTTTGTTCAAAGTGCTTTCCATCCGCAAGGTGCTGTCAATCCAGGCACATCCAGATAAGACCTTGGGTGCGAAATTGCATGCTTCAGACCCAAAGAATTACCCAGACGCAAATCACAAGCCTGAGATGGCAGTTGCCGTGACCGACTTTGAGGCGTTTTGCGGATTCAAGCCACTCAAGGAGATTGAGCATTTGCTTGCGACGATCCCAGAGTTCCATGCCTTGATCGGTGACGAAATCTCCAAGAAGTTCTCAGAGGGAATTAAGCCCGATGCTGTACTTGGTTCTGCCGACGATGTCGCAAACCGTAAGTTGCTGCAACTGGTTTTCGGCAAGTTGATGAACACTGACGATGCTACCATTGCGAAATCCACGGATTCACTGGTTGCACGCACCAAGTCGGAACCTGAGCTGTTTGGCGATGTTCTTGCTGACCTTATCCAGCGTATGGATGCCCAATTTCCTCACGATGTTGGTCTTTTCTGCGGATGTATCATGCTCAACCACTGCACTCTTAAAGCAGGAGAGGCTATCTTTTTGCAGGCAAAGGACCCACACGCTTACATCAGCGGAGACATCATGGAGTGTATGGCTGCCTCCGACAATGTGATTCGTGCTGGTTTCACCCCCAAGTTCAAGGATGTGGAGGTGCTTGTGGACTGTCTGACTTACTCCTATGACGATGTCGAGAAGCAGAAAATGCAGGCTCCAGGCTTTTCCAGATCTCACGGAGATGGAGACTCCAAGCTCTACGACCCACCAATCGCCGAGTTTGCCGTTTTGCAAACCACCTTTGACGATTCCAAGGGAACTAGGTGGTTCGATGCTTTTGAAGGTCCTTCAGTTCTGATCACTACGGAGGGTAAGGGTTTCATCCAGATTAAGGGCGATGAAGCCACTAGATTACCAGCCGAGGCTGGTTACACCTTCTTCATTGCGCCAGGTGCCGAGATTGAGCTAATTTCTGAGAGTGACGACAAGTTCACCACCTACCGTGCCTTTGTCGAGGCTTAATTGGTAAGCTTACCATCTCTACAATCTCTACAATCTCAAAGCCCACATCTGTGCTGCCACATATTTATTAGTATTTTTCATGATTATAGAATCTCTTACCCATTTCATCTTCGTGCCGTTACTGTTGAGCCTTCTTCCACTTGAAGATGCGCTTTTTCAGTTCACCTTTGCTATGCTGGAATGGATTCAGCTTCTTATCCCACATCATTTTATCGTAATCGTCTCCATGCTTGGCCACTAAGGCCGCTATCCATTCAGTTTCGCGTTCACTCTGGTGTCTCTCCTTCTTGTGGCTTATCTTAGAGAGAGCCTCCAGCTGTTTCACCACCTCGGTCTTCTCCTCCGCCGAGCTTTCAATTCCATCTCCTTCCATCTCACCGTAGACGACTTTCAATACATTTCCTTCCTCATCCCGCACGATTTTCGCACGGCCCTTTGGAATTCTGGCAGGATCATCTGTGTCTTCGTCTTCAGGCAGCTGTTCTTGCTTCTTGTCAGCCAACTTGTCATTAAAAACAAGCTCCTTTTCCACACCTCCTGTTGACTTGCCCAGCCTCACTTTGAGGCCAAGTCGCGCGTAATTCTGGCTCAGCGTCAAATTCTTGTCCCAGTTGGCAGCAATGATCGGGTTCGACGAAATGTTGAACTCACGCTGCTTGTCTTTCCGCTTCCTCGTGGCCTTTTTCACCGAGGAGCGGTTCATTTTTCTCTTTCTAACGGAAACCATTTTTGGATGTGCTGTGCTATGAAGTTATGTGGTTGGTTCCAAGTCTGATGGAGATCTCTCATATGAAAAGTTTCAAAAAAATTCCTTCCTCATCGACGTGTGTATCCCAATCTGAGATGGGCGTGCTCCAACCAACATATGATTCTGATAGCACACGACGCCAAATGCACTCCGCAATTTAATCATATCCCCTGACGTTTTCTCGTATTACCCACCAGTTTGACTCAAAGTTCCCCAAAAGATGTCAGAAAGTGACGGAATTCAAGAGGAATTAAGTGATAACAAGCCTAATGAGATTGACCCCCGGAGTGTGTTTGTGGGGAGCGTGGACTATGGCTCTAAGCCCGACGAGCTAAAGGAGGTGTTTGCGGCGTGCGGCGAGGTGACTAGGGTGACGATTTTGTCTGATCCGCGTACGGGAAGACCCAGAGGTTATGCGTATGTGGAATTCAAGTCTCAGGAAGGTACTCAGGCAGCATTGAAGCTAAATGGAACTTTATTTCGTGATCGTGAACTGCGCGTTGTCCCAAAGAGAGCGAATGTGCCTGGCCTGGGCAGAAACCGTGGAAGATTCAAACGTGGAAGGGGCAGGATCCCCATGAATCCACACCCGAAAACCAAGATTCCAGTTGCCGAGACGGTGGAGTAATAATTGGAGGCTGTAAAGGTAAGGATTTGGTCACACCCTTGGCCTTGACCTGAGCCCCATCCAAACCATACATCCCTACTGAGATTACGCTTTGATGGAATTTTTGTGATGAGTTATGATACTACGATTTACCTTTGTGCTGGTTCCTTGCTTAATTAATACGAGCACAGCTCGTGTTTCTGTGAAGGGGGTCTCCTATTGTAATGAAGACTTGTAGAATGGAATAGCCTGATGTTCTCTATATGACACGAGCACTGACTTGAGCTCAATTGGCACTGTATTTCCCGAGAAATCGACTCTTTATGCATTTCAGAACACCCACACTAGGAAAAACAAGAAACACACCACTGCAAAAAAGACCAACCAGTTTCTCCAACCAATCCCAGACGATTTCGCCATGGTCATCATCCTTCCAAACGTCGATTTCAACCGCAGCCTTGCGGTATCCAAATTAGAGTTCAAATTTGATATGTCCAGATTCGATTTACGGATTTCATCCCCCATCCGATTACCCAAGTCTTTAAGCATCACCAGTTTGTCACTCATTGAACTATACTCATCCTCATTCTGCGATTCGAGGTGCGATAACATCGATGCATTGTAGTCCTTAGCAGATGGATTCCCGTATGGGGAGGCAGGCCGCTCTTCAGCGAACTGCTGCGGCTGGGCCTGAGCATCCTGTGTTGTGAAGAGCGACGTCCGTAGATCCCGCTGATACGCCTTTGACGAAAATCGACTGCAACAAAAAATTAGCAAAAACGAACTTCAGAACTGGATTGTGTGCCTCTTAACTTACCTAGAACTCATTGCTGGTGTGTAGATCTGTTTGAGCTTGGTGAAAGAAGACAGGTGGAGGAATATTATGATTTGGCGGTTTGTAGCCCCGTTGCATAGAAACGAGTGAGAACTGTGCCAGGCAAGAACAGGATGATCAGGTGAATTGGAAGGAAATGACGCAAAATAATGCTACATTATGGGTTAGAAGTGTGTATTCAGGTCAACCGAGATCATAAATCCACAGAAATATTTTCATATCAGAGAGAGACACCAATACATTAGCCCTCTGGAATATTGAAGTGCATCAACCAAATAGTAAATTACATAATCTTCAGAAAGCGCATTATATCTGACTTGATTTGTAAGGCGAACGATCTCAACCACTTCTTCCTTGATCTTCAAACTTGTTTCTGTACAGTATGGAAAAAAGGCCGAAAAGCTTAGAAACGGTTAAACACGTTATTCTCGTGCTCAGCGGAAAAGGAGGCGTGGGAAAGTCTTCTGTGACTACTCAACTAGCACTCACTCTGAGCTCACAAGGGTATCGGGTTGGAGTTCTGGATATAGATCTCACCGGTCCCTCTATCCCCCGGATGTTTGGCTTGGAAGACTCTAAAGTGCACCAGAGTCATAGTGGCTGGGTCCCAGTGCAATACGATGCTAGTGGCAATCTGCAGGTGATGTCGCTTGGCTTCCTGCTAAACGACCGTGGAAACAGTGTGGTTTGGAGAGGACCCAAGAAGACTGCAATGGTCAAACAGTTTCTCGCTGATGTGCACTGGGGAAACCTTGATTACCTGCTTATTGACACGCCGCCTGGGACTTCTGACGAACACATAGCCATTGCTGAAGAGCTACGGCACATGAACAATGTTGATGGGGCAGTTATCGTTACTACACCACAGCTAGTTTCGGTAGCGGATGTCAGAAAAGAAATCAGTTTTTGCGAGAAGGTGAACTTCAAGATCTTGGGGATTGTCGAGAATATGAGCGGTTTCGTCTGCCCGCATTGTGCCGAGTGCACCAATATCTTTAGTTCTGGAGGAGGTGCGGCTCTGGCCGAACAGTTGAAACTGCCCTATCTGGGAAACGTTCCCATTGACCCGACCTTTAACGAATTGGTGGAGAACCAGATAGAGCTGAGGAAGGAAACATCCCAAACTTTGGTGGATTTGTACAAGAAGTGCAATTTGTATGTGATATTTGAGAGGATTACGAACGAGATCATCACCAAGTCATCAGCCTAATAACGACATAACTCGACAAAACATCTAAACGCAATGAAACGCTGACCATAATCCGGATAAACTTAAAGAAAACAACCAAGAAACCTGGATACACTGTATAAACTAAATAACCATAACCGTAACACCATAATGAGCCGAAACAGGCAGGGCACCATGCAAAGCAGAAGAGAAGAGGAGGGAGAAGCAATGTTGAAATTTTGTGGAGAATGTGAAAAATACTCGTCGTAGCTAGTACTGCTCTCATTCGTTTTATTGGTCGAATCTCTGACCCTTCTCGCTTCTATTTTTCACTTCATGTTCCTCTTCAGCTTTAGCGAATCACGCTTTCGCTGCGAAGTAGCATTATAAAGTGGATCAACCTCGATGTCACTCACATCTAGCCTCCTGTGAGCTGGATGATGCTTGAAGTTGAACTGACTTTCTTGGAAGGGACTCTGCAAAGCTTGCTTGCGTTCAAAGGTGAACTCATCATCCGCATCCGTGGACGAAGGCGGAGTGTACTGGTAATCCTGCGCGTATTGTGGGAATTGCGCAAACTGTGAAAAGCTCTGTTTGCGAGGCAATGGCATGGCTGAACTGCGCGCCTGGATGTTCTGAGGAACGCTTTCAACCAGCGAATCGGTACTGGAGCCACGGGTCAAACTGAAGGTGGGGTTGTAGTGCAGCCAAGATGGTTTGTGAGCAGTCGAGCCTGATGGTTGTGAAGTCTGACTAAGACGTTGTTGGGGAGCAGAACTTACGCCGGTTGCTGAGTTCTGTCTTGTCAATCCAGAGTCGTCGTGGCACAGTTCAAAAAGCCTCTTCCTGATGATCATCAGCGTCTGGTTCTGGGGCGGCAGCGAGTCTTGCTGGGCATCTATGCGGATTCCGTGCTTGGTCAGGTAGTGATACACTTCTTTAGAAACTTTGTGGGCAATTCCCGACGGGGGAAAGCGAGGGTTGAACGGAGTGATGTCCGGCCTGGTAGAGTATGATTGGTATGTCTGGAGAATGAGTTCGTCAAACTGGCGATCGTAGTTGATGTGGATATCCTGTAGCGACATGGAACTGGCAAAACTCGCCACCGAACCGAACGAATTGCACTTAGAAACAGCTGTGGATGTTGGTGTTACCATCTCCATATCGTCATCTGAATTGCACGAATATACCGAGCCCGAGCGTAGTGACGGCGTGCTCGGATGCATCTGGTCTATCGGGGTGACGAACCCGGACGCCGGGCTCTTGGTTCCGACCAAACTGGTCGGGTTCAGGTTCAAGTGGAGGTTGGGCCTCATGGTTCTCATAGCTCAGCGTAGTAGACGGGCAAATAGCTCAAATTCAGCAACAACAGCAACAAAAAGATGGAACAACCGGGAAGCAGAACAAGACACTTCATCTGCTGTAAAGGGGTGGTTTTCACGACGCGTTCAAAGGTCGTGCAAATACAAAAAGACGCGTGCGCATTGGGCCATTTTCTGAAAAGGGAAGGAAGCAAAGAAAAAAGGAGCCAAATAAGCGAGCGATACAAAGTTTCGGTGTCAATAATGTGTATGCGGTGGCAAATGAGCGAATAGGGTAATTGCAGAGGAGTATTGTGGTTCTATGGCACAGACATATTTTGTGGAGTGCGCTATCTAGTGCAGAATCCGTTTACGCGCATTTCAATAGTGAAAGATTCCTATCAGACCCATGTAAACTCCTACTGGTCTATGCGCACTTATGTACTTCTAGAATTAATCTACCACATAAACTTTTAACGGTGTTTTCCGTATAGCCTGATTACTTGATATGCTTTCATTATTACCTTTTGCTGGTATGTATGGGGTAACTTTATCTTACTTGCGGTATTCTTTGAGTGCAATGCTTCGAGATTGTATCCATACGATGTTTTTCCTAGGGTACTTTGATTGGCTCAAATTATGCGATTTAGAAATTTCCAATTGGTATTTTCCAATTGAGATTAATCTCGTGGTATTGTTCTCTTGGCATTATCATTCTCTAAATATTCTCCTATCAAGACGCACTGATCGATACAGTCCAAATAACTTGTCCAAATCCCGTCTGCACTTTGGTGATTTTCTCCACCCAATCAAGCTGCTCACTTATATAACATTTCACAATTTCTCCCCAGCCACCTCTTCTTTACTCTCTTGCTTTTTCTCCTCTTTCTCGCCATCCCAAAAGCTAGCACCAATGATATCAATGTGCCGTTCAACAATGGGCCTCTTCTTCATCTTCTTTTCTTGCCTTTCCTGTTGCCTCTTTGACTTGTCCCTCTGACCATCGGCATCCTCGAAGATCGGTCCGCGAATCAGTACCGTGCCCTTCTTGTAAAGCGCAGGCTCGTTGTTGTAGTTGATCCCGAACCGTTGAAATAAGATCTCGTTCTTGTCAGCTGCAAGTGTTCCTATGAGCTCGTTTTCAGCCTCCTTCGGCGTCATACCACCTTCCACAAGACTCCAGAATGTGGTGTTGTAGAGGTTGTTGATGTGACAATCCACTTGTCTCCATGCAAAGTAATCACGAACAGTTGGCTCTGAAGGATACACCACAGCTCGAGCATCAAACGTTGGCAATCGGTCCTCTTCCAACGGCTGCTTCATATACTGAGGCCAGTAGAACTGGTAGTAAGCAGTAAAGGTGGAAGCGAACGTTGTGATGAGTTTCGCTTCACGACGTTCAAACAGTCCACATCCTTTTCGCAGTAGGAACGAATACTCATCGCTATCCCCATACGCCAAAGAAATATCAGGCATCTGGTCCATAAGTTTTTGAGCTGTGCGATTCATCAGCTCCAGGGCCCCGAGATCGTTAGGTTTGGCAAACGAGTATTTCGCACTCAATTTGTGGAACCCTCGGCCATCCACACGTATGACGATGTGTGTTTCGGGAAGAAGAAAGTTCTCGCGCTCAAAGAGCTTGACATATTCAAATCTCGAGTTGGCCATCAAATGTCAATATGTCCTAGAAGCCAGAAGCACTCGTTTTTGCTCTCTTGCTAAACAATTCCGTAGCTTTTACAGACGCTCTTGTGCGGCTCTGTGTCTGCTCACCACGAGTTCTCAGAATAAAGCCCCTGCAAAGTTGAAATCACTTGAGTAATCTGATATAAACACCCAAGCTGTAACCACCACAATCAAACGTTGCCAAATATTCTCTAGCCTGTGCAGTCTCCAGCTGAAGCAAGAGATACTGCCTCTGCTGGCACAAGGCGAGGATTTTGCAAGACAAGACAAGGGCGTGTACCTACGAACACAGTAGCCACACGACCCCCGATGGGCCTGAAATTTTTTTTTCTAATTTTTCAATCTTAAACCACTATAGAGCCTCGTACAATCGCCACAAAATATTAAGATGAAGGCTTCTTTTAGGACTCTCGAGAGAGAGGGGCGCTTCAAGAACCCCCCTCTTGACGAATCTGCGTATCCGATGCTGAAGGATGCCGTGGCACCTCATGTGGGATCGTTCGATGCTTTGACAGAGGGCCCCAACGGAGGCCTGTTGAATCTCGCTGTTAAAGACATCGGGAAACGCACTGTTTTCGATAGCAATGATGTGGATAGACTCGGAAATAAGCTTCAGATATGGTGTGAAGCCGTTGAGATCTCCAAACCAGCTCTTTCATCACGGGACACTGCGGCCACTGACAAGCGGGTGTTCCCAGCTGAGTGCAGAGAGGCCCACTCTACCTACCGCGCAAGACTCAGTTTGAAGATCTGCTGGCGTGTGAATGATGGTGAGGTAGTGAGCGAAGTTAGAGACGCTGGTATGCTGCCAGTGATGGTGAAATCAAACAGATGCCATCTCCAGACCATGTCCCCCCATGAACTGGTAGCCCACAGAGAGGAGTCCGACGAACTCGGTGGATACTTCATTGTTAACGGTATAGAGAAGTTGATCCGTATGCTGATTGTTCAGAGAAGATCCCATCCAATGGCCATCATCAGACCATCGTTTGCAAACCGTGGTGCTTCATACACCAAATACGGTATCCAGATCAGATGTGTGAGACCAGACCAAACGTCTCAGACCAATGTGTTGCATTACCTGAACGACGGAAACGTCACTTTCAGATTCTCATGGAGAAAAAATGAGTTCTTGATCCCCGTGATGATGATCCTGAAGGCTTTGGTTGAAACCAGCGACCGTGAGATCTTTGACGGAATCGTTGGTTCTGATACCAAGAACTCGTTCTTGACCGATCGTCTGGAACTGTTGCTGCGCACATACAAGAAGTACAACCTCAATTCACAAAAGGAGACCCTTGCATATCTTGGAGACAAGTTCCGGGTTGTTTTTGATGGAACCCCAGACGTTTCGGATATTGAGATCGGAAAAGAGGTTCTTCGCAGAATTGTCCTTGTGCACTTGCCCGACAATAAAGACAAATTCCGCATGCTACTGTTTATGATCCGCAAGCTATACTCGCTGGTGGCTGGAGATTGTTCGCCCGATAATCCAGATGCCACCCAGCACCAAGAAGTCTTGCTTGGTGGGTTCCTGTATGGTATGATCATCAAAGAGAGAATCGAGGATTATCTGAGATCGTTCGAGTTGAGAATCCGCATGGAGATCAACCGTCGTAATCCCGTCAACTTTCAGGATCGCAAGTACATGTCATTGATATTCTCTCGCATGAACGAGAACATTGGCCAGAAATTAACGAGTTTTCTGTCCACTGGTAACCTGGTTTCGCAATCCGGACTGGATCTCCAACAGGTTTCCGGATACACGGTTGTTGCTGAAAAAATTAATTTCCACCGTTTCATCTCGCATTTCCGGATGGTGCATCGTGGTTCTTTCTTTGCACAGCTCAAGACCACCACTGTTCGTAAACTGCTTCCTGAGTCATGGGGATTTTTATGTCCCGTCCACACTCCAGATGGATCGCCATGTGGTTTATTAAACCATCTCGCTCACAAATGCCGGATTGCAACCCAAGATTCAGATGTGTCGAAGGTTCCGGAATTGGTCTCTCGACTAGGTGCATTTCCTTCGCATGCGTTTGCTGCAGGTCCCAACATGTGCTGCATCCAGCTGGACGGCCGCGTCATTGGCTGGTGTTCTCACGAACAGGGAAAAATAATTGCAGACACTTTGAGGTTTTGGAAAGTCGAGGGCCAGCATGGTCTTCCACTTGATTTGGAGATTGGTTACGTTCCTCCTTCCAATAATGGTCAATACCCTGGTCTGTACATCTTTGGAGGCCGTTCGCGCATGATGAGACCCACCAAATATCTGCCCCTGGACAAGGAGGATATTCTTGGGCCTTTCGAACAGGTGTACATGAATGTTGCAGTTGTTCCCTCGGAGATTGAGTCGAATGTCCACTCTCATGTGGAGTTTTCGCCCACTAACATTCTGTCCATCCTGGCCAACTTGACTCCATTCTCGGACTTCAACCAATCGCCTAGAAACATGTACCAATGCCAGATGGGTAAGCAGACCATGGGAACTCCAGGTGTTGCGCTGGTGCATAGATCTGACAACAAACTGTATCGTCTGCAGAGTGGCCAGACCCCAATCGTCAAGGCCAACCTCTACGATGACTACGGAATGGACAATTTCCCCAACGGAACCAATGCGGTTGTAGCCGTCATCTCGTATACCGGTTATGATATGGACGATGCCATGATCATCAACAAGTCTGCGGACGAGAGAGGGTTTGGATACGGAACCGTCTATAAGGTAGAGAAGTTGGACCTCTCTACCATGAGACGGAGAGGTGACCCTATCACGCATCACGTGGGTTTTGGTTCTGACGAATGGCCAGAGAGCTGGAGAGAGAAGTTGGATGACGATGGATTGCCTGTGATTGGTGCTCATGTTGAGGAGGGAGACCCAATTCTGGCCTATTACGACGATACTGAGGGAAGGACCAAGATCAAGACCTACCACAGCTCCGAGCCGGCTTATATCGAAGAGGTGAAACTGATTGACGATGAAGTATCCTCTGTTCGTGAAGTTCAATCTGTCACCATCAAATACAGAATCCCAAGACAGCCGATGATTGGTGACAAATTCTCTTCGAGACACGGACAGAAGGGTGTTTGTTCGCGTAAATGGCCCACAATCGATATGCCATTCACTGAGTCTGGAATGCAGCCAGATGTCATCATCAACCCCCACGCCTTCCCATCCCGTATGACCATTGGAATGTTTGTGGAGTCGCTTGCCGGAAAGGCCGGTGCCCTCCACGGAATTGCCCAGGACTCTACTCCTTGGAAGTTCAGTGAAGACGATACTCCTGCTGACTTCTTTGGTGAGCAGCTAAAATCTGCAGGGTACAACTACCACGGTAACGAGCCAATGTACTCTGGAGCTACAGGAGAAGAACTCCGTGCTGATATCTACATCGGTGTGGTTTACTACCAGAGATTGCGTCACATGGTGAACGACAAGTTCCAGGTCCGTTCCACCGGTCCTGTTAACAGCTTGACCATGCAGCCAGTCAAGGGTCGTAAGAGAAACGGTGGTATTCGTGTTGGTGAGATGGAACGTGATGCCCTGATTGGTCATGGAACGGCATTCTTACTCCAGGATAGATTGCTCAACTGCTCCGATTACACACAGACATCCATCTGTCGCAGCTGTGGTTCTTTGCTGTCTACACAACAATCTGTTCCCCGTATTGGTCACACTTCATCGGTCCGTTGTCGTCGTTGTGCCCAGAGCGTCGACACCATCACAGCTTCCGATGTGGAGGCATGGGAAGATGGTCAAGGAAACAAGTTCATTGGTGGAGAGGATACTACCACTGTTGCCATTCCATTCGTTCTCAAGTATCTTGACTCCGAGCTGGCCGCTATGGGAGTGAGGTTGAAATACAATGTGACGCCTAATTGAAGAGGAAAGTAACAAGACATGTACATTCATAGTTAAGAATTTAGAAGAGTTCACAAACGTTAGATTTGGATGAGGGCGTAGTGAAGGGATTGGGGCTTGTCGTGGGTTTAATTCGAAGGGATCTCTGAGCCGCACGCATATGTGCATGTTGTCCTGCACCCTCAAGAGCCACTGCATAACACATATCAACGAGAACTGAGGTTGCGATATCCAACAGTTCTATTGATTTTTTGGTAATATATGAGAAATATTATATATCTCCTAGGCCTCAAGAATCGAATTCATATAAAGCACCTTCATTGACAAAGTATCTCTTCATATGAAGATGCATGAATTAGTTCGTTCTGCTACACGTTCGTCAAGTTCAACAGAGGGGAGCGGAGATGATTAAAAAAACAAAATGCAACCAGAGATACTACAACTAAGCTCACCGAGAGTGCATGCAAAGCAACACGAGAACAGCTTAAATGCACCGACAGATCACACGGAATATTGGGAACACTCTAGGATCATGTTCTAACAGCAGCGGGAGAACAATTACCTCGCCACCTTATAGATATCTCAAGGTTAAAGCACGAGAAAAAACAGCGACAAAACAAGGAAGAAAAATGCGAATACGCCGACAAAATACCAGAAATCGTTGCAAACCAGGAACATTCCACAGCAGGACTAAACACTATCAACTTGAACAGAATAAGGCTCCTTCCCTTCATCATTACTACCTTCACCGGCGGATGAAAAGCGAGCGCTAATGATATCCTCTTCAATAAATGGAGCAACCAATCCATTACCTGGTGTAGGGAAAAAATAGTTCAGGGTACACGAGACCGCAAACGAGATGGCCGTGCCCACGATAAACGTTAGATTGTACAGTCTGGACCAGCCTGATGCAATGGAGTAGGGACCAGCGGCTGCAATAAGGCCTGGCATTAAAAATGCAGTACCTAAAGCTGCCGATACGAAACCGCGCCAGTTGAAACCCCCACGCCAATTTCCCTCCTCACCGAGCCAGTAAATACTGTCGTGTGTTCTGTAGAGATCACAGACGCGAAGCTTCATCTTTCTGGCAACAAAAAAGTCCGCCAGCATAACCCCTGTCATTGGAGCTACGAAGATACCAAAACCTGACAAAACTGTGAGGAACTTGGCTGCCGTGGCTAGCAATTGCCATGGTTGACACAGAATGCCAATTGCAGCCATCAGATACCCACCCCTGCGAATGTTGATATACTTGGGGCACAATCCAGAAAGATCCATTCCGGTGGAAACAGAGTTCAGAACAACAGAAATGGTCATTTGAGCAGTGACCAGACCAATAGAAGCAAAGAAACAGCCAGCTCTGGCGCCGGGTGAGCTGTGGTAGTGTTGCTGAATTCTGGGAATGAGCTGAATAGGATTCCAAACAAGCTCATCAAAGACTGTATACGATGCGGATGTAACTATAACCCCAATTATCGCAGTCACGATGATGGTCATGGGCGCAGCAATCATCTGGGACAATGTGGGGGCATACCGGGTTTTAGCGTAACGGGTCCAATCAGATTGGCCCAAACACCCAGCTCCCCACGAACCAATTAGCGCGGTTATACCAAACATGACTCCCCAGCCAACAGAACCAGTCGTGGTTGCTTTTGAGTGAAACAAAGGCCCTGCTCCACCTGCAACACTGACAGCCCATCCCAGCAGTCCAAAGCAGGTGCCCACGAAGAAAACGAACGAAACGTAGAAAGGAATCTGCATTCTCTCTGGTGGAATAGTCAAAAAGTAGCAGAAGAAGATACCCCAGATACACAGACCAATGAAATCGTTCTTAGCAAGGTGGGAGCTCCCGCTGAACTCATTCGCCAGACTGCCATCGATGAAGCCTGGGATGATAGCTCCAATCAGGTTACGAGTAGCCTGCCCACCCCAATAAGCCTGCATTCCAAACCACATACATGCAATAAACGACCGGATAACGACAGGAATATAAGAACCGTAAAATCCATACGAATACCTCGAGGAAACGGTAAATCCGATCTGGTACATCTCACCCATCCAGCCACACGAAATTGCCAGAAGACCTGTCAGCAAACTGCCCACCACCACACACGCAATTGCCTGTTTGGCATTGAGGCCATAAGAAAGCATAGTACTTCCAATGGTCCAGGCACTGACACAGGCACCAGATACCGTCCAATAACCGAAATACGACATCGTGGTGTAAGTCCTTCTCTCCTTCGGGATTGGGATCAAATCACGGTTACACCATTGGTCTACCTTGTAATTCCTTCCTTCATCACTTGGAACTTCTAGACGTTCAGCCCAACTAAGGTTTTCTGGATTGCGAATAATATCAACCAACCAGACCTTCATTGTGTAAGACGTTGAGTAATAGAGATTAGGACGCGAGTGAACAGAGGTCAAGTGGAAGAGTTCGTCGCTCTTGGTGTGGCCTCAGGCTCGTAGTTTCTCGAGCCTGAAATATCCACGTGGATCCGCAGCGCAACTGAAAGGCCTTTTAAACGTTTCCTGAGACCCTCTGCCGGCTTCGAAATGTCAGCGCTCCAAGGTTCGCCTTATCGGCCAAAGACTGAAAAAGAGTTGCAGGGTAGATGCCCACCCGTCCCAAAGAGGTAGGGAAAAGGAGGTGGGCGCCTTGGTGGGCGGCGCTATCAGCCGTGTTGCGATATGTGTGATTACAGTAATTTCTCCTAATATAATCTCTGATAGGCGGGCTTGAAGGATAGAAGACTGGATACCGGTTTGACATCAGAGCGCATGCTGGAAATGGTGATTTGGTGGCGGACCCACAAAAAGTAATGCATCAGAGGTGCGGAGTTTGATCGGGGAGTGGGAGGAACATGGAGAGAGATAGGAGATTACTCGGTGCTGGTAGATACGAGAAACAAAAGATCTCAAAATCAGAGAACTTGGAAAGGAATGCGATTCTCTAATAGTTGGGTGATTCCGTCTAGTTGGTTTTGTAAGGTGAAGAAGGTCTTCATAAGCTGGCATCAGGTGGGACAGCACAATTACTGTTTTCGGCTGCCAATTTTTTTTGTCCAAGAGATCATCTGTCAGTTGACGACATTTAATCTGGTAGTATTCTGAGACTGTTCTGAGCATCTTCATAGCTTATTGAGTGCCTTGTTGTGCAGGTTATGGTCCGCATTATTGCCAACAGAATAGTAGAGGTGGTGCATATGCACCGTAAGTTCTGCATACAGAAGGAGCTTCAGACTTCAAGTTCTCCAAGCACATAATAACTTCTCTTGTCAATTTGCTGAACCAGATCCAAGTCTCTTCTTCTACCACCATGCCTACAGAATGTTCCCAACAAGCAATGTTTGAAACTATATATAATTACAGTTAAAGAATTCCGCTGGGTGTGCGAGTTCCCGTATCTCATACTTGAGTTTCGTATCTCTCTCATCTTAATTAATAAGTTGCATTCAACCTCTTGAAAATGTAATCTCTCGTAGTGATTGGCTCGTATCTTTTTGGATTTTCTTCAGACCACGAGCCCGGCAAAGCATCGATCTCGCAATCCCAGTTCGTGACTATGAAATACGGAATGGAGTAACGAGGCTGAGAAACTCCATCGGAAGACTCCAGGGTAGGACCGCGTACCCGATGAAGAGTAGACTTGAGAACGTCGTTGGACCATCTCATGAGAAAATCACCAATGTTGATCACAAGCGTGTCTTCAATATAAGGAGCGGGATGGAACAGCCCAGGAACATGTGGATCCTCAACCTCGAGACCTCCGCATTCGTCCTGCATCACCATGGTCATCGTGCCAAAATCTGAATGGGCTCCTATGCGGAAGGCGTCCATATTTCTGAGGGCTTTGTCGTCAGTCGCTGGATAGTGCAACAGCCGCACTTGATTGTTCTTCTCAGTGTGATAAGCATCGAAGAAAGACTCGTCTAGCCCCATGCCTAAAGCAATGGCTCTCAGAACTCTCATTGCTACCTCATGATTCTCATTGTGATAGCGACACAAGAACTCTCTGAACCCTGGAATTGCCTTCTCATCAGGCCAAATATTCCAATAGTCCTCAAACTCAGCACCCATATCGAACGATTCCTTTACATCAGGAACTTTGCGAATCTCCTTCAAAATTTCCTCATCAAATTCCATTTGCGAGACCTTCTCTTTGCCAATGCCAGAGTATCCACGATGGTGCCATCCGTTTGGGGGATGAGGGCATTTCATCTTCTCCTCCATTGGAAGGGCGAAGAAGCGTTTGCTCCAGGCAAAACATTCCTCTTGAAGACCCTTGGGAATTCCATGATTTTTCAGGTAAACAAACCCGACCGTCTTCATGGCGTTGAAAATTTCATCTCCAACAGCTTTGCGGTGGGTGCTATCCTTTGAGTAATAGGGAGAAAAGTCAATTATCGGTACTACTCCGGCAGTCTCTCCTACAGCCATGATCTGGGTGAGGCAGATGTAGGAGTAATTGCACTAGTTGAAGCCAACAAATTTTATTAGTTTGACAGGGGCTTTGTGAAAGTTCTTAAACAAATTCTATCATACATTATAGAGCAGAAAAATTTGTAGAATCGTTCCACCATCAAGTTTTCTGATGGGGTTTGACCCTCCACTTTTTTGGGGGGTGATAAGACACGGCCCACCTTAGGTGATGATGTGCCCACCTTTTTCAAGTAGATAGGCGATAGGCAGGTCCAGAGATAAGAAATGATTTCCGTCCAAATTTATTTACCGGAAATTACACAAGCAAGTCTCTGAGAGTCTGAGCCAGTCTCTGAGCCGCTAAAATCATCTGCTCGTCGGAGGCTGCGGCATAAGTGGCTCTGAACCCAGCATGCTTCAGCATTGAAGATGGAGGAACGATAAACCATTGGCCCTTGGCCAGAAGAACGTTATTTTCCACGGCCTTTTCAAAGGCACGTGCCTCAAAGTCAGCTGCAAACTCCTCATCAGTCAAACCAGCTGGTCTTGGAAATGCAGCCAAATTGACATCAATCCAAAGGAACATTCCACTGTTAGGGCGATTCCATGAGCAAAGATCCTTGGGTAAGTACTTGTCAAATGCAGCCATTAGAGCATCACGACGACGGGTATACTCGAGGCGTATTTTTTCAAGCCATTGGAGGTATCCATCATGGGTCCAGCGTGAAAGAATCGAGTAGAGAATCAACTGAGAGAAACCTGAAGCAGACTGGATGTTCACCTCATTGTGTCTGATAATTCTTTCCACAAAAGTTTTGTTACTGGTGATACTTCCAGTTCTTGATCCAGGAACCATCACCTTTGAAAACGAATCAAAACGGATAACTCTTCCGTCGGTGTCCAGGCTCAACAGACTGGGAATGAGACCCTTCAGTAGATTAGATGCAGAAAACTCTCCGTCAGGGCCCTTGGCACTTGGTTCACCCAATTGAAGGAAATAGTAAGGGTCATCTTCAATGATGATAATGTCATACTTCTGACAAACGGCATAAAAAGACTTTCTGCGTTCAAGAGACATGGTCACCCCAGTGGGGTTTTGCCCGGTGGGCATGGTGTAGATGCACTTGGGGAGCTTTCCTTCCCATTTCTCCAACACAGAAGCCAATTCTTCCACTACAATTCCTCCGTGATCAATACGAACCGGAAACGCTGAAAGCTTCATAGGCTTCAAAGTCTCCATAGCAGTTGGATATGATCTGTCTTCGATCAGGACCACATCACCTGGATCACACAGCATTCTCAAAGCAGTGTCAAGAGCTTGAGTAGCTCCAGCACAGATGGTAACGTCCCAATCGGTATAAGCTGGGCTGTGAACAATTTGAATATGTTGCTTTGTCCAATCAACCAAATACTTGTTTCCTACGGCACTGGGGTACTGCAACGCCTCGTAGAGTGTAGAGTTGGGGTCTTCGCCTAAACTTGCAGTGGCCGTTTCTTCAAAGCCACTCTCCACGGTGGGATATTCGTATGAAACCCCTTTGTAGGGAAAGACCGAACTATGGGGGAGACCACCTCCAAGTGAGACAATTCCCTCATTGGTAAGGAATTTTCCAAGGTACTTGAGGGCGGAAGGCTATGCGGGTGTTAGTAGCAGGAACGATGTGATGAAGACAGGGACCAAGATTGGACAGATTGGGACAGCTTGGGCGCTTTTGGTAGCGTTAAGGTAATTGGCCGAAACTCAGCAATATCATACCAATGAGGTGAACAACTCATGGAAACTCTCCAATCACTCTCCCAACAGTACAGGGCACCTTGGTTCTGAAAAACCGATCTTCTAGACTGTCTTTTTCTTGACAAAAAACCACTTACAGACCGGGTCTTGGACTCTTCGGATATGTATTCTGTCCACTCTTTCATTTATGGTAATTTCTCAATTCTATACTCTATAAGGTTCCTTAACAGAATTTTAAAGATTTTCAGCAGTGTTGTACAGCCTTTCAACACCCGAATTTTTCACGGATACCCTCAGACCCTCGGCCCCGGTGCAGGATCTCGGCCACCCACCTCGACGCAGTGTGCCCACCCGATTTGCATGTCTTATCAGCTCGGCTTATCTATACCTTGATTTGATCTTACTCAAATCACTATAAAGAGACATATCTCCGCAACTGTTAATAGTGAAAAATGGTGGTTGATTATGGTATTTTAGGTTTATAAGTTTGAGAATGACTTCGCATATAGTGACTCTGGCTAATGGCGTCAAGATGCCCGCGTTTGGGCTAGGAACCTGGCAATCAGGCCCCAATGAGGTGTGCAAAGCTGTTGAGTATGCACTGAAGGCTGGTTACAGGCATATCGACACAGCCTCTATCTACGGGAATGAGGAGGAGGTTGGTGAAGGTATCAAGAATGCAAAAATCCCGCGTGATGAAGTTTTTGTCACCACGAAACTGTGGAACTCAATGCATGCCCCAGAAGATGTACCTGTTGCTTTGGATACCAGTCTGAAGAAGCTGGGTCTGGACTACGTCGATCTGTATTTGATGCACTATCCCTGCGCTAATGACAAGGCTGCATTCGAAAAGGGCGAGAATAAAAGCGTTGATATCGATTACGTCGAAACTTATCGTGCTATGGAGGCATTACTTGACACCGGAAAGGTCCGTGCGATTGGAATCAGTAATTTCTGCCAATCCGAGCTTGACAGACTGCTTGCAGCTGCAAAAATTGTCCCAGCAGTTCATCAAATGGAGTTACATCCATACCTCAAACAGGAAACCTTTTTAGATTACCACAAGTCTCATGGTATCCATGTCACTGCGTATTCTGCCTTTGGAAATCAAAACCCTAGTTATGCCCTCGCAGGCGAACCAAGGATCCTCGAGCATCCAAAGGTACTAGAGGTAGCTGCATCCACCGAAAAAACCCCTGCTCAGATTCTGGTTGCTTGGGCAATTCAGCGAGGCACTTCTGTGATCCCCAAGTCAGTGACTCCTTCCAGGATTGACGAGAATATTGGAGGAGAATCTTTGGTATTGTCGCCAGAAGACTTTGAGAAGGTTTCCACTCTAGGATATTCCATCAGATACTCTGACTTTGGCCCACTTGTTGGTTACAAGTACTATAGTGATCTGGAATGTCCGGGGAAGTAAACCATTAAGGAAAAACAGGATAGTACCGACAAATTGTCATGGTCCACCAAAACATTTCTAATTCTTCAAAAGCGGATGTAGATGGTCAGACCTCAATAAAGCTTAAGGTCATGCCGTAATGAATAAGTCTCGAAGGGCTGGAATTGAACATTTGAATTGATTCCCACAACCTCTATGCATATGCATAAACGTTCATCATTAGTTGAAAAACCGACCTGCCTTCTTCTTTGCATCCTTGAATCTGCTCTTGGCCCCTGCAAATACTCCTCCGCGTGGAGGAGCCAGAGTGCCACTCTTTGAAGGCTGGCGTTTGCCTCTGTTGGGTGCTATGCTGTGACCACCCAGCGAGGATCCACTGTTGTTGTAATTGCTATTGTAATTGCTGTTATAGCTGCTGTTGTTGTTGTTGTTGTTGCTGTAATTGCTGTTATAATTTCCCCGACCATTGTCGCCATTCCCATAGCTGTTATTGTAGCTGTTCCTGTTGTTGAAATTCGGGACAGAGGTAGCATGCCTTGGTCTTTTTGACCCACTTTGATCACCCTCAAACGTCCGTTTCCGCTGCTTTCTCTGATACATATCCCGTGCCTGTCTAGGAAGATTGCTCCCTTTGAAAGCCGACCCGTTAATGTTGGGTGTCCGCGACTGTCTCGGCTGTCTGCAATCATCACCGTAGTGCTCACTAGAGGCGCAGTTATAACAATAAAGAGGGGGCAGTTCTCTTCCAGGCTCGTAAGTCCTCGATGTCAAATAAGTTCTCCAGATCCGGGGACACCTATCCGAGCTATGACTGTGAAGCCCACATTCAGTGCAGTATATGCGCTTGCGTGGCTGGGTGCACTGCCTCTGGAAATGTCCCTTCTCACCACAATTTGTACAAACAATCGACTGAGGACACTGTGATTCGTAGTGATCGTCTACCATTCCACACGCATTGCATACAACAACCTTACAGTTGGCTCTCATATGGCCACGACGATGGCAATTGGTGCATATCACTGGGGCCTTCTCTTCCATGTGGCCAAAATAGCGGCCTTCACCTCTTCTCTCCACAAGATCATCGGGGTTGTCTTTGGGGCCATCCTCGGCTTCGTCCTCATTTGTTTCTGTGGTTTCCTGAGCCAGATCATTCGTGTCTTCAGAGCCTCCAACCGTTCCAGCCTCATCGGCCCCTTTCACCGTCTCAACGGTTTCATCCACTATCGGCAAAATCTCCTCATCACTCGACATCTGTGAAATTTAGCAGAGTTAACAGGTATGTATGAGTTTTGTTGGAGTGTTGTAGTCTCGCCTTTGGTGTTGTAATCAAAGCCGCTCACCCTGGTGAAAAATTATAGTTAGTGCCCAAATGTGCCTGCCAAACAGGCTACGACGCGTAACCTGCAGCACGACTTCTGACCCTTTTTTCCACCAGCCACCGATGATGATTCACACAATTAGATTAACTGGGGTATTACCGCACCAAAAATCACGCAACATGGCTGACGAAATCGAGAAGAAGATAGAGAATCTGTCTGTGGCAGACAAGCCCGACTCCAAGCCCAAGAAGGAGAAGAAGGACAAGAAGGCTGGGAATCCCAAATCCCAGCTCGAACTGAATCCCCAGCCTGTCTTCATTGACGAAAGAGTCCAGCTCTTTGACGAGTTGAAGGCCAAGTACGATGCCGAGATAGCTGCTAAACCCAGAATTGCCATCACTATCACCCTCAAGGACGGCACCACCAAGGAAGGTGTGGCTTGGGAGACGTCTCCATTTTCCATTGCCAAGGACATTGGAAAGTCGTTTCTCGAGAGACAGGTGATTGCCAAAGTTGACGGGTCGTTGTGGGACTTGGAGCGTCCATTCGAATCTGATGCTAAGCTTGAATTCCTGGATTTTGACCATCCAGAGGGAAAACAGGTTTTCTGGCATTCGTCTGCCCATGTTCTCGGAGAGGCCTGTGAGTGCCATTACGGAGCTCACCTTTGTTTCGGTCCTCCTACCGATGATGGTTTCTTCTACGACATGTCCATTGATGAGGGAAAGACCGTGGTAACCCAAACTGATTTCACAAACATTGAGACTGTCGCAAAGAAGGCTATTTCCGAGAAGCAGAAGTTCGAGAGACTGGAGATGACGAAGGAGGATCTGCTCAAGATGTTTGCCTACAACAAGTACAAGGTCAAGTACATTTCTGACAAGGTTCCTGATGGAACCTCATCCACTGTGTACCGTTGTGGACCTTTGATTGATCTGTGTTTGGGCCCACACGTTCCTAACACTGGCCGTATCAAGGCCATCAAGGTGCTCAAGAACTCTTCCTCGTACTTCCTTGGTGACAGCAACAACGATTCTCTTCAGAGAGTGTACGGTATTTCTTTCCCAGACAAGAAGCTCATGGCTGAGCATCTGAAGTTCTTGGAGGAGGCTGCTTCTAGAGACCACCGTAAGATCGGTAAGGAACAGGAATTGTTCTTCTTCCATGAGATGTCGCCAGGTTCGTGTTTCTGGCTTCCTCATGGTGCCAGAGTGTACAACCAGTTGGTGGAATTGCTCCGTGGAGAGTACAGAAAGCGTGGATACGAGGAGGTTATCACTCCAAACATGTTCAACGCGAAACTGTGGGAAACCTCTGGTCATTGGGCAAACTACAAGGAGAACATGTTCACCTTTGAGGTCGAAAAGGATCAATTCGGTCTCAAGCCAATGAACTGTCCTGGTCACTGTCTGATGTTCAAGTCTCGTGAGAGGTCCTACCGTGAGCTTCCATGGAGGGTTGCTGACTTTGGAGTCATCCACCGTAACGAATTCTCTGGTGCCCTTTCCGGTCTGACCAGAGTGAGGAGATTCCAACAAGATGATGCTCATATTTTCTGTATGCAGGACCAAATTGAACAGGAGGTTTCGGGTGTTTTTGACTTCTTGCAGCACATCTACGGTATTTTTGGATTTGAGTTCAAGATGGAGCTTTCCACCAGGCCAGAGAAGTACTTGGGTGAGCTGGAAACATGGAACAATGCCGAGACCAAGCTCGCCAACGCGTTGAACGCGTGGGGCGGTCAATGGGAGATCAACGAGGGAGATGGAGCCTTCTACGGCCCCAAGATCGATATCATGATTTCGGATGCTCTTCGTAGATGGCACCAGTGTGCCACTATCCAGCTGGATTTCCAACTTCCACAAAGATTCGAGCTCGAGTTTAGAGGAAAGGATGACTCCGCCGATATTCAAAGACCTGTGATGATTCACAGAGCCATCATGGGTTCCATCGAGCGTATGACTGCAGTGCTGATAGAGCACTTCGCTGGTAAATGGCCATTCTGGCTCTCTCCACGCCAGGTATTGGTGGTGCCTGTTGGAGTCAAATACAACGAGTATGCCACTAAGGTCCAGCAGAAATTGTCTGCGGCCGGCTTTTACGCCGATGCTGAGCTTTCCGGAAATACTCTTCAGAAGAAGGTCAGAACTGGCCAGTTGCAAAAGTACAACTTCATCTTCATTGTGGGAGAGCAGGAGCAGGAGGCTGGCAGTGTCAACATCAGAAACCGTGATATCCAGGAGCTCCAGAACAAGAACGAGGCCGTTGCTCTTGACGTTGTGATTGCCCAGCTGGCTGATCTGAAGGATTCGAAGAGACAGGATAATGCGTTGATTTAGAAAGGTTTAGTTGAAGGTTTTGACTAGAGCACGGGTATACACCACTTGCTACGACTTTATCTGCTCTGTACTAGATTTACGTTTCTAATTTGATCATATGACTAAAACTGAGTTCGTAGGATTAAAGGGATAGGATTGAAAGGAACAAGCAATGCTGCAAAACGAGAAAATACTTGGCCATTACAAGATGCATAGACCTGATCATATTATTTTTGAAGCACATAGAATAGTCGGATATCCACGGCTGAGAAAGGGTATTTCGATATTTCATGCATGGGGTTCATACATGATGCGGGGCATCATGCACTCATGCGTACGGTTCAAAATGCTTCTAAACCTGAGTCATGTTCGTTGGGATAATACGGCCCAGTATGGGGCAAATGTCTAAATAAAATGGCTAGCTGCTGATTCAGTGATGAATTTTGCCTGTCTCTTATGGCTTCTCATAGTACTCGTCAATCACAGACGCAGTTCTGAAATACTTCGCCAAGGGTTTGTACTCCACCTCAGGCATATCGAAAGACTTGGGTCCACCAACATCAATGCCCTTCTGGGTGCTAGTCCATTTGTCACTGGGAGCAATTCCAAGAACAAAAACCATGATTCCATAGCGGTAATCTGATGTGCCTACAGCTTCTCCGGTATCAGCATCAATGACAGAAATCAGGTCCGGTACAGAACAGATCACCTCGGGTTCTGAGTCTGGAGAAGCCTTAATGCTGCATATTATGTTCTCGTTCTTGAAAGGAATTGTCATCATCCTCTCGGTACCAGTTTCCTCAATACGCACTTCACCATAAGCATGGCCCTTCCACATCTTGGTCTCGACACCAACGATCTTACCTGAGAAGAGATGCTTACCGGACTCGGGGCCACCAGTGGCTTCGAGAATGCGATTGGGCAATCCTTCAATGTCCGACTCCTGTCTGGCGAGCATGACAGCCTTTCCGATTCTCCAAGCCAGAGACACCGATCTGTGGATAGTCTTGAGGTCCATCTCAGCGGCCTTCATTGGGGCGTTGATACACCCAACACTGGCACTCAGTTCTGCTAAAGAAGCCCTCATTATTTTTTCGAAATAAACATCCTTGGAAACACGTGGGATAATCACATCATTTCCGTTTCCATCAGAAAAAACAGCAGGGCAGTAGAAAGGCTTGTCCGAATACACAAATGGAATTGTTTGCCAATGGGTCGGATAAGCTCTTCCCATAAAATCACCATCAACCACCGGGATGTTCAGTTTCGACGAGGTTCCAACCTGGAAGCCTGTGAACCCATTACTTCCTCCAATCTCAAGTGGAAGAACCAGTTCTGGTCTTTTCCCGGTGTATTGGGCCAGTGCATTGTAGCAGTCCATTAGTTCATCACTGGGAATCTTCTCCTTGGAGACAGTTGGTGATCCAGCAAATCCTACAGAGATAATGGCACCTTCCCCTTCACAGTACTTATGGATATCGTCGATATCAACCACCTTGATCGTGTCACCTTGTCTCAAGAAATTGCGCGTTTGCAGGAACATTGCGTAAGGGTTTCCTCCACCACCACAACCTAGAATGTACGAACCAATAGCAATCAGCTCAAGATCCGGCTCACTGAGTAGCCATTCGCGGTCAGCGTTAATAAAAGGACGATAAGTCTTCCAGTTTGTCTTTCTGGCAATTTTCGTAGTTTTTTCGTCTTTGAAAGAGGAGTTTTTCACTACATGGCCATCCTCAGTGGCTACCTCAATATCGTCAGCCTCCTTCTCGAACGCCTGTTTCATCTTCTTATAATCAACGTCACCCACCATCTTGACCTGGAACTCATAAGTATTAGGGATATATGGCACGGTATCTATGGCCAAGTCCACAGTGGTAATGCTGTCACGAAGAGCACCTCTTTCGAGCAGATTCTCAAAGGCCTGCATCTTGAGGCCTTCTAGAACAGCCTCCTTATCACCTCCAACAGGAACAATTCTGATGGTATGAGTGGAAGCAGATATTTTTCCAATAGCAGCTCCAATTGCATTTGCAACGCCAAAAAATGGTGGTCTCAACACCTTGGAGGCACCTTCTAGTTCGGAGGGAACAATGAAGGACCCTCCTCCAACAAGAAGAACTGGCAACGGCTCTGGTGACGTTCTCATTCTGTCAATCAGGCCTTCAAGCATAGTCTTAAGTTCTGCAGTAAATCTTGACTTGGTGATAGTGTCAAATTTACCCTTGACGGCCTCCGTGTTTCCAATCTTGTAGATCTCGTCCTCGGACCCAGCATCCACGGCCTGGGCAATAGTGAGATCCGAGGCGGTTTTGATATTTCCGCCAAAAATCATGGACTTAGTCATAATCTCACTTCCTACCGAGTCTGGGCCAACAGTGAGATCATTTCCTTCTATTCTCACTATGGAACCGCCGCCCAAACCAATACTCTCCACCTGAGGCATAGAGAAGTTCATGCGTACTCCACCCACAATGGAATACGAGGAAGACTGGCGAGGAAATCCGTTCGGCAAAAGCAAACCGGCATCCGTAGTGGTTCCACCAACATCAACCACCATAATGGCCTTTCCGCTGAGATCAGCATCGGCAGAACAGAGGAAAGACGCTCCTCTCATGGAGTTGGTAGCTCCGGAGGAGAACGTCCTAATGGGAGTCTGTCTGGCTTCGGCAGTAGTCAGCACAGTTCCGTCATTTTGTGTCAGAAGCAAGGGACAATCAAGACCAATCCTCTTAATAGCACTTTTGAACGAGGCAATAATTTTATTTGCAAAATGAACGATGGAAGCATTCAGAATGGCTGCGTTCTCGCGCTCCAAGAAGCCTACCCCGGAGACCTGGTGCGACATCACCACCTTGGCCCCAGTAATTTCCTCGGCAACAATCTCAGCACAACGAATTTCATGTGCCGGTAACATAGTTGCGAAAATACCAATCACCACGACGGCCGAAAGTCCAAGCTTCTTGATCTTGCTGCAATGTTCCCGGATCTCTGCCTCGTCAAGCTCCCGGATCTCGTCTCCGGTCACCTGATTTCCACCTTGAAGATAACCGACGTAACCCTCGGTAATGTCCCTGAGTCCTGCCGGAAAGTCTGAAAACGGGAAACTGTTCTTGGTGTATGGTCCACACAATCTTAACACAGCTACCTTCTCTAGTCTGGCTCTATCCTGCTCAATCACGGCATTAATGAAGTGCGTTGTGCCGATGGTGACGGCTGCGACTTCGGACTTCTGGACTGACTTGGCCTGATCAAACAGCGTCTGGATGGCTTTCTCGATACCATCACTGACATCCGTAGTGGTATTGGACTTGTTCCAGGCTAGAACACCTCTGGTTTCTGGGTTGGTGAACTCAGCGGCATCCAGGAGCACTGCATCAGTGTTTGTTCCACCGACATCAACTCCAATAAGCAGTTCTCTCTGCATCTTCCTGCGAAAATATGGTAGAATTGGTGCAATTGGTGCAGTTGGTCAGCTTAGCGGTGCGTATTGACGATCCCAGTTTTTATGCTAGCTCAAGTTATTAGTCAATTCTACCTTTGCCTATAACCTGATTTAGAATTCAATGCCCACTTTCTGCCCACTTCATCTTAGATTATACTCGAGGAAATCCTTCGTCTTTTATGCCGGAAACCTCCACCAGCCTTATCGGCCTCCAGATCACGCTGATGGCCCACCTGCAGTTCTTATCGCAGGCGCCGCTGGAGGGCATCGGAGCCAACGACATATGATTGGTCTAATGAAACTCGGTCAGTACACGTAGAGATAGGGTAAATAAGAGCGTGCGGTTCCGCTTGAAAATAATTATGTGGGGCAGTATTAAGGTGACATAGTTCAGAAGCACTTGAAGGGCCATGGTCAAGACAATCGAGTCCACAGTGCCGATCATCGACTTTGGCAAGTTCCTGAATGGATCCGAAGCTGAAAGAAAGCTGATAGCCGGCGATATGGTAAAGGTGATGAGAGAGGTTGGCTTTATGTACCTTGTTAACCATGGAATTGCGCAGGAATTAATAAACGAAATGTTTGCATGGTCAGCCCGTTTTTTTGCTCTTGACGAAAATAACAAGAATTGGTGTCGTCATCCCGAAGACGGAGCGCACCACCGTGGTTGGTCGCACGTTGGTAAAGAAAAGGTGTCGCAGATGGTGTTTGATAGGGATTTGGTAAAACAGCTGCGGCGGCAGCCTGACGTCAAAGAGTCATTTGACCTAGGAAACGAAAATGGCTATTATAGCAACATTTGGCCTCATGATGAAGATATTCCTGGTTTTAGAGAGTTTTGCAACGGGTTCTTTGCTTGTGAAGACCATACTGCGAAACAGCTTTTGAGAGCGATTGCACTGGGACTCGGTCTTGATGAGGAATACTTGTTGAATTTTCACAAGACTTCAGACAATCAGCTTAGATTACTCCATTACCCTCCAACAGAGACCCTAGCGCTTCAAACTGGCGAAAAGGAAAGGATAGCTGCTCATACCGATTTCGGTACTATGACCATGCTACTTCAAGACTCGTGCGGCGGACTTGAGGTAGAAGATCCTCACATTCCTGGTTTGTTTATTCCAGCCCCATATATACCAGGCTCAATCATCTTGAATACTGGAGACTTCCTGATGCGCTGGTCCAATGATGTTCTCAAATCTACTCTACACAGAGTACGGGCACCTCCTATAGACTCCAAAACGGGTTTGGCACAGCGGCGTTATTCTATTCCGTATTTTGTGGGAGCAGATAAGGACGTGGTGGTTGACTGTCTTCCTTCGTGCCATTCGGCTCTGAATCCGAAGAAATATGAGTCGATTAGTTCGAGAGAGTACATAGCAATGCGGTTGCGCGCCACCTATTAAGCAATGCGAAGTACATTGTGGTTGATTGGTAGCAACATAATTGGGACCAGGAGGTTTCAGAGCGATGGTGTACCACAGGGAATCTCAAGAAAGGTTTTTTGGAAACGTACCAATATGTCATACTTCTCATTGTAATAACACTTTGATCTGCTCGTCGGTCAGCTTTTGCGTATATAGACACCTTTGTACTTCCTTTTGCTCCTCTCTTGTCGTTATTTCGTAATCTAGTTGAGCTCTTATCTAGCTCCTGCTTCGATCTTTTAGCTCGTCTGGCTTTTCCTCCAATTTCATCTAGCTCTGATATCTCGTCACCAAAATACTTTCTTCATCTCGTCAGATCCTTTTGACTTCACCCATACCGAGTGAGTATCCCCTCCAGTAACCCTATTTCCAACTCCATGTTCCGATGTGTGAACCGCCGCAGCATTGTTAAAGAATAAGCCACAAGGCCAAGTGCTCGTTGGCGTCGGCGCCAAAATGGCTGTGAGTCCGTCTCATCGACCGCCTCGACTTCAGAAACATATTTTAACGCACTCTCGCGACACGCATATTCAAGCAGACCCTTATCGGAGTGGTATGGACGCATGGATACAGAGCCATTGTTCGCAAGAGGGCCAAAATCGTCTCTGTAGAACTCAAAAGTCCAAGCGCAGAGAGTAGCAAATACCAGTACAAAGGGCACATGAGCTATTGTCTCAATAATAGGTTCGTTGTTGAGAACGGTCCTCAAAACCTGGCAGGCGTCAGCAGAAGCGGCGACTCCGTCGCGTGACCTGGCCCATCCAGCAACTCTCTGGGCCAACTGGGAAGAATTGGTGGCACCGCGCAAAGCAAACAATTCTGCATGTTTGGTGATGAGATCGTTGTCTGCATGCAGAAGCAAGAGCCCTAACTGGAGAGCAGTCAGGTTCGCCCAGAAAATATGTGAGACCCCATAGTCATTAAGAAGAAACTTGTCTGTTTCATAGTCACGCAAATGACCTTGGTTATTAGTGATCATTATTTGACGATCGAAGTAGTCCCGCCAGTTGAAGAATGCGGTTTCCAGTCGCTCAGAGAACTCCACCATCCGCCTCTGTGAAACGATTCCGAGGTCAAAAAGCCCGCGCCAGCGCAGATCAAGACAAATTCCTATAATCCCGTGTAGGAAAATGAAGCGTGAAAATTGAGAGAAACAATTCATAGGGTATTCTTTTTGGTGGTGACGATACGGTTGCATCAGTCTTCGCAGCGAAAAGAGGAAGTTGGGCCATTTCCCTTCAGCTGGAATGGAGTCAGAGCTTCCACCGAGGGTTATCGTTCTCTCCAGATGTTCTCTTGAGGGTCTCCGGTGCATTGTGGTAAACTTCACCCGACTCCTAAGGTCGTGAGGTTGACGCTCGTATTCCTGATAGAACCTTACCGGAGACTCGGCATTCCACACAGCATCAGTACAGGGCAGTTCCAGGTGAATCTCAAAAGCAGAAAGTGATGGTTGTGTGCGAGTAACGGCAGCATTCTGGGCGTCATAGAAGTACGCAAAAAATGCCGTTCTCTTGCGCGATTCGTAGTCGATATACCGATACCATTGGAGTCGGGCCTCTTCCGGCGACACCGTGAGAGGAGGTTGTAACTTTGGCTCCACCAGCTGTTGGAATGATCCCGAAAATCTGACTAGACTGACATTTGTTCCGTGGAACAGCTGACCTACTTTTGATTGGTCGCAATCCCCTAAGTATAGCGCAAAAAAAGCAGTCAGCAAAAACGACTGTAGAAGCGAGAACCGGATCTCGACAGTATCGTCAATCTCCGCCAACTGCAATCTTCGAAGCTTCTTTTGAACAGCAATCCCACAGTCCTTCTCGGCAGCAGTTCCGGCATACATCATGCCGATAGTGAGCATGTTGGCGAGCAGGAACGGGTCAGCAGAGTGCGGCTCAAAAGTGCCATGATGAACAATAGGATACACTGAGCCGAATCTCGACCAAAACAGACCAAAATATTCGTTTGCACTCTCATCAGAAACATCATCAAAACACTCAATGTTTATGAACCTCCGCAATCCGGCCAGTGTTACGGGATCCAGCCCCAGGGCCGTATGGGTAAGGTCAGACCGGTCAGACCTTAATGACGAAGGCGTGGAGTCGGTCGGCGAGTCGTATTGGGCTTGGATACTCGTGCCACTCGGATCAGATCCAAACAGCCATTCGTAGTTGTCAAAAAATTCACTGGCAAAACCAGACTCGGGCCGGTCAAACAGAGGTTGGGGGTGCGGCTGTTGAGGCAACGGCAGTGTCTCTGCAAAAACAGGAACAGGCTCCTCTGCTATCTGATTGACGATTGTGGTTTCGATGGGAATCGGCAGGGTTTCTGAACTTTTTGGAGGAGTTTGGCTGGTTTGAAGCTCTGTTCGGCGAATATGGGCACGCGTTCGTTGATGTCTTGTTAGAGGGGGAAGATAGTTAGTATGGAAAAAACAAGGTTGGCTTAGTCAAATATGCACTCACTTCTCTAGTATATCCTTGCGGGCATAGCGAGTACTACAACAGTGACACTGGAAAGGTTTGACATCCGAATCTGCAAAAACAAGTTAGAAAATTGAGTGTTGAAAAGCAACTTAGCTTGATACCCACGGTTGGCAGAGTGTCGCTGGAGGTAATCGCGTCTCGAGAATGCCTTGTTGCACCCACCGTGGGGGCATAGAAAGCGACGCTCTTCTTGGAATACGGTGGTTGGTGCCATGGCAAAAATCCACACCGAAAGACGGATTGGACGCTGTGATGACGGCCTGAGAAGGTATCTGGGCAGTTAGATTACATACCCCGTTCTCCTAAGAGGGCTGCTCGGCCGGATACCTCGTATTTGGGTCGGCACAGGGTCGGTAATGGGATTTGAGGGAAGGTACAATGGTCAACGAGAGGCAGGAGATTTAAGTTTTGAATATCTGGACGTGTTTGTTTTGTATTTCTGAATGAAGTTCATGTGGTAGTTGTAGATTTCACTTGTTCATGTAAGTGTTCCTCGTTGTTTGTGTAGAGGTTTATCCCCTGTCGTATCTGAGGAGAAATGACGTAAGTCGTATGAAATCTTGAGATTTCTGTGATATTTTGGAAAATTGACCAAACTGCATCTATAAGTTTTAAGACAGGATCGTGCTTCAAGACCTGGAAAGAGATGAAGTTGGTTGTTTTTGAAGTATCTAGTGCAAGAATGGTCAAGCGGACCTGAATTCCTAGGCTTAAATAGCTGGCATGGGGCCAGTCTAAGGCACACAGTGAAAAAAAAAATCATCCACAAGTAACAGAGCCGCTAGGACAGTTATTTTCTAATATAATTAACCTACCCTCGACTTTACTTCCCGAACAGTTATACAGATCTCAGGTTTGGCCCGATCTCAAATCGTTCATTAACGTGCGGCGTGACAACTACACACACACTACGAGATGCTCGACGCACTTCCATCACGTGCGGCGCTAAGATTGGGTTGCAATTTCAGCACTTCAGAACACATGAGATAAAATACACACTGGCTACGATCACTGTCAGATCGAAGTATTCATTACGCATTCGAAGAAGTCATGGGTCTACAAGGCTTTGCACAAAGCATATTCAAATCTGTCCAAATGTAGGAACAGCCCACCCGCAGACTCAGCTTCCCGGTGAAAAATTCCGAGAGAGCCGCCAGCCGGTAACCGCCAGCTTGATTTGCATGCTTATCACCCAGAAGACCATCTTTAACACCATTATAAAGAGTAACTGAGGTGACGATAAAATATTCAGAAGAATGGCTTTATGACGCTCATCTGCTCTTCCCGATCGAGCTACTTGGCGTTGCCGTGTCTGCTACAAACTGCCACCCGTGGCGGCTTTCGGCAGATGGGCCCTGCCTCTGTAACGTTGCAACGTCTAAAATCTGCCCGGGCATCTTCTCCGGCCTTATCTGTGCGGCCAATATATATGCCTCGGGTCTGGCAATTTTTTTCTGCCTTACACATGGAAATCCTTGGAAAGTCTCATAGAAACTATAACCAGTATTATTTTTATTACTGCTTATATTTGCTTCCATGACTATTGCCAAATTCACAAACTGCACGCTGTGCGATAAGGGAGTCCTCAGACACAATGCAGAGCTATATGTTGACTTGGTAGCGGGAACGATAGCAAACGCCCCGGTTTTTTTTGAAGGCGAGGTGGTGGATCTCCAGGGAATGATACTTGCTCCTGGGTTCCTTGATATCCAGATCAACGGGTGCTATGGCTTTGATTTCTCACACTTTGTGGACGAGGAGTCCTATCTCCAGGGATACCGTGAATGCCTCAGCAAGCTGCTCCACACGGGGGTTACGTCTGTTTGTCCGACATTGGTTACAAATTACCCCGAGATGTACGCTCGTGTTTTACCACTGGTTACCGGATCCAGAAATAGCGATACGTGCGATTCACTGGGAGCGCACTGTGAGGGCCCATTCATCTCAATGAACAAGAAAGGCTGCCATCCACCCGAATGTCTTCGCGATGCTCCTAACGGCTTTGCAAGCATGCAGGAAGTGTATGGAAGCGAGAATTTTTACGAACATGTGGCAATAGTGACAGCTGCGCCTGAAATAGAAGGTGTCTTGGGTGCCGTCACAGAGCTCACGTCCAAGGGAGTGGTGTACTCTATTGGCCATACCGAGGCCGATTACGCCACTAGCACCGAGGCCATGAAACTGGGAGCCTCCATGATAACTCACATATACAATGCGATGCCACAGCCGCACCACCGTGAACCCGGCGTCGTTGGTCTCGTGTCAGACCGTCCCGTGACGCCGTACTTTGGACTTGTCGCTGACGGTATCCACGTGCACCACGCTGCTGCTGCATTGGCATACCATGCTGCTCCAGAACGCTGTTGTCTTGTGACAGATGCCATGACGTGGTTGGGCTGCAAGGACGGAACCTATGCATGGGACGATCGTTTCGTGGAGAAGAAAGGACCTCTGCTTCACCTCAAGGGTTCTGATACTATTGCTGGAAGTGCTACAGAGCTTCCACAGTGCATCCAGAATCTGATGAAATGGTGTCAGATTTCGCTTGCAGAGGCTATCGGAACTGTCACAAATAACCCAGCACTGTCGCTAGGCATCAAGCATAAAGGCTATCTTGACGTCGGCTGCGACGCGGACCTCACTGTGTTGGATCTGAGCGGAAACGTCAAGCAGGTCTACAAACTGGGCAAGAAGGTGTTCGATGACAATCTTAAACAGCATTTATAAATATACAACATGAAGAGAATGACAATAGATAATGTTGAATTCGTCAAAGAGTAACTTGAAGTAGGCCGACCGGGTGAAATTTGGCAGAACCAGATGAGCACGCAGTTACCCTTCTGAAAAATGACAGATAACATTTTCACGTGCCCACACTAATCACACACATCACATTGGCAGACCACGGGCCACAGTTTTTGCACTTGACTCCGAGATGTCACATTGTCTTGTTGTTTCATTTTCATTTCCTACTTATATCTAGAATATATTCTTTTTCTCACCTGCAATGTCACTTCACAGAGAAAAGATTAACGTGAGCGAATTGCCCCATGTGTTCAACGAGCCAGTTACTCTGGCCATCATCGGTGGAACAGGGCTCTATCAGCTGGATTCGCTGACCCCAGTGGCAAGACTCACAATTTCCACGCCTTGGGGATTTCCTTCGGCTCCAATCACGATTTCCAAAACTGAGTCTGGATTTCCTGTTGCATTCTTGGCTAGACACGGTCTGCACCACGATCTGTTGCCCTCAGATGTGCCCAACCAGGCCAATATCGCTGCACTTAAAAGCCTTGGAGTCAAGGCGATTGTGGCTTTCTCCGCTGTCGGTTCGCTGAGAGAACATATCAAGCCCCGTGATTTCGTTTTGCCCAATCAGATCATCGACCGTACCAAGGGCATCCGCAAATCTACCTTCTTCGAAAAAGGTTTTGTTGCCCATGCCATGTTCGGAGAGCCCTTCGATCTGAGTCTTAACGCAGTGATTGCTGAAGTAGGTACTGAGGCAGGCTTGCTCAAAGGAGAGAATGCAAAATTCCACACTCGCAAGACCGAGGGTGATGATTTGACCCTCATCTGTATGGAGGGCCCTGCCTTCTCTACACGTGCCGAGTCTCGTTTGTACCGCTCTTGGGGAGGATCTGTGATCAATATGAGTGCAGTTCCAGAGTCGAAACTTGCACGTGAGGCAGAGATTTCCTACCAGATGATCTGCATGTCCACCGACTACGATGCTTGGAACGAGTCTGAGGAGCCCGTAACTGTGGAGACAGTAGTGGGAAACTTGCGTGCAAACAGCGAGAATGCCCATATTGTTGCTGAGAAACTCATTGCTAGATTGGAAACCGAACTTGCCAACGGAACCGTTGGAAACGACCACGTTGGTACCATGAAGTACTCAGTTTCCACAAGTCCAGACGGAGTTCGCAAAGAGTTGCTCGAGAAGATGCACTTTTTGTTCCCAGGCTACTGGCCTGTCAAATAGATTCAGAGGCTATTTAATAAAGATTGTTGTGTGATGAAACGTAGAATTAACCACCGAACTCTTCAATGCGGCTCATTTGAAAAAGAACGTGCAACAACAGATAGAGTGCACTGCCCATTATCAACATTCAAAATCCAGATCTCCAAGTGCTTTTCAAGAACGAGACACTCACATCTGCTTCAACCCCACGACTATGTCGAACTTTGAAACGCCTCTAAGGCAATCTGTTGATTCTCTACCAGACACGTTCTTTACGAAGAGGCGTGTCTTGCAGACTCCTACAGAACAGACATCATCACCGGCTAGGTTTATCAACACCTATCCATCGCCATTCAGAACGCCAAATCAGAGCAATCAGGCCGACCTAACCACTACTCGGGCTATTGAAAACTTGACAAACGACCCGATATCCAATTTGGCACGCACTCCTCTCAAAAGACTGGTCGATTCTCCATTCAAACCCTCGGCCCAATCATCGACTCCAGTGCGCGGTTCATCAACATCAACACCATATGCCCAGGAAGAAGTACTGGCCAGATCCGTTTTTGGAAGATCTCCGGCACCGGGGCCGACACCAAGGGCAATTCCGATTCCAGCCTTAGACCGGTTGGCTGCCGATTCGTCTATGGTCAACACTGACGAATGGGCAGACCCTCTGGTTCAAGCAGCTATGACGAGAACCACCAATAGAGATGGTGAGGTGAAACGGTTGTTGACCAACGTCATTTTATGGCTGGTGCTCAGATTTGTGGTTGCAGTTACACGATTGCTATACAGACTGGATCCAAGAACGGTTTGGGATGTTCTTTCTGCAATTGGTGTTGCTGACGTGAACTCTACTCTGCATAATGTGACTGTTGCGTTGGATTACGCCTGCAAAGGCATTCAGCTTCTGTTTTTTTACAATGTGGTGATGTCGTGTGTGAAACTGGTGAGACCAGTGGATGAGTGTCTAGACCTAAATCTGAGCACGCGACAACGCAAGCTGCTTGGCCTGTCACCAGTGGAAGAAACTCTTGACGACGAAGAACAAGAACGCTCTCAGCGGTTTGAACCAGTTGCTGATCGCAAATTTGACTTTGCAAGCACTTTCAATGTGACGTCAAATCTGGCCAACCTGGATTTGCGTAGCACTCCGGAGAAGAAACCACGCATACCTTCTCCCGTTATACCCACATCATCTTCTCCGGCAGAAGCTCTAAGACGCAAGATTATGGAGAACAACCGTCGCTCCAGCAACACGAGCGTGTCGTCGCCGAATCGCTCGTTTTCTCCGTCGTCCAAGTTCGTGTATTCGGTTACAAACGATGCTTCGCGGGAGTATGACCAGAGTTTCTACTGAACCAATATATGTATTAATAAAGTCATTAGAATCAAGTAAGAATTTTGCAAGAAGAATTTGTAACAATAAAGAGAATTAAACCGAATTGTTGGGTCATCATATTGCCATTAGCATAAAATACTAACGACAGGTTCGTAATACCGGTATTTTAACCCCATTCGCTCATTTTGGCAAGCCATCTGCATCTGCAGTCGACTTGTGAATGTGATACTCCGGACTCTGAATTATGTTATCCACCACATAATACTGGAAAGTGTTCATCACCAGGGGAAACACCAACACCACGAATGCAACCTGTAATCTGGGGAACGGATCCGACCAACTCAGCAACCAACCAGCAAACGTAACCAGTAGTGGACATACCATTAGCAGAATGTAGATCAGCAATTTCATGGATATGAGCCCGACAAAATATAGCACTAGCTGTTTACAGTACCAAGAGTACTTTGGTGGTGATCCATATACGCCGCTCTCGATACCACTGATTTCCGCACGACGAGCTAGTCCGTATATGCACGTTAGCAGGACCCACAGAATCGGAATTCCCAGCGTTGTATCAAACAGAATGTTCAGGAAATAGTAATCGCAGGGATTGTCTGCGTCTGCGTTGGCGTGGAAATAGTATGGTGACGTTTTCCCCTCCTTGGAGAGCTCAAAACGACCAACAGCCCAATCATCTGATTGGCCACCCACTATGCTCATCAAAACGTTGAGAGTGTGGATCCCCGCGGCCCCAAACACCTGTTTTGACACGTCAAAAAACCACACCTTCCAGGGCCTCCTATTGGGGTACTCCTTGTATCTTTTGAAAATCAACGCAGACAGCGATAATAGTCCCATCAAGCTTTGCACAATCAGCGCAAAAGGCCCAAGCAATTTGCACTGTCCCTCATCTTCCAGCATGGTGTATTTTTGGCCAGGTAGCAAGTTAACAAGACAACAGAGTTAAGAGGCTGGGGTTGAAAATGAGGTCTGCCATGCTGCACGTGTCGAGAATTGGGGTGTGCGAAAACAGTATGAGTGGTACGCGACTCAAGAAGGAGGGTCACCAAACTGAGAGTCCGAGAGTCGGGAGAGACTCCATCGACGTTGTCGCGAGATTCCAGACTGAAGCATGGGATGGTCAGCGCATAACATCCGGCAACTGCCTCGATATTCTCGCGAGGTTTATGACCCGTTAACCCAGATCAGCGTTACCCCCACCCCCAACCACCCCTCAGACACATCAGGGTCCTCGTCCGTTTCAGGAAATAACAAGCGCAACAAAGTCACGACTTAGCGCAGTCACGTGCAATAACGGTTAAGGTACGACGAAATGCTCATAGCTCTTGAAGACAGCTGAGTAAGTAAATGGCTTGTAAGCACTCTTGGATACCAATACAACTCCAAAAATGGCCAAAGAAGACACCAAGCCAGAGCAAAGTGAGTTGGAATATGGATACTACCGATAATTCACGATTTTTCAGGGAGAAACCTCCGTCATAGATGGATCACCCCGAGGAATCTTCATCTTGCGCAATTACTAACCGAACCACTAGCTACCAAGCCCAAGCCATGCTGTGTGTGTATTCCGGAGAAACAGTCCAGAGATGAGTGTTTTCTGATCAACGGAACCGATAGCGACAAGTGCAAAACGATCTTGAGCGACTACAAGAACTGTATGAAAGGCTTTGGATTCGAGGTAAACTAGACGAGCACTAAATCAGGCCAGGGTCAGTGGAGACGAGCAACTTCAAAGTCTCCAGTCTTTTCGCCCTCTTCGCGCTGAATCCAACTTGTAAATAGCCAAGCTTAAGGAGAGAACATTTATACATATACTAGTCATATAAAAATCCGATAATCCCACACCGATCCCCCGCCAATAAATCCCTCTTCAAACTACCCCAAGCGCAGCGTCGGCTGTGCGATGGAGAGACTTCCCAAAACGGCAGAGCGTCCGTAGTGCGGTGTCTCTCCCCCAAAACCGAAAGTAGGGACATATATAAAGGGCATGGCCTTGCCTCTTTTCCCCTCCTTTTCTTCCACAAGCTATCGCATTTTCGAATTGCACATTACACTCAATTGCTACCATGTCTGCTTTATTATCCTTGAACAACGGTCTTAAGATGCCACAGGTTGGCCTGGGCTGTTGGAAAATCCCCAACGACGTTGCCCCAGAAATGATTTACGGTGCCATCAAGGCAGGTTACAGACTGTTTGACGGTGCCATGGACTACGGTAACGAGAAGGAAGTTGGTGAGGGAATCCGCAAGGCAATTGCCGATGGACTTGTCAAGAGAGAGGAATTGTTTGTTGTTTCCAAGCTGTGGAACAGTTTCCACCACCCCAGCAACGTTAAGCCTGCTCTGGAGCACGTTCTTAAGCTGTACGGTTTGGACTACCTCGATTTGTTCTACGTCCATTTCCCAATTGCCCAAAAGTTTGTTCCTTTTGACAAGAAATATCCACCAAACTTCTACTGTGGTGAAGAGGGATGGGCCTTTGAGGACGTTCCCCTGATTGAAACCTGGAGAGCCCTTGAGGCCCTAGTCGATGAGGGATTGATCAAGTCCATTGGAATTTCCAACTTTTCCGGTGCTTTGATCCAAGACCTTCTCAGAGGCGCAAGAATCAAGCCTGTTGCTTTGCAAATCGAGCACCACCCATACCTCGTCCAGGAGAAGCTGATTGAGTACACCCAAGCCGAGAAGATCGTCGTTGTTGCCTACTCTTCCTTTGGACCTCAATCCTTTTTGGAGCTCAACAACCCAAATGCCCTTGGCTCTGTCAACCTGTTCGAGCATGAGACCATCACCAAGATTGCATCTTCCCATGGCCAGTCTGCAGCTGCTGTTCTGCTGAGATGGGCCACCCAGAGAGGCCTTGCCATCATTCCAAAGTCTTCCAAGATTGAGAGACTTAGTGGTAACCTGCACACCAACGACTTTGACTTGACTGAGGAGGAGATCAAGTCTATCAGTTCGTTGGACAGAGGTTTGAGGTTCAACGACCCATGGGAGTGGAACAAGATCCCAACCTTCGTCTAAATAGAAGGAAGTATTTAAGAAGTCGATTGAAGCTGTTAAAAGATTGATTTTGTAGATTGTAAAAATTGAAGATTCAAGAGATTCCAAACACTGTATTCTTTGTTGCTATTGGCTGGTTATTTTTGGTTTAGGCATTGCTTGGGACTTAATTTGAGAGTTGCCCGCTTACAGTGTCCACTTCTGAAGCTGATTTCGATCTCAGTTCAAAGCCAGTACTCAACCCCCTTTCCCGCATATCGAATCACTCAACTGCCCCACTTACAGCACCCGCTTATCACTCATATACCTCACGATAGGTCCATTTCCAGTCACCTCAATCGTCTTGTCGAACCACGAAAGAAGTAAACCACCTTGCTTCTGCCCATCCTTAGTTTCCATTCCTCTGTAAATAACTTTGATCAGCGCATCCTGCTGGTCACGGTCCAAAGACTTCACCACCTCGGGGATCTCAGATTGCTTGACTCCCTGAAGAGCCTCCAACACTGAAGACAAGTAAAGTGCTTTGGATCCTTCATCAGCTCCATACGGAGGATCCGTGAGAGCATATGCCAACGAATCTCCGAACGATCCACGGCCGCTGAGTGTGCGTACCTGTTGGGCCTTCGTCGAGACTTCCTGGGATGTAACCGGAGCAGCTGCCGGTCTCAGGTCTTCTTCAGTAAGCCCCCTATCCGGATCATAAGCATCTATGTCGATTCTCCTCCAGTCCTCCATTTTTATGCTGAAAAACGATGAATTGGCTGTGTATGTTGCAGTTACTTGTTGCCAGTCAAAGGGGGAGATCGCTTTGGCACCTTCGGAGATCGTGCAAGACACCAATTTGAAGATGAGTATCGCACGCTGGGCACTTTTCATAAACCCGTACCATATCAGAGCTATCTTTTAACATTAATGCCTATCTAGTGTACATAGAGACTACTGCTTTCTCTTCTTGGCTGAGCCATTTTGGCCTTCGGGTCTTTCCTCTTCAACTGCAGCGGGAACGTGTTCGTCGATGAACTGTAGCACGGTATCACTCAAGGCCTCTGTGGTGACAACAATAACCACCATTCCGTCTGACCCGACGTCATATTTGATATCTTTTTCGTTAGGGTATGCCACAGCCTCGTCAAATGCATCGAAGAATGCATTTAGTTTTGTAAATGTGTCGATTGATGAGCACAGCCGCTCGTCCATCTTTCCGTCAGGCATCTCGGGGTTCTGCACCACAACGACAAACCGCACGTCGTTGTCAAGTTCATCCTGCTCTGGCTGTGGGTAAGCTAGCTCCTCGTCAGACATCTTTGTGTAGTGCAAGACAGGCGTGGTGTTGCTTGAGTTGCTCAAGGGTCACACATGCCTGACTTGGGATTCTGAAATTTTTCAGGATGGGTCGTGCGGAACCAGCTAAGATAAGGTGCGGCGTTAAATGGCGGAGGAAAAAGAGGAGTTGGAAAGTATAGAGAATTCGCTACTGGAGAAAAGAGCAAATAAGAAATCGAAAACGTTTATAGTATGTTTGAAGATGATGTAAAAGGGTACAATGTGGTAAAAGAATACAAATAAAGCAGGACGTAGCAGTCAATGCCTGATAAGATGGCAAAGTGAAGGTTTCGCCAACCAGTTAAGATACCTGTTGTTTTCGCTCCTGTGGTTGTATTGAAGCAATTATGAGCAGATACTACTGAGATGTTCCACTAGTCTCATACTTGGCTATAGCATAACCAACAATGAAA